TCAAGCACCCTCATCTCTTCCTCTCCGTGTGCAACTTCCTCCGGAGTGTTTGGCATTCCAAACATCATCCAAAAACTCCCTGCAAAAGACAGGAGCCCCTCGATCAGGTAGATGTATCTCCACGGAGCCAAGCCAGAGCTGATCTTTGTGATTCCAGTACCTATGAGCCCCCCAAAGGCGCTGGAAAATGCAGATGCAGCAAATAGGTACGACACACGTTGCGAAAGCTCGGACTGGAAGTAAAAGTCTGAGATGATGAGGGAGATTGACGTGAAGAAGGACGCCTCAAAAAGCCCAAGCAGCAGCCGACACGCTAGTAGTGATCCGTATCCACTGGCAAACATTGTAAAAGTAGACACCAATGACCATAGCGCAACCATGCATCCAAGATACTCTCGCTTCTTGTCGTTGAAGCACCGCATCATCAGCAACACTCCCGGAAGCATGAATGGCAAGTAGGTTGCATACACTATCGACACCGCTGTCGAGTACTGTGCATCAGAGATCCCAATATCCGTGTTCATACCGGCGACTTTCGCGTTGCCAATATTGGATCTGTCCAGAGCGGAGAGAAAGTACATTGCAGACAGGATGGGCATGATCCTCCAGTCCATGCGGCGGACCAACCGCTTGTGAGCCGAGGGAAATGGGCATTCTGTGGAGACCGAAGGCGCGACCTCAACCACAACCCCAGCCCCCTTCACGGGATCCTCTGACTCAAGCATAGTAATCTCAGATATTTAGCGAGCGTTTTATATCCCGAGTCGATAAGATTTTCTTATCTGACAGGGAACGTGTATTGTTCCCCAATAGGAAATGCCATGGCAATCATGCGCTTTTGCATAGTTACTGCACGCTCCTTACATTGAGAATCGGATTGAGTGTCCAGTTTCTTGTCAGATATGCAGAAGTGGAGCCTGTTTTCCGATGATAAGATACGAAAATCGCTAGACCGATCAAATAACGCGCGCTTCCTAACGTGACACTTTTACTTTTGGTTACGGTCTTAACGGATATCATCCTAAACGTTTTATGTGCTCGCTGGTAATGTCCAACGTCAACATCGCACCCGTAGTATGAGAGATAACAGGGCCCCTGATTTTCTCCTTTTGCTGCATCACTACCAGCTGAGGTGTCACCCCACATCCCCAGAACACAGGAATCTCATTGTCATGAATGACAGGTTGCCCACCGAAATCTGGGCGTTTCAAGTCAGGAATTCCTAGTCTCTCTGCTCCATCGTAACCCCAGTCAATTGGCTCTCCATGTGTTTTTCTAAATCTTGAAGTAATCTTACGAACTTTTGGCACATCTTCTGGTTTGTAGGGACGCATACTGACAACATACGTGCAATTAATGAATACACCTGCCGGATCAAGGTTTTTGGTGGTCTTGTAAACAGGCACTCCTCGTCCAAGTGTTAGATGCCTAGGAATTAGTCCATTCTCACAAAGTTCATGTTCAAAGGAATGTGAGCAGCCAATTAGGAACCCTATATGGTTACTAGACCATTCATCCATGACATCTGTTTTGGTTAGTCTCAGCTCCCCATTTTCGTAAATGTTGTACGAGGGAAAATCAGTTCTCAGGTCAAAACCTTTCTGGAGATACCTTGAGTCGTCTACTGTAAAAGGGTCACCAACTGGGGTTTGGCATAGCAGTGGGCATGGTACTGGGTTACGAAGGCACAGGTTAATGAAATCGTTTGCGTACTCTTTTGGGAGCACTATAAGATTGGCCTGGGCATATTTTTCACAGGCACCAGACGTGTGGGAGGTATGTTTTGCGTCTCGACAAAGCTGTCTGAACTGATATGGTTCCAATTGAGCGTATTCTGCCATCTTCAACTTTTGAGACATTTGCTTTCTTATCATATAGTCGCATTTTCTTACCATTGATAAGAGTTGAAAATCATCGGGATGCAACCACCGCCTGCGTAAAAAATGATCCACCATTCAAAGCCGCACGCATGAACATCATATATCAGAACTTCATCCGGAACCTCCAGAGGTAACATGCTAAAGATATCCATTGGTAAGTTATCTTATCCTTCATCTAACATTAGATCGTGGAGGGACATTTACCGATTGTATTGCTACCTCGACTGAGGACAGTGAAATAATCCTGAAGGTATTATCTGTGGACCCAAAGAGTTATGATGACGCACCGGTCGAGGCTATCCGGCGTGTTCTTGAGATGCACAGAGGGACCAAGATTTCCCGTGGGGAGCTACTTGATCTTTACGATGTCTCGGAAATTCGACTCGGCACAACTGTTAGCACCAATGCTCTTCTTGAACGAAAGGGAAGCAACGCGGCATTATTTGTTACACGAGGCTTCCGCGATGTGTTGCATATTGGGGATCAAAGCCGCCCATATATGTTTGATTTCAAGATCAATAAACACGACATTTTGGCTTCCGATATCTGGGAAGTGGATGAAAGAGTGACCGTTGAAAGCTCTTCCGAGTACAAGGCTGCGAACTTGGATTTTCTTCAAAAGTTTGGAAAAATTGAGAGTCTTACAGGCAAGCCTCTGAGAATCATTGAGCCACTGAATGTTGAAACAACAATTCGGAAGCTCCAGGAAGCCAAAGCGAAAGGCTATGAGTCTGTTGCATTTTCTTTTTTGCATTCATATTTGTATCCCAAGCATGAGCAGGAAGCTGCAAAAATTGCAGAGAGCCTTGGTTTCAAGAACATCGTGCTATCTTCTCAGGTCTCGGCTCTATCTGGATTTGTAAGCCGGACACAGTCGTCGGTTGCCGACGCATACGTCACTCCGGTAATGAAAGATTACGTCAGGACTTTTATGTGTGGCTTTGTTCCTGGTACTTTTGATCGGGTCAAATGTCAGATTATGCAATCCGATGGAGGTCTGATCAGCTTTGAAAAAATCAATGGATTGCGTTCCCTACTCTCTGGTCCTGCTGGGGGTGTTATTGGCTATAGCAAAAGCACATTCAACTCTGAAACCCCGTTGATTGGCTTTGATATGGGCGGGACATCCACAGATGTCTCAAGATACGATGGTAAGCTGGAGCATGTTTTTGAGACTGTCACTGCAGGGGTATCAATCAGGACACCTCAATTAGACATCAACACGGTGGCAGCGGGTGGTGGATCCATACTAGAATGGAAAAACGGTTTATTCACTGTAGGGCCAAATTCAGCTTCTTCCCATCCTGGACCAGCCTGCTACAGAAAAAATGGGCCACTGACAGTGACAGATGCTAATCTTATTACGGGAAGACTCATCAAAGAGTTCTTTCCCAATGCTTTTGGTCCCAATGAAGATGAGCCTTTGGATTATACTAGTCCGCTGAAGAAATTTGAAAAGCTGACCAAAGAGATCAATGACAGTACAGGCAAGAGTTTTACCGTATTTGATGTCGCGGAGGGATTTCTAAAGGTTGCGAATGTATCAATGTCAAGGCCCATTAAGCAACTGACCGAGTCAAAAGGACATAAAGCTTCAGACCACGTTTTATGCTCGTTTGGCGGGGCTGGAGGTCAACATGCTTGCCATATTGCCCAGAGTCTAGGTATTACGAAAGTCTGCATACACAAGCATTCTTCCTTGCTATCGGCCTATGGAATATCGGTGGCCGATAGTGTGGTTGAAAAGCAATTGCCTAGCTCAGATGTTTTCACGGAGGAGACTAGCTCTACCATATTTTACAATCTTTTGGCACTCCAAAAAGAAAGTGAGACTGAACTTGGTGAGTACGATAAGACTATTGAATCAAAATTGTATCTGAATTTGAAATACAAAGGCAGCAATACTGCATTAATGATTGAGTGGAATCGCGTGAATGATGTCATTTCCGAGTTTGAGAAGCAGCACTTGAAAGAGTTTGGTCTCAACTCTGATCGTGAAGTTGTTGTTGAGAGTCTTCGGGTAAGATCCACGGCCAGCGGAATTGCTGGCAAACTTACATCTCCTTTGGAGGAGGAAAAGACTACGCATTTCAAAAAGCCACGATCAAAAGCTATAAGGGTTCAAGAAAGCTACTTCGACTCAGAATTCGTTGATTGTCCTGTCTATGTCTTAGAAGATTTACAGCGAGGTGACTTGATACCTGGGCCGGCTTTCATTGTCAACGATATACAGACTTTGGTCATTATCCCAAATGCAACGGCAAAAATTCTTACAACTTCCATCCTGATAGATGTACCAAGGCTCGGAACTCAGTCGACTAAATTGAAAGTGGATCCAATCGAGTTGTCTGTTTTTAATCACCGGTTCATGAGCATTGCAGAGCAAATGGGAAGATCATTGCAGCGTTCTAGTATCAGCACAAATATCAAAGAGCGTTTGGATTTTACATGCTCTGTGTTTTCTGCTAGTGGTGGGTTAGTGGCCAATGCTCCCCATGTTCCTGCAATGATTGGTTCCATGGCCTACGCCGTCAAATGGCAGATTGATCATTGGGGCAACAATATTCATCCTGGGGACGTTATTATTTCCAATTCCCCAATAGCTGGTGGCACGCACTTGCCCGATATTACCTTGATCACACCGGTCTTTGACGAAGACGGAAGTCGTATTATATTTTGGACGGCGTCAAGAGGCCACCACGCCGACATTGGCGGAATTCTGCCTGGATCAATGCCACCTAATTCAACCCAACTTTGGCAAGAGGGTGCCATTCTCAAGGCAGTCAAGGTGATCAGAGACGGAGTATTTGACGAGCAAACAATACGAGAGTATTTATACGATCAGCCCTCTAGAATGCCAGGCAATCATGGGACTAGAACCCTCAGCGACAACATATGTGACATCAAGGCACAGATTGCCGCGAATGCAAAAGGTGTTTCACTAATTAAAGTTCTCATGAATGAATATGGGATGGACGTTGTTCATCTTTACATGAACGAAATGCAATCCGCCTCGGAGCTGGCCATCAGAAACTTGCTGAAAGATATCAGTAAAAGGTATGATACATCACACTTAGAAGCGAAGGACAAAATGGACGATGGCACTGTCATCCGCCTTACGATTGATATCGATACTGAAAGTGGGTCTGCTATTTTTGATTTTACCGGAACAGGCTCACAGGTGAATGGTAATTGGAACGCTCCGATAGCTGTCACACAGTCATCGATTATATTTGCTTTGCGCTGTATGGTCGAAGGCGATATACCTCTTAACCAAGGATGTCTTGCTCCTATCAGCATAAATGTTCCTCAAGGAACTCTTTTACGACCTGACGAAGAGGTTGCGGTATGCGCTGGAAACGGACTGACATCACAGCGTATTGTTGACGTGATATTCAGGGCATTTGAGTATGCAGCTGCCTGTGGTGGTGACATGTCAAACTTCACTATTGGAGTTGACGGGCCTGACGGATTTGGCTATTATGAGACAGTGTGCAATGGAAGTGGTGCAGGACCCGGCTGGCACGGAGTCGATGCAGTACAAACAAATATGACAAATACCAAGATCACAGATGCGGAGAGTTATGAGCAGAGATATCCGGTTATTTTGAGAAGGTTTGGTATCCGTGAAGACAGTGGAGGTACAGGAAAATTTAAAGGTGGAAACGGAGCAGTGCGTGAAATCGAAGCAACATCTCCGTTGGTCGCATGTATTCTTTCTGAACGGAGAGTCTTTGCGCCCTATGGGCTTGCGGGGGGATCCCCAGGAAAACGGGGAAAGACAATCGTGAGGAGAGTTAATGGTAGCATTATCAATCTCGGAGGAAAAAGTTCCATTTCCGTGGTTCCTGGGGATAGAATTATTATCATGACCCCTGGAGGAGGAGGATACGGCAGTGGTAGTAAGGAAAAGTCAGTTTTAACCGTCGACAAATATCGGTTTCAACCAAAAGCCAACGGAACAGTTGAGATCATGAGGGGATTAGCTGAAACTAACTAAAGTTTTTGAAATTTTTATTAGACTTAGATAAGCTGCATCTGCTGATTACGTCAGCCGCTCTAGTTCTGATTAGCGACTACCCCACTTTCTGTTTTCTTGGCCAGTTAGATTAGTTTAATTTCAGCATTATAAATCTCCGTGATAAGGAATGCTGCTTCATCACAAATCTCATTGGTCATTCTGTAGCCCTCCCTCTGCACTCTTTAGTCTAGGTTTCTGGCTTCTCTTGAATATCCACTGTAGTTGTGCTTACTCTACTTCTTTACATCACCTTTCCGTCACCCAACTCAAAAACAAATTTTAACACTTCTTTGGCAAATTCTCCTTGCATCTCTATGTTGGGACAGTGACCACAATTAAAAATCCTTAGCTTTGAATTTGGAATGCGGCTCCGTATCTCCTGTGCAAATTGCACTGGACGCACCCTATCAAGAACACCATGAATAATGAGAGTAGGAATATTGATTTTGTTCAATTCGGGTACCAGATCCGCATCTACCTGACATTGAAGCATTTTCGCAGCTCGTACATTGGGCTCGCTAAGTGACTCATAGTACTTTCTAAAGGCAGCCAAGATGTCCATGTTGATGGAGTCCATACTGTGCACTCTTGCGGCAATATATTGATCTATAAAGACATCAGTGATAGGCTGACTGCTGAGCTCTTTCACGTGTCTTTTGATATCCTTATGACCATTAGTGTTTGCACCTGTATTCACAAGCACCATGGCTTTAATGGCTCCAGATGAGTCAAGGAGTGCTGCTTGCATACAAATAAGTCCTCCTGTCGAGTGGCCCACTAGTACTACGTTATCATGTAGCATAGCTATTTTCAGCAGTTCAAGAGCAGTTTCTTCCAAAGAAGGAACCGGATCCTGTCGCATCCACTCAAACACATACTTGTCTACTGGCAAAGCATCAAAGCTCTCTGGTGGACACAGGTTTCCAGGAACACAAATGAGAAACATTGTCCACTAAACATCTTTTCTCCGCATTAATAGATTTCGCGAAGGCTTGGCAACTTGCGGGCCATTGATTTTTAGCTATAGTTTTCTTGGCTTATGCATGTTCGCACTAACCCCGCGTCAGGCCCGAAAATGAAATGTATATAAGTGTCTCCTGTCTGCCTCATTGGTCAACTATGTTTTTGCAGAATTTGAGAGGTAAGAAGCTGTCGTTAGCCATTGCTTTGGCTGGCGCGTCGGCTTGGATTTTGCAAGGATACGACCAGGCCATTATGAATGGTCTCTTGACAATGGAGACATTTGAGAAACAGTTCCCAACGCTCAATACCAGTAGATCCGGAGTGAACAAAGAGCACGCCACTGTGATTGAGGGAACGGTCGTTGCTATTTACGAGCTAGGGTGTGTGCTTGGGTGTGTTGCCTCTTACTTTTTTGGTGACAAGCTTGGTCGTCGCCGATTCACTATGACTGTTTGTACCGTCACGATTATTGGAGTTATTATCCAGACCACTTCTTATCGTATAACGCAGCTTATCATCGCACGAGTGATTACTGGAGTGGGAGTCGGAGGTATCACAGCCACGGTGCCGACATACATCTCGGAATGCGCTCCAGCACGTTTGAGAGGTAAGCTAGTGCTTCTTTGCGGATCACTCGCAATTTTTGGCGTGGCACTGGCCACCTGGGTCGACTTTGGGTTTTATTTCGTCAAAGACAGCTCCGTCAATTGGAGATTTCCAATTGCACTACAGATGCTCTTCCCTATTATCTGTATTTCGCTGATTCTCTTTCTTCCCGAGTCTCCCCGCTGGCTGGTGAAAGTTGGGCGTACAGGTGAAGCGGCAGAGGTGTTTGCTCGGCTGGAAGATAAACCTGTTGAAAGCGACCAAGTTCAAGGAGAGATCTCGCTGATCCAGCAGTCTCTGTTGGAAGACCCAGCAGCTATCAAAGCTTCTCCTTTCTCAAGAACCAAAAACAAACATCTGAGGCGTAGTCTTATGGCCATTGGTCTCAACATTGGAGCTCAGATGACGGGAATTAATATTGTCACCTTTTACTCCACGAGCATTTTTGAGCAGCAGCTCGGCTACAGCTCTGTGGAAGCTCGTATCTTTTCGGGGTGTCTTCAGATCTGGCAAGCGATGTGTGCATTTGCTGCCATCTTCTTGATTGATATATTTGGTCGGCGGTATGCAATGATTCACGCCGCAGCAATTATGGGAGTTTGTCAATTTATTCTCGGGGGGCTTGCCTCAGACCTCGAAAATCCAGCTACAGCAAAGGCTATGGTAGCCTTTTACTTTGTGGCAATGTATGCCTTCCCTGTCGGTCTTCTCCTTGTGGTTTTCATGTATGCAGCTGAAATTGCACCCCTCGAGTCTCGCGCCCAGATTACTGCCATCAGCACTGCATGCAACTGGCTTTTCAATTTCTTAGTGGCAGAAGCTTCTCCAACAGCATTCAACAACATTGGCTATAGATATTACTTTGTCTATGGATCTGTCGCTTTTGTACTGCTTGTTTGCTTGATTTTGTTTTTCCCAGAAACAAGAGACAGAAGTCTGGAGGAGATTGACGATATATTCATTCAGTCTCAAACATTGTTCGACACTGTTCGCGTGGCCAAGACAATGCCAGTTCAAGGTGATGCTGACTACGACCCTGAAAGAAAGCTCTCATTTGAAACTAAAGACGTTGTCGAATATGTGGAGTGACTGGTGATCTCTAAGGTGGTGGCTATCTTGATCATTTGAAGACGTGTTGGGATTTCATCAATTTTCCCAGCATGCTTTTTCAAAATTTGCTGATTATTAAAATTCAGACTTGGTATATCTTCAAGAAAATGTACTTTGAAAGTACTTTCCATTCTTAAGTGAACGTTGGGTCACGTTTATAGTACGTAAATAACCAACCAAACTTGAGTCAGCCAGTTGGACCTGATGCGTGCTGGCTGTTTCTTTTTGTCTATGAGATTGGAAGGGCTGCATAAAGTTACTTTTTTCGAGCTGAGAATAAGGGGTGTATATAAAATGCAAGAGTAGGAGGTACCCTTGTGATCTATTCAGTGTCTTGACAAATGAATCATATGATCCATCCAGTTTGAGTATTATTAGAAACGGTGGATAGTTGATTATCAAAGCTTTAGGGGGAGAGTATCTAACCGGACTACAAATACCTAACTGCTTAATTCCTACAACGAAAATTCTTGTTCGATCTGATTGTTTTGGCAGGGCATCATTTGCTATCACAAATGTACCGTACCGTTTTAAGAATTGTTTTTGTCACCAAAAATCGAATAGCTCGAAAACACTATCAATGGCAAGAGCAGTTGAGAAAAATCATGCTCTTAAAAACTAAGCCATGTCGCTTTTCCAGTTTATAGTTGCCCGCGGGGCAAGGAGGACTAAAATTCAGTAACAAAGTTATTTGAGCTTGACTATGACAGTGGCAATCACTAGTGACTATAAACTTGGCGTCATCGTTCATAGTGATGGAAGTATTATGTTGGATATTCCAAAGCCAATACTGAGCAACAGGAAGCTCAACATCACAAAGCTGTCTGCTAGCTAGCTCTTCGAGCGTATACAAACCCGAGAACTATCAAGTCATACCGTTTTGAATACATTCTATCACCAAGCTTGCACTGAGCATCAGCGTACAGTTTCTTGGCTTCGCGCTTGTGACGAAGCACTATTGCGAGAAATGGAGCTTTATAATCACTTCAAAGCATGGCCCAGTCGGGCTACTTCACGGCCTGCCTCCAAGTATGCGATTCTCATCAAGAGCAATGCCACGAGGTTTGAGGTTTTGTCCTGGATGGTTAACGTGGCGAAGAGGGATGGTCCTGCTTCTTATCATGAAACAGATCTGTGTGCCAAAAAACTAGATTTTTTGGTCTGACATTGGGGAATCCCAGCACTTTTCAAGCAAAGCAAGAGTAGATCCTAGTTATGTGCCAGAAATAAACCGAGTGAGGTATGCGCCTGGGCAGTCGCTTGAGCTGAGTTCAAACTCACTATCTTAAACAAAGAACAATCTTAGGAACATGTATGTTGGTGCAGGCTTCAGGTTGGGATAGACCTGTTAGTTCATTCTCCAGCTTCTGCGTCGAACAAATCGAGCCAGTCTTGAAATGCGCGAAACACACCGTAGTGAACCCTCATGTCCCGATGCAGGTCTGTGTTCCTTGTGGTCTACCGATGAGGTTGGTTAGTTTTTCCACCAAGGTTTAGAATTTCACGATAAACGTGCCTGTGCTTATTGTTTTCCATCTTTCGATGATGCGTAGGTTCATACTCTAAAATAAGGTATTGTCTTCCAAATCCTACACCTATGGCATAAGTAATCTGCAAATCTATGTCGAATGGCGCGCCTGGGTTATAGTCCCTGTGTAGGCTCCTGCGGCCTCCAGGAGCTGTATCATCCGTATATGATTTCTGCCTCCACATGGGCTCTAGAACAGTATATATACCTACCAGCTACTGGAAACCTCTGGATATGGACTCCTTTTAGCTGGATTTCGTTTGATTTATTCCGTGATCTCCTCTCTCCAATATGTGCAGGTGGTATCATCAATCAGATAGCAAATAACAAAACATCCACGCTCGTAGAGAGCGACATCGTATTTTCGACGAATCTTTCTATAATATCTGTCCATTACACTTCAGGAATGTGAAGGGAGCAACGACAATATCTTCTTTTCGTAAGTTTCTCGCCCTATCTATGCAACTCTCATTGTCTCGTTGCGCTCGGGACTGATACTAGCAGGAGGGCAGCACAGTGGGATTCGAGAGTTTGAACCAGGCGGATATCTTTTTTTGCTAGCAATTTGTGGTAGAAATTAAATAAGCTATGACGCACATCGTTGCCAGGTTAGCATAACCTTTTCGGTGTTTTCTTCACAGCGTACGACAAGCTCACAACGGTAAAGAAAGTCCGCAAGAGGCTCTCTTTTAGAGGCAGTGCAACCATTTCAGCGGCATCAACCTGGTAGCATACGAACCTTTGCTCTAGGTGCTCGAAAGGATGCAATGCAAAAGGTTGTCTAGGCCAGGCTCTCTAGTAAGTAGGTGATTCCTGAATCCCTTTTAGCAGCCTGGATTCTTGTTGCAGCCAATCCCCACAAAAGCATTTTAGTTTGCAGGCCTCGTGTGTTTTATTCTGTAGGTCTGAGGTCTGGCCGAGATTCCAGCCGAAACAAGCAATGTTCCGCTCTTCGGATCTTGAGACTGTAAGGGAACCTTCTCGAGATGCTCAATGATAGGAGTACAGGTCTAGTCTCGCAACCAGCAACCCTGTCAATTTTCCGAGTGTGGCTCTTTCAAGCACGCGACCTGGCGCCGCAGACAAAATCGCATGGCCGGTTTTTCAGCTTCGATATTTGTGTGGCTGCCATAGCTCAAAAAAAGTTATGCTTACTCTTTATCATCTTCCTTACGCTGAAGGATACGGTGCCAACGCGCGCAAGATTGCAATTCTCCTCAATGAGCTTGAGCTTAATTGGAAGGGCGAAGCTGTTCCAAGGGACACTGTTCGTACTTCGCCTGAGTACGTACTTCTCCATCCCGACCGTAAAGTTCCTGTTCTGAAGGACGGTGAAACCATTGTGATCGAGTCTGCCGCAATTCTGCAGTATTTGGCTGAGGTTTACGGCTCAGGCAAATACCTCGAGTCGAAATACGACACTCTGGCGTGGGTTTCCTTGCAGAATGGCTTGTCATCGGCGGTTGCCTCGCTGTTCCATGCTGAAGACGAGTCGCAAAAGACAAAGGCAATCAATAACGCTAGACACTACTTGGGACTTTTGGATGACAAGCTAGCATCCCCCAAGAGCGGATACATACTCGACTCGGGATACTCAATTGCAGATATTGCATGGATTGCGTTTGTTGACGAAAGACGCAAGGAGAGACTTCGCCTTGAAAGCTGGGAGCAATTCCCGAATATTGCCAAATGGCAGAAAAAGGTCCTTACACGTCCTGCTGTCGCTAAGGCATACGAGGAGTAATATCCTGAAATGTCCAAAAAGTCCGTCGAAATTACGGATGAGCCGAATTCGAGAGGAAATTATTTTTCTAGACCCTTGAGGACTCTATGTAAGACCTTGAGCACGATATCGACCAAATAGACGTTCTTTGTTTGTTCTGGCATGTCATGGACATTATATCTCGAAATCATTGCAAGGGAGTCATCAATTATTGAAGTGTAGCATAAATTTTCGTAGCACAGTTCACTTGGGAGCGGCACAGAAACGGGCGCAGTTACATTTGGTACGTGTTCGCTAAAAAGACGTTTGGCCTAATAGCTTGCTCATCGGAGAATATTCTGCTCAAAAGCCAAGATTCCAATTACGGAAATAGAAGTATTTTCTTCAAATATCCTCGACGGAGATTTCTTTGCATACTTTTTGCTACCCTGCTATTATGATAACAACGGAAAAGTTGATAAGATTTTTTTAGTGCAATAGCGTACATATATAACAGTGTTACCACAACGTAGAAATGCTCCCATACGAACAGAATTTTAAGCGATGCGACTCTCTAGCTTATGGGAACCACCTGCAGTGAATCCAAGAAACCTGAAAGCCACCTCAGTACCAATTTTCAACGTATGGAACGTCTATGGAAGAAACTTCTTTTTTGCGTGGTTTGGCTTCTTTGTGTGCTTTCTTTCCTGGTTTGCCTTTCCGCCTCTGCTTCATGGCATGCTGAAAAAGGACCTAAAGCTCACCGCAGTGGATATATCTAACAACAACATTTGTGGATTGACTGGAACCCTTCTGGGGAGATTCGTTTTGGGGCCCCTCAACGACAAGTACGGCCCACGGATTACTTTGGTAGGCGTTCTGCTGGCGGGAGCAATTCCAACTGCCTTTGTTCCTTTGGTTACCAATGTTGCGGGTTTACATGCCATCCGTTTCTTTATTAGCTTCCTCGGCTCCTCGTTTATTTGCTGCTCCCAATTTTGCGCGGTGTTTTTCGATAACAATATCATAGGAACAGCAAACGCTGTCTCCGCCGGCTGGGGAAATGCTGGAGGGGGTGTGGCATTTTTTGTCATGCCTGCCATTTCAAACGCACTTGAAAAGAGAGGTTACTCTTTACACCATTCGTGGAGCTACTCTTTTGTGATCGGACCCTTCTTGATTCTGATGATGACGGCAATTTTGATTTTTGTTTTTGGCAGCGATTGTCCAAGGGGCAAATGGTCTCTCCGTGGAGACATCCTTGGAATAAACATGGATAACACGCTCGTGAAGTCTGTCTCCGTCACCAGAAATTTCTCCAAGGAGGGAGAGCTCACTTCTGTCTGTGTTGAGCCTGTTAACGCAATTGATGAGGTTGTGGTTGAGCCAAACCAGGACAAAGAAATCTTTGAGGTTGCAGACATTATAAATGAGGACGAAATTATCGAAGACCCAACTATCAAAGACGTGGTCAAGATTTGTATTTCCCCACGCACGATGCTGGTCGGACTTTGCTACATGTGCTCGTTTGGTACTGAGCTGGCAGTGGAGTCTATTATCTCGAACCTATTTGGTCAGAAGATGCCAGAGTGGAGCACTTCCAAGGCTGGAGCGTGGGGCTCGATGCTTGGGCTCCTTAATGTGGTGACAAGACCTGCTGGAGGCATAATTTCCGACTTCCTATACCAGAGATTTAAAACTACAAAGGCCAAAAAGTTTTGGATGATATTTACTGGCTTGATGCAGGGAGTGTTTTTGATCTGGATTGGATTGGTTCCGGAATTGTCCATTGCGGGACTCATAGTCTCCGTTTCGTTCTTGTGCCTCTGGTTTGAGATGGGCAACGGTGCAAACTACGCTTGTGTTCCGGTCGTGAATAGACACCATAGTGGTATTGTGAGCGGAGTCACGGGAGCAATGGGTAATCTTGGAGGCATTGTGTTTAGTTTAGTGTTCAGGTACACTATAGCAAATGGCGTGAACAACTATTTCAAGGCTTTTTGGATTATCGGAATTGTTTGCACTGTCGTGAATGCAGCCTGTGTGCTCATTCCAATCAGAGAAGAGAGGCCTAGGAAGGTGGAAATTTGATTGAAATCTCGGTTACTCTTTTATAACTTATGCAATGCAATGTGAGTTTTTTTATTGATAAGAATTTTAGGATGCATTGTGCGATAAAGAAATCTGCTAAGCGGAGATTAATTGTATGGACGGAAATTATATGGTAATTAAAGGTGCTGTCTACCTTGACAAATAAAAGCGGTTGCAAAAGTCATCTAGATTTTGTAGACTTTGATGGCTTGCGCTGTTCCTCCCCTGCCTGAGGACATCAGTCCTCCGGCCAGTAAGAAGAAGCTTGTCATTGTGGGCCTAGGCATGGTTGGCCTATCATTTCTCGAAAAGTTGCTACTGAACGACTCAAAACTAGACGAGTACAGTATAGTTGTTTATGGAGAAGAGCCATATCTTGCTTATAATCGCGTTGGCCTCACTGAGTATTTCCAGCACCGTGAGTTCAAAAATCTCCTGCTTTCGCCAGAGGAGTTTTACCAGCTACGTGGCGAGAAATGGGACTATGCCATTGATGAGAAAGTAGTCGACATTGATCGGTCAGCCAGAATAATCACCACAAACAAGGGAAACAAGACGTCTTACGATGTGCTTGTCCTTTGCACGGGCTCCACAGCCATCCTTCCTACCGATCTGCTACCACCCCCTACCAAAAAAAGCTACCGTGAAATGGGGTGCTTTGTCTACAGAACCATCGAGGATCTTTATTCAATGATTGACTTTTGCCAGGGTTCAAAGAAAAAGAGAGCCATTGTCGTTGGTGGTGGACTTCTTGGACTAGAAGCAGCCAAAGCTCTCTACGATATGGAATCCTTTGTGGATATCACCATCGTCCATAGATCTCATTGGCTTCTTTCCCAGCAGATGGACCAAAAAGGCGGTTCCCTACTTACCAGCAAAGTGAAAGAGCTAGGGATTACTTGTCGAACTGGAACAACTGTTTCAGAGCTGATCTTTGACGCAGACCAGAATCTGACAGGAGTGAAGTACGATAACGCGGAGATTGAAGAATGCTCCCTTCTTTGCTACACTATTGGTATCAATCCAAGGGATGAGCTTAAGAGCTGCGGTCTAGATGTGGGCTCAAGAGGCGGATTCAAAGTGGATAATATGTTACAGACTTCGGATGAGAGTATATATGCTATTGGAGAGTGCGCTTCTTGGAATGATATGACCTTTGGGCTAATTGCTCCCGGATATGAAATGGCTGATATACTGGCCTTCAACCTCACCCAGGGAAAGCTGCACCAGCCAAAAGAGTTTTCTGAGCCTAACATGGGCACCAGGCTGAAGCTGATGGGCGTTGACGTTGCATCTTTTGGCGATTTTTTTGCAGACAGAAATGGGCCCAAATGGATCCCTCGCGGATACGAAAAAGAAGTTCGTGGCCTTGTATTTGAGGATCCAATAGACGGAACGTACACAAAGTTGCTTTTCACGAAGGACGGCAAGTATATGCTTGGAGGAATTCTGGTTGGTGACACAAGCAATTACACCAAGTTTTCTGCGATGATAAGGAAACCGTTACCCAAGTCTCCTTCCGAGCTGCTGATTGGAAAAGCTGGGGACGATGACATGGATATACTCTCAGACGATACCCAAATATGCTCCTGTCACAACATCACAAAGGGAAAACTTGTGGAAGCCGTGAAGAATGGTTGCAGCAGTCTTGGAGACCTGAAAAAGTGCACTAAAGCGGGAACAGCTTGTGGAGGTTGCGAGCCTACGGTGAAAGTCATATTTGAGACAGAATTGAAAAGACTGGGCGGTAAGGTGTCCAACAACCTATGTGTCCATTTCGACTATTCAAGAGCAGACTTGTTCTCACTTATTATGGTCAAAAATTTCCGGTCTTTCAGAAGAGTCATGGAAGAGCTGGGAAGCGATCCTAGCTCGGCGGGATGCGAAATTTGCAAACCAACTATTGGCTCCATTCTCTCGACGTTATACAACCGCCACCTTTTGAAAAAGGAAGTTCATGGTCTGCAGGATACAAATGACCGGTATCTTGGTAACATACAGAGAAACGGCACTTTTTCGGTTGTTCCTCGAATGTCGGCCGGCGAGGTCACTCCAGAAAAGCTTGTCTCAATTGGCCAGATTGCTAAAAAGTATGGAGTTTACACCAAAATCACAGGAGCACAACGACTAGATTTGTTCGGCGTCAAGAAGAGCGACCTGCCAAAGATTTGGAAGGACCTCAACGAAGCTGGCTTTGAGAGCGGACAGGCTTACGGCAAGAGTCTGAGAAATGTCAAGTCCTGCGTTGGATCAACATGGTGCAGATACGGAATAGGAGACTCTGTTGGTTTGGCTGTCAGGCTGGAAGAACGGTACAAAGGCATACGTTCACCTCATAAGATGAAAGGAGGCGTGTCAGGGTGTGTTAGAGACTGCGCCGAGTTCCACTCAAAGGACTTCGGTCTATGTGCCGTGAAGGATGGATTCAATATATATGTTGGCGGAAACGGTGGAATGAAACCGGCACACGCGCAGCTCCTTGCTACCAATGTTCGTCCCGACGAGGTGATCCCTATTCTGGACAGATACCTGATGTTTTATATTACCACAGCAGATAGACTACAGCGGACAGCTCGATGGCTAGAAAGCCTTGACGGTGGAATCGAATACCTGAAGGACGTCATCATACATGATAAGTTGGGGATTTGCAAAGATTTGGAAGCCCAGATGCGCCAGCTTGTGGCCGGTTACTACGACGAGTGGGCCAAAGCTGTTTCTGAAGAGAAAGACAATCCAATCTTCAGGCAATTTGTGAACACACCAGAGAACCAGGATACTGTGGAGATAGTCAATGAAAGAGGCCAACCACGACCGGCTATGTGGCCCGAAAAAGCGGTCGACCAGAAGTTCAATAAAATCAAGTGGTCTTCTGTGAGCTGGCAGGAAGTCTGTCAGAGCTCTGATTTGCCTCTAGCAGAGGCAGGGTCCTCGGCAACAGTCTTGGTTGGAGACACTCAAATTTCTCTATTCAGAACGAACGAAAACGAGCTATATTGCTCTCAGAACATGTGCGGACATAAACGTGCGTTTGTACTAAACCAGGGACTTCTGTCGGAGGATGGTGACAAAAATTGCTACATATCGTGTCCAATGCATAAACGGAACTTTTATCTCAAGTCGGGGGCCTGCAAAAACGATGAAACCTTATCTATCGCGACGTTTGAGGTCAAGGAGGAGAATGGCAAGGTATATGCCAAACTTCCGCCAACAACGGAGCTGGATGAAATTTTGGGAACTTCAAAATGGAAGGTGACAAGTCAGGAGACAGAAGCTAAAAAAGCCCGCAAGATAACACCTGCGAGAAATTTGGTCGACAAACCAGTATCCTTCGATTGGTAATTTTTTATAGATAAAAGATAAAAAAAAAAGTTTAAAATTTAATGAGCTCACAGACCCTGAGGATCTGCACTTCATGTAAAGTATTGCGACGGAAGGACTGCGACGGCAAAACTCCTTCATGTTTGAACTGCATCAAAAGAAAGCGGGAATGCATCTATCAGGTTGACAGCGACAAACGAAGACGAAAGTACCATACAGACTATACCCAATATCTTGAGAAAAAAATACAGGTCCTTCAGGAATTTCTTTCCAAACATGATCCGCAGCTACATCTGGGCGAGCACAGCGAAGGGTCTGAAAGCTGGCTTTTTAAGCGGGTAGATGAGGAAGCAAAACTGGCCACCCTTCTTAACGAGATGGATGACTTGCATCTTGACAACTCCTCGGAGCCTGAGTTGCAATATGAGGATCTTGCGCCCTTGGCTGGAGTTTCAGGATTTAACGTGTACTATATTGATCCGATATTCAAAACAGAACTGCTTTCGCTATTCCAGAGGCACTGTTCTGAGGTCGTCTACGCTATCAGCCTCACGATACCCACCATCGAGATATGGGACTTTTCGGCCGACACTGTTCCGTCCCATCAGCTGCTTATGCTCGCAGTGTATGGGGTAGCTTGCTTATATTCCAAAAATCCACTTGCGTCCAAACTCAGCAAATTACTGATAAACCAGGCTGCGCAAATTGCACTATATGCGTCTAAATTCAACTTGGACGAATACCTGCTCCAGGGCCTTCTGCTTCTCTCATGCTACGAAATGGGCATGGGTAATGACTCGATGTCTTATCTATACATTTCTATGGCATGCTCTCTGACGCAGCATATGGGGCTCCATATATCGTACGACGAGCATTCCTCGGCGGCCAAGTTTGCACCACGAACCACTCCGTTCCAATCAGCGCTTCTGTGGTCTATCTGTACACAGGATAGAATTATCACGTCAAGGATTGGAGTGCCTTCTTGCATTCACTTCAAGCGAATTATCTCTCCTGTCTATGAGGTGCAACTCTCGCCGCGCGATCCCAGCTATCTGGAGGAGCTCTGTTTTTGCTACACGACTCGTGTGTGGTACATCATGGACAGGTTCACTGACCAAATCTGTTCTATACAAGGTGATCTGGGTGATACACAGGAACGAGGGAAACTGCTTAAAACCGCAGAGCTTGCGTTCCAGGCTTTGACGAATTCATTGCCTTTGCCGTTCAGAGCTGAAGAACACTCCAGAAGCTACCACATAATACTATTCCAGCTCAACTACGAAGCATGTGTGGTGCTGCTATACAGATTATTCATCGACGACCCCTCAAGCAGCAACAAATGCGTTGCCTCGGCCACAGAAATAAGCAGACTGACTCGAATTTTGCTTGAAACGGGCGCCATTGAACGGACGTCCTATCATTTTGGCTTCATTTGCTATTTGGCGGCAATGATACATCTTGTGCTGTACTCCGAGAAGCTACGTCCAGAACATCTACTCAACCTGGAAACCTGTGTCACCGCCTTGGACATTTCTGGACAACGATGGAAAAGGGGCGCACAGCAGCTGGAAATGCTTTATGAGTTTTCGCAAAGCCACGGAATCAATGTCCCAATTCTAGAAACGCTCTCTTCCAGATGGACGAAATTTTAATATTATTTCCGCTTGTTTAATTTTATTCTCCGTCTTATCTGCACGAAAATTAATATAGTAGCTACTAAAAACCATGTATCGTAAACTCTCTGAAGCTCTGCATTGTGATGGACTCTGTTGTCACTGAGGTAACTTACGGTCTAGAGATCAAGAAGATCAAGAAGATCACGGATCTGCCATTTCCGGTCAGACAGGACTCTCCTTTAACCGAGGTGCTTCCTGCAGATCTGAAGACCAAAGATAATTTCGTCGCTAGAGATCCCGACCTTCTTAGACTTACTGGTTCGCACCCATTCAACTCTGAGCCGCCACTGGGAAAGCTCTACAACTCTGGGTTTCTCACCCCAGTGAGTCTTCATTTTGTCAGGAACCATGGTCCTGTTCCTTACGTTCCTGATGAAAGTATTTTAGATTGGGAAGTTTCAATTGAAGGCATGGTCGAGACTCCATACAAAATCAAATTGTCGGAAATAATGGAACAGTTTGATATCTATACAACTCCCGTGACTATGGTCTGTGCTGGAAACAGGAGAAAGGAGCAGAACATGGTAAAAAAGGGGACCGGTTTCAACTGGGGAGCAGCTGGAACATCCACCTCTCTTTGGACAGGTTGCATGCTTGGAGATGTGATTGGCAAGGCCAGACCCTTGAAAAGAGCCAGATACATATGGATGGAAGGTGCAGACAACCCAGCAAACGGTGCATACGGTACCTGTGTTCGCTTAAACTGGGCTATGGACCCTGAACGATGCATTATGATGGCATACAAACAGAACGGCGAGTGGCTGCATCCTGACCATGGAAAGCCGCTCCGAGTAGTGATCCCTGGTGTCATTGGTGGACGATCAGTCAAATGGCTAAGAAAATTAGTGGTGAGCGACCGACCTTCTGAGAACTGGTACCACTATTTCGATAATCGTGTTCTGCCAACAATGGTGACTCCAGAAATGGCCAAAAGTGATGACAGGTGGTGGAAAGACGAGCGATATGCCATTTACGACCTGAACTTGCAAACAATCACTTGCAAGCCTGAAAACCAGCAGGTTATCAAGATTTCGGAAGACGAGTACGAAATTGCAGGTTTTGGCTACAATGGAGGTGGAATCAGAATAGGCCGAATTGAGATCAGTCTCGACAAGGGGAAGACCTGGAAACTGACCGAGATTGACTATCCAGAAGACAGATATAGGGAGGCTGGATATTTCAGGTTGTTTGGCGGACTTGTGAACGTTTGTGACAGAATGAGCTGCTTGTGCTGGTGCTTCTGGAAGCTCAAGGTTCCTATTTCTGAACTAGCGGCGTCAAAAGATATTCTCGTCCGTGGAATGGACGAGCGTATGGTGGTCCAGCCGCGCACAATGTACTGGAACGTAACGTCTATGCTGAACAATTGGTGGTATAGGGTTGCTATTATCCGTGAGGGTGACAATCTTCGATTTGAGCATCCGGTGGTGGCCAACAAGCCTGGCGGCTGGATGGACAGGGTCAAGGCAGAGGGTGGAGATATTCTGGACAGTAATTGGGGCGAAGTGGACGACACGGTCAAGCAGACAGAAAGAAAGCCGCGTGTTGATGAGGATATCGAAATGATGTGCAACCCAGACAAAATGGATGTCATTATCAGATACTCAGAGTTTGAGGCACACAAGGACAGCGAGACAGAGCCCTGGTTTGCTGTAAAGGGTCACGTTTTCGATGGCAGCTCGTATCTGGAAGACCATCCGGGAGGAGCACAATCGATCTTGATGGTGAGCGGCGAAGATGCCACCGACGACTTTATTGCTATTCACTCATCTTATGCCAAGAAGTTGCTTCCTCCCATGCACTTAGGAAGACTTGAAGATGTCAGCTCTGTTACCAAAGTAGAGTCTGTCGCGGAAAATGTCAAGCGAGACGTTTTGCTCGATCCGCGAAAATGGCACAAGATAACACTTGCGGAAAAAGAGATCATCTCTTCCGACTCGAGAATATTCAAATTCGACCTTGAGCATCCAGAACAGCTTATTGGTCTCCCAACGGGTAAACACTTGTTTCTGAGGCTTAAAGATTTATCTGGCAAGTATGTGATGAGAGCATACACCCCTAAATCAAACAATACTCTGCGAGGTCGTCTGGAAATACTGATAAAGATTTACTTTCCAAATAAGGAATACCCCAACGGCGGAATTATGACAAATCTTATCGAAAACCTGCAGGTGGGGAACCAAATCGAGGTGAAAGGACCTGTCGGCGAATTTGAGTATGTCAAGTGCGGGAAGTGCATTTTCAACAACAAGCCTTACCAGATGACGCATTTCGTAATGATTTCGGGAGGATCGGGCATCACCCCAACTTATCAGGTCTTGCAGGCTATTTTCAGCGATCCTTCCGATAGAACATGCGTGCAATTATTTTTCGGTAACAAAAAAGCCGACGACATCCTGCTTCGAGAAGAGCTTGACAACCTTCAGAAAAGACACCCGGAACAATTCAAAGTTGACTACTCGTTGTCGGATTTGCAGAATCTGCCGGAAAGCTGGAACGGGTTGACAGGCAGGCTAACGTTCAACATTCTGGACAACTACGTCCAGGGAAAAAACACGGGGGAGTATATGCTACTGGTATGTGGACCGCCGGGAATGAACGGTGTGGTCGAAAACTGGTGCAAAGCGCGCAACTTGGATAAACAGTATGTAGTGTACTTCTGACCTATGCAAAATCGAAATCAAAACTATCAAGAAACGTGGGTATATTGTAGATGTCAAGAACAGGCGCGTCCGTTGCAAAGTCTCTATCCATTTCTGCTTTCAGGTAGTTTTGGTAGACGTCGTTCTGGGCAATTACAGTCTCAGGGGGCGGCTGGCTTCCTTGTCTCAGCTCATCAAGAATGGGAACACTTGCATTCCACTGTTTAGCAAGACTGTCCAAAACTTTGATATCCTTGATTCCCCGGGTCCAGACATCTGCGTATTCGCTCAACGCGGTCACGAATTTTACAAAGCGAGAGTTCGCCGCTGCTTGGAACGATTCGTCCTTGTTGGCTAGAATAAACAAGTCAAACATGGCACATTGGAATAAAAGATAGCCAACAAAGTATGGAGCATTGTTAAAGCCGTGAAGCTCTGAATACCTTTCCGTAACTTTGGATGCTGATGTGCATAGCCTGATCATCAGCTCGATGATCGTTTGGGGGTTTTGTATAAGGTAGGACCTGTGCAACAGCAGGAGCACAACATAGTACGACAGGTGCAAAAGAAGAATCCGTTTGTCTGTTGTGTCGGGCTTCAGCATTATTGCATCAGGAAATGATTCATAAAGCGCACGGAGGTTAGAAAAACCCTGCTCAAGCAGCATTTGTCGATGGGAATTGTGCAGGTAGTCGGCACGGAAAGAGTAGATCTGTTGAGTGGAGCGGTCATGAAGATACCACAGCCTGGAGTGGAAAGAGAATGTCAGCTCGCTGATATAGAGGTCAAAGTTCTCCGGCGAGTTTTTCGGGCCGTAAAATGGAGTCATGATTCTGAAGTATTGAATTCTACAGCCGCGACCCAGCACAGTGGTGATGAATCTGTCCTGCAGAATGATTGACCAAAAGAGAGCGCTTTTAAGCGGCGACGTGGACACAACACTTGTTGGAATGCCCGATTTCAGGGGCCTCTCAGCAGCATGGAGACCAATGTATTGAGCCTGAGAAGCACACATGGCATCAAACAGCCAGGAATTAGAATCATGGGCCATCCCAAGCTCAAAACATGACAGTATAAGCAGTCCCTGTAAAGTGTTTTCGTTCAAAGCCTCTTTGCACGCAGTGATTGCCGCACTTTCAGCGCTTTCCAGAAATGCATGGGTGATGGAGGGTCTGACGTAAGCCGAGGCATAAGCAAAAATCGAGCACACCAGCAATTGGTGGTCCGGTTCAGCACACGGATACGGCCAGGATCGCACCACGCCCAATGTGAGCTGAGAGACATAGAAGAACTTGCCAAAGTTCTCCTCAAACACGTTAAAAAGGTGCTCTCTGAACTGGGGTGAGCAAAAATTTATATCCAGCAGCTCAGTTTCCGGATTCATAAACTTCTCGTCTCCGTCCTCAACCACCCCCTGCCGTCCCGAGAGCGGCCCATAGAACTCCGTTTTGTCTCCCTGCTGTCTCACTTTCCATGCGGTGGACACTATTTCTTCCAGCGCGTTGATGTTGGTGTACTTTTCTCCCATATGTCCCAGCTGAGCAAAGTCGTTATTCTGAGTCAACTGCGGCGGTTGCGGGAGGATCGAACTAAGATCAAAGTCCTTCAGGGACTCAGTTCTCTTGATTAAATTAGCAGCATGCAGCTCCAAAAGGTCGGCCTTGACCTCCAGATAGTCGATATGAGTCGAGTCGTACTTTTTCTTGCGTCGATCGTTATCGGAGCTGTATTCGCAGCCATCAGTGTTGTTATACTTGACACATGTTGCACATGGTTGTGCTCCGTCGCATTTTCTCTTTCGTCTTTTGCAAAACGAGCAGGCGTTGGAAAGTAGCTTTGGCGGCCTTCCAGGGACGGAACCGGACATGATAAAAAAATAGGGTGCGAAAATAATCTTTAGATATTATCTATTTCCTATCTAACCCGGGATCTTGATACTGGTCACTAAAAAATGCTCGCTCTGTTTTTGTTTTTTTCAACTGATCCAGGTCCAGAAACTGATGCCCGTTCCTAGTCCCTCAGCTCTACTGGCTGAGCCGGTGTCTGTAGGGACTCCTTTCCATTGCTATCCATTTTGGCAGCTGCAACTTCTTTTCCGCGAATCTTCCTTCAGCCAAGGCCATTGCACCTTAATCGTCGTTTCCTCGAAAAACTCGTCCGAGACACTGAGCGGCATGCCACATCGTGACGAAAGACAGAAAATCGTTCGCCCTGACCTGGTAGTGGTCTCTGAGAAAATCCAGACTGGCTTTCAAGATTCTTCTTCCTGTGTACTGGATGGAGTACCAATCATGAGCACTGTGCGGCCATAATGTGGTCGAAATCAGTACCTTCAGTCGATTTTCCACGCGCATCATAAAGAAGCACCGCGCCTCTCTCGCTCGAACAGGCCTTTCGATACGTTTCGAGCGCCAGCGACGGTTCCTGGGCACCGGAAGTCTCTACCAGTATTAGTTGTACTTCCGGACCTCGTCCAGAAATCTAATGGTATGCCTTTGCGAATAATGCTTCCTATCTACAGATACGACGGGAAGAAGACCACCATTCCGTCCGGAGTGATATTGATAGCAATGTGCCGTACCAAGCTGAGGTCATTTCCGGCTTCAAACTGCCACGAGTTGGCCACATGATCTGAGTCTTTGGTGACTACTATCAGCAGAAACGATTTTCTATCCAGAGTCACGTTATACGACTACTGGAGAATGGTCTCGAAGTGCAGCATTATCGGATACATTTTTAGAGGTGATGATGACTGAGGAGCAGCGCTCGAAGATCGGCTTCATTGCATGGACGCGTCAAGACGCGCAACTCGTAAAATCAAGTTTAGAACGGTGGCATTGTCTGTCTCCTACGGCTCAAGAATCAGCACAAACCCGGTGTCGCAGCGCTCGATATCATAGGCACTCCCTGCATTGCTCCGGTAGACGTGACAGTAGTGTTACGCAAGGATAGAATGGTCCAGAATATATACAGGTCAGCGGCGGGGCTCGAACTTGATGATCTCCTCGTAGATGGCCCACGCAATCGCCGCGCTGAAGGCTTTCCTGCCGATCCGGAGCGAGATACCGTCAAACAGACGCGTCCAGTGGCTGGCTACCAGAACGCGGCAGGTCTGCCAGAACGTCGGGCACGTGTGCGGGCTGAGCTGCATGTTGGTCTTGATCGTGTCGAACGGCGACGTGAGCGCGGTGGCCATGCACGCAGCCACCAGAGCAGAACACGAGTTGATGGCCGTCGACTTTGAGGTGGTGTAGAGGTGTGTGGGAGAGGCATCTGTGTCGGAGATGAGCAGCGGTGCCCAGCCCTTGCATTTTTGGTAGAATAGCACATACAGCCCGGCGTAGGGGCAGTCACGCAGACAAGTGGCGCCGTAGCCGCGGAAAAAGCCCGCGAGGCCCTCGTTTTTCAGGATCTGTTTCGTGGCGTCGGACAGAGAAGCGTACTGGTACAGACTGGACTCGAAGCGTACTTTTAGGATGGTGATGGGCATTGTGAGCAGGCCGACAAGGCCGCGGGTGACTGCGCCGGCGGCCAGGTCGAGCGACGACGAGAGTTTGGGCAATTTCGACGACGAGGGCAGGGTGTCTGTCTGGGGCTGCAGTTTGACGAGGCTGGTGCGCACGGCGTTCAGGGAGGTGAGGTAGAGGGCGGAGCCGATGGACGTTCGCAGCGCGCTGGGCAGCGTGCCGCGCCAGAGCTCGAGCGGCGAGCGGATCTGGGCAACGACGTTTCTGAAGGAGGTTTTGTCCTGCTGGATCCGCGTCTTCAGTAGGTCCAGCGGCTGCAAGCATACGGCCGACGTGAGGCCGCCCGTGAACCCGGCAATGAGGTGCGTGTAATTGGAGGGAGATCTTTCCATCAGACGATGGAAAATATTTAGTATTTTAATTACGGGCTGGAAAAATATTTAACGTCGATACCAAATACTCACTGCCTGGGGTCAGAAATCCCCGCCGAAGTCTCCGCCGCCAAAGTCGCCTCCTCCACCACCAAAATCGCCGTAGCCACCTCCGTTCTCGTAGATCACCGTGTCGGGGGTCATCATCTCGCCCAACAGCAGGCCTCCGAGCGCACCTGCTCCCAGGCCTCCGAGCATGCCCATGCCACCCAGCCCGCCAAACCGGCTTCTGGACGACTGGTTGTAGTTAGCAGGGTATTGCTGGGGGTATGGGGCGGGCTGTGCGTAAGGAGCTGGTTGACCGTATGGAGCGGGTTGACCGTAGGGAGCGGGCTGCGCGTATGGCTGTGTATATTGCGGATACTGTTGAGGGGCGCCAACGTGTGCGGTTTGGGGCTTTGCGGTGGACGGCAGGTTGATTCGGGACCCGCTGCCTGCGCTCTGTGCGGCTGGCTTGTCGACCACTTCTGAGTATGGAGGAGGGGCCTCCTCGCGGGGCTCGCCGAAACTCGTGCCCTTGGGGGCGTCCCATTGCGATTTGCCTGTTGATTCGTCGACATAAAACCATTCTGGTGTTAGACGCGAGTGGGCGGCTACTTACCATTGTATGTGTCGTCCCAAACGGCGACCCAGCCTTTGGGGACGACTGGCTTGTTGTTTTTGTTACCCATGGTGAAACGGTGGAAGAAGCCAAAATTTATAAATTGGAGATTATATAAGCGTGGCGCAAGGACATGACATAGTGTCACGAAAGGGTGGCAATCATTTATGTATAGGTTTTATCGTCCAGGGTAAAGATTATCAAACATATCGTATTATAGGTATCTAGATCATATTAGACAAAGTAGACAAGCACATCAGATGAAGTAAACAAGTGCCAGGAACCCGAAGAGCAGCGAAGTGGTTGCAGAACGGGCTGCGCCACCTTCGAAGGTGGCCACCGAGCTGGCAGTGGCGGAAGAGCCGGACGCACTGCTCGAGACCGTGCTGGTGTAGAGGGTAGATTGGCTGGCAGAGTGAGAAGTGTCACTGCCGGAAGCAGCAGACGAAGTTGTCTGCGCAGAGGACGAGCCGGAGTTGGTGCCGGAGCCTGAGCTGGAGCCTGAGCTGGAGCCTGAGCCGGAATCTGAGCCGGAATCTGAGCCGGAATCTGAGCCGGCGCCGGAGGCAAAGGCAGAATCTGAGCTGGAGCTGGAGCTGGAGTCCGAGCTAGAATCGGAGGAAGAATTAGAGTCTGAGCCAGAGTCAGTTGCAGTTCCCGTAGCAGAGCCAGTAGCAGAGCCAGCTGCAGAGTCAGTTGCAGAGCTGGAGCCACTGGCTGGTGTAGAGGTGTTCTGGGACTCGGAGGCCGTGGTTTGGGCGTTGGCCTGGCCGGCGACGGACGCGGTGTTTGATGCCGCGGTCAGTGGCTGAGAAGCGGTAGCCTGGGAACCTGCACCTGTGGTTTCTGGATCGGAGCTGCCAGAGCTGCCAGAGCTGCCACCGGAGCCAGAGCCAGAGCCAGAGCCAGAGCCAGCAGAGCTAGAAGTGTTTTCGGAGCCAGCAGAAGAGGGGTCGGAGCTGGAAGTAGAGGCAGTGTCAGAAGCTGTGCCTGGGTCTGCAATGCTCGAAGCTCCTGGGTCAGCAATGTTTGAAGCTCCTGGGTCAGCAATGTTTGAAGCTCCAGACGCTGCGGATCCAGACGTCTGGGACAAAGAGTCTGAGCCGGAGGTAGCAGGGTCTGTGGCAGAGCCAGTAGACGAGCCAGAGGCGTCCGAGGCTCCAGTTCCAGTTCCAGAGGCCGATGTGTCACTTGAGGTTCCTGTGGAGGATTCAGTGGAAGAGCTGGAGGAGCTGGAGGAACCAGAGGAGTCTGCTGATGCAGACGCTTCGTTGGAGTTGTTAGAGCTAGTGGAGCTGGCGGAGTCGGTGGAGGAATTTGTAGAACCGGCTGAGCTATCAGTAGAGCCAGCGGAAGGATCTGTGGAACCTGCAGATGACGTGCTCGATCCCGTGGAAGCAGTTCCTGTAGAGGAGCTAGAGAGTTCCGTAGATGAGCTAGAGAGTTCTGAAGATGAGCTAGAAAGTCCTGTAGACTCGCTCGCAGTGGACTCTCCCGTAGTGCCAGTTGAGGACCCTCCGGTGTTGGTGGAAGATCCTGCAGATTCGGAATCCGTGGAGCTTGGGTCGCTGGAGACTGTGGAGCTGGTGCCGGTGGAGGTAGTGGAGTCCGTAGATGTCTCAGACGAGGCTCCTGAAGTAGCTCCTGAAGTAGCTTCGGTAGCTCCCGTGGAAACTGCCGAAGAAGTGCCGCTCGAAGCTCCAGTTGTAGCTCCAGTTGTAGCTTCCACAGAGGTAGAATCAGTCGATGCTGTGGTAGCTTCGGTGGATGCTCCCGTTGAAGCTCCAGAAGCAGAGTCCGTTGAAGCTCCAGTTGTAGCCTCCGAGGACTGTGCCGTAGTCTCAGACTGCGCGCCAGAAGTCGTTGTGCACGTTGGGCAGACCGTGCTTGATTCCGAGCTGCTGCTTGTGCTCTCAGAGCTGGAAGTGCATGTAGGACAAACTGTGCTGGTGCACGTTGGGCAGACAGTAGAGGATGAAGTGCATGTAGGGCAGGCGGTTCCGCTCTCGGACGTGGCTGAGGAAGTCGAGCTTGCAGAGTCTGAGCCAGAGGCCTCTGAAGATGTGGCGTTTCCGCTTCCTGACGTGGCTGAGGTGGAGCTGGTGCTGGATGCAGTGTCTGTGGCCGTGGTTGTCGCACCAGACGAGGCTCCTGTTGAGACGGCAGACGAGCTGGAGCTCTCTGATTGTCCGGATGTGGATTCGGAAGTCGTGGAGGTGGATGCGGTACTGCTCTGGCTGCTGGTACCTGATCCAGTAGAGCTGGTTGCAACGGTAGCCGATTCTGGCGCCGGCGAGACCAAGTTGCCAGAGGAGGCGGTAATGGTGTTGAGGCTGGTACCGGAGGAAGAGGCAGTCGAAGTAGCGGCGGATGAGGTATTGAAGTAGCCAGAGAAGCTAGAGCTGAGGTTGGAGGCGGAGCTGGTGTCGGAGCTGGTGTCGGAGCTAGAGCTAGAGCTGGATGCGCTGCTTGAGCCCGTTAAAGTGCTTTGGCCTGAGGTTGCTGTTTGGTCAGAGCCGCTGGTAGCACTGGAAGAGGATGCGCCGGTGATTTGGTTAGAGCCGCTGGACGGATCAACGCTGGATGTGGCGCTGGTCTGGCCGGAAGCATAGTTAGATCCACTGGAAACAGTGTTGCTAGAGCCACCAGATCCGCTGGCGTTGCTGGATGAGCTGCCCCCTCCGCTAGACGTTGCCGTGAGGGAGTTGGAAGAGCCACTCGAGGCAGTGTTAGGGTCGTTGGATGTTGCACTGGAACCACTGGAGCCATTGGAAGCAGCACTAGATGTACTGACCCCAGTGACCTGGCTTGAAGCGCTGTTGGAAATGGTGCTGGAGGCAGCACTGGAGACGTTACTCGAGGTGCCGGTAGAAACACTGGAAGCTCCACTAGAAACTCCACTAGCTCCACTAGAGGCACTGCCAGAAGCGGTAGAGACAGCAACTGAACTAGAGCCGTTCGACACAGCACTGCTGGATGCACTGTTCTGGCTGGATGTTGCAGTTGATGCTCCGGCAGTTGAGCTAGAGGCGCTCGAACTGTATCCAGAAGTGCCTGTTGAAGCAGAGCTGGAGCCATAGGTGGATGCACCGCTCGTTGCAGTAATCTGGTTAGAGCCAGAAGCACTGCTGGAGACGGCAGACGACTGGCCATTAGCAGTGGTGGAAGCAGTGGAGCCAGACTGGCCAGCTGATTGAGAGGCGCCGGCCGTACTGGAGGCTCTGGCAGAAGCGTTGCCGGCACCTGAAGAGCTTTGGCCAGACGAGGAAGCAGAGTTGGAGCCAGACGATGCGGTGGTCTGGCTAGCGCTGGCACTGGAGGCACCACTTGTAGCACTGGAAGCACCGCTTTGGATAGCCCCGCTGTTGTTGTAGCTGGAGACGCCTGACGCCTGACTAGCGCTGGAAGCATTCGAGGCCGAGTTTTGGCTGGAGGCTCCGCTCTGAGCAGATGTGTAGCTAGAGGCACCGGTTGCAGAGCTGGAGCCAGAAGCTGTCGCAGTGGAGAAGCCACTAGAAGCACTGCTGGATGCACCAGAGCTGCCAGATGAGGTAGAGATGCCAGAAGATCCGCTTGAAGTAGCACTGACTTGGCTAGAGACTCCGGATGAGCTGGAAGCTCCACTGGATTGGGTATTGGAGACAACAGACGAAAGACCAAGGGTCTGGCTCGAGGCGCCAGATTGACTTTGGTTAGAGCTGGTTGCAGTAGTGCCGCTGGTGCTGGAAGAGCCGGAGGAGCCAGTCGAAGTGGAAGCGCCGCTCGATTGCCCAGTGCTAGCACTGGAAGAGCCAGATGCACTGCTGTAGCTGCCACTGGAAGCACCGCCAGAGGTGGTGGCTGCTTGGCTAGAAGCATTGGATGCGCTGTTTTGGCTGCCGTAGCTGGAAGCACTGGATGTGCCTGTGGTAGAAGCGCCACTTGAGGCCCCCGTAGAGCTGGAAACGTATGAGCTGGTGTTCAGGACACTGGAACCACTGGAACCATTCGTTGCACTGGCTGCACTAGAAGCAGAGCTCTGGCCAGAAGATGGACTGCTCTGGCTAGAGACTCCGCCGGAAGCACTGGAGCTTCCGTAAGACGAGGATCCAGCACTAGCCGATGAAGCGGAGACTCTGCTGGATAGAGAGCCGGAGCTTCCAGAAGCACCACTGGATGGTACAGTAGCGCTTGCGCTCGAAGCATCGTAGCTAGATGCTCCGCTAGATGCACTGGTTGCTCCACTGGCAGAAGTGCTGCCTGCAGAGCCAGACGAAGTGGAAGCTGAGGATCCATTGGAACCAGTCGAGCTAGCCTGGCTTGAGGTCACCGGGACAGAGCTGTAGCTAGCAGAGCTGGAAAGTCCTGAACTCAACTGAGAGGAGCCAGACGAAGAGCCGGAACTCTGTGAGCTGGAGCCAGAAGACGTTCCGCTGCTGGCTGCACTGCTGGCCGATGCACTGGATCCTTGGTTGGAGGCACTGGTAGACTGGCTTGAGGCGGACGATGCGTTAGAAGCGGCGCTGCTTGCGGTGGCAGAGGCAGAGCTGGCAGAGCTCGAGCCATTACTTGAGCCAGAGCTGGAACCAGAGGTAGCAGAGCTAGAGCTCGAGCCATAACTTGAACTAGAGCTGGATGAGCTTGAACCAGAGCCAGCAGAGCTTGATCCAGAGCTGGCAGAGCTAGAAGAACTGGAACCTGAGCCAGTAGAGCTTGATCCATAACTTGAATTAGAGGTGGCGGCGCTTGATGCATAAGCTGAGCTCGAGCTAGCAGATATGGAAGAGTTGGAACCAGAGGTTGCAGCGCTAGAGCCATAACTTGAGCCAGAGCTAGCACGGCTAGAAGAGCCAGATCCATTACTTGATGCAGAGCTGGCAGTGGTGGCAGAGTTTGAGGCATTACCTGAAGCAGAGCTAGCAGAGCTGGATCCGTTTGAAGCCTGGTTGGATGCCGAGCTTTGGCTTGAAGCAGACCCGGAGATTGTTGTCTGGCCGGAAGTCTGTCTGGACGAAGAAGAATAATAGCTCGAAGCGGCAGTCGACGATGCAGACCTCGTAGTTGACGCCGAGAGGCTACTCAAGGTGGAACTGGATCCCGTAGAGGCCGATGACGAGTTGCTGTAGCTGGTGTAAGAGGTGGCAGAGCTGGCAGAAGAAGATGGGTTAACTCCGTAGCCAGAGGAATAATTGACCGACGAAAGCGTCGAACCTGATTGCGTCGAGCTGGTAGACTCGTCGGAGGAGGAGACAGACGAGGCAAGCGTCGACGAGCCGGAAACAGTGGACGACGCAGAATCGGTGCCAGTAGAATCTGAGTCGGTTCCAGTAGAACTTGAGTCGTCTGACACAGGCACACAGACAGAGTACCACTCGCTTTGGTACTCACAGTAGTAGTCGTCGCTGCAACATTCGGTTGGGCCAACCCAGAGAATACCTCCACACTGGATGCCGTCAAGACTGCACCACCAGTCTGCGGCAGAGGCCGACATTGCTAGAAGCAGAGCCGAAAACACAAGGTGGAAAAGCATCTGAGTATCTAGGAATTTGCAAAGTTGGAATGGTGCTGCAGAGGTGGGAGAAAATGGAGCCTTTTTATTCACCCTCCAAGATAGACATCGGAGAGTGCGGCTCGCTCAATGCTGCTGGAAACGAGCAGGTCTTGGGGCTTGTCGAGCTTGAGAGACAAGCAAAATGTTGGCACCCAAAGGATGCGTTTGCAGGAAGTATAGAAAAACGCCAAACGCATCTCCCCATGCATGATTTTTTTTCATTGTCAAGCTGCATTTCTGTCCCGTTTCCGCAAACGCTAGCTAGCCGAGACCCTAATCAAACAAATGATCTGCGTCCAGCACAAAAACGGAAACATCCCAGATTTCTGGCTGTATGTAACACATCTTCAAGCCTCGGCGCGCTTGCGAGCCCACAATCCGGGCTTCACCAACCAGTGTAGTGCTTGCTTCACCCTTGAACCAAAAGCAATTCTATTTCCAGAATAAGCGTGGGGGGGTCAGCTAAAAATTTTCTATTCTTGTTGCCAGGACCGGCATGATATGTTTTCAACAACGCAAGCCCAGCAATGAGATGGATTCGACCACAGAAACCAGTCAATTGACACAATTCCAATACCAGTCACTGTGCCATCTGCAACCTCCTACACATGTCAAGACGGCGTCCGGTATGGTCTTTGGGCTCTCATGCAGCGAACGTTGTCGAAATCAAATCCATAAGTTTGCCGCCTACTACAGAGAATACGAGATAGCCGATCGCGAGGCTGAAACCGGTGGGAATACGCGGGATTTTGTTCTTTGGAGTTCGCCCGCATGAACATGCATATCCTCGCGCATGGTCTAGCGTGCACCGAAACTGTATGGAAACCAGTCAGATTCGAGCACTGCGCAGCCTGCATACAAACTTTTCCACGAGTCACTAAGCACCAATCAGCTGAAATTCTGCAAATTTCAATTACCCTTCATATGTATGTGTAGTCTGTAAATGCCACGAATTGGGGCTTCTCAGCCCGATTATCCTCTAGAGCCAAGCGTAACCTTGGCCCAGTCCACGCCCGGGTCATCGCCAATTATCTTACTGCTCAGCCGTGTTGGGAAATACTTGCGTCCTACAATAGCAGCTCTATGCAAGTCACAATCAAGCAGACTTTCTCTGTGGGCTTGTTTCATTTCGTCGTCCACATCGTAATTGAAATTCGTGGCGCCCTCGCTGCGCACGCTCACTGCAAGATGCTCAGCTTCGCCTGTCCAGGTCATCCGGCGTAATGTGCCCAGAATCTGCGCAAAAGTTTCGTTCGACCGAGTAGGGCTCGGGTAACGGAAATTGTAGTATGCAAAAATTCCATGGTGTGTTTCGTACGTCCCGTCTCCGCCGTAAGCCCTTCCCTTTTTCGCGGGCCTCGCCGTGCAGATGTCTGAACGTGCTTAGCTGGGCCAGTATTTGCAGAATTGGGCCGTACTCGCTGGCGTACGACGATCCCGATGCCACTGCTGATGCAAAGCTCACCTGAACAGCGGTCTTAACTAGTCTGTCTTGCGCAGCTTGCTGCATCTCCATCTCGTACGCGCTCGCTGCGTGCCCCAATCGGAATCGCTCGCCGTATCGGGCAACCAGCTTTGCTGTGTCCACACATTTGCGCTATCGGTCGTGACTGTATTCTTGAAATTCGAGGCCGAAAGCAAAATGCTTGGAATTTGTTACAGTGCAGCAGATTCTTCTTTTAGCCGCTTCTGCTCGTCCGAAGCCCGCAGGTCGTTCAGACCCGGCACCTGCTCAATTCCTCCCAACATCTGCGCCGCTGAGCACCCGCGGGGCGTAGCTGTGGCCGCTGCTGACGATTGCGCTGATGCTGTCGCTTGTCAAGGTCTTCACCAGCACGCTCAGCTTGTCGTGGTTGTCGAACTGTCTTTTAGAGCAGCAAAAAACACAGATCGAGCAGCCGTTCAGAGTTCCAGTTCACAGCCACGTCGTCAGGCAAACTGTGCAAACACACCGTCCACGAGATCCTGCCCGTGCACAGCTTATTCTCGTTCTCGAGCAGCAACATGGATTTGTTTCTCGCGCAAAAGTTCGTCAGAGTGTCGCTGTCTCTGTGAATCGGCCATCGACAGCAACGGCAAGCACTAGTGGTCTTCCTGTCTGCTCTGGTTCTCCAGGAGCTTTAGTACACGCTTGCACGCGCTTGTACAGCACCTGCCTGCCGTTGTCGCCCAAGGTTTCGTTCTTGTTCCACCGCTGCTGCTTCTGGCGAAAAACTGTTTTCCAGCCCTTCGTCCGGAGACACCGTATAGTGGAAGTAGGGAGCGTCCAGAATGTACTTGTCGGTGCTCTCTGTGAGCAGGGCGTTGCCGCGGGAAGCGCACTCCTCTCTAGGCCTCAGTTGACGCGCCAGTGGATCATAGCGTCGCATTTTGCGCCCGCAGATCCGGCCCTCTTGGGCCTCTGCACAGCATCTCTCACAGTCGCAGTAGGCTATTCGGCAGTCTCGACCAGCTTCTGGCACAGCAGCAACGAGTGGCCCTGAATCAGCAGGTTCGACACAGCCGTACCAAGGTCTGCATGTCGTTGTCGGCCACAGTATCTGGCCAACGAGCCCTTGTGCTGTCTTGCCAGCGGCAAAAGCGGTTCACGGGGCCCAAGGCGTGCAACCCTACGTTGCGCCGTTGGCCAGATGGTACTATCTGGCGTGGGAACCGAGCAGATCCTCATACACCTGGTTCGTCACCTTGGCCTGGGCCCCGCTGGAGTTGCTGAGCGAGGGGTAGATCGTCTCCTGGAACTTGATCCAGCATCAGTTCCCAAAATCCAGCATCTGGCCCTTCATCTTGTTTTTCAGCCCTTAAACACGGCTGACCGGCCCGGTCCTTGGTCCTCTCGTGCTCCAGCCGCTAGTTCTCCTGGTAGAAGTCGTTGTCGCATAACGGCAGGTTCAGCCTCGCACCCAAGGATATGTCCATCAGATTGAAGAAACCTGTCGGACTGGTGGTGGCAAACGGGAAAAACGTGTAGTCGTCGCGGTCATGGCGTCCATGAAGCTGGCGAGCGATCTGTAGAGCATCTTGCAGATAGGGTCGCGCACGGGGTATTTCTTGAACGCGCACAGCGTGGCGTGTGGTAGCCCCGCGCTCGCAACTAGACTTGTCTTTCATGCCATGCGGGAAACGTTTTTTGTGTCCTGGGGGTTGCACAGAGTTAGTCCCCGCGTGCTACAGGAAAAATCGACGCAGCCAAAAAAAAAAAAAATTAGTAGAAAATAAAATAAATTGATAAGTGGTATCTATTTATTTTCAAGGCTGTTCTCCTCGATAAACCATGTACTTGCCGTTGCCGCAATAGCCGTCATCACGATATAAATGAAGACAGCATGACAAGATGAGTCGTAGGCAGATATGACTGCATTGCGGGCAAATTTGGGACACTTTGTGTGGGCGTAAATGGTGCTGTGCAGTGCCTTATCTATAATCTGAGCGAGTTTTTCGGGAGAGTTGAACTCTGGAGGCACGTTGCTGAGATTGGAAAAATTGGCGCGCAAGTTCCGCGATAAGAACCCCTGCAGTATCGCTGAGGCAATCGACACGCCAATCGTTGATCCCGTAGATCTAAATCCGTACTGGATCGAGGTCACGAGAGCCTGCTCTTTGGTAGTGACAGAGGAGATCATGGCAATCAGGTCGACTGTGATTACGGCACCAGTACCTAATCTTGACGGAATCAGCACTGCGTACTCAAAAAACGAGCTGCTCTCCGGTTTGAGTATGTACACAAGCATGCTTCCCAGAATTGCAAGAAGTCCGTAAATGTGCATCGCGACTCTGTATTTTCCAGTTTTTTTAATTCTGTAACCGGCATATAGCGACCCCACTGAGATGGCCACTGCAGCTGGAAGCAGACGTATTCCGCTCTCCATGGACGACATATTTTTCACTGAAAGCCAGTAGAATGGCACATAATAGATGATGGAAAACACGTTCATTGAAGTGAACCAGCAGTTCAATGAGGAGCTAAGGACGGTCTTGTTGGCCAGTAGCTGGACGGGAATGACAGGCTCGGCGGCCACCTTCAGCTCATAGAAGTAGAACAGTGTCATGAAAATGGTACCAGAGGCCAGCAGAGCCTTGAATTCCAGACTTGAATAGGCAAACTCCTTGCCCCCTGAAGAGGCAGCGTACATTAAAAGCAACAATGACGCCACTAGCAGTAAGGAACCGGCAAAGTCCATCGTCTTCACCTTTTTCCAAACGCCATGGCCCTCCAGTCCACGACCTGGCGAGCCCTTCGGTAGCTCCAAAAAGAAGAGAACGAGCACGGCAGAGAGGATGCAGATAGGCACTTGGACCAAAAATGCTGACCTCCAGCCAAAGTAGTGGTGGAAAAATCCCGCAACGACTCCGCCACTCGCTGTTCCAAAGCCAAACGCTATATTCATATAGCCCTGGTACAACCCTCTTTGGCGAGTAGGGATCACGTCTGATAACGTGATTGTGGACAATGTGTTGAAACCACCACCTCCGATACCGGTGATGAATCTTCCAAAGACGAGAACCCAGAAGGAGCTTGTGATTCCACAGAGCAGACACCCAAAACCAAACAGCACAGTACAGATGATGGTGATGCTTCTACGGCCAAAGATGTCGGAAATCTTTCCAAATAGTGGCTGGAAGGCAGCGCAGGCCAGCAAATAGCTCGTTGCGAGCCACGAGGAGTTGGTGAGCTCGTTCAAGTCGCTGGATATCACACTCAATAAAGTCGCCACAATGGTGGCGTCCAATGAGGACAGGAACACATTGACAAAAAGGCAGCACAAAATAATTCTAAGATGTGAGGGTGATATTCCGCCAGCCGGTTTTTGAAGCTCTACGGCGCCGTATTGCCCAAAAGACGCCAGGGACGACTCATCTGTGTTGTCGCCTTCAATATCTTTCGCCAACTCGCGAGCCACAATGGCGGCAGACCCTCCCGAAGGATCTTGTAAAAGCGGTGTTTCTTCCAGCATTGAAAAATAATAGATAGCGAGACTTTTTCGTTTTAATCATGAAAAAAAAATATCGCAGCTTCGGCGATCAATTTCCATCTTTAATTAATTATCCGATCTTAAAAATTCTGCTATATATTATATTTCACAATCGACTTGTATCCGCGAACAGCCTCATACAAATCTGTAGGAAGGATATACTCTTCGGCACTATGGGCTACAAGAATGGAGCCTGGACCGTACAAATACCGCTTGGCACTCTTGCCCTTGAAGTAAGGGATATCGGTAGCGTAGGAACATGCCACCAATTCAAAGCCCGGAACGTCGTGGTCCAGATATTGGGGTTCCAGCATTTGAACTATCGAGTAGGTTGAGTGAGGAGTGGAAAAAATCCTGCTGACAGTCTGATTAACCAGCCCAATGTCCTCTGCCACCCTTATGTAGATTTCTGCCTTTGCAGATGGGGCAAGCAGATTCGCCGCCAACCCGCCATGAAAAGTGCCGATGTTAACGGAGGTTGGTCCCAGAAGACTGGAATAAGGAAACTCTTGTTGCAGAAGGTGCCCAATCCTCTCCAGCAGGTGTTCAACAGCACTGAAACCCTGTTCAGGGTATCCTGAGTGACACGAGACGCCCACGGCATTAACATCAAAACGGAAGTTTCCCTTGTGTCCAACACTGAGCTTGTTGTCTGTCGGTTCACCAACAATAACTGCGTTTGACCAGGAAGCATTGAGGCCGTTAACGGCAGTGAGAGAGCCTACCCCGTTGTATTCTTCACCCACAACGAACAAAAGAGCCAAGTCTCCTTCACGGATGATTTGCTCGTCCCAAAGCTCCAGAAACGCATACACCTGGGACGCAACGCTCCCTTTGGCATCGCAGGCTCCACGCACATGGATTTCGTCTCCTTCCAGATGGTACGGTATTTTCCCAGCAGGATTAGTGTCTATATGAGAGGTGAGCAGCACCTTAGTGTTCCTTTGCTCTCCCAAATAGGCATAAACGTTTTCGCGTCCCTCTTCGACGAGCTGCAACTCAACGGTCAGTCCCTGGGCAGATAGATAATCAGCCAGATAGTGCACCACGTCGTACTCGTTCCCAACCTCGGAGTCAATCTGTGTAATCTCCTTGTGGAACTCAATCAGCGACCTTGCTTTCAATGGGACTTGTATGGCAACTGCAGTCAGCACGCACAAAAAGAAGGCCCAAAACATAGCTGGCTTACTTTTTCATCTCGCCGGATTTTATTTACCGGTACTCTATCTAAAATATTTCCATTTTCATTTCATCATATGGAAAGAAGACGAGCTACGGTGACGTGTCTAAAATGTCGATCAAAGAAGATCAAGTGCGACGTCAGCGTCTCACACCCTTGCTCCTCGTGCAAGAAGCACGGCTTTGAGTGCATCAGATTCGAAAAAGACAGACGCAAGGAGCGACACGATAGTAAATATATTGAGTCGCTCGAAGAGCAGGTCAAGCTGCAGAAGGATGTCTTTACGCAACTTCAAAGGCACTGTACAGAAATTACACGGCTCATCTCTGAGAAAACAGTAACTCCAAGCACTGTTCCCAATCTGACAGAAGACAAGGAAGATAGAAATGCGCTTTATCCTTGGACAGAGTCGTTTCCGCAGTACAAAAACCAGTCGCTCGCCGTCTACGGACCCACAAGTATATTTGATAGCGTTTCGATCCCAAACTCTGAAATGGACGAGGTCGATCAGCTGAAGCACCTTAATTCCAACTCTGAAATACTAGAGTGCATCAAGCTGTTTTTCCGGTGGCTTTATCCCGATATGCATTATTTTCTTTATCGGGAGGCCTTTCTTTTGGACTTTTTTCATCCAAAGATTGACTTCTCATATTGTTCGAAGGAGCTAGTCTTTGCAATATGTTCCATCGGCTCGCTGCTTTCTGAAAATGAGCAAATCAGGCAAAAATCAAAGACCTTCTACGATAGAGCACGCCAGAGTCTATTAAATAAATTTGATCATCCGACAATCACTTCTTTGCAAAGCTTTCTGATTTTGGGTTTGTACGACATCTATAACGGACGCAATAACGGAGGCTGGATGCTCACAGGAACTGGATTACGTATGGGTTTCAATCTTGGTTTCCAGCTAAGTCCAAAAAGCTACCATCCAGAAGCCAACGAAGAAGCCAACGAAACAAATATCGGGATCCGCAGCCGTGTTCTCTGGGGCTCTTATGTGGTGGATCATTTTATAAGTCTTATCCTAGGCCGTCCCAGTGTCCTCAAGATGAGCCAGGCTACAATGGAAGAGTCCAACACCATGCCAGACCTGTACTGGATCAAAGAATTCACATATACCGATCCGCAAAAGGCCGGTGACACACCAAAACGCATTGACATAGCCAACCCTCTGAAAGCAACAATCGGTCTCATAAATATCACAGAAGGCATGTTGCAGGATATATTCACGGGCAGCGGCTTAAAAGAGCAGTCGTTTCAGCTGTCAGATAAATTGGCACTTCTTGAAAAATATAATCGACAGCTAGTCCAATGGAAGGAGTGTCTGCCATCAGAAATCAGCTGGAAGACTGAGCAGTTGCTTGAAGAGGGTACAGATCCCACCAAAATGGGACTCAAATATTATTACTATATTGTTGTTCTGTGTCTCAACAGACCCTTTATCAGCCATCGAGAAAAATGTCCACAATCAGTTTCCATCTGCAAATCCGCCATTGATGATCTCTACATGGCGGCGATGACATTTACAGGGTTGCACGGCTACAGTCGGTGCTCGATCCTGATTATTTATTCTTGTATCTTATCGGTTTCTGTTATCCTGCTATCATCTGGGAAAAACGTTGCAAAATACCTGGAAGAGAATCCTGGGGCCGGAGCACAATTTTTTGACTTCATGGACGTTCTGTGCAAATCCGGCAAGACCTGGAAGCTGGCAGAGAAATCCTACACCATGATTCGCTCGCGACTGCTTAATGATTACAGCTACGACTACGATCTCGGCTATGCGGCGCATGTCCAGGCCTCGCTTCCTCAACCAACGCCTATGAGCCAAACTCCCCGTGGTCCAAACCCGCTGGACAGCACCTTTGGTGGTCCGCCACTATATATGACCTCTGAAGATATTGATATTTGGGGCTCACTGTTTCCCGACTACGATCTCGAGGGATCGTTGGACCCGCTTATCAAAAAATAATTTCGGATTTTGATAGCCGTTGCATGAAATATAAAAAGCTGTATTTGGCGTAAGTTGTCAGCAATGACCGTCGGAAGCAAAATTGAACCCTCTGACTTCTGGGAAAAGGCCGACAGCTGCCTTCTCAAATATGGAGGCGAATTTGTGAGAGAAATCATAGTTGGCTCAAAAGGCCTGTATGTGTACACAAATAAAGGTAGAAAAATCCTCGATTTTACCTCCGGCCAAATGTCGTGCTTAATTGGTCATTGCAATAGCGAGATCACAGAGGTTATCACATACTACGCCAGAAATCTAGATCACATCTTCTCCGGCATGCTATCTCCACCGGTTGTGGATCTTGCTTCCAAACTGGTCTCCCTGACTCCTGAAGGACTCGACAAGGCCATATTTCTGAGCACCGGAGCAGAGTCCAACGAGTGCGCCATCAAGCTGGCCAAAACATTCACCCAGAGATTTGAAATTGTCGGTCTTTCGCTATCTTGGCATGGTATGACCGGAAATGCTGGGTCCTGCACCTACCAGTCGGGAAGAATCGGCCATGGCCCAACTGTGCCAGGCCAGCTGATACTGCCGGCTCCAAATGAGTACCGCTCAATTTTCAGACATCCAGACGGGTCCTACGATTGGAAGACAGAATTGCTTTATGGGTGGTCTCTTGTTGATGCCGCCTCTGTTGGATCTCTTGCTGCGGTGATTTTAGAGCCTGTGCTCTCGTCTGGCGGAATGCTCGTCCTTCCGGATGGCTACCTTAAGGAAATGAAACTACAGTGCGAGAAGCGTGGAATGCTGCTTATTGTTGATGAGGCACAGACAGCCATTGGCCGTGCAGGATCCATGTTTTCGTGCATTGATTCCGGTGTTGTCCCAGACATTTTGACCTTGAGTAAAACTCTTGGAAACGGGCTTCCTTTGTCTGCCGTGATGACTTCCAACGAGATAGCCAAGGTGACTGAGGAACGGGGATTTCTATTCTACACCACCCACGTCAATGACCCAATTCCTGCTGCCGTTGGGTCAAAGGTGTTGGACATTGTGCTGAGAGAGAATATGGTGCGAAACTCCGTTGAACGCGGTGAGCAGTTCAGAAACGGACTACGAGACCTGGCAAAAACGTTTCCGTGGATTGGGGACGTCAGAGGCAAGGGCCTGATGTGCGGGATGGAGCTGGTGAAAGACCGCAAATCAAAGGAGCCTTATCCCGAGCTTGCATCGAAGTTAGCAACTAAAATGATGGAACTTGGGCTTTCCGCTAACTTGATTGCAGTCAAGTCTTTTGGCACCACGTTCAGAATGGCGCCTCCTATTTCCATCTCGGAAAAAGAGATGGATGAAGGGCTGGCAATAATAAAAAATGCATTTACGGCTGTTGTGACCGAAGGTTTATAGTTCTATCAATCGTCGATTTCATCAACGCTCTGGATATACTCAAAGTAAAACACAATGATCTGGAGATGGCTGTCGAATTTTATCCACTCGTTCACTCCATGGGCAGAGGTCTCGACACTGGTATACTCTCCAGGCCTATACCGATAAATGTGGTCAGAAAGGTTCCAATAGTATTTTGTGTCTGTGTTGCCGGGAGCAATGCCAGGGGACACGATTATGGGGTTGTGGGCATCCGGACCTTGGTATATCTCTGGCCAGACAAGCTCCTCATACACATGTTTGATGTTTCCGGCAAAAAGTTTCCAGTGGTTGTCGTTTATGGGGGTTAACGGCGCAACATCGAAAAACTCGTCGGTGTGGACCAGAAAGTCACCTTGAGGAGTTGGGGGTAATATCTCAACAGCTGATTCGTTCTTCAGTTGGTAGCTCAGGCCAAGATCGTATCTTTGAGCAACGTCTTTCACGTTCCCAAGATACTTTCTCAGTGCTGAGTAGATGGTCTCCTCAATCGCGACTCGAGAGTTGATGGTCAGCTGAACAAATTCCGGCAACGCGTTAGACTTTGATCCTCCGTGAATCACGTCAAGTGCTTGCGATGTTTTGATGTAGTACTTCAGCCAACGACTTGACTCCATGTACTCTCTGACACGTCTATTTGCCAAATAGCTAGTTTGGCTGCTGAGGATATTTTTCTTCAGTTCTTTGTCAATGGTGGCAGAGTTTTCAGCTAGACAAACGTACTGGTGGTATGTGGGGTTTTGTGGGGTGAAATAGGATGGAAATGGATCATTTTCAATCTGCACTATGAGATCTGCCATAATGCCCAATGAGGTGTGATCAGGCGGCACAGAAGAGTGGCCACCGGGGGTCTTGAGGTCAATCCACAGATTCAAAAAGCCTTTCTCTCCTGTGCCAGGAACAGCCATGGTGGTCCCATCCAGAGTGGTCAGAGAGACACCTCCCTCGTCGCAAATCGCGTACATGGACTTGGAACCAAATTTTTCTTCCAGCCACCCAGCATTCCTGTTACGCACACCGCTCACTTCCTCGTCAAAACCAAACGAAAAGATAACAGTACGACGAGGAATAAACCCGGTCTTCATAAGCTCCTCGGCAGCCTCGAAGTAGCCAATAACCAGGTTTTTACAGTCGGATGATCCTCTGCCAAAAAGATGAGTCCCATTGTAATGTGCATCGAAAGGTGGATACGTCCATAATGGAAGCGTCGACTCCGGCACTGGGCTGGTGTCTTGGTGTCCCATCAAGAGAAGGGGTTTCAGGGTGCTATTTGTGCCTCTCCAAATGTAAACGAGTCCATGATGGTTGACTTTATGAAGTTCTGTGTTCTGGTAGAATAAGGGAAAGGTCGACTTCAAGTAGCTTTCAAAAATATCGAACTTTGCCCAGTATTCAGGGTCATCCTCTACAGTACTCGGGTCGTCGTCGTGGGTTTCTGTTCTAATGCGGATGGCGTTTTGTAGTTTGACAAGAGACTGGCTGCGGAACTCAGGGTCATGCAAAATGGTGTCTATGACCGGAGTGTTGGCGAGATAGGTCGAAGGTCTATGGGGTTTGGCCATGGGACATTGAGGCACGTAATCTACTGGTTTGCTCGATGAATGTAGTGTGAAAAATAGAAGGCCACCCACAAGGCACGAGGCCCACAAACTGACATAGGCCTGGAAATTCATTACTTCTTTCGTTGAAACTGTTCGTATTTATTGCAATTATATCGGATATCTAGAACCGAAAAAATAGTACCCAATTCGGCAATCCGAAAGATAAGCTAGAGGGTGTATCTGAAAAAAATATTCTCCTTGTCGGTCAGGTCCGAGAATTCGATATTCTCTGGAGCCAGCTCTGGTCGTGCTTCCTCCATGCGGTCGCGCCTGTTGTTTTCTCTTCTGCAAAGAAGATAGACTCCCAAAATACACAAGGACGCGACGGCCAGGCACACAACTATAGCGATCTTTGCTGGCACGTAGTGGGGTGCATCTGAAGCGCGATAAGTCTGGGGACCGATAAGATTGCCAACACAGTACCCGATCAGGTAGACTCCGGTGACTGTGATTTTTTTGGTGTGGCCAGGCGTGTTGCTTGCAAAGTAAGAGAAACATCCAATGGGTCCAATCTGCATCAAGTTCAGCAGATAGTAGCCGGCCAGCTTTGCGTGCGTTGTCTTACAGAAAGCAAGCATACAAGCAAAGGGAAGGCAAACCACAATAACTATGCTTGTGGTCAGCAGCCGTGGCCAATTGTATCTCTGGATCAGATACGCAATGATAGGAAGTCCAACAAATTCCACCACACCCTGGGGACTTCCATAGAGCAAGGCGTCCGTAGCAGAGTATCCAAGGTCGGAGTTCAGCAAGATGGACCCAAAAGAGCTGATTCCACCGTTGGGAATGTTGAACGACACGGCGTAGAGAAAGAAAAGCCAGGTTTTCGCGTCAAGCAGAGCCTCGATGCACTGGTATCTTTTGAATTTTTTGTTTCCAAAGCCTTGAAAGTTCTCCCTCAGTCTCTCCACCACCAGTAATTTCTCGTTCTTGGACAAGAACCAAGCTTCTCCAGGAGTATCTGGGATATGAAAGAAGACAATAATTCCAGTTGTGAGCGAAATAAGCCCGACAGCGATGAAGAGGATCTTCCAAGGCTCGATCGAAAACTGGTCTGCTCGGATGGCTATACCGTAGGACATCAGCGACCCAAAGAAGACACCAAATCCAGCGGTACTGAGCCAAAAGGACACCCTCAAAAACGCCTCTTTTTTCCGGTAGTACTGAGACGTCAGAATAGTGGTGAACACGGAGGCAGATGCTTCCGAGCAGCCCAGAAGTGTTCTCAGAAATATGAACGCTGCGTAGCTGTGATTCGAAGCTTGCAGGCAAATGATTATTGCCCACGAAAACATGTATAGACTGAACGTTTTCGAGAGCGGAAACCGCTGGAGAGTGTAACCAGCAAACGGCTGGAAACATAAGTATCCCAGATAGAATGCCGACGAGGTCCAGGCGTACTGGTTGCCTACCATGCCCATGTCGGTCTTGATCCCCATGACTGCAGCGTAACCATTGCAGGCCTTGTCAATGTAGAACAACGAGTACAGGAAGGAGACCAGGGGCATCAGAAATAAGTCGAGTTTCCGAAGAAGAGCATTGTTGGTTTTTTTGTCGAGAGTCACCTCCTTGGACTCTTTAGCCAGCGCCATGGCCTGATCCACGTCCGCCCACTCGCGGTTGTCCACACTGCTCACCTCGTCCAGGTTGTGTGTAGCTGTCTCTTTCTCGGACATTAGAAATTAGCGAAAGTTTGCACTCCGTGCTTGGTTTAAATATTTGATCTGCATTAGTCTCAAAGAAATTCTTATCTCGGAAGTTGATAACCGGAGATCTCGCGAAAAACTAATAAGTGGTGCAATTTTTGAAGCCTTATCTAAATACTTATTGAGACGTGTTTGCGGCCTCCACGATGTTGGAGAGTGTTCCCCCGGCCAGTGGTGCTCTTGGCAAGTCGTGCCCGGTCCTCATCACAACTTTTTCTCTCTCTTTCGGGTCGCCGTAGCCACCTCCTCCGGGAGTGAGAATTGCGATGTACATACCCTTCTGAAGCACAATATCGGCAAACGCTCCAATTCCAAACCACTGGACTGACCCGTCCTTCATCTCCTTCCCTATTTTGTTGATACCACGGGCACCGCAGCACCCACCGGCCATACCGTACGGAGACGTAGCACGTCTAAACGAGGAGATCGATGCCTCCACTTTGGTGGTAAACTGAATAATCCGTTGCAATCCGTCGCCTCCTTTCCATTTTCCCTCTCCACCGGTCCCCTTGCGGATGCTCCAGTCCCAGAGAATACACGGATACCGTTTTTCAAGCACCTCGGGGTCTGTGATTTTCGTGTTGGTCATGTGACACTGAGTGCCCGAGAACCCGTCTGCCCCCTCTGTTGCACCGCTGCCGGCGCCAATCGTCTCAACCATTCCAAATCCTTTAACAAGCTGGCCGTTCTCCAAGCCTCCAACACCGAAATGGAGCGCGTTCATCGACCCAGGGCCGCTACCCACGACCTGGTAGGCCTTGAAAATTGTCTCGGTGAGAATTTGGGAGCCGCTGCCGTTTCCGGAGCTCACAGCCGCCTCTTTGGACGGATTCAACAGCGTGCCCTCCGGGACAATAATCTCAATCGGCACAAGACAGCCCTCGTTCAGCGGGATGTCCGAATTGATGATACACCGCAGCCCGTAAATGACACAGGCGTGGGTCACAGCAATCGGAGAGTTTTGCGGACTGTACACCTGCTCTGTCGTGCCGGTGAAGTCGTAGACTGCAGAGCCGTCCTCCTCGTTGATATCTATGGTCACCACGATTTTAGAGCCAGTGTCCAGCACCTCTTCTGCTCTCAGCGGAAGCTTTCCTCGGTGCGTTTGGGCCAATTTTTTAAGGGCTGCACGCACGGCCATCTCTGCCGTCTTTTTGACGTTGCGCATGTAGAACAGCACAGTCTCAACGCCGTACTCCTTGAACAGATCCACTAGCAGGTTGACACCGCGCTGGTTTGCAGCAATCTGCGCCTTGAGGTCGGAAACGTTGTCTTCCAGCTTTCTGGTCGGAGAGCAGCCAGGCGCTTCTGCAGGGACCTCCATGAAATACTTGTGTAGGCCTTTGTAGTCGAACTGGCCCTTGGACACGATTTTCCATGCTTCAAACTGCGCACCCTCCTCAGCCAGACTGGTGGCCATTGTGGAGCCGGAACCAGGAGTGAGCCCTCCTATTTCTGCGTGGTGTGCCCTGGAAGCAGTGAAAAAGCGGATCTTTCCTTCGATGAAAACTGGGGAAATAATCGTAATGTCTGGCAAATGTGTTCCGCCTGCCACGGGGTGGTTGGTAGCAAGAACGTCGCCCTCGTGGATATTGTCTTTCCAGTACTCGATAGCGTACTTGATGGAAAAGCTCATCGATCCCAGGTGGACAGGAACGTGAGGCGCATTGGCTGTCAGGTTTCCGTCTTCGTCGAATAGAGCACACGAGAAATCCATGCGTTCCTTGATGTTGGCCGAGACAGAAATTTTTTGCAACGTTCTGCCCATGTCCTCGGCAATAAACATAAACCTGTTGGAGAAGACGGAAAGCAGAATTGGATCGACATGGTCCAGAGAGATCTCTTCCTGCGTTTTCTCGTTGTCCACATCGATAATGATGTGTCTGGGTAAATTGATGGCTCTTGCTCCCGGAGTAACCAAAATAGTCTGAGTCTCGTCCAAGATCATGGCGGGGCCGGCTATGATATCGCCCATGCTGAGATCTTTCATGAAGTACACCTTGGACATCATTTTTCCCTCGTCAAAAGCAATTTCCTGCTGGCTCACCTCGACGCCGCTTTTGACTGGCTGCTGTGCGACAGTCTCCAAATCCTTATACGGCGACCGCTCCACCACCTTGGACAGCGCGCCAGTGCCTCTAACCCGCAAATCGTGCACAATCACGTCTCTTTCGTCGTCTACAAACGTGAACTGTCTGAGATGCGATTCCCTGAACGATGTGAAGAAATCCTTTTCTGCAACCTGGCTGATCATCAGCTTTGTTTCCGAGCCGTGATAGCCCATGTTGAAGAACACCTCAAAACGGATGTCAGACTCTCTCAGGCCTTGCGAGAGGAGCTTCTGTTTGGCCTCTTCTTTCAAAATTTCGCATTTTTCCATCAGCTCCGCAACAGCGTCTTCCTTGTAGACGGCGCTGGATGGGATCTGTTTTTCCACCACAGTGTCGGCCAGAGCTATCCCGTAGGCAGAAAGAATGGATGAGTACTTGTGGATGACGACTCGCTTGATTTTCAGAATCTCGGCCATTGGGGCCGCATGCTGGCCGCCTGCTCCGCCAAAGGAAGCAAGGTTATGTCTCGTGATGTCGTAGCCCTTGGACTCGGTGAGCGTTCTGATCAGCTTTGCCATGTTGTAGTTGGCAACGGTGAGGAAGCCAAGAGCAACCTCCTCGACCGTTTTTGGCGAGCCTGGGTTGTCCCTGTTGATGAGAGCGGTGAGCTCCTCGAATTTTTTCTTTGAGATTTCCACGTCCAGCGGCTCGTTCGCGTCAGGCCCAAATATTCTCGGAAACTGTTCAGGCACAATCCGGCCGGTCACCAGGTTGGCGTCCGTGACTGTGAGCGGGCCGCCTTTGCGGTAGCATGCCGGTCCGGGATGCGATCCCGCCGATTCAGGACCAACAACGAAAATGCCGTTTTTGTAGAATAAGATGGAGCCTCCGCCGGCAGCAACAGTGTTGATATCCAGCTGTGGCACGGTAATGTTGATTCCCGCCGTGCTGGTCTCAAAAACGTGCTCGTACTGGCCAGCATAACGAGACACGTCCGTCGAGGTTCCGCCCATGTCGAAGCCAATGATGGGGACACCGTATTCGGCGTCGTAGCAGGTTTCTGCCTCGCCCACAACACCGCCAGCAGGGCCAGAAAGCAGGGCTTTGAGGCCTGTAAAGTGCTCTGCCGTGCACATCCCGCCGTCTGACTGCATGAACTCGATTCTCGTGTGCTTCTCAAACCCAGGCTTGAACCCTTTCAACAGTCCGTGGATATACTCTTTCACCACAGGCGTCAGGTACGCGTCGAGCACGGCCGACTGCGCCCGGGGCACAGCCTTGATCATGGGGATGATCTCGTGGGACGTGGTGATGAACTCGAAGCCCAGCTCGATGGCCAGGTTTTTCAGCTTTTTTTCGTGCTCCTGGAAGTTGTAGCCGTGAATCAGGCAAATAGCCACGGACTTGAACCCGTTGGATCTGAGCCGCTGCAGCTCGCGCTTGGCAGCATCTAGATCAATGGGCTTTAGGATCTCAAACACCTCCTTGGTGGTGCCCTCAACGAATCTCTTTCCGTCAAGCAGCTCTCTGCAGTCGTTCAAGTGCGGATCCTCGGTGTACGCAGGCATTGTGACTCTCTCGTCGATCTCGACGACCTCTTCGTACAGAACACCCGGCTTGACGATTTTGAGCGCAAACAGGTCGGGTCTGCTCTGGTCGCCAATCCGCAGAAGATCCTTGAAGCCCTTGGTGGTGACAAAAGCGCACTTGGCTCCTTTTCTTTCGAGAAGAGCGTTTGTTGCAACGGTGGTTCCCAGACGGATGCTGCTGACCATTGAGGTATCTAGCGGCTTGCCACGCGGAATTGTCCTCCCCTGGACATGTTCCAGGATTCTGCGGATTCCCTCAATGTTGGCATCCTCGTAGTTGGCAGGGTCAACAGAGAGCAGCTTGAAGACGTGGTCTTCCTGCCCTGGAATGATAGCAAGGAAGTCGGTGAAGGTTCCGCCACGGTCAATGGCAATCTTAACATCAGACATGAGTAGATGGTAGGCACACGGGCTGGGGATGGGTATTTATTTTAGTTTGTGATGCGCCATTTTAGGTAACTCCGCTTCCACTGATGGATAAAAAAAAAATTTAGATAAAGTAGAAATTTTATCCGCGCACTGATAAGCTCCACGATAAGCGGCTAGACCTGGCTTACATCAGAGCCGACGGGCACCTCCGTCACAGACACAATGGCCTCCACCTTGCCGCCGCCAGTCTTTGATTTGATCACCTGGATCGATCCCAGCGCGTTCTGTGTGACATCGTCCTTATCGAAAATAAGTGCAATCTCCTCCAGAGAGTGACCCCTGGTTTCCGGAAAAACAAAATATATGACTCCGATGATCACCAGCTGCACTCCGAGATACACACAATAGTACTTCCAATGGATTGCGTCTAGGGCTATTCCGTTGACGAAAATGTTGAAGAACGTGGTGGCATTGAGGACAAACATTGCTGAAAAAAGCCCTTTTGATCTCGTCGCCTGTGGCCACAGCTCTGCCGGGTATGCCGTGACAAGGGGACTGAAAGCGACGTTGTTGAATCCCAGACATAGGAAGATAAACACGATGATGCCCTGGCCCACATTCTTGCCTGTTTCTTGGTACACGGCGGTGATGGTAGTTAGCGGAATGTAGAAAATGAACAGGGAGATCATGGACATTAGCAAAAGCGTCCGTCTTCCCACCTTGTCAACCAGCATTACGCCAGTGATTGCGCATAGCCAGTTGGACAGCTGCAGACACGCGTTGATGAGGGTTTTCTGCAGAGTGTTTGTGATTCCCACGGCGTCCAGCACCGTGCTGAGATACGACGAGACAATTCCTGTACCGCACCAGGAGCACGAGGCAGCTGTGAAGCAGCCAACAAACATCCGTTTTCTGTTTCCGGGAGTGGCCACGAGCGATCTCCAGGACGCCACGTTGTTGGCTTTCTGTGCCTCGATGGAAGCCACGATCTCGGCAATCTCAAGGTCCACGAGCGGGACGTACATTTCCTCGTAGTCTGCATGGTATTTCATGAGGATTTCTCGTGCCTCGTTCAGTCTTCCCTTGAATGCAAGCCATCTGGGTGACTCGGGGGCCATCAGCAGAGATGGCATGAGAGCAGAGGGCAGAAACGCCTGCAACGCAAGCGGAATTCTCCAGCTGTTGCTGTTTGGAAGCGATCTCGTGCCAAAAACAATCCATGCCACCATCAGCGCGCCAAAATAGAACATCGAATGGTAGGCCGCCGAAAACTTTCCTCTGGTGGTTGGAAAAGCCATCTCGTTGATATACAGCGAGGCGGCGTAGTTGCACGCGAACGAAAACCCAATCATGATCCGTCCCATAATGTACGCCGCCTTGTTCTTGGCCGACGCGGCCACTATGGCGCCGATCCAAATGAAAAACGAGGTTGCAAATATCACGATTTTGCGGCCAAACCTGTCGCAAAAATAAGGCACGAAGAAAATAATAGCGCAGGTGCCAATAAACGGACACGAGTTGATGAATCCTAGCCAGGTTCCCGTGGGATACCCCATGAACTCCTGCCATTGAGGCAGAGCTTGTATTGCGTTCGTCAGCGCAGAGTCGTAGCCGATCGCTGCAGCGTAGAGGATGAAGCTGAACATATAGAAATTCAGCTTCACGAGATTGCGTCTCTGGTGCCATTTGCGATTGTCGTTTGGAAGAGCGGCAGAGACTTTCTCTCCCGCCAGGTTGAATGAGCCACTCATAATAAGAGGTATAGGTTACAGGTCGTTTTATAGATCAGATCAATGCGTTGCGGCTGATAAGATTTCACGAAATAGTTTTTTGATGCGCGCGCATACGCCTGCGTCAAAAATTTAGATAAAAAAATATCTCCAAAAATGGTAGATTTCCGACTCTCTGCCTTATTTGCGGACACTCAATTTCCAGCAAAAGAGATCTGGTCGAACTCGAGCAGCTGCTTCGTCAATTTCCAGTCTGTATTTTTGTACTTTTTCAGCCCCTCCGGCTCGCCCCTCCATTTCCATCTTTCTGCAATCGCCGCATCCAGACGGCCCTCTAACCTCTCCAGTATATAGCTCCCGATGTTAGGAAGAAATTTAAATCCGTGGCCAGAGTCTCCAGACGCGAGATACACGTCCGAGTAGCCAGGAACCTTGTCTATGAGGAAGTCGGAGTTCGAACTGTCTGCGATCCAGCAGGTTTTGCTTCCTATAAATGGTTTGGTAGCCAGTTCGGGAAAGTACTTCGTCAGCAGCTTGCGTGCCTGAGGAAGCGTGCTTTGCGGAATCGTGTCCGTCGACACGTCGTTTTTGTAGCGCGGCAGGGACACAGTGCCTGTATCGTGAGGATTTGCCACGTTGTTTGCTGCCGCCACGCCAGAAATACACACTTTCATCAGCCCGGTTTCCTTATCAGGCGGAAAGAAATACCCAAGGCCCGCGTCAAAAATCACCGGAATGTCCTGCACTCTGGCTATCTCCTCGGGGGACAACTGGATGTGTGTGACAAACAAACCAGTGGCCGATTGCACGCCCGCAACGTTCACAACAAATCCGGAGCTCGCACCACAAGCAACGAGAATCTTGTCTGCAGCGTATTTGGCTCCAGACTTCACAGCCACAGCGGCCTTACCATCGGTCTGCTCTATGCCGATGGCCTCTCCAGCCTCGCCAAAGACAAATTGGACTCCGCAGCGAACAGCTTTCCTCCAGGCTGCTCTCAAGGCATTAGACGAATGTGCGTACCCGGCCCTGCCGTTGTAAACACAAACGTCCTCTGACGAGAACTGGCAGTCCTCCAGACAGGGCAGGTCCCGTTTCAAAGAGGCGGCGTCGGCGTATCTGGTAATCTTATCAGCCTTGCCCAGCTCGCCAAGAACAGCGATACTTATATCGTCAAATCTCCGTCTGCTGGAGTTGGATTTCGGACAAACAGACAGTCTGCCGCACTCGTAGTACGTTTCTGAGTAGTCAGGGTCGGACTTCCACGCTTCAATGGCATCTAGACTCATTTTCGCGTAGAACTGCGAGTCGTACTCGCTCCGGATGATCTTGTTGATATCGCATGCGGCAGAGTACGGAGACGGAACGGCGTGCTTATCGAGCACGGTGACCGCGTATCCTTTCTTCTGCGCTTCGATGGCCGTCGAAAGCCCAAAAACGCCAGCTCCGACAATCAGCAGCGACATGGTCCGATCCAAAGATTCGGTAGCTTTTCAGCTTTTTCTGGCCAAGTTGGGTGGCGCACGACGCGGGCCGCGGAGACGGTGACGGGTACTAAAGTTTTTCCCCAGATTTTTTCTCAGTAACGGAAAAGCAGCAGACATGAACATTATCGGAGATTACGACAAGCTACCAACCGAGGCCCCTCAATTGCCTTCCAACGTTTTAAGCCTGTTCTCCCTGAAAGGCAAGGTGGCCAGCATCACCGGTGGCTCGACGGGGATTGGTCTGGCCGTGGCAGAAGCGTATGCTCAGGCAGGAGCCGACGTGGCCATCTGGTACAACAGCACGAACGCCGACCACGAGGCAGAGAGGCTTTCCAAGACGTACGGGGTCCGCGCCAAGGCGTACAAGTGTGCAGTCGGTGACTTTGAGCAGGTCAAGGCCACGATCGATGCCATTGAGTCTGACTTTGGCACGATCCACATTTTTGTTGCAAATGCGGGGATCGGCTCCCAATCGGTGCCTGTGATCGATGCGTCGCTGGAAAAGTACCGGGCGATCATGAACACCAACCTGGATGGCGTGTACTACTGCGCCAAGTGCGTGGGCCCGATTTTCAAGAAGCACGGCAAGGGCTCCTTCATCATCACCACCTCGCAGGCCGCCCACATTGTCACGGCACACGTGTGGCAGGCGGCGTACAATGCCAGCAAGGCGGCGTGCATCCAGATTGCCAAGAGTCTGGCCATGGAATGGGTCGGGTTCGCCCGTGTCAACACGATTTCTCCAGGGTACATTGTCACCCCTATCTCGAAAGATGTGCCTCACGAGGAGAAAGTCAAGTGGTGCACGCTGATCCCGATGGGCAGAGAGGGGCTTCCTCAAGAGCTTGTGGGTGCGTACTTGTACTTTGCGTCGGACGCCTCAACCTTCACTACGGGCGCCGACCTTATTATTGACGGTGGCTACTGCTGCCCATAAATAAATACGGCCCAAAATTGGCTAAACTTTTTTTTTCATGCTGAAAAAATATGGATATGAGGAAAAACAGCAAAAGCGTGTAATCCGGAGCAAGAGACCCAGTCCTGCGCCGTCTAATCTGCCCGACCTGAACCCGTCTCTTCGCCCGGGCCTAGCCGTGGTGTTCATCGGCTACAACCCCTCGATCCGCTCCTCGTCCTTGCAGCATCACTACGCCCACCCCACTAACCAGTTTTGGAAACTGTTCAACGAGTCGCAGATCCTGAGCACTGTGACCCACGGGGCACACTCTCACCCCTGCACCGCCAAGGACGACTGGGATCTGCTCCAGTACGGCATCGGGTTCACGGATCTGGTGCTGCGGCCCACGCAGAACGCGGGGCAGCTGACAAAAACGGAAATGGCCCACAACGTACCCAGACTGTGCGCCGAACTGAGGAACAACCAGCCCGCAGTGGCCTGTTTCGTGGGGAAGGGCATTTGGGAACAGGTATGCAAGACGTTGGGCAACAAAGATGCCCTGAAGAGCTTCAGCTGGGGACGGCAGCAGCTCGAGCTCGAGGGCTGCACCGTCTTCGTGATACCCAGCACCTCCGGCCTCGTCACCATCAGCTACAAGGAAAAACTCAGGCGGTGGCTCGAGCTGCGCGCTTACGTCAGCAACCTCGGGGGTGATAAGACCGCAGAAAGTGCTGGTGTCTGGGGTAAAATTCGCGGAGTGCAGAGTACCTGTGAGCAGTATAAAAAGAAGCCGGTGTTCCTGGGTGCGGGAGACGCTGGGATGGTTCGACACGTGAGCGGCAGGGACATTGATCATCTCGTGGACATTTTGGTCCGTTTCCATGAGCAGAAAAGCGCAGGACAGCGTGTCATTGTTGCCGTGTGCGGTGCGCCCGGCAGCGGCAAGTCTTTGATCAGCGAGAGGGTGATTAGCCGTCTGAATGAGCGGTTTGGCAAGCAGATAGGCGTTGTTGTTCCCCAGGACGGGTTCCACTACTACATGAAGGACTTATTGCAGATGGACGATCCGGACACCATGGTTGCCCGGCGGGGCGCGGATTTCACGTTCAATGCTGAGGGACTGGTTGAATTAGTGAGGCAGATTCGAGAGCATCCTGAGGAGGAGATATATGCTCCGAGTTTTGACCACAAAATCAAGGATCCGGTGGAACACTCGATCGTGATCCGTCCTGAGAACCAGATCGTTCTCCTGGAAGGAAACTACGTGTGTCTGGACAAGGAGCCGTGGAGCGAGATCTCGCGAATTGCCGACGCGAGCTGGATGGTGGTTGCGCGGCCCGAGCTGATCCGAGAGAGAATTGTGCGGCGGCATTTGGAGGCGGGAATCAGCAAGACCAAGGAGGAGGCAGAGAAACGTGCCGACGGAAACGACATGGTGAACGGGAAGTATGTGATGGAGCACTCGCGTGAGATAGACCTAGCGATTGATAACGAATAGCATAATAAATAGAAAATATATACTGCGCAGAAGCAAAAATCACAGACGCGACGACGCAAAGTCAAGACTTCTGGTAGCAGAAATAAATACCTGGCTTTGCACACAGAAGTAATTTCTCGAGCAGTTCAACCACCGCTGCTCTTTGGGCCTGTTCCACCGCATAGCTTGTGCAACTTGAAAAGACTAACGTTTTCCTCTAAACCCTCCCTCTCTTTAAGATCGATAACACCGTTACACCCTATGGATATCCGCGAACAGGATCGCTGGCTGCCCATAGCCAACGTGGGCCGCGTGATGCGACAGGCCCTTCCACCTCACGGAAAGCTCTCGAAAGAGGCCAAACAGTGCATGCAGGAGTGCGTGTCTGAGTTTATCTCCTTCATCACCTCGCAGGCGGCTGAAAAATGCGCCCTGGAAAAGAGAAAGACGCTCAATGGCGAGGACATCCTGTTTTCGATGTACTCGCTCGGGTTCGAGAACTACGCGGAAACGCTGAAAATATACCTTGCCAAATACCGTCAGTACGAGCTTTCCGAGAGCGAAGCCAGAAGAGAGAAGTACCGACAGCGCAAGGGACTGGCTGCTGACGCTGACGACGCAAGCGACGCGGAAGCCCATGAGGAGGGCGGCGCCGACGCGGAAGGCGATTTCCTCAATTACGAGGACGAGCTCAGCTTCGAAGGGTGGTAGCTATGCGGCTTTAGCCTTGAAATAATTAATCCTAATCCATCCCCTATAAATTCATGAGACTGTTGATCTTTGCGCTATTTGCATGGCTGTGCCACTGCACACAGCTGGTCAACCTGGTGCTGGAGCTCGACGAAGACCAGGACCAGCGCGCGTTTGTCGACAGGTACCGTCCGTTGCTTTCTGAGTCGTACAAATGCTTTGAGCTCGGGAAAATAAAGCTGTGCCACGGCGCCTTCAACCTCAACTTCGTCAAGTCCGCGTACTTCGACAAGGCCGTCAAGCGGATCAGTCTGGACCGCAGCGTGCAGATCTCCGATGTCGAGGAGTTTGCGCCCAAACACCTGGTGCGCATATCCCAGCTGGGCACCGTCAACCGCCGCCAGCTGATGGACTACACTTACGAGCCCGGCGCAGGCTCCAACGTGAGCGCGTACGTTGTCGACACGGGCATCAAGATAGACCATCCAGACTTCAGCGCCAGAGCAAGACTGGGCGCCAGTTTGGTGCAGGACAATCTGTACGGCGACCCCAACGGCCACGGCACGGCGGTTGCGGGAGTGATTGGCTCTGAGACGTTTGGTGTCAGCAAGCAGTGTGTTCTGGTGGACTATCGAGTTTTCAACGAGAGCGGCACGGGCCAGTTGTCGACGGTGCTGGAGGCCTTGAAGCTCATTCACGACCACGAGACGCCTGGCGTCGTGCTGCTGGCGATGGTCACCGAGCGCAACGAGATCTTCCACTCTGCGCTCTCGCAGCTCGCAGACCGCGGTTTCGCGATAGTGTCCGCCGCGGGAAACTTCAACAGCAGCGCGTGTCTCTATTCTCCAGCAGCGTTCGAGTCAGGGCTCACCGTTGGGTCCATAGAGACGCACGGCGACAACCTCGGTTTTTTCACAAACTGGGGCGACTGCGTCGACGTGTTTGGCGACGGCATCAACGTGGCCACGCTGTCGCCGATGGCCGAGCGGGTGACGCAAAAATCGGGCACCTCGATGTCCGCCGCGATAGCAGCAGGCCTTGTGGCAACGTACATGTCGATGAACGATACCAGCGTCGAGGCTCTTGCGAAAGTGCGCAATCTGGCAGAAACAGGGAGCATCCCGTCGCACAACTTTCTGTACCGGTCAGGAACGCCGAACCGGATCCTCAACAATTATGGCGGAAAACTGGGCCAGATCCTGAATAGCTAGAATTCCATCTCGGTGTCAATGGCACGCCGACGGCAGATCGGACAGCTGTTGTCTGTGAGTAGCCACTGGTCGACACAGGCTTTGTGAAATTCGTGTGTGCACTGTAAACGGCGGCCCTGGTCGCCCATTTCGTAGTCGACCAGACAGATCGGACACCTGTCGAGCGTATTTTGGATGTCGAAGACGGACTCTGTGTGGTCGTCCAGAACCGACTGGGAGAGCTTGTTGCCGCGGAATATCCGATACAGCGAGTCCCTGAACGTGCTGATCCGCGTGTCGGAGTTGTCATCGTGCTGCGCCAGCGTCATGTTGCTGGTGCTGGCCACATAGCTGGCCAGAAGGCCTATGAATATGGCCATGGAGCTGAGAACCGGGTCTGAGGCAGAGTAATGGTGTGCCATCACGATGATCACCCACGATCGATAGTGCTCCGACTGCGCTTGCGGAACATTGAGGCCTACCACTCCTACTATCAGGACAGGCACGAGACGTTCAAACTCGTGCAAAGACGAGTTGTAGCCCAGATGGGAGCTGTTGTCGAACCTGAACGCCCTGAAGAAACTCAAAGTGCGGCCGAGCTCCATCTGGTTTCCCAGCGCATGCTGCAAAAGGTCCTCGCTGGTCAGGCTATGAACGAAGCTGGCAAAGTCGGTGTCCATGCTTCCGTCCAGATTGTCCTCCGGATATATTCTTTCGCCCACGTAGTCGACGTTGACGTTTATGAGACGTCTCAGAGTGCTCATGGTGACGGTTTCAAGCAAACTCGACAGTGATCTAAATTGAGACGTGAGTAACTCGTTCTGTTCTGGCTCGTCCCGCGACTCGGCCACCGACCCGCTGGACGCGTTGATGTTGGACGAAACGCTGCGCAGCGCGTCCACAGACGACTGGGCCGGCGACAGAAGGCTTCTGCTCACCATTCGCGTCGGCTCAGATAGTGTTTCAGGGGTCCGCCTTCGTCTCAGCAACCCTGTCAATTTGCGCCATTTGCGTGGGGACGAAACAGCTGTGGAATGCAGGAAGCCAGACTTCTGGGATGCGCTGGATCGGGTGGTGTGGGCGTCCGAATCGCGGTCGGGAGAGCTGTTATTCCGCGAAATTTGCTGTCCCATCCTGACCACTTATCTGATTCTGGGGAGAAAATGTTATTACGTAAAGGGAAAATAATATACTACCGGATGGTAATTAATTAGCCTGCTATAGACGCAACAGCACTAGTTCAGCTTGAAGGTGGTGTGGCACTTACCACAGTACTGTCTGTCCTTCATGTTGGCCATGAAGATACCAGCACCGCAGGTGGCAGATGGACACTCTCTTCTGGTTCTCTCAACCTTTCCGTCGTCGTCAACAGAGTAGTAGGACAACACAGCAAGCTTGTTCTTTCTGTGCTTGTGCTTGATCTTCTTTGGGGTGGTGTAGACCTTCTTCTTTCTCTTCTTACCACCACCTCTCAGTCTGAGGACCAAGTGCAAAGTGGACTCCTTCTGGATGTTGTAGTCAGAAAGAGTTCTGCCGTCCTCGAGCTGCTTACCAGCGAAGATCAGTCTCTGCTGGTCAGGTGGAATTCCCTCCTTGTCCTGGATCTTGGACTTGACGTTGTCGATGGTGTCGGAAGACTCCACCTCGAGGGTGATGGTCTTACCGGTCAGGGTCTTGACGAAGATTTGCATTGTAGGATTGTCTGCAAAGGATGCTTCTTTCTCACCTACTTGGTTGAAAAAAAATTTGAGAGCCGTTTTTTTTTATTTTGGTCTTCCCAGCCCGGTCGCGTGTCACGTGACACCGTCCTTCCCCCAGAGTAGGATACGGCCCTTATTTTCTGCTGATAAACAGAAAGTATAACCCCTTTTTTTAGTCTTCCGTCTATTGAATACTTTTCTGCATGGTGGCTGTTTCGAGAGTTAGCTCGATCACTGACTCGCTTGCTTTCAGCACAGGCGACGACCTTCAGAGTTTTTACACAGCTCTGGACGACTCCAACAATGACTCCATCTTGGATGTAGTTACAGACACCACCATTGCCGACGTTGGATCCGTGAGCGCAGACGAGGAGTCCCTTGTTGACGATGTTGACCTGCTATCACGCAATATGGTCGTTCTCAAGAAAGCTCCCGAAACCTCGGATGAGACACTCAGAGTCAACAAACAATTGCTCAAAGATGAACTGCGGGTCACGGGACTTATCAATACGCTGATAAACAGTTATCCACCCAGTCTGGAAGTTTCTGAGGACATCGAAGAACCTCCTCGTAAGCGTCTGCAAATTGTGTGGAGCCGGCTCCGCAGGCTGATAAGGAAACTTTTCAGACGTCGCCATTAGTACATTACATGTCCTTCAGCTCTGGGAAAATGTTCATGAGCAGCAAATCGAGTATGTTCCACAATAGAGACTTGTTGATGGTCTTGTGCTCAAAGGAGTCAAGGAAAGACTCTGTGTCAAGGTAGGGATGGGAGAACACCTTGTCCATGGCGGTTTTGGCATTCAGCTTGATTTCATCGAGTTCTTCAGTGGTCTGGGGCACGTACCTGGGCGTAGTATTGAAGTTCTCGTCTGCTGGGAACATAGTATGGCGCAAAGCCCGTACTGCACTGGAGATTGTCCCGCTGGTGAGGATCCTGTTGTGAACCAGATTATTAAGAACGTTACTGCATAGGTGATTGAACTTCTCGGATTTTTCGAGCAATGCCGCTGTCGTTGTGACAGCCACATGTACTAGTGGGTATCTCTTGCTGAAATGGACCAAGTCGTTCATGAATGGGAATACAGCATACCGCGTTACCAACGTTTGGGGAGCGGGCTTGGAGGAAAAGACTGAGGTGCAATAGGCTACGATATGGCCGATCTGACGGCTGCCGGCAGACAATTGCTCGAAAAGGGGTCTTCTCGTCTTTGGGCGCCTGCATGATGCTTCGCTGACCGCCTTGATCATGTTCCAGAGCATGAAGTTGTCTGTGAGGTTTTCCACAACGTTTCGCAGGATGAGGTCTCCAAAAATAGTTTCGGCGAACAGTCGGCTCAAGCTAGACTCTGCTTCCTCGTTTGGCAGCATCAGGACCATCATCTTTTTCACCAGCACCTGCATATACTGCCGTTCGCGCTCAGGAGTATCTAGCTGGATAGCAAAGTGACCGTTCAGAGATAAATAGTTGGCAGTGATTTCGTTCTCGTCCTGGCTGCTGAATTTTGTTCCTACTCGTTTCCTAGCCTCTCTCAGTGCCTCCATGTGTTTACTGAGGACCACAAATAGGTCATCGAGCAACAATCGGCTCCAGTCAATTCTCAAACACCTCTGTTGCAGATCTCTGGTCAAATGGGCGATCAGTGCGACGATTTCATTCAAAAACTCTCCGTTCTCGTCAAATGCAAGATTATTGTACCATCCGAGCACAAACTGGCGTAGAAAGAGCCCCACCAACGCGTGAAGCTCGTTGTCTACTTCCGAAGACGACGTAAAGGCAGGAAGGGATTCCTGTTGCACTCCGTACAACTGGGCGATGAGTTTTTGCAAGTACTCGGGAGTGTCTCGCTGTGGTTGGTCGCACAATGGCTTAACGTCGTCCTTGTCATTTCGCCGTCGTCTGTATTTCAGCCTAGAAGACATTGTGCAAAGATTCAAAAATAATAATTGTAGATAAATAAATTGACAAGCTGTGTCAATAAAAAAACACAACATTCTTTTATCACCACCATGTCGGACTCAGAGTCGCTTAGAGAGCTCGAAGACGAAATGGACGACTACCTAGGCCGTTATCGCGAACAGCGGATGGAGGAACTGGCAAAGGAGATAGAGCACGCGAAGCGCGGCCAGGACGCGTACCAGGAGGTGCATGACGAGGGAGAGCTGATGCGCAAAACGGTCTCCACCCAGACCGTGGTGATTCTATTTCATAACCCAGAATTCCAGACATGCCAGATGGTGGACAGCGCTCTTAAAGAGATAGCTTCCAGATACTACGCTACACAGTTCTACAAGATTGAGGCCACGGAGGCGCCGTTTCTCGCCGTTAAGCTGCAAATCAAAGTTCTGCCGTGCATCGTGGTATACCGTGACGGCAAGGAAGTCCAGAGAGTGGTAGGACTGGAAAGCCTCATTGATGGAACAGATCTCGGCACTTTCACAGCCCAGAGACTAGAGAACTATTTCCTCAAATGTCACATCATCAGGCCCAGAGCCATGGACATGAAGCAGTGAGCAGCAGGGAGAGTAAAACGTGAAACTCAAAACACCGTTATTTTTTCATAATTATACTAATCAATCCCATTTGCATAAATTATTTTCGAGATTTATCATGCCATTAATTAGACCCCAGGTGGCGCCTTCGCGCCAGCTCTTCACGCTGGCGTTCTCGGCCGCGTCCCAGCTCTACAAGAACACGTCTCTAGCGGATCAGCTGGAGCGCGGCGAGATTCATCGAGGCCCAAACCATGACGAATTACTGGCCAGGAAGAAGGCCCCACTATTTGTCCGGCCAGAGCCCAATTACCCACGGCATGTGCCCTTATACGGCTTCGAGAAAGCTCTGCTATTTGCTGGGTCTGCCATTGGCGCCTTTTTGCATCCCGAGAGAAACGAGTTTATTGTTGCTCTTGGAGAGTCTACTGCTCTCCCGTGTTTCCTCAAACAGCTCAAAGTGCAAATGTTGCACGATCCGACCGGCCGTCAAATCCTCAAAGAACGCCCCTACATTACCTCTGAGTCGTTGGATCTGGCCAAGCTCAAACAGTATCCGGATAACACTCTGGCAAGAGCGTATGTCGACTGGCTTGAGAAGGAAGGGGTGTCTCCAGACACCAGAGAACCTGTCCGATTTATCGATGACGAGGAACTGGCATTTATTTTCCAGCGGTACCGCCAATGCCACGATTTCTATCATGCCATTACGGGACTGCCTATCGTCAGAGAAGGAGAGATTGCGCTGAAGTTGTTCGAATTTCTCAACCTCAAGATCCCGTTTGCGGGATTGGGAGCTCTTTTCGCCCCAATTCCAATTAAAAAGTCCCAACGGAGCCGCCTGTTCAACATCTACTACCCCTGGGCCCTAAAGAACAGTTTTACCTGTAAACCTCTGATCAACGTCTACTGGGAAAAGATCTTGGACCGCGACGTGGACCAGCTCAGACACGAGCTCGGCATAGAAAAACCGCCCGACATGAGACAGCTTAGAAAGGCCAAAGTTACTACGTTATAATAAATCGAATCGTTTATATGCTATGCATGCGCTCTATCAATTCTAGTTTCTGTATCCAAATATTTTCGCCAGATCCCCGGTCTTCTCGTTGACTCCTGACATGACATCGTTCGTTTTTTCGTTAACTTCATCAAGTAAAATCTGCGTTTTATCGGCAAGTCCGTGCCACTGTTCCTCCAAATTTTTCAAAACCGAATCAAATCCAAGCTTCCCCTTGCGCGCGTTCTGGCCAAACCGCTCAACCGACCAGTCCTCCAGCTTGTCACAAAGCTGGCGCAAAGAGGCAAATGCAGTGATTTCGGCCACCTGGTCGAACCGCGTGCGCGTGACCGGAGACACAGGGTCCGGCCTGTACACCACTGTCTCGTAAACTCTCAACAGCTTGCACATGGTCAGGTTGCAAGACCGCATGGTCAGGGTCCGCTGGTTTCTATCAATCACAGACACCTCCCGCACGTACGACTTGTCTTGTCCGCCAACCAGAAACATCAGCCAGCGTGGAATAGGTTGCTTGCATGTGATGAGGCGTTCTGTTGTCAAAGTGCCCTTGTTCGGATCAAACTCGCGACGAAGAACGTCAACGCCCACGACATGCGTGCTCAGCTCGTTTGGGTACTTGCACCAGTTGGCAGCGCTTACATAATCCCACGAGTAGTTGTAAAATTGCGTCGAATTGAACACCTTCATGACGATATCAAGAGACTGACGAGCGAGTTAAATACCTCTTTTGAATAAAAATTTTTGGTGGCGGTGAAAACCGGAACGGTCCAAAAAAGAAAAGCCGTATCGGGTAGTGGTTTTTTTCGCTCTCGCGGTTCTCTGCTTACGTTATCGAGCCAATAACGTACTCCTGGAATCTGGTATCCGTCTGGCTGAACTGTTGACGCAGCGGAAGTGTGCTCACGCCGCGAGGCCGCAGCCACTGGCGCAACCAGTTTGCAATCAGATTTCCCGAATTGAATGGGTTCAGACACACGTCTTTCAAGAAGAAAGGCCCGAGCTTGTCTGTTGCGAGATATTCTCTGGTGGTGATGCCCGTCAAACCAAAGCACAAATGGGTAAACAGCAACGATGCAGGGAACATGACACACACCACGGCGTATATGAGTAGGAAGAGGCTCATCGGGGTGTCGGCGATATTTTGCCGCGAGATTCTATAAGCTGTCTGTGCGCATACTAGTGCACAGAGTAGCACAGTAAATATCAAAAAGCACAGAAAATGCCAGTAGTTTCTCTGTCCTACGCAATTGGCAAGAAACGGACAGTGGTGGTCCATGTTCCAAATGCAAGCATTACAGCTGGAACAATGCGACGAACGTACAGGTCTCCAGATGTAGCATGTTGTACAGTATTTCAGTTCCACCTTCGATTTTGGTCCGTCCACAATCTGGCTGTTGAAATACTCCAGGGGTAACCCGTTGCGGACAACGTTATCCACGAGATGCACATTTCGAGGAAGTACCCCTGGGTCCTGAAAAGCTGCACGAATGAAACACGCGGCTGACAGGCACCAAAGGTAGCAAAAAATAAAAATTATAGCGGGTGAAATATGAGTCCATGTGTATTTTGCCTCGAAGATAATATACAGCGGCAAGGATATAACGTGAAGTACTATGGTGGAGATGAATGTGGAGTAATCGTATATGTCGGAAAGTCTCAGACCGCGCAATCTGCCTCCAAAGAGGAAATACTGAGATGCTGTATATGCTTGGTAATTGTAGACCGGAGTCTGCGGCGATGTCCAGGTGACGCACCAATTGGAAAACAGCGCTTTTTTCAGCCGGGGCCCGACCGGTTTGAGCTCTGCAGCCTGCCAATTTTTATTTTTGCTTATCGTCATCGCCCTTCATCAAGTGGCGCAAATTGTCTTTATTTATTTATGAACCCTTCAATATTTTTTTTAGCGTGTTTGGTCCCCGGTGTGCGCGAATTTGCGGCCGGCCAGAGGGGGCGGCCTGCTGCAGCAGATTTTCCGCCGCTCTTTTTATTTCCACCACGATAACCGAAAAATGACTGACGAGGTTAAGAGTGCCAAAGATGCGGTAGGTGCAGACTTGAAATAACGCGTTTCTAACAAAATAGCTCGTGTCTGCTCTCGTGGAGCTGTCCAAGGCAGCAAGTGATGCGTCGAAAGCCACGTTCCTGTTCTTCAACGCGTTGGAAAACAACAACACTGACAGGTCGTTGTTCGAGGACCTGATGGTTCCCATCGTGGGGCATGACTCGGTTCCAATGCTTGCGAACATGGGAAATCACGACAAAAAGGAGGAAAAGAAGAGGAAGAGGGCCCCAAAGGACCCTAATGCTCCAAAGAAGCCCCTAACCTCGTTCTTTCTGTATTCAAATGCCATGAGAGACATTATAGTCAAGGAGAGAATGCTCTCGGGCGAGAGCAGCCTATCACAGCCCGAGATCGCTCAGGAGACTTCCAGGAGGTGGAAGGAGCTTAGTGAAAGCGAGAAAGCCAAATGGAAGGAGCTGTATGAAGAGCAAAAAGCCATGTATGAGGAGGAAAATAAGAAATACCTTCTGGCAAAGGAAACCGGTGCCGCATACACTGCTCCCAAAAAACCAGAGACCGCTCCAACTCCATCGAGCCTGAAAAAGAGCGACCACGAGAAGAAGAAGGAGAAGAAGAAGAAGAAGAAGGAAAAGCAGCAGCAACAGCAACTCCTCATGAGCGAATAGACTGACGAACTTGTGACCAAATTCTGATAAATCGCGGGTCCTCTGCTTGTTTTTGTCGCTTTGTTATATTAGTTTTGTGTGTAAGAGTAGAATTAATTTCTTCAGCTTGACTTTTCCAGCTTGATGCTTGTAAGTTCGTCGGGATGGGTGCTCTTTTTATGTTCATACAACGCCGGATAGCTCGAATAGATCTCATCGTTTGAACACACGTCACATTTGTAGAGTCCAAGGCTGGTGATTGTGTATTTGAGAGGTTTTTTCGTTATGGCCGGAGTCGTTTCACTTGAAGGGTCCGAGCTGCCTGACGAGTTTGCTTCATTTGAACTCGGCGAGTCAATGGTTTGGTCGTATTTCCTCTTTGCTGGTTTAGTCAGCTTTGTAGGCTGAGGGGTAGACTCTTTGGAGTCACTAGGCGACAGCGTTTCAGTCTCGACGTTGGGCTTCAGTGAGCGCAGATGTCCCTTTCTATCCCTATTTAGCGTCTTGTTAGCCAGCATGAGCTGTTCTCGAGGAACCTTGAACTTTTGTGCCAACTGATTGAGCGACACTTCGGGCCATGGCTTCACCACGACGTTTTTTTTCGCTGGTTTGTCGATGATCTCAGACTCGGAAAGGGCGGGCGTCGAGTATAGGGGCGTGAATCCGACTGGTATGCTATCGTCTGAAGGGGTTTTGGAGACTTTCTCGACGATTAGGCTTTCCTTTTTCGGGTCTGGAACTGGTGGTTCTGACAGATCCTCGCCGTTCAGCAGTTTATCCAAGTTCTCGTACTTCTCAAGTTTCGCATTCAGCTTTTCAACCTGGCCCTGAAGCGAAAATACAGCAAGTAGCAGCTTGGAAATAACCTCCTTTTCGTTCAACGAAGAAACGAAATCTGGATCCTTGAGTTTTTCCGGGTCGCTGATTTTCAGCGATTTAAGGAACGACATAGCGAAAACGGACGGCTGTGACTTCAGAGCAAGTTTTCAAGCAAGGTGGGCGTTATTGAAGCAAAGATGTGTTTGCTAGCAATAAAATATCAGTGCTTTAGAAAAAAAGGGGATACCAAAATATGTAAAAAGGAGGTTTAAATTTTATGGTCGCAGAAAAAGAGTAGGGGTACTAGGCGGGTGTTTTTAAAATGGAGGCACTGGAGAAAGCCGGCCATTTGGGCCGTTTCGATCTTGAGGTCTCACTACTGGTCAAAACCATCCTTCTAAGGGTTTGATTGGCGGGTGGTGAGAGTATGCGTGGGTCAGCACCGATTCTGGTCGATCGACCCAATAAAATGTTTCGACAAAATTTTTAACAAAGCATGTTTGGACGACTACTGAGGCCTTCTGCCAGACACTTTTCGGGCGTGCGGCCGACGCTGAACGCCTCATCGGCTCTGGAAGCTATTGATAATCGAATGAAAAAGCTGCAGAGGGAAGCCCAGTTGAGTCCCGAAGACAACTCGTTGCTCAACAGACCAGATCTTTGGCAAGGTCTGCCCGACCAGAAGGTGCTAGAACTGTACCAGCAGAGAAAGATCAATCTTGGAAAGCACTACCGGCGCAACAGAGATGAATTCAGCGCTCTGGTTGCCGCCGCTCCAGATATCCACACGGCATATATGACCGCACACGCATACACTGCTGAGGAAGGAGATATGTTCAGAAATCAGCTCAACTACCAGTCGAAGATGTATCACTACAAAGGTAATTTCATGTCCGACGAGATCGAAGAAGATGAGTACGACGAATACCCAACAGAGGTCCAGGAAGTGGTTGACAATTTCAGGGACCACTTGGAGTTCAACAGAGTGGCCGCATACGAGCTGCCACTCCTTACCAAATACAGAAAGGAGTACGTGCCGCCTAAGAAGGGCGAGAAGCCGGTCACGTACCGCTACACCAAGTACTTTGGCGAGAGCCATCCTGCTGAGCGCAAGGTGTCGGTGTCGGTGAAAGTGTCGGAGCTCGACCTGACTCGGGAGCAAAAGCACAAGTTCAAGCTGCTGGCCGGTGTGAGATACGACCACGAGAGGGACATTTTCAAGATGTCCAGCGACAGGTACCTGGAGCCGGCCCAGAACGCCTCGTTTTTGTCGGAGGTGATGGACGATCTGGTTGCCGAGGCGAAAAGAGATGCTCACAAGTATGCCGACGTTCCGCTCGACAAGAGACACACCAAGGCCAAGGCCAGAAAGAAGCAGCACCGCAAGAAACGTGTTTACGAGTTTCCGAAGGAGTGGGAGCGTCCAATCGCGCCAGAGTCCAAACAGGTTGACTGGCAGCAGATGCTCACCGAGTAATGTACATAGACAGACACCAGATATATCTTTTTCCTCACATCCGTACACCGCATTCCGGCGACCGGTAAGCTTTGACAAAAAAAAATAAAAGGTCGACTGATACACTCAGCATGCCTCCACGCAAAGCGAATCGTCGCAAGGGCAAGAACCTTTTGGGCAAGGGAAAGTCGACTCCTGGGCCGGCGGCAGCCGTGGCGATGGGTTTGCCGTCAGAAACGCTGCAGACGGTTCTTACCGAGCTCAATCTAAGCTACGACTCGAGTCTCGGCTTGCTGCAGGGGGACAGCATGTTTTCGACCCCGTCGGAGGCAAAGCTGGCAGCATTGAAGAAGCTGCTGGAAAAACTGATTGGGGAACTTGAGTCTGGAGTGGAAATCGACAAACGGTTGATAGCGTCGATCGACTCAGAAATTTCCTTGCTCGACGGGGAAGATAAGCAGAAGACGGCTGCAGTCAAGGAGGAGCCGTTGGAGCCCGTTGTTCCTCCCGGAGTGGAAATTAAGCAGGAGAATGACGAGGAGGACGAGGACAGCGCTATACAGGTGCCCAAGAGAAAGCGGCAGAGAATCATCATTACTGCTAATGGAGAGCGCAAGGAGATTACTCCGGACTCACGTGACGAAGGGGCCGACGGGTCCTCTGAGCCACCTCGAGTTGCGAGCGAGGACGACGAGGACGCGTTGCCGGTTGGGTCTGTCACGGTGAAGAAGGAGAAGCCGATACTGAAGATCACTCAGAAGAAGCCAGACGACGAGGACAAGCTGGAGGACGGCGAGGTGATTCCGTCTGTCTACATTGGCAAAGAGAAGCCCGACTTCAAGATCGACGAGCTCCTGGAATCTGCTAGAGATAAGCTGGAATTATACGACGAGCAGAAAGCGCACGAGAAATATGGCGACGGAGAGGAGTTCCTGAAGCACAAGTACGCCGTTGCCGACTTCCCGCACGACGACCTCAAAGACCTGCTTCCAGGCGAGATCCCGATGACCGATTTTTCCATTGCGAAGCCGAACAACAACCAGATCGCGTTCACCTCGTTCCAGGCGTACGTGGATCCGTTTTTCAGACCATTCACGGAGGAGGATATCCGTTTATTGCGCACAAAATGCAATTTGAGCAGCAATCTGCCCCGTGACTACGACGACCAGAAAACCCCGTACCACATCCCGCGGCTGGGCCCGCACTACGCTGACGTGTGGTACGAGGAAGACCTGCGCAATGGCCTGATCAAGAACCCTGACGGCATGGGGTTCAGTCTACGCAAGCAGCTGGAGATGAACATGTTGAGTCTCGTGGAGCCAAAAGCGTCTTCCGACAGTTTGAGCAGCGATGTCTTGGAGACGGAGGATGTCTCGTGTGGCCCGCTAACCTCAAGACTTCTCTCTGCCCTGATCAAAGATACGCCTGACAAAGACGGTGAAGACGACAGTCTTGCGGGCAGCCCTGCTGCGGATGAGAATGGCGGCGACAACGGTGCTGGCGACACGCTGTCCTCGTCGGCCTTGGCAGACCAGCAGGGGTGGAAGTCGTCCATCATAAAGACAGATTACAAGACTCTTGAAGAGCGGCTGAAGCGGGAACTGAGATACATTGGCGTGTACATGAACGTGGAGCAGACGCTGAATGAACCAGGGTTTGACCAGGACTGGGTCCAAAACAGAGAAGACGACGAAATTTCCACCGAGCTGCGTCATTTGCAGAAGGAACTCAGAGCTGTCCAGGTGCGCAATATCAAGCGCAAGAAGAAGATCATTCCAATCGTGGAGGAGCAGATTGCCTGGCAGGAGTACATGTCCATTTTAGAGGACCTGGATAAGCAGGTGGAGCAGCATTACAGGAGAAGAATCAACGTTGCACCGAAGAAGGCCAAGAAACGAGGCCCGAATGCTGGTGGCAACGCCGCCAAAGAAAAAGAGGAGCTGACTAATCAGCAGCTGGTGAGCAACTCGTCCTTTATGAGTCTTCTGGAGAAACGCAACAAGTGGATCTCGCGTATTGGGCCGTTATTCAGATCACAGAAAGAAATGAGAAGAATGCCTTCTGAGAGCGTTTTCAAGGACGTCAACATGGTGGAAAACGAGGAGGACGAGGAAGGAGAAGAGATTGCGGAGGATGATGTTTTGGACCAGATGGATCTGGAGTAGTCACGCGAGCGGTACGAATAATGCAAGTAATGAAAAATAATCGAGTGTAAATTATTTATTTAATGTACTCGATTTCGTTCAACGAGTATGGTGAAGTTTGGAGAAAATCCCCGACTCCGGTGAACGAGCTGTTTGCGTTTGGGACGATCGCCGACTACAAAGCGAACGAGCAGCTGATTGGACCGCTGGACGAAGACCAATTGCTGAAGTTGCGCCAACTGACGCTGATGTCGGTGGCCAAGCGGGGACTGCTGACGTTTGGCCAGGTGGCCAAGCTCTTGGACCTGAAATCCGATGACGTGGTTCGAACTCTGGCTGTGCTGGCTCGCAGTCCGCTTCTGCAGCTGGAAATCGACGAACTGGGCCAGACGGTCAGGTTCATAACTGCCAGCTCTAGAGACATATGGGTGCAGGGAGACCCTCCGCCTTCCTTTACGGCTCCGGTCACAATAGAGCTGCTTCAAAAGGAGCTAAGCTACGGCAACGACGCAAGCACCCCCAAGCTCAAACGCCGCTTAGAAAGTTGATTTCGAATGCATTATATATAAATATCCACTGGCTCCTCAGGCCTTCCAAAGCTTCTTCACAACACCCACTAATCCTTCCTTTTCGGTCTTCTCGATGAGGTAGACACCGTATCCTGCAACAAGAGTTCCAAATCCTAGCAGGCCAATCGCAACCTTGTGCCAGATGCCATAAACTCTCAATGGAATATAGTCGATGATACAGCTCTCGAATCCGACATAGCAGTGGTAAAGGAGCAATGTCCCCATCACGGAGTCGACGAGCGGATACGAAGTGCCTGTCACAAAAGGCGTCATGATCAGCGGAGCCATGCCAATAGCAACAACTCTCTCGCTTGTCCAGTGGAGCGATCCGTGCAACTTGTGTGGGGGTGGCGGAACATAGGCGTCGTTCACGGTTCCCACGATGTTTCCAGGAGGCTGTGGGATGGTCTTGATGAACCCGCGAACGGCAAGGGGTCTAAAGGCAGAAGAGGGTTTTGCGCGTAATCCGACTTTCAGCATGGTGTGTTTTTTTGTCTTCTGGTCCGGGGATGAGGAAATATATATGGGTGTTAGGAGCCCTGCTGGTGATGACAAAATTAAGGCCTGTGATTGCTTGTAGGTCGGAGGACGATCGGAAATGTTGTTTTCAGTGCCAGCTGCGTCCCAAAGCTGGCGACGGGCGTCGTGCCGAGGCTGCTGACTGTATGGGCGGCCGTTTGTGTGAGCACGTTGCGACGGATAATGGCAGCCTCTTATCCGTTCACACCCTTGCACCATCCGAGGACATCGCACACTTGACACCGATATATTTTTCTCTCCAGATCGTATGGTAAAAGGAAGCGTTGCTGACGAGAACGGCATACCCTACAATTACCTGATAGTGATAGACGCCGGGTCAAAAGGGTCGCGTGCATACGTGTACTACTGGCTCTCCTCGCAGTATCTGCTGGCCAACAATATTTTGCGCGTGCCAGACGATCATGTTCAGCTGCTAAAAAGAGTCGAGCTCAATCCGTCCGATCTTCCCCAGATCCAGACAGGCAACAAATGGCACAAAAAGATCCATCCAGGCATCAGCGAGTTCCACGAGAACTCTGCACACATAGGGCCGAAATATCTAAATTACCTGCTCAAGAAGGTGTACGACATCATCCCCATCGAGCAGCATTATCGAACACCGATCTTTCTTCATGCTACGGCCGGCATGCGTCTTCTAAAACCCAATGAGCAGCAGGAAATCCTGGACAATGTGTGTTCGTATCTGCAGCGAGAAACCAATTTCTACATCCCGGACTGCCCAAGCCATGTAAATATCATTGACGGCGACGTCGAGGGACTTTTCGGGTGGATCGCCCTCAATTATCTGACCGGCACCCTGGCCGCCAATAGGAGCTCTGCAGGCCTACTGGACATGGGCGGGGCCTCCACACAAATCTCGTTTGAGCCTAACGAGGAAGAGACGAAAGAGCACTACAATCAGCTAATTAATTTAAAACTGGCCACGATGGGCCAGGAGGTCGCGAACCTGAGATATGACGTCTATTCGGACTCGTTTCTTGGATACGGGCTGTCGCAAATGCGGCTAAAGTACTTGCGTGGCCTTGAACGCAAGTGGGAGGACGGAAAGGAGTACGTGGAAGACCCCTGTCTTGCTGCCAAAAGACACCGGACCGTGGAACTTGACGGCATGGAAATCGAGGTCAGGGGAACAGGAAACTACGAACAATGCAACGAGAACGTTTACCAACTAATAGCCAACAAATGTGGCGACAAACAGGAGGTATCCACCTGTCTGCTGAGCAACACGAACCCGGACTTTAATTTAAATTCTGATAATTTTTATGGAGTCTCCGGATACTGGGATACTGTGTCCAAGCTGCTTAGCTACAGCGACAAAGAAGAGGACTATGGAAAGATTTACGCATACGACAAAATGGTGCAGGAAACAGAGAAAGTGTGTTCACTGAACTGGAACCAGCTAAAGGATTATAAGGACCTCAGAAAATCAGAGCTTGAAGAGTTGTGTTTCAAAAGCACGTACCTGATGAACCTCCTCCACAACGGGTTTGGTCTGAACCGCACACGATCGCATTTCACCGTCAACGACAACGTCAACGGGTCAGCGTTTACGTGGACACTGGGGCGGGCCGTGCTTTACGCTAGCGATGAGAGCCTGATTGAGGTGCAAAATTATGTTCATAATTACGTGGACGACGGCAAACGCGACAAGGTGGGGTACTCGCGCAACTCGGCTCCCGGAGTGTTTGTTCGCGGCTCGGAAGTGGACGGCGTGCCTCCGCGTCCTGTCTTCGAAATATTCGAATCATACGAAGAGCCAGGGTTTCTCCGAGACCTCAAGGAAGGAGAAGATTACGAAAACGACGACGTTGTTGAGGAGATTGACCACAAATCGATACTCAAGGCGCACTCGTGGACAGTCGCGTTGGTCGTTTTGGTTGGCGTGATTTTCATCATTGCGAACAAATCACGTGTGCTCCGTCTGCTTAACGAGATCGTGCTTTTTGCTGCGTCGTTGGTGAGAAAATATATACATGGCCGCGCGGGCGCCATCCACTGGCCATATGTGACGCAGGGAAGGTACAAGCGAGCACGGTCGATGGACCTGGGTGCTAGTGAGGTGGAACTCAGCGAGATGGATATTGCAGAGCCAGAAGACTCCGAGTTCGATCTGGGCGTGGAGGACGACGATGTTTTGAGCGGATACGAGGACTTTGATTTTTCGGAAGACAGCGATGACGGCATAGAGCGCGCCGTCTAGCTTTCCAGGTGCCAGCTGCGCAGGTCCGACCGGTAGTCTGCCTCCTGCAGCGGCCCGGGGCCGTTTTCCTTGCGCGTGGTGTAATCGTGTTGCACCGTGTCGATGTACGGGATGCCGAACTCGTTCCGTTTCCAGCCGTTTCCGTTGTGCTGCGTGATATCCTTCACGCACTCGATAGGCGTGAACTCGTCGTAATTGACCCCGTTGAACTGCCAGCTGAACTTGAACGTTTTGTTTATGATGTCGTTGAGGATCATCTCGGAATCGTTCTTGTGCATCTGTGGCTCCGGGATCTCCTTCTTGGAGTTCTCAATCGAGTCTTTCAGACCCGTGTATATCTGCTGTGTGCTTCTTTTCGGGACATTATAATGATAATCTTGTGCACTATCGAGGTGTTTCATGTACACTGACATTCGCAGGATGGCGTTTGTCTTTGAGTCTTTGAGGAGATAGCGGAGGTTTTTCGGCTCGCGGTCGTTAGCATACTCCGTCAAGTTGAGCTCCAGCGTGCCGAGCTTATCTTTCTTGCTAGTTTGCGAATCGTGAATAAAAAAAGTAATGTACAGCCATTTGTCGGAGAGCGTGAAAGATTCCTTGGGATTTGCATACAGCTTCAGTCTGGCCCGGATCTGCTCGTTGTTGAACACGGACTTGTGGTTTTCGACGGGACGTTCTGCCGACTGTGCCGCGTGTCTATGATGGTACTGGTGCCTGCCCGTGAGCCGGCTGTTTGAGATGGTCTGGATGTAAAAGCACGAAACGTGGTCCAGCTGCGGGATGTTGGACAACTCCGCGAGCTGCACATTTAATTCAAACTCTATGGCCTTATAATTGAGCTTGAGCATTTATGTTCTCCAACTTTTAATTATCTATTTGAATTTATTTGGCCCTATTTTTTTTCTGTTTGCCACTATGTCCAATTGGAAGAAGCTGTTTAACAAGTCGCACAAGTCCCAACAAGCTTCCAGTGGCTCAAGCCTAAAGACCACGCCTTCCGCTGATACAGGAGCATCGCACACAGAGGATGAGTTCCGAGACTCCCGCAAGACGCTGATCAACGAGGTCGCGTCGGGTGTTGGAAACCTGAATCTGGACCCACAAACGCCGCAGGTTATCACCAAGGACCTCGGGAGCACCGACCCGGTTCTTGAAAAAGAGGTATCCGAGCCCGTGAAGCTGCGTCCGGGACTTCTCACGGTCAAGATCTACTCCTCCAAGGACCTGCAGATACCAATTCCACTTAGGATCACGAAACCGATTCTCAACAGACTGGCCAACATGGGCACGAATCTGAACGAGGACGAGCTGATTAGACGCATAGAGGCGCTGAGCGAAACGATGGACGAGATCAAGAGCTCCAACATATCGTACTATCTTCCCTCCACGTTGAGCATAAATTCCGGAGACACCTCGAAAAACGTGGTCACAAACTACAGTCTGGTGTACGCCATTGTGGAAATAGAGAACAGCAGTGAACGCATCAACTCGATCGGAAACACCATCAGCAATACAAAATTCAATAGTGTCACCACTTTCGATGTGACGTCACCCAACACGGCTATTTTGAGTGTCCAGGTGTATGTCCGCGTGCCGGGGTCTCTCTTGGAGTCGGAAAGACAGGAGGACTGCTTGCTGGGGTCCTTCCAGTACCCTATCAGCTCGTCTGTTCTACAACAGGAGGCACCGCAGATCCGCATTCTGAACCACGAGTGGAAAAAACTGCGCAACCCGTACACAGACAAGGACCTTCCCGGAGCAGTCAGTATCACGCTGGACTTCAAACCCCTGTCGATGTCGTCCAAGAAGAGTCTGTCTATCGACGACTTTGACCTGCTCAAGGTGATCGGCAAGGGCTCGTTCGGAAAGGTGATGCAGGTGAGAAAGAAAGACACAGGCAAGATATACGCTTTGAAATCGATCCGAAAGTCCCACATCGTGAACAAGATGGAGGTGACGCACACTCTGGCGGAGAAGTTTGTTCTAAGCAGAGTCACCTCGCCCTTCATTGTTCCGCTGAAATTCGCGTTCCAGTCTGCAGAAAAATTGTATTTGGTGCTATCTTTCATCAACGGCGGAGAACTGTTCTACCATTTGCAGAAGGCCAGACGATTCCCACTGATCCGCGCAAAGTTCTACATTTGCGAGCTGCTTTCGGCCGTGGAGAATCTCCACTCAATGAACATCATCTACAGAGACTTGAAACCAGAAAATATTCTGCTCGACTACCAGGGCCACATTGCCTTGTGCGATTTTGGCCTGTGCAAAATCAACATGCAGCTCGACCAGAAAACAAATACCTTCTGCGGAACTCCAGAGTACCTTGCTCCCGAGCTGCTCATGGGCAAGGGGTACACCAGGGTCGTGGACTTTTGGACGCTGGGTGTTCTGTTGTACGAGATGCTCACCAGTCTGCCTCCATTCTACGACGAAGACGTCAACACCATGTACAGAAAAATCTTGAACGACCCGCTGGTGTTCCCAGCAGAATTCGACCCGGACACTAAAGACTTGATCACTAGACTTCTCAACAGAGACCCAAAAAAGAGACTCGGCTACCATGGCGTGGAAGAGATCAAAAACCACCAATTTTTCAAGGACATCGACTGGTACAAGCTTAGCCACAAGGGCTACATCCCTCCGTTCAAGCCTCAGGTACAGGACTCGGCAGACGTGAGCAATATCTCGTCTGAGTTCACGGACGAGCGTCCGATGGATTCCGTTGTGGACGACTTCTTGAGTGAAAGTGTCCAGAAACAGTTTGGGGGATGGACCTACGTCGGCAGCAGCTTCAATCCAGAAAACTACGCGTAAATCGAAAATCAGCCGAATACATTCTATCCCATATTAATTAATTAGTTTTACTCGATGCGAGGAACCGCTTTACCAGCAAGTGAACCCACCGTCAACAGTGATGTTTGCGCCCGTGGTGTATGAAGAGGCGGAGTTGGATAGCAAGTACAGCACCGTACCCGTGAATTCCTTAGCTTCCGAGAGACGGCCCATTGGGGTCAGCGACAGCCACCTCTGGTACATTTCGTTATTACCGTTAATAACGTTCTTCGTGAGCGGTGTAAGGATGTATCCTGGCGACAAAGTGTTGACTCTGATGCTGTATTTGGCCCATTCGGCGGCGAGGGATTTAACCATGTGAATGACGCCGGCCTTGGACATGTTGTAGGCGACTTGCGGTTGTGGGTCGTTGACGATTTCACCGGACATGGATCCGATCATCACGATAGAGCCGCCCTTGATGTTGTTGTCGATGAGTGGCTTGGCGAATGCCTGTGCAACGTACAAAGCGCCCAGAAGGTTGACCTTGACAAGCTTTTCGGCGTTCTTAGCTGGGTATTGCTCTGCAGGGAAGTTCTCGCAATACCCAGCGGTGTTGACGAGATGTAGCGGGTACTTTCCGAAATCGGCGTAGATTTGAGCAAACACCTCGTTCACGTGCTCGGCGTCGCTGATGTCGCAGACGTACGAGCGCATCGTTGGCACGAGGTCCTCTTTGATTTTGAGTTCCTCAACGCAAAATTTGAAGAGCTCTTCTTGTGTTTCCTTTGTTCTCTCCAGGTTCATATCGAGCAGAGCCAATTCGGAGCCGTAGGCCAGAAGGCCCTTGATGATGGCGTTGGACAGACCACCGGAAGCGCCGGTGACGACTGTGAGTTCGTTGTCTAGTCTGAAGGTTGGGACGATGTCAGCCATTATTTGCGGATAGTATGGATCTCAGAAGGAGGGAAAAGGCTGGCTTTTATACTCTGAGGAGCGCAGAAGCCTCTCACACATTTTTTTAGGTTAGGAAGTCCGTTTGTGGGGGTGTCACGCAAAAAGAAAGAAAGCGTTCTGCCACCCCGAGGCACCAGGACAAAACAGCCGTGGAACTCCGTCTGCGGAATTCCGCGATTAACAGAAAACGGCCTATTGTCTCGCGCTCCAGAAGTTTCTTTTTGCGGCCGTTTGATTCGCCGTCGCACATCTCTGCACCCCCTCGCTTCTTTCTTTTCATGTCAAGCCTCAACATCGGATTGGTCAAGTCGATCGCAGTCATAGGAGGCGGCCCCTGCGGTGCAGCTGCAATCAAGGCGCTTCTAAAAGAACCGGCCTTCGATTGTGTGCGCGGGTTCGAGAGGCGCGCAGGCTCAGGCGGGCTCTGGAACTACCACGACTCCCGCGCCGGGCCAGAGCCTGTCGCAGGTCCGTCCCTCGATCCGCACAGCCCAGATCTCGTCAAGCCTCACAAGCTGGCCCCCAACCAGTACGTCTGGCCCAGCGCCATCTACGAGCTGCTCGACACAAATGTGCCCCGTCAGATCATGGAGTACAGTGGCTTCCCGTTTCCGAAAGGTACGCCGCTGTTTCCTACCAAACAGCAGGTGCTGGACTATTTCAAGGAGTACGCCAGGGACGCAGAGCCTCACATCCGGTTCAACACAAACGTCGTGTCTGTGAGGTACCGGCCAGACGAAGGTAAAAGGTGGCATGTCACACACCGTCCCGTGTGCGACGAGACGGAAGGTGGACTAAAACCTTCGGCCGCCCATCCTGACGAAACGGAGCATTTTGACGCCGTGCTGGTCGCCTCGGGCCACTACGAGCTGCCGTACGTGCCCGAGAAGAAGGGACTGGCCGAGTGGACGTCCAAATACCCCGGCTCTGTGTCGCACTCGAAACATTTCAGACACCCGCGACAGTTTGCGGACGTGCCGGGGAAACTGCTCATTGTGGGCAACTCGGCGTCGGCACTGGACCTCGCGTACCAAACGGCGACGATATTGCAGCGCGACGTGTACAAGAGCGCCAGGTCGCAGGCAATGCTCCCGGGCGGAAGCAGCGACTACATCAAAACCGTGCCGGACATCGAGCGTTTCGAGCCAGAAACAAAGTCGGTCAGGCTCACCGACGGGTCGGTGCTCGACAACGTCGGCCACGTCCTGTTCGCCACGGGATTTCTCAGACACTACCCGTTTCTCGACGAGATCAACAAATCGTCCACGCCGGTAGTCACCGACGGCCTCAGACTCCACGGCTTATATAAGCAATGTGTCAGCTACAATTTCCCCGGGCTCGCCTTCATCGCCACGCCGCGGTACATTCTGCCGACCAGAGTGGGGGAGGCGCAGGCGATCTGGCTGTCCAAGATCTTCCAGGGCAAGCTGGCACTGCCCAGCGTTGAGGAAATGAGGGCCGACGAGGAGAACACCGTGAGGCTGCGCGGCGACTCGCCCAAATTCCACAATCTGATGTATCCCGACGACGTTCACTACGCACACGAGCTGAACCAGCACGTGTACTCGACGCCGGACTGGCAGAGCGGGCTGGTTCCCTGCGAATGGAGCCACGAGGACATTTTGTACCGCGCGTCGGCCGTGAAGATGAAGGAGGCGTATCTCAAGTACCGCGAGCTGACCAATGGCAAGCGCGCGACAAGCGTTGAGGAGCTACAGCACGCGGTCGATTTTAGGTTTGAGGACGTGGACTGGACAGAGTTTAAGCTGTGAATTGTGCAGGGTCCCTGCTGCGTTCTCGAAAAGGTTCCACCGCTCGATTCGGCAGCAGGCGAGGTTTCCGGTCCCTGCAATCTGGATTTGACGTGCAACATCATTCGCTGTTGATCTTATCTATAGAACCGCAGGTCGTGGGCCGCAGACTTTTGGGTAGCGGTTCGTCCCACGGCCTTGCATTATCCCAAAGTAGAAAAAAAGTGCACGTCTGCCATCTGTGTGTGCGGTTCGCCAAGAGCCAATTTTCGATAAGATAATGCAGTCCGTCTAGCACAGACCCCTAGGGTCCTGCGATATATAACCTGTGTCTCGCTCCCGGTGCAAACCCAGAATGGGAGGATACGCAAACTCGGGGCTCGGCTCGGCCGAGCTGCTCATGGCAGCCAAACGCGACTCGCTCGACACCCTCGCCGAAGACACGTCCACCTACGTGGCTGCAGACATGGGCTACGTGATGTTCTGCACCGTGGGAGTCATGATTCTCACGCCGGGCATCGGCCTCTTCTACGGCGGCCTGCTCAAGAAGAAAAACATCATCCAGATGCTGTTCCAATCCTACATGGTGACCAGCACCATCACGATCCAGTGGTTCCTGTTTGGCTACTCGCTCGCGGTGTCGGCCTCCTCGTCGCACGTGTGCGGCAACTTCTCGCTCGGCGCGCTCGCCAAACTCGGCGCCGGCCCGTTCATCGAGGGCGGCACCATCCCCTCGATCATCTACTTCACCTTCTCGGCGTTCTTCCCGATCGCCACCGTGCAGATCTTTGTCGGGGCCATTGCCGAGCGCGCGCGGATCGTGCCCTCGCTCGTGGTCGGGTTCCTGTGGTGCACGGTGTGCTACTGCCCGTTCGCGTACTCCACGTGGTCGACCAACGGCTGGCTGTACAACCTGGGCGCGCTCGACTTCGCCGGCGGCGGGCCCGTCCACATCGCGTCCGGCGTGTCGTCGCTCGCGTTCTCCTTCTTCATCGGCAAGCGCAAGTACTGGAAAAACCCGTCCACCAACAAGGACTACAAGCCGCAGAACATGGTGGCCACCTTCATCGGCGTGTCCATCATCTGGTGCACATGGCTGTGCTTCAACTCGGGCACGCTGCTCGCCGTCAACACGAGAACCGGCTACATCATGGCCAACACGCAGATCGCCGCGTCGGTCGCCAGCTTCGCCTTCACGCTCGTGGACTTCCTGTTTGAGCGCAAGTGGAGTCTGGCCGCCGCGTGCGAGGGCGCCGTGGTGGGGCTCGTCAACATCACGCCGAGCTGCGGCTTCTACACGCCGTACTGGGCGTTTGTCACGTCTGCGTTTGTTGGCGCGTGCTGCCGGCTGCTGTACAACGTGAACGAGTGGCTCGGCATCGACGACACCACGCGCTCGTTTGTGGTGCACGGCATCGGCGGCATTCTGGGGTCGATGTGTCTGGGCGTGTTTGCGTCGCCGTACGTCGCGGGGCTGGACGGGGTGACCGAGATTCCGGGCGGGTGGATACACCACCACTGGAAGCAGATGGGCTACCAGTTTGCTGGCTGGATCAGCATCACCGTGTGGAGCTTCGTGGCGACCTACGCGATCTGCTTCGTGGTGGACAAGATCCCCGGCTGCAAGCTCAAGGGCATCGAGGAGGCCGAGGAGATGGGCATGGACTTCTACGAGATGGCCGAGTACGACGGCGCGCTGGAAGAGTACGTTCGAGACAGAAAGGACTCCGGCGTGTCGTACAACGGCGGGGGCGGCGTGGTGGGGATGGGCACCTCGAGCGAGGTCCACGAAAACAAGCTTGCGCACCACGTCAAGTCTGTTGAGGTGTAATAAATATTCTAAGCAAGTTCATTCACTCGTTACTTCGTTCGGCTCCGTTACACGGGGACGCTTTTCATGTCCACCTCCACGTAAGGATTTTCCGGGTTGCACTTCACGTCCAGGTCCACCTTCCAGTGTCTGTTGTACCTGTCGGTCTCCTCGCCGTAGCCGTGGTCCGAGTAGTCGTGCAGGTGGAACAGAATGCTGCCGTCCGGCCTGTGCTCGACAACCGCCTTCTCGAAGTTGTAGTTTACACCGGTGTAATAGTTGATCTCCGAGAGCAGGTGCCGCTTTATGTGGTGGCCCAGGTGTCTAACGAACTTGCGCGAGCGCGAGTTCATGGTGGGCTTGATCTTCTCCGGGTTGTCGTGGATGCTGTGGAGAACAAACGGTGGCAGGTAGTTGACCCTGAGGTGGAAGTAGTCGAACTCGTTGTCCCAGGTCTCGTCCTTGAGATACTGCTCGAAGGCTACAATGTCGTCGAATTTTCTAAGTGGAGGTTCCTCCACGGAGTTTCTCCTGGAGGTGACCGGAGACAGGTGCTCCAGATGGGTAGGCTCAGTTTGGGAGTAGGAAGAGTACTTTTTCGTCATGACGGGGGCTGTCCACTGGGCCAGCGACGCCCGGATTATATACTGGGAATTGTGGTCTCATTCCCGGTGTGGGGCCATGCTGAAACGGCAAACACGGCCAGCGCACATGACCAGGCTGCTCCAGTGACCACATTATTTCCTAAAAAATACAGCCTCTTTTCGCTCGCATGCAGTCCACCCCCACACGAATCTGCTGCTGCGCGGCACATGGCAATTTTTGGAAGCTTTTTTTTTAATTATTCCCAAATGTCATCATCTATCGGCAGCAAGCTTTCACTGACTCTCAGTTACGTGGTGATAACGCTCGGCAGTCTCGCGCTGCGCCAGCTCTTCACATTACAACTGCCCCCAGAGCTCCAAGAGGGCGGCCATGCCCAGTTCCTCACCAACATTGCTCTTTACGTGACCATCTTCTATTTCTCGCTCAATGCTGTGTACCAGCTATTCGAGATCCGAAAGTTAGCCTACGCACGCCAGTTTGTCAATGCGATGGCTATCTCGCTCGAATTCATCGTCACATACGTTTACTGGGGCCTCAGACTCATCAACAAAGATCTGATCATGAAGGGACCGGGGATCCCGCTCTCGATCGATCTCACCATCCATGCCCTGCCCTTTGCGTCTCTGGTGATCGACTATTTCTGTTTCATGGACCCGTGGACCATCTCTAAGAAGGAGGCGCTCCTTACCACGTCGCTCATGGCCGCCGCGTACTGGTGGCACCTCAAACGGCTCATTTCTGCCGAGGGCCATTATCCATACCCATTTCTAGACGTGGATGACTGGCTGCGTGCCGTCATCTTTGCTGTAGTGTCTTTCCTCGCGTTTGCTGCATTCTGTCTGTTCAAGCAGCTCAGACAGCCTGCTGCCAATGCTCCGAAAGTGCTCAAGGCCAACTGAATTTATACAAATGCTGTTTATAGAAAAGCATCCTTTTTCCCCACGTCCACTTAATTTATTTGATATCGAAAATTAATGTTTTTTTAATGTTCCCTATCGTTCTTGTTTTAACTTTGCTGCTGGGACACACTTTTGCGCGCGACTGGGGTCTCCCGCAGCTGCCGTTGCGTCTGGAAAAATCGCCGGAGGCAGAGTTTGTCTTGCTCATTGGCCAGACACCAACAAGAGCCTCAGACTCTGTCCATTACTCGTCGCTCGCAAAAGAGGACTGGGTCATCGACTTTGACCAGTACCGGGACCAGTACGTGCTGAGAGTTGGTGTGGGGGCGAAAGAGGACCTGAGAAATCTGCTCACGGCAGCTCACCAACTGGACGTGCCCCTGTGGGAGATATCAGTGTCGAAGCAGTTTATCGACTTACAGGTCTCAAAAGACTCGGGAGTGGAGTATTTGCAGCACGTGATGGACCAATGGCCTGAAATGGACCTCAATCTGGATCTTCTCGTGCACGACTTGCCCCAGGCGGTGTTTGAAACGTACCCTCTGGCAGACCTCGACGACGATTTCAGTGTTCAGCAAGACCTCTTCTTCAAACGGTACAGGGACCTCAAGACCATCTACCAGTGGTTTGACCTGCTAGTGGCGACCTACCCAGACCTGCTGGAGGTCGAGTGGATCGGCCAGACCTACGAAGGAAGAGACATCAAGGCTGTCAGACTGACGGCACACAAAAGCGAGCCGTCGCCAGAAAAGCCGCTAAAGACGCTGGTCATCACCAGCGGCATCCACGCGCGCGAATGGATCAGTGTATCGACCTCGTGCTACATACTGTACAGACTGCTGCAGGACTACGAGAAGGGCAAGAAAAAGGCACGATTGTACCTGGAGAACATGGATTTCCTGTTCTTGCCGGTCATGAACCCCGACGGATACGAACACACATGGACCACTGACCGTTTGTGGAGGAAAAACAAGCAGCAGACATACAATCCAAGGTGTTTTGGAATAGACATTGACCACTCGTTCAATTTCCACTTTACGAAAGGTGAGGAGTCTCCTTGCAGCGAAAACTACCCTGGAGAAGGCGCCTTTGAGAGCCTCGAAAGCAGCGTGTGGGACAGCTATCTGAATCAGACAAAACACGATCATCCAATATACGGCTACATCGATTTGCACTCGTATGCAGAGGAGATTCTCTATCCCTACGCATACACCTGCTCCGAAAAGCCTAGGGATGAAGAAAACCTGATTGAGCTGGCGTACGGTCTAAGTCAGTCGATCAGACTCACCTCGGGCAAGTCGTACGCTGTGCTCTCTGCGTGCGAGGACAAAGGCTCGGACCTGCTGCCGGCCATGGGTGCCGGCTCTGCTCTGGACTACATGTACCACAACAAAGCCTACTGGGCGTTCGTTTTGAAGCTGCGCGATACAGGAAGCCACGGATTCTTGCTGCCGCCAAAGTTCATCGTTCCTGTCGGCAAAGAGATCTACTCGTCGATAAAATATTTTTCCAGCTTCGTTACTGACAAATAGACATTATTTTTTCCCCTGCTTCACGATCGACGTAATCAACTGGTAAGCCACCTCTGCGCCGTTAGTGGCAGTGATCTCAGCATGGTCGTACTGAGGCGACACTTCAACAACGTCGGCCCCAACAAGGTTGACGTCGATGTTTCTCAGCAGATAAAATAGCTCGCGAGGAAGCAGTCCGCCAGACTCGATCGTTCCCGTGCCAGGAGCAAATCCAGGGTCCAGACAATCAATGTCCACAGACACGTATGTGGGGTAGTCTTTTGGAATTCTTTCGTTGATGGACCTGACGATCTCCTTGAGTCCTCCAAGTCCGTTGATCCAAATATCGTCTGCACTGAATCTGGCCCAGCCCTGGTCGTCGTCGTCCTCATAGTCCTCCCAGTCTCTGCCGCTGATTCTGGTCCGGAGCCCAATGTGGACGTTATAGTCGTCACTCAGCAAATCCTCCTCGTTAGCCATCCACAACATCGATCCGTGGGTGAACTTGGACTGGTCGCTCGACCAGAACGAAGGGTATTTCGATGGCGACCAGGTGTCGAGGTGCGCATCAAAGTGGATGACGGCCACCTTTCCATACACCTTGTTGAGAGCTCTTAGGTGGGGCAGCAGGACGGAGTGGTCGCCGCCCAATGCGACCAGCTTAGGAGGCCCAGAACCGTCGACAGCATTTTTTCTTCTCAGCAGCAACTCCTCAAACGCCTTAGACATCTGGTCCAGAGCGAGCTCGTTGTCCATTGGGGTTACCGGGATGTCGCCGCAGTCGATCACTTTGGCCCAGTCCTGGTAAGGGTTGATGCCGGCTCTGGTGTTGAAAGCTCTCTTCGAGGTCTGACGCTGCGAGCCTGTTCTGATGGCCCGAGGACCGAACCGGGCGCCGCTGCGGTAGGTCGTTGCCGTGTCGAACGGCACGCCAATGACCGCGACGTCGAAACTGGTCTCCGGGTCCAAGAGACATTTGGTGTAGTTCAGGTGAGCAAAGGTCTGTATTCCGTTGAACGGCCAGTCTTCGCCCCAAAGCTGGTCCAAAGTGGGTTCTGAGTTCGCTGCAAACTGAATTGGGCTTTGAAAGGCCGTGGCCACTGCCATTGCGGCAAGAAGAGAAGCTGCAACGGTAATTCTCATGAAAAGGATTGAAAAAAAAAAATTGGGACCCAGATAAATAAATACTAATCTTAGCGGCTTATCGTGTTAGCGGAAGTTGTCGGGGTCTGGAACTTTAATTCAATATTTTTTAAGTAATTTTTTGACGTCTTGTTTGGCATCCATGAAGAAGACCCGCGTATCGCAACAAAAAAGCCGTGGAGGGTGCAACACGTGCAAGCGAAACAAGATCAAATGCGACGAGCACAAACCGCACTGCCACAATTGTCTTTCCCGAGGAATAGAGTGCGGAGGTTACACAAAAGTGTTCAAGTTCAAGGAGATCAAATCTGCCCGTGGGGGCAGAGCAAACAGCGCCAGCAACTCCGAAGATACGGACATTTTTCAGTTGCAGCCATCTGACTCCCAACTGTCGCAGGTGTTCCACCACGCCGCCCAGTCCATCACCGGGAAGACGTGTGAACAGCTTGTTCTGGAGCAGCATTTGGCGAGGAAGGGGAAGAATCCGCGGCTGGCGTCGGAGCTCGAGACCGTGCTCAGGGAGTTCCGCGGCAAGCCGAGTGTCTCGCTCTGCCCATCGAGCAGCTCAGATTGGCTTGTGAAGGAGCAGAGCCCGTTCCTATTCGAGGTGCCCCAACTTCCGTATTCGTTTGCACATCATCACAAAACGCAGTTTGTGTACAACAGTTTCGACGTGTCCACTTCCAACGTGCTGTGTGTCTATGTTGCGTCGCATCTGAATCCCTGGCGCACAGAAATTATGCCGCTAGCCGACAAATATCCGATAATTTTCGATCTGCTAGGGATGATTGTGTGCTCGCACCTGGGCGCGAAAAATCCAGACTTCAAGGCCATGGGGCTGGAATTCAAGGTGCGCGCGTACCACCAGCTCTCCCGCGGACTCACAAACAACCTCTTTCCTAACGACATCTGTCTGATGAGCTGCATTTTGCTTGCCTTGGACGAGTTCTGGGACAACAAGTCTCGCACAGACCTTTCGCATCTGCGGAGCGCGTCGTATTTTGTCGACCGTCGGCTGCGCAGCAAGACGCCGGACCCGCGATTCCAGTTCCTGCTGAGCGCGTGGCAATACATGCGGGTGATTTCACGAACCACGCTGCTGAATCCAGCCCTAGGCTTCAGATCCGCGTACCAGCCGCGTCTGGTTAGCGACGGCCAAACCATAGACCATATAATGGGCATGTCGCAGGAGCTGTTTGCGATCCTAGACTCGCTTATTGACGCGATCGAGCTCGTCAAGAACGTTCCTGAGCACGCTTATCCTCCGGACTTGATTGAAAAAGTTCGGGGACTGCAGTACAGCCTTGTTCACTGGGAGCCTCCAAAGGACGGCTTGGAACTGTGGACGGCTGAAGAAGTGGCCGACCACAAAGTCACTGCGCAAAGCTACCGCTACGCCACGCTGATTCTTCTCCAGAACGCGTTCCCGCAGGTGGAACGGTACCTTGGTCCGCGAGAGCTGTCTTTCAGAGTGCGCGAGGAACTGTCGACGCTGCGGCTGTCGGGCGGCGCGTCGGTCGTGATGCATGTGTTCCCGCTGTTCATGGCTGCGTGCGAAGCTTTCACGGCGGCCGAAAAACAGTGGTTCCGCACCAAAACGGCAGCCGTTTTCGACGCAATCTCATCGAACAACATCAAGCGGATGACCAGCGTCATGGAAGAGGTCTGGAAGCGCAAGTGCCTGCTGAAGACGCATTACGAGTCGCTGAACATGCCTGTTGCTCCAGACGACCATCTTTTGAGCGGCCTCAAGAGCTATGCCAGCTGGTTTACGGTAGCTGCAGACTGGAAAATCGATATTTTTGTGGGGTAGGGGTGTGCGAAAAACTAGGCCGAATATTTTTTTTTGTCGACGGTCGAGATGGATGACAGATTAGAGGGCCTGCAGAAACTGTTTGCCGGACTCCAGCAGAGCGTCGAGAGCGAAGAGCTCTGGAAGGGCGTGGAAGATGCGATCGACAGCGCCATGGCGCAGTACAAGGCGCAGTTGCTGGCACGACTGCGCAAAGAGCTCCAGCAGTACGTGGGCCACTGCAAAATGCGACTGGAAGCGATTCGGCTGCGCCAGTCGGCGACCAAAAATATGCTCGCTCTGGCGCAGGCGGACGTCGACAGCGGCGACACGGTGGAGTCGAAAACCAGAGAATTGCGCAAACTGAAAGAGCGTCTGGCCACGCTGCGCCGCCAATACCGTGCAAGGGTGAAACCTGGAATTGCGAGCGCGAGCTCTCCGCGAGGAAAAAAAGAAATTCCCGAAAGCGTGCGCAGATACCGTCTGCCCCGGGGTCCTCGCCAAAATAAGAGTCTGAGTCTACGCGAGCTATACGAGGCCTGGTTTGTGGGAAACGAGCGCACGCCGGACGGAATGCCGATCGCAAGGGTCTTGCAGGAGTATCCGAACTGGAGCTCAACGGAAACGACATACTTCAACCGGCTCAAACGTGTGGCGCAGCTGTTGCAGAAGGTTGGCGAGGGCGATGTGGCTAGTGCCGTCGATAAGGTGGAAGCGTACATGCAAGAGTACAAGGTTCCGGGAGTCAATGCGCTTTCGGACCAGTGCTCGAAGCAGAAGGACGCCCCAGGCATGGAGGAGGTAGTGCGGCGGGTGCAGGAGTGCGTGGTCCGGAGGGATTTAAAGTGAAATAATTGTAATCCAATCAAATACCGCGTTTTCGCAAACAGTTACGTAAAACTTCGGTCCAAAAAATTTTCCTCCTTAATTTTCCTATCTTCTTCTAGATCTCTTCCTAGAACGCATAATATTCACCATGGCTTCTACTTACCAGACCCCTAACTACACTGTCAGTGACTACGCCAAGTTCGCTCTTGCTGGTGCCATCGGCTGCGGTGTTACCCACGGATCGATGACGCCTATCGATGTCGTCAAGACCAGAATCCAGCTCGAGCCTACCGTCTACAACACCGGTATGATTGGCTCTTTCAAGAAGGTCATTGCCAACGAGGGTGCCGGCGCTCTGTTGACCGGTCTGGGTCCTACTGTTCTGGGTTACTCGCTGCAAGGTGCCTTCAAATTCGGTGGTTACGAACTTTTCAAGAAAACTTTCATCGACGCTCTCGGCTACCAGACCGCTGTCCAGTACAAAGATGCCATCTACATTGGTTCCGCCGCCATTGCTGAGTTCTTTGCCGACATTGCTCTGTGTCCATTGGAGGCCACCAGAATCAGACTTGTTTCGCAGCCAACCTTCGCCAACGGTCTGATTGGCGGTTTTGCCAGAATTCTGAGAGAAGAGGGTGTTGGTTCTTTCTACAACGGTTTCACCCCAATCCTGTTCAAGCAGATTCCTTACAACATTGCTAAGTTCCTGACCTACGAGAGAGCCTCCCAGGCCATCTACACCTTCGTCACCACTCCAAAGGACCAACTGTCTTCCACTGCTGTCACAGGTATCAACCTTGGTGCTGGTGTCATCGCCGGATGTATGGCTGCCATTGTCTCCCAGCCAGCCGACACTTTGCTGTCCAAGGTCAACAAGACCAAGAAGGCCCCAGGACAGTCCACCGTTGGTTTGTTGGCCCAGCTGGCTCGCGAGTTGGGTGTCAGAGGTTCCTTCACCGGTCTCTCCACCAGATTGGTCATGGTCGGTACCCTGACATCTCTGCAGTTTGCTCTTTACGGCTCCATCAAGGGCGCTCTTGGCTGCCCTCCTGCCGTCGAGTTGGGTGCTGGTGGACACTGAACAATTGTAAGATTACCAGTTTTTCATTAATTGATCACATACACCTCTACTTTCTATTCAACCATCATGTCTGTAGCGGCGAACGCAGGATTGCTGTCGCCGACCTCGCCCGTCTCGCGTGGCAGTTCCGTCTCTGCTGGCGCCTCGGCCGCCTGTCCGCTTGTCTCTGGCACGCCCATATAGCTGTTTAGCTCTGCGTCCAGCTCTTCGACGGTCTTGCGACGCGGTTTTGGCTCTCTTTCGCGACTTCTCGCCTTCTTCCCGCGTTTGGACACGCTGATCCGCTGTGAGAGCGGAATCGCGTTCTCCACGCTGATAATCTGCCCAGCAGCCCTGCGTCCGTCAAACCTCTCTATGGCAACCTCGCAGTCGGCAGGGTTCGGGTATCCAACGAAGGCAACTCCCGTAGACTCGCCTCTGGTGTTGTATTCTATTTTGGTGAAAAGCAGGTCCCCGATGCTGGAAAAAAGGCCCTCGAGATCTTTCTCGGTCAGCTCCGGGTGCAGATGCGACACGCGCAAATATGGTCGTCCGCCGCTGAGCTCCTCGGCCTCCTTGCTGCGAGGAAGAGGAGCAGACGGTCTGTGCGGTCTTCTGCTGCCCCTGGCAGGCTTCCCGTGCGCCTTGGACACTCCTCGGTGAGCCCTCTGCCGGGGCTTACTATGGCTCCTCCGCGGACCGCCTGGCCCGCTGTTAATAATCTCGTCTAAAGACTGTTCAAGAAGAGACATGTCAACAAATGTCGAGACAGGAAAAAACAGAAATCTGCGTCGATCGACCGCGCTGCTGGGGCCGGGAGCCGACTATGCACAAGCCAACCTTAAATAACTCCACCCCACTTTTGCTCCAGCAAACAGGGGGTGCACTGCTCTCGGAGGAAGGCAGATATGCTCAATCAGCCCCGGGGGTTTTGTCATCGCCAAATGTGCACTGATTTTTGAGCACGATCAAAAGGTCGCTGTAAGCTGTCGAACTCCGAATCCTGCTGCATCGGTAACCACCACGACTACAGGGCGATTTTCCGGCTATTCTACTCGGCCCAAAAAGCCATTTACTCCTCCCCATACCCCTAGCCGGCCCCGCATAGGCTATCCTTAGCACTCCAACCCGGGTTGCCCCTCACGCGATCCGGAGGAACAACAAGTGCGGCAGTTTTTTTTTTTTCTTAAAAAGGTCATCTACTTCTATTGTATTGTAATCGTGGGGCAGTCGTATAAATAACCCCAGACAGCCGCATTTTTTATCCTCTAAATTCCCAAGACTCTACACAATATGGTGAAAGTTACTGTTTGCGGAGCTGCCGGCGGCATTGGCCAGCCCCTGTCCCTCATGTTGAAAATGAATCCCTACATAAACGAGCTATCTCTGTTCGATGTCGTCAATGTTCCCGGTGTTGGCACCGACCTGTCCCACATTGACACAGACACCAAAATCTCGTACCATTTGAAATCAGACGACAACAACACTGGACTTTCCCAGGCTCTCCAAAACTCGAATTTTGTCATCATCCCCGCAGGCGTTCCCAGAAAACCTGGAATGACCAGAGACGACCTGTTCAAAATCAACGCTGGCATCTGTTCGGAGCTCGCAACAGGTATTGCAGAGACCTGTCCGGATGCCACAGTGCTGGTGATCTCGAACCCGGTCAACTCCACCGTGCCAGTGTTCGCGGAGGTGTTCAAAAAGAAGGGTACGTTTAATCCCCGCAAATTGTTTGGTGTCACGACGCTGGACTCGGTGAGGGCGAACACCTTCATCTCAGAAATAGCAAGTAACGAAGCAGACAAGGCCCCTAGCGCGTTCAATATCAGAGTTGTGGGAGGACACTCGGGTGAGACGATCGTTCCTCTGTTCTCTGTTTGTGCACCCCACGTCTACGCTCTGGAGGACGAGAAAAAGATAGACGCTTTGGTGCACAGGGTGCAGTACGGCGGAGACGAGGTCGTTCAGGCGAAAAACGGTGCAGGCAGCGCTACGCTGTCGATGGCATACGCCGGCTACAAGTTTTTGCACGCGGTCCTCGCGGCATCGACAGGCGACACGACGATCATCGAGTCGGCGTACGTGTATTTGGACGACTCGATCCCGGGTGCGAAGGAGACAAGAGAAATAATCAAGGGACTTTACGGTGGTGAGTCGCTGGACTACTTCGCGATGCCTGTCGTGCTGAGCAAGGAAGGAATAAAGGAGATCAAAAGTGACATCCTCTCCAGAGTCAACAACAAAGAGAAAGAGCTGCTCAAGATCTGCTGTAAAACATTGGCGGGAAACATCGCCAAGGGAGCCAGCTTCTCGCAATGATGTCTTATTTATATTTTTTTTCATATGATGATTAGTTCATTCTCCGCTATCTAATTTAGATGTAACCGATCTTGTTGGCAATGTCAAGAGCATCGTAATCAGCAGTGAGTCTGACGTAAGCCTTCTTGGTTCCGTTTGGTCTCACCAAAGTGTTCACTTTCTCAACGTCAACCTCGTAAAGCTCCTTGACGGCTTGCTTGATCTGGTGCTTGTTGGCCTTCAAGTCAACTTGGAAGACCAACGTGTTACCGTCCTCAACCTTCTTCATGGCAGTCTCACTGGTGACTGGTTGGACAATGATTTTGTAAGAGTCGGCTCTTGGGTAGTGAGGCACAGACTTGGTGTATTTTGGCGATCTGGCAAGTTTCAGGGTCTTTGGCAGTCTGAAGGTGGTCGAAGTTCTCACCTTGTTAGCCTTCAACGAGTTGGAACCCTTGATGGCAGCCTTTTTGGCGGCTTGAGCTTTAGTTGTTGGAGCCATGTTTGTTAAAGATATTTTTCAGCTAAAATTTTTCAAATATATGAGGGTACTCAACCCGTAATATTTGTCACGTGATAGAAATATATATATGCTATATACAGCGACACTACAGTCTTCTTGGGGTTGGTCCTTGGACGCCACCAAACTTGATCGGAGTCATGTCTGTGAGCTTGCACACATGTTCTCTCACACCTAGTCCCTCTTTTCCCTTCAAAGCGTCGAAAAAGGCTCGTCTGCCCTTTCCAAAGTCTTTGACTACCACCTCGAGGTTGACGTCTCCTTTGAAGTACTTACGTTCTCTTATTGTGCGGAAGAATGCTGATGAGAGCTGGTATGCTGCTTCGTACTCTCCTCTTTGGGCTCCACGGAACCCGATGGTACCCGTGTTCAATGTGTAGACGGTCTTTTCTGGCAGAGTGAGGTAATATAGCACTTTTTCGTTAAACGACAATTGTGGGTTATTCTGCTCGTAGGATGTGTCGTACTCGACCTTGGTCAGAGTCAAGTGGGAGTTGTTTTTGCGGAACAAGCCGTGAAGAACAAATTTCACGAGCTTCATCTGTGGCGCTTTCTTCTTGGCGGCCTGTGTGTCGCCCTGGTTGTTTTGCTGATTCAAAATGGCTCCGAGCGTCGACGCAGACGACGGCTCCTGGTGAAGCGCACGAAAAGTCCCAAAGGAGCGCGTGAGACCAACTCTGTTGAGCATTCTGATCATGATGCGAATTATTTTGTGCTCAAACAATATTTCCCTTTTTTACCGGTGCAAAGATGCTGCACCTAATTGCGCGACTCAATGCTGTGTCTTGTTTGTTTCCGGAGATTACTGAAAACAAGATCTACTAGCTTTATATTTCCACCACGGTTGCTGAATCGTGGATCAGTGCGCTGCTTGACTGTGTGAAAAGTCGTTCTGGTTTCTATAGACCCCAATTCGTCGAAACAAGAGGATTACGTTTCCCCCAAAATGGCCATTGAGTATTTGGTGGAGGAGGTTACCAACAACCATACCAATGTCACCAAGCCCATGATAATCAAAGACATCGCCAAAATCGGCGAGGGTGCATTTGGAACGGTGACCCAAGCCCAACTACGCAACGCCACGGCATCCGAGGACCAGTGGCTCGGGCCATTTGCCATCAAGAAGGTGCCAGCACAAACCGAATACAAGAGCCGAGAACTGGAGATCCTGAGACAAACGTCCCATCCTAACGTCGTCTCCCTCAAGTACTTCTTCAACTACCCTAATCCGGAGGACCGCGGTAAGCTGTACCAGCACTTGGTGATGGAATCTTTACCCTGCACGCTTCAGACAGAGATTAAAAGATACCACAGTTCGAACCTGATATTACACGAGTCGCACATCCAGGTGTACTCTTTCCAGATCGCTAGAGGCATGAACTACTTGCATAGTTTTGGGATCTGCCATAGGGACATCAAGCCGTCCAATATCTTGATTGACCCAGATACCTTAGTGCTCAAGATCTGCGACTTTGGCTCTGCAAAAAAACTGGAATATAATCAGCCCTCTGTGTCCTATATTTGCTCAAGGTACTACCGTGCTCCTGAGCTGATAGTTGGATGCTCTCTCTATACGACCCAGATTGACATATGGGGGCTTGGTTGCGTTATTGCTGAGATGTTTATCGGCAAGCCTGTTTTCCAGGGCCAGGACCCAATGCTTCAGCTCAGAGAGATCTCGAAGCTTCTGGGACCGCCGGATAAAGAATTCATCTACGAGAGCAATCCTAGCTACAATGGACCAATGTACTCTCACAGGCTGTACACGTCCAAGGTAAGCACCCGGTTCCAGAAAACTTTTTCCCATGCCAGTCCGGTTGCCGTTGATCTCCTTATGAGTGTGCTTGTCTACCGTCCACAAGATAGACTCCGTCCGCCTGCTATTTTGGCTCACGATTTCTTCAAACCGCTGCGGTCGCGGGATTTCCAAGTCATCAGTCGCACCACCAACTCCCGAGTCGATGTCCACCACATGCTCTACAACTTTAGCGACTACGAGCTACGTGTCCTTGGTGATGCGGTAAAGGAAATCCTTGTTGATGAATCTTGAGTATTTGCATTACAACGCCAACGAATAATTATAGTCCTCTTCCACGTTTTGGACGACCCATAAAATAATACAGCTCAGCGTGATGCTTCCCGTTGCGTAAATGTTCTCCAATGCCATTCCCAGCGTGGGCATGGATGTGTAGCCTTTGACCACGTATTTCAAAATGACCAATAGAGCACTCCCCGACATTCCCACAGCTAAGAGGGTGCATCCGATGAACAGCACCAGACGAGCCTGCCATCTGATAGAGCCGCTGCCAAAGCTGTCCGACGCCATTAGTTGCTTCTTGTCGATCATATTCACAGTTATAGTACCCAGGGTGCTGCAAATGAAAGGAATCCAGTCCACAAAGGTGACGTGGACCACGGAGGCGTTGACTGTTTTGGAGAAGATGGAGGCGTCCACCATCGCCCAGAAGCCAATGGCATATAGTGCTCCTGAAATGTAGATGGCCGCGGCCTTTGCGGCCTGCGTGTTGGGGAAGCGCAATATAGGAAAGCGGAACAGTCTTTGCGACTCCATACTGAGATATTAATTAAATTAGAGTATTTATTTTTTTCAAAACCTCTCGATCGGCTCGTCTATGGTAATCAGAGGGTCTTTGGACCTTTGTTTCAGCCATTGAGGCACAAAACGGCTCTTTTCGAGCTCTATAACACCGTTGAACACAAGAGTGCCGTACAAAAGAAGGCCAAACCCGACCAGTTGCAGCGCTCTGAACTGCTCCCAGCCAATAGTCAAAGACACCAGCCACACAAGCAGCGTTCTTGAGGTGTCAATGGTGGAGCGGGCAGTGGCATTAAGCTTGTGGGTGAGAGAGATGCCAAAGAAATTGAACGACGAGATGCAAAGCATGATAAGCAACGAGCTGAGCAGCACTCGAGAATGCGTGAACATGACTTGCAGAGCATACACCATATCCCATGCGTCTCTAGATGACTTGTGCATGAATGTCTGGCCGGACAGCATGAAAAGTGTGGTTGTGAGTGCACCGTAGATACCTTCGTAGCCAACGAGTTTCAGAGGACTCACCTCCAAGTTCGCAAGAATGCTTTCCTCAATCACAAACTGGGCCGCGTTGCACATGATACCAAGAACAATGATGAACATTCCAAACACGACGTTGCCCTGTTCCACCAGTATGGACTCTTCGCCAGTGTCGATCGACCCGCTCAAACCGACAATGAACACCCCGAAGACAACTATAAACAAACTGAGCCATTCGAGCTTGGTAATGGTCTTGTGCAAGGCAATGACTGAAAATAGCCCGACAAACAAAATGACCGATCCTCTCGTCATCTGGTAGATTGAAACAGGCGTGTACAACAGCCCGACGTTCATCAGTGTCGTCGCGGTAAAGTCGCACAGGGCAGGTAACGAAAGCACAAAGGACTCGCGTGCGGAGGAGATCCTCTTTTTCCTCAGCAAAGGGGCTTGTTCCTCGGCATTTGCAGATCCCCTGCGTGCACGTCCTATGAAAACAGGAATCCAACACAGGATTTCTCCCACAAACATTTGCAATGTTTGTAAAACAGGCTGCTCAAACAGAACCTCTTTCCCCGGTTTATCACAGTTCTCTATGCATTGATTGTCCTGATACTTGGTGATTATGGAATTCAGACATCCAGCAATGACGGTTCCCGCGACCAGTAGCAGGAGCTGACGTTAGCTTATTATACTAATGACTTACCCCGACGTTTCTAGCCATGTTTTTAAAAAAAGCGATTAGTTATTTTTGATAGAGAAATAATGTGGCAGTGTAACATTTACCCCTTATCTTTGCGGAATTAAGAAATAGTTACAAATATTTCTTTAATTTAGTCATGTCAAAAAGAAGGTCTTCGCTGTCCCAGATATCAACACTACATGACCTCGAGAGCTTTAGATCAGAGTCAAAGAAGTCCATAGAGCTCACTAAATGCTTCAGATGCTCAAAAAGAATACCCACCCCCACAGCTTCCAGACGTCGAAGGTCCTCCTCGTCTGTGGTCTTCTCGGAACTGATTACATCATCGGAACCACTCCCCTTCACCATGAAGCTTTCGGCTTGCTCGCAAACGTATCAGAAGCAGATTATGTTGCCCTTCACAGCCTCCTTCATGAAAGAAATATCCGATTCGCCCTATTTTGCAGAAATCAATTTGAATGATTACTACATTGCTAAAGAAAAGGAGCGCAGCTCCAGAGGCTCAAAACGTAAATTTCCTGGCTTTCAAGTTCCAGTCAAGGGCAAATTACAGCTAATAATCTACAATAACGAGAAAAGCGTCAGCTCGTTGCTGTTCTTTCCATATGATCTATCAAATTTGAAAGAAAATCATAAGAAAATCATTAAATTCCGCAAAAATAGCACAATAACGTATGACTCAGAGTCAGATAAAGATTTCAAGATAAACATCAAGAAGCTCCATAATGAGCTGGAGTTCAAGGCACTGAACTACAAAAACAAAAGGTTTTACGTGTTCGACTCGCTCAAGATCACATTTGTTCCAGGCTTTTTGTCAGAAAACGTTAAGCTGCCATTAAGCGCAAATTTACCCGAATTTAAACACCATCAATTTAACCCCAAAATACCCCTATACCCACAGAGCTCTCAGACTGACATCGAGACAGTCGAGTCCGGAGAATACCCCGTCAATCTCTCGTATTATATCCGCGAATGTGCTCATTGCAATGACCATGAAGATGACGATGACGAATGTATACAGTTTCCTACTTTCACATACGCTTAATGACAATGAATCAGACATATAACTCGCGGAAAAAGTAGTTACCTGTTAACAGCCTTTTGCAATCTTGCGCCACGCAACGATTGGGAGCTGAGTACTCCGGATCGTTCAAATCCATGTGCTCCACCCCGACTTTGTCCAGATCGGTTTTTCTCTTCTTGGGCCTGGATTTGCCTTTTTGTTTTGCGTATCTATTGATGTTGTTGATACATCTCCCACAGTAAACGTGGCCGCATCTACCAAAAAAAACCTTGCGTGAGAGGTCTCGGTCTGCGGTGGTGAGATTCTTACTGAATTGCCATGGTGACATAAACTTGTCTTGCACCACGAGCTTGCGCTTCAGTTCCATATCTGTGCTTGTTTGGAAATCGTCCGGTATTCCTTCGACCAATGGGACGCCGCAAAGAATGCAGACAGAAGTATCTTTGGACGAAAATCCGTTTGAAAACATGTTTTTCTGTTCTTCGGGTATCTGTGCCTTGGTTTCCTGTGTCATCTTCATCTTGTTGGCCATGTTCGTTCTCGACCTCACGCGACGATCTTCCTCCTCCTGTTCTCTACGCCTAATTTCATCCATTATGCTATGAGGTATTTCGTCCTCTTCGCCTTCTTCTTGCGGGCCAAAGTCAACTTGATGTGCGGCCATGGGCATAAATCCCATTCTGTTCAGATGTCTCACATACGGCACCCGCGAGCGCAAATCGTACAGCACTCTTGAAGCTATTGAGCTGTCACTATCGGCTCGTCCAAGTCGGAAAGCGTTCATCATCCAGTTGTTGCGGAGAACTTCGTTGATGTATTCATTGGTAAAATGCGCTCTTTGGGTGTTCGCTCGTCTGGGATATCGAGGACGAAGTCGCCTGCGTGGTCTATTTGCTGCTATTGACCGCTGTGTTCCGGATATTCGCACAGACTCGTCTGGCTGGAAAACCGGGCCGTTGGGTTGGTACAGTGTGAAACCGGGCCGTTGTCTGGAGAAAGCCCTTCGTTGTGGCGGTGCCAAAGTCTGTTCGCCCGTGATCTCAACGTCTCCATCTGAGTGAGCCTCTTCGGCATCAGACAGAATCACTATGGGGTCCTCTGCGGGCGTGGTGGACCGGGCCTGACGCCTTTGCCGCACACGACGCCTATTTGAGCTGGAGACAACATAACTGTCTTCAGAGTCGGAAAGAAGCTCGATGACCGAATTCCGTCGACTCATTAAGAGAAAATGTTTTGGAGCCTCTGCTGCGTGGTATCTGTAAATATGAGAGCGGCCCTTGGATGGAAAGAATGGTTTGTAATCTATAACAAAGAGATTTGTCTAAATTTTGAGTTGCAAACTATTTGCTGCACAGCCAGACGTTAATTTTTTTTACAGTTCAAACGCACATTATTCTGGTACAAGCTACACCTCTATTAGCCTTTTACAACCCGCTTCTCATGTATCTTCCAACCACGATACAGTGATCTCTCTCGTAAGGCTCCAAGGTAAGCTGCTCAAGAGGCTTTATTCTCTCCTCTCTGAGCTTTTGCACCTCCCTAGCGAAAACGGTTTCTGCGTCAACAGTAGAGTCGATACAGTTGGCCTTGATGGAAATGACCACTCCTCCCTTGTCCTTGAGGAAAAGATGCGAGTTCAGGGCAATAATTCTGGCCTGATCTGGCTGGGCAACGTCGGCAAAAACAACGTCCACCATACCAATCAACATTCTGTATTTTTGCGGATGTCTAGCGTCTTCGATGATAGGAATGACATTTGGTCTCTTCTTGGCCATACCAATCAGCTCTCTGCCCGGTCTATGCGAAAACTCAACAGCATACACAACACCTTCTGGTCCCACAACGTCAGCGACGTGGGAAACAGAGGTACCGGAAGCTGCTCCCAGATAAAGCACCTTTTTGCCAGGAGCAATGAAAAGCTCGTCCAGTCCTCCCATGATACCAGCGGCAAGCTTGGACCTGAAAGGATTCCAGACTCTGTACTCGACCTTGGTAGCTGGGGCTGATTCGTCCTTGGAAGGCTCGTCGACGGATATTCTCTTTTCTCCGTACACAGACTCGCCTGGTGCGAGGTTCTTGGTCACCAGCAAATCCTCTTTTCCTCTTGCAATGTAAACGCCCGCATGTCTGTGTGGTTCGATTATCACCTTGGCTCCGGCCTTTCCTCCGGCCTTTCCTCCACGAGCACCACCTCTTCCACCTCTGGCACCGCCTCTTCCACCTCTAACACCACCTCTGCCTCCACGGGCTCCACCTCTTCCTCCACGGGCTCCGCCTCTTGGGGCTCCTCTGAAACCACCACGACCTCCTCTGCTGCCGCCTCTGCCGCCTCTGTCTGAGAATGCCATAGTTAATTTGTTATAATAAAATCAACTTTGAATTTAGACAAAATTTATTTAAAAATTTTTCAATCCAAGGAGGGTAACAAATGGGCAGATAAACGAGCCGATAGTGCTTAAAAAAAAGATAAATACGTTCCACCGCGTCTTTGCTATGCTCGCCGATCTGAACAAGAAATACCTCGATACTCTGGAAAATCGTCCTCTAGCCACCAAGGCGCTTACTGCAGCAGTCCTAAATGCACTCAACGAACAGCTAGCCACCTACTTTGCTGGAGAATCCAGAAACACCACCATCAAGATCGGATCCCAAGAGGTGCAGCTCTCGCACTCCGTCACAAAACGCGTCCCTTTGATGTTCTTCTATGGCCTTCTAATCAATGGGCCTTTTACCCATTACGCGTACAAACTGCTGCACTTAGTTTACCGTCCGCCGATGGGCCCAAGAAAAAGACTAGCCCAGATCCTCACCTCCATGGTTACCATCACGCCAGCCATTTCTGCGCTAATGATCTCCTATATCTCGCTGATCTCCAACATTAATGTCGCGAATATAAAGGATCTGACCTCTGCCAGAGCCGAGCTGCTGGACGTGCTTAAGAAAGTCAAGGTTTCGCTCCAGAAATCGCTAGTCTCGGTGATTCGTTCTTCGTGGATCTCCAGCCCGATCTTCATGCTTGTGGCCCAGAGTTTCCTCAAGCCAAACCAATGGGCCGTGTTCTTCAACTTCTGCTACTTTGTGCTGGGCACCTACAATAATACCATAATCAAGCGTAAGCAAAAGGAACAGAAATCGGACGCGGAGAAACAAGAATGAATGAGCAGGTCTCGTTTTATATTACAGTTTAATTAGATTCGTTGCTGCTTTCTTCAACCTCTTTCTCGCCAGCTTCCACAGGTTTCTTCACCTTCCGCATCGGAATCACCGCCTCAAAAACTTCTTTCCAGCTGTCGAACTCTCGCCTTCTAATCAGCATCTCCACCACATGCGACGTCGCCAGAACGCGACGGCCACTCACCCTGATATACTCGTCTATCGGAAGTCTTTTGGTGGGAATTCCTAGTTTGTCGGCCTTCTTCTTGCACAACAGTTTATGACGACCCTTATCCACAATACCGCCAACTATGTACGTGATTCCTGGCTCCAAAGTCTCGAGCTTCTCGTCTGTGTCTGCCGTAAGATAAACGACCTTTGATAAATCTGCTGGTAGCACACTCTCCAGCTTTTGCTCGGTGAACTTCATATGTTCTGGCTTCCAATTCTGGTAGTGCGGAAGAACGCGATCAAAGCGCTCCTTCATCCGCTTCCCAAAAGAAGTCACTGTTATATCCACCCTGTAGGGGTATTTTTTATTGTCTGCGTAACTAGTCACCAGCTGGTTGCTCATGGACACTATTTCTTTTTCGAGCATCAAAACGTCAAAATCGCAGTCCACCAAAACCGAATATCCGGCTTCCTGCTGCTCGATCTTGTCGCGCTTCGGCCTATCTGCATTTTTCAGCTTCCTGGTCTCCTTCAGAGCTTTCCGTTTTTCGCGGCGCACCTCGCGCATTTTTTCTCTATTCTCCTCCCATCGTAGCCGTTTCTGCTCCTTCTTCCAAGCAGATTTGCTCATCCCCTCCGGGATGACCGGCTTCTGTCTCTGGTACGGCTTCTCCATCGACAGCAGTCTTGAAAAGTATTTTTCCAAGTCGATCGACGCAACGTCGAAAATTTTTCAGTTCTGAAACTCCACCATTGCTCCATGGCTCCTCCTCCGAGCCCCCTTATCATAGATGCACAGGCCGTGTCGGGGATCACCGGCTCTATCTCGATAGCCTGTTGGATTATTGTTTTTGCGCCCCAGATATACCAGAATTTCGTGCGCTCGAGCGCCGAGGGCCTCTCGCTCATGTTCGTTGTTCTCTGGCTACTCGGCGACCTGTTCAATGTTGTGGGCGCCATTTTGCAAGGAGTCCTGCCCACCATGATCGTCCTGGCCATCTATTACACGCTGGCCGACGTTGTCCTTCTCTGGCAGTGTCTGGTGTACGGCCATGGCAAACCCAAACATGTGGACCCTATCCACCTATCGCCGGCCAATCCACTTACCGAGCACGAGCCGCTGCTCGAGAACGTGATCAGTCGCGGCGAGGACGACGCTGCAGACACGACGGGCGACATGGACAGCTTCAACGACATCGACGGCGTGAACATGAACGGGTCTCGGGAACGCAGCAAGGAGCTGTTCTACAACCTGCTAATGGTGTTGCTCGTGGTGGTATCTGGGTTTGGCGGCTGGTTCTTCGGCGGGTCGAGAGACGACGATTCTCCGCCGCCAGACGACGACAGTCTCGTGTTCAATCCGCTAGCCCAGACGTTTGGCTGGCTCTGCGCAGCACTGTATTTGGGTTCTCGGGTTCCTCAGATACTGCTCAACTTCGAGAGAAAGTCCTGCGAGGGCATCTCGTTCATGTTTTTCCTATTCGCATGTCTCGGAAACATCACCTACGTCGTGTCCATTCTGAGCGTCAGCACAGGCTACAGATATCTGCTGGTGAACTCGTCGTGGTTGGCCGGGTCTTTGGGGACCCTGGCGCTGGACTTCTGCATCTTCATACAGTTCTTCTTGTACAAGCACGAAGAGGAGCCAGAGGAGTTCGACACGGACGACGAGACTGCTCCCATCGCCTCGTCTACACGCTCTTACGACGCTGCCTGAATCCGGTACACCTCGCACCTAGCAAAACACGAAGACGCGTTACATCGAAAAAAATTAGAAATCCGTAAGCAACAGTAGCATGTCCAGCATCCGTCCAGAGCTGAAATTCGCCGACGATCGCGACCAGTCGTCGTTCTACAGCAAGTATTTCAGACTGCCTCCGAAATCGGCGCGCACTTTGCGCGTCGTCGACAAGGGCGAGTACTACATTGTTCTGGATGAGGACGCGGAGTTGGTGGCCGATTTGATATACAAGACCCAGTCTGTGGTGAAGACCGCGACCGCAGAGAAGCGCACTGTGCAGTACATCACGCTGTCGCCCGCTGTCTTTGCCAATTTGCTGAAACTGGTGGTAGTGGACTCCGGCCACAAGCTGGAGATATATTCCAGGAACTGGGACAATATGCGGACCGCGTCTCCAGGAAACCTTTCGGAAATCGAGGAGCTAATCAACACCGCCGACCTGAACGCCGTCTCAATTTTGGCCGCTCTCAAGCTCGTCAGCTCGTCGTCTGAGGGCAAGAAGCTAGGACTTTCGTTCTACGACCCTAACGCAAAGACACTAGGAGTGACAGAATTCTACGACAACGACCTATTTTCAAACCTGGAGGCGCTGCTGATCCAAACGGGTGTCAAGGAGTGTCTGGTTCCGGCCTCTGCCTCGTCAGACCCGGATATGGAAAAGATCAAGCAACTTATCGATAGATGCGACATTGTCGTGTCTGAGGGCCGTTCTGGCGACTTCTCAGACAAGAATATTGAGCAGGATGTTGCGAGACTGACCGGGAACGAGCTTGTGCTTTCTGCGAACGAGCTCTCGTCGCTGCACGTGGGTCTTGCTTGCTGCAACGCTATTCTGGTTTATCTCTCGCTGATGGCCGACCAGTCGAACTTTGGATCCATAAACGTGGTCAAGTACGATCTTGAGCAGTTCATGAAGCTCGACTATGCGGCCGTGAGAGCCACGAACCTGTTTCCGCCGCCAAACTACAACAATACGATGAATAAGACGTCCTCTCTCTTCGGCCTGCTCAACAACTGCAAGACAGTGGGGGGCACCAGACTCCTGTCGCAGTGGCTCAAGCAGCCGCTTGTCGACGTCCAGGAAATCCAAAGCCGTCATTCTATTGTTGGCCACCTTATCGACGACCTAAACCTCCGCGAGTCTTTGCAGACGCAGTTTTTGAACGAAGTGCCGGACATTTCGAGACTGGTCAAACGGCTGGCCAACCCGCGCGGATCAAAATCGCTCGACGACGTCATTCGACTGTACCAGCTGTGTATCAGATTGCCAGATCTGCTTGACTTCCTGGGAACCTCAATGGACAGCCTGGAACCAGAAAGCACGGTCAGGAAGCTGTTCCAGGAGTTCTGGATCGCGCCAATCACAGAGTATGCTGGCGCGTTGTCGAAGTTCCAGGAGATGGTGGAGACCACCGTGGACTTGGAGTCTCTGGACAACGCGTCGTCGGCTCATGGGTCGATGGTTGCAATCAACCCTGAGTTCGACGCCAGTCTGATGGAAATCAGCCACAAGATCGAGCAAGTCAAGAACCAGATGCGCCACGAGCACGAACTGGCAGGCGAAGACCTCGGAATGGAGCTGGACAAGAAACTAAAACTCGAGATCCACCATGTCCATGGCTGGTGTTTCCGTCTGACGAGAAACGACAGCTCGTGTATTCGCGGCAAGAAAAAATACAGAGAGCTGTCTACGGTCAAGGCAGGTGTCTACTTCACGACGTCTGAGCTCAGCCAGCTCAACTCGGAGGTCAAGTCGCTGGAGGAACAATACGACAACGGCCAGTCTGAGGTGGTGAAGGAGATCGTCACCATCACAGCGACCTATTCCTCGATTTTCCTCAAGCTGTCGATTGAGCTGAGCAAGCTGGACGTTCTGGTCTCGTTTGCACACACCTGCGCGTTTGCGCCGGTTCCGTACACGCGCCCGGAAAAGATCCACGGTCTGGGAAGCCCAGATCGTCGCGTCCGTCTCAGCGAAGCGCGCCATCCATGCTTGGAGCAACAGGACGGCCTGTCATTCATTCCGAACGATGTCAACTTCTGTCGCGACTCAGAGGAATTCCTCATTATCACAGGACCAAACATGGGCGGTAAGTCGACCTACATCCGGACCATGGGAGTAATCGCCCTGATGAACCAGATAGGCTGTTTTGTGCCTGCCGCAGAGGGGGCAGAGCTGTGTATTTTCGACTCTGTCCTGGCCCGTGTTGGGGCGTCGGACTCGCAGCTGAAAGGCGTCTCGACGTTCATGGCGGAGATGCTCGAGATGTCCTCGATTCTGAAGACTGCCACGTCTAACTCGCTCATCATTGTGGACGAGCTTGGCCGCGGAACCTCGACCTACGACGGGTTTGGGCTCGCCTGGGCCATTTCCGAGCACATTTGCAAGGAGATTCGCGCGTTCACGTTGTTTGCCACGCACTTTTACGAGCTCACCGCACTGGCCGACAAGTATACCGCGGTGAAAAATCTCCAGGTGGTGGCACACACAGACACCAGCTCCGACTCGAAAAATATTACGTTGCTCTACAAGGTGCAGCCAGGAGTGAGCGACCAGTCGTTCGGCGTGCACGTGGCCGAGATCGTGAAGTTCCCAACGAAGATCATTGAAATGGCCAAGCGCAAGGCCAGCGACCTGGACGATATCAACAAGCGGACTGCCAAACAGACGAAATTCGGCAGTCCGGAGATTTTGGAAGCCAACGAGGTGCTCAAGACGGCGCTGAAAAAATGGAAGAAACGCGTCGAGGAGCGCGGAGGGCTCGAGGCCCTTGGTCCCGATGAGGCAGAGGCAGAGCTTCGCAAGGTGGTCGAGTCCGACTTCCAGAAAGACTTCCAATCGGGTGTCCTGCAGGAGATGCTAAAATTGTAAAGCGGAAGAAAAAAAACGGTTTCCACGCGGTGTACGGGTGTACCAGATCTGACTACGTAAAAAAGAAACAAAGATAAAGAACTTACAAGACAGCGTTCTGCTGTGCTGCCACGCCTTCCGGTGGGTACGGAAGGTACAGCGACGGCAGCCTCCGCGCGACATCGCTCAGTTGCTACCACGCAGCCTCTCGGGCAGCCGTTATCAGTGGGGCCAGGCGGTAGCTGCTGATAACAAACCTTCCGCTTTTGGCGACACCTTGCACCTTGTACGGAATCCACCGAAAATCTTTAAAACCACCGGGAACGCTGTTAATTAACCTTATGAGCAAAGCCGTCTCCTCTTCCAGAGTAGTGGCCAACGACAGGGTTGGTCCAGCAACGATTATTTATTCAGAGTACTCCGGCAAGATCCTGACCGTTATTCCCAGCATCCTGGACGATGGAGATCTCTTGCTCGCCCAATACAACGTGGTTTCCTACCGCAAGCTGGACCCCTTGGTCATCATGCCGGGCCTTGTCGACGCACATGTCCACCTGAACGAACCCGGCCGGACCGAGTGGGAAGGCTTTGCAACCGGAACACAGGCTGCGGCCAGCGGAGGTGTCACCACTGTGGTGGACATGCCACTGAATGCCGTTCCCCCAACAACCACCATCGAGAATTTCTATCTCAAGCTGGAGGCTGCCAAAGGACAGTGCTGGGTCGACACCGCTTTCTGGGGCGGGCTGGTCCCTACCAACCTTGACCATCTGGTTCCTCTTATCCAGGCTGGTGTCCGCGGCTTCAAGGGCTTTTTGATGGACAGTGGTGTCAGCGAGTTCCCCATGATCACCCCTGAATACATCCTGCAGGCTCTCAAGCGCGTCAACGGGTTCTCGACAGTGCTTCTGTTCCACGCTGAGATGGATTCCGACTGCGACGCGTCGATCGACGCGCACCACCATTACGACGGACTCACCGACCACCAGGCTCAGCTGCTGGCCTCGTCGCCAACGCTGCACCCGGTGGAGCCGACCATCGGTACCATTTCGCAGCTCGCCAAGTCGCCCAAGATCCATGCCCTCTCGTTGGACGACGAGATCACTCCCCTAGAAAAAGCCATCGAGGACAACAGCGAGCTCGAGTCTGTCGACCCAACGTCCTACTCCTCGTTCCTTGCTTCCAGACCAGACTCTTTCGAGATCACCGCCATCAAAAACATCATCACTTGCTCCAGAAAATATCCTTCCACAAACGTGCATATAGTCCACCTTGCTACCAAAGAGGCCCTGCCAATGATCGAGTACGCTCAGAAAAAACTCAACTTGCCACTCACAGCAGAAACGTGTTTCCATTATCTCACACTCAAAGCAGAAGACATTCCAAACGGAGCCACCCAGTTTAAGTGCTGTCCCCCAATCCGCACGGATGATAACCGTAGAGAACTGTGGCACGGGCTCAAGAGGGGAATAATCACCTCAGTGGTGAGCGACCACTCCCCGTGCACGCCCGAGCTCAAGGGACTGGAGAGGGGAGACTTCTTTGAAGCTTGGGGAGGAATTTCCTCGGTCGGTTTTGGCTTGCCTTTGCTCTACTCTGAGGGACAGAACTTCGGCATCTCGTTCACAGATATCGCTAGATGGTGTTGTGAAAACACGGCAAAACAGGTAGGCTTAGAACATAGAAAGGGGTCCATTGCACCAGGCATGGATGCCGACTTCGCCATCTTCGATCCGGAAGCACACCATACCGTTGCCAATGTCCGCACGTTCTTTAAAAACAAGCTCACTGCATTCGATGGCCGCAAGCTCCGCGGTCGTGTGGTGGAGACCGTGCTTCGTGGCCGCTCAATATATGCTCTTGGCAAGGGAGTCAGCGACTTGCCGATTGGTGAATTGCTCCTGGAACCAAGAATAAATAAATAGATGTATGCAAGATTAAATTATTTAATTAAATTAATAATAGTGTATAATATTTTTTCGTGCTACACCCCGTACTTCATCTTAAGGATCTCGCCAACAAAGGGATCTAGCTCGGACAACAGCGCGTTCCACTCCGCGTCCCCTAATCCGCTCTTGAAGCCGCTAAGAAGGAGATGTAGCTTGCTTCCCAGTCTATTGGATGGAGCCTCGTAATATGCGATGCAATCGATGAAGTGCTTGATAGCCATGCGCCCGGAAACATCGTGTGGGTTCAAGGAAGTTGGGTTGGTTGTGATGATGTTACACATTCCTTCGAAAGATGTTTCTTTTTCGTCGTTTTCTTCCAGGTATTTCATGAACGAGCACCAAGTGACAAGCACCTGAGGAACATACGGTCCCATATCTGCAGCGTTGTGGACCCCCATGCGTCCAATGGTGATGGAGGTGTTATCAAGAATCGTTTGTTCCACGTCAGTGCTCAGAAGAAGAGGAATCAGCACATTCATGAAGTTTGCAATGTACTGCTTGAAGATGTCTGCGGAAAGACGTAGACACATTTCACCCAGCGCCCACACCGCGTTGTTGCAGGCTGCGCTAGAGCGGAAGGTCCTATTCGTCACCTCGTTCCCGATACAGACCATCACCTGGTGTAAATGCGGAACCACAAGAGGTTCCATTAGAAAGATAGCAAAATCTCCGAGAAGAGCATATGCACTCTGACGAACGTCGTCTGTAGGGTCGTCGAAGCAGTATATCACGAGCTTCATCAGCGACACCTCATTGGTGTCAAATTGCTGAATAAGCTGAGCGCTGTGTTGTTTAAGGCCTTGGACCAGGCCATCGATCAGGTCTAGGGAAGTGACGATGAAATCCTTCTCAGGGGCCTCGAAGCCTGGATTGTCATTCGACAATCTTGCCTGCTCAATGCTCATCGCCAAAATACGGAATGCACGCTCGTAAACAGGTACCGCGTACGGAGCAAACGACTCGCCCAAAGCAGCTGCAACGGACGACATACACTCCAACAGCGGCCACAAATCCTTGTCGTTATCGGTCAGCTGCTGCCATTTCTCTATGAGTGGCGGCAGCAGAATTTCGATATAGTCTGGCTTGTAGCACAGTTGGTCGCCAACCTTCTCGGCGAACGTTTGCACGGTGTCGTAAAGAATGATGAGGTTTTTCCGTTGGTATTTCTTGAAATAAGCCTGGAAATGGCGCAGCAATGGCTCGACAAACTCAGTAAGCAACTCGGGCTGAGCTGAGTCGATGAAGTCGGCCAGCGAGGAACAGGCGCTCTCCTGAACAACCTTCTTTGTGTCCAAGGCGCATTCCATAATCGACTGGAACGTTGGAGCAAAGTAGTTAGCACAGGAGCCTCCGCTCAATGCTTCAGAACACACCCACGAAGAGTAGCGGCCCAGCGTCCAGCACGTGATTTGACGGACCCGGGTCTCAGAATCTTTCAGTCTTTCCACCAAAAATGGAATCAAAGATGGCAGCTCTGCAGAAGCTTGGTCCAAACAGCCCTCGGCAATTGCTCCCAAAGCGAGAATCGAGGCTTCTCTTATCGGCCACTGTGGAGAAACTATTCTCTCCCTGATAATTGGAAGAGAAACCTCCAACACCTCATAGGGGTAGTTGGTAGCTAAAATATCCATGGTGGCAGCTGAACATTTTCTCAAATTCCACTCCATGGACCCATCGATGTCGTCCTCGTCGTCAGAATCGTCCGAGTCTTCTTCTTGTTCATTGTTGGTGGTGTTTTTGCTAGCAAGCTTGTGAGCTTCTTTTCCTTTAGCCATCTGAGGCTTGATGTCGTCGTCTTTGTCCTCGACATTCTCATTCTCTTGCTCATCGGAGTTTTCAATTAAAAACACATTCATCTCAGAGTACACCATCTTCTCCAAAAGCACTGGGATTAAAATTGGAATCTTGGATTTGACTATCGTCTCAGGCATGTCCGATGTTGCCAAATTCAGCAAGAACTCACATGCTTCCAGAGCCACTTCCTCGTTCGAGTCTCCCATCGAATGAATACAGTAGTTGATGACGCCGTCCAAATGAGGCATAAGCTTGTCCGGACGCTCTTCGAGGATACTGGCAAATGCAGTACAAACTTTGGTTCTTACGTTAGAGTCTTCATCCGTTGCAAGACCAAATAAACGCGCCATGAAGTCATCCAGATGGATGAACATACTTTGTGATTTTATAGTCAGAATCTGGTTGATACACCCAATTGCGCTCGCTTTCACTTTCGGATTTGGGGAACCAGTAAGTTCAATAAACTGCGGCACCATAAAATTTACAGGCCGCTCCCCATTATATTCGCGGTCCAAGAGACGAGCAGAATCTTCACAGATCTTCAACAAAGCACTCATAGCTCCCTCCTGCGACTCTGCAGTACCTGCAGCACCAGAGGCGAGCTCCATGAGGTTGGGCAAGATGTTGGGCCACTGACGGACACCGAATATCGAAAAAAGTGTTGTAATGACATTCCCTGTAATGTTTCTCACCAGGTTCTGCGAGTCCAACAGCCCTTTAGGGATCTCTTGTAATATATGTGATTTTAAATCCTCTGATTTTGACTGGAGGTTCTTGATGAGGTCATTTTTCAGCATGAGCCCCGCAGATGCCCTAACTTGGGACTCGAGGGATTGTCCATTGATCAAAATATGCAAAAGGTAGTTGTCAAAATCTGTTTCCTGTCTTGCTTTTTCTAGAGCATTCGTAGCTTGCAATCGCACGTTGGTGTCAGAAGATAAAGTCCCTGCAAGAATCAACACAATCTGATCCAACGCCTGTGCGTTAGGCGTCCATGTGGGCATTGTAGGGGAAATATATTATTTTGTGTGTTGAAATTTGGAGTTTGTAGCGCAAAACCTCGTCTTAAATGCTGAAGGGAGCAGATTCTATAGTACGGATGTAATCAGGATTACAGTTGACGTCAAAGGGGCAGATCTGATCCTTCCCCCGTAATTTCTGTGTAAACCAGCACTTGTTCTTAATTGTCAAAAAAAAAATTTTTGGAATTTTTTTTAAGGCCTGTGTAAAGATGTAAAATCATTTATTCTACATCGAGCTCAATCAATCAGTAATTATAAAATCGTTAAGCATCTTTTCCAACACCTCCAGTTGGTCGAAAAGAGGATTGAACAGCTCACCAGCCACAGGATGCAATGTTTTGAGTCTAAGCAGATCAGTTTGGGATGCTTGCGGTGTTAGGGAATCGGAAGAGACACTTGACAAGTTTTTGCGTTGCGATAAGCTTGATGTTGTAGAGTCATTGGAAGCCTCTCTCTGAGATAGTTTGCTATCTTTCTTTTCCAAGAAAAGTGTTCGCTGCTCTTGGAATGAGAGGGTTCTGAACTGCTTAGTTGTCGGCTGCGCGGTCTCGTCAATTGTAGTATTAGAATTATCAACCTCTGTCGTCGAGGCAGTAGGTGAACAGGAGGCAGCCGACTCGGTACGCTCATCTTGATCCGACTGTTTGCCATCATTGGACTCTTCGTAGGAGCCAGAGTCAACTGATGGTATGCTGGTTTCGTCGTCATCGTCATCATCATGACTATTTTCTTGGAACGAAAACCTGCGATGCTCTTGGTAGTCATCGAGATTCTTCACCAAGAAATTCGAGTTGCTAACTCGTTTATTGACTGTCAAAGGAGCAGGCTGAGACTGGGTATCGCTCCCAGGCTCTGACTTCGTGTCGTCAATCTCTTTTAGCTCAGGAAGAAGCTCGGGAACAAAGGACACAGTTTTGCGCATTGACGACTTACTACGTTTGAGCGAGCTTTTGCGGCCCAGTAGTGAGTTATCACTCTTGCTGCTATCATTTTGGTTTTCGTATAGTGTCAAGTTGGAGCCAGAGTAAACCTTTTGCGAGTTCAGTTCAAATTCTTTCAAATCGTCAACCGACAGGCACGTCGTATCCTGTCTTTCAATGACCTCATTTTTCCAGCAATTCAGCCTTGCAAGACGCTCCTCAAACGTCTCCAACACTTCCGCGGGCGCAAATCCAACTTGATTGGTAGAACTTCGTTTCACCAACCACCAGTAGCTGTCGGAATCATCAAGCAGAAGCACAGAGTCATCTTTTGACAGTTCCAGGTGCGATGGATCAGGTCCGCTAAAGTCGTATAGTGCGTATAACCTGTCAGGGTCAAGTTCTCGTGGAGGAGAAGAAGGTGGCGATGGCAACATTCCCTCCATATAATCATTATAGTTATCCTCTTCAGGCGGGTTCTCTCCGGCTTCTGCCACCTCTTCCGCATCGTCGCTCAAGTCGCCACACTCATTCTGCAAGGCCTTCAATGTATCCGCAAACATTTGGTCTGTATTCAAGGTACCAGAAACTGCTTGTTTCAGATCTTCAACGGTACGCTTTGCTTCCCCCTGGTAGCCAGCATGTATCACCGTTGAAGACGCCTGTGATGAGCTATTAGACATCTCGTCTGGCAGGAAATTCCGTCGCGTAGGTGGCATCTGCCGGAGATCTATGGCTAAAGAATCCTGCTGTAGCCAGAACTCCTCGTCCTGATCCAGATCTTTTCGCGTGTATTGTTTTCGTTGATCTACGTGCATGGCTTGTGATCACGCGCTGTATGCAAAAACAGTCCAATTACCTTTTCAAAACGCGCCAAAGACCTAAATTCCGTCAAATTGCAGTTTCGAACAGTATACGATCCTGTGTTTTGCTAAAGAATGGTGTTTTTCTAAACAATTAAATCTTTTACATCTCTACACCCGCAACAGATGTCAGGTACCACGTCAAGTTGCAAGCTGTCGAGATAGCTGCAAAGAATGGGTTGCTGCCGATCTGAACAGAGCGGGTTTTCGCCTCCTCTTGCAAAGCTGAGCTGCGCCATCTTGCTGACCTTGCTGCGGACCGTCACTTCCGTCGGCTGCCGTCATCCAAAAATCATAAGCACAGCCACCGACGCCATGTGGCGATGCACGATTTGCAGTCTGGCAGATTCTAACTTTAAGAATCTTCGGAATTATAATTACCTGCAGTCGATTTTTCTTTTAGCTGAACATGTCTGAATACAAAGTAAGTAAAGACATACCCTGAAACTAACGGTACCTAGCCACCATCTGGCCCACCACCCGCAAGCAAAGGCGCTGCTGCAGAATATTACAATTCGGGAACTACTACGTATAGTGCACAGCCTCAAGGTTACGTTGAGCAGACTACCCAGGAAAGAGGCATGTTCTCCGGAAGTCAGCCATACTACCAGCAGCAACAACCGTATTACCAGCAGTACCAGCAGCAGCCGATGTATGGCCAGCAGCAACCATACTACCAACAGCAACCGTATTATCAGCAGCAGCCGATGTATGCTCAACAGCAAAAGCAAAGTAGTGGCGGAAGCGACTGTCTTATGGCATGCTTGGCTGCAATGTGCGTGTGCTGCACACTGGATGCGATATTCTAATCTGCCGCTTTTGCCAATAGGGAGATAAAGTGCTCCAGCACTTTATTTTCGAACGATATCATCTCCAGTTTTGAGTGTTTGTTGAGAGTGGAATCGACAGACGCGTCCATGAAGTTATGGTGAAACTGCTCATTCTGTATCTTTAGTTTAGCCACCAATTGATCATAAGCTTTCAGTTTTTCCTCTTTACTCTCTAGCTCGGTAAGCAGCTGCTGCTCTTTGAGCTGACTCGTTTCGTGAAGTTCATTCAGCTGTAATTGGAGGAATCGAGCTTGTTCCTCCTTCTCCAGTAATGCCTCTTCTAGTTTTGCATTTTCCGAGTCATCCTCAATGCCATCGAATTCAGACTGCTTGTCCGCTATGAGACTAAATTTTTCCAGCACCTTTTTGTACTCCAAGGGCAGGTAGTTAATATTGGTCATGGCCCACGCCATTCGCTTTCCGCGGACACTACTAACCAATAGTAAGCAACAGTAATGGTAGATAGCCTCGGTCAAAGCTAGGTCTTCCACAAACTCGCACTTTGTCTCGCCCTTCACGAACCTGTCGAGTAACGAAGAGTCCATAGCTTGGATGTGGGCTTCTACCACCTCGGTGCCAATGAACATGTCTGCCAGAAACTCGGCTAGTAGTTTGAAGTACTGGGTATTGTCGTCAATTGCGCCGGTTTCAATGGGCCGCTCGCCAATGATACACTCAACCGCTTCGTTGACAAATTTCGGATCTAAAAACTCAGTTAGCAGCGGTCTCGACGAAACCGCCAACGACTTGTACTCTTGCAACCATTTGATTGTAGCCTCAATTGTTTTATACTGGCTGTTTTGATTGATCATTTGAGGGATCAAAAGATTTGGACGATTGACCATTTAAGTGATCTGAACCTTGGCTGAGGGTTCGGCCTGGGCGCTCTTGTTTTGTTCACCGTTTTTTTGATTGTCTTTGGATTTCTTGGCCTTACCTTTCTTTGATTTCTGCTGCGCGCTCGTACTTTTCTCTTTCTCCTTCTTTACCTTCTGCTCCTTTTTCTCCTTCTTTTTTTTCGACGCGTCGTTTATTTTCTCGGTCGCTTCATTTCGTCTTTCAGAAGACGGACTGCGAGCCTGTTTGGGCGCTTTCTTCCTTTTAGGTTTCGCCAAATAGGGACTCTGGAACTCCTCTTCAGTAATCTCACCTGCAGCCATCTTCATATAGCTTTGATATAATGGTGAGTCTTCCAGCTTGGTTTTGCTTTTTTGATGCCCTGGAATAAATGGTGCAGGAACAGATTCGTTTAGAGCCTTCTGTATATCCGAATTTGCAAAAGCAAAATCGACTGACTGACTAGAATTCCGAAATTGTCGCACAGCAGACTTGCTGTGCTCTGCGCTTGCCATTTGAAGGTAGGCTCGCGAGTGAACTGGAGACTCACTGAGGTCGCTGGAGACACTACCTTGGACGAAATAGTACGACTTGACCCCTTTCAAGCTGGCTATTTTATCAACGAAGCGATCATAATCCATATCAGCAGGAAGTTTGCGCAAAACTATCCTACATGGATCATGTCCCAACTTAGGAACGTCATCTGATTTGCGTTCCTCATTGGATCCAAAAAAAATCATAAAAAAAAATAATTCAAGATAGATTGATTATTTGTTTGGTGCATGTCGCTCGCTGAGTATTTGCAATTGGTTCAAAATGCCATACAAACAGACACACTACACACCGCACTTTCAGTGGATCCTACTACGTCGCATATTGCTCCATTGCAGAAAAATTTACAGAACTACTCAAATAGCCATCTCATGAGCGAGATAGAGAAGGCCTCATTTTTCAGCGGAGACTGGCCGTCGTTCGAAACGCTAGTTCAAAGCTACCTCATCTTTGTTCGCGACTTTGACCCATGGTCGCTGCAAAAATCAATAGACCTGCTCATCAAATTCTATGAAAGCTTGAGCGTTGCACTCAATAACAGCCAGAACGCCAAACTCTTAAGACTGGTGCAAGAATCGACCGCTAGCATTATTCGCCTCGCTAAATTGGTGGACGAAAAACTAATGAGTATCAACGGACGGACCAACGATTATCCTCGCTTATCATACATGACGACGTTGTTGTTAAAAAGTCTGAATAACATAAGAAACGATCCAGAACTAAACATTCCCTCCAAGAGATATAAAATCTCGATCTTGATGTTTCTCAGCATTACGCTTTGCCAGACCTACATGTACATAGACTCTGTGATGCTCTGCAACAACGTTTTCTCCAACATCAACATTCTGGCACTAGACAAGAGCCTCATCTCGCGCAAACAACTAGTACAATATAGATTTGTGCTGGGCAAATTCCACCTGCTGCAGAGCAACTACTATGTCGCGTACCACCATTTCTATTGGTGCTTTATGAATTGCCACCAACAGGCCCCGCTGAAAAATATACTGCTGATTCTCAAGTACTTGCTGCCGTCGGGACTGCTTGTGGGGAAATGTCCCAACTTGCAGTATTTGGAAGCGCAGCTGGGAAACCATGAACTCCTACAACTATATCGGCCATTGATACAATGCTACAAAAATGGAAATCTACTTGGATTCTCCAAACTGGTAGCAGAAAAGCAAGAATATTTCATTAAACTTGGAATATTAATAGGATTCCTGCAACGGGTAAGGATTTTGGTGCTCAGGAATCTGGTGCTTAACACATACAAGCTACAGGGGGGGCTGAGTTTTGAATCTGTACGGAAGGCGCTAGAAGTGTCACTGAGCCCAGAAGCAATGAAGAGCGAGTTTGCTGCAAGAGACCAATGGTTCTACACATGTCTCAATGAGTGTCTAGATGAGACGTTCGTCGAGACATTGTTGATGTCGCTGATAGATGCAAACCTGCTTAAAGCGAAGCTCACTCCTTCGAAAACAATAATCCTGAGTAAAACAGCGTTGTTCCCAGCCGCGTACTTGGTTTACGAAAAAAGCATAAAGAGAAACGACAGGGAGAAGTGGCTCGACTGAAATCTTGTAATATATTTCCTAATTCGTTACAGTTATAGGTGCTCCAGCGTGTGGATCTCGCTATTGCTGATGATGCACGCGTCAAAGCGCTAGCACGCGTCAATCGAAGGAATAGGTACGGTGGTGTTTATTGTTGCTCGCACCTTCACACCGCATTCTCCTTCAAAAATAAAATGAGAAAAAAAAATAACGCGTCCTCGGGGATGCGTTTAATAATACATCAACAAACGCGAAAAAAATAGTCGAAATTTCAGAGACAGCAGTAGCAACCGAAGCTTTAACAGAGGCAGAAGCCAAACTCAGCGGGCCATGGACCGTGTCACGGGCCACCACTGCCTCTAGCAACGCGTTTCTGGGTCCATTTCATAAAACTAGTTCCGAAACAATTTTAAAGGAGTTTCAGCCAAGCATGCACACTCCTTTGCAAAGCCATTACTAAATTTAGCCAAATTGGGAGCCGAGGTATATATAAACGCGAGATTCGCTCGGGCTTTTCTCAGTCAACTCGCTAGCACTATGAAGTTCACATCCTCGCTCGCTGCCATCAGTTTGGCCTCCAACGCATTCGCTGCCTATGTTGGCTCTACCTACTGGACAACCATGACCCCATCCTACACCCTGGATGGTGCTCTGACTAGCTACTCGGCCACCTTCGGTATTGCTGTGGAGCCACTAGAGACCAGTTCCTCCGTGACCGCTTCTCTCAACGTTGAGAAGAGACAGGTTGTTTCTCAAATCGGTGATGGCCAAATCCAGGCTACCACAGACACCGAGGAGGAGACCTCCAAATCCTCTACCTCTACTGCCGCAGCTGTTGTGTCGCAAATCACGGACGGTCAAATTCAAGCCACCACTGCCACCACCACCTCTTCGTCCTCAAGTTCCAAGAGCACTGCCGCTGAGGTTGTCACTCAAATCGGCGACGGTCAAATCCAAGCTACCACCTCTACGTCCTCGAAGAGCACTGCTGCTGACATCGTTACCCAGATTGGCGATGGCCAGATCCAAGCCACCAGCAAGTCGTCATCTACTTCTACTGCCGCTGACGTTGTGTCTCAGATCACTGACGGCCAGATCCAAGCTACCACCAGCACCAAGGCCTCTTCTGCCACCACCAGCGGTGTGATTTCTCAGATCTCCGACGGCCAAATCCAGGCATCCTCGACCGCTTCTTCGAAGACTTCCTCCGCATCCTCATCCAAAGCTACCGGAGACTACATCACCTCCGTCTCCTGTAAGAAGGAGGGTGCTCTGGCCATGACCTTGAAGGACGGAATCCTGTACGACTCTGACGGAAGAATCGGCTCCATTGTTGCTAACAGACAATTCCAGTTCGACGGTCCTCCACCACAAGCTGGTGCCATCTATGCTGACGGATGGTCCATTTCCCCAGACGGATATCTGGCCATTGGCAACAGCACCATATTCTACCAGTGTCTGTCGGGCACCTTCTACAACTTGTACGACCAGTCGATCGGAGGCCAATGTAACGAAGTTTACTTGAAGGCTGTCGAGTTGGTCGACTGTTAGGTAACTTACTGTAATAAGTCAAGCAAAGAGATACATGGTTATATAAATGTTTTGGTCATAAAAAAATTATTCGCACCTATGAGTTGGCACTGGAACTGGGAGACAGCCTGGCGGTCGTTCCACATTCTTTCTTTATTTCTCCGACTCGAGGCGGTTTCCTGGCTCTCGTACATCCATCCGGACGAGTTCTTCCAGACCTTCCAGCCGCTGTTCAGAGACAATGTGCCGTGGGAGTTCCAACACGCATGTCGCTCGATCGTGCCGATTAAGTGGATCCAAATAGTCGTGCAGAGCCTTGGAGAGTCGCCAGTCGGTTCCTACAAGCTCATCAAACTGATCTACGCGCTCATGACACTGATAGCCACCCAAGTCACGCTACGCAAATTGCATCCTCGGAGAAAAGACTTCTCTAAGGCCCTGTTCCTGGCAGATACAAGCTACGTTACTCTGGTGTATCAGTCGCACACGTTTTCCAATAGCATCGAAACCTGCGTGCTTCTATATACGGTGTGGATAATCAACGACATGAGACAGGCATTGGAGAGCAAGGAAAAAAGGATCTCCTCGTACAAACTTCTACTTCTAGGGTTCCTGGTTGCCTTTGGAATATTCAACAGAGTCACGTTTGTTGCCTGGCTGGTCCTTCCGTCAATTTTTGTTTTTAGATACGGCTTTCGAAACAAGCTTCAATCGCTGTTGGCCGTCCAGAGCTTCCTGTTCTTCTGTCTTATTTTCATTGCAGCAGATTCTTACTACTTTACAGGCTCCATCAATACTTCAATAATCACGCCATTGAATAATCTACTGTACAACAGCAAGACCTCTAACCTGGCACAGCACGGTTTGCATCCATACTACCAGCACATTCTCGTGAACTATCCGACCATGTTTGGCCCGCTCATATTTCTAGCTTTTCCATTCACGACAAATAGCATTAGGTCCACATCGTTCTTGACAATGGCCTCCGGAGTGATAGTGTTGAGCCTTGTTCCGCACCAAGAACTTCGTTTCCTCATTCCTATGGTGCCACTATGGGCCAGCTGCATCAACATATCGCGATCCACAACCAACAAGGTATTTTTGGTGCTTTGGATTCCATTTAACCTGGGAATGCTGGTTTTCATGGGAAAGTTGCATCAGGGAGGGGTCGTACCGGCTTTGCAAGAGCTGCAGCAATACCCAGGAAATTACGTGTTCTGGAAAACATACAAGCCCCCAACATGGTTCATACACGATGACTCGTTGTCATTCATCAACAGAGATGAGCCGGAATTTGAAATCAAAGCAAGAAACGTGACATCTCCGTTTGTGATAGACTGCATGGGCTTAAAGTACGAATCCCTCGAGCCGTTGCTATCGGACATTACGCAGTCAAAGGGACATGTCCTTCTCATCGCTCCTGAGAACGCCATGCTCGATTTCAAAAACACCAGTCTCCATTACCACCAGCTTTGGAACTATAAGTGGCATTACAGTATGGACCATTTTGAATTTGATAGATACAGATGGGAAACCTTCAAACCAGGCATTGGAATCTTCAATTTCACTGCTTATTTATAGAACTCAAACTTGTCGACTTCATTTCCTGTCTTAACTTGTGCCGTGTATGCTTCTTCCAAATCGCTCTGTAAAATAACATACCTGTTCTTTCTCACTGCACGGAGACCAGCTTCTTGCATAATGGCAGCGATGATAGCTCCACTCAGTGGCTCATTTCTCATAATCAGCGAATCCAGATCCACCTCTGGAGAAAGAGACATCTTGGCTGCAATTGTGCTGAAAATCAATCTCCTTTCTCTTCTGTCTCTAAGCGATGGGAACTCAATCTTTCTGTCCAATCTTCCAGGTCTTAAAAGAGCCGGGTCCAGGGTATCTGGTCTATTAGTGGCCATGATGACCTTGACATTGGTGGATTGGTCAAATCCATCCATCTGCGTGAGAAGCTCTATCAAGATTCTTTGCACCTCTCTGTCGGCACCGGTCTGGGCATCGAATCTCTTTGTAGCAATTGCGTCGATTTCGTCGATGAAGATAATCGATGGCGAGTTTTCCCTGGCCAGTCTGAAAACGTCCCTCACCATCCTAGGACCTTCTCCGAGGTACTTTTGCACAAACTCTGAGCCGTTAACTCTGATAAATGAAGCGGTAGAGCTGTTGGCAACGGCCTTGACAAGCATGGTCTTACCCGTACCTGGGGGCCCATACAGAAGGACGCCTCGAGGAGGATCTATACCAATCTGCTTGTACAAATCTGCTTGCGTGAGAGGCAACTCAACAGCCTCTCTAATTTCTTGTTTTTGCATGTCTAATCCTCCAACGTCGTTGTATGTGACATCTGGTTTTTCGTTTTCGCCCACTATGGAAATCGATGAATCTGCCTCTGGTGGCAGGATGTCCACTAGGGCATTAGAATGACGGTGAAGAGCAACAGAGGCAGATGGTTTCAATAGCTCTCTGTCCAACGTCGACAAAATCCTAACCACGTAATTAGAGCCTGTGGTCGACGAAACAATACCTGTGTGCTGATCAATAGGTTCCAAAAATTGTCCAATGACAAGAGGAACACTCTGGATTTTCTTCACTTCTTCTTGTGCTCTAATCAATTCTCGTTTCAAGTGGCGCTGTTCGTCTTTGATGTAATCTTCTTGCAACATCAACAGTTGCAATTCCTTTTCCAGCTTCTTCAGCTTGAGATAGACGTCTGTGCTATTCTTGTTGGCATTACCATTGGCATTCGAGCTTATGCTTTCCACAGGCTGGCCAATACTAGGCGTGTGCGTTGGGTAAATACCAATTTCCTCCATGCTGGATTGTTTATTGTAATAAGGACGATTCAAGTTTTTGTTACAAACACTCTAACCGGTGGCAAACTGATTTATCCAAAACTTTTCTCTCGTTTGTCTCTTGCTCGGTGTGAGGAGTATTTTATTGTCGACGCGTCGGTAGACTCTATATGTCTATAGGAGAAGTCTAGATAGAAGTATGCCTAGGATGAGGAACATAGAGCTAATTGTGCCGCAGAATGCGGAGAATTCTGCCGAAGACACGTCCAGCTTGTAGAACTTGTCGCTGAAAAATATACGTCTCAGCTTGGAGGCCCACTGTTTTATGCTACTCCAAGATAGATCGGCAGGCAGTATACCCTCAACATGCTCAAACTTGTCGAGTCTGTGCTCAATGTTAAGCAACCCAGATTTCAGTTTATCCCAATTCTCCTGCCCCTGAGTCTCAAAGAGCTCTTTGACTTTCGATTCAAAAGAACTTAACAGTCGATATCTTTTCCAAGGCTCGAATAACAGCTGCACCAGAAGCATCAGCAACAAGTTGACACACACGATGAAAATTGTTCCCCACGTGGAAAACTGTCGGATCTTGTCGGACCACACCTGCTCTTCGTGATATCTCTCCATAATGCTCTGAATCAATTCATTGTGCAGATCGTTCTCCTTGGCCTCTAATTCTGCCACTTTGTTGGAGTTTGCCTGCACGCGGCGCTCCAACCCATGGCCGTTTCTGTACAGGTTTGTGAATTTCTCGAGATCTTGGGAATTCCAGCTGTGTTTCCGCTCAAGAAGCTCGTTGATGTGTTTCTGTGCTGATGTCTGCTCTTCCAGAGCACGTGCGTAGTCCTGCTTGCTTTCAGTGATCAAGGCTCTTAAGTCTCTCATCTTCTGTTCGTTCTCCACTATCTTCTCTTTCAAGTTGTTGATCTTCGTGTATCCCGTCAAATCGTTCATGAGTTTGGAGGCTATAGTTGCACTCTTTCTTAGCTCTGCGGCCGTTCGGTCGAGCTTGTCGCTGAAGGAGCTGTGGTACTCTTTTGCTAATTTGGCTCGCTCGGAGTGGAAACGCGCAAACTCAGCCTTGAGCTCTTTGAAGTTCTCGCTTCCAATGACAGCATTGATGTAATCTTTGAGGGCAGACCCGTTGTTTTCGGGGCTTTTGAATTCTATGTCGTTGATCAGATTGGCTGTTTGTTTATTTATTCGGTCTGCCTGTTGTCCATCTGAAGAAAACCTGTCTGGCTTGCTGGAAAGCCGACGAAGGAAAACGAGCGGTATTTGCGAAGGATGAATTCTTCGCAAGATCAGCATGGGACTAATTATTTTTTATTTCCATTATGAACTTCTCCACGAAAAAGCCCGCGTCCAAGGTGGGGTTTTCGCTCAAGAAGAAGTCCACGGCGCTGAAGCGGAACGAGATATTTGAGGACGAAGAAAAGAAGGACACAAAGATAGAGATCAGCAGTGTTGACGATATACAGCATAAAAAGGATGAGCCACTAGTTATCAAGCCCGCTATAAGACAAGATGGCTGGGAAGCCCGACGGAGAGAGAGAACAGGGCAAGAAAACAAAGAGCTCCATTATGGCCTGAACAAAATGGAAACCGAAAGACCGCCTACCCCGGGCTCGCGACTGCTAGCTCCCAAATCGATTGAGAGCCAAGACGGCGAGGCTCCTAATTTGAAAAGTTACGAGAAGATGCCCGTGGAAAAGTTTGGCGAGGCCATGCTACGGGGAATGGGCTGGAAGGGTTCTGGAACTCGATCGAAAACGCTTGTCTCAAAGCCCAGACCACCATACTTAGGGCTAGGGGCCAAGCCTTCGCCGGCTCAACAAGGTCGCGCATATAGGCATGATACCAACTATGTACCCGTTGTCAAAAAAGACGACATCGATAAGTCACGAGAAAGGTCTCCAGCAAGAGATCAGGAATATAGGGAAAGAGGAGACTAATAATGTATAGCATAATATAATAGCCTGTAATCTTATCTAGGTCGATCGACCCAAAATAATAATTATGGGGGACTTGGATTTAAGATATATAATTGAGGTCGAAAGACGAAGGGATCGCGAATTATTGGACTCCATGTATGCCACGCCACAGCAGTCGGCAGCTCATGGAATAAGCGACGATGAGGATTCTGTCCGGGAGGACCTTCGCGAGGTCCGCTTACAGGACTTTGACCACCAGCGACGGTTCGAACGGTTTCTGGCCCTGTGTGGCGTTAAAAGCAAGGTTATCAACCGAACCAATGGCCCCAGCACTAGGGGATCAGTGGCGGGAAACAGTGAGCGCTATAATCTGTTTCCCGACTCTAGCGATATGAGTGATGGATACGATGACGACCATTTTGACACAGACTTGGAAGACAACGCTTTACAGCCGTTAGTGGTCACAGAGTCAAGTTTACAGGACCAGGACCTGTTCTACACACAGAACCAGTTGTCATTTCCTCCTCAGGACGGAGATTACGAAGCCGACACATTGCTAGACCGCAGAATACGCAGCTCAGGCGAGAGCAACACTATTTATATCAGCGAAAACTACTACGAGCATGCCATGATCGGGGGCTACGAGTATGTCAGCCAGGACGCATGCAAACACCCGTGCCCCATAAATTCCAACGATACGTTCAAGAATTTTGAAAACCATCACAGTGACGGGGAGATAGAGCTTGTTCAGGATTTTGCTAAAATAGACTCTCTAGAATTTCCCTTGAGATCACAGCCGGCACAGAAGTTCAAAGACTCGCTGGACATCGAGTTTCATGGATTTACAAAGCTTGACTTCGGCAGGCCGGATAAGTACAAGAACAACATTGTATGTTGTTCCGCCAGACATGATATTCTATTTGTTGCTGTCGGAGCCTGTGTCTACGGTTTCACTCACAAAAAGGACAAGTACCAGCCCGATAAATTGCCTCGACTGCTATTCTATACACATCCCTCTGTCACAACAGAAGCTCACCGTCAGAGTGCAACCAGACCGCATTTTCCTCACACAATTAATTATATGGTGATCGGACAGCTCAAAGAGCAAGAAACGCTTGGCCTCTGCTGTGATGACGGCAGAGTACTTCTATACAACGTGGAAAGGCTGGTAAAGAGCTGTCAGGACAAAGGAATACCCAATATGGGAGAAACACCCGACTATCAATTTAGTGCGTCGTCCTCTGTCTGGGGTCTGGACATGTACCAGAATATGGTTGTAGTCTCCGACAACAGCCAGAGCATCCAGCTGCACTATATTGATGAAAACGGAAACGATTTCCATGTCCAAACACATCAGATCTTGCACAATGTTCCTTCTGTCAGCTTTATAAAAGGAGAGGACGAAGTGTATGTTAGCGGCGCTTCCATCAGTGGAGAATTGGTCGTTTTCAAGTTCCCAATGGTGTTCTACGAGGGACCGTATAATAAAGAAAACGGAGATAGATTTGCCAGAATTCGGTTCCGACGTCCGTACATCATCAGTCGAGCATTACTGGGAGACAATGTCTGGATCACCAAATACGTGGATTTCAGTTGTTTCAAGAAGGTCGACTCTCTGGAACTGATGACTGGCGATCCATGGATTGACCAGCAAAAGATGGTTTTGAACAAGATGCTCAACGAGAGCAAAGTGCTCGACTGCGAGTCTGACGAGTGTTATTCCAGCCACATCGGCATCTCAGCCAGCTTCCACAACTTCTTTGTTCCAACGGTGACGCTCGACCACTTGAGCCTGATCTCGCAACAGAAGCCTTTCACGTCGTTGTCTGATAACTACCGGCGGATCAAAAAGGTGTATGATGATTATTATATCTCAAAACAGCGTTCGAAGCAGAAATCACACATATCCATGAACTCCAAAAAATACTGGGAGCCGCAAATCAAGACTCCTCAATTTACCGACAAGTTTCTTGTTGTGTCCACGGCGTTGCGCATGGGACTGTTCCGCGTGAATAAGCTTATCTGCAACGCGACGGTGCCCAAAGTGTTCCAATTCAAGCCATTCAACGAGGACTGGCTCCATTCCAACCGGCTGTCTTTGGGATTTTTGATCCCTGAGCTCAATTGCTATGTGGTGGGCTCGCAATCAGGTCTAGTGTCGGTATTCCGATTGACCACGTTCCGGGGCATCTATGGAATGCGCCAGGAGTATGTGGTGCCCAACTACGAGCGGCTGTGCCTGAGTGGCGATTTCGGCGTGCGGACGCTCATTGGCATTGATTGCAGAAGAATCGCGCCTGGCAGGTACGTCCTATATCTCGTCTACATCGACGGGATATGTCTCAGCTACCAATTGAGCGACAAGTCTACTGGATTTTACGACGATATGTGGATTAAGTAACACTTTTTTTTTTCTAAATTTTTAGTAACCAACATTTTCGTCATGAATAAAGAGGAGCTACTACAACACCTCCTGAATACACTGTCTCCGGACAATGCCTTGCGGAGCTCGTCTGAACGGAGCCTGGTCGAGGCATTGGCCGAGACAGGCGTTCTTGCAGACTGTCTGGAGATCTCTACCGAACAATCATTGCCGTCTCATATCCGGCTCGTCGCCATCACCTTCGTTAAGAATCGGATCCGCAACTCGTGGTTCATCTCCGAGCGGTCTCCGGAGCAACTGCTAGCGCATCGCATCAAACCCGAGGAGAAAGAGCGCATCAAATACCAACTGGTCCCAGCAATTCTTAGCTGCACAGGGAACCAGGCTGTCCTCAAACAGATTACCTCCTCTATGGAGCACATTCTTCGTTTAGAGTCCACTTGGGATACAGAACTGCTGGAGTCGGCACACAAGATGCTCAGCGAGCACTCGGACAGTTTTGACTACGTCTATGCCAGCTTGCTTCTGATCTACCAGGTCTCGAAATACCACCGTTTTGATGCCCTAGAAAATAGAACGTTCATGAACGCTCTCGTGGCCAAATTCTTCCCTGCACTAGAGACGCTCCTAGAGTCATACATCGCCCAGATATCGTCCAGCACCCAGGTGGCTCAGCTGATCTATTTGGAGCTGAAAATATACAAGTACTGCACCTACACTGAGATGCCAAATTATCTCACCACTGACCTCAATCTGCTCAGCAAGTGGTGCGGCTATATGTTCCAGATCATTGATCTGGACAACTCGAGCCTCCGCGACCTCGACGCTGTTGAGCGGTCCAGCCACCCCGTGCTCAAGTGCCAAAAATGGTCGTTTGCAAACCTCCACAGACTCAGATCGCGACACTGCACTAACGAGAACAATCACGCACTGCAGCAGAGCCTGATCACACATTTTCTTCCTTCCATTCTCCAGCACTACTGGTCAGTCATTGGCAGATGGACCCAGTCAAAGAATGACCACTGGCTCAGCGAGGTGTGTCTCTACCACCTGGTGGCATTTATCAGCGAGTGTTTGCAATATGACGGCATCTGGGGATCCATCAAAGAACAGCTGGATCCGCTGATTCGTCACGTGATTGTTCCTATGCTGAGCGCGTCTGAGGAGACTGTGGAGCTGTTTGAGGACGATCCTCAGGAGTATCTTCGACGGTTTTACGATATAAACCACGACTCCAAGACGGCGGACGTTGCCGCCAACGAGTTTGTGTATGCGCTTACATACAGGCGGTTTGAGGAGTCTGTTGTTGTGGTGATGAACATTTTGAATGAGATTTTTCAGAGCAGACAGCAAAACCTGGCTGACGAACAGGTTGCGCACAAAACTGAAGCTGGTTTGAGACTTCTCAGCAATGTGTGGATGAAACTCAACAAGCCAAACAGCCCAATGAGAGACCAGCTGGACGAGATCACCAAATCCTTTATTCTGCCTCAGCTTTCGGACAGCAAGTACAAGTGGCTGCAGACCAGGGCATGCGAGACGATCGCTCTCACATCACACAGCTACAAGGATATCCAGCTGCTTTCGAGCGTATTCCAGAATGTGATGACCTGTTTCGCGAAAACCAGCCCGCTTCCTTTGCGGATCGAGGCCGCTGATGCTCTGCGGTATCTGGTCTCATTTGAACCGATTGCCAATGAGGTTTCTCCTAGGATATCTCTTGTGATGTCTGAGCTGCTTGAGATGAGCAACAATTTCGAGTTCGAGCTTATTAACGAGATCATGGACGATGTTGTTTCTAAGTTTGCCAAAGACCTCGAACCGTTCGCCACGCAGCTGGCTTCCAACCTGAACACGCAGTTTTTGAGGATTGCAGAGGAGCTGCTGCGGTTGCAAAACGTGGACAGCGATAAACAAAGCTCAGAGGAGACAGATAAAGAGTATCAGGCCGCGTCGATCCTGAATACGCTCACCACCATGATCACGACCATGACCTCTCAAAAGGAAATCACCTTTGGGCTGATGAAGACCATCGAGCCGGCTATCAGATTTGTGCTAGAGAACGGACTTGCAATCTTCCTGACGGAGGTCATGGACCTTTTGGAGTCCATAAATTACACGTTAAAGGTGATGATTCCTGAATCGTGGAACATTTTCCAATGTGTGATGGACTCATTTGAAAATTACGGATTTGAATACTACGACAACTACGAGCCCTACTTTGAAACCGTGTGCATACACGGGTTCAGAAACTCGGATATCGCCAACGACGTGCATTTGCAACAGTTTCTTACTGCTATCCTGAGGCTGCTCGAGACAGATGACTACGAGTCGGATGTTGGCCTTGTGGAGTTCGTTTACAACCTGCTTTCTACTGTCATCTTGTCGGTAGGCCCAAACATCGAGCCGGTGCTGCCACAGATTCTGCAGCCGGTGTTGCAGACGGCTGCCAAAATGCAGGCCGATCCGAACGATGACGAGATCTTCCAGGACACCCTAAAGCCGTTCCTGAAAATATTTATTTCCTGCTGTTTTGTTCGTCCCGTGCAAACGTCGCAGCTGATCGGCGAACAGTTCATGAAGTTCATTGAGTTGTGGTTCAACAACGAAAATAGACTCGCTACGGTTTTCGATCTCAAGTTGCAGATTCTGGCCCTGATTTCGCTCTTGAGCGTCGACATGGGCGTCCTATCGAACTACAGCGACGTGATCTTGCACCGCTTGATTGGGTGCTTCGAAAAACTGCCTGCGGCCATTGAGAAGCGCGTCATGCTCATGAAACGTGACATGGCAATCACTCAACTCGTCGAGACCGGAGAGTACGACGGAGAAATATTTGGCGAGCACGACGACGACGAAGAACTGGACCAGCTCACCAAGGACTCGCCGCTGGACCCAATCAATGTTGTGGAGGAATTCAAGAAGTTTGTCTCCAGAGAAGAGCAGCGACTAAAAGACCTGCTGCCTCCTGAAAAGCAGCAGTTTGTCCACGACTTGATCAATAAATAAAATACATTACTCGGCTGTGCAAATTTGATCAATAATCGTACATCTCTATCTATCCACTAGAATACATTACTCGCTCTCATCCTTGACGTTCTGTTGCTGGAGACGGTTTCTGCTGGCGCGAAATAGCTCTTCCTGCTGCCTCAGCAGCTCTTCCTCGGACAGCCCGCTATTCTGGAACTTGCTATTCTTGCGCTCTTTGAACTTGTTGCTTTCCTTGAACTCGCTCAGACATTTCTCAAGCACTGGGATGTAGTCCACAAAGCCAAGCTCGGTCACTGCCTTGAGAACATGGTCGGTCGAGATGGTCTTCTTGAGCTCCTTGTCGGCGATGTCGTTCGATTCAGTGGACAGAATCATAAGGAACTCAATGCAGCACTCGATCAGTGCTTCTCGCGCGTCCTTGGTGAAACTGAACTCAGACGGTAGCACCTCCGATATTATCTTCTGCACAGTTGCCTTCGGGAGGGACAACTCCTCTTGCGGTTGCTGGTTTTCTGACATTGGCTATGGTGGTGATTATGCGGGGGTCCTGGTGTATTTTTGTTAAATTATGTCAATACTGACCCGCGTCTCTGCCATTTCGTGCACCAGCCGGACTGGAAAAAAGTGCTCTTTTTATATTGAAAAATAATTGCCTGCCAGACTAGTTTCGGGCAGGGTAAGTACAGCCTATATTTTCGGGCTGTGTTGAAAAATTTTAGAAATAAATCTACCACAATCATGTCTCTCGTGGCGTCGGCCTTCGATGCGACAGGGCAGTACTACGCGAGCGTGCAGGTGTCACTCGACTCGCACACTCTCAGGGTCCAGAGCTCCAGCGATATGGCCGATGATTTCTCCAATGTGTATCCGTTTGAGAAAGGTGTCAAGATCCGAGCTCTCACATGGATCCAGACCCCTTCAGAGGTGTCGAAGGGTGTCAAAAAGAGACGGATGGACGCCTCTTTGGAAGACCAGCTGATAGCACTCTGTTTGGAAAACGGCGCTGTTCATATATATTCTCCAAGCAGAAACGAGATTGTTCACAAGCTAGCTACTTCTAACCACATAACCACCTCAGACTTCCACCACAATGCGCATTCCAACGTGGCGTACAGTTGCGATATACAAGGAAATCTGTACGAGTTTAACCTCAAAAGCTGGCAGCTTTCCAAGACACATAGACCATTGAGCGAAGAGACCACCCTGACTCGTCTGGCAACAGCAGTATACAACGATCAGCCACATCTTGTTCTTTGCTCGCACTCCACGTACTTGGTGGATCCCGCTGACAACTTTGCGGTTGTCAAGACTCTTCCCGGACACGTTTCTCCTATACATACGGTTCTCAACTATGGTGATGATATAATTTTCACTGCTGCGCAGGGCGATCGGTTCATTAATGCCATTTCCATTTCAAAGGGCACCACCGTCGGAGTCCTGGTTGCCGAGGAGCCTGTTTTGTCGATAGCGATTGCGGACAATGGGTTTGATATGGCTATGTTGGCTGCTACCACCGAGTCGGGAGCCATTGAAATATTCAACAGTCCACTCCAGAAACAGGAGAAAACCGCTGAATCCGCCAGCTCGCCGTACAAGCGCAAGAAGAAAACAGTCAACACACAGAAAAGCGACGCCAAGATCACTGTCGCTCGGCCTGCGTCAGAGGTTGCAGAAAACCTTCCAATTCAGGGCGTTTCTATAGGCCAAAAGCACCTCACTTTGACTTGGCTTGAGGATTCTAGCGTTCCATTTTTTGATGCTATTGACTGGTGGGTCTTAGCGGAAGATGGGACGAAGAATTACAAAATAGACGAGGACGTCAAGCTGGAAAAGCCAAAGCCTAATCTCAAATTTTCTCAGTTTTCCAAGTATGGCCACGACATTGCCGCTCCAAAAACTTACAACGAGAGCAACGCGGTAGTGTCGTCGGGAGACAACCTAAGAGATCTTGAAACTGCCGAGGAGGATGACGAAGACGAGATTTCTCTCGCAGAGAGGCTGCGAGCCATACAAACGAACGGCCACGGAAATGCTGCTGAGAAAACCGGAAGAGCCTCGACGGGAACTTTGACAACTGTGTTGTCGCAGGCACTCAAGTCGAACGACCATTCTCTCCTGGAAAGCGTGCTGAACAACAAGGACGAGACGGTGATCCGCAACACTATCTTAAAGCTGGACTCGATCTATGTTGGCCCGCTTTTGGACAGGCTGGCAGAGAAGATTGCCCGGAACACCAATAGACAGACAAATTTGGCCTACTGGGTCAAGCACATTTTGATATTCCATGGCGGATCGCTACAGAATTCGCCCAGCTTGAACTTGCTGGCTACCACAATGAAAAGAAAAGCAGGAAATTTAGACAGACTTTTAGAGCTCAGAGGCAAGCTAAGCATGATGACAGACAGACTCGAGCTCAAACGAGAGCTGGTAGGCCTCGAGACTCGCGACGAGGACGAGGAAGACGCGGACGTTGAGTACATTGAGGAGCTGGACGACGCGGGTCTGCTGAGCAGCGAGGAGGAAGAAGAGGACGACGAGGACGTCGACGAGGACGAGGATGACGCAATGGCAGAGGAAGACGTCTCAGACGACCAGAATAGTGACCTGGAAGTCGAATCGAACGGGAGAAAAATAGACCTTAGCGACTCTGAGGAGTCGTCGTAAGGTAGATAGCATCATAATAAGGCTGTGTAAGCAAATGAAATTCTCACGCAACTTTTCTAAATTCTAAAGTGGCCAAAAAAAAACTAACTATTGTTAACGGGAATTAATCACTAATCGCTTGTCACGGGCAGTGGATATGGGGACTGAAAAACAAATTCCTCCTGAAAAGCCTGATTTTCTGACCTACTCGTCGTTTCCTTCAAGGAGACATGAGGGGAAGACGCATATTGTGATTGTTGGCGCAGGAATCATAGGAGTTTGCACAGCGTTCTATCTCACAAGACACCCCAGCTTCGATCCGGAAAAATACCACATTACCATTGTCGAGAGCAAACGTGTTGCGGGAGGAGCCTCTGGAAAGGCAGGTGGGCTACTGGCATTGTGGGCGTTTCCGCAGCAGATTGTGCCATTGAGCTTTCAATTACACCAAGATCTCGCGACCGAGTTCGACGGCGAAAAAGAGTGGGGTTATAGACGATTAACGACGGTCAGCGTTGAGGGAGACATCACCGAGTCGCGATTGAGTAGTCTTGACGGTAAAAAGAACGGAAGAACAACCAAACGCAGTCAGAAAGCAGAGGAGGACAGGAACGAGGTGAAGTCCACCACAATATCGAAGAACAGCAATAGTATTTCCATTGAGAGTCAAAATTCGTCTCTCGGGCCAAAACTTCCGGAGGATTTGGGCTGGATCGACAGCAGGCTAATCGATGACTGGAACCACCTTGGTAACAAGAACACCACAGCCCAAGTGCATCCTTACCAATTCACCACATTCATTTTAAAGCAATGCATTGCCACGGGAGCTGTGGAGCTGATTATTGGCAAAGTGGACGACATAATGATTGATGAAGAGACGGGTCATTGCAAAGGTGTCTCTTACTATCCTTCCAGCGCAAAGGCTGAGTATGATAAGACCTCCAGCGAGAAAGTTGAGCTCCTCGCAGATAAGGTGATGATGTCGGTCGGTCCCTGGACATCCAAGATTCTTCCCGACTGTCCTATCTCTGGACTGCGCGCCCACTCCATTACAGTCCAGCCTGCTAAAGTCGAGGAAATCACGCCTTACGCAGTTTTCACAGAATTACGACTTAGTAGGAGTAAATTTGTGAGTCCTGAAATTTACGCAAGGAAAGACGAGGTTTACGTGTGTGGAGAAGGAGACTCATCCGTTCAGATCCCAGAAACTACCGACGACGTCGAAATTGTGACCGAGGAATGCGATAAGCTGTTTGGCTACGTCTCCAAAGTATCTGAAAATTTGAAGAATGGCAGAGTGCTCAAAAGACAGGCGTGCTATCTCCCGGTTTTGGATGTGCCCTCATCCTCGGGTCCTCTAATTGGTGAGACAAATGTGGAAAATCTTTATTTGGCCTCCGGACATTCGTGTTGGGGTATCAATAATGCACCTGCTACGGGTCTTCTCATGAGCGAGCTGCTTCTTGAAGGTAAAGCGACATCGTGCGACATCAGCGCTTTGGATCCAAGTTTGTACTTTGATGCGTCACTAGTTTTTGATGAAGATGGTGAAGAGAACGAACACGAATTCGACGAGGACGACGAGGAAGATGAGGAAGAAGAAGAAGAAGAAGAAGAAGAATGATCATGCGATTAGTTTGGCTACATCGATTGTCTGATCTGTCAGCTAATACACGGGTCAACTAAATTTTTGTATGCCAAACAAAAAAAATTAAATGTATTTATTCTTGGGGGGAACAGTAAGCAACCTTTTATTAATAATATGTGGAAATTAGTTCAATCAGGACTGTCGGTAGTTGCTGGAACTGCCGAGCCAGAATATGGACCAGAGGCAATACACCCGGTCTGCTCCAACCTGTCTAAAGACGAGCCTTTATACTCTCCTTTGTCCCCAAAAGACCTGGAGTACCAAGTGCCGAGCCAGACATGTGTGGAAACCCAGACGTTCTACTTCGCCGATGAGACATACTCCGGATTTGCCCAAGTGATACACTCAAATCTGGTTGGCCTGCATACAACGGCTCAATTTACCTTCAAAGCTTTCAAGAAGAGCAAACCTAATGCGTATGTTTGGACCTCCACCAAGTTGGAGAACTTCACGGTTGCCGGTCCAAACTTTTATGCCGACAATCTGTCCATTGAAGTCGATGATGCTCTTCGAGTGTACCGTATCAAATCGTCCGTTAATCCTGCTAGCATTGTTGATTTGAATTTGGAGCTTATTGGCGAAAGCGTGAAATTTGGAAAGGACGGCACCACCTATTACGGGACAGACCTTGCCAACCCATGGGGCTCAATGAGACACATTTTCTGGCCTCGTTGTAAAGCCTCGGGAACTATCAAGCTGGGAGGCAACGAGCAATTTGAACAAGATATTACTCTGAACTCGGGACTCGGAATGTATGTTATGGCACTTCAAGGCATGAAACCACATCATGCTGCCGCTGCATGGAACTTCCTTAACTACCAATCGGAGAACTATTCAGTCGTCGTGATGGAGTTCACCACTCCGAAATCGTACAATACAACCACTGTTAGCGTTGGCATTGTCACCGATCAGGATGGAAGGATCTTACTAGGATCGGTTGACAATACGACGAAACATCTCAAGACATACACAGACCCTGTTTCTGGCTGGAACGTTCCTGGAGAAATCGAGTTTACTTTGAGGGGAAAGAGTGTCGAAGTTCAAGTTTCCGGCGCCCTTACCAACTTGAGCGAGCGTGTTGATGTGATGAATGAGCTGCCTCAATTTGTGAAGAACATTGCTAGCGGAGTGGCTGGCACAAAGCCCTACATTTTCCAGTTTAGCAACGAACTTGATTTCAAACTCGTTAAGGACGGCAAAGTTGAACACACAGAAACTGGCTACGGATACACCGAGACAACGTTTATTAGCGATGTCATCAAACCATCAAACTAAGCAACAGCGTTATCATTATAATGCGTTTAATTAATGTAATGAGGTTAATAATCTGCTCTATTTTTCAATGTAGGTGTGTCTTGCAAAAGAAACAACTCCATCCGTAGAAAACTGAGGCTCCTTACAGGCGTGTATAATTTATTCCGGCTTGCGGGAAGTGTCTCGCTCAATCGGATCCCAATAAATATAGGGGAAAGCGATAAGACGAATCTTTGCAACTGTTAGCAACTTGATCCATAGAGACTCTCTCTCAATCCTTTAAGCGTTGCTGTCTTTGACTAATTTAGTGAAACACCAAACAAAAGGGACCATACGAAATGGCCTCTAATTCAATTTCGTTTGTGGCTAATCCGCAAACTCCTAACAAGCAAAAATATGCTTCAAATGAGCATTCCACCGTGTCTTCCACAACGTCCTTGCTCTCAGCAGGCTCGCCAGTACTGAATCAGAACATGGACCTAGCACGCGTGGGTTCTTTGCCCTTTCGTTCTGGAAATTCTAGGGGTAAGAAGCAAAATGTTGATTTCCTTAGGACGCGCTCCGCAAACGCCTTCGACGCAGAGGCTGATGATGCCTACGACATCAGTACTGTTGACCAAGAGGGTGTGGACCCTCAACACCGCGAGAGTTTTTCTTCCGGCGGTCTAGACTCGTCTAGTGAGTGGATCCTATTTTCTCCGGGCCCTTCAGAACCGGGAAAGCCCGCAGAGGACCCTTATTATGACGACGTTTTGAGCACGTCTTTAGAGAAGACTTCTACACAGGATGCGAACGACGAAAGCTTTGTTGATGTACAGGACGAGGGGGACGATGACGACTCTCTGATTGAGGATCTTCAGGAACATATCAATCTTGACATACCTTATAGGAAAGAGGATTTGAATTTTCGGATCGAGAACTGGCGCAAACAGCAGGTGTCCATCCTTCTCAGGGACCTCGCTGGAGACCAGAGTGAGCTGGATGATGACACAATCGAGCTCATCAAGGCTTGGGGTATTGACGACACAGGGTCGGGAGATATCTACCAGAACTTATGGCTACAACAAATACCTGTCACCGATACGCATTACGGCGACGGCGTACTGAAAAGCTATTCAAAAGAGGACCTCAAGGTGCTCAAGCAAATATTAGTCAAGCTTTCTGGCTCTTTGAGAAGGACCGTTAAGTCCAAATATATCAAGCCACAGTTAAGCCAAGCGCCAACTAGAACGACTTCGATGGCAACAATCACTGAAGTTTACACAAATCCAGCCAAGAAACGGGACCCTGACCAGTTCATGAACAACAAAAGTCTCCAAAAATACATACCCTATTTTCTGAAGAACCTCATCATCACTTCAGACTTGCTGCCGCAATTCGAGCGCTTTGATGACGACAACGCAAGCGAAGAAGACGAGGGACAGAAAACAGACACAGAGGATGGACCTATGGCTCCCTACGTCGCGGCTCGCAAAGAAAGTATAATATCCAATTTTTCGGAGGGAGCGAGAATACGATCAACAGATGGCGGTCGTCAGGGAAGCAAAGGGCTTGTGAGGCGCAACAGCAACGATAATTTTTGGGATACACCTGACCTGAAGAGTGTCAATTCAAGCATATTGACCTACTCCACAGGCAGTATTGTAGGATTTTAGTTAATACATATTTGGGTATAAATAACACACCGTTCAAACAGCCTTCATACTGAACTTTGCCAACTTGTAACGGGCAAGCACAAAAAGTAAAGTAGCGGAGCACGATCCTGCTCCTGCAAACCCAACCATGCCGTCATACCCAGCAGCAGTATTAGTGATTGCGATACCGATAGGAATGCAGATCAGGTTGCCGAAACTGACAAAAAAGTATGCTGTGCCGTATCTTTTTCCAAAATCTCTAGGGTTTGAGATCTGAGACGTGCACAGTGGAGTCAATGCGAGTGTACCTGCCGTAGCAAAGCCATAGATTATACAGAAAATGAAGAATAAGGGTTTGATATGGCCAAACGGTAGCCAAAAAACCAATATTGAAAGCGCTTGGATGGCTGACACTGCAACCATCAAGTTGAACTTTCCGTAGCTGTCAGAGAGATGTGAAGGGATGTATCTTCCAAAGACACCAGCGGCATTGACTACCGTCAGCGCAATCAGCGATAACGACTCGGAGTAGCCGTTGTTAAGGGCATACGACGGGATATATGTGAAGCACAAAATAAGTGAGAACTCGTTCATGAAAAGGCCCCCAACAAGGAGCAAATAAACAGGGTCCCTAAGAGTCTTGAAATCAATGCTCTGTTTCACTTTTTCCCAAACTTGCGACGCACTATGGTTTTTCGAGTCCCCATCAATTTCGTCAAGACGGTCATCGATCAACAAGCAACTCACCGTCAACAGTCCAATGAAAATAAAAGAAAGCACCCTCATAGTCCATGTAAAACCGATTTTTGGATAGAGAGAGTTACAGACCAGGGGCCATACGACCCCTCCAATGCTTGCTCCGGGCATGGCAATGCCAAGAGCCAGCCCTCGTTTCTTGCGGAAGAAGTGAGCTATGCAACTGACCATTGGCGCCATAAGCAACGCGCAGCCCACTCCGCAGCAAACACCAAACGACAAGATAAATTGCCAAACCTGAGTGCAGTTGGCCGTTGCCAAGAGCCCGGCGCAGACTAGTAGGGCACCGGGAATGGCCACCTTTTTCGCTCCAAAGGTGTCAAATAGCGCGCCAGAGAAGAGATTGCAGCCAAACGTCAAAAACGTGTAGATGGCGAAGATCCACGAAATAGTGGTGGTTGGAGTTGTCTTGAGTGTATTTTTTTCTAGATACGACTCGATCGCACCTGTCGAATTCATCAGTCCAAACGAGCAGACCAGCCCCATCAGTGAGGCAAAGACCGTGGAGTATGCCTTGAACCCTCCATCTGGATAGTAGATGCTCTCATTGGAGTTCTCAAGAGAGAGCTCGTGGGAGTTTTCTTGCGTATTCTCTTCAAAAGATTTGTTGCCTAGGTTTGGATTCCGGGACTGGAAAGCCGACGAAGACCCAATTGGCCGTTCGTCATGTACTGAGCGCTCCCTATCAACATGCTCAAGCTCTATCGACTCCTTTCTATCGCGAGTCTCGTGAGCAGGGAACATGAAGAGCACAATTGCGATAAGAAATCTTTTTGGAAATTAGCGATTTTTTATTACTACATCTATGTCATATCAACATCCCGCGGAGCAGATTCCGTGATCTGACCAGCATCCTCATCAGGATCAATCTCATCCAGATAGCTTAGCTCTTCGCTGTCGCGGTACTCGTTGATGGTGGACTTCAGGGTTTCCCTGGCCTCGTCGAACTCCATGCTGATATCTCCATGGTCGAATTCATATTCTCCTCGGCTATAATTATTGAGGAACGCTCCTCTGCTCTTCAGCTGATCGTACTCGCTGAGGGTCTTCTTGAGTAGCTTCAAAATGGACGTGGAGTTTGCCAGCATCAGACCGCTTACTTGCTTCTGGGACTTGTTCAAGAACGGTGATTTCTTTCCCAGAGCCATGTGAATAGCCGACGAGCTCCAGGGCACGTAATTTATCCGCGTGCGTGCCTTGACCAGCGCCTTTTGGACATCCGATTGCTCGATCTCTCCAATAATGATGTCGAGCACCGAGAGATTCATTCCTGTATCGCTCGAGCTGCACATTCTGAGCTTCTTATCCAGCACTTCCAAAATCACGTCGTACGCCGTGCTACGTCGGATTTCGTGCGCATTGGACACATAGTCGCTCGTAAACGGAGTGTAGCTGGCTATCAGAAAATGCAGGTCTGGCGTGGGTATCAATGTGGACAGTATACTAGTCAATGAATTGTACGAGTACCCTGGAAATCGCAAAGTATTAGTTGCAGCAGACATCACTGTGGAAATAAGCTTGTTAGTGTCTTTGTATGAGGGACTTGAAACCTGCAAGTTGGTGGATGCTATGGACATCAACGCGTTGTTGTCAAACACGATATTAGCGTCAGAATTCTCAATCAGCCGCTTCAATGTGAGAACTGTGTTATATGGTTGGACCACCACCTCAGAAGCTCCAAAAACGGAGTATGTCTGGACCAATTTTTTCGGGAAACGATCGCTCAGCTCCTGCAAGAAGAAGGACCCAATTCCCGATCCTGTTCCTCCGGCAACCGAGTGAATCAGTTGGAAACCTTCAAAAGAGTCGCACGCATCGATCTCCCTGTTGACCATATCCAAAAACTCTTCCTTGTGTCTCTGAGCATGGTGGTAGCCCTCGGCCCATTTGTTTCCCGCTCCTCCCCCTTCTGGGGCAACGTAGATATTTTTGGGATTGAATAGACTGCCGGTTTTGCTGCGAATATTATTTATCACTCTTGGTTCCATATCTATTAGAATTGCGCGCGGTGTGTATCTGTTATTATCATTACGTTGGAAGAAGATGTCTGTTTGGTCCTCTCTGTATAAATTGTGCGTTTCTGGAGATGTTGTCCCATCAGGTAGGATTCCGTGTTCACTGCATATTTGGCTCCAAAATTGCTCACCAACCTGGTTACCACATTGGCCTGGAACGTTAGTCTTCTGGAGCAACAAGATTACGACTTACCTGCTTGCAAAGTGATTATCTCACCCGGCATGGTGTATAGTCTTGTTTGTTTATGTCGATAATATATTTTGCGCGTCGCGAAATCTTGCCAGGGCTCCAAACAAGATCTATTTTCCAGAGCTCATTTTCTTGACAAAAGCATGCGTTGGACCCCTTTCGTATTAGTCTGGCTGTCTTTGCTACCTGTGGAGGCAGTGAAGTCCTTCCTGTTCAAAAAGTGCAGCGAGTCGGGATTCTGTTCCAGAAACAGACATTTCGCTAGTGAGGTCGAGAAACTGGGAGCGGAGTACGATTCAAGATACTCCATTGATCTGGAGTCACTCGAAATTGATCCCTCTGCCGGATACTTGCATGCTACACTGCTTAAGATGCTCAATGATGGGTCCTTCGTGTCGCTGGATATGAACATGAGCGTGCTGGAAGACGACAATCTGCGTTTACAGATCGACGAGGCGGAGAGAAAACCAGTTGTCGACCATGTGACCCGCCAGCGGTTCAACGAAACGGCTAAATGGGCGCTGGCCGAGCAACCTCGTCTGCAGTCATTTATGCATTCGGTGGACTCTGACAGAATCACTCTTCAATTCCACGAATATCGTGTCGATATTGAGCTCCATCCGTTCAAGCTCACATTCGTGCGTGACGGAAAAGCTCAATTGGTCCTCAATGACCGGAACTTCATGAATATCGAACACTACAGAACAAGAGAGCAGGAAGACGCAGAAAACTCCATCCATGTTGCTCCTGAGGAGTCTACTTTCGATGCCTACACAGACAGTTTCAAAGACTCCAGAGACGACAAGCTGCCGTTTGGCCCAGAAGCTGTGGCGGTGGATGTCTCTTTTGTCGGCGCCAAAGCTGTCTACGGTATTCCTGAGCATGCTGACTCTTTTGCTCTGAAAGACACGACAGACACAGAGCCTTACAGACTGTACAATGTGGATATTTTCGAGTACGAAACACAGAGCAAATACCCAATGTATGGCTCGATTCCATTTATGATTGGACTTGGCGAGACCGGAAGCACTGGAGTGTTCTGGCTCAACAGCGCAGACACCAACATTGACATCAGGAAATCGGAGAGCCAGGTCCAGACCCACTGGATCTCGGAAAGCGGAATTTTGGATATTGTCCTCTTCGCCAAAAAGACCCCAACCCAGGTTGTGCAGTCTTACAGCAAGCTCACGGGCCACTCAGCGCTACCAAACATCTTCTCTCTTGGATACCACCAGTGTCGGTGGAACTATAATGACGAGGAGGATGTTCTGGACATCAGCGCCAAATTCGACGAGTCTCTGATTCCGTTTGATGCTATCTGGCTGGATATCGAGTATACCGACGACAAGAAATATTTCACGTGGAAAAAAGAGCTTTTCCCAGATCCTGAGCGCATGATGGACAAACTGGGCGAGACGGGACGAACCTTGATTGTGATCATCGATCCCCATCTCAAAGTTGGCTACGATGTTAGCGACACGGTTGCTGAGAAGAAACTAGGTATCCGCAAAAACGACGGCTCGGATCTGTACCACGGACACTCGTGGCCAGGCGAGTCTGTGTGGATCGACGGCATGAACCCGGCTGCACAGCCGTTTTGGGATAGCTTATTTGCCAACGGGTCACGTCTGCTAGGGTCTGCTACCAACGCTCATCTTTGGAACGACATGAACGAACCGTCAATTTTCAACGGCCCAGAAACCACTGCTCCTCGGGACCTGATTCACTATGGCGACTGGGAGCATCGCTCGGTCCACAACCTGTGGGGCCTCACTTTCCACCAGATGACATACAATGCTCTAATAAAGCGGAACCCTAATCAGCGGCCGTTCATTTTGACTAGATCATTCTACGCGGGCTCCCAGCGCACGGCTGCCATGTGGACAGGAGACAATATGGCCAAATGGGAATATATGCGCGAGAGCATTCCAATGGTGCTCACCATGAACGCTGTGGGCTTTCCATTTGCAGGGGCAGACATTGCAGGATTTTTTGGCAACCCCGATAAAGAAATGCAAGTCAGATGGTATCAAACAGGCATCTGGTATCCATTTTTCCGTGCTCACGCTCACATTGACTCGCGTAGACGGGAGCCATGGGTTGCCGGCGAGCCCTATACGGGTATGATGCGAGAAGCGATCAGATTAAGATACAGACTGCTGCCATTGTTCTATACACAATTCTACAAGCACTCCGTTTCTGGAACTCCCGTGGTGAGTTCTCTCGCATTCGACAGCCCTGAGAATCCTGACGTGTATATCATCGACGACCAGTTCTTTGTGGGGCCACTGCTGGTGAAACCTGTCACCAGCCCAAACACACACACCGTCAGACTGTACCTGCCGGACGACAAGCCATACTACGATTTTGAGTCGTTTGAGAAAATCAGCGGCAAGGGCTATCACGAGGTGGAAGCTCCGCTGGACAAGGTGCCTGTGTTCCTTCGCGGCGGCTCGATCATGCCTTCCAAGGAACGGTACAGACGCTCGTCCAGACTGATGAAAAACGATCCATACACGTTGTATATTGCTGCAGACGAGGGCAGAGCCACCGGCGAGCTATATATTGACGATGGCGAGACGTTTGCGTATCAAGAGGGAGAAAAGGTATTCGCCAGGTATGAGCTGGACGGAGCCAAGATCACATCCACCGTTGAGAGCACCTACGACACGGACGTGAGGATCGAGCGAATCGTTCTTCTAGGCGGTTCTCAAGCCACGGCAGCCACCGTCGAACAGAACGGACAAAAATGGACAGCTGAGGTTGTCGACCAGGGAACTCACGCAGTGGTGAGGAACCCTAGACCTCTCGTTGCAAAAAATTGGACCATTTCTCTGAACTAGACTAATGGCACGCAATCGACCCAGGAAGAGCAGCTCCGTTGTCTTTGAACCCGAAAACGTATCTTCCCGCGATGCTGCCGAGTACCACAGCGGCCATCAGCCACACGTTGAACGTCATGAATATCAACATGATCATAAACGAATATAGCACAGACACACCGTAGAGAATCGAGCTTTTCACCTTGTAATTCTGTAGCGCCGTACCGGAAAGCGAAGGCTGTTTGTATGAGCGCGCCTCCCAGCGAGCAGTCCAATTCTTGAGCAACTCGTATCCAGCCGATAAGGCAAAGACAGCAACAAGAGAGAGGACCAAGGACTGCACGGAAGTAATCATCCAAGACGACGACAGCACACAAACGTTCTCGTAGTCTGTCGTCAGCGTCATGGACATCTTACACATCGGCATTGGGTCCATGGGATCCATCATATGGTGAGAATGGTCCATAATGGATTATTTAATTTTTTTATTTGCTCAGTCCTCTATTTATACACCCTCCACGTAATCCTGCAGCATCTTATCCCTCACTGTGTAGCGTACGTTTGTTTCTATTGGCTCAATGGCAATCGACTCCGGGAACTGGTTCAGCTCCAGCGGGTGCAGGCTTGGCGATTCGTCTTTGGCAGCTTCTATCTCGAACATCAGCAGAAACTTGCAAATCAGCACATATAGTTCCTTGAAAGCCAGGTTGTTGCCAAGACACATGCGTGAACCCACGCCAAAGGAGAAGTGTCTAAGGTTTGTGTCCACGTTTCCCGTTTCTGGGTCGAGCCATCTCTCGGGAATGAATTCCATGGGCTTGAAAAACCGCGTTTTGTCGTGGTTGCCAGCCCAGGCGTTCATAAATAACGTGGTGCCTCGTGGGATCACTGCGTCGCCTATGACAATGTCTCTAGTAGTCTCGCGGGGCAGGGACATGGGCAACACGGTGAAAAGCCGAAGCGTCTCCTTCACGATGGCCACCACATACGGACACAGAACCTCGGCGTGGCAGTTGTTCCATGCCTCTATGGGATCGTTGTTGTAGCACTCCAGGAGCTTGACCCGTGCATTGGCTCGTATGTGAGGCGACTCGCTGAGCTGAATCATGGCGTACTGGAAGTTCAGCGGAGTGTTGTCCAGGCCTGCACTGACCATTGTGAGACAGATGCTACCAAGCTGGCTCCCATTTAGCAGTTCCTGGTCGTTATTCTTGACGTAGTTGAAGATCAGGCTTCGACGCACGTAATCGTCTGGCACGTCTAAACGCGAGGTCGTGAACTGGTTGAACTTGTACAGATAGTTGTTTCTACGGTGGTACAGTTCCCTGGCGATTTTGGACTTGCCGTAAAAAATATCAAACACCAAACGGAGATACCACGGCAGATAATCCTGGACGTTCTGGATGTGAGAGCGGATTTTTGTGATGTAGTTCTCCACGTAAACCATTTCGTCCGCCAGCTGTCGTTCGTCGTTGTTTGCACGAGCGTTAATTTCGTAGCCGTAAGTTAGAATCAATGCTACCCCCAAATGGAAATACTGACAGTCCCGGGTAATATCCATCTCCACGACGTTGTCTGTTGTCCTGGACAACATGTACTGCACGAGCTTAGTGGCCTCCTTGTCGATGATGCTGGAATTGTACTTTTTATTGCTCGACTCGTTGAGTAGCTTGCTGGACATGTATTTCCGGCTTTTTAGGTACGACTCCCCAAAAGGAGTGGTCCCGACGGTGAACACCTTCGATTGCGATAAGACGCCGTGAAACGTGTGCAGGATTGGCCGTGAGTTGTTATTTCGAATGTTGTGGTAACACCAAAGCTGAAGAATGGAATCGTAGGAGTTGGCTACCACGACGGTCCGGGTACCCAGTCGGACCTGGAACACATCTCCGTATTTTTGGGCTAGCTCTGCAAACTTAGAGCACGGTGACTCTGTGTAGTTGTGGGCCTGGGGGAAGAGAATGGAGAGATTGCCCCAAATGGGGACCCACCAGGGGATCGACGGGAGATTTTTGATTCTATGCGGGCGAATGTATATATAGTCGGCAGCCACGAGGGCCAAAAGTAGCAGTGCGGCGATGAGTGAGAGTTCGAGCTGAGACATCTTCAAAAGAAGTGCGTTTGCTATGCGTGAGATGGCCGGTATCAGGAGATCCATAGAGGTTTTGTAGTCCATCGAAATATATACTGGCGAAGGATTTTATTCTGGGCGGCACGCTATTTTACATGTTTGGTCTGCCACCCGTGCAGAATAAGGTTCTATGTGGGGAAGAACAATGCTGCAAATAAACCATGATGAAACGGGAATTTGACACGGAATTCAAAGGCGAGATATTTGCATCAGCGTTGAGTGTTTGAGCGCAATGCTTGTGATTAAATTATTTTTTCCTCTCGTGCTATGATCCTTGTTTTGGAGCTCAGTTGTAAATAATAATTTTTTGTTTATCTTTAAATGTCCACTGCAGAGGAGTTAGAGCAGTCGCTGCAGAGCTACGAACAGCTCAAGGAGAAGATGCAGATGCTCAAGACGCGTCTGTCGGAGTACTTAGAATCCGTCCAAGCAGACCTGCTCGCCAAGAAACGCAATTACGAAACGTCAATGATCCATCTCCAGGAAAAAGAACGAGACCTGAACACAAAACTCCGCACATACGAGGGCCTCCATAATGAGCTTTTAGAGGAGCTGAACCGGCTGATCTCCGATCGAGACACGTCGATGTCACGCGTGCAGCAACTGAAGATCGAGGAGGAGAAATTACTGAGAGAAAAGAAGGAGCACGAAAACAAGATCCAGGTGATCAACGATGAACTTGAAGACAGCATGAAGGCTATCAGTGAGCGCGAAACATTCATAACCAAACAAAGCGACCTTATAGAGGATAAGGCGTTCCAGCTGGAGCAGCTTTTGGGGCTACGTATGGAGAATGCTGGAGTCGATAATCAGATACTATTCGTGTTCCGCAACGTGGACAGCAGAGACTACTCTCGCGAGGTGTCGTTTGTTTTCGATCCCGAAAAATACTCCATAGTCGAGACTGATCCGCCGCTGGACCCAGACACGGTGAAGAACGTGATGGACGATTTTCTCAGGCATCAGGAGATCGGATATCTGTGGAGAGACATGCGCCGGGAGTTCAAGCGCAAAGTGAGGTCATGAACTGTGTGATAATAAATTGTACTATAGTATTTGTGGATTGAATATTTAATTTTATTTCCTAAAACGAATAATTCATGGAATCCGAGAACGGTGACGCTCCGTCCGTGAAAAAGGTGAAGACGGAGTCTCCGACACCGCAGCCAATTCCACAGCTCAACACACAGACTTCTGTACAGACAGCAAAGACCACCAAGGGAGTAGACGAGATAGTGGATGGATCCGACTTGCGCAAGTTCCTGAACAAACATTTCACCGAGGAACTCATCAGTGGACTAAAGTACGTGTGGGACACACACCGCAGCGAGACATTGAGTGATGGAGAAGTGCTACAGAAGCTTGGAGAGCGTCTTATCGAGCGCGGGAAACAGAAATCGGAGACAGGCAACTAATTACATGATATTTAAAATTTCTCAGAATTTTGGGACTCCTGGGCCAGCAAGTTGAGAGAGAACCGCGACACGAGCCGGATCAGCTGGATCTTCCAGCCTCTGAAAACGGCCTCGTATCCTTTGTTAATTTCGTCTGTGTCCTCAATCTCCAGAACAACATTTTCTGCGAACGAGTTGTCGGCCCCATAATCGACAGGTTTGGTGCCCGTCACAACGTAGTAGAGAGTCGATAAATAGCCATAGTAGCCACCAAACTTAATGCATAGCTGATCTGGAGACAGTTTCATCGACTCGGGAAGTGTGGAGCATGTGAGAAGATGGCTGACTTGGGCACGGTTGTATAGCGTTTCGAAAGGCAGTCTGACGAACAGACCCACCACCTTGGACACAAACACCAGCGCGTTGTAAAGGGATATGGAATTGTATTTGTTAACCTGCCATAAGACAGTCAGGAAGTAGGTTGGGTAGTGGATGGTGAATGATCTGATGGCATTGGTGACTATATTTGGAATGATGAGCTCTTTTGGAGGCGTGAGGATGAAGAAACGAGGCAAAGTCCAGATGATCTCTCTGAACGACCTTGGGCCCTTTCCTGAGTTTGTAACAATAAATTTCATTCTGATCAGATTGAGCTGGGCCAGCAGTAGTCCCGTGACAACGTCTGCACCAACACTCAGGGCCAGACTCAGACCTGCGTTAGGAGAGTGCATCATTTCCACGTAAAAAGGGTCCGGAATGCCTAGCAAGCCAGAGATAAAGCCACTGACCCATGATCTGATGGTGTATTGGAGTGTACTGATAAGAAACGACGTGTTGACTGCCTTGAACACTCCCCGAGGGCCCTCTTTGGACACGAGAGCAGAAAGAACGTCCAAACTGTTCAGCGAAACAGGCTCTATCTTGTCGACCAGCACTTTTTTCGGGAGGTTCGTTGAATGACTGAGTCTCGGCGCGCGCTCGATGTGCGATTGTCTCATTCTGTTTGTGTTGTCATCTTCCTTGGTGAAATAGTTATCGTCGTCATCAGACTCGGAATCGTCTTGGATCGCACGGCTGGGGACCGATATATGATTCTGAAACGACCCTACCTGCAACAAAGTGGTGGCAATTTCAAAGGGCTGGTTGAGCACCAACTTAAAATAATTAGTGGCAAACGAGTGGAGCAACGAAGACACCAGTTGTTTCAAATTGTTCCAGTCTAAATACTCCTTAAACTCCAGATCCAAGTAAATATTCTTATGATATGTTGTCTGAGGCCTAGTAACCAGCGGCTTGATAAACTTGCGAGCAGTTCCGCCAGACCCTGACGAGACCTGATTGATGAAAGGGAGGTCCATGGAAATAGACTGGTTGCTTGTGTTGTCGATGATCCCCACATACGGCTTGTACGAAATCGGGTAGTGAAGATCAAACTCGTTCTTGTCCTTATACGGACGCAAAAGTGTTTCGTAAGACTCCTGGAGAGCCATCGGTAATTATATAAGGATAAAAAATAATTCAGATATTCTCTTAATTTGATATATTTATTTCCTAGTCGTCTGCAACCCTCCATGATTTTAGGACATTGAGGTATTTGTAGTTCGCGCTTGGCCCGTCCATACCAAATGTGACTGGCAAGAGGAAGATAAACCATCCAATCACAAGAGCGTAAAGGAAAATGTACAAGGCGCCGGCTGCCCAACGGTTCAGCTTCTCAGCCAGTCTGTAGACCGTGTAGCAGTAGACAATCATGGCAAAATAGAGTGCTGGAAGGTAGTGGTGAACGTACGTCACTCTACCCATGATACAGAATGGAAGATAATGCAGAAGCCATCCCAAAAACGGATACAGACCTCCCATCACAAACAGATCGGCCTTTTTGGGCTGTCCTTCGAAATCGTTGATTTGGCGTTGCCATCTCAAGAGGTAGCGCACCACCATAATAACAAAGACAACAATGGCAACAGAGGAGGTCCAGGTAGTGGCCGGAGAGCCAATCAGGAAGTATTTCACGTTGTCGTCGCCCCAGCCGCACAGTCTGATACCAACATGAAGGGTAGGCCATTGCCAAGCATTCGAGGCCAAATCGTCTTGTTTCTCTGGGTCCGGCACCAAAGCGTTGTTGGTGGCCATCATGGCGATGTTGAGCTGGATGAAGTCTTTCAGAAAAGATGTCTTCGGCAGCTTGAAGTCTTCTGGAGGATTAGGAAGCTCAGGGTTGCTGTGGTTCTCTATGTTCCACCAGGTCCGCTTGTCTCTCTTGAACGGATTCTTCATGCACATGACCTCGCCCTGGCGGAATCCCCATTGAGGCAGCGCGATTCCGGAAGAAGCCAGGTAGCAGCCCAAAGCCTCGGATCTAAGTCTGAACGAGGTCGTCAATGGGTGTAGTCTAAGCTTGTCCTCTGTTCCGTACTGGTCCACCACTTCGACGACCCAGTTGTCCTTGAAGTCTCCAACTGTCAGGTTTCCGTATCCAGACACCTCGTAGTGTGAACTAGACACGGGAGCAGGGATCTGGTGGGTGTGCAAATTTCTGCCGGTCGATTTGTGAATTAATCTGACGGACATGCCGTCCACCACGTAATGAGGCTCGGTGAACTCGTTTCTAGGGTCTTCTCTCACAAGCTCGAACACCCAGTCATTGTTGGAGTCCTTGTGCGAGTAGGTGGTGACCTGTTGCTGGTTGGAGCCTTCAGGATACGTCTGGATATGAGAGTGCAGGAGGCCACCGGTAAGGCCCTGGTTCTTGATGGTGACCACAGAATTGAGGGTCATGACGTCTCTTGGACCGGACTGCAGTTCCGAGCCGAGCAGGTTGGCCTGGAACAGCGACGACATGTTGGCGTCACCTGGGCCAGAACCGAAAAGCAGGTCAAAGTGGACTTTGAAGCACACCACGAAGACGGTAAAGGGAACAATGATGAGTGCCACGATTCTGGCGACCCAGTGGTAGAAGTAGCGTTTGAGTGGCATGGTGGTACGTAGCTCGCCAAACTTGACCCACAGATCCACCATGGTGTAGATGCCGACCAAAGCTGTCACAAACAGACCCACCATCTTGACGGAGCAGGTGCAGCCAATGCAGATACCCGTCAACAGAAGCCATTTCCACCATTTGCGGGAAAACGAGTTGGCCTCGTCTCTGTTCTGGTTGTGGAATCTGGCCATGCTGAAGACGGTGGCCACTGTGAAGAACAGGAGCATGGAGTCTAGCAGAATGAAGCGGCCCAGGGTGGTGTATGAGGTTTCGAGGGTGACCATTAAAGTGAAGAGCCAGACAGTCTTGAGATCGAAGCCCAGCTCTTTCATGGTGAAGTAGGCAAAGGGGACACACAGAGAGCTGAACGTGGCGTTGAATAGTCTCATCTTGACGTAATCGATGTACTCAGGGTACTCCTGGCCGGACGGGAAATCCCAAGACCCGTTATACCCTGCCAGATAGCCAGAGAGTCCCACTAGCATCTTGCCCAATGGAGGATGGACGTCGTGGTAGAACTCGTGTCTGAGGTAGTACGAGCCGAATTTGCCAAAATGGGCCTCGTCCCAGACGACGTTGCTGTTGATGCCGATTTTGTACATTCTGACGAAGAACGACACGAAAGTGAAGAGAATTGGCGCAACAACAGCCTCGACTTTGCGCCAGTTAAAGTCCTGGACGGGAGGCAGCTGAGGCTCTGGAGCCGGGGTCGCCAGCTCCACAAGCTTCTCCTTCACCTCCTGGTCGGAAATGGTGTCTTTTTTAGATTGCGTAGGCACCATGGACACTAAGGAAAACAAACGATTTATTCGACGACACGTAAAAAATAGCGAAAAATAATTCTATAAAATAATATGCTATGTAAGCACGGTGCGTGTTTATTTGGCCAGACACCAAATTTCATCGGTTTGCGTCTCGTTTTTCGTCGGTGCTGGAGCTGTCGTCAGGCGAATCCGCAGGATCTACTGACTCCGTCGGCACCTTCCTCAACCTCGGCGCGGTCGGGCCTGGATAGGACACGTCTATGGAGCCCTGGTGGATACCGGCAATATCGTTAGAGTGGCTGGCGATTTTCGATGTGATGCCCGCGGCAGACAGTCGCTTGCGCATCGCGCCCATGTCGTCCCTGCTTGTGTTCCTGCTCAGATGGCGGACAATCCGGTCTCTCATAGACTCCTGGCTCCTGGAAGCTGTATCGAGCTGTGACTCTGCGTCGGTCTGTGTAGCGCGGCGACGCCAGCTGCTGCGGGTCAACGACAGTCGGAGATCTTTGCCGTCCTCAGTTGCCTGTGCTATGCTCCGTTCGTGCTCCAAGGGCTCGCCCATGTCGTAAACAGGGAACACTCCGCTAGGCGACCGTTCCGCGACGGATGGAGCATACCGTTGCACCTCTGGCGGGTTGTAGTTGATGGTGCTGTTCAGCGAGGTGACGGGAGAGTGGCCAGAGGTGCGCACCACCCTGGAGTCCATGTTCAGCTCAGGCTGCTCGTCGCGCTCCTCATAGTCTGGAAGATGGAGCTGTTTCATGTCCTGCTCAATCACCACGAGATGCAAATACCACGGAACAACCACTCCAAAAAACGATCCTCCAATAATATTTCCTAGCGTAGCAGGAAGAAGCAGTTTCCAAAAGTACCGGCCCCAGCCAAACGAGCACTTGTTGAAAATCCCAACAGGCACCAGAAACATGTCTGCCACGCAATGGGTGAATCCCATGGCCACAAATGTGAAAATCGGGAGGTATATCATTATGAGCTTGACGTGTAACGGTTTCACCATTATTTGCAAATAGACTGCAAGACACACGAAAAAGTTCCCAGCGATACCTTTCAAAAACGTCTGCATGAAGGAAAAGGCCTCTTTGCTCTCTGCTATTTCACGAGACTCAGTAACATAGGTCCCTGAAGAGGTGATACCAGAAACATGGCAAAATAGATATACCACGAAAATGGTGGCGCCTAAATTGACCCAGAGCGAAACAAGCCAGCTCGTTAGCAGGTCTACAACCGAAACGGCCCCTCGCATCACCCCAACAGAGAAAAATAGCACGTTAGAGTTGAACAGTTCCATACCCATGGAGATGACGAAAAATAAACCGATCGAGTATACGCTTCCTTGCAACAAACTGACCACCCCGACAAACCCGTGATGGGCCAACCCTGGATTCAACGCCTGCACCATCAGGTCCAGCATTCCTCCGGCAGAAAAGAGAAATGCGCCGATGATAGAGTTGATTACCAGAATGTGCGGCTTTAATCTCGACTTCTTCATTGCTGTGGCAACAACGGCCAGGGCAGCCTCGTGAACAGTTAGATAGTATGTGTCATCTGCCATCAGCTGCTGTGCGGAAGAATTTCAGAATCTAAACGAAAAAGCTCGAAGCTTCCCACCCCTTGTGGCTCCTTTTTGAACGCTTCGAGTCTGGAGTCCGTCTCACCCGGTGATGATGATTGGATGTTTGTTGGTCTGGGGAGTGGTTGTGGGGGTGTTGGGTCTCTGGTGTGCATCTCTGCTGGAAATTTTTCACCGTCTTGGGGGCTGGAGTTCGGAAAAACTCTTACGTAAGAACACAAACGATTTTACCAAGCCAGAGTCCATCTGGGCACAATAAATTAAGGAATAAGTATTTTCGCGCGACAGGGTCAATCTATTTACGTGATCAGGGTCAGCAACAGCGTGAAGATGAGACTTGATAGACAGTTGAGCGGGAATATTAGGTCTTCGTGCATGTGGAAAAAGCACAGGTACGACACGAACGGCCACATCATGTAGTAGTATTTGAGCGACTGGATATATGTTGTTCGTAGATGGGTGAACAGGTCCTGCCGTTCCCAAATGCAGTTGTACAAGATGAACAAGAACTGAAACATGAGTCCACCAAATGTCTGGTCGTACACGAATCTCATGAGTTTGGTGTCCACCTGAGACACCAGCAATCTAATCCAAAAGGTGGTAGCTGCTCCATTGAAAATCCCGTAGATGTAGAATTTAATATGCTTAGATATGCTGATTGTACGCTGGTAGAATTGGTTCAACGACTGTGCCAGACATGACGTTTGTGCCCCAAGAAGAGCCCCAGCCAATAGCGGATGATACTCGTTGATGTGATCGTAGTAGATGTATATTATGTACAGCAGAAACACCTGGAGGGCGATCACGTAGCTGAAGCGTTCGCGTATAGGGTCGTATTTCTCATATTCGGATGCCGCCAGTCTCTTGTCTTCTTTGTGGTAGGGCAGCACTTCCTCGGGCATTTAACGTTATCGTGTATTTTTCGGAAAAAAAATACGATGCCAGTGTTTGCACCGCCGCAAACGATCGCGCACCAAAATATATTTTTTTTGAGTTCGCTCGTTCACGTTCGTAAAATCAGATCATTTTGTGCTATAAAAGGCTTGGTTTTGGAACCATTTTTCTTAATGTACGACGTGATTGTGGTTGGTGCCGGAGTGGTCGGGCCTTGTATTGCCACAGTGATGGCCAGACAAGGCCGCAAGGTTCTGATTGCCGAGCGTGAATGGACAAAGCCAAACAGGATTGTCGGAGAGCTGATGCAACCGGCAGGTGTGAAAGCACTCAAGCAGCTCGGTATGATTAGTGCTATCAACAATATTGATGCGACCCAGGTCGACGGGTACTACGTCTCGTACTATGGCCGCCATGTGGAGATCAAATACCCCGACAAGAGCGTTCTCGCTAACATCGACACTGAGCCTGTGCCCGGGGCTCTGAAAGCTGGAAACGAGGACAAGCTGGACACAGACAGCACTTTGGACATGTCTGAGTGGGATCGGTCGCCCACAGTCCACGGCGTGGCCTTCCACCACGGAGACTTCCTGATGAACCTACGGGGGCTGTGCTTGGCAGAGCCAAACGTGACCAAAGTGGAAGGAAACGTTACAGAGCTTATTCGCGAAGACGACAGGGTTGTAGGTGTGAAGGTGGCCGGCAAAGACGAGTACCGCGCCAAGCTGGTGATATGTTGCGACGGAATCTATTCGAAATTCAGAAAAGAGCTGTATCAGGACAAACAGCCGGAAATCGGGTCGTATTTCGTGGGTTTGGACCTCGAAGACGCGGAGCTGCCCCTGAAAAACCACGGCCATGTGATTCTCGGCAAACACGCTCCCATCCTGGTGTACCAGATCAGTCCCCGTCACACGCGGATCCTGTGTGCGTACCGAAGCCCCCAGCTACCAAAGCAAAAGGAGGTTCTTGAGTATCTGCGATCGCAGGTCCTTGTGTCTTTGCCGGAGAAGCTGAAACCGTCGTTTGAGAAGGCTTTGGGCGCAGAGCAGAACGTGTACAAAAGCATGCCAAACCAGTACTTGACTGCCAAACCAAACACGGTTCCTGGGCTGATCTGCATCGGAGACTCGCTCAACATGAGACACCCTCTGACGGGCGGGGGTATGACCGTTGGCTTGAACGACGCGGTTCTGCTGTGCAAGCTGTTGGCAGACGTTCCAAGCGACGATTTCCTGGATGAGGGTGTCATGCTTGAAAAAATGCTCACCTTCCATGGCGAACGCAAGTCGCTGGATGCGGTTGTGAACACACTTTCCATTGCGCTCTACACATTGTTTGCAGCGGAATCCAAGTACCTTGAGCTTCTGCAACGGGGCTGCTTCGCGTATTTCCAGCGTGGAGGCAACTGTATCTCGGGCCCTATGGGGCTGCTATCCGGCATGCTGCAATCGCCTGGTCTGCTGTTCTATCATTTCTTCAACGTTGCGTTCTACAGCTGTTACCTCAACTTCTGCGACAAGGGCTTTTTGCAGAGCCCGCTCGCGCTCTGGGAAAATATTTGCACCCTGTCTATTGCCGCGTGTGTCCTGCTGCCGTATCTGATCAAAGAGTTAATATAGATGCTAGAATATAGACGAGATCAATACACAATCTAGATGGTTCAAATGAAGAGCTCTTTGGAGTAGCTAGCCGTCTGCGACTTGCATGATAAAGCGAAAACGTACGTCACTTTTACTAGCACACGAACCTGCCATAGCTTATCTGTGCAATCTCGGAGTACATAAATAGCAGGGCCTCCCCCAAGACCAGACAAAAACTTAACCCACAAAAAATGGCTTGTTCCTGTTGCCCAAAGAACTCCAACTGTGCTACTGAATGCGCTTGCGATAAGTGCAAGAACGGCCAGTCTGCTGACAGCTCGTGCTCCTGTAGTCTGTGCTCGTGCAAAGAGAACTGCAAATGCACCGATTGCAAGGTGTGCCAGGCTAAGCACTAGTGGTGAGCACTTTGTTACGTATGCTAGCTCATTTTATAGCTTGTTTAGTTGAATTTATGGATTTCAATTTCATTGCTGACAGACTTGCTACTCCGTAACGTAGAGAGATTTCGGATAATGCCCGGACTTTGCCACATGCGTTATTTTCGCCTAACGACGCACATACGGCTATAGTGAAAATCAGCTGCCTACAATAAGCTTGGGCCCGGATATCCGATCATGCATTCTCCTCGTAAAATCATGCTATTGTCCTCGGAATGCAAAGTTTGCCAGAGGCTGTGCTAAGTAGAAAACTATTTAATTAGCGGAGACCCTAATTTACTATTTGATCTAAAATGCCTTGTTCGTGTTCGACTATTAAGGACTGTGTTTGCGAAGCAGGATGCTCGTGCTCGCACTGCCAAGAGAAAAAGCCAGAAGCCGTGTGCTCGTGCGGAAAGTGCGCTTGCAAGGACGACTGCAAGTGCTCTGACTGCAAGACCTGCGAGGAGAAGAAGTGAAGGTTTTGCCCATAAAAAAAGGTTTTGCTAGTGTCAAGTTTGCTAGTGCTATGTATATAGATACTACGAATATAGCTAATCAGCATGGCTAGAGCCAGTGTAGAGACGTTGTAGCAGTGCACCAGACTCAAATTCTTCACGAGATTTTCTCCGTCCCGGCCGTTCAGTCGCGACGATTTATGGAATTTAATGGCAACAAACTTTTCTGCAATGAGCGAACAAGTCGTCTATTCCTCGTCCTTGCTGTTTGGAAAGCCGCCCCAAGAGGCAATGGAGGCGCTCAAGCTGCGTCACGTGCAGTCGAAGACCATCAACCACGAGCTGGCCGAATGGTTCACCGCGTACGGCCGGCTCCGACTCCAGTATGTTGACCAGCTCAAGGCCCTTCTCAAGAAGGGAGACAGCCTGCTGACGAGCGTCGACAACCCGAAACTGCACAATGCGACGGTCGACTCGCTTGGACTGGCGTCGCCAATGTGGACAGGCGTTCTGAACATACTGCACAAAGAAGCCGAGCTACTGGACTCCAGCACCCGGAAGATGGGGAGGGACATGATTGCGCCGTTGAAAGTCTTTAGTCGGCACAACGACTCGAACCTGATTGAGATGGATGAGCTGGTGGGCCTGGCTTCGTCAATTTCACAAAAAGAGGCCCAAGGCGACGCCGATGCCCTTAGAACCGAGTGGAGCGAGAGAGCGCCCTACTTTTTCGAGGTCTTCGAACGCTACGACTACAACCGGCTCGTGCTATTGAAGGACGTGTTTCTCAAATACCAGACCGACGTGAGCGACGTTCTAGACACTTTTAAAAAGCTAAACGAAACGGCCCTCGAGCACACGCTGAGTTTCAATCCTCCGGACGAAATCCAGCGGTATTCCGAGGCCGTCTCGGCCAAGACCCTGCCAATCGAGCTGACCAAGGAGGCTCCTCCAACGAAAAAGGCCCAGGACAACGGATTCACCACGTCTCCGAAACCCGCGCACCGCAAGTCCCGGATCCTCAGTCTCTCCAGCTCCAAGACCGAGCACTCGTCTCCAACCAAATCGAGACACCCGGCCGCTGCGGCCGCGTCTCCAGAGAAGAAACCAAAGGAAAAGCACGGTCTTCGGTCCAAATTCGGGACGATGCTGCGTGGAGGCAGAAAGAAGAAGAGCGACGTCCATAACCTCAACAGCACCACCATCGCAGAAAGCGAGGCCTCGTCTGTGGTTAGCGGCGCTGCGCCTGCCACAGAGCGCAGCGAGCCGAGCGTAAGCGAGAGAGCCACTCCTCAGGCGTCGACTCCGGTCTCTGAGACTCCGCCGGCCCAGCAGCCTTTGGCAGAAAAAGTGCCCGAAACTGTGCCCGAAACTATTCACGAGACTGCGCCTGCTTCCTCGTCACTGGCCAGCGGCTACCCGGCCATGCAGCCTACAAAACGGTCCAACTCGATGGCTAGCGAGCTCACCAACAGCTCCTCCATACAGCCGTCCTATAGAGGCTCCGCCAGCTCTCTGGCCTTTGCTTCTGCGGGCACAGTTCCTACCACGGCGCCGGAGCCCGTCCAGAAGGCCGTTCCTGCGGCCGCTCCTCTTCCCGAGGCCGCTCTCGAGTCCAATGCCGAAGCAGCGGCTCCGCCAGTGCCTTCAGCCAGAAAGCACACCTCGACGGACGTTGGTTTCGGCCCGAGACAGCCTCACGGCTCCGCGCCGGCTCCTCCTCAGCAGCGCAGAATCAGCACCCTTGGCAGCTCGCTGGAGCAGGCGCCGATCGCCCCGAATGCCACCGGGTCCACCATGTTGTCCAGAACTAACACCGGCACCGGTGGCCTGTCCAGCGGCCAGATCCACCACCCTAACCTCACGCAGCCCGGCCTGAACGCGTCGGTCGTGGAGATCTACAACGCCTCTTTCAAAGACGGCCAAGTTACCGGGTCCAACGTGATTGGCGAGATCGCCTTCAGCTACCTGCTAGATAAAAGCGTCCAAAAGATTCCGTCGAAAATCGAGCTCCAGGTGTCTTCGTCCGGAGCATTGCCAAGTTTCATGTCCAATCCATTGTTCATCCAGCAGGACCAGCAGCAGCCCAGCCATTTCACCATCCTGGATCCGTTGCAGATCCACCTGCGCACAGTGGGGGGCCTCAAGTACATGCTCAATAGCTCCAAGCCGCCGATCGTGGTGCATCCGATCTGGAAGCACGAACAGAGCCAGTCGACGGTGATCATCTCCATCAAGCCGGCCGACGAGCTGCTGCCTCTGCTTGAGTCCGCTACCATCGAGCTCGCCAACCTCATGGTGTCGGTGTCGATCGCCGGGGCGCAAGCGGCATCGGCTGCTACCAAGCCGTCCGGGTCGTTCAATAGAGAGAAAAATAGAGTCACGTGGAACCTGACGTCGACTCCGTTCCTGTTCTCGGCGTCGCACCAGGAAGAACGGCTGATTGCGCGGTTCATGACCAACGGCGTCGCCAAAGAGGCCGACGCCGGTATCCAGCTGCGCTTCACGATCAACAGCGAGGCGGGAGCAGAGCTGGTGTCAAAACTGAACACCAACATCAGCATAAACGCGCTCGTCGACACCGCCGAGGACCCGTTCAGCTCCACAGAGCACATCCAGGAGGAATGGAGCCCCGTCACAACGCTCCAGACGATCATCGCCGGCAGCTACTCGGGCCACGCTTAGTTGCTTTGTGGTGCAAGGGTGTGTGTTTGTGCTGGGGGGTTGTGTGATTTGGCTCCGGAGAACGACGTATTTTTTCTATTCTGTAGTCGGTCGTGCGCGGTCGCACCCTTAGGGACAAACAGGTTATAATAAGTTAGATTTCTTTTCTATTCCATCAGATATAATCGCTGCATTCTTCTCATCCACCCACCATGAGTAAGCACGCCAAGTCCCAGAGCACCTACGCTTTCGAGAACACCAGCACCAGCGTTGCTGCGTCGCAGATGAGGAATTCCCTCAACAAGATGATCGACGCCGTGGAAGATCCCAAGGTCAGGGCCAAGTTCGAGGTCGAGATGGACTCGTTCTTCTCTCTGTTCAGACGCTACCTAGCCGACAAGGCCTCCGGTACGACCCTGGACTGGAACCAAATCCGTTCTCCTACTCCCGACGAGGTTGTTGCCTACTCGAGCTTGCAAAACGCAGATAATAGCAACCTTTCGAAATTGGCGGTGTTGAAGCTGAACGGAGGTCTGGGTACCTCAATGGGCTGTGTGGGTCCCAAGTCTGTCATTGAGGTGAGAGATGGCCAGTCGTTCTTGGATCTGTCTGTTCGCCAGATCGAGCATCTCAACAAAACCTACGACACGGACGTGCCATTGCTGTTGATGAACTCGTTCAATACCAACGACGACACCCAGATCATTGTCAGAAAGTACCAGGGCCACCGTATCCGGATCAGAACCTTCAACCAGTCCAGATATCCTAGAGTGTTCAAGGACTCTCTTTTGCCTGTTCCGCAATCTTTCGACGACAAACTGGACGCTTGGTACCCGCCAGGACACGGAGACCTGTTTGAGTCTCTTGTCTCCTCTGGCGAGCTGGACGTTCTGCTGGAGCAGGGCAAGGAGATCTTGTTTGTGTCCAACGGTGACAACCTGGGTGCCACCGTCGACACCAAGATTCTGAACCACATGGTCGAGACCGGTGCTGAGTATATTATGGAGCTGACAGACAAAACTAGAGCCGACGTCAAGGGTGGAACTCTGATCAACTACAACGGCCAGGTCAGACTGCTCGAAATTGCCCAGGTTCCTAAAGACCACGTCGAGGACTTCAAGTCCATCAAGAAGTTCACAAACTTCAATACCAACAACCTGTGGATCAACCTGCGTGCTATCAAGCGTCTGGTGGAAGCCAACGCTTTGGAAATGGAGATCATTCCAAACAGCAAGTCTATCAGCGTTGGAAACTCGGAGATGCAGGTGTTGCAACTGGAGACTGCTGTTGGTGCTGCCATCAGACACTTCAAAGGTGCCCATGGTGTGGTTGTTCCAAGATCCAGGTTCTTGCCAGTCAAGACCTGTTCCGACCTGATGCTTGTCAAGAGCGACCTGTTCAACCTGCAACATGGTGCCTTGAAGCTCGATAGTGCCAGATTCGGCGGCGCTCCGTTGATCAAGCTGGGATCGCACTTCAAGAAAGTTTCCAACTTCCAGCAACGTATCCCTCACATGCCAAGAATTCTTGAACTCGACCATCTTACCGTCACAGGTAACGTTTACTTTGGCAGAGGTGTCCAGCTTAAGGGTACCGTGATCATTGTCTGCTCCGATGGTCAGAGAATCGACATTCCTAACGGCTCCATTCTGGAGAACGTCGTCGTCACAGGTAATCTGACCATCTTGGAACATTAATAAATATTATACTGATCAAAATGATATTTATCTACTTGCGTCACCGTAGTTCTGTTCAAACCGCCGCATCTCCTTTCCAAACCTCCGTTTACGCTTCCTCTCCAAAACCTTTTCACGCTGCTTGCCCTTCATGTTCTGGAATCTTGCAACCTGGACCAGCTTCCGTTTGTCGCTGCGCTTCACAAACTCCTTTCCTGTCTTCTTTTTGTAGTCTTTGATCACCTCGCGCTCCAGATCTTTGTTTTTGAGCGCATCCAAACGTGACTTGGTGCTCTTTGCAATATAATCCAGGTCCTGCAACTCTTTTTCGCTCAATTTGTTGCGCTGCTTTGGATCTTTTAAAAGACTTTGCACTTGCTCCAGCTCCTTTTGTCGATACTCGTCCAGAAACTTGTAATTTCGCCGAACCTCGCTCTCATTCACTTTTCCAAATGCAGAGTCGAACCGTATGTCATGGTACTTTGTCTTTGCGTACTTTGTGCCATCAAGTAACCCGGGAATTTCTCGCACTTTCGAAACCGGCTTCTTCGCAGACGTCTCGCTGGGAGCGTGCTTGTTCTTCTTTGTTTTCTGCGAGTGGTGTTTTTTGCTTGGTTCTTCAAAGAAGCCGCCATCCGAGTCTGATTCTGATTCCGAGTTTTTATCTTCTTCATCTATTTTCTTCTGAGCAGCAGACAGAGCTCCAAACGAAAGCGATGATAAGGAATCGTTAGAGGCGTCGCTCAAAGATGCGTCTTCGTCCTCGCTGTCCAGATCCTGACGTGAAAACTGAGGCCTCCTAGACATGATACACTATTTTATCTTTTTTTGAGAAAATATTTTAGTCTTCAAGGCTGTGAACTAATGATACATTATTTATTCAAAGAATAGTACTTATAAATGCCCCGTTCAGTAAACTCGCCGGGAAATGCCAACTCATCGTTCTGGAAGAGACCCTTGGAGCAGTTGATTTTCCGTGAGGCGTATTTCAAAAAGGCCGGACGCTCAATCTTCTGCATAATCTTTCTACCCGTGTTGATGTCAAAATACACCAGATTATTATTAAAGTTCAAAGATTGACCATTCAACTCTTTCTTCAGCTGCTCCTCGTTCAGCCGGAATACCCAAGCTCGTCTGCCCTTTCCGTTGTCGTTGTAGGTTTTCCAGATTTCGAGAGCACCGTTGTTGTAAACCCTGAGCTTACCGGTGGTATCATCAAGTAGGTCAACCACTTTGTAGTCCACCTCGATGGCTTGTAATGTTGGACAGCATGTGAGCAGCTGGTTGTTGTCCAAAGTCCATCTGGTGATATTTTTGTTTCCTGTGAGATCGATAAATTTGAGGTTGTGCAAGCTTGACAAGACTAGTAGCAAATCATCAATGGAAAGTTGCGAATGAGCGATCACGAGACTTTCGAGCGATGGGAATCTCTCGGCAATAAGCATCAAATGTTTGGGCTCGACGTCGACGCCGGCCAGATTAAGGTAACGGAGATTTGAAGCGTTCATGTTTCCAAGCAAAAACGTTAGTGTGTTTGTGTTGAATGGAGATGCAATGTTTGTGTCGACCTGCAAATTGAGCCAGAGCAAAGAATCGTTGCTGACTGCTGGGTGTTTGGTGAGAAACTCGATCAGGTGTCGAGCGGCCCCAAGACGGGAGCAACGTGCAATCGATAGATGGGTGAGCCGTGCGGACTCCTGGAGACTGTCGTTAAGGGTCTGGATGGTGATTTGCGTGTGGCTGAGATCGAGCCGCTCCAATGCAGTGAGGTTGCGCAAAATGCTGGTAAATGCTTCGTTCGTGAGGTCTGTGCATTCGTGGAAAGAGAGGTTTTTGACGTTAGAGTTGGGGAATATGTGCAGGTTCTCAAAGCTTCGGGAGAAGCCGATACCGCTGGAGCCGCAAAAATCAATGGCTTCCAGTTTAGGCAATTTGTTGAAAAGGTGGTCAACTACCACGCTGTCGATGTCGCCCTCGATGCTCTCACTGGCAAGAAACTCGGTCAGGTTTGGGGTCAGCTCCAGACACTGGAGAATGGTTTTGTGTGTCACCATCTGGATCTCTTGCATCATCTGGCCTGTTCTTCCCAGGCCGACTGACGTGAACTCCGAGAAATCCAGGAATTTTACATAGCTGCCGAGAAGATTGTTCTTTTGCAAATTCTTGAGGAATCGGTCAAAAAAAGTGGATCTGGTAAAATTAGCGTATCTGAACACATACTTGAGACTGAGCAGATAGAATGCGCTGTTCACCAGGCTGACGGACCGACAAAGATCCTTGGTATTAGCGTTCAAAGAGTAAATTTTGTCGGTGTCGTTATAATAAACATATCCAATTATTTTGTCCAGTAATTCATACGGAAGAGGGGAAAGGGCATCAAGATGGTCCAGCTTCTGCTGCTGGGCCAAGAAGAACTCGTTAGGGGTATTAGTAGACTCAGGAATACCGCCAAAAATGAGCTCTTGGGCGGAATTGAGTTCCAGTGTAGTCATAAGAAGGGGAAAGTTTTTTTCGAGGGGGTCGAGCCCTAATTATATGCAAGGTTGCGGTTATACAGTGAGGAGTTATTGGTTACCCGCACGTCTTGAGAGGACGATCTCCTGTCTCCGTGCCTGGCGACAACGGCCAGTGCGTGCCCTGATGGTGGTGCTGACAACGGTGTGTGTGGCCGGCAAACGGTGGACTTTTGGGCCGATATATCACGGATGTTGCACAGCCTTGGCGCCGTTGAGTTTGCTAGGAGAGCAATTTTTTTTTTTTTAATAAAAAAAGAAAACGGCCTTTTCTTTCGCTCTTGACAGGACACCCGTGCACCGCAAAGCGCTCCCCGGGGCGCACCAGGCTTAGTGGTTGCCCGCAAGCCACAACAGATGCGGTTTCAAGTTGTCTGTGCAGTACTTGTTGATGGTCTCCTTCGACTTGCGGTCGTGCGGAAAGTGTTTGTCCAAGTATGAGCAGCGCACCTCGGAGTAACAAATATAGTCCACCATGATTCTCCAGAGAGTGGCCTCGAGGTCGTTGCCGAAGTTGTCATTCTCGCCAAACATGCGGATCCGGTCGCCGTTCTCCTTGACAATGAAGCTGTCGCTGATGAGCTCGATTGGCAGCAGTCTTGGGTAGTTGACTTTGAAGAAGAGCGCGGACTTTCTTTCTGGGGCGTCGTTGAGGTACTTTTTAAACTCCTGGTTGGTGATTTTGTCGGGGTTTGTTTCGTACTTCTCCTTGAACGAGGTGAGCGAATAGAAGTCGACAGTTGGGTCGAACTGGAGCATCCCCACTCCGCGGAACTCGCCGTTATACCAGAACCCGTTGGCCTCTGTGGCCGTTCTTGTCTGGTAGTAGGGCAGCTTGAGCGCGGTGGCAGCAGCGGCAAATGTCTCTTTTTCTCCCGAGGAGCTGGCCTGGACAAGCAGCGGGTAGAAATAGCCCTCTCCGTACAGGTTATAGTACAGAGCAAGCAGCATGGTTTTCCAATGGGTCTTCTTGTTGATCATCAACTCGCCGCTGTCGTTGGAGACGTCGGGAATGGCGCCGCGCCGGTCGTGCAGCGGGAACACGCTCTCTGCTTTGGACGAGCTGACGTATTTTGATTCTGGCAGCTCAATCACCGAGTCCCGAACCAGAGTGTTGTCCACAGTGAGCCCGGTCGCCATGTACCAGAACGGAGACGTTTTTCTTTTCCAGAAGTCCGGCCACAAAACGAGGCCGTGTGAGTTGAATGGCTCAGAGGTGAAAATCGACTCGTCCAGAGACTTGATAAGCAGCGTCTCGCTCTCCAGGAGCAGCACATTCTGGTAGTTGGACGTCAGCAGAGCCAGCGACCTGTACATGTTGGGGTTGATGTTGAAGTCTGTGAAAAACAGCTCTTCCTCCTGGGCCGTCTTGATGCCCAGCTGCTCGGTCATCACCACGCACCTGGCGTTCAGCTGCGGCAGATAAATGTCGCAGATCTCACGGTCCTGCAAATAGTCCGACATCCGCGGAAGCATCACCTCAACAGGCAACGACCCGCCCATCCGTCTGAACATTCTCGTGCACAGCAGCGCCAGCCACGAGAGATCGCCGCCGCCCAGAATGATCACGCCGTTGCCCCTGTACCGCAACACCTCGTCGTACTCCGGCAAAAGCTTGACAAAGTTCTGGTGCGCGTTCTTCACGCCCGACACAAACTCGTGCGAAAAGCTGCCTATCGCAGAAAGCCTCCTGGAGGTGAGCACGCTGTCCTCGTCGAGGCCGGACTCGTCGTACTCAAACGGATCCAGCTTGACCGGCGGCTTGTTTTGCTCGATGAGCTTGAATATCTCTCTGAACTTGCTGGTCTTGGCCAGCTCGCGGTCCAAGAGCTCCTGCTGTGGATCCACGTTCGGAGTGGCTTTTTTATTTTGCGACAAATTGTTCAGCCATGAGGTGTAATTAGAGGGAATGATCTTTTGCTGGATCTGGGGAGAAGTGGAGCCGAACAGAAAGAGGAAAAGCGACACGACGCCGACGGCCAGCAGCAGCACCCGTGCGGGATACCGATAGTAGTACGCGAGCGCACGGGTCTTGAAGTACCGGTAGTTCTTATTGAAAGAGCCCATAATTTCACCTGCCAAATAGAAGCGCGTTTTTTTGAGCATAGTGCAGCACGTTCAGAATTCGACGAGAGGGATTAGGTAAGCGTAGTTCTACTAGGGTCCTCAAAGATCTCAGAGACAGTTACCCGGCCTGGGACTTGTGTGGCTCCGGTCCCGTGCGGCCGCTGTAGGCCGCACAGAACTTGCGGGATAACTATGGGAGGAAAAAATTCCCCGGGTGCTACAGCCCTTGGCCACCTTGCCGATTATGCATCCCGCGCTATCCCGCAGCTCTGATAACTAATACTGTGTAGATATCGTATAAAACGCCTGGGCGAGCTGCCTGACATGGGACTGAATGCTTGTGGAAACGCTGAACGGGTTGAAGGCTTCAGGAAGGCCTCTGCTGGTCCACATGTGGCGCAAATACGTGCTTGTGCCGGTCGGGACGCTGCTGATGATGCTGCTTTTGTATGGCATCAATGAGATAATCAAGAAGACGGGCATCAACTTCCCAGCATCTGTGTGTTTGATGCTGCTTATGTACGGCGGGCTCAGTTTGAACTCGTGGCTTTTCGGCGAGCACCGCACTGACGCTTTTCTGAAGTACGTGGATATTCCGTGTGGATTTGCTCTTCGATGGATGAATTTGTACTTCACGCCTCCCTTTGTGACGCTGGTTTTGTCAGATAAGGTGAGTGTGGCGGAGGCGTTCACCATCATGGCGGTGTACATTGTGGGCTACATCTTCACGTTTGGGTTCATGGCCTATTTTACGTGGGGGTTGCAACTTTTGCTTGGCACGTACAAGCATCACGTGGAAATGGACGAAAAAGACGAGGAGAGCCAGATTCCGGAGGCGAGCGACAACGCCAGCAAGCAGTCCTCGGACATCGTTAGGGAGGAGGTTGCGTGGGAGGACAAAGTGCGGGACTTTGTGCTTGCGTGGATCGACTTCTTGGTGTACGGTCTCCTGTTTATTGCGGGCATCCCCGTCTACTTTGTCACGGGCTACGAGATGCCTGTGCAGCTGGCTACTGCGGTGTTGCTGTTTCGGGCGTGCTTGCTCATCCCTGCCAAGCTTCGCCGCGTTCTACATCCGATTTTAGTCAGTTTCGCTCTTTGTCTGCTGGTTTACTATATTTTTTCGCTGATCAAGGGCCAGAATTACCTAACTTGCATCAGACATTACAGAACCGGCCGGACCTACCTGACGCTGTTCGACAGCGAGAAATACCCCGAGTGGCCGGGCGCGGGCGATTTCCTGCTCTCGCTGATGGACATCTCGATTGTGTCGCTTTCTCTGTCAATGTACAAATACCGCGGCGACTTGAAACGACATTTTGCCTCGGTGCTCCCTCCAATCATCGTGTGCGCATTCATGTCATTTTTCATATACCCGCCGGTGTGCTATCATTTGGGCATCTCTGCCTCCCGGTCGCTGGGCTTCACGGGGCGCTCTGTAACGACGGCACTCGGGATACCATTGGTGACTGCGCTGGGAGGATCGACGCAGCTCATGGCGGTGACCACGATCATCAGCGGAATATTGGGGGTGCTGGTGGGCGATTTCATCGTTTTCAAAGTGTTCCGCGTGCGCAAGCACGACTTTGTGAGCCGCGGTGTGTCGTTTGGTTTGAATTGTGGAGCCGTGTCGACGTACTACCTCACGGTGGTGGACCCGCGAGCAGGAGCGATGAGCGCATTGAGTTTTACCTTTTTCGGAACACTGATGGTCATTCTGAGTGCGATCGACCCGTTGGTCAGAATCGCGCAGAAGCTTGTTGGGTGGTGACTATGACGTAGGCGGGGCACCCCCCAGCCCCCATAGTGGACTGCGAGGCGTCCCCGTCGGGGTGTACCATTTGTGCGCTACTAATCTATATACAATTTAGTCTGACCCGCGTCCGTTTCTCCATCTCTTTTTCGCGCATTTCTATTGTCTGCGAGGGGGTGACGTGTCGTGGGGAAATACTATTCGAATTCCGCATTATTTTCGAGCTTTCTTTTTCTGTGCCGCTAATTGGTCACGCACACCGAATTCCTCAATCTATTGTTTCCCCAGAATTTTACCTAGGATTGGCGGGGGTGCAGATGACGCATTCGAAACCGTCCGTGTCAAATTATAAAAGCTGACACCTGCCCTGCTGTGCGCCCGTACGCAATTCCCCCATGTCTTGCGAACGAAAGAATCCCTGGAACATCATCAAAAACCCGGTCAACGGCAGAACAAGAATCTCGCAGGCCTGCGACAGATGCCGCAGCCGCAAAATCAAGTGCTCGGGCAAATCCGAAGACTCGCCTCGCTGCACCAACTGCGAGCGCGACGGCTTTCAGTGCGTCGTCAGCGACAAGCTCACCAGAAACAGCTTTCCCAAGGGCTACACCAAAAACCTGGAAAAGAAGCTGCTGGAAGTCGAGCTCGACAGAAACAAGCTGATGCTTGAACTGCGCGAACTAAGGAAAAAAAGCGGGGACGAACACCTCACCGCAAATATGCACCCCTCCCGGGCGTCCCGGCCAGAGACCCCCTTGCTGGTGGATGCCTCCGGCGTCCTTGTCATCGACCAGAACCTTGTCTCGCCGCTGCAGAAGTACATTGACCAGCTCCAGCTCAACATTTTCAACGGGTACGAAAAACAGCCCTCCGCGGTTTCCGACTCGGAATCCAAAATGCTGGCCAACTACCACATGAATCTCAACCGGTACCTGAACCTCGTGCTGTACAAGCTTGTTTTCCCGCTGCTGGCAGACAAGGCCGAGCGCAGTCTCGACCACCTGATCTGGCTTTTTTTCAACGACCTCAACAAGCTGATTCCGGTGCTCGACTTTGAGCTGTTCTACAACGACTACCTCACTTTCATCAACAAGTACACCCCGGAAAGCTCCACGTACATCGAGAACGGCGAGAAAAAGAAGAAGTACCACGAGTTCCTGCCCAAAGAACAGGACTTTCTCGTGAAGCTCATCCTCGTGCTCAAGTTTGCGCTGCCCACACCTCGCACCGTGGCCCAGTCGTCGATCCTCAACAAGCAGTCGCTCAACCAGTTCGAGGAGGCCATCAAGCTGATCAACACGAAGAACCTCGCGTTCCTGTTCCGCAACATCAACTTTGTCATGGACCCTTCGCTCGACAAGTTCGAGGTGGCTCTGCTGATGCTCTACTACCTGCTCAAGTTCGAAAACTACCACATCAAAAAGGACGAGCGTCCGCCCGTCTCTTTCCTCAGAGACATTCTCAACGTGTGCATCTCGCTGTGCCGCGTGCTCACGCTCGACAGAGACGCCGAGCACGTGTGTTTCACGCCGGAGCTCGCCGAGACACAGAAAATCCACAGGCTCAAGCTGTACTGGAGTCTGCACTCTCTGACCCGGCTTTTTGAGATCTACTTCAACTTCAAGCTCGACCTGTTCGCTCACCAGCCGCAGTCTCTGGAAAGCGTGCGTCTGGCAGCCAAGGACCTCGACATCACCATAAAATTCGTCGACCTGCTGGATTTGGTGCCGCACAATTTTATGGAGCTCGGGGAGCAGGAGCTGCTCCAGTTCGACGCCCGGCTCGAACAGTGGAACACGCTCCACCAGATGGCCACAGAGGAAAACGCCCTCGCCGTCAACAAGCTGAGAACCTACTACAACTACTTCAAGCTGCACATCTGTCTGAGAACAGACAGCGCCGAGCTTGCTGCGCTGTGCGCCAGCGTGGTGCAGCTTGCCGGTGAGCTGGTGGAAGGCGATCTCGAGAAACTCGCCCTCAACAGCTTCAACTTCCACCTCACCACCCTGCTGGCCCTCGTCAACGTGGCCAAGCTCGAGGACCGCCCTGCCGAGTACACCTCGCTTTGCTCGCTCTATTCGCAACTGGTGTCCGGGATGCACTGCGACCCGGCAATCATCCAGCTTGTCAAGCACATCACCAACTCTGCCGGCTCCGACGACCTGTACACTTTCAACTACTACCTTGCACCTTCCTCGCTGTTCAGACGCAAGGACACAGACCTTTTCGACCTCTCTGCCTTCGAAACGCCCTCCGAATACCGCTCGTTTGCTCCGTCAACGGATCCCGACGTCGACAGGTCTGCCAAGCGCACCAAACGCACCACGTCGGGCTCGCCGCCTTCGCCGTCCTCCAGCGTCTTCTCGTCTGTGTCCAGGGCCTCCTCCATCTCCTCCAACAGGCTGTCTGTCGGCTCTGCCGATGCTCCGTCCTGTCTGTTCCCGTCTGCGTCGGCCCCGCTGCAGAAAGACGACCTGCTCGCGAAAAAGGAGCGCAGCGCTCTCTACGAGACTTTTAGCCAGTCGGTCACGGGCAACCTCAACAACGGGCTGAGAAAGCTGCGCCGCGAGGGCCGCAGCCGGTCGAAATCGGTTGTCGAAAATTCCAAGAGCCACTACGATTTCGTCAAGCCAGAGTCGCTCATGCTCAACGACTTCAAGTTCGAGCTCAACGACCAGCTCGTCGAAATGGACCAGGTGGACCTCGCCCCTACGGACACGCTTGAGCAGTTTAGCAATCTTGAGACCAAACTCGAGAGCGTCGACGTGCTCAACACCACAGACAGGAAAAGGTCTGCCTCGTTCAGGGACGACGACGACCTCACGAAGCTCAAGGAAAAGGTTCTTAACATGAAGTATGCAACCACATAATATTCAATGACGATTTATTCTATCTGTTTTTCAGCCAAATCTATAGCATCACCATCTCGTTCTTCTCGTCGCGGGAGCTCCTTTTGATATCCCACTTGCTCTTGGCAATCACAATCTTGCGCAACATAAGATGAACCAGGAACGAGAACGAGCCCACGAAACGGAACAGCGCAAACCCGAAAACGCTCCAAAGAATCACCGCCAGATACTTGTTGTTCTTGATCGAGTCTGGCTCGTAGATCTGCGTGATGGTCATCACCAGGACCACGTTGGCGATCGTCCACAGGAGCACCACCCGCGACCGCACGTCTCTGTAGTAGTCTTCCGAGCTGATCTTCGGTTTCACCGCTCCGCCGTCTCTCATCTTGACCGGCATCTTGCGTCTCTCCTTCAGTTGGTACAGGTTTTCGGTGTACATTGAGTCGATGTCTCTCTGGTCACCAACAATCTCCAGCTTGATCACCTCTTGGCCCTCCTCGTTGGTCACAATCGTGGCGGATCCCAGGCTGGAAACAGGCTGGTTCTCTCCCTTGGTTCCCCACGTGACGTCGTGAGTGTTGCAGAAAGCGTAGATCTGCAACAGACAGGTGTATGCGGGTAGCAGGAAGAAATACTGGATCGACGACGAGAGAATGTGCCACGGGTCCAGATACAGAATCGACATGAGCACGTACAGCCCGTACGTGGACGCCAGACTGACGCAAATGGAGGCAAAGCTGAGCCCTCCTGCGCTTCCAGCATTGTTTTCTTGCACCATCAGCACCATGAAGTAGAATCCAGAGATGATGGCATAAGTGCCGCACACAGTGAGCAGGATGACTGCCGTCAAAAACAGTTTTGGAGCTCCCTGCGGTCTGTTGCCCATTGAGATCACCAACATGCCTAGTAATGTGCACAAGCACAGGTAATTCATGATTTCAAAAAGCACTTTTCCACCAGTACCAGCGAGATTGATGAGGGAGCCAGCAAGATAGTAGAATGTCAGGTAAAAGTTGGAGATGGAGAAGAATGTGAAGAGCAACGTGAAGAACTGGTAGATGAATTCAATGTGCAAAAATAACTTTCTCACCGTCGAGTGGTCGGTCTTCCAGATCTGAAAGAACTTAGCCTGCGAATAAACGGCAGCAAAGAACGCACCGTTCAGCCATCTTCTTCTCTGCGAGATAAATTCAGGTAACGCCTCCGGAACATCAGTTTCTCCCTGGGCGCTTTTCACGTACTTGAGGACCCATTTGGCGTCTTTCTTGGCAACGAGTTCCCAAGCAAGAATTCTGTCCTCAGCAAGATACATGTTGGCAGAGAATATTCCGGCGTCGGCCGCGCCGTCGGTGTTCTCTCCTTTGAAGTAGGCATTTAGCGGACCAGTGCCGTCTTCGTGGTTTTTCAGAGCGGCGTATCTGTAGGCCGACAGCGCACCTGGCAAGACGGAGATGTATCCAAACACAGACTCGCATGGCTTGTCGAGAATGTTGGACATTTTGTACTCAAAGTTTTGCGAAGCAACCAGTGGATTGGCTAGTTTTCTCCACAGTTTACCTTTCATGGCAACAATCTCTCCAGCTGCACCAGCAACATTAGAATCGTAGTCAAATGCTTTCCACAGGTTGTAGACAGCGCTGTCGCAAGGACGGGTACCAACATCAAGAAGAACACACACTTTGGGCTCCAAAACAGGACAGGCAGCATTGAACAGCCATCTGTGGGAGTTGATCTTTTTGGCATTTTTCTCTTTCAAACAGAAAACCAGCTGCACAGGACAAATACCTTTCTCGACGCCGCTGAACTTCAAATCCTCATCAATGGACAATTGAGCAGTGTACTCGAACAAATGGGCCTGGACCTCTTTCTGATTGACAAGAGACTTGGCAATTCCCTCCTGGTATATACCAATTGCAGACAGAACTTGCAAAACACCAGGAGAAATCTTGTTACGTCCGTCGGCAACAATCATGACAACCACTTTCTTCCAAGAGTCCTGGCCCCATGTTCTGCTGTTTTGTCTTCTGGAAAGATAAGCAATGTTTCTAAACACCGCGTGCAGAGTCCTTGTCAGAGCAACCTCGTCCTCGTTATACATTGTAATGCAAACAACGATCTCTGTCTCTCTTCCCATGTCGCAAGTTCTCAAGCTGAAACCTTCCTCTGCGAAGTCATCCGGACCTGTAGTAACGGCCGAGTACTTCATGTAATCAAACTCGTCTTCTCCCTTGATTGGCAAGAAGTTGTACAGCGTGGACGGAATCGGGTTGTCGAGCACTAAGTTACCATTTTTCGACTTGAAGGTCTTCTGGGTGGTTCTGTAGTTGTTTCTTCTTGGCTGGAAATCCTTTGGAAGCTCATCAAAAAGCTTTCCATCAAGACTGGTGGTAAAATTGTATTCCTCATCGATAGTTTGGGACCCGAGAGTATCACGATCAAAAAGAGATGGATTGGTATCTTGCTTGGCCAGGTCAGCCATGGCCATGTCCAAAGTGGATTGGGACGAATGAGATGACTCTCTGGATGGGTCCAGCTTGGGAATTGACGATCTAAACGGGCTGGCATTAGCGGCTGTGTAGGCAGAAGCAGAGAAAATCGGCCGTGGTGTCTCTAGAGTTCGGTCGCTGCGTAGAGATTTGGTGAACTCATCACTCTTAGCACTAAATATGTCGTCGTCGTCATCAGAATTGGTCCTCACAAAAGCTGGCTTGGATCGAGTTGGAGACTCGCTGGTGGTGTAGGCAGCTCTCGGAGTGGCTCCTTTATTTTCCGCTGCCATGATAAACTTGTTTGCTGTGCTATTGCTAAACAGCTCAGAGTCACTAGTCTTGAACGAAATCGCGGGCGAGTACCTCAAAGCGGCCTTTGATGGAGATTCTTTATGGTTAGCCAATTGGAGTTGCAACTTACGCTTTCTAGGAGATGATATCGGGGTATAAATGGTCTCCGGCTTCCTTGGAGACTCCGGGAAGTCTTCAAAGGGATTTTCCTTGAAGTTGTTCGGCATCTTAGCACAGACCAAAAGAAGTTGCGATAAAGATGGGAATCTGAATTTGTCTCTTTGAAAAGTCAACTGTTATTGTGTTTTCAATTTTCCGCAATAGGAAGCCACAAATATTTTTTCCCGGCCCCGTCTAGACCTGATTATGTCAGCGTAGAGGGCACAGCTTATCGTCCGCATACGGTAAATGGAACGCGTTTGGCATGCAGAATCCGAAACATTTTGAGCACCTGCTGATTATTTAAGCCCAGTCCCAATTAGACCCCCGTGCAACTTGTATCACCCCCATCCCTTTGAAGCCCTAAAAGGGTAAAGCTGGTGATGCCCAGAAAAAGTCCGTTGTGGAGTTGCACGGTATATATTTGTCGCAGGCCCTGCTTCCAGGGTAAATGCTGTTGCTTGTGTGTCTGAGCTTCTTCCTGCGTATTTGTCTATCCGCCACTATCACCACCACGGTTGCCTCCGCGGACGCGCAGAATTTGGTTTTTAGTGCAAATGCGGGTGTGCTCCAGGTGTTTTTGAACGATTTTGCTTCTCGGTTCGACGACTATACTTCATATATGAACTCTGCCGGAATACCCTTCCCGGGGTCTCTGGTGCAGTTTTATATGAACGTTGAGCAGGCAAGCACCAACCAGGCCGCGGTCACCTCAATGTTGGTGAGCGACTTCCCGATGTCTGAATTCAAAACGTACATTTCTGTCTTCCCGTGGTACAGCTCGCTTCTCTCTGCTGGCGGTGAGTCGACAATCTACGTGACGGAGGACGTGGTCTCCAAAACGGTCGCCGTGTACGAGGAGTCCAATAGGTTTGATCTCAAGGTGGTCTCGGCCACCTCTGCCGTCTCGTCTCTCGCGTCCAGCATGTCTAGCTCCTCTTCTTCTAGTTCCGCTCTGTCAGCAAACTCCACAGGCGGTGCCGCCAAGTTGATTGTGCCCGGTTTCGGTCTTATTCTGTTGGGAATATTAATATAGTATTATTTTTTCAGGATTCTATCGAGCTTGTAGAGCATGTATTTAAAATCCTCGTCTTTTAATTTTCCCAAAATGTAGCTGTAAAGCTCTTTTTCACTCAGTGCGCAAAAATCCACAGACGACACTTTTGTCGACGTGCTAAGATCACTTATATCCATACTCGTGCTGTTGAAGTTTAGAGACGGGTCTTTTGTGAGGTCGTCGTCCTGGAACGAGGTGTAGTGGACAGAATTGAGGAAATCCAGGTGTGGGGTGGGCTCGATCGCAGGGATCTCTGGCATCTGGCTGGCAGATTCTGCCGCGCTCTGCTGCTCTGCAGGCTGTGACCAGCTATTAACCATCCCACCCCTGACAAGATCCTCGCTTTTCCTGTCTTTTTTCTCCACCTGCGAGCTCTGGGAGAAGCCCATCTGGCTGCCGAAGTCGATCTGCGATTGCATCTGGCCACCAAAAAGACGTGCTTTGTCTTGCTGCTGGGTGGGAATGCCGTGAGACTCGAGCACCTGCAAGCACTTGTTGAACTCGTCATGTGACGCAAACCCCAACTGGAGTTTTTTGCAGTATCTTGCATTTGGATAGTACTTCAGCGCAATTGAGGGATATTTGGCATAAGCCTTGACCATCTGGTGCTCGTCGAATGCCAGCCGTTCGAGAACCTCCGCCTTCCACATGATCTTGATCAGCAGGTCATCGCCCGGCTCCTGTGTCTTCTTGCTGCCGCTCTTATGTCCCACATTGAGCGACAGGTCCGAGCGGTACGGAAAGTGAATCCAGTGGTTCTGGTCGCTGATATACGAAAACTTGCGGAAGGAAATCGAAGTGTACAGGGAGTCCATGCTGCGTAAAAAAGGATAAATATTTGTTTTTCCTGTATCCCTCATATGTGTTCCCAATTCGGTACACCTGGCACCGATCTTATCTAGCAAAAACATTTCTGATGCCAAAGTCTCTGCTAAAATGGACAACGAAAATGACCAATTGCTGGGGTCTCTCGACATCAACAAGACGGGAAATGCAGAGCTCATAGATGAGGAAAATCCCCTGACACACCAGCTGGCTCCCGAGCTTATTCTCCAGCAGCACTTGCTAGACGAGATGAATTATCTTCAGGAGATGGAGGACACGCCTCATGGCCGCCATCTCGGCGTTTTCTCCATGACCATGATGATCCTGCAGCGCATAATTGGGTCTGGCATCTTTGCCGTGCCGGCGCTGATCTACCGCGACGTTGGAGGCTCGCCTGCGCTGTTCTTTCTCGTGTGGCTCATAGCTGGCTATGTGAGCTTTGCAGGGCTGTACTGTTTCCTGGAGCTCGGACGGGTGATTCCGCGCAGTGGCGGGATGAAGGTGTTTCTGGAATACATCTACTACAAGCCACGGATGTTTATGAGCGTGCTCTACAACACGTATTCTGTCGCGTTCGGCTTCACTATTACTAATGCAATTATTTTTGGCGAGTATACGCTATACGCGCTGGGCTGGGACGATGTGGACGGGATGGCGCCGAAATACGTTGGCTGCGCGTACGTCGTGCTTGTCTCTGCGGTGATTGGGGTTTCGACCAATCTGGGGGTCCGGATGTCCAATTTCACGGGAGCTTTGAAACTGGGGCTTTTGGCAATCATGTCGCTGACGGGGTTTTACGTGCTTCTGCTGCCTTCCAGCCTCACAGGAGTCACGAACAACCTCCATTGGGACGGGTTCTTTGCACTGAAACGCCCGTTGTCGTCCAGCTCGTTCATCAGCGCCTTGCTCAAAGCCATATTCTCGTTTGGGGGCTGGCACACCGCTCACATCGTCACCAACGAAATCAAGGACCCCGTGCGAACTCTGTCCATAGCTGGACCTCTTGCGCTCCTCATAGTGAATCTGTCGTACCTCCTGGTCAACCTCAGCTACCTGGTTGTGATTCCGGACGCGGAACTGAACGGCTCCGGTGAACTGGTGGGCAGTCTGCTGTACGAAAAATTATTTGGCTACACCATTGGCCGCCAGTGTCTCACCATGACGGTGGCCATTTCGTCCGCCGGAAACATACTCACGGTGATGTTCCACATCTCCAGAATGAACCAGGAGATCTTCCGCGAAGGGTTCCTGCCCTTTAGCAGGTTTTTCGCATCGAACTGGCCGTTCGGCGCCCCTCTTCGGGCCCTGCTGTTTCCCTTGGCCATCTCGTGCTTCTTTCTCCTCATACCAACCCCAGACAACGTCTATGACTACATCATCAACCTCGAAAGCTATCCGTTGCAGCTCTTTGTCGGACTTACCGTGGCTGGAATATTTGTGCTTAAATATAGAGTTCCTGGCTACCGCACGAGCAACAGGCTGCTTGTCGTGCACGCGGCCGCCATAATTGCACTCTCGCTGTTTCTGTTTGTGGCTCCATTGAACCCGTTCAGACCAGCAGACTTCAGAGGGTTTCCGAACTACGCATACACCTCGCTCAGCATCCTGCTACTGTGTGTACTATATTGGGCCTACACGTTTGTGTGGGCCCCGAAATGGGGCCGGTACACGCTCCAGCCGGTCCAGGGCACGCTGAGCGACGGCCTGGTGGTGAAACAGTGGGAAAAGAAGCAGCAAGAATGAAATAATTATTTCTTATATGCCTGTTTGGCAAGGTTGACCAGATCGTCAAACTCGCCCGTATCCTGACACATTTTCCGGAAGTCGGACTTTTTGTTGGTGATGAGCTTGTAGGGATGGTCGTACTCCTTGACCTTGCCGTGGTCCAGCAGGAGAATTTTGTCGTAGTCGATGATGGTCTTGAGTCTGTGCGCGATCGTGAGAACGGTGCTGGTCGAAAACTCCTCTCTGATGGTGGCCTGGATTTTGGCGTCCGACTCGTAGTCGATCGACGCCGTGGCCTCGTCCAGCATCAGGATCTTTGGCATTTTCAGGATCGAGCGTGCGAGACAGAGCAGCTGCCGCTCTCCCTGCGACAGGTTGCCGCCTCCCTCGGAGACGGTCGAGTCCAGGTCCAAGAATTTGTTCACGTTGTCTCCGCGGGCCTGAGCGGTCTCGTCTGCGACAGCGGCACCGTTGCGGTCCACGATCCTCTGGTAGTCCTCGATGGAAATCAAGTTGACGCGGCGGAGAGCTTCGAACATCTGCAGATCGCCGTACTCGCCGAAAATGTCCAGGTTCGACCGGATCGTGCCCGAAAACAGCGTAGGGTCCTGCGGAATGATGGTGAGGCCCTTCCGCAGCGACTTGAGCCCGATCTTCGAGATGTCGAGGCCGTCAATCTTAATGCTGCCGCTTTCGAGGTCCACAAACCGGAAGAAACTCGTGATGATGGTGGATTTTCCAGCTCCTGTGCGGCCGACCACTCCGATCTTCTCGCCCGCGTTCACGTGGAACGACACGTTGTCGATCACGCGCGGCAGCTCCGGGCTGTATCTGATGCATATGTCCTGGACGTCAATAACGCCGTTCGACGGCCACGAGTTGACAGGGTCCTGCGGCAGGTATTTCGGTGGCTCCTGAGGAGTCTGTTCAATGTACTCTTGCACTCTCTCGACAGAGTTCATGCTCATCTCCACGTAGGCGTACATTCGAACCACCCAGACGGCCGTGTACCTGAAAGAAACGGAGAACGAGAGCGAAATACCAGCCAGTCCGGCGTCGATCTTGTCTGAGTACGCCACGGCAAAGGCTGCCGCAAAGAAGATGATGAACGCGCCAATCATGTCGGACCTGTACGCCAGCCACCTGTTGTTGACCCAGACGTACCAGAACGGACGGTTGTTGACGTCGATCTTCTCAAAGTTCTGTTTGAGGAACCTTCTCTCGTCTCCGTAGGCTCTGATCGTGGTCATTCCAACAAGCGTCTCGGAGAAGTGTTGGTGAATAGGCGATTTGGTGATGGACTCGAACCGTTTCAGGTCTCTCGAAAGCTCCAGATACAGAACGCCCACGCCGTAATAAACCAACAATATCAGCACTCCAGCAACGAAGAACGCCGGCGTCACAGCACAAACAACAACGAGCGTCGACAGACACGAAATCAGGTACGTGACAAACTCTTCAGCGTACAGCGCGAGCTCCTGGTCGATCGCCTCAATGTCCTTGGAAAACCTGTTCATTATGCGGCCGATCGGAGTCTGGTCGAAGAAACGCAGTCTCGCGTGCAGTAGCTTGTCCAGTAAATCCTTGAAAATCTTCCTCGACACGTTGAGACCGCCCAGGAACGTCAGAATCACACGGCTCGAGCCGAGCGTCGCGAACGCCAGACCAATCAGGGTGTAGATGGTGATATAGTACATGGTGCTGCGTTCCTCCACTGCGAACCCAAACGGTTGCAAAGCATACTCCACGAGCGGCCTGTGCCAGTTGATGCTATGGAATGTAGGGAAGAGAAGCAGAGTCGTGTCACTGAGGTTGGAGAATGCAGAAATGTCGCGCTTGTCTTCGATGGCCGACCAACGTCTCAGCCAGTACGATTGGTACACATTGACGGACTGCGAGCCAATGAACAGGAAAGCTATCATAATCCACAGGGCAGGGTTGCCGAAATACCTGAAGTAAGCGTAGTAGATCTCAGGTTTGACAGAGCCGTCCGACTTGGTCTCGTCCTCGATGAGTTTCGATTTCTTGCTCTGTTGTGGTTTCTGAATCTTTTTGGCAATATTTTTGGCAAGACCTTCGGCAATGGCTTCGCTGGAGATCTGGGAATTGTCATCCAGCGCCGCCAAATTCGCAGTCGACGCCGATCGCGACTGCATGACGCTCTTCACCACTTCCTCGTTCAGCAGACCCTCCTGCATCAGCTCGTCCACGCTTCCCTGGGCCTTGATCCGGCCGTTATCCATCATTACCACGAAGTCGGCCTCCTTGATCGTCAAAGAAACGTTGTGCGACACGAGAATGCACGTTCTGCCCTTCATCAGCTCTCCGTTGATACAGTACTCGTAAATGTGCACCGCCGTGTGCGAGTCAACAGCCGACAAACAGTCGTCCAGCAGAAGGTACGAGGCAGACGAGTACAGTGCTCTGGCCAGCGACACACGCTGTTTCTGTCCGCCCGACAATGTAATACCCTTTTCGCCGATCTCGGTTTCGTCGCCGGCCTCCAAGATGCTGAGGTCTCTTGTAAGTCCACAGGCATGGATCACGGCGTCGTATCTCTCTTGGTTGAACGGCGACGCAAAAATAATGTTCTCCTTCACTGTGGCATTCAGCAGCCACGCGGTCTGCGAGCAGTAGGCCACAGACTCCATCAGGCCGGTCACAGGGTTCGGAGTCAGGTCGTCTCGTGGAATGGCACCAGGTAGAAATACGTTTCCCTTGTCGAGGTCCATCTCTCCAAGAAGAGCGAGCAGCAGCGAGCTTTTGCCAGAGCCTGTCGGGCCGATCACCACGTTCAGCTTGCCGACCTTGAAGTCGATGTTGAGATCTTTGAGCGCAAACTCGGCCTTGCTGTTCTTGCTCCAGTAGAAGGTGGCATTTTCAAAACCAATTAGAGGCGAGTTTGGACCTCTGGGAGCCGACAGTTGCTGGTATTTTGTAGTTTCTGGCTCGTTCAAAAAGTCCTCCACCCTGTCCAAAGAGACTTTGCACTGCATCACCATGGACAACATGTCAGCCAGTGCGTCCAGAGGACCTCTCAATAACGTGAACAACGAAAGCGCGGTAAACGCGATCGGCGACGTCAGAGGGTTGCCCTGGATCACGGTGTAGGCATAGAAGGTGATCAGCGTGACGACGGTAGGCACCACGAGCCAGAGGAAAATCAGGAGCGCCCAAACGACACATCTGCCGACCAAATAGCCGAGCTCCTCCTCTCTGATTTTCATGATGGTGTCGGCAAACTTGTCCTCCCAGGCAAAATACTTGATGATTCGGATATTCTGGAATGCCTCGTTTGTCTTCTGGATCCGCTTGTCGGTCACCAGAAGCATCTGTTTCTGGTATTTGCTGAGCTTTTCCACCAGCATGTAATTAATAGGCAAAATGGCTATGAGGGTTGCAGTTCCTATGAGGGAGGACCAGCCAAGAAGCTTGTACAGCATGTAGATCGCAACAGCAGCCATCACGAACGAATTGGGAAAATAGTGAAGGTAGCCACCGATCTCTGACACTTTGAAAGCGTCCACGGCCATCAAGTTAATAATACCACCCAGCTCCTTGTTCGAGGACTCTTCCTCTTTCTTGGGCTTCGCCGACTTATCGTCCTCCTCCTCGGTGGGTTTCTCTTTTTCTGTCGTGCCGAGACGTCTTCTCAGAGCCTTGGAATAAATCTCGCCAATCAAAATCGACCGCATACGCGTACAGATTCTTCTGCCCAAGAATAAACTCCGTCCAGAAAACGAGCACGCAATCAGTCCAGACCCAAACATAATAAGCACATAAAACCACGCCATGCTCCTGGACTTGGTGTGTGGGGATTCAATGTACTCTAGGATTTTCTTGAGACATAAAGACGGCACAAAAATTAATATGGCCTCGACACAGGTACACAACGTTTGCAACGCTAGTTCTTTTTTGAATTGCAGGAAAAGACGGAGGGTGAATCTAATCGAGCTCCTCAGCTTGTGGAATCTGATCAGCACATCATGAGAGTAATCGTCGTAACGCAGCCCCCAGACTTCTTCCATAGTGATTGGTTTCCAGTACGACGAGAAAACCATTTTGTCGAGATAGCCGTACGTCATAATATCGATCAAAGACGAGGTAGTCTCTGGCGAAGGTGTCACACCTTCCTCCTCGTACACAATTGCCGGTTTGTCAGACAGTTTCTCAACACCAATCGTGAGGCATAACAGCGTATTAATGACAAATTGGGAAACGTAGAACCAGTAGCCGTACGAACCAGACACATGGTGTAAAAGTGCTGAGCGGAACAACATGGCCGAATTGAACCACTGTAGATTGTAGAGGATCGCGCAATGGTACCAGAGATCCACTCTGTTTGCGGAGAATCCCTTGGAAACATTCAGAAGTCTAGCAGAGGTTATCACCGTCAGATAAAGCCACAACAAAAAATCAATGTATTTCACAAGCGGGAAACGAGACTTTGAGAAGTCCTCCAGCCGGGACAATGCGAGAAATGCAAGAATAGTTTGGGATAGTAAAAGGATCCCCTCAATGGCAACCTTCAGTTTCTCAGCGGTGTCGCGGTAAACGATACGGAGGACACCAATGGGTTTACCATTCTCCTTGACGGGTTTGAGTAATGCTATGTCGAAATGTCTCTGGAAAATGTCGGTGTTGTCGGAGTCGATCGAGGAGGTATACAGGGCATGGCCATTCTGCAGTAGTGGTTGCTGTTCGGCGTCTAGTTTCGAGTACGGATCTGTTTTTTCTGAAGCGAGGGAATTACGCAGCAAATTAAAAGCCACCGCCAGAGCAGACAGAACCAACGGAACTGATACCCAGCTCTCCACCAGTTGCCTTCCACACGTGGTGAAGTCGTCTACTGCCCAGTATGAGTCGCACAAGGTGCTATTTGACGACGCAAGACTCATTGAAAACAGTAAATCCAGCAGATATTCTAATAATTAGGGCACAATTTTTTTATATTATGTGCACACTCTTTCAATCTGACAGATAAGGCTAAAAAAAAAAAAGAGTGCCAGAAAGTCGTTCTTACAGGACACCAGGATTTGTCACCACCCAATAGCCGAAGCCGCTACCATCTGTTAGTTGCCTATGAAATGCACGTGATTAAAGAGACATATATAAATATACAAAGCAAAAATGACACAAGTCTACAGAAACGCGTGTCCGATGAATGAGATGTCTAAACGTGCTGAATGCTTTCACTCATTTTCCTTGCCCTCTGAAGATGCCTCAGCAGCAGCCTCCACAGCAGAGTCAATTGCAACCGTGACGTTGAGCTTTCTGTTCTTGTACTCCTTGTTTTCGAACTCCTTGAGCGCCTTTTGCTGGTCCTCCTCAGACTTGAATCTCACAAAAGCAATACCTTTGTTGTCGATTTGGACGTTTCTGGCCTTCAGCTTCAAGTACAGGTTCTTTGGAAGCTCTCTTCTCGGAACACGGATCCAGACTGGCTCGTACTCTGCAAACAGTTCCTTCAAATCTTTGCTGGTAACAGACTTGTCGAGGTTGCCCAGGAACAGTGTGGTCTTGGAAGGAACGCCCTCTGACAACTTCTTCTGCTTCTCCTCCTTGGACAAGACTGGCTTTCTGGCCTTTTTCACAGGCGCGGACGACTCGGCAGAAGTGGCCTCGCTCTGATCAGCAGGAGAGGCCTCTTTGGAATCGGTCTTGGCGTCGGACTCAGAGCCAGATGCCTTGGCTTCCGCCTTGGCCTTGGCCTTGCTCTTCTTCTTCGTCTTGCCGCTAGCGCTCGAAGCCGCAGACCTTTGCGCAGTCTTCTTTGGCTTTCTCTCCCTCTTTGGTGCAAGGCTTGGAGGAAGAGCAGCTCTGGCGTACACCTCTCTTTCTCCTACCGTCTTGCCGCCAATCAGTTCGATTGCCTTGGCAGCGTCTTCAGAGCTCTTGTAGACAATAAAACCGTGGCCCTTTTGAAGTTGGACGGTGGTCTGGTCTGTTTTCTTAGTGACAGTTCTGGTTGGAAGCTCCACTGACACAACTTCCAGTTCAGGAGTCAATGCTTTCAATTGATCTTCAGTGGTATCGTATGGCAAGTTACCCACAAAAACCTTGTTTGGATCAGTCTCTTCGACTGGCGATGGGGATTGCTCGGTAACTGGCTGGGCTGATTCGACTTCGGAGGCAGACATATTCAACGTTTGAGGTTCACCAGGATTCTTATTGCCGCAGTAGGGTTCCGGATAGGACTAAGTTGGTGTTACAATTGGTGATTTTTTCGGTCTTAATAACAGAGGGTTTTCAAAATTTTTCGTCCGGTGAGGGCAACACGACGGCAGACGGAGGATGGCGAGAGACATTTTTCCAGAAACGTGAACAGCAAGGGATAGGTTACCCGGCCACGGCCATGGAGTTTTTATTTTTTTTCTCGTGGGATTACGGGCCCGACGCGACGGTCGACCCCAATCTAGTATCCACCAATGAAAACCACAAAAATTGAAATTTTTCGGTGTAGAGTGTTATTCTCTAAGGTCAAAAAGTTTTGTAGAATATCCACTCGTGTTGATTTGCAATGTCCTTGCTTAGAAATTTCATAGACGTCCTGTCGCCAATCACCGCTTACGCAGAGGAGCCTGCCGAAGAGCCTGTCGAAGAAGTGGAAGAGGAGGCCTCCGAGGAGCCAACGGGAGAAGAGGAAGCAGGCGGTGACGACGCCGAGGAAGAAGAAGAGGACGATGAGGACGACGAGGACGAGGACGATGAGGAAGAAGAGGCCGGCGACCCAATGGATGCCCTTAGAAAACAATGTTCCGAAACCAAGGAATGCGCACATCATGTTCATCACTACCAGGAGTGTGTCGAGAGAGTGACCAAAGAGATGGAGGAGCCAGGATACGACGAAAAGGAATACAAGGAAGACTGCGTGGAGGAATTCTTCCACCTCCAGCACTGTATCAACGACTGCGTTGCTCCAAAGTTGTTCTACAAGTTGAAATAAGGGATAGAAGTGTATATGTCATCAAAATAGCAGGTATTCAGAGTGTAATAGATTGATCCTAGCACATATTAGCCATCGCTGCTACAGTCCGTGTTATCTTAAATCTTTGTTACTCTCCATTATTTATGCCTCGACTCTCTTTGGAGCGTTGGCAGCAGCAACAGCAGCAGCCTTGGCTCTCTTGGCCAGCTTAGCATTGGTCTTAGCACCCATCACACCTCCACCCCAGTGTCTTCTCTGGTCCTCGTACTTTTCAATGAAGTTAGCGTTGATGGTGGAAACGAGCTTGGCCAAAGCAGCCTCGTCCTCTGGTCTAACGTCGACCAGAGCAGCAACAGCACTGGTCTTCTGGTGGACAAGGGTTCCCAATCTAGCCTTACCCTTGACGATAGCGTATGGGACACCCATCTTTCTGCACAGAGCTGGCAGGAAGACAACCAGCTCGATAGGATCGACATCGTTGGCAATCAACACCAATTTGGCCTTCTTGTTCTCGATTAAAGAAACAACGTGGTTCAAACCGTACTTGACAACAAATGGCTTGGATGAAACGTCCTCCTTCTTCTTGCCCTCGGCAATGGCAGCAGCCTCCTTGGTGAGTCTCTCTTTCTTCTCAGCAGCAGTCTCCGGTCTGTACTTGTTCAGGAGCTTGAAGACCTCAGCAGCAGTGTTTCTGTCCAAAGTGTTGGCGAACTGGGCAATAGCCGGAGGAACCTTCAATCTCATCGAGAGCACCTTCTTCTGTCTCTGCAGTCTGATGTATTGTGGCCATTTGACAAATCTGTTCAAGGCTCTCTTAGGTTGGATGTTTTGTCCAATACCAAAGCTTCTTGGAGTGGACTCAATCAAAGGGTTCTTTGGACCAGTGCTCTTAGCAGCCTTGGTCGACAAAGGAGCTGGGGCGACCTTCTTTCCTTTTGGAGCCATGTTGTAGTTGTTAAATTATCCAAGTAAAAATTTTGAAAAATTCACCCTAGTGCTACCCACGAAAAATTTCCTCCCCTGTCTATATGCACGTGACTTGCACAGGAGGTTTTCTAGCCCTCTCTCTATTATATACGCTCCGGCATCTTCATCATCAGCACCACCAGCGACGTCCAGCCGGAGAAGTGCCGTGTCCGCTGTCCGGCTCCCGTCTCCTCGTTGTACTGCTCCCACGTGTATCCTGTTTTCCGGTACTGCTCGTAGATATTTCCGATCAGGTTTTTCCGCAGCGACTCGTATATATCGCTCATCTGAGCGCGGATCTCTGGAGACGTTTCTGGCTGCGCAGCATAGTACTGCAGACTCTCCAGCACCAGGTAGTTGATGTTGACCCAAATGTGGCCTCTCCAGTAGTCCTCTCCCTGATGGAAGTATGGATCTTTTCTGGACAGCGATCTGATGCCATACGGCGACCACAGCTGCTCAGGGTCCTGTAGCTGGTCCAGAACGTGTTTCAGATGCTCAGACGACGCAGGAACCAGCCGGTGCACAAAAGGCATGATGCTGACGTACCCGACATGGCACTCAAAAACGTCCTCGTCCTCTTCGTCCACCGTCACGTCGCAGTAGCTGCGGTCCTTACTGCTCCAATGCAGATCTTCCATGTTGGCGACGATGTTGTCGTATATCTCTTTGTATTGCTGTGCGTCTTGGTGTTTCTCGAGCAGAAACGCGATCCTGTACATCGACCTCGTCATCGCTCCCATCCAGGCCAGCAAGTCAATGTGCAGCTCTGCTATGTCTGGCGGCGATCTTGGGTAGTCGTCGATCCCGCTGGGCAGACAATGGTCCTTGGTGCGGCCTTTCCAGCGGAACACGTCGAGCGCGGAGCGGCACGTTCTGCCGAAAAGTTTTGTCTCGCCGCGCTGCGTCCTGCGGAACCAGTCGTAATGTTTTTGGAGCTGCGGATATATTTTATTTGCGTAGCTCACGAGCAGCTCTGGATTTTCCAGGTGCATGTCGCCCAGCCGCAATGGACCCGCAAACGAGTCGATGTCCACGCCGTACTTCGCGGCCTCCTGGGCCTGCTTCGCCAGGTCCAGCAGCTTGGTGAAAACCAGCATCAGCGTCGGCGGGTTCGCGATGTTGGGATTCTGAACGGTGAACTCTGGAGGCACTTTGCTTCTGGCCTCGTCGCCCAGGATCTGCTCCCTGGCAATCCAGCCGTCGTCGTCAATCAGAGAAAACCAGCTCTGGACAATCTCGAGCGCCAGGTCCGAGTCGTACTCCAGAACCGGCAACAGGTGGAAACCTTCATCCCAGTAGAAACCCCGGGGAAAAAATGGTCTGCTCGGGACGGCAGTAAACAGCTCGTACGGTCCCTCCGGCTTGCCTTCGAGGTTGGCGTGGCTGAACTCGATATCGTCCACCACGGCGTTCCGGTCCACCAGCTGGTCGCCGTAGAAGTAGCTGATTCCACCCAGCAGCTGTGAGAGCATCTCTTTTGCAAACTGGAAATGCTTGGGCTTGACAAACGGAGGAGCAAGCTGGAAGTTTCTTGCAAACTTAGAGTCAAAGTTTGCGTTCATTTTTGTAATTTTCTCAGGAAGCTGCTCCGCAGTCAGTGGCTCGTTGTCTGCCAGGTTGAAAATAATGTCAAACTCAAAACTGCCCTGGAACGTTTTCTGCACAAAATGCATGTTTCCTTCGAAATTGTCGATATTTTTCATCTGGAACAGCTGCTCAGGCGGGACCCTGTCCTCCTTGTCCAGCGTTTCCTGTAGCTTCTTGATCTTTTCTCCCAGAAGCGTCAGAAAAATATCCTTTGCTCGCCAAACGTTGCCTGTAGGAACCATCAGAGACAAGTGTCTGGTTTTTGACGCATCGAGTCCCAGACCGCGATAGTCGCCTTCTGGGACGTACTGCTTAGACGAGCCTTTCGTAATGTCCAGGTCAAACACCCCACCAAGCCGCTCTGAGTACCCGACCAACTTCACATCGCCGTCGGTCACGTCGTCGCCGCCAGCATACGTCAGCTGTCCTTCTCCCTCGAGACCAGCGTAAAACACCACCGACGTTTTGGTGTCTTTATTCTTTGGTTTTCCAGACACACGCAACGCCCAGTTGCCGTCGTCCGTCTTCACAAAATCTGCCTCGAGCTTGAGCCCAAACTGAGCGTCCTTGACAACTTCGTGGCCCCCGAGTCTGGGGTCGTATCTGGTCCATCCGAAAGTGTCCAATTGGTCGTCCTGACGACACTCGTGGCGCAGAGCGCCAATTCCCTGGTAGCTGTCCACGTTGAACCACATCAGACCCGTCAGCAGGGACTCAGGCAGCCGAGGCTTCACTCCGAAATACAGATTCGACCGATACGCTCCCCAGAAAAGTGACCTGCTGTTGGCACTGGCGTAGTCTGCTGCCAGGCCTCTGATATTTTCGCTGCTGTTACCTAAGATGCCATACTCGGTGGCCAGAATGGAGCAGGCATAGAAGATGGAGGCCAGTAATAGTCTCCACAGCATGGAAAGAATATTTTTGAAAGAAAATAATATTAGTACAGGTACGCATGGCAGCGTACAATTACATAAACCCGCCCAGTTTGCGCTTCTTGCGCTTTTTTTGCGACGAGGTGCTCTGTGTCAGAAGCGATGAGCGCAGCTGCGACGGCACAGGTGCCTCGGGCTGCGAGCTTGGCGGAGACGCGGTCTGGGAGCTAGCAGGAGACAATGTGCTGATCTGTGACGAGGACGGGACCAGCTGCGAGCTTCTCGGAGGGCGCGATTGAGAGAGCCGCTGCGAGAACCCAGCAAGCTTCGACGGCCGCGTTTTCAGCTTCTTCTTGCTGCTCTGCGACGTGCTGATCGCCGGGACCTGGCTCAGAGGCTCTGTGTGGCTGAAGATGCTGGTGCCGTGTGGCTCGTGCGGTCTCCACTGGTCCAACAGCGCGGCCAGCTCAAACGGCAGCTGCGACCGGATCTCCTCGATTCCGCGGTCGCCCTGGTTCTTTTTGTGCACAGTGAGCAGACTGAGCCCGAGGTTGATGTTGATGCGGTCCAAACACGGGCTTCTTTTGTTCTGCAGTATACTTTTCAGCCGGGACTCACGGTTCTCAAACTGCCTGAGAGGCCGGAACAGACCGTCTGGAAGACTATGTAGTCTCTGGATTTGGCCCAGGTCGGAAAAAAGACGCTCTGACGCGTCGTAGACGACCAATTCGTTTTGTGCTACCAAAGACTCTAGGTTGCCAGGAACAGGCCCTGCCGTTGGAACCAGCGATCCCAGGGAGAGATACATGTCGTTCTCGTCTGCGGCGAATTTTTCCAGCAGCTTTGCGGCCTCGTCCCCGCAGTTGCTGGTTGTAGTGTCTAGAAATTTAGGCAACGCTGGAATTGTCTCCTGCGTTTTTGGTAGCTTTTTTTCTGGAACCTCAACGTCCCCTTCGGACCGTTGCATTTGCATTCGCGAGATCTCCAGCTCGCGCGTGAGCTGAAAAAAGACAAATTTCGTGCCGTAGTCTAGAAACGCGATGGATTGAGCTGGCTCTGTAGGATGCGGGACGTAAAAATATGGATCGCCAAAAATGCGCGCCTTGCCGTTCAAAAAACCAAACGAAACAACCAATACCAGTGGATTGATCTGCGAGATTATATGGCACTCGAACATGTCCTTGTATCGCTGCACAGAAAGTTTCAATGAAAGGTCCTGTCCGTCCAAATGGTGCGACCAACCCAAGACAAGCTCGAACCCAGAGAGCTGCACCAACGAAATCTCCCTGGTGGTCAAAAGAATGCAGTAGTCAGTCTGGCCATTGGGAACACACAAATCTAGCAGCCGCGACCAGTAGTTTGCTACCACCTTGCACACCTGTTGTCTGGACGACCATAGGTGCAGCGACGATCGAGACATGAGCAGAAGCTCGTCGTTTTGCTGCGAGAACCGTACTCTCTTGAAATTGGACAGCTCTGCAGGATCGTGTATTGTAGACAAATACAGCCGCCTGTAGTCGTTGAAATTGCGGTCCAAATCTCTCTTGATAAGCTTGAACAGCCCAAAGTTACCCTTCACGTCTATCAATGCAATATATGCCTCCATTTGAGGACAGACACACGCGTCTGCAAAAGCCTGGCCAGCAAGGCTTTCCTGCGGGATTTCCACGAGCCGGGCCACCCCGACGCTGAATTTGCTTTCCACATGTGCCTCGAATATGCTAACGCTAACGCTGGTGCGGACTCCAAAGTGGCGAGTCTCCGGAATGGTGAAGATTTGCTTTATTCGAGAATTAAATTGAATAGCCTTGGTTGTAGAAAGAGCGGGCATTTCTGAAGAATCTAGAATACTGACAGCCAGAATATTCCCGTATGAGCCTGTAGTGCTGATAAGGAGATTTGCTGTAATTCTAGAAGCGTCGTAGCGAAGGATAGCGAGGAGGTCTCCGTAGGTTGGATCGTATATTTTATGGTCCTGCGCCGCCAGAGACTCTTGGTGGCCCGCCTTGAGTAGTGATTTGGGCACAAAGTACGTGTCAGCTGTATGGTCTGCAATTTCAGACGCCGTTTTGATGCTGCCCGTGTCAATATCTTCCGATCTCTGGTCGAGCTGCGGTGGAACAAGACAGTGATAAGACGACTTGAGAGGCCGCAGCGGGTTTGATTTTGCGCCTCGCACCCGGGGAAAGTCAAAGGAGTCGTTCGCTCGGTCGAACGTGCACGTCCCGTCCACGCCGTAGGTGAGATGGACGTTTTTCCCGGGCCACATAGAAGCGTATTTTTTTATTTTTTTTATTTTTCCAGGCTAGACATATACTGATCTGTTTGAAATCAGATCCTTGAGTGTGCTAATTTCTCTTTAGTTTGCCTGAAACCGCGCGTAATCGGGTCTGGAAAAAATAGGCAATATTAGAGTAACAATGACATGACTGGGATCTTTATATATCAGAGAGCTACACTCCCTGCTACCACAGCCCTTCCATTGCAGCTAAAACAAATTACGTCAGCACAATTTAAGTGTCAATGGTCCCAGAACCAATAGATCATCCAGTTACGAACAAGATTAGCAGGGATGGTTCGCATCTGAATTGTACACGTGCAATATACATTACTTGCTAGCGTCGTCAAACGACTCAAATCTAAGGTCCCAGCCGATCTGCGGACCAAGCTTAGGAAGCACCTCGGCAACGCTCTGCACATCCTTGTCGCCCCTGCCCGAAACGTTGATAATCACATGCTGGTCCTTGGACATCTTCTTGGCGGCCTGGACAGCACCGTAAATGGCGTGCGAGGACTCCAAGGCAGGAATGATGCCTTCGTACTGCGACAGCAATCTGAATCCCTCTAAAGCCTCTGCGTTGGTGGCAGCAATGAATTCAACACGGCCAGTATCCTTCCATGCAGACAACTCAGGGCCAACACCCGGGTAATCCAGACCAGCAGAGACAGAGTGGGTGTCGTGGACCTGTCCATCACTGTCCTGCAGAACGTATGTTTTCACTCCGTGGAAAACACCAGGCTTTCCTGCCGTCAGCGTAGCTGAATGTCTGTCAGTGTCAAGTCCTTCACCTCCTGCTTCGACACCCAGCAGTCTCACGCCAGTGTCCTTTTCGAACGGAGAAAACATACCGGTTGAGTTGGACCCTCCACCAACACAGGCAACAACCAGATCTGGCAGTCTGCCGTTATTCATCTTCTTAAACTGCTCTTTGGTCTCGTTTCCAATCACGCTCTGGAACGTTCTCACCAAAATTGGGTATGGATGTGGGCCAATCGCAGAGCCGACAATGTAGTGCGTGTTCGACAGGTTGGTCACCCAGTATCTAAAGGCCTCGGTGGTGGCGTCTCTGAGCGTCTTTGTTCCGTTGGTAACGGCAACAACCTTGGCTCCCAGAATCCTCATCCGGAAAACGTTCAGAGCCTGTCTTCTGACGTCCTCTGCTCCCATGAAAACAGTGCACTTGAGACCAAACTTGGCACATGCCGTGGCAGTGGCAACTCCGTGCTGACCGGCACCAGTCTCTGCGATGATCTCGCTCTTTCCAAGACGTCTGGCAATCAATATTTGTGCCAAGGCGTTGTTAATTTTGTGCGAACCGGTGTGGTTCAGATCCTCTCTCTTCAGCCAGATCTGAGCACCTCCCACATGCTCGGTCAGTCTGTCAGCGCGGTGTAGAGACGACGGCCGGCCAATGTAGTCGTACAAGGAGCGGAACTCCTCCCAGAATTTTGGGTCTGCAATGGCACTCTCAAAGCCATCCTCCAGCTCTCTCAAGCAGGCCTGCAAAATCTCAGGCACGTACTGTCCTCCGTACTCGCCAAATCTTGGGTTGTGGAGATGCTTCTCGTCAAAAGTGACGTCTGCGCCCAAATTGAGCTCCGCCTCGAACAACGACTCACCAACAACATTTTCACCTTCTCCGGTCAAAATCGACCTGACATACTTCTCGGCAGTAGCAGCTCTTTCACCCTCCGGAGAATCGTCTAGCAGCGAGACCAGCTTTGAGCCGATCACAACACCGTCCGAAGATGAGCCAACTTGAAGAAAGTGCTCTCTGGTGGAAACTCCGAACCCAACAGCCAACGGAGCCTTGCCTCCAGTAATTTTGCGAACGCGGTCAACCAGAATTCCAACAGACGTGCTCACAGAGATGGAGGCACCTGTGGTGCCCATACGAGAAACCACGTATATGAATGAATCGGCAATGTCGCCGAGCAACTTGAGTCTCTCGTCGGTGGTAGATGGAGCAACCAACGGCACGTATGACATGCCCTCGTCTTTGCAGTATCCTCTAAATTTCAGTGCTTCCTCTGGTGGCAGGTCAACAACAATAAATCCATTGGCGCCCGCAAGACGAGAGTCACGGATCATCTCCTTCTCGCCGTATTGCAAAATAGGATTATAGTATCCCATCAAAACCACCGGAACAGTCACTCCAGCAGCTCTGGCCTTCTTCACCATGTCCAGAACCATACGCACAGTCACACCGTTGCGCAGAGCGACGGTGTTTGAGTGCTGGATCACTGGTCCGTCGGCCATTGGATCAGAAAACGGAACACCAAGTTCAATCACATCTACACCACCTGCCTGCAGACTCTGCATGATTGGGACTGTCTCCTCTATGGTGGGGTGTCCAGCGGTGACAAAAGTCACGAGCGCCGTTCTCTTCTCCGACTTGGCCTTGATAAAAGCTTCTCTTAAAGCAGTTGCCATACTGTTATCTAGTGAAAAAATCAGTCATTGGGGAATTTTTGAGCTGGGCGAAAAAAAATGGTGAATAGTCCCGTCGATCGTCGTCTATTTCTTTTTAGCTGCAGGCTTCGCCTTGGAAGGCGGCCGTTTCGCGGCGCTATTCTTCATCCCTGGCGACCCTACGCTTCCCGAAGACAGCGGCCCGCCCATCTCTATTGAGGAAATAAGCGGATTTTTCGAGGAGTCGATTCTGTTCAGAGGTTGATCGCTCAGAAACTTGGTTTCGATCTTCACCTCATGCGGTACAACCCTGAGTTGGTCCTCAGGATTGGCTCCCATCTTGAGTTTGGCGTATCGAACCACCGGAAGTAGTCTTTTGTATGCATTTTGATATGTATCCAGATTGCTTTTGAGCAAGTTGATCTGTGTCGCCACCTCGTGATAAAACACTGACGACGTGGTGTCCTCGTCTACAGAGGCCAAAAGCCTTATGTAGCGGGCCATCTCGTATCGTAAACCGCTAATCTGAGATCGGAGCTCTTGTATTTCCGCAATGATAGAATCGATGTCCAATTTGCCGTTCTCGAGGTCTTGGATCGCTATGGTCTCTGCCACAGGGGTGCTCACTCCACTGGTTCCCGGAAGAGGCCCCGAGGGCGTTAGATTGGTGGCAGGCGTGGGCATAGACATGTCTGGTCAAACACCCAATTGCGTATACAAATTTATCTATTTGAGTGGCAGCTTACATAATCCGCGTCGTGGTAGCTATTTTCTGCGACGGATAGTGACGGTGTCGTTCTCCAGCGTCCACGGGATATTGTGATCTTTGCACAGTTCCTCCCACGACGTGTTAACGAGTTCCAGTAGCACTCGTTTGTTCAGCGTAAAGTACGATCGATGCAGCGTGTCGATTTCCGTCTGTCTGAACGCTTTAAGTCTAAGACCCATTACTGACTTGTAGCACGAATTTTCCGACAGAGAGTTATATTGGCGCGTCCAGAGATAAAAGTCTTTAATCATAAGGGCGTAAGTTGCAAAGAACGCGGCCTCGGCGTCGCATGAGGCGGGATTTTCAAAGTTTGGTGAAATGTCAAAGTTTTGCAAGAGCAACTCGAACACTGGCTCAAATTCTCCGTTGTGGTGAGACTTGTGTAGCGCTAGAATCAGCAGCACCTGTTCCCTTTGACTGCTGGACATGAATTGGTGTTTTTTCTCCGCTTCTATTAGATGCAATATGCTGGGAACGTATGACTGATGATGGCCTATTGACGCAGAATAACGGATCGAGCTCACAAACACGTCTTTTGCAAACTCGGTGTGCGGCTGAGAAAGAAGGCTCTCCCTCAATTTGCGGAAGTCCATGAGCACCAAGTCGGGTTTGGCCTTGGATTTGATGTTGGACTGGATTTTGGCAAAGAGATCTTTTCGAGCAGATTGGCTCTGCTGCAACCGGAGGTCCTCCCCTCGGCTTATCAGGCCGAACTCTGCATTCTTTGTCCGTCTTATTTGATCCTGGTCCTTTAAAAACCTTTTTCGGCGCTTTTCAAGGGCATCGGGGTCTTGCAGCACAGATTTGGTGAGACCCTTTTTCTCGTCGCTGCGATTTTTCATTGATAAGTAAATAATTTACTTGATAATTTATTTAACTGATTTATGAGCGAGCTGAAAAGGCCTGCGGAAGAGCATGTTGGAGACCCGAAACGGGCCAAGCTGGGAAGTAGCGACTTATCTGAGCTTCAGAACATGAATCTTTTCCCAGAAATCGGTGTTCAGCCAGCGGAGACCAACATGGACGAACCTGAGATCACGAAAAACCCAAACGAACTAGACATTAACGCCACCGCAGAAGGATGCAGTGACGAGTCAGAAGATGAAAAGGAACTGTCATCGAAGCTCATAGCAATACCAGGAACAAACATAGTGCTGGAATCAGAGGAAGACATTCGAAAATGGATTGAAGAGCGACGTAAAAATTGGCCAACGAACAAAAGGGTGCAAGAAAAACAGAGTATGCAGAAGGACCAGACGCAGACGAAAGCAAATGAGCCACGAAACCGCCGTGTGTGCAGGTTCTGGCAGAACTCGCGCAATTGCAAAAATGGAGCCAAGTGCAGATTCCTGCACGAATCGGGCCCTCAGAGGCCTCGACAACTCCCTAACCACAAAGTCAAACAAATCCAGGGGTTTTCTGTGCAGATTCCTCAACGTTTCACTCCGCTAGTCCACAAAGGGCGCTCGTTGCACAATCTGGTGGCAGAGAGAGAAATGCTTGACGAAAACGTCAAACTTCTGGGAATATTCAAGAAATTGATTGATAATAATCTTATACAGGACTGGGACGAGCTGAAACGGCGGCTCAATCTTGATAAACAGAACTAGAAATTTAGCATAATTAATAACGGTGCATAATTAATTTTACTATATTCACATACCCCTGAAAGCGTTTTTACTCGCACGGCGTCTTCCTTCGTAATTTTGCCGCGTTTTGCCTCTATCTTCGTTGCTTTCAATCCGCACTTTCTTCTTCTTCTGTGGGACAAAGCTGATCTCGGCCTCTCCGCGAACATTTTTGTGCACCCTGACCTGCTGCTTCTGTTCTCTTTCTTGTTCTCTTTCCTTATTAACATCCTGCAGCCGCTTGCCAAACGACAAGTTCTTGTGGTCTGTTTTTCCTGTTAGTTCAGCTGCAGCGTCCAAAGGTTTCATGGAAACAGCCTGCATTTTCTTTAGATATTCTTCTTTTTCCAGCTCCTCTCTCAGTCTCTGGTCCTGCTTCTTTCTGATTTCCTGGCGTTTCTGAATGGTAGCCTCGTCCTCGCTTTCGCTCTCACTCTCACTCTCACTTTCACTGTCACTATCTCCCCCTGGGTTCATCTTCTCCTCGTCGGATTCCTCAGCTGCCGTCAAAGGCTTACTACCCTGAACAGGATTAAGCTGCTTGTAATCATGCGACTCCTCGTCAATCTGGAACATTGGGTCTTCAAACATCTCCTTGAAACGATCATCGTTGACAACCTGCTCTGCAACATCAGAGCCAAGTTTCTGTCCAAGCTTGGTAGCATAGTCCTTGTTGACCTTGATCTTAGTGTTGGAAATAGCTCCAGTACTCCGGATACGGGATTCTCTCTCTTTCTCGACGCGTTTTTTAATTTCACGCTCACGTTGATCTTGGATTGCGTTAGGATTGGCGATCAGGTTCACCTTGTCGTACAATTCGGTGTCAATGAAATAACCATGCATGTATGCACGCATAACCTTGGTGCCGATAAGATGAGAGATATTGAGGCGAACGACGTCTTGCGTGGTGATGAATCTATAGTTCGAGTAGACTGTGTCTGAAGGCTTCTCTTCCAGCTCTTCGGTTATGTTGTCGAGGAAGGAACACCATTTAGGAGCTGGGCCGAGAGCTGGAATGTAATAAGTATGCATAGGAATCGATTCATTTGCCATGAAAAACATGCCCGACTCAGGAATGTACTCCACATCATTTATATCGACACTTGGTTCCATGCTTGCAAACAGGTCACCACTGTGACGGTCCCAGATTTTAGCGATTTTTTTGTCCGAGGTCATGATTTTGTTGCTCACACTCGAATTATCATCCAGCCAGGTTATTTTGTTAATTGCGAATCCATAACCTTGGTCTTTAGTCATTAAAGGTTGCGATCGACGGAGGTCATACAACAATGACACTCCATTTGATGTACCCACAGCCATGTTCAGCCCATCATTGCGGAATTTGAGTGCTGTGACTTGGGTGGAGGGCATTTCGGAGCCGTCAATGATCTCCATCTTGACCACTCTCTGTCTTGCTCTGTGATCCCAAAACTCCACAGTGCCGTCCTCCAATCCGGCACCTACCAGGCCATGAACGTCGTTTATATCAAGGATGTTGACACCGGTCTCGCTATCTATCTCAAAAGGCTGCATGAATCGTCCTTGTTCCAAATTCAATCTATAGATCTCGTTTCCTGCGGCTCCCACATACAAATCACAGTTCACCTCGTTGTAGGCTAAAGAGCGACCAAACTTTGGAACACGGGTCCTGTAGTGCATTCCACCTTTCACCTGAAATTCGATGGAGCGATCGTTTTGCAAATGCACGGACTTGGTCCAGTCGTCACTGAGAAGCAGGAAGTCCACATTCTCACAGTCCGTGTGGCGCTCGAACTTGAGAGAAAGGTTGGCAAAATCATAAACGTGGATCTGTGGCTTATATGTTCCCGTCGCCATCGCATACTGGCCATCCCGAGTGACTCTGATCCGGTTAGAGGCTTCACTGAACTCAAAATCCTGGATTAGCTCCACACGATTTTGGTAATCGATATCGTTTTTCAAAGCCCGCTTGCGTTTACGAGCAATCCAGTCTGGAAGAGATCTGGCCACGTTGGTTCCCGAGATCTGGTAGACCGAGACGTCGTTGGCAGTCGTAGATTTTAAAACCATTAAAAATAAGGGAAAATATTTTAAAAAATATTTTTTTGATCTTTTTTCTGGGTCCGGTCGATCGACTTGAAAATCTTGTATCATTCGTGTATTTTGTTCATGGACATTGCTCAGCTTAATAACCCTGTCGCTCAGGAAGCAGCCGTCAACTATAGCGAGCTTTACGAGGACTTGCTCACCAAGTATGCCAAGGTGCATTCTGATGCACAGAAGCTCAAGAACAAAGAAACACAAGCGAACAGACTGATCAAGTATCTTGAACTTCGAAACAATATGCTTCTCCAGCTCTTGATGCGCGCCGAATCACTGAGACTGAATGGGACGCAATCAAAATTGTCCGGCAACCAGGAACAGGAGATCCTGCAGTCCATATTGTCCCAAAAGCCATACCTCCAAGACATTCTTCAGCCATTAACTCAAAACACAGGTGATCTAGACTCTCTCGAGCTCTCGCAGGTTTACGAATTGCTTGAGAAAAACCCCAACTCCTCCGTTTTGAACAGCGATCTCGAATCAGTGCTGAACTTTGACGATGACTCCGATAGAAAAAGAAAATTCGAATCAGCTACAGATATTTCATAGCTATGCATTAGTCACTCTACTCAATCACCACCAGCTTCTTCTTCTTCTTTGGTTTCTTTGGCTTCTTCACCACCACAGTTGGCTCCTGTTTTTGCTCGAGCTTTTCAAACTCTTTCCGCATCTTCTCTACCTCTTCGGCCTGATCAGGTTCGTCCGGTGGTTTAGTGAGGTCGAAGTCCGACAGATTCGAGGAGTCAATGAGCAACTTACTTCTGTCCTTCTTGGTTTTCGGTTTGGACACAGGCTCGGGAGCAGACTCTTCGCCAGGGTCCTCGTCGCCTAGAACGAGCACTTTCTCCTTCCTGATCTTCTTTTTTTTGCTGGGCTTTTTGTGTTTGGTCTCCACAAGAGGTTCTGAAATTGAGACATCATCCGGCGTGCTTGTGTCCATTGAGATATAGAACGGATCGCCGATCCTGTCGGAACGGTCGGGGCGACCTCTAAGTGGCTCGTCGTCGCCGTGGTCATCGGACGACTGGTTGATCTCGGACACCAGCTCTTCCTCGTATTCCTCCTGCTGGCGCTGCAGGGCCTCTTTTTCTTCGATTCCAGCAAGCATCCGCTGGAAATCAGAGATGGATGCGTGGTCAATAGCGGTGTCCAGGTCTATGGCTATAGGGATGCGACTTTGGGCGTGCGGACCGACAGGCTTGATAGGGTACTGTTCGAATAGCTGCGAGTACCCAGACACCAGGAAATTAGGGAAGTTCTCTTCATCGGCCTCGACAGCATCCAGTACAAGCTTGAGAAGTTCAGTGAATGAAATAGCGCGCTCTTGAACCTCAAAATTCACAGACTGATGGAACTTTTCGAGCCACCCGATCAAATTCTGGCACACCTCAATCACATGTTCCCGATCTCCGGAATTCCAGCTCTGTCTTAGCGAGAGACAGTATTTCCCAAATAGTTTGGCCATAGATTGAATATAGACGCTTAGTGTCGGGTCCGTTAGATCAGTGAGACTATCAAAATCTTTCTGTGCCACGACGCACTTGATAATTTGTGCGCCCGTTATTTTGTACACCTCCTCGTTATCGCTGTCGTCGTTATCGTCGTCATCCAGTGTAGAGATATACTCTGTATAGTATTCTCCAACAAGCCACATGCAATTGAATAAACCTTCTTTCAAACCGACCAGCCGCGAACTGTCAAGTACCAAGTCCAGACTGCGTTGTACCAATCTGCTGCGAATGCTTGGAACCTTTAGTCCGACACTCATGAATTGCGATGTGACCATCTTTTCGACTCCAGCAAGCCTGTTCTCGGCATTGATGTTGAGAATGTCGCCTAGAACACCGAGATACCACTGGAAATTGGGAATATGCTCGTAGTTGTCCATGGAGCAGATCTGGATGATTTTGGTAATGACAAGCAGCCTGTACTTATCTGACACGATAAGAGGGCTTTGAAGTGCCAATTCGGTTTCAACGTTAATGCTTTCCAGTCTTTCTGCCTGCTCGTCCACAGGAATCAATTGGACAAGTAGTCTGGACACAATGGAAACGATGTTGCGGTCGGTCACGAGAGAATCGATCAGTTCGAGAGACTTTTCTCTGATTGTGGGGTCGGGGTCATACGTTGACGCCATGATGACTTTTTCGTGCTTTTTGATGAGCTCCTTGTGAATTTTGCAGGTTTTAATGAACGCCAGCAGCCCCACATACCGCAAATCCTGATCGCTGTTTTGAATGAAGCCGATCAGTTTGCTGATGATCAGCTTTGCAACTTTCGTATCGTCAGGAGTAAGCATCTTTCCATTGTGGATGCAGTTGATAGACTCGTAGACCAGAGAAAGGGCCGTCGTGTTGTTCATGAGATCCACCACCTCTGGCAGCAAAATATAGCGGAGACGGGGCTCCTCGAGACACAGATACGACAACAGCTTCAGCAGTCTGATGACCATCCAGTTGTTGTTCGTCTCCTTCAACAGCCCGAATAGTCGCGGCGCGAGCTCGACGTAGTTTTTCGGATTATTGTGAGCAAGTTCGCAAATGACGTTCACCGTGGCAGAGACCACAGACCCGTCTTCGTCGTCCAGTTTTTCTATCAGCTTGTCGAAATGCAGTCTTAGAGCATCGGGGTACTTGAGGAAGATCTTGTACATGGCCAAGACGGCCTTCTTTCTAATAAATGGCTTGGAATGCGAAAGCATTCGCACCATATCGTCACAGATATCCTGTGCCAGTTCGGGAGTGACTATGGACGCGATTCCGCTGATCGCCACACCGGTGTCCACGGAATTGCCCGAGTTGATGTCTTTTTTGAGCAAATTGGTCATCAGCATAAGCACGTCATCGTTGTTCTGTCGTTGGAACAACTGCATCGCAGCAAGGTATCCTATTCTTTTGTGCTGGAACTTTGGCGAGGAAATGACCTCCAGCACGTGGAACGAGCACCAGCTCATGTCGTAGCCGTACATCTCCAGGTATGCTAGTTTGAGGATGGCCATGGATTTTAGTTCGAGGTCGTTTGTTTTCAGCTCAGCCCGACATTCCTGGATGGATTTGTCGAAGAACGCTACCAATTTCTCCGGATCCTGATTGTTCGCTCTGATCCCCCTGATGAGGTCCGCCAGAGACTTCTCGAACGAGATCCCAAACGGCCGCAAACGCGCTCTTATTATATCCCTGGACATAAGGTTCCGACAAGAAAAATAATAAATCGAATTATTTTGCATGGTTCTCGACGCAAACAGTTTCGAGGTCGACTCCGATTCTCAGTCGTACACAAACACAACCACCGAGGAGACGCCCGTGGAGGAGCGGTCCACATTTAATGCGGTTGACTATCTCATTGGCTCGCTCAATAGCTCCCTGGACTCCGTGAAGCTGGACCGCTCGCTCATGATGCAATCGCAGGTCTCAGGCACGATAAATAACACAATGCAGGAACTGTTACGAACGATGAACGAAGTGAGCGAAAAATTAGAAAACCACATCAAACGATACGAGCAGCTGAAAACGCAGATCATCCCAGAGTTGAGCGCAAACCTGGCCAAGAACACCAAGCTGTGCAATAAATTAACAAAGAACATGAAAGACACCTATCCTGTGGAGTACTCCAAGAGCCGTGACAAGGTGCTCAATCGCGTGACCGAGGAGGAAGAAGACCTCTACATATAACATAAGGCATAACTATATTGCGAAATGCACTAGGATCCTCATTACTCATTGGATGAAAACGGGAACGTCGAAAGCCAACTTTGACTCACCTTGATATAGGACGTCACGCGGCAGCTTCACATAGAAGCGCAGGAAGTAGAAGCGTCCACAAAATACGAATTCAAAGGACGGGATGACAATATCTTTTTTTGGTTTGGTCAGGATGATCTCATACGAGGTCGGGCCCCTTTTCTTATACTGAATCACTTTTGGCATCTTGGTTGCCGTGAACTTGAGCGTGCTCAGACTTTTCACCAGCTCCAGCGAGTCTTCGTTGCCGCAACCCTGCAAACTTGCCTCCAGCTCCTTGAACTTGGGTCTAATGACGGTCTCAAAAGGAACACGGTTGATAAACCATTCAGGAGATATGTGAACGGGGATATTGCGCTGGTTGTAGTAGTTGACAGCATAGAGGTCAATTGAGCTTATTTTCATCTCCTCTTTAAAGGCAATGGTTATGTTCTGTTTCGTCTGGAGGTGGTCCGAGCTCAGCGAGTAATCTAGATACTTGTTTATGAACATGCCAGGCTTGTTTTTCAGCTGAAGTCGGAAAACCTCCCGCTCTTGTGATACTCGGAACGAGTACGCGGGCGCTTGGTCTGCCTTGGTTCCGGGCGGCGGCTCACTTTTAATTTGCAAACTTCTGATCTCGTCTTCAAGCGAGTTGACAAGCAAGCGCAGTTCATCGGCAGGATCGAGCAATCTCAAAACCTCATCTGCTTGTAACTTGGGCGTGAATGCAACCATGTGTCTGCTGTGACGTCTAATAACAAGCTCGTCCTTGGTCTCGCTCAGTTCTAGCAATCTGGCATTGATGGAGTAGCTGATGCTAAAGCTGTCGCAGCTATAGTCTCCACCAAAGCAGTTTTCACGCATAAACAACGAATCCTGGATCTGAGAATGAATCTTGTGTCTGAGATGCAAATCTCCCATGTTTGGAGGCAGAGGAAGTCCCGATTTAGACGTTTCCGGGATTTGGAACTTGAAGCGCACCATATAGAAGCTGTTTGGTCTCAAAACACGGTCAGGCGGAAGCCCTGCATCAGGATCCTCGCACAAACAACTGGCTTCAAAATCTATCATGTCCAAGAAATTATGGATAAGCATTTTAGAGGAAGACTTCAGAGCCCAAAAATACCCTTCAAAGCTGACAAAGATGTTGTCAAAGGGGATCGGATGCGGCCCGATGTTGTGGACTTTCACCGTTCCTTTCACAATGTCTCCGCTAGTGACTGGAGCATAATGAATGTTTGTGAAGTCATCCAGTTGGATATCAATGTACACAGAGCTCTGATCCATATACCTTAGCTTGTCGATCTTCCTCCACACAGAGTTCTGCTGGTCCGAAACCAGAGAGGCCCTTCCGTCCTGAGGTTCCTCACGAATCTCAAATGACATTCGGGGTCTCCTGCCGGTCTCATTTGCGACCTCAGAGTAATCTGGAGGAGCGTCTAGCTTGTGATCGTTGATGATCTCGTCCAGGTGTCTGTTCAGATAGCGGTGGAGCTGGTAGGAGGGCAGGAAATCTTGCATCATCTCTTGTTCTTTAGATGGCGATTGTGAGGAAGGCTTAGTTTTTTCGTGCCTGTAGGTATCTTCGTCTGAGCTGCTAATTTTGATTACAAATCCTCAAGGGAGTAATCTTCTATTGCAACGATGTGCTCCAATATATATGGGCCATAGGGTGTAAAAGATGAGTCTGAGCTAATCTATTCACGCACTCTGGAGCAAACAATAAAAAAATATAATTACAATAGACTGATTAATAGCCTTATTCTCATTTCCACGCAGTTAAAAGTAGTTTTTCGGTACGTTGGAAGCACACCAGACTTGGCGTGTGAACTGTAGGTGGACAAGTGTGCGCTCTTCTCAGAGCGGATTCTGGCCACCAAAGAAGCCAACTGGCTGAAGTACGTAGCAATTTTGTTCAGAGAGCACAGCAGTGTCAAGGGACTGAAGTAAAGCAAGCCCGTGTCGAATCCCGAACAGTGCACATATGCAATAAGCTATGAATATGACGTGGCTGAGAGTCCGACAACACAGCAATTAGTCTCCGAATTGACATTGTTTGAACCTCGGCCGACAAATAACAGCAGCTACCAGGAACTAATGCCTAATGAGTCATTGGCCCGTTCTTGCTACACCTGCAGTGACTCAATTCACGTAGATTCTCGAAAATTCAGCAGTGCCTGCAGGAGCAGTAGGAGGGACCTGTAGCCAATTGAGCTCGTCGTATTGTGCCTCTCCCTCGATCACGTGGAACGTGTATGCGTTTCTGGACATTCTCGACAGGTTTTTTTCAGACTTGTGGATGACCCTATTGTGAATCAGCACCAAACTACCCGCTGGGATTTCCACACAAACAAACTTCGAGTCATCCGGGTCGTTTGTAGCTTTCGTCTCCTTGAGTGTTTTGGGATCGACGAATTTTGTGCCACCATTTTCCAGATCTTTCACAAAACGACGTTTAATCTCGGCAGTTTTATGCGAACCAGGCACAAAACTAAGGCATCCGTTTTGCAGCGTACAAGGCTCCAAGGCAAACCAGAATCCGATACACGATTGAGGTTCCGTGTACAGAAACTCTCCGTCCTGATGATTAGGCACCTTTCCACCAATTTCCGGCTGTTTGATGATTACCATGCTTTGGAGCGCGCGCGGATCTCTGAAACCGAGCTGCTTACAGATTGCAGCAATATCGTCAGTGATGGTGATCTTCCTGAAAGCTTCGTTTTTCATGTGCAACCCATGACCTATCTTGTTGACGGCCTTTGGCAATGGCTTGACCAGCTCACCATTTGCAAAAGCATCCACCTCAAAAAAGAAGCATATTTTGTCTGACGAGTTGATAAAGTAGTCGTCGCCAACATGCTCCTCGTCCTCATCAGTGGTGAACTTAGTGAGGGGGTGTGTTTTGAGATCGATCTCGCCCAGTAGTTTCTGAATCTCGTCATTCAGCTCTTTCACAGTTTCAGGACTAAGATAGCCTTCAATGGCAATACAGCCATCTTTATCAAATTGTACTAGCTGCTCTTGGGTAAGCATACTTTGAATTCCTTATCAATTTTTTTTTTTTCACGATTTAGTTCAACATGGCAGATATTCCACCGTAAGTACCAAATGTTATAACACTAATGCATAGTCGCGTTATCAAAAAGCTCATTATCTGCACAGCATTAATGATCATTGCTCCGTTGCTCACATTCTTCGTGAGCAGAGCCGTGTTTAGCAACTCCATCGTGTCTGGAGGCTTGGCGGCCTTGGTGGCCAACATCGTGTTGATTGGCTACGTGATTGTTGCGTTTAACGAGGATATTGACAAAGATACGAAAGAGAAGAAAGAAGAGTGAAACCGAGCGTGAGCGAAGAATTTGCTAGGATAATGTACTATGATTTCATAACCAAACACGATGTGTGTGGAATAAGATAAACCTAAGTGCTACGATTATGATTATGACATGACTTGATTGCACTCAGTCAATGCATAAGGCTCAGTGTAAAGTCCAAACTTTCTGCCTGGGCCGAAGAGAGCTACTGGCTTTAGTGCTCTTGAGGCCGGCAATTTACGAGATGTATACAAGTTTTATGCCTCATAGCCCTCACGTGCTACAGAGAGCCTCTAGTGTTTTGGTTCCTTGTTATTTCGTGTATTGTACTATCAACATTTCTATATTCAAACGTTAACTCTGGCCAATTCCTCACGGCCGGCCTTGGTGTAGAGGTACTCGTTGTAGTCTCTGGCCCAAACCCAAACTTCCCAGACAATCAAGGCTGGAACAGTAATGTACAAGAACTGGGCCTTGGTTCTTCTGAAAGTGTTGAAGAATGCGTTCTCAAGAGAACCCTTCAATGGAGATTGAGCGTAAGGAGAAACAGTGTATTGAGCGATGTATTTCTGCTTTGGGGAGCCTGGAACGTTAGTTTGCCGAAATTCCAACGTGTTTACTTACCAATGTGACCCCACCATCCCATATAAGCACCTGGATGTCCTGCCATATTTGTTGTTAGAGCGTAAAGTTTTTTTCGATGAAAATTATTGGTTAAACAAAGCCGGTGTACAGGTGCTGCACAGCCCAACTTTTAATGGATCAAATAGGACAATTACAGTCAGATTCATATTTTTTTGCATTTTAAGACCGGTAGCCTCATACTGTCAACAGGTGCAAAAGTTTGAATAGCGTCAATTTTTGAGCTGCGTGGGCGTCTAGGTGCACTTTGACATACTACGAACCCCACAGCGTGGTTCAATCTAGTTCCTGTGTCTCAGCTTGGATTCCTCGCTTATATGGAAAGCTACACAAATAATGGGCTGTCTAACCCCAAGATCCCCACTCTTATCCCACGCTCTTATCAGGACTCCAGGGTAATCAACAATATTGACAATGAGGAGCTCATACCCGCCACGGACTTTCATGACCTACTGAGTGATTGGGAGGTTGAGGGCGGGCTCTCCAAAGTCTCCTCAGAGACAGACAAGACTTTTTTTGATAGAGCCGGCAGGCGCATGGTTTACAGTCGTACTGGGAGTCATAACTGGAAAACGTTACAGGGAATTGAGGATGAGTATGTTCCAGACTTTGTGAATTTCAACTTCCAAACGTGGATTGACGACAAACTGGCCAACGAGGACCATATTCTGGATGAGCTGCATTCCAAGGTCCAGCCAATCTCCATCGAAAAACACGAAGGCGCAGCGCGTCCTACATCCCGGAGCACAGGGTCTCCAGAACGTGAAAAAGACCGCTTGATTCTTGCATCTCTCCCGTCTAATTTCCTATCGCTTTCCTTCAGCGAGAGAAAAAGAATTATTAACGAGGCATTACCTGATTTTTTGCAAAACGACAAGGACTACAAAAATCATATCACCAGATTGATCCGCAGAAATTCAGTGTCCGGTGCAACATCTCCAGCACACAGGTTCTCCAATTCGTTCTCGTTGCACAATTCCGTTAACAGTACTGTCACAACGCCTGACAACACTAACGTGAAAGGCTCTTTAGTTCTCGGCAAGTGGCGACTAGGACGAATAATTGGGCGAGGTGCATATGGTATCATCCGAGAATGCAGCAACGAAAACGACGAGATAAAAGCAATGAAAATTATCGATGTTCATGGGTCTATGGAATTTATAAAACGTTTCAAAACCGAATCTTTGATCTGGTCGCTTTTGAACCACGAGCGAATTGCACCATTGCTGGATTTCAAGTTCACTGACAATTCTTTCTTCCTGCTGACGGAGAAATATAGCTCTGGGTCGCTTTTTGATCTGGTGAAGCAATGGGAGTCAGCTAACGATCCGCAACGCTTGCACCGAATTGTGACCTTTTTGACTGACATTTGTTCTGGACTGCAGTACATGCACAGTTTGGGAATTTATCACGGAGACGTGAAGTTGGAAAATTGTCTTCTTTCAAATGGCAGAGTTGTGCTCTGCGATTTTGGGATGGCTAATTTCTACAGCAGAGACACCAAGGCGCTGATCAAAATACCTGACCTTTCTAGACGAATCTTGGATGAGACTGTCGTGCCCTCTTCGCCTTATAACATATCGACGGGCTCGTCGCACTCGTACCGCAACTCTCCGTTGTCCTCTGTTGCCAACACGCCCACTCCCCGCTCCCCACGCTCCTCAGCAACGGCATCGACCACATCTTCCTACAACAGTGCTCGCTTACCTGATACGCACATCGGTTCACTTCCATACTCTTCGCCGGAGATCTTGCGACCTAATCCTCCTGCCCTTGATCATCTAACGGATTCGTGGGCAGTGGGGGTGCTGCTCTACACGTTGGTCACGCTGAAATTACCTTTCCAGCATAATTTTGAGCCACGGCTCAAGCTCATGATCATGAATAACGATTACGACAAAACCCGTTTCCGAGCGGCACTTAATGATTTTCCGCGCGCCGACGATCTCGTCTCTATTTTGAGCGCATGTCTCGAACCCGATCGTTCACAGCGTTGGGACATGTCTCGTATTTTGTATGTATTACTGTAGGGAATTAATTGTTTCGAAGAGCATCAAGTGGGCGAAGTGATCGTCATTTTCTCTCTGGTAGGCTTCTGGCGACCTGTCTAGCAACTCTCGCATTTCTTCGTCCGAAAGCTTATTATCGACAATCTCCCGTTTCCTGAACTCCTTTGCGCTTAAAAACTGACCGAGATTGTCCAGTAGAGCATCCTGTGGCTTTCTGTTGCCGGTACCATATTTCAAGAGATCTTCAAAATGACCCAGCTGGATGACGAGCCTTTCAAGGCGTCTTTTCGAGTCTGCCTTGGCCAGCATGATCTCTTCAATAGTGTTGGCAATTACCAGTCGAAAAACAGATACAGGCTTGGTCTGGCCTATTCTGTGGACTCTGTCCATTGCCTGGAGATCGACCTGCGGATTCCAGTCCGAGTCAAAAAGAACAACCGAGTCTGCAGCCGTCAAATTAATCCCCAGGCCTCCAGCACGCGTAGACAGCAAAAACACGTCCACCTCCTCGGTTGCAAACCGCTCGATCTCGTCCTTACGATCGGCCTGGTCGGTAGATCCGTCTATTCGACACGACTTGAATCCAAGTGTATTGTTGACAAATTCTTCAATCAGGTCCAGCATCGACGTGAACTGTGTGAATATCAGGACGCGGTGTCCATCTTTATGAAGCGCAGGTAGCAATTGGTTTAGAAGTTGCAGCTTTGCAGACTGTTCCACCAGCCCTGAGTCCGCATAGTCATTCCACGGATAGAAAAAAAGGTGAGGCGAGTCGCAAACCAGACGCAGCTGCATCATCACATTCATCAGCTTTTTGGTCCCGACCTGCTTCCTGACAAACTCAAAATGCTCGTACAATTTGTTGTCTCTTGGCTTATCTTCCAGCGCCACAAACTTTTCAACCTCCTCGTCAGAAACCTGTAATATATGGTTCACTGAAAGGTACTCTTTCAAACCGCTCACCAGTATGGTTTCCTTCAACCTTTGATTAAGTGTAGCACGATAGAGTTGTTCCTGCTTGGGCGTAAGCTTGCCATAAATAATGAACTCTCTTTTTGGTGGCAGGCCCTGTACTACATCTCGTTTCAGCCTGCGGAGCAAGAATGGTTGCAAAATAGTGTGCAGGTTGGTGATCAGGCTCTTCTGGATCTCTGCATTGATCAGCTGATTGAATTCTGTGTCCTCGTCTTTCATTTCTTCCAGAGCAGAAAAATCAAACCACTGCTGGAACATGTCGACGTCATGGAAGATCTCCGGCAGAATGAAGTTCAGCAGAGACCAAAGCTCGTTCAGGTTATTCTGCAAAGGTGTCCCCGTCAAAAGCAAGCGGTTTGAGGTCCTGAGACGTTTAAGTTGGCGGATCAAAAGACACTCACTGTTCTTCAGACGGTGTCCCTCGTCTACAATCAAGAACTTCCACAGTTTGGCGCTCAAGTAGCGGAAATCGCGTATGCTGATCTCGTAGGAGGTGACGATCACCGCACATTTCGAAAACTGCCGCCGCAACTTGGGACGTTGCGTCTTGGAACCAACGTAGGCAAGCACCTTGATTTGCGGAGCAAACCTCTCAAACTCGGAGATCCAATTGGAAACGGTCGACAACGGACAGCATATAAGAAATGGGCCTTCGATTCCTTGCTCAATCAGGAACGCAATCAAGGCAATACTCTGCAGAGTCTTACCAAGACCCATTTCGTCAGCCAGAATCCCGTTCAGCCCGTTCTGATACAGCGTGATCAGCCATTCCATACCTGCGATCTGATAGTCCTTCATTTGGCACCCGGTGAGGAGCTTTGGCTGCGCAGACTCATTCTCAGCAGCCTTCCCGTCGTTCGTCTTGCGCCGCTTCTGCTTGCTTTGCACTTCCTCCTTCTTGGAACTGTCCAAAAGCGTGTCAGCAATGATACTACTGAACACTTGCGAACGTTTGACCAGCTCGTTTAGTTTCTCCAATTTACGCGTCTTGGAAAGTCCGTCAAACTCGGCCTGCTCGGGAGTCACCGTCCGCGACTGCTCTTCGCGTAACAGCTTCAGGATACGCTCTTCTTCGGTGTCTGATTGATCTGGCCAAGTCATCCGTACACCGCGAATCAAAAATTACAAGGTGAAAAAAAAATGGAAGAGCATATTCTTGTTTTTAATTTTCTACATGTCTTCACCAACGGAACAGGAGACGAAAAACAATTCTTTGAATGACGAGGCACGCGCATTTGTGGCGAAGCAAACGAAGCCAGTGGTGTTGCCGTCATTTGCACGCTGGTTCGACATGAACGATATTCATGAAATCGAGAAACGCTCCTTGCCAGAGTTCTTCAACAACGAATCCAGATTCAAGACCCCCAAGGTGTACAAGGAATATAGAGATTTCATGATCCACACATATAGGCTCAACCCAATGGAGTATCTCACGGTGACTGCTGCAAGAAGGGGATTGGCCGGAGACGTGGCCTCGATCATAAGGGTTCATGGCTTTTTGTGCAAATGGGGTCTGATTAACTATCAAATTGATCCAAAGACAAAACCTGTGATCATGGGTCCTCAGTTCACGGGCCATTTCCAGATAACACTCGACAAACCAACAGGTCTAGAGGCTCACATTCCTATCAAAAAAGAATCTGACAAGGTGGAAGAAGAAACAGAGGAGTCAGCTGAAAAGTCCTCTTTTCCCCTGAACCTGGAAATCAGAAAAAATGTTTACGACACTGCTCAGGATGCCTTTGCTTTGAAAGCCGAGGATCCTGCCAAGAACGGTCTCAAACAGCTTTTCTGCAGCATTACGGGTAACGAAATCACCGAGACCAGATACCACAACCTGAAAACCAAGCAAAACATTAGCAAGCAGGCATTTGAGGATGGCCAGTTCCCCGCTGCATTCAAAAGCAGCGACTACGTCAAGCTAGAGAAAACATACAACCAGTCTGATGCCAGGCCTTGGACAGATCAAGAGACTTTGTTGCTGCTCGAAGCAATTGAAATGTACCACGACGACTGGACGGCCATAAGCGGCCACGTTGGAACCCGAAGCAAGGAACAATGCATTTCTCGGTTCATCCAACTCCCTATTGAAGACAAGTACTTGGAAAAACAGCTTTCCAAATCGACGTATCAAGAATTCCTCAAGCAGAGTTCCAAGCCTACAGGACTGGTGGATGCTATGAACAATTCCATCAAGCAGCTGCTGGAGCAAGACAGCGAGGCCCTTGCTAAAGTGGCTGCCAACTCTCGACTACAACTCCAGCAAGAGACCGCTGCTCAAGACGCGCTAATAAGCCAGATTATGGCGCTTTCGCTCAAACAGTTCGAGCTTAAATTTTCAAAGCTCCAAGAATTGGATAAACAGCTCCAGGCCGAGAAACGCAAGCTGGCTTTGGAGAAGCACAACCTGGTGGTGGACAGGCTGGCTCTGCGCAAACAGACTGCTTCCGTGCGCCAAAAACTACTCAAGGCTAGTGAGTTGGGAGCCACCGACGAGGGCCTGATGCTCTGCGAGGAGGCCATGATGGAGGCCACCAGAGCACCTAGGGTCGTTGTTACAAACAAGACGAGCGAACTGGGAACCACAAAGGGTGACAACATTCCCGAGAAGGTGAATCTAAACGAAGATTTCGAGCCAATTAGTGTTAAAGAGCCGCAGCTCTACTCCATATGGTCCCAGTGAAAGAAATTTACCGGGCTGCCATGTCTGTGTGTATTATATAAGCTGTTAGATAATTTCTCCTAGGAATGCACGTTTTGGGTAACCTTAAGCGGATAGTGGAGATTAAGAATTACCGGGCGAAAAAAAACAAGAAAATCACTCCTTCATGACTACACCACGTCCGAAGCCTTGGGAAACCGCCAACTCTACGGGCGGAACCACGAACAGCTTAGATATGGACACAACTTCCACAATAAATACAGACAACTCGACGGCGCCTCCCGAGTTGCCCACCAGGCCGTCTTCCTTATCAACCAATACAATGAGCAACATGCCTGGCTCCGGCATGCCTTCACGTACATCCCCGTACTACGGTGGCTATGGTACTTCAAGTTACAGCAATCCCATGTACGGAAACATGTACAACTCGTACGGATCATATGGATCGTCGATGTACGGGTCCTTATATGGCGGTGGGATGTACGGCAATCGCTACGGAGGCATGAGCGGCATGAACAGCATGAATGGCATGAACGGGACGATGATGAACCAGGGGCTTGTGGGCTCATTCACGCAGGGAACGGAAGCTACATTTCAGCTGATAGAGAGCTTGATTGGTGCGGTGGGGGGTTTTGCGCAGATGTTGGAGAGCACATATTACGCGACACACAGCTCGTTTTTCACAATGATATCCATGGCCGAACAATTCCAGCACTTGAAGAATGCGATGGGTTCCCTTTTGGGGATATACGCGCTGCTGAACTGGGCCAAAAAGGCCCTGAGGAAAATCAGAGGAGCCAAATTAAAAATCAGCGTTGATGAGTTCAAAAAACAAATCGAGTCAAATAAAAAGGACAAGGACAGCAAGAAGGAGAGGATGTCTTTGAAACCGCTTGTCTTTTTCTTGGCAGCCGTGTTCGGACTCCCATACGTACTGAAGAAGCTCGTCACTCACATGGCTGAACACCAAAGAGCTCTTTTGAACGGACAGCCGGACCAGGGCGCGATTGCTGGTCTTGCAATCAACAGAAACCCAGAACCTAGCATTGATCCTAAGAAGCTGGAGTTTGCGCGGGCGCTGTACGACTTCAATCCTGAGAACGAGGAGATGGAGCTCAAGTTGAAGCGGGGAGACTTGGTGGCCATACTGAATAAGACTGATAGCTGGTGGAAGTGCCGTACACGGGACGGACGTATGGGATTTGTGCCGTACAACTACTTGGAGATAGTCAAGAGGACAGCCAACGCGGTCAAGTCGATTGAGACGACGGCGAAGGCCGACGTGGAGGAGTTCAAGAAAGATCAGAAGCTGTTGATCTGAGTTTCGTAGCTTAGCACAGCCATTAATACGACGTATTTTGTTGCACAGCCTAAGAGTTTGTTTTTTCCGTAATTTCTCTTCTAATTATCATGGAGTACAACATGGAAGGGGCAAACCATTATGGTTGTAAGTAAAAATCACCAAAATCCACACGCTAACATGTCAGACCCAGCTGATTATAACGTACAGTATCAGTACCAGATCTCCAAAAAAGACAAGAGGCGACAACAGATACAGTCCAAGCTTGGCAAGGTCGAAGACCAGTTTCAGCAAGATAAAGATTATTTTTACCGCGACTCGCTAATTCAGCTTCAGTACAAGCTCAGCTCGCTTCACTCCGGCGATAACCCGCAGTACATGCAGCGGATCCGGGATTTCGAAGAGGTTAGAGACGCAGAGCTTGTGCGGTTGAGGCTGGCGGAGGAGTACCAAGTCCAGCTGATCAACAAGCAATTCAAGGAGGACTACGACAGTGCTGTGCAGGAGCGCGAGAGGGTGGTGCAGCTGTTGAAGGAGAAACTCCACGAGCGCATCCTCAAGAAGATTAAACAGCTCAAGGAAGACAAGGCACTAATTGATATAGCCACGACCTCATCTTCTCACACAGCATCGAGATACACAACAAACGGGAGCGCGCATAGAGAAAACGGATATAACAGTGGATTCGAGTCTTCGACCTCATTTTTCTTTCCTGGAGAAAGACGTTCTCGCCGAACGCATAACAAGCGGTACGATGGTTCGCTGAATTTGAGCAATGCTGAGGATTCTTACGACTCGGGAACAGGCACAGGAACCGCCACAGGATACGCCTCGAGCTCGTCAAGAAAAAGGCAGAAGCCTAGCCGGCATCTTGGTGGCCATGTTTCCCGGAACGGAGACGTTTCATCTGCTGGGGAGGAAAGCTCCAACTCTCTCAAAGTTCTTACCGACAATCCGGAGTTGAACGAGTTCCTTTACGGCGAGGAGTTTATCAAGCGCCAGGAAAAGGCCAACACAAGGCATTCCACAAGAAGCTATCAGGGCTGTCCAGGCCTGAAGCCGGAGGAGGTGAACGAAGACCTGAATTTTTTGCGCGGGGCCATCGGTGCCATTCAAAGCATGAAGAAGAAATAAATATATATTTACAAACTAATCTCTGTGGAGTTGGAGAAGCAATTCGGCGAGCCGTTCAAAGTTCAAGTCTGCGGCTTTGTGGTACAAAGTTGAGCCAAGGCGGAAAATGACCTGATCGTAGCAATCAGAGTTCCAGCCTGCTCCTTTCTGGACCTCAAATTTGATTTTATTATTGTCGCTCTTGGCCAGCAGATACGGCACCAGTTCTGTTCTGTTGAAAGCCGGATTTGTGGCTTGGATCTCCAAATAGGTATTGAAGCGTTTGGAGTCTTCGTAAAGTTCAACTAGTTGCGCAGCAAGGTCTAACTCCTCCTGCCTAAGCTGGTCCAGCTCTGCAAGACGTTGCAACACGAGCACCACTGTCTTGTTCAACATTGGGATTTTCGCTGTGTTCATCAACTCCAGAAGATCGCGAATTTGCGATCTGCGCGCAGTGCTCATATCTGAGTTCAGGTTTATCACAAAAAATTGGTGCATTAGAAATGGAGTTGGCCTTTGCGGATAAAGGATGAGAGGAGTATTATCGGGCAGCCACTCGTTAACAAGCTCGATCTGGCTCACCAATCTTCGGTGACGCCGTGTGGTCATGAGTCCATGGTGCTCGTACAAGTTCAGTTTGCGAATCCAGGGCTCGTGTGTGCTGCTGTGCTGAACCTGAAATGGCTTTTCTGCCAGCTTTGGAGAGGTGTCAATCATGGTGTCCAATATGGATTTGGCGACCATGTACTCATCAAAAATGGCTAGCTTCACTAGAATCTTGTTCAGTGCTTCGTGATCCAGGTGCATGTGACGTTGTCTAAAAATATCGATTATATTCAGCACACTGTTAAGAGAGGAGCTTTTTTCCAGTAATGTCAACAGCAGCGTTCTGTCCAGAGAAACGCGGGTCCGCATCAGTTCCAAAATCTCGTCTGTATGCGATGAGTAGACCTGGAGCAGCAGATTCCATGTGTGTGGATGAAAATAGCCTTTTTCGAGAACCTTTTGGATAATCTGATCAAATGGCATTTGCAACCGGGTATAAAAATAAACGAGCTTGGTTTGCTCCAGCGGTCCTAACGTTATGGAGTCAGACTCCATGTCCTCTAAAATCCGTATCCCCAGATTTATAGTCTCCACATTCGCTCGCTTGGTGCTCAAGATCAGCGATAAAAGCTGTTCTAGCTGTAGTATAGAAAAATGAGCTGCTCGGGGTGTAGGGATTTCGAGATAGATTGAACCTATATCACGCAGGTTTTTCTTCTGCAAATATGTCGAGAGTCGATGGGACAGGTGGAAGGGCAGGGGCCTGCGCTTCAATTGTTTGCGCAACGCCTCTGGAGCGTCGTAGGAGCTAGGAACGCGGGGAAGAGCGCTCTTGGAGTTTGAGACATGTGCTAAATCACGGTGTCGTTTGTAGGGTTTGATAAAGAGAGAGTTGAAGGACTGGTATGACGGCGACCGGAAGCCTTCAATGACCTTGTTTTGGAAACTGGCTAAACGTTGTTTATTTTGGGAAGGTGCCCTGGTTAGCAGTGTGTACCAATTTTGAGGTTCAGGTGGGGATGGAAAATTTTTGTATTGCTGTGTCGTTGTCACATACTTTCGGCGCACTGGGGGGTGCAAGGGAATGGTAAAGAACGGGATCGCTCGTTGTCTAAGCAGAGCAGACAGGGATCGGTACATAAGAAAAGTCGATCGACTGGTGAGAAATCTTGCGAAAAATTAGACATCTGTACACCAGTAGTAGTACATGCTCGAACGTCTGTTCGTTTCAGTGTAGAGATGCTTAGGCTGAAAAGTGTTTGGGGACTGACTAATAAGTGGCTTGGGGCTCCAGCTGATTGGTCAAGTAGCCCTGAATCGTCACAGCGGTTCATTTCCAAAACTGCTTAGAGGTGTGCTGGGGGCAGACTTATCGGTGATTGCGCTGCGAGCCACTCACACGCTTGCTTAGGTGCCAGCCAAAGCCTCCTCCCTTGCCAAGCGCGTTTGTCAGCCTCGGATTGTTATATTATGTCATCGGGCTTTGCCAAAAATTTTATTCGGTGATCCAAATGCGTCTGGGAAGCCCGTTTCGGAATATGCTTAGTTCAGTGGCTTATCGAAAGATATTTATATAGTGTGCGATTTTTCCTACTTTTACTTAATCATGTCTTCTAAAACAGAATTGCCAGAATACACCGACGTCACTTTGCCTCGCGAGGAGGTCGAGAAACTCTACAAGATTAAGAGCAGATATGAGACCAACAAGAAGATTGCCAAACTCGGTTTGGGAGTGTTCTTGTTCTTCGTCGCCTGTCTGGTTTTGCAGTCCGGTCCGGTTGTCCATGGTGTCAAGTCCTTGACCCATCCACACCCACCACATGCGCACGGATTCCACGGCGACCACCGCCCTCCTCCAAACTTTGAGGAGATGCACGAGATGGACGAGGAGCACAAGCCATTCAAGGACTGCAAGGGAGCCAAGAAGGCTGGTATGCTGAAGACTCACAAGATGCACAAGGGCCACAAGAACACCAAGGGTGCTGAGGGTGATCTGAGAGAGACCGAACACGAGGTTGACGTGGAGGAGCACAAGGCTCACGAGAGACCACACCCTAAGGGAATGAAGATGAAGGGCCACAAGGGAGGCAAGTTCTCTAAGAAGAAGCAGAACAAGCATCTCAAGGAAGAGCCAAAGGATAAGCTGGAGAAGGAGCCAAAGGAGCCAAAGGACGAGGAGGAGAAGAATGTCGAGGTGGTCGAGAAGGAGCACAGAGAGAAGCACCACAGACCAGCTGAGGCTCAAGAGGAAGTTCACGAGGAAAACTCCGACTCTGAGTCTGACTCTGGGTCCGACTCTGAGTCCGAGAGCGAAGTCGAAAATTAGGTTTGCGCAGTTGTATGGCTTATGTCTTTTATTTAGTAACCATTATCAATCAACCATTGACCCAGTTCGGGCCCGAAAAAGTCAGCCACCACGCCGTGGTCGTAGGTTGACAGCTTAGCCACCTTCTCGAGCAGGTCGTAGTTTATCTGTTCGCTGACAATACTGTCCTTCTTGTAGTCTGGGTGGCTCAAGACAAAGGTCCGAATGTATTGGGCTGTGGATGGGATTGTTGCCGAGGCTCTGAGGCTCACCAGTTTGAGGTACGCCTCAAGCTTTGGCGGAAGGGTCTTTCCCCACGTCTCTTTGATGTATCGCCTAACCAGAGACAGCAGTCCCTCGAAAGAGCCGGACCCGTTGAAAATCTCATTAAGGCTCAGCTGCTCCACTATTGCCTGTCCAGCCTCCCAAACATTGGTCCGGAAGTGGAACTTCTGCTCCACTATAGCATTGCGGCGATGTGCCGTCTTCATATTAGCCTCCACATACGAAATCGGGAGGTAGAAGTTAGGTCTATATTTGAGCACCGCCAGCGACAGCAGGACAGAGAAGTTTGCGTACGCAGCGTTTTCAAAATCTGTCAAGGAGATTTCCATTGGCCGGAGCTCAACTCTCCATCCAGGAACATTGTGCTTTTCTGGCACGGCGGACTGTTTTGGAGGCTTGAAACGCAACGTCTGCCAGTTGGTGGACTGAATGTTTTCGAAATGGTCGGTCTCGACGGTGTTGTCTTGCTCTATGGATTCGGTGAAAATGACAATAGGGTCCCGGATGAACAGGTGTGCAAAATGGCCCGCCAGTGTTTCATCAAACCCGCTGGAAACGAGTTTCTCGTAGACCTTGTCATTTTTCGGAGACTCAATGTCATTATACTCTTTCCTGAAATAGGAAAACCCGCTACCTGAAGGATTTAGGTCGCCCAGGTACTGATCCACCGAGTCGTACCGTGACTTGGGGATGCGCATCAGCTCTGTTGTGTCCAAGGTGTTGCCCCTCTCTTTGTGGCCCTTCAGTGGCGGTTCTCCACGTTCATACGGAGTCCGGTCATCAACTGCTCCCGCAATCACATTCCATCTAACGTCCTGATCAGCGAGATGGCCCCGAAAGATCGGAGCCGCAGCCGTCACCGCCAGCATCAACGGAGCGATGTTGACCAGGGAGTCGTAAAGGAATCTAGCATGCGCCATGTCCGGCGCCTGCATCGTCACTTGCAGACATGAAGAGCCCATACCAAAGCCCATCGAGTCCATGTAAATGTGGCCCTCTTTGGCGGCCCCCAAAAACGGCTCTTCGTCGTGGTGCGGGAACAGATTTCTTCGAGGAATGGACGGATCAATTCCTGAAGCCACAGTTTTCTCGTCTTTGTACAGAGGAATGTTTATGCTCACCTTCTGGTCCCTTCTGCGACGAATGTTGGCCGTCAGCGTCGGGAATCGGAAGTGGCGGTTGATGATCTCGTCTGGCAGGAAAAGAGACTTGGACGCTTCGCCGTGAGGCTCGGCCGCCGGATACGTAAATATCTCAACGCCCATTCGCGGAAAAGACGTGAGTGTCAATGGCAACACATCCTCCTCTCCCAGCTCCTTTGTGGCAATCTGCCGTCTTGTTTTCATGTTCTCCTCGACGTATTCGTACTCCTCCACTTTCGTCCCATCGTAGGGCTGGAGCGGTGTTGCTTCTATCATATACCTGCCGTACTCCGGGTGGAACACCACATTATTACTGACCGCCACCTCGTAGGATGAGCCCTCCTCGCCAAGATCTTTCAGAATGTAGTCCTTATCTATGGCAAGACGAGCAACCCTGTGCTCTCTGTCCAGCTTCACTAGCATATATTCTACTTCGTCTCCCCACAAGAACGGGTCGTTCTTGCGGTCGCGGGCCGCTCTGAAGCAGTTGATCAGCTGGATGATACCGTTTGTGCGCACATGCTCAGCATAGAGGCGGGAGTCGTTCCAATGTAATGGGGTACCCAGAGAGAGCAGACCCATGGTCGATAAGGTTTTTCAGGAAAGTTTTTCCTTCCTCAATTATTTGTCAGCACGTCGAAGCGAGCGCTGCATTTTTACAATCGGCTAACAAATAAGCGTTCAAACGTCCGCGGGGACAGGCCACATGCTTAGGCAGCTGCGGTACATTCACCAGATTTCGTGAGATCTTGCAAATACCGGTCACACGCAGTGCTTGCTTATCAGTCAGTAGGCGTCGATCGACGCGTCAGATCTGTACAATTTTTTCCGCTCCTATTTTTTTTTTGCTACCTGCCATGTCTATCGTTATTCCCGGAGACCAATTTACACTGGAGACAGGATCCGAAGTAGTTCTGGGGCCCAACCTGCAGACTAGCGGCAGCACTGCAAGCCCAACGACGGCAGGGTATCTTGTGCAAACCCAAGCGGGCTCGTCCTCGCTAGCTTATGTGGAGGCTGACTCAAAAAGGTATATGCCTGCTGCGCAGGATTTCGTTGTTGGCACCATTGTGGGCTCTTTCGGGGAATTTTATAGGGTCTCGCTCACAAACTTCTCAACTCCAGCAGTGCTGGGCTTTTATGCGTTCCCAAATGCAAGTAAGAAAAATAGACCAAGACTGAAAACCGGAGACCTTGTTTACGCTCGCGTGGCGTCTGTCGACCCCGACCTTGACGTGGAGCTGGAGTGTTTTGACGCAACCACCGGCAAAGAGGGCGGATTTGGCCATCTCGAAGGAGGGTTTTTGTTTGAAGTGCGGTTGGCTTATGCCAGATACTTACTACGACACCAGGACGCTCCAGTGTTGACCAAACTAATGAAAAAATACCAGTTTGAGCTGGCTATCGGAGCCAACGGCAGAATATGGATCAAATCAGACACCCTACAAAACACCATCGAATGTATGAAAGCCATTCAGAAAGCCCAGACAGAGAAACAGTCTTAAAAGTCCACTTTTGAGCTTGTATCCAAGACATCATCAAACGTCAGTTCATCGTGAATTCGCAAGTCAAGGTTCACACACTTCTCGTAGCACCGCTGATTCTCAATCGACACGACCGGAGTTCTATTGGAGTATTGTTGGCAAGCCACTTCGAAATCGGTGGTTGCCGTCGCGACACTCACTGTATCAAATAGCGTATCACTATCCGACATACCGATAAGCTCATTGGTTGCGAGATCGACAACAGGGAGCTCTTTCTTTGGAAGAATGTGGTCCTCGATTGCCTCGTTGATCTTATCAATTCGAGCTGCCCGCTGCTGGTCCGACAACCTCAGTTGCTCAAATTGATGACGGTAAAACTCCAAAAGGTCTTCAGCCTCTGGCTCTATAGATTCGTGAAGCTGCGTGTTATTGCTCATATCCTCCAGATCAAAGAAATGAAGCTCCCGGTGTGGCTTTCTTGACTTAAATGGCGACACGTATCCCTCATATTCATACTCTGAAAAATTGGATATGCTATTCTTTTCCGTCAAGGCCAGCTTTTGGATCCGCTGCTTTGCTTTGTTCTTCGTCTCTTTGACCTTATTCATCGTTGCGTGTGTCGAGACCGCAGAGGAAGCATCTTTTGGTTGCTCGTCGTTGAATCTGAGAGTTGAATTCATGTTATATTCAAACAGTTGGCTGAAACTAGTAAGCTCCCGTGGAACGTACTTTATGTTCCAATAGTTGTCGAAACACCCTGGATAAGGGTCGATTTTTCGCACGATCAGTCCATCGTCCTTGCCGCAGTCGGGGGCTTCAAGATGACAGTCTGAATACCAATGTGTATAGCTTGGTTTGTAATTTAGAAGAACTCCATAATAATCATTGTGCAGATAGTAATCGGTGTTTAGGTCCCAAAGCATTGGAAGTCCCTTCTCGTAGACGTAATTGCCCAAAAACAAGTTGATGGCTTCTTGCCGTTGCGCGTCAACAAACGAGTTACTGTAGAACCGTTTCACACTCTCAATCATGTCGCGCGAGTGCGAAGTCCATTGATTGATTTTTCTGTAGGTTTGCAGCGTGTTGACAAGATGCGAGCCACCGTACTGCAAAGCGATCGTGTCGCCATGGTCGTGAAACATTTCTGTCAAAATGTTAATTGCGTCAGAGTCGTACTCCAGGTACTTTTCCTTGATAAGCCCTAGGGCGTGCAACTGGTGGCCGAGCGCTCGTTTACCGATAACAAATTGCGCGGTATTGGTTCTGTCCAAGCAATCAATGCAATTTGTGCGGCATATGCCTTGTTGTAGTTTGGTCTGTGCAAGCGTTTTTCCATTGTGGAAGAAACCTGTCGTTTCCAGGGTTTTTGCACTGTAATTTTCAAGCCACTCGATAACGTCCTGACCACGGTTTTTCGACGCTCGGGACATGTCCCAGGCCGTGTAGTCGATTTTCTTCTTTTCGGGAAGAAACTGGTTCAGGTATTCTATGCAGTCCTCGAACGCGCGAAGTAGCTTAGTCTCTCTTGCTGTCTTTTCACGTTGTTTTATCAAATTGAGAATTTGCACCGGTGCCCCGTACCGTTTAAACAAGTTATCAAAATGGAGAGCAGAGGCCGAGTAGAAAGGGTCGACCACGTTGATCTCGATTGGAGGCTTTGTCATTCTGATATTTGGGGCAGTCTCCTGAGACCACGAAAGCGGAATCGATCCTCTATGTTGCACAAACGAGGTGTAGCGAGGATTATTATAGAATCCACCCTCTGGATCATGGAAGGAAGTGGTGAGCATGTCGCTCACTATTTGTTCCGTTTCCACTTCGTTGGCCACGTCTCCACGATCATTGACTCCTCTCTTGAAAAATCTGGCTCCAGCAAAATGGTGCGATCTGCGAGCTATTAGGGTGACATATACCTGAACGTCGAAAATCGAAATATTCACCTGGTCAATAAAGCCGTGAATAATGGGCTGGAACCAGTCGTAAACCCGGTCGAACGTCTTGAAAACAGGCTTCAGCAAAAACGAGTTCCACACAAAGCGATCGTGGTACTCAAAGGTCTTGGCAAGGTCCTGTTTGTTCAGACCCAAGGACTGTCTTTTATTTTTTAGGAAATTGACCTGCAGCGTGTTGGTAAGATCGTAGTTGTAGCTGTAGTAGAACGTCTTTCCAAGGTCAATATTCTGAAACGTGGAGATGTAGCGGGCTTCTTCCGAGTTCCGATCTGGCCGTTTGGGGTTGCTGGCAACGGGAATCAGCTCGGTAGCATCAATGTGGTACAGATAATATCCTCCAAGTATCGCCACTGGCCGTCTTTTCGTCACCACACACAGGTAGTAATGCTTGGTGAACCTTATAAACCCTAGAAGCCCCACAGCGGTGATTTTCTTGCTGAGACCGCCCTCGCTGCTCTCTTCCAGTCCGTTGAGAACGTCCATAATCTCATTTCTGGTGAAGTATACATTGTCTTCCATGATGATCAGCTTATCTCCGGACGTGAGATCAATCTCCATGATCCTGAACATTGTTTCACGGCCATTGCTGCCAACAATGTACATTCTTTGCGTGGTGACGTAGATGGTGTATTTCGTCAGCGTGATTTTGCGCGGCTTTGTTGTCACGGGAGGCAGACTGGTATTCGAGACATCATCCTGCCGATCATGAGCGTCCAACTGTGGCGGGAGCGAGGTGTCGAAGGTGGATTCTCCCTCGTTTATTCGCTCGCTTGACATAAACAATATTACAGAAGATTACACCGCCTTGATTAGACATTATTCTCAACTATTCCTTCGGGATATATAGTTTGCAATAAATAAATGTAAAAGTTTAATGTTCGTTCTAGAACAGTAAAGCATGCTCCTTTATTAAAGGTCGGTGACACATCCCTTGGAGGCGTCGGAAACAAGCTTTGAGTATTTGTGCAGAGTGCCACGCGTGTATCTTGGAGCAGGACGTTTCCAGTGCTTTCTTCTCTCGGCGAGCTCCTCTTCTGACACCAGAATGTCGATGGAGTTGTTGTCCGAGTCGATGACAATGATATCTCCATCCTTGACCAGTCCAATTGGTCCTCCCTCAACTGCTTCGGGGACAATATGTCCAATCAAGAATCCGTGCGATCCACCAGAGAAACGTCCATCTGTCAGCAGCGCAACGTCCTTACCAAGACCGTAACCCATCAGAGCAGACGAAGGCTTCAACATCTCTGGCATACCTGGGCCTCCCTTAGGACCCTCGTTACGGATCACACACACGGTCTTCTCGCCCTTCTTGATCTCTCCACGCTCAAGAGCCTCGATGAATCCTTGTTCCTCCTCAAACACTCTGGCCTTTCCTTTGAAGTAAGTTCCCTCCTTACCAGTGATCTTAGCAACAGCTCCACCAGGGGCAAGCGATCCCTTCAGGATCTGCAGATGTCCTCTTGGCTTGATTGGGTTGGAAACGGGACGGATGATATCCTGGTCAACAGGAAGCTCTGGGAACTTCTCCAAGTTCTCCTTCATGGTTTTACCAGTGACAGTTGGAACATTGCCGTTCAAAATGCCCTCTTTCAGCAGATACTTCATCACAGCAGGGGTTCCACCGAACTTCTGCAAGTCTGCCATCACGTATTTTCCTGAAGGCTTGAAATCTCCGAGCAGCGGGGTCTTTTCCGAAATGGCCTGGAAGTCATCGATTGTCAGGTCGACATTGGCGGAATTGGCGATAGCCAGCAGATGCAGAACAGCATTGGTGGAACCTCCGGTGGCAATAACGTATGCAATAGCGTTTTCGAACGCCGGTCTAGTCATAATGTCCAGCGGAGTCAGACCAGAACGGAGCAAAGTCTTCATAGACTCTCCAATGTTGTCGCACTCGGCCAGCTTCTCCTTGGACACGGCGGGTGCAGAAGAGGAGCCCGGAAGAGACATACCCATCACCTCAGCAGCAGACGCCATCGTGTTGGCGGTGTACATACCACCACAAGATCCTGGACCGGGACATGCGTTCCGCACAATGTCCTTTCTTTGCTCTTCGTTGATGGATTTGCTCAGGTATTGACCGTACGACTGGAAAGCAGAAACAACGTCGAGCTGCTTCGGAACGCCAGAGCAGGTTCCCGAACCTGGGAGAATTGTACCACCGTACACCATGATGGACGGTCTGTTGTGTCTAGCAAAGCCAATAAGAACACCAGGCATGTTCTTGTCACACGATGGAATACCGATACAGGCGTCGTAGTGCTGGGCCATTATCATGGTCTCAAAGGAATCGGCAATCACCTCACGACTTTGCAACGAATAACGCATACCGGTAGTACCCATACTGATACCATCGGAAACACCAATGGTGTTGAACTGCATGGCCTTCAAGCCGGCCTTGTTCACGGACTCACTGCACCGGTTGTTCAGGTCCATCAAGTGGATGTTGCAAGGGTTTCCTGTCCACCAAACGGAACCGACTCCGACCTGTGCCTTGGAAAAATCATCGTCTTTGAATCCGGTAGCGTACAACATGGCCTGCGACGCACCCTGGGACTTCGAGCTAGTCAGGATCGAAGAGTACTTGTTGAATTTCTCGAGAGCAGAGCTTTGCGAGCTAAACTGTCGGCGCGAGAACTTGCTCGGCACATTAGATATATGTTTCAACATAATCAGACAATTAAATCACTGAAAAATATTAGTCAAAATAAAAATTGAAAATTTTCCAGCTGCTGTAGGCCAATTAAAAAGTGAATATTACCAATAGTCCAATTCGTTTATATATTATTCCCAGTGTCTTTTACAGCAGACTTTTTCCTAGCATAGGCCTTGCAGTAGCTATACGATGCCTCAAGCATGCAGTCGCTCACTTTTCTTGTGCGTTCGGAAACCCCTTCATTGAGCTCATACTCTCCAAGATTGTGCTTGCCAATGCCATGTATTCCGAGAATGTAATTCAAGACGTTGCGCAAAAACACGATCTTGACGTTGGCGTCAGACTCGCTGACCGTAAGACCCATGTAGTCTTTGTACAGCCCTTGCGGCACGCCGTCTGCGTCGCCTGAATTGTCCTCTGGATGTTTAATGTTCCAGAACGAAATGCCATTTGGCGTGAGCACATTGGGTCCGCTTCCGCATCTGGAGTCCTTCTCGTCCCATGCTAAGACATCCATATCAAAGTCAATGCTATCTGTCATCAGATCAACGCGGAAAACACCGTCCTCTTTGGTCAACACCATCAAGCTTGGTCTATACGTGGTATCTCCGCATCCACAGTGGTCAATATGAGTCTTCACAAATCCTACCCACATTTGAAGCCTGCTTTCCGCGCTGCCAGTACTCTGTTTCTGTAAAATCTGTCTTGGCACGGGGATTAGCTCTGTACCACCACGGATGAATCCCAGTGCTTTTTCAGCAAAGGAAGAGTAGTATATGTTGTCTTGTAGTTTCTCACACTTACCGTTGTCGAGGCTGCAACGGAACACAACCAGAGGATCGACCGTGTAGAGGAACTGAACGTAGCCCTTGGTTCTCGAGGAATCTCCGATCCGGATCGAGTCAAAAAAGGGAGCCCAATTCTTCTCGGTGGATAGGGTCCTGGATGCGGCGATTCCCGATATTTTGAAGTTCACAAGATCGCGTTTTTGAGTCTTCGGATTTAGCTTTCTCAGCGGGAACACTGCATGCATAGTACGTTTGCCGTTGTCCAGCATATTGAAGAAGATGACCGGCTCCTGAACATACTCTCCATCTTTGAACAAAATGCGTGGGTCTTCGGGACCCAGTAATTCCTTGGTATTCACCTTTGGATCAAATGGAATATCCAGAACAGTAGGGAACTTGATTGAGATTTTGTCCAGCAAAGATTCGTCTTGCGCGTCGTTGTAGTCTCTCAAAACGTTATCGATCTCCTGTTTCGTGATATCGCTGTATCTGATCCGTCTTCCTGTGATCTCGTTCCAGTTGGCATCGAACAACTGAAGCCTGATGAACGAAGCCACCGGGTTACTTTTGGTGTTTGGTGCGTATATTATACGGCTAGCCATCATGTGGCACTCCTCATCAGGAAGCCACACAGATGCTCCAGAGAATTGACGCCAGTTTTCTGCCACACGGCTGCCGAATTTGTCACCCATAGTGATGAGGTTTTTGTATTCTGTCGACAGAAGGGATTCACGAGCGCTAGCTATGTCGTCTTTCAAGGGTACAGGCTCGGAATACTCAATGTTCCGGTTTTCTTTAGGCCTGTAAATAATGTCTGGGCATGAAAGATCGTAATAGTTGGAGGCGGACGGCACGTCAATGTTGCCTATGAAACCCTTCACTGACTGAAGAGGCTTGTAATTTTTGCTGGTAATAAATTCGCTCAGTAGATTCACCCTATCCAGAGATTGTGGAGGCTTCTGGGGATCCTTGTTCTCTTGTAATGGTTTCAAGTTCAAGGAGCTCAACGCTTCATTCACCGAGTCAATCTCTATAATTTTTGGGACCTCCAACTCGCTCGTGTCAGGATTGAAGTTAACGCGCAACGGCTCTGTACTGACGCGATAAATTCGCGTATCCTCCTCCTCTGTCAACTGCTCGAGATTCTTGGAAGCGTCTCCGCCGCTACCCTGGACAGTCGATCTGTGCACGGAATCAGACAACTGTTCTATCTGGTTGACAGGCCAGTAGTAGTACGTCAGGAACACAATCACAGCCAGCAGGATGTATAGCCGGTATCTTGACCGAGACCGAAGAAGGGGAAATGCCATTCTTGGTAGTCTTGGAAATGCTGTTGAATATCACTCGGGAAGTTCCTCTGCAACAACCTTTTGTTTTTACGAATTTCGTCAGTGCGCGATAGCTTTACGGTGTACGGATGGAAGATCTATTTTTATTCATTTTGGAAAAGGGCCCCAAAGTGAAGGATGGGGTGCACGCCTATAGCGAACTAAAAGGTGTGCCTCCTACTAACAATCTGTCGTGTGCGCCTTTCGGATTATTAAGCTGCACGATGGCCGGCACAAATAATTTGCTGCTCTGATTTTTCAACTCAGCGGCAAACTGTATACCCCTTTTGGTCCCGATGAGCCATCGTTCCGTGACATATAGCCCTCCTCCAGGACCGCCAAACACAGCCAATACACATGCTACAGTTGCACGGGGTCTGGTGGTCACTCAAGAGAGAGACAAGGAGCAAGAAGATAGACTTGCTAGAGCCCTGGAGATTATATCCGCCTCGATGCTACCACCTCAGCACACCATCGATCAAATCCGAAAAAGGATCTACTCATATCTCTTGGGATATAATCAAGTGGATCCTCCTCATATAAATGAAATTAAGGACATACCTCGCTGGAAACGACTCATCATCTATCTTATGGGACCCCCATTGGATGGGCTCAGATCGTTTTCTCAGTACGTTATCCTGCAAATACACATACTATACAACGTGACACTGATGATGGTATCCATTGTGTCGACCCCGCCGTTGATCTTTTACGTGGTGGGTTTCGTGCTATTTTGGACGAAAGTGGTGTACGAGATGTACAGAGATGTCGTCCACAGAGACGATCAGTTCCACACCTCATTTCTCAGCCGCGAGCTAGCTCTGATGGCCACCATTTCGGCATCCTATGGCGTTGTGATGAAGTTCAAGACCGAGGCAGGTATCATTACAGAGGCATGGTGGTCAACTCTGACATAGCGTTGTATGCTGGGGGGAGGTGCAAAGATGCGTTGATAAAAAAGTATGTAAATAAATTTTGTTTTGTTTTGATACGCGTCATGCCACGGAAGAGGACAACCAAGCGCGCTGAAGTGCCCAATAAACGCACCACTAGAGCGAAATCCGTGCAGAAAGAAGAAATGGAGGATGCAAAGCCCCTGAATGAGGCCAAAGTTAGCGAAAATGAGGCCGGAATAGATAATCCTGGTGCGAGTCAGGATCAGAAAGAAAATCAGGAACCGCAAAACGAGGATAGCAAAAAGCAAGGCGACAAAAAACCCCTCTCACCTATACCTGGTCTCGAAAACCCGCTGATGACACCCTCAAAGCGTCTTTTTGATAGTCCGGAGCGCCCCACATTGCTTTCTCCTACAAAGGCGCGTCAAGAGTTCAGACTACCTTCAGAGGCCGCGGTGTCCCAACTAGTTCAGCGTAAGGACTTAAAGACGCTTACGAGTATTTTCAACGATCTAGCAACATCGAAAACCGAAAAGATGTTCCAGGATTACAAAAAGCTGTCAGAACGGAAGCATCAGGCTAGTGAAACACTAATCAACAACCTGACTAAGGAAAACCAAAAACTTCGCTCGAGTCTCAAATCGCTGCAGGTCGGTAAGCAAAACTCAAAAGAAACGGAACTAATGAAACGACAAATCGAGACACTCAAACGCGAGAATACACGTCTAAGCTCCGAAATTGAGTCGCTGAGCGCCAAACGCGGCTCTAACAAATCTGAAATCGACAATGCAGTGGCTGAACTTGATCTTATGGGCACGAAACTAGAGATTGCGGAGCTTTTAACAGGGCTCACATGCCAAGAATACATCGAAGACTCTGAAAACATGATATTCAAGATGAAGCAGCAGGGTGAGACTTGTTATTTGATTTATCAACTTTTAATCAGCAAAACAGGGGCCGGAGAGATTGTTTACATTCCAATCCTCAAGCATGAGGAAAGCCAGTCTGGTTCAGACCGCGAAGAGTGGACCGAGAATCTCAACAAGCTTGAGAAAGTTTTGCCGGATTACTTGCTGGACAATTTGACATTCCCTTCCAATACACTCTACAACTTCTACAACAAGCTGGGGAGATCGCTCAACAAGAAAGTGGATTGAATAAATATAGTTGTATCTTATTTTTACATGATGATTATCTATTCATAGTGAGACGGTGATGGACCCGTCTGCGTTCTTGGACACTTTTAAGGATTTGAGGAGTTCGGATTTATCTTTCTTGAGTGCTTTGCGGGCCTTCTTGAGAACTTTGTAGAGCGATTCAGATCCAGAAACGAACGATGCAAGCGACGGCTCGGCGGACTTGGCCTTCGCTTTTTGCTTAAGATCTTTTTTTTGGGGTTCAGGCGCCTGAGGTTTTTGAGTCTCCTGTTTGCTTTTGACAGACTCGAGTTTAGGAGCTTTCCAGCCTTTCTCGTATTTTTCAGCTTCGGTTATACAGCTGGTATGACTATTGTGTTCATTGTTGTAGAATGTCGTATTGCAATCGATACATGTGAAGTATGCGCCACGACATTGTCTCTGATGCACTGCAAGCTTCTTCTTGACCACAGTATCGTTGCAAACCTCGCACGAAAAGGAAACCATTTGATCTGTCTGGCTTTTTTCCGAATTTTTTTTAAGAACTTTTAGCATGGAAAATTCTCTGCACTGCCTTAAAACACATTTTCGGATTCCCCAGGAAGTCTTTCGATTCTCTTTGGTTCCCAATCCTCGTACTCATCCAGAAGGCCCTGTAGCTTGTAGTACTCTTCTTTGACATCCACCTTCCGTTTTTTAGTGGCAAGGTCAAGCGCTTGTTGCTCGTCAAGTTCTTTCACCTTCTCATCTCTTTGCTCGTAACGCAATGCTGTAAATTTAGAGAGAATCACCGAACCAAATGCCACGGACAACATCATCGGAAGACCCAGATACAAAAATGAGTTCTTCTTGATTAAAGCCTGATAGCGACCAATAATAGAACGTTCAAACTCTGCCTGTTGTCGCTTGGAACGAAACGTCTTATTGTCGAAAGTACCCATACTATTAAAATATTAATTTTTTATTGCTTTACGCGATTATTTTCATCACTCTATCAAATAAGGCCTCGAGAGGAAGTCCCTCCAAATTATCTAGGATCGGCTCGAAAATTTGAGGGTTGAGCACTTTTCTCTCGTTCTCTGCTTCTGACTCTGTCTTCCGAATGGAAGCCATTTGTTTGGCGTTGCTGAGGAGGGTGCTGAGCTCGTACGCGCGGTCAAGCTCTTTCTGCTCTTGCAATGCGGAAACTCCTGCTCCCAAAATTCCTATGCGCGAATCGGTATCAACGATGACAAATGATGACATTCCAGAGGCAAACCGCACACTGGATATACCGGTGTCGTGGTCAGACACGTAAAGTGGCTCTAATTTTGCAGGCTCAAACACAAAAATTCGAGATCTCAAATTGTAGGTTTGAGTATAGTAATTCACGCAAACGCAGAAAACTCCTCTGTTTTGGTCAACAGCCAGCAAATTGCGACTTCCAGGCTGGGTGTGGACTTTCACGGCAAGGTCTGTGGTCCGGAAAGTGAGCAGATCAAACGAGACCAATCTGTCTCTGGCAAGTATGACTAGATAATTATCAATGATATTCAGGCACCGCACCCTGGAGCCGGCGATGGATGGAACTTGAACTGGTGTTTCCTCAAACGTGTTCACATCAATGAGGCTGATGCTCACCTCCTGGCCAATAGCAATCACGGATGCGTCTGGGGACCAGCAGATGCTAACATTTTGGGCATCCGTGCGCTCATTTCCGTTGCGTACTTTACGTAGTGTCCATGCAGTTTGTTGTAGTTTCTTGTCCTTCCCCATTTTCTGGTATATCTCCTTTGGCACCCGTGGTCTCCAGAGACGCAGGCCACCTTTGACATCGGTAGTTACGAACGCCAGCCCATCGTTGTAAGATTGTGGGGCTGGAGCCACGGCCACCACGTCGACTCCTGGTCCATGAGGATCGATGATTTTTGTCGACAGTGACCAGCCACCTCGATCTTTACCTTCCACATAATTCCAAAACTTTAAAGCATATTGGACATCGTTGCGAGAAAGCAGGTTGTCGATTTCTGGAGGCTGCAGTTTGTCAAATGTGCACATCCATTTTCCGTCGTAACTGAATGCAAATTGCTCAATTTCTGGATCCTGAATAGACGTCTCGCTCCGGACTTTACCTGCCTGGATTGTTGGTGCAGCAGTGATGACGGAGATTTGCTCGTTCCTGACAAAGTCGTAGGATTGTAAGTGTGCTCCGTATGGGAAGTAGCAGTGGTTCGAAACAGGATGCACCTCGAAGTGAGATGAGAAGTCATGTTTAATTTTCGTCAGGGTGTCTTCGTCCAACACGACATTGTTCTTTGCCAGCCGCCGACGGTCTTTTTCCATGGTCTCAACATCCGTTGCAAATTTGGGACGCACACCATTGACGTTCAATCTGGAGGTCAAGTCCACAGCACTCAAAACCAGAAATTCTCTGTCGGAGCCGTTTAAAAGCAAGCTGACACCGTATAGCTCCTCTGTTGAAGCCGAAAGTTCGATGTCCACGATTTCTCCATTCAAACGAGGGAGGAACTGCTGGTTATCCGATTCGAGGTGCCAAAAGACAAGAACTTTCTCTTGACCTCCGGACAGCAAATAGGTGCCGTCTGTGCTGAACTCAACACAGTTGACCTGGCCAATATGCCACTTGAGCAGCCGTTGGGGTTTGCTGCTGTCTGAAACGTAGACAAGCTGAATTATGCCTGACGAGGTTCCCAGAGCGATCATTGGGGTCTCTGCATTGGAGACGGCTAACGAGGTGATCGGCGTTTTGTAAGCAAATTGAGTCATCTCGAGGGGACCGTCTCCGCACTGGAAATATAACTGGTTTTTATTTGTGAGGTATGCAAGCGTGCTTCTATCAACAGACATGGCGAAAAGTACCACGTTTTTAAGGGTCGATATCTCTTGAGTTTGAGAGTCATTAGTGGATCTCAACAAAGTGCGAGTGTGTGGTTGGTTATTGGTGGTCGATTTCCCAATGATAAAATAAAACTCGTTCTCAGAAGCTCCAAATCGCACAAACCTCACGATTTCGGCAGGCAGCTGCAAGTTGTATGTGGCAACCACCGGCGAAGCCAGCTTTTCTCTCCAGTTGACAACAACCACAGCGTTAGTCCTCGTAAACAAGTACAAAAGGTTTGGATCCTGGGTGCTGAGCGCGGCATCCACGACCTGCGAAAGATCGAAATCAAGTCTAATGCTACGCACTGACTGACGGGTGGCCAGGGAGTAAACTTTGATCTGCGACTTGAATGGCACAATGGCAAATTTGGAATCGGAGGACACGAGCTGTGCACGCCCGAGAAGACGTCCGCCAGCGCCAAAATTAAGGTTCCAGTCAGAAAGCACCATAAATATATATTTTTTTAAATTTTTTTGGTATTGAAAATTTTTAACAACATGATTATTCCTGTCCGGTGTTTCTCGTGTGGCAAAGTTGTGGGCGACAAATGGGAAACGTATCTCCAGTACCTTCAGGAGGACAATATGACTGAAGGAGATGCCCTAGACCGCTTGAAGCTAAAGAGATATTGTTGTAGACGGATGGTGTTGACGCATGTGGACTTGATCGAGAAGTTCTTGAGATACAACCCGCTAGAGAAGAAGGAGATTGAGGGAGACCAGTATTGAGGGAGATGAAATAGAGAAGCAACGCTTATCAACAACAAATTTCACAGGAAAGGCCTATTCAAAAGGAGTACGGAGATGCACAGATACAGCCGCAATACTCTACGAGGTTTGATCAAGAGCTTTGATATTGCAGTGTTTGATGTGTTTACGGAGAAGGTGCTATGACGACTTTATGCAATTTCTTCAGCTTTTTGTAGGCCTTCTATGTACATTAATAGCTACGGAAATATTAAAAATTCAATTTTCATGGATTCTGTCTACGAAGAGTTTTCCAAGTATGATTTCGACTCCAATGAGGAGTACCTTGCCGGTCTTGAGCAGGTCATGGAGCAGTACTTGATTCTACAAAGTCAGAGCGATCCAGAGATTGCAAAAGACATATCGGAAGGCGTTTTTGACGTCTCGAAAATCAAACCTCAAGATAAGGAACAGCTGGTATGGCAAGCAAAAGTGTATTTTTTCTGCTCACAGACAGGAGAGATTCTGGACCTTGATGACTATCAGAAGTGGGAGAGTGAACGGAAGGCGCAGGAGCCCCAGGAAAAGAACACAAAGGAAATCCCGTATTCTTCGAACTACGAGCAGTTAGTGGATCTCATCGTCAACAACAAGCCAATTCCGGGCATAAAACAAATACCAGATACGGTGCTAGGACCGGAACTTTCGTCTAGCAGCACACTGAGCGAGCGTAAGAAGCCTTGGGAGCAACAGAAAGAGAAAAACTGTTCTGAGCAAAAAGATGCATAATCAGACAAAAGCAGATAGAAACAGTGTATGTACTCTGGGCCATACGCTGCTGCGCTCGGCCCCAAGTTGGTAATGAAGCTGTCGAATAACATAATGCCACCCACCTTTATATACACGATCCGGCTGTGCTCAATGATGCGTGCACAGGGGGTGGCGCAAACGGCCGAAACGAATTGTTTACTAGCCGCTTCGACCCACAGAGTAGTCCGCCTTTTCTAGTACGACCTCCCAGCAGTGCCGTATGGCGGATCCACTACAATTGTGTGAACTTTTTACGTTTTAGGAAATCCCAATATCTTATCTCTGTAAAATCCCCGATGCAAAACTTCCGCCGATATGCCACACCAAATCTGGACAAGCGCGATTTGTCCAGCAGTGTTTCCCGAAGCTATAAATATGTCGCGACGCCTAATTTAGGCCACAAATGTCTAAACCAAACGTGCTTCTTATAGGAACGGGTGGTGTTGGTACCATTGTGGCCTATGGCATCGATTACGCTGGCAAGTCCAGTCTCTCTGTGGTGGTGAGAAGAGACTATCCGAAAGTCAAAGATCAAGGCTGGGAGATCAACTCGTGTAACTACGGCACCATAAAAGGCTGGAAACCCGCTGCCGTGTACGAGTCTGTGGCTGCAGCAGGCGACGCTGGAGTGACCTATGACTACGTTGTGATCTCCACCAAATCTTTACCTGACATTGTGAAGCCTGAGGTTCTCGCAGAGCCTGTGATCACTCCTGGAAAAACGGTGGTGGTTCTGGTGCAGAACGGTTTTGACTTGGGAAGACCGTTCATTGAAAAGTACCCAGAAAACGTTTGTCTCTCTGGTGTTTCGCATATCGGTTCTCACAACCACAACGGAGTCATTTCGCACATTCAGACAGACAAGGCTGTCATCAGCGTGTTTGAAAATCCCCACCTCGACAAGGACTTCCAGGTGGAAAAGGCAAAGGAGTTCATTTCTCTCTACAGCAACGATAAAAACGATGTCTCCTACTTTGAGGACACCAAATGGTACAGATACAGGAAGTTGGTGTACAATGCTACCTTGAACACGGTGTGTGCTCTCACAGGTGTGGATACAGGCAGATTGGACCTTTCTGGCACTTTGGAGTCCGTTTCCATTCCTGCGATGAGAGAGGTTGTGAAAATTGCCAAGGCTGACGGTGTCGAGCTTCCAGAGGACGTGATTAACACTGTGGTCCACTCTGACGACGGCGACTGGTTCGAGCCGTCGATGCGCGTTGACGTGAAGAAGGGCAATCCTATTGAACTTGAGGTGATCCTCGGCAACCTGTTAAGGGTCGCCAGGGAGCTCAAGGTCGACACGCCTGTGCTGTCTTTGCTTTACGAGCTTCTTAAGGCGGTCCAATTCAGACTCAAGGAGGGACAGGGCCTCATCACCGTTCCTGAAAAGCGCCCAATATCTACAAAGTACTACAGCTGATATAGAAAGGAGCTTTGATTCCGTATTTTGAGTGCAACGTAGCCAGCCGTGGAATAAAAATTTCTTGAAAGTTTTTGTTACACTAGCCGTAAAATAGACACGTCCTAAAAGTTTCTTTACACCAAGAATCCTAATCTGTTCCTGGTTACACATTAAATCACATTGGCTATAGAGAATATCTAAACTCCGGGTTCTCGATATCTGTCAGGTCGGCGAAAGCAATGGTATCTGGGACCTGGTACTTGTCGCCAAGGGCCGCCCGCTTTTTGTCACGTGCTCTGTTTCTGTGCGTGTAGAGCAGCAGCAGCGCCACGATACAAAGCAATCCCACGGCGAAGCTGACCAGCATAGCCGTCTTGGCCCCAATGTAGCCGGGCTTCTGAGACGAGATAAACGTCTGTGGCCCTATGATGTTGCCCACGCAGTAGCCAACAAGATAAGTCGTGTTCATGGTGACCTTTTTCGTGCTTCCAGCAACATTCGACGAGAGAACGGACACCATACCAGCGGAGACAGATGTTGCCATGTAGAATGACAGGTACCCAAAGAGGCGAGATCCCTTGGGACTTGAAAAGTTGAGGCAGCACATCCCGATAATTGTGATTATCTGAACTATAATGCTCGAGATGAGCCGGCTGTTGTTCAAAAAGCGATAGGTCAGATAGGCCACAGAGATAGGGAAGACGATATCAATGGCTCCGCCGGGCATTCCCATTAGCAGCGCGTTCTGTGTGGAAAAGCCAAAGTCCCCTTTCAGGAGAATGGAACCGAAGTTGGTGAAGCCTCCGTTGGGGATGGCATACGACATTCCGTAAAGGAAAAACAAGTACAACACCGGGTCCCGGAACGCCTCGAGCATTTGGTGACGCTTGAACTTGTGGCTTCCAAATCCTTGCTGATTTCCCTTGACTCTTTCGACACAGTACTTCTTTTCTGTCTCGTTCAAAAACCATGCTTTAACCGGCAAGTCGGGAACGTGAACGAAAGAAAGGAAGCCCAGAGCAATAGTGATAACACCAGTGATGATGTACAGCATTCTCCAGGAATCGAAGGAGTAGTTGCCTGAGCGATGCACCGACAGACCGTAGGCAATTCCTGCTCCCAGAAGAGTACCAAAACCCTGAAATCCCCACCAGACACAGGCACGCATGAACTGCTCGCTCTTCCGGTACCATTGACTGGTGAGAAGAACATACGCTGGGTTCATGAAACCCTCGAAAACTCCGAGGACGACTCGACAGACAAGAAATCCAGCAGCGTTAGTGCAGGCCGCATGGCACATCAGCACGACGCCCCAGATCATGACTGCTGCTCCCAGGGTTTTGGAGAGAGGAAGTTTTTGTAGCAGCAGGTTTGCTGGAAACTGGAAAATAAGGTATCCAAAGTAGAACGTGCTGCCGACCCAGCTGTACTCCTTGTCGGACATGTTGAGGTCCTTTTGTAAATTCATGATCGAAGCGTAGGAGTTGGTTGTTTTGTCCATCAGCTGGCAGGACATAAGCGCAGCAATGACCGGCATGAGACACCAGTCTATCTTGCGCACCAGTTTGCGCTCAAACTCTGGGTCCATCACCAGGTCCATCGCGTCCTGATGGTATTGCAGAGCAACGTCCGCGTCCAATTGGTGGATCTCGATCTCGCGTCCATCCAGCGAAACAACCGTCGAGAGGACAGGATTCACCTCAACCTGAGAAACCGTATCCTTTGATTTATCGTCGCTGCGTTCTTTCATTTTGTCTGGCGGACCTGAATCTGCTTTGCAATAAATACTCGTCTGGCACTCATCATTTCTTATCTCGATTTACTATCTGTCAAAATGTCCGACATTTTTTTCGATAAGATTTCAGTCGGAGATATCCGCTTCGGAATGAAACGTTACAATTTTGGTCGATCAGAAAAGGGTGGCTCTTTAAAAGAGTGATCTCACTGAAATGCGCCGTCATGTCAAAGAATAGCTCTGAGATCGGTCTCGAGATCGTTTCGACGGAAAAGTCTCATTTCGATGAGCACTTACAGCTCGACGAGGTCAGGATGCTCCAGTTCCAACCAAAAAGTCCTCTAAGACCAATCAGCTGGAGCACGAAAAAAAAGCTGGCACACACGGTGCTTTATGGGCTCACCACATTCTGCGCGCAGTTCAATTCTACAACCATGTCGTTTGAATACTGTGTTGACGATATACGGAACGAGTTTGGAGTGTCCCGAGAGGTAGTACTACTTCTTACATCTCTTTACATCCTCGGCATAGCTTTCGGCCCCATGGTGTTTGCACCACTTTCAGAAGTCTACGGTCGCAAAATTGGCATTTTTGCTCCATTTTTCATGTCTGCGATGCTGACATTTGCAACGGGCATCTCATACAGTCTCGGTGCCATGATGGTGACGCGGTTCCTAGGTGGCTTTTTTGCCGGAGCACCAATTGTGGCGTCCGGCGGTGTTCTTGGGGATATATGGTCGCCAGCGCAAAGAGGAGCGGCATTTGCATTTTACGCCTGTTTCGTGATCAACGGGGCAGCGCTGGGGCCTACTATAGGGTCGCTACTAAGCATGAAGACCAATTGGAGAAATCCGCAGTGGTTTATTGGAGGGCTGAGTGTCTTCATAATTGTCATCTGTTGCTTTTTTCTGCATGAAACATACGAGCCTGTCCTGCTGGCGCGAGAGGCCAAAAAAGAGCGCCTGAAGTCAGGATCGTGGGAAATACATTCAAAATTGGATACTTGGGACCTGAACATTCGTGAGTTAGTTAAGATCCACATGGTGCGGCCGTTTGCTATTCTGGCCACCCCCATTGTGTTCTTGATGTCGCTGTTTGCCAGCTACGTTTACGGGTTATTTTATTTGATTCTCACCAATGTCTCGGAAGCATTTAACTTGGCTAAGGGCTGGAAAGGAACGACGGGGACATTGCCATGCATTTCGCTCCTGCTAGGAGTTCTTTTTGGTTGCGTGGGCAACATGCTTTGGGCCAATCGGTACGCCAGCCTGGTGGAAAAAAACAATGGGGAGCCTTTACCCGAACAGCGGCTTCCAGTGATGATGATTTTGGGATGGCTAATGCCCGCTGGAATATTTATATTTGGATGGACGTGCTCTCCAACCATCCCCTGGCCAGTTCCTTGCTTGGGAATTATGATGATGGGGTGTGGCTTCATAACCATTTTCCAGGGAAGCCTGAACTATCTGATAGACACCTACGCCTGCTACTCTGCATCTGCAATAGCGGCTGCCACGTTTTTGCGGTCCGTTTTTGCTGCTTTCTTCCCGCTATTTGCAAAACAGCTGTTTGTCTCCTTGAATGTCCACTGGGGTGCCAGCCTGATTGGTTTCATTGCTCTGGGAATGATTCCAATACCGTACCTTTTTTTCGTTTTCGGTAAGAGGATACGAGAAAAAAACGTTTTTATACCAGGCTTAGAATAGATTACTTAAGTTCCTTAGCGCTTCTGCGTCTTCTACGTAGTCCGTCTTGCTTTCTTCCATCTTCCGGGATTATTCTGCTCACCAAGCCAGAGTAAAACCAGTCGATCATGGTGATTGCATCGTAAACCGGCAACCCTGTCGCTTTCTGTACTGCGCGGGCAAATGGTGGCATCTGAGTGCACTCAAGAACAATCGCCCCAATTGACGGATTCTCTCCAACAAGCTCTTTTGCAATGCCAACCATCTCATTCTCCAGATCGTCGTGAACGTACGGGTCTCCCTCTATGATCATCCCGCGTAAAACACCTCCAACAGGACATCCCTTGACGACTATTCTGGACTGAAGCTCCTCGCTGATTCCCAGACCTTTAAAATGAGCTTTCCCCAGAACCTCTGCATCAAAAGTCAGAACCCCAATGAGTTTGGATGGTCCAATCACCATGGACACGAACGGCACCTGGATAAGACTGCTGGTTGCAACCGGAATTTCCACCGCCGCAGCAAGACGGTTTTGCACCTGAGCCAAGAAACCGCACGAGGTAATCACTCCCACAGCTCCTCTTTGCTGAAGGCGGTTGCAGGCGTCAATGTAGTTCTGTAGCGTCTCGTCGGAATACTCGTCTTTTTTGACAACGTTCCAGACAGTAGCGTCCTTCACCATTTCGTGGATCACTGGAAACTGGTAAGACAGCTCGTTCAGCGGATCACCTGGGGGCCGGTGGATATCATCAGTGTAATCAAGACACAGTGCGCCCAGCGGTGGTAACTCTTTTCTTGGAGGATAGGTCGACATGATTTTTGGCCAAGTCCAGATGCCGTCATATTTATGATCTGTCCGACGCGAACTTCCGCCAGAATTTTTCAGATAAGATACGGTCGGAGATATTATCATTTAGAGTATGGATTCTTATCTCCCGCAAACTTTTATTCCGCAAGTGCCAGATTGTCCAATGCAGTCGGAAACACCGGGTCTGGCGATGAGGCGGAAGTCTGGAGGAAAACACCAGATGGCAGCATGCTGCTTTTGCAAGAAGCGAAGAAAAAAATGCGACGGGAAATACCCTAGCTGCTCTGCCTGTCTCAAGCTGGGGATCGATTGCACGGTGATCGACCCTCCTACGGGAAGAGAGATCAAACGAAACTACTTGGAGATCTTAGAAACAAAACTGCAACAGCTCACCACCCAGTTGGAGAGTGCTACTGACGTGCGAAAAGAAAGCTCAATCGAAGAGCCACAGGCCCAGAATCCTGCCCCCAGCAAATCTGATCTCGCTCAACAGGTTGGGTACATCACTCTGCAAGCAGCAGGCGAATCAAGATACTTAGGAGAAAGCAGTGCATACTACATTGCAAAGACCATCAGCGAGTCGATCAACTGCTACACCACTAAGCCAAATACCACTGCGTCTGGCATTGAAGAGGCCGAGCCTCCGCAAACGGTCTTTTCCAGACCCTCTATGAAGCTTGCGTCGTCGTATCTCACTGCATACAAGAACTATGTTCAGTGTCAGTACCCGTTTCTGGACTGGAACAGCACGGTGACGATGTTCCACCAAGTGATGAACGACGATTCCCAGGACCCAGAGGCATTGTTTTTCGTGTACATCATATTTGCCATAGGAACCCAGCTTCTTGAGGACCGCACTCAGACATCCAACCAGCGGAGCTACTACGAAAAGGCATTTGAAAATATCGGCTCGGTCATAGGAGCCACTACTCTGCGTGCTGTCCAAGCGTACTTACTAATCACGGTTTTTGCCCAGAAAATGCCCGACGGATCGTCGTGCTGGCAGACAACAGGACTTGCCATTCGAACGGCGGTGGCGTTGGGTCTTCACCGCAAACCGTACCGCAACTGTGACGCCAACCTTGAGGACCTCAGGTCACGTGTTTTCTGGTCAGCATACGGGATGGAGAGAATCAACGCTCTGGTTTTGGGAAGACCGTTCAGCATTTCGGATGCGGACATCGACGCCCCGTTCCCGCAGCACTCGGAAGAGACCAGAGTGGCCTGTCACGTGGCACGGCTGCGGAGAATACAGTCAAATATTTGCACCTTCATTTACAAGCCTGCACACTTATTAGGGAACCCAGAAGACATTGAGGCCACGCGCGTGCAGATAGTTGTGGAGCTGAACGACTGGATGGCAACGTTCCCGTTCAAGGATGATGCGGTTTCAACGTTTGAAACAGACAATTGGTCGATCATCTCGTACCACAATTCCATGCTTCTTCTGCTCCGGCCGGTGGTGTTAGAAGTAGCAAAATTGAGACAAAAGGCCTCCAAAGAGGCTCTTGACTGGTTCAAGATCTTTACCGAGTCTGCCTCTGCCATCTGCATCAACTACAAAAACATCCACGCGAAAGGGAAGCTCAGCTACACGTGGCTGGCCATGCACTGCTGTTTCGTGTCTGGGATTTCGTTCATATATTGTCTTTGGCTCGACGCAGGGCTTGGTGTGCTGAAATGGAAACGAAAGTCTTCAATTTACGAGACCATCAACGCCTGCTCCAGCATTTTGTATGTGATGGCCGAAAAATGGGCCTCGGCTTGCATGTTTCGAGACACTTTTGAGCAGATCTCAAAAGCTGCTCTGTGCCACCTCGAAGCGAGCAGCGAGCAGCCGGCAGATATTTCCAACGGCGGACTTCTAGAAGGAGCTATTGGTATAGACCACTATCTGCGCAATCTGAGCTCGCAGCAAAACCAGAACCAGACAGACGGCATGGCATTCGCTCCGCCGAGCAACGACGTTCTCGAAAAGGGTACCGACGGCCAGATCTCAGACTCGCTGTGGGAGTTTCTGGACACCACCGGAGACCGCTTCTTGCGTAACATATTCTATGACATGGAAGATAACCTTCTTCTTTGAGCGTTGCTGGCACCAAGCATGATGCCATCCAGTCTATCGTGCAACGCAAATAACACCTCACACCTGTGAAAACTGTAAATAATGTTTGTTTATTTGTTTCGCGCATGAAAATACAAGACAAGCTAGAGCAGATAGCGTCCGGGTTCGATTGGTCGGCGTCGGATGACGAGGCGAGTGCTCTGGGACGGCAGGACGTCGAGTACCTAAATCGCCAGTTTTCGAAGCGAAAAGACTCGCCAGAGCTCGTGGACAACGAGTCTGACGAGGAGTGGGTGGATGAGGACGAAGAGTCGTATGATGAGTCTCTTGACGAGACCATTGTTGAATCCAGCGACGAAGAAAAAATACAGGAACTGGACGTGGAGCCTCCTGCGTTCCTGAAATCCAAAACTATCGTATACATCATCAAGACGTTTCCTGTGCTGGTAGTGATATTGTTCCTAATGGTGATTGCGCGTTTGGCATCTGCTGGCAGCTACTACGAGAACACGGTGGATCTGGGGCTTGTGCATCACAAGTTCAGAGGCTTTGAGAAGAAGCTTGGCGAGATCAACGAGAAATTGGAGCAGCTTTCGAATATTAATAATGATAGGCACAAAATAGAGCTAATCGAAGAGCAGATACAGCAATTGCAGAGGAATGAGGATGTTTCACAGCGCGATGTCAGACAGGCCGTGCAGAACATTGTCATTGAGTTTCTCCAAGACTCCTTGGACAAGAAGCTGGAAGAACTAGTGTCCGACAAGAAGCTGGAGGATTTAGTGTCTGACAAGATGGAGCATTTGGAGTCTGTCATGCAAGAACGGATTTCTCAGCTTGAGGTCCAGAAGCTGAAAGACGAGATGTCGCATGAGGTGCTGGAAAAGGTGGGTACTCAAATGTCTTCCGTGAGTTCTCAGATCGCGGCTCTTCAATCGGCAGGCTACTCGGAGCAAGAGATAGAGACTACGCTATCGCGACTGGTGCAACATGAGTTCAACCAGCGTCTGGAGCCGCGTGTTGCTGGCACTTCTAATTACGCGAGCTATGATCGAGGCGCGCGGGTCTTGAAGAAGTACACCACCCTGCCGAAGCTGAAACGCGTCCGCACGAAAGTCGTTGACCGTGTTCTTCACGGCTGGCTTGATTTCATAAGGCGAACTGTACAGGGCCACAAGCGCACTTTGACGGGTCTGAACAATGTCGAACTCACGAGCCCGGAAAACTCTCCGGCGAACGTTTTGGTGGACAGCACGCAGTACTGGCAGGCTCTGGCGCAGGACCTGCCGATCACGTTTGGCGTCCAATTGAGCGAGCCCGTTTACCTGCGTCAGGTCGGGCTATATCATCCGCGCGTCTCCTCGTTTGCCGAGTGTGCTCCGCGCCACGTTTCGCTTCTAGTGGAGCCGGCCAACTCGAAACACGCAAAACTGCTACGAAACAAGCTGGCAGTTTACTACAACCAGGATCTCGTGTTCTCTCATCTCCGTGGGCTTGCCAAGGTGAGCGAGTTTGAGTTCCAGGCGCCAGGCGGCCAAAGCTACCAAACGTTCCCGCTTTCGCGCGAGATCCTAATGATTCTGGACGAGTTCCCGGTGAAAAACGTCGTGCTGGTTGTCGAGGACAACTGGGGCCACAAGGACATTGTGGTTCTGTACGGGCTGAAAGTGTTTGGGCTGAACGAGTTCGAGATGAAATCGACGAGAGTGACGAGATCCGACGAAATAATTAATCTGGGCGAAGATAGTGTATTTTAGTGTATGTATGTATGCAATAAATTTCAGCTGATGAATAAATAATACTTTATCAATTACTTTTAGCTTGCAAAATGACTTTTGTCATCAATTCTTTGCTGGACACCGATCTGTACAAGATCACAATGCACGCGGCAATATATGTGAATCTCCCAAACGCAGAGGCTGTTTTTGGGTATACCAATAGGACGCCGTCGATGCAACTGAACAAGCCCGCTTTGGACTGGCTGCGCACACAGATTGACCATTTGGGCTCACTCAGGTTCACGCCGAGCGACATTGACTATCTGAGGACCGAATTGCCGTTTCTTCCTGCCAAATATCTTGAGTTCATCAAGGACTTCAGGCTGCGGCCTGCGGAACAAGTGAGACTCATAAACGTCGACAAACCGGAAGAATTTGGTCTTGAAGTGACCGGCAAATGGGCCGATGTCACGCTGTATGAGATTCCGCTGCTGTCTCTCATCTCGGAAGCTTACTTTAGGTATGTGGATACCAACTGGACGAACGACGGACAACTGGAGAAAGCCAGACAGAAAGGAGGCAAGCTGCTTGCGAACGGCTGTGCGTTCAGCGAGTTCGGCACCCGTAGAAGGCGGTCTTTGGAAACCCAACGTTTGGTGATGAAAGGGCTGTGTCAAGCTGCCAAGGAGGCCGACAATGGCGAGCTGTTCCTGGGAACGTCCAATGTGATGTTTGCCAGAGAATTCGGAGTCAAGCCAATTGGCACGGTCGGCCACGAGTGGATGATGGGAATTGCGGCAGTCACACAGGACTACACAAACGCAAACAAGTTGGCAATGGACTACTGGCTCAATACAATGGGCACTGCAAATGCAGGTCTGGCACTGACCGACACTTTTGGCACAGACGCTTTTCTGAGAGCTTTCATTCCGCCCTACTCTGACCACTACGTTGGAGTACGCCAGGACTCCGGCTCGCCCCTGGATTACACGGACAAAATATCGCACCACTACCTGGAAGTCTTGAAGCTACCGAGATTTTCAAAAGTGATCTGCTACAGCGACTCGCTCAATGTCGATAAATGTATTGAATACAAGAAGAAGGCCGACAGCTGTGGTATGCGTGCGTCTTTTGGCATTGGTACAAATCTGACCAATGACTTCGAGGGCTCTTCTCCACTGAACATTGTTATCAAGCTCAAAAGCATGAACGGGAACCCGGCCATCAAGATCAGCGACAACTTGGGCAAAAACATGGGCGACCCGGCCACTGTTGCTCGCGTCAAAAAAGAGCTGGGCTATGTCGAGAAGGAGTGGGCCGAAGGCGACGAGGCTCACCGGTGGTAATCCATATAAATCAGGAATATAAATCCAGCACAGCCACGAAAGTTTGCGTTTCAACATTATTTTGATAGCATGTGATAAAGTGAATAATCTAGATTATTTTTGATTTTGTTGACTTACGAGTTCAGGATGACCAAAGAGTCCGAAGCGCCAGCTGATGATGCCAAGGTGACCAGTAACGGAAAAGATAGCGCGGAAGAGGTTTGTGAAGACACAGGGACAGGCACTACAGAGAGGTCCGACGAGATTTCAATCAGCCAGCCCTCAACAGCCAACTCTACGCCGCTCATGAAGTCTGCCTCCGACATGGACTCACCGATCCTGCTGGCACTGGATTCTGGAAGCGGGCCGAAATCGAAGCATCCCAGAAGAAGTTCCTCCAGCAGTATCAATATGGACGATCTCTCCTTCTTCGATCTGCTAAACCCGCAGATCCTGTCAACAGAGATCAGAAAACACCCAACGTACCAGCGAGTCAAAAACTACTCCTCAGAGTCTATCAAGAAGTTCAACAAAAAGGGAATCAAGTTCAACATCAGCAATGACGACATGAAGCATCTCAAGCTGGTGCTCAATAACAGACTTGACAAACTCTATGTTGGAATCGACAGGACTATCACCGCGTCCAAAACGGAAAAGCTGTACTATGCAAGCTCCGTGTATCTCATATTTTTCCTTGGCCTTGTCATTGGAAAACACCCCGAATGGTTTCATGTGGTGTACACAGTGCTATTTGCTGTCTTGATGCCCATCAGATTCATCACCTACTACAAAATGAACTGGAACTATTACCTAGCAGACCTGTGCTACTTTGCCAATGGATTGCTCCTGGTCTTCATATGGGCACTTCCAAGTTCAAAAATACTCTACGTGACCTGTTTGAGCTTCTCTTATGGTACGCTTTCGTTCGCTGTGATCACTTGGAAAAACAAACTGGTTTTGCACTCGATCGACAAAACGACCTCCACTTTCATTCATGTGATTCCGCCCTCTGTGATATACGTGATAACACACCAACTTCCTGTGGAGTATCGCCAAACACGGTTCCCAGGATCAATGAAGTTGCATAACTGGGAAATATGGAACGGAATTCTGTACACGTCGCTGATGTACTTTGTGTGGCAGTCCTTGTATCATTACTTCATTACCGTCAAGCGCGCTGAAAAAATCAAGAACGGGAAGGTGACGTCGTTTGTGCATCTTCGAAAAGCGTTCGCCAAAAAGCCGATAGGAAAATTCGTCAACTCGCTCCCGGAACCGTTCCCTGTTTTTGCATTCATGGCGATTCAATACTTCTATCAGCTGGGTACAATGACGGTTTGTCCGCTGGTGTTCAAGTACAAATACGTCGCGTCCGTTTACCTCTCGTTCATATTCTTCATGGCAAGCTACAACGGTGCCACATATTACATTGACTTTTACGGAAAGAAGCTTCAGCGAGAGGTCGAGCGGCTTCAAAAGGAGATCAACGAACTCCAGTCCAAGGCACGTGAGCACGAGACAGAAGGTCCGTCTCCGACCACAGTGCCAAACTCTTCGTAAGATAGCCTGTAGCACAGCCACGAGACAAAGAATTTTATTTAACGAAAATATTCCTAAAAAATTTGGGTATAATCATGTCCAAAATCAGTCGTAAGAGGCCTCTTGAAGATGAAGGGGCCGATCCTTACTCGTCCGTGCTTGAACGGTACAGTAGAACCATGGACTTGCAGGACAAAATAGCCGAGCAATACCCGGAAACCAACGACACAGAACCAATGGAGGTGAAAAAAGACGTTGCACCGCTACCGCAGCCCAAATTGCCCCGAGACAAGTCTCTGTACTCGCAGGAGCAGAAAAACAAAAACCTCAACTGGCTCTCCACTCCTGAGTATCACAGCACTACCCAAGCCAAATCGTTCAAGGATTTTGAGCCTGCTCTTGATCCAGTGATTATTTCCAATCTTGAAACCAAGTTCGGCATAACTTCTGCCTTTTCCGTGCAGATCAACGTGATAGAGTCTCTTTTGAAAGACATCAATGCCAACAAGATTGACCCGACTCCTTTTGGCGACTATCTGGTCAATGCGTCAACAGGTTCAGGTAAAACGCTCGCATACTTGATTCCTATAGTACAAAGTTTGATTGGCCGAGTTGTTCCTCGACTAAGGTGCATTATTTTGGTTCCAACAAAACCATTGATCACACAGGTCTATTCTAACATTTTGCAGCTGACAAAAGGATTGGATATCAATGCGTTAGCTCTGCGTAGCGACGTGGGTGTCAAGGAAGAAGCAAAGAAACTTGCAACGACTAAGCCAGATATAGTGGTTTCTACGCCAGGTCGTCTTGTCGAGCATTTGTTGAACGACATGGACCTTTCACAGCTCCGGTTTTTGGTGGTTGATGAAGCAGATCGGCTGCTGAACCAGTCGTTTCAAAACTGGTGCGACACTCTGATTGCCAAACTGGAGAAAGACCAGAAATACGGTGCAGGAGAAGACTTTTACAACAGCTACACTGTGAAATGCAGCAAGCTGATTTTTAGTGCGACCTTGACAACAGATTCCGAGAAATTGTTCCATCTTAAGCTTTTCAAACCTAAATTGGTGGTGATCAACAACGCAGAACAGCTGGTGAACGAGCTGTACCAGATTCCGCCAAACCTTGACGAAAAATATGTGCGGATAAACGAGAAGCTGGCATTCTTCAAGCCAATGGTGTTGCTCCGCTACTTGGAGCAGCCAGAGTACAGTTCTCACGGACTTGTGTTTACGAAATCGAACGAGTCAGCAATTAGACTTGCTCGTCTGCTAACACTTTTGAGTGAGAAGCTGGGCCTGGGTTTAGACATAATGTCCGTCAACTATAGTCTCAAAACGCACGAGAGAGCCAAAATCCTCAAAAAGTTCCACGAGGAAGGCGGTATTTTGATCGCTACCGATCTCATTGCGCGCGGAATGAACATCGAATCGATCAAATTTGTTTTAAATTACGATCTTCCTCTTTCGACCAAGGAATACATCCACAGAGTCGGCAGAACAGCCCGTGCGAACAGGCATGGAACAGCTATAACGCTGTGTTTTGGGGATGGAGATTTCAGATGGTTCAAGCGACTAGTTTACTCGGGTGGAGTGATCAACAGAAACGGCAAGGATATCGAGGAGGTGAAGGTGGTGAGAGAAACAGACGAAAAAACAGATTCCGATTTTGTGCTTGAGCTTGATAAGAACGTCTACAACGAGTGCCTGGACGAGCTTGAGAAAGAAATCAGAAATAGCAAGTAATTAATCAGTTAATAGTTCTATGTACATCATTCTTTTGACGGCTTTTTCACTCCGTACTTGGATCTGGCCGTCTTTCTATTGGCAACACCAGCCAAATCCATGGCTCCACGGATCAGATGGTATTTGACACCAGGCAAATCCTGCACTCTGCCGCCTCGCACAAAAACGACCGAGTGTTCCTGAGCATTGTGTCCGATACCTGGGATATATGCCGACACGACTCTTCCATTGGTGAGTCTGACTCTCGCGGCCTTTCTCTGGGCAGAGTTTGGTTTCTTTGGCTTTAGAATCATGACTCTTAAAATGACGCCCTTCTTGATTGGGTTTCCCTGGAGATCTGGGGCTTTAGAGCCTCTCTTCTTCTTGGTGATGAACTCCTGTCCTTTGTTGATTTGATTGATGGTGACGAATCTTTGCTGCGAGAATGCGGTGGGAGGTGGACTTATACGCGACATAATTGAGGGCGTTGCTCTTTTGAGAGGAGAAAAGACCCGGCATGCGTTGAGCAGAGATCCGGAAAACAGTCTGAGCATGGCGAGCGAACAAAAATTAAAAAATAAAAAATCCAGTTTATCAACCATCGTTACCCTGCCTTTCACCTTGGCTCAAAAAATTGGAGTAGCTGTGGAGATTTGATACTATTCAGTATAAAATGTTCCCAATATCCCGTTTTGGCTGTCGAGCTTTGGCCATGGCAGCTCGCCAGGGTGTCGCGAAGCCGACAATGCATAGGATTCCTGTGTTAGGCCTGCGATTCTACAGTTCTGCCCCTACACTAACCAGAGACATAGTGATGGAGAGAATCACGGAGATGCTCGAGTGCTACAACAAAATCAAGCCGGGCACCCCTCTCACGGAGAATACATCGTTTTCCAAAGATTTGGGGCTCGATTCGCTCGATTCGGTGGAGATCATGATGGAAATCGAGTACGAATTCAGCATCCATATTGCAGACGAAGACCAGGACTCAATCAAGACAATCGGCCAGGCCGTCGACTACATCGTCAAGCAACGCGACGCTTGCTAAAACAGATCTATTTATTTGGCAGTTATTTATTCGGTGTAGACGTTATTAGAATTACATCACTATGATACTATGCACTCTATGCGTAAACCCATAAGCTAAACCAACGTTTCCGGAGATTTCATCGCGTCCAGATCCTTCTCGCCTGCAATTGCGTCCTCTTCGTCCTCGCTACACACCTGTGTGAGGTCGCCGTCTGCCGGCTTTCTTCTGCGGCCGAATCTTAGCCACCATATTGCGTGACTCATAAAGATTCCGACTTCCAAACACGCGCAAATTGAGTATAATATACAGCCCATGACGTCGATGTCTCCAATTGCCAACGAGGCAAGCGAGAACACTGCTCCGCTAAGGTCGGTAGCAAGGAATATGAAGTTTATTCCAACAACTCGTCCTTGACGCTTTGAAAGCTCGTAGTATGGTGGCAGCAATCCGACAGCTAGAAGCACGGAGCCGATAATTCCAAAAACCAGCAGCGGCCATTTCACCCCTTCGGAGTATTCCTTGCGTAGTGGGATGATGAAACCAACCTCTAACGCGACCCAGAAAAACACAAATAGACCCCCGCGCAAAATAATATCCTTCTTTGGCCTACTCACTGGAGGGTAGTAGAGCACTTGCAAATAAACGATGAGGCAAAAGAAGCCAAAGAGATGGGGCTGTAGCTGGATGGGGATCGTGCTGTTTTCGGAAACAAAGTAGATGGCGAAAAACGGAGCGCACAGACACCAAAGCAAAACCATCCACTGATTCAGTCCCTCGGTATCCTTGTGTCTGTAATTGTGAATTATTTGGGGTATCATTTGCACACACCATAGAATGGTGCCTATAGTAGCCAGAACGTTGGCAGTTGTGGAGGACATTAGAGTTGATTGTAAGAATACTTCACAAAGGCGCCATAATTGCTTTATATAGCGCCAAACCCGAGCCCTTTAGTGCCCTCGGAAGTCTTAAAGGAGCACTGCCAGTGAAAAAAAAATTTGCTACCGTTTCTTTATTGTTCGAACAATGCTGTTCCTCTGGGATTTTTAGCGTCAACTTTCTACATCGAGAAGGCATTTCCGCGGGTCAATCGACGCCACAACTTGCTCGTTCGACGCGTCGTCGCTTCCCCAGGTTTTTCCAATCACCCGAACGGTTCTCTTCCATCACCAACATGCTCAAGTTCTTCTCTCAATACTCCACCTGTGACGTTTCTGATGCTCTGCTTAAGTTTGGCGTCTCTAACGGTGGCTTCTTTCCCAATTTGACTCGTTTCAGCACCAATGGAACCACAATGGCAGGTAAGGCCTACACTGTTCTTTTTGCTGCGAGAGACGACCCAAATCACGAGGAAATCAAAGGCGGATATATCGATAAATTGCCTGAGGACGCAGTCCTGGTGATCGGATTGACTCCTGAGCTTCAGAAGCTTGACGCGCCTTATGTCAAGATCAACAACGCCCTTTATGGTGGGTTGATGTCCACACGTGCAAACTACCTGAAGAGCCCGGGCACCGTAGTTTTCGGTCGGATCAGGGATCTAAAGGAGCACCAGGACCTCCAGAGGAATGTCTTTGCTTACGGTTTGGGCACTGCAGCGCACGCCCCGGTGGTTAAACTTGCCGGAATCAACGTGCCTCTCAAAATCACCTTAGATTCTCATCCGGAGCCTTATCAGGAAACTATAAACCCTGGTGATTATATAATCGGGGATGAAAACGGGGTGGTTAGAGTTGATGGATCGGGCGATCTGGTCCAAAAATGCATAGAGTATATTCCCAAGCGAGTTGCTGCGGACCAGCTGGTAGCCGAGGACATCCAAGGTGGGGCCGAATGCAACGAGGCCCAGAAGCGCAGAAGAGCCGGCCTGTAAGTAGCCATATAGCTGGTGCACAGATGTTTGATTTATGACTGGCATACACCAAAAATTTAAAAAAATATTTCCTGTTTACCTCAATTCCATGGTTGTTGACACTACTTACTATGATCTTCTGGAGGTGACTCCGACAGCCACTGACCTGGAGATCAAGAAAAGCTATAGGAAGCTGGCGATTAAGTTTCACCCCGACAAGAACCACGGCAACGAGGAAGCTGCAGAAATATTCAAGAAGGTCAGCGAGGCGTACCAAATCTTGAGTGATAAGCAGTTGCGGGCCAAATACGATCAACATGGACTCAATGAGGTGCGGGAGAGCAGCGAAATGGCCGATCCCGAGCAATTCTTTGACCAGATTTTTGGTGGCGAGGCATTTTTGGACTACATAGGAGAGCTCACGTTGTTCAAAAATTTATCGAAACAATATGAATTGGAGGCTGAGGAGGAGGCTCGTCAGAATGCAGCTCCTAGTGGTAGTCTAAAACTAGAAGACGGAAAATATGCAGATCTAAGCGAGGAGCAAAAGCTCAAGATGATGAAAAAAGAACAAGAGAGAGTGAAGAAAGAGGAGCAGGACAAGTTGGATGAGGAGAACAGGCAGCGCAAGGAAAAAATCAAAAAGGAATTGGTGAACAAGCTTGTTGCTAAGCTCTCTCTGTACACTGAAACTGACAAGTCGGACGATATAATTCGCTCGTTCAAGGGCAAGTTCCAGCTGGAAGCCGAGAACCTCAAAATGGAGTCTTTTGGTCTAGAAATTCTCCACACGATAGGGTCTATATACATTGCCAAGGCAAACATATTCATGAAATCACACAGGACGTTTTTGGGTCTTGGCGGTTGGATGGGGTCTCTAAGAGAGAAGGGGGGAATCATTAAGGATACATTTAGAACTATCAGTAGTGCTCTCGAAGCACAAAGCACGATGCAGGAGCTGGCGAAGATGACCGAGAAGCGAGAGCAAATGCAAAAGAGCGAGGAAGGTGGTGAAGAGACGCCCGACTCGGAGAATAAGAACGACGATGGAAAGGAAGATTCAAAGGATTCAAAAGATGCCAAAACGCCCAAAGAGGAGATACCGTCAGACGAGGCTGTGGCCGAGATGGAGAAGCTGCTCATTGGTAAGATCATTGCTGCCGCGTGGAAAGGGTCGCACCTGGAGATCTCGTCGACCATCCGAGACGTTGTTGACTCTGTGCTGTACGACAAAAGCATTGATACCGCAAAAGCCCTTGAGCGTGCTGAGGCTTTGAAGATGATAGGAGAAGTATTCAAGAACACTGAGCGGTCGAAGTGGGAGGCTGAGGAGGCTCGTATCTTCGAGGAGCTCGTGGCCGAAGCCACCCAGAAACGCGCTAAATAACACTAATGCCAATAGGATATGAGCTATGTTTACTATGTACATCAGGACGCCGAGTAGTACATGCCTCTGAGATCGACAACCTTCTTTCCGCGCTCGAGGGCGATATCCGAGATGGTGCGCTGTCCGACCAGAGCTTCAGTGACGCACTTCACCACGTTCATCTTATTTCTGGAACGATACACTTTGGCACCGAGGTCCTTGATTCCGGCGCATCTGGCAAGCTCGAAAATCACTGGGTTGCACTTCAGACCGAAACCAGGCGGAGCCGAGCGCAAATGGACCACCGTGGAAACATATTTGTGCTCGATGTTTCCGTATATCGTTCTATTTTCGTGCAGAGGAACCTTGGCCATGTTCTTGACAGCCTGCCAATGGGCCTTGAACACGGCCATCACGTTGTCTTCTCTGTCTTTTGCCTCTCCCACTCCGAGCATCCCATTTCCGTCGCCCACGCAAACGAGGGCGTAAAAAGAGCTGATTTTTCCCTTGGACGTCTGGTTTCTCACGCTCTTGAGAATCAGGGTCTTGCTTCGAAGTTTCGAGATGTATTCCTCGCTAAATCCCGTCGACAACACCAGGTCTTGCATGACCATCGACATCTCGTTTCCGTCGTAGTCTCCCAGAAATCGGTCGACCATTCCTTTGGCCCCCGGTGGTAGGTCCGGCTTATTGAGTTGTCTCATGCCCAGGTAGTCCGTGAACGATTTCTCTGGCATGTGGTCGAAGTATGCGTCCTTCTGTGTTAGATCGTCCAAGTAGTGTGGTCCAAACGGAACGGTGGCCAGCTTCTTGTTGTCGAAGTGTTCTTTCTTGATCGACGACTCGGCGAGCATGATCGACTCCACCACCTTTGGGTCGTAATACTGGAGCAGATACTGCATGTGCTTGAGCTTCTTCGGGTCCAGACTCGACGTCTGGGCGTTGAGAAGCGACCTCGAGGTCGAAAACAGCCGTTTGAACATGACCCAAGAACCTACTCAACTTGTTTTCCAACGGAGAAAAACTTTCACTAAAAACCGTCGCGTCGATATTCCATTATTTTGTACAATCCGTAAACTTATTGACCCAGCTAACAATCGCATACACTATCTCCGACAATGCCCAAAGTCATGCCTGTGATCACCCTACCGCGAATATACGAGAACCAGCTGGCCGAAAGCGTGAACGCGCGGACCTCGATTCTCGACCAGCTGAGCGAGCTCGGACCTCCAGACCTGGTGCATTTCACCAAGTACGACAAGTCTTTGCATTCAAACGTCGGCGAGTACCACTACTGCACCGGAATCAATACCGTGTCGATGGTTCAGCCCTATATGTATTTGCAGACGGCTCAATTCAGCGACAAACAGCCGGCGTCCGAAAAACACCCCGTGACAGGTATTTACTGTTCATACAATTGTTTCAGCAGGGGAGACTTGCGGATCCAGCGCAAATTCCCCGGCTCGGAGGAGCCTCTGGCCGAGTTTGTTCCCGCAACCACCAAGAAAAAATACGAAATCCTGGATGAACACTCAAATATATGGATAGAAACCTACGTTTCATGCATTGTCAGATCTCTGCTGTTTAGTGACGACATCGAGCGCCAGCTACCGGGAATGTGTCGCTACAACATGTTTGAGTCCAAGAAGGACGTCCAGGAGGCCATCATTGCGCTGGTACGGATGATACCGAAGGGCGTCGCTTGCGGCTGCTCTAGTTTGGTGAACCATCCCACCATTATGAACAACAACCTGATAGACGCACTCATGCGGCTGCTCAAAATAACCCAGTTCCATGACTTTGCTTATCGCGAGGTCGAGGCGCTGGAAAAGTCACACAAGGGTCTGAATGCCAACGTCCTCAAAGTGAAGATCCTGCTCCAGCAGGGAGAAAATATAAAAGCTGTCAGGCTGATGCATTCCGCGATTAAGGAGCATTCGCGTGACGGGCTGATGCTTCTTGAGCAGGCGCGGTTTCTCAATGGCCAGAACAGGGCAGATCTGGCCCTGGCCTCCGCTCAACGAGCCGTTGAGTGTCTTCCTACAGAATTCGAATGCTGGAAAACGCTTATCCACGCTCACATTCTCAACAAGGACTTCCACAACGCCCTGTTGGCCCTCAACTCCTGTCCCATGTACACAAACAAGAAGAAAGACGTCTTCAAGGCACTGAAGCCTAGGGAGTTTGAGTTCCCGCTGCCGACGGAGGGAAAGCTGGAACGAGTGTGGGAGGACACAGACACATTTGGCTGGGTGTCTGGCTACGGCGGGATCGTGGAGTTCTCGCCTGTGGCGCACATTCAGAGCGTGTCGCATTCGCATCTTGCACTTTACGACGACGTCAACAAGCTCCACAGCACTTTTCGCGAGGCGTACGACCTGCTGGCCATCATGGAACGGGCTTTGGGGTGGTCTGAGATCCTGAGACTGCGCTCCAGCATATTTGTGATGGAAACAGAGTACAATGACTCGCTGCAGATGGAGCAGCAGGAGCAGCAGCGCCAATGGGAGCAGATGTCTCAGGGAGATGACAACTCGCTACAAGTGCCTTCTGAGCGGCGCAGCCGTTCGAGATCGATCCGTTCTCGAAACGGGTCTGTCTCGTCGAACTCGCACGTTTCGAAATTCCGTGGAAAAAGACTTAGCGAGCGCTGGCTGGACTCCCTGTTCCTGATTCTCTACGATAACTTAAAATCTGTGCTGATCTGGGAAAACGAGAAAAGGGGCAGTGACGAGACACCAGTGCAACACATCGCTCTCGAGTGGGAGCTGATCGCCATGGAGTGCCAATACATTCACAGGTACGAGGCGTCGCTGGTGCCGTACAAAACGTGCTTCGACAACCGGTTCAGCGTTTTTGCAGCGTACACGCTTCTGGAGTACTATCTGTACTACACGGAGCATAACACGGAGTTTGTGAAGCTAAACGGGATCAGGTCCGAAAACTACAAACTCACAGACGAGTATGTTCTGAAAGTCTGTTGCAAGCTCATGAGCTGGAGCTCCCGTTTCTACGGCGAGTTCTCGTTCGTGTGTCTCCAGGTGCTACAGAAGCTGCTGCAAACCCAAGACGCCATTCTGATCAAGGATCAGGTGAAGGGGCTGTTTGATTACGATCCAAACACGCAGGGACTGGTGTCGCTCGTGGACAGAAACCTGCGGTGGCTGGATCAGTTCCAGGACATAGACGTATAGACCAGTATATGGAGGGCACCGCCCGGAATCAAGGCGAGAAAAAAATTTTGGCCCCGTTTTACCCGGATTTTCTCAGGTCGACGACAAGTAAAAAGGTTGTCTGGCGAAAAACACAGGAGGAGATTTCTTTCGCCAATATAGGAGCCAGCACGACAAGCCTGAACAACATCAAGGCGAGCCGACTTGGTTTATCCCGCGCACACATAGAGCAACAGATCTGGATTTTTGCAGCGGCAAAAGAATTACCAGTTTTGAGATTGGGAGATATATAAATTAGGAGATCAGGAGCGTTGGGGTTGCTACATTAACTTGCATTTTTCATTTTCGTTATAGCATCTTGGTTTAAGGTTATACACCAGTCATATTAGGAGACTCAGCATGTCCGGGTTTTGGAAGTTCACAAGCAACTATGCTTCTCGCGTGACTAAGATCCTAGAACAGCCAGACTTCACGCTCGAAGACCTCTTGGACGAGCAGGAGACGATTCCGGAGCTCTTGGCTTCAAACGCCAAGCTCGTGGAGTATCTGCGAGAGCCGGAAGTCATGGAGAAGCTGGTGGACTACATTGTTGAGGACGACAAGTACCAGCGAGAATTGGAAAAGGAAATGGAAGGCGACACAGACGCGAAGGAAGAAACTGATACTCACGAGAGCGAGGCTGTGGATGAAGTGGAAGAATCGGAGCAGGGAGAACCAGAGCATGAGCGCGATAGTGAATCCGGAAGCGATTCTGACTCTGAATCCGTAGAAAAAGACGACAGCAAGGACGACGATCAACTAGGCGATGATGATACCGAGTCTTTTGGAGAAATTAATATGGACGACGAAGAGGAAGAAGAGGAAGAAGAAGAGGAGACGCCTGCCGAGAGACATTCCCGAAGAGCACAGGTTGCGGCAGAAATCTTGTCGGTTGACGTGTGGTCCTTGACAGACGCGTTCATGGAAACTCCCCATTTAATAGAGAAGCTGTGGAGCATATTGGACAAGCCTGCCCCGCTGCCGATATTCCTGGCAACGTATTTCATGAAGATTAACGAGCATCTGCTGGATATGAAAATGGACGAAATGATACAATTTATTCTGCAAGACTCGCATCTGATAGAAAGATTTATGAGACATATTGACACTCCTCCGCTGATGGACTTTCTTCTTAAAGTGATCTCTACAGACAAGCCAGACTCGAGCACTGGTGTCATTGAAGTGATGAAGGATCAAGACTTAATACCCTCCTTGATAAATTTCTTAGGACCAGACGTGCCTTCTTCCACTCAGAGTGCTGCTGGGGACTTCCTCAAAGCTTTCATCACAATCTCAGCCAATAATGCTGAAAACACAACTATTGGACCCAACGAGCTCAGCAGACAACTCGTGAGCGAACCAATGGTGAGAGAATTGGCAAAGCAAATGCTTTGCGGAGGCACTGGATTATCCAATGGGGTAGGCATCGTCATTGAAATTATCAGAAAAAATAATTCAGACTACGATGCCATACCTGTGGTGTACATCACCATTGAATCTCATCCGCCTACTCCTAGGGATCCTATCTACCTTGGTACCTTGGTGAAAGTGTTTGCAGAGTACATGGCTCAGTTTACGGAGATGTTGGAAAGAAAAGTTGACAAAGTTCTGGAGACTCCATTTGGACAGATAGAACCGCTTGGGTTTGAGCGTTTCAAAATTTGTGAACTGGTCGCGGAGCTGATCCACTGTTCGAATATGGCATTGCTCAATCATGAAAAGGGTGAAGAGATTGTGCGCGAGCGAGACCTGGCCAGAGAAATACTCATCCAGAAGCAGAAAGAACTGAGGAATAGTGAAGACCAAGGATCAGATGATGAAGTGGACATCTCTAGAGAGGTTCAAAACCTTAATCTTGGAGTGTCGGAAGATGATGGTGAGAAGGATGAGCCCAATGAAAACAATTACGATGAGATGAATGAAGAAAGTCGCTTTGACGAGAATGAAAAGACTCTTAATCCTGACGATTATGACGAGAACGAGCAGTTACTCAGAAACAACCCGGTTGTGGGAGACCAACTGAAAATTGCTCTCTACGATAATAATGTTATTGTCACGATATTGCAAATGTTTTTCAAGTTCCCTTGGAACAATTTTTTGCACAATGTTGTTTTCGATATTGTGCAGCAGATACTGAACGCCTCGATGGACATTGGATACAACAAGTATCTTGCAATTGACCTCTTTGACCGAGGAAGCATTACCAAGCTAATTATTGATGGGCATAATAAGTGTTTGGACTACGAGGAGCAGACAGATCTGCGTCTTGGTTACATGGGACACCTGACTCTGATAGCTGAGGAGGTGGTCAAATTCACCTCTTTACACTTGCCTAACGGCAAGGCCTCAGTGATTGAAGAGAGTGTCATGAATCCTGAGTGGACGCATTATGTTAATGAGATCCTTGTGGAAACAAGAAACAAGTATAACGCTGTTTTAGGCAATGACGAGGATCTGGATGAAGAAGACTACCCGCAGCACCACCAGTTGCATCTTGACCCCGATCAGGACCATGATCTGTCGTTGTACCAACGCGACTACGACATTGATGCTGAAGACCTGGACGAGAAAAACGAGGAACAGGAGCTGGACTCGGACCAATTTTCTCGATATATTACACAGCAGATGACCAGTAACGTGCAGGACAAGTTTGGGTCGTCTGACGAGGATTCCGAGGACGAAGACGGCCAGCAAACTGGTTCTGACTCAGCGTACGACAAAAATCTGGTGAACTCCTCCATTGGAGGCCATCCTTACCACCAGATGAGTGCTGATGAAGGACCCGTGCAGGACGAAGATGAGTACGATGAGGACGATTACGAGGATCCGAACGATGACGGTCAGTCGTACGTGAAGGAGAATCATCCATTGTACCAGGCCGATGGCTCGCTCAACTACCAGGTCGGGACTCCTGGAGTGAGCGAGCTTGCGATGTCTGATTCGGATTCTGACAACGAGGATCTTATTGGTCAAGGTCACGATAACGAAGTTGATGACTCTGACTATGCTGAAACGCACCGCCTTGGGCGTTCCACTAGTAGGCTTGAATAGAGAGAAATAAAATTCCAGCTAAAAAAAAAGTACTTCATCCCAACATAGCCCAACATGTCTTCTCCTTCCTGGATAGTCAATTATAATATTATTTCCGGCGCACTGTGGTCCTTTGTCCTGGTTAACACGCTGCTGGTTGCAGCGCTTTACTCCGGCTACGAGGTTTTTGATTTGACTTCCACGTGGAACACGCTTATCCAGTGTTGTGCGGTGGTGGAGATCTACAACTCTGCCGTGGGCAACGTGCGTTCGCCTCTGGTCACTACTGTGATCCAGGTGGCTTCTCGTCTGCTGCTTGTCATTGGCATTTTCACAATTCTTCCAGATTCTCCAGCAAACGCCCATTGGTCGTACATCACCATGATCACCGCCTGGGCTATCAGTGAGATTATCCGGTACTACTACTACGCTGTCAACATTCTGAGCGAGGGCAATCCGCCTGCGACTTTGAAATGGCTGCGTTACAACGCTTTCTTGATTCTGTATCCGGTTGGTATCTCCAGCGAGTGCACCATGATCTACAACAGCCTGGACGAGGCAGCACTGGCAGTTGGGGAGTGGTACAAGTGGTTTCTCATTGCGTGCTTGGCGGTATACGCTCCTGGCTCGTACGTGATGTACACACACATGCTCAAGCAAAGAAGAAAGGAAAACAAAAAACAGGCTGCAAAGACAGAAAAGAAGAAGGATTAAATAGGCTGGTCGATATAAAGTAGGGATATATTTTTTACTAAAATTTTTTAATTCAATGCTGAACCGACTGGTGAATAATTTGGCTAGACCGGGATTCGCAGCCGGCATTTCGCGCCGGTTCCAGTCCACGGTGCCGGACCTCACGCCGCTCAAATATGAACAGAAGCTGTACGCATCGTTGCGCGTCCACAACAGACCATATCTTGTGACCAAAGGCGACGAGATGATTCTTCCGTTCCGTCTAAAGAACGCCGAGGTGGGCGACGTGCTCAACTTCCACGATGTGACTACCATCGGATCGCGCAACTACACTTACAACGTTTCTGGGTCCATCGACCCGAGCATTTTCACCATCAAGGCCGTTGTCGTGGAAAAGACCAAGAAACCGATGTACGTGAAGGAGATCACCAAGCGCAGAAACAGACACACGAGACACGTCAAGGTGAAACACGACTACACCGTTCTGCGCGTGTCGGAGCTCAAGCTGAACATATAACGTGTATATAGTAATGGACGGCCATCGTCTTCTCTACCTAGACACCCCTACACCGCGCCAGAGTTATCTAAATATTTCCATCTTGATTTCTTAGGCACAGACGAAACTTGTTCGCCATGTCTAACGAAGGGGATAGGCTGCCGCGGTTTCTGTACGACCAGATTCCGAGCGAGATCACAAACTCGGGCGCCCTGAACAGCAAGATCAAGTCGTCTAAAGACTCCCCGTATTCCAGTGCTATACCCAGTAAGCCTCCCAAGACACAGAGTCGCACTCCCTCCTCGCTGACCCTTGATACCTCTGTGAGCCGACTGCCCGCCGCTAATATTCCCGTCAAAGTGTCGAAGGACGCGCAGTCGCTCGAGGTGCCCAGAAAAGAGAGCACTTCTGGAAACTCTCCTCTGTATGGGAATGTCAATGAGAAGCTGTCCTCCATTTTAAGTGCGCCTGAGGAGCCAGATGACAACGAGTTCTCGTTTGAGAACACCCACCCGGAGCAGTCGTCGCTACGTGTTTCGAGACGGATTTCGCGCGGTTTCCACTCCAACACATCCTCTGTGTCCTGGTCCGTGAACAACCCTGAGGAATGGACTCTGGAGAACGTTGTTTTCTGGCTGGGCAGCCACGGTTTCAACGAGAGCTGGATCTCGCTGTTCACCTCAGAAAGACTTGTGAAGCACGACTTCCTCAAGCTGCAGTCCTACAACGAGCTCAAGAAGTATGTGCCGTTCTTGGTGGCAGACGAGAATTCCACGCCTACTCGCTTCATCCAGCTACTGAGAAAAACCCTGGGCAAGAACTCAGTGTCGAAATTGGAAGTTCCCAGCCCGTCCATCTCGCTTGTTTCCGGGTCCTCGTTCGATTCTGCCCTGGAGGGCCCAAACCCCCCAAGCAAAGAAGAGCAGGACCACCAAACGATAGGGGACAAACTGCAGCCCGTGGTATCTGCTCCCACTCTGGCTGCAGACGACCTGCAAAACAGTGACATGTTTTCAGGGGACGACGGCGAGTCTCAGAGGCCGCGGCCTGTGTCGACCATCGAGCCGTCGACGACACAATTTTATCCCTCGTCGCCGTCGTTCCACTCCAAGTCTTTTTTCAAACGACACCAGAAAAGCAGCTCATCGGAGTCGTCTTTTTTTTCATCGGTGTTCGGCAACAATCCGGCCGGTGTGTCTCCTGCTTCTGCTGCTCAGCAGCTAAACACTTCAGCGGTGGAGTCGTTTCAGAAGAAGCATGAGAGAACAGGCTCCAAAGGCTCTATTTCCGACTCAAACACGCCGAAGAATATTTTTAACAAGTTTTTCGGCAAGTCCAGGGCAGACTACACTTTTCCAAAGAAAGACTCTCCAGTGAGTCCTTCCTCTGCTAATGGGACTTTCAAGAAGCCGCTAGATCGCAAAGTCACGCACGAAAAGTCTTTCACGGTCTCGAAAAATAAGCCGAGCGACCCAAAGTTCGAGAAACTCGGGCCTGTTGGCAAGAAACCCTCGCCAATCGGGGTCACGATCCCAGTGGTCACGAAGTCCACTCTGCATTCAAAGGAATCGTTTTCGTCCTCGACGTCGACTCTGGCTCCGCCTACAAAAACCGCGTTTGTTCTGGATCAAAAGTTCAGACCTGTACCGCGCAACAACCGCGACGTGTTTGTGCTGGCGTCCCGTGACAACGTCAACTTCACCAGGGTCGACTTGATGAACTGCTCGCACGTTGACGAGTTCAAGCGCAAGATTGCCGACGCACTGAATATCAAGTTTCTGTTCAAAGCAGAGTTTGCACTCACAGGTTTCAACAGCGACCCGGGACAGCCGCTGGATGACGAGACTATGGACGAGCTTATGAAACGCAAGTTCTTTGGCGAGACCATGAAAATCCTGGTCACCCAGAAGGGTCTCGAACGGTACGCAACCACGCTCTCTGCATACTCATCGCACTCGTTGACGAGCGAAAACTCGCTAGACCGGATCAACGAAACTCCGCAGTACCTGCTGGAGGCAACCAAGAACGGTGGTGTCGACTATGTGAACTTCAAGGAGTATATGCACCAAGAAAACAACAGAATGGCATTCCCGGAGCCTAAACGGTCGACAAGCTCGTCTCTCACAAGAGCTCGTTCCATCACGACTACATCGAACCCAGACTCGGCCACTTTTAGGGTGATTCGTCCTGAAAAGCGCGAGATCGACTTTGACAAGAAGCGCGAGTCGCCGTTTGTTCGGCGCGACAGTCTCGTGGCTCGCCGCACTGCTCCTGCTCCGCCTGTCCAGGAGTCGTCTCCAAGCTCCGTCACGTCACCAGCCAGCTCAAAATACAGAAAGCCACCGCCTCCGCTGCCAGAAACACGGGGCGAGAAAAACAGTATTTCCAGAGCAAAGACTATAAAACGCAGCGGTACGCAAAAGACTCTTTTTGATCCGTTCAAAGAGAATACTGTCAGCTTCGAAAATGCTCCTGAACTCGAAGAGAGCGACGAAACTTCGTCGCTGGACTCAGACGACGGACTCTTCGCAAAGGCTCCTTCTAAGAACTCAAATCAGGGCGCCGTAGTGCCGACCAACATCAGCTCTTCGTCCACCGATTCTCTGCTGGAAATCCGTCCGCCTCCTGAGGTGTTGTACGACAATCTGGAAATCTACTTCCCGAACACTGATCTTGACAAGCTGATTATTGACGAAGTGGTGTCGCCGCCAATCTCACCGGTCGCAGAGGAAAAGGTGTCTGTGAAACAAGACTACGGTGGCCATCTCAAGCCACCTGAGCCGTCTGGAAAAATTCACCGTATGAAGAGCATCCGTATTGTCGCCCAGGAGGCAAAGAAAGAGGCCCAGAAAAAGCTGGGAAACAACCGTTCCACCGGCAGCCTGCTCAGACGTACAAGCACAAAGATGTGGGGGCAGAAGGTGGTCGAGGTTACGCCTGGGAACCGTGCCAGCTACGTGAACAAGCTGAAGAACCACAAGGGTCAGTACAAGGAGTTTGCATGGGTCAAGGGTGAGCTGATTGGAGTCGGCACGTTTGGAAAAGTGTATCTTGCACTGAACGTCACGACCGGAGAGATGATAGCGGTCAAACAGACAGTCATTTCCAGCAAGTTCAGGTCTCATCGAGAAACCAAGGAGATTATGGACACGTTCCGCGCAGAAGTGGACTCTCTCAAGGACCTGGACCACGTCAACATCGTGCAGTATCTGGGTTTCGAAAAGAAAAACAACGTCTACAGCTTGTTCCTAGAATATGTTTCTGGAGGCTCCGTTGGACATTTAATCAGACGCTATGGTCGGTTTTCGGAAGACCTGATCAAGTTCTTGACCGAGCAGGTGTTACAGGGTTTGCAATATATCCATTCCAAGGGCATCTTGCATCGTGATCTAAAGGCAGATAATTTGTTACTGGAAATGGACGGTATCTGCAAAATCAGCGATTTTGGTATCAGCAAAAAGGCCAAGGACATTTACACCAACGAGTCGGCAATGTCTTTCCAAGGAACCATTTTTTGGATGGCTCCAGAGATCATAGACAACACACAGCATAAGGGCTACAGTGCCAAGGTGGATATCTGGTCTCTGGGATGTGTTGTGCTGGAAATGTATGCGGGACAACGGCCGTGGTCCGATTTCGCTATCGCAGGTGCAATCTTCAAGCTCGGAAACAAGAGCGCTCCTCCGATCCCTGAAGAAACACGCAAGATGATGAGCGATACAGGCTCGGCTTTCCTGGACCGGTGTTTCGAGACAGACCCTGAACAACGCCCTACAGCCACTGAACTTCTCAAACATGAGTTCTGTCAGAAAGACGAGACATTCAACTTTGCAGAGACCGAGCTGGCGCGCAAAATGAAGCACGAGGATACCCAGGAAGAGAAGAAAGCTGATATGATGATGCAGAGCAAGGCGGTGTAAATCTTTTTTCAAAAAATATCTAGAATTTAAAAAAAAATTCAGAAAAATAACAAAATAACTGTAAATTATCTCCATGGCAAAGGTCAAAAAGAAGCACACGCGGGAGGAACAGAAGAGGCTGGCTGCGCTTGCTGCTAAAGAGCTGGAGCAGCTGAAGCTGCAGATTGAAGAACTAGCTCCTGAGCAGGCCAAGTCGTTTACGAAATTTGATGATCTGCCACTCACGAAAAACACCCTTCGAGGAGTGAAGGAGAGCAGTTATGTCACGATGACTGACATACAGCGCGATTCGATTCCCCTCGCCTTGAAAGGACATGATATACTGGGCGCTGCGAAGACGGGGTCTGGCAAAACGCTTGCTTTTTTGATCCCAGTGATTGAAAAACTTGTGCATGAAAATTGGAACGAGTACGACGGAGTGGGAGCACTAATCATCTCTCCAACCAGAGAGCTTGCCATGCAGATTTATGAGGTGCTACTCAAAATTGGAAAACATCACAGCTTTTCGGCCGGACTGGTGATTGGAGGGAAAGATTACGAATTCGAGAAAGAGAGAATTGGCAAGATGAATATTTTGATAGGTACCCCTGGACGTCTTTTGCAGCACATGGACCAGTCTGCCACGCTTAATCTTACTAATTTGCAAATTCTGGTTCTTGACGAGGCCGACAGGATTCTTGATCTTGGTTTCAAGAAGACTCTGGACGATATTATTAGCAATCTGCCACCAGAACGCCAGTCCCTTTTATTTTCCGCTACGCAGACCAAGTCTGTGCAGGACCTGGCTCGACTTTCTCTTGTGAACCCGGAGTACGTGAACACGAGCTCCGACACGAGCTCCACTCCCGAATCATTAGAACAATCCTACGTGGTGATACGGCTTCAGGACAAGCTGGATATTCTATGGAGCTTCATCAAGTCGCACCTTGATAGCAAGATTTTGGTGTTTGTTTCGTCTTCAAAGCAAGTTCATTTTATTTACGAGGCTTTCAGGAAGCTGCAACCGGGAATCTCGCTCATGAAGCTGCATGGACGTCAAAAGCAAAAGGCCAGAATGGAGACCACGTTCAAGTTCACAGAAAGCCGCCATTGTTGTCTGTTTGCAACGGACGTGGTTGCACGTGGACTCGACTTTCCTGCCATCGACTGGGTGGTCCAGCTGGACTGTCCCGAAGACGTGGCTACATACATTCATCGTGTTGGCCGGTCGGCGAGGGCTGGTCGTGCCGGAAAGAGTCTGCTGATGCTGACTCCGAGCGAGGAAGGACCTTTTGTGAAGAGGCTAGAGAGCAAGAAGATCGTCCCAAAGAAGCTCAACATCCGCAACTCCAAGAAAAAAAGTATTCGCGACCAGATCCAGTCTCTGTGCTTCAAAAGTCCGGATCTGAAATATTTGGGTCAAAAGGCTTTTATTTCGTACGTCAAGTCTGTGTACATACAGAAGGACAAGGAGGTGTTTGACGTGAAGCAGCTTCCTCTGGACGAGTTCGCCAAATCTCTGGGACTGCCTGGCACGCCGAAAATCAAGATGGTTGCAGGAGACGAGGAGCTGGCGAAACAGAAGCAGAAAAAGAATGCTTCGCGCCAACTTAGCCTGCTGGCAAAAGCGGACGAGAATGGTGAGGTTGAGGCCAAGAAAACGAGAACCAAGTACGATAAGATGTTTGAGCGGCAGAATCAGGGCGTTCTTTCCGAGCATTATCTGAAACTGAACGTGGATGCGCAGGCAGAGGACGACGACGACTTCTTGGCAGTGAAACGAAAGGACCACGAGCTGCAGGACCTGCCTACCTTGGAGGCGAACACGTCGAAACGTGCCATGAAGAAGGCGTTGTCGAAGAAACTGGCTGCCAAGGCTCGTGGATCGGGCACGAAGCTGGTGTTTGATGATGAAGGAAAAGCGCATCCTATCTACGAGCTGGAGGACGAGGAGGAATTCCACAAGGAGGGCCCGGCCGAGAAGCTAAAGGAGGAGTTTGTGAACGAGGAGAAGAAAGCTATGGCGGCTGCCGACGTGGAGGACAAAGACATAGTGAAGAGAAAACGGCGAGAAAAAAAAATCAGAAGAAAAGAGCTGGAGAAAATGGAGCTGGAGCAAGATTACACCGACAGCGAGCCGGATTTGGAGGCAGACCTGGAGATTTCGAGCGAGAGCGAGGACGAAAGGCCAGCAAAGAAGCCGAAGTGGTTCGAGAAGCACGAGCCAAAGCCAGACAAGGAGCCGAAGGTGATAGAGTACGAACAGCCAGAGACCTTGGAGGATCTGGAGGCATTGACAGAGAAACTGATTCACGGAGAATAAATAGAGTATATAGGTCTAACTATCTCCTAGATCTAGACAGACGTCGAGTAGCCGTATGCGTAACTCGCGTTTTTGCGTCTGAGGTACTTGCGGACCTCGTCCGCGATCCACACAGAACTGGTGATCATCACGAGGTACGCGAGGTCGCCGAAGGTAAGAGCCTCGGTCTGAAAGATGGACTGGAAGAACGGCACGTAGATGGCACATAGCTGGCCAAGTAGCGAGCCGCCAACGGCGTAGTTGAACATGGAATTCTTGAGGCCGAGCTGGAAAACAGACTTGGTGTACGACCGGCACGAGAGAGCGTTGAACATGTCGAAGAGGACAAAGCACGTGAACGTCATTGTGGTGTCGCGCCTCGTGACAGAATCCTTCATTTCGCGGACGTAGACGTACATGGTACCGACAATGATGCAGAAAGCGGCGCCCAAGACTCTCTTCAACACAGCAGCGGTCAGGATCCTCTCGGATCTCGGTCTAGGTGGCTTGTTCATGACCTCCTGGTCCACAGGCTCGACACCGAGAGACTGAGCAGGAGGACCGTCCATGAGAATGTTGATCCAGAGGATCTGCATGGCGTTGAGAGGATTAGGCAGGTTGAAGAGCGTGGAAACGGCAATCAGAGAAAGAGCAGCCACCGAGGTCGACAGCTGGAACGTGAGGAAGTTCTGGATGTTGTTGAAAATGCCCTTTCCTTCTCTTATGGCGTGCAAAATGGTGCTGAAATCGTCGTCGGTCAAAACCATGTCTGCGGCTTCTTTGGCAACGTCTGTGCCGTTCTTGCCCATCGCAATTCCGATATCGGCCAGCTTGAGTGCAGGAGCGTCGTTCACGCCGTCTCCTGTCATGGCCACAATGTCGCCACGCATTTGCAATGCACGGACAATGGACACCTTGTGTTCTGGAGTCGTTCTGGCAAACACAGACACGGACTGGATCGCGTCGGCCAGATCCTCCTCGGACATCGAGTCGATCTTGTCTCCGTTGAGGACGCTGCGTTCGGGGTCGCTCAGCGGCATGCCGATTTTGCGCGCAATGTTGGCCGCCGTGACCTCGCTGTCGCCCGTGATCATGATCACGTGGACGCCTCCTCTGATGAGCGAGGCAATCGACTGGCTCACCTGCGGACGAGGCGGGTCGTTCATTCCCATGAGGCCGCAGAAAACAAGGTCGGACGGCTCCTTGTCAAAGGCCTTTGAGTTTCTTGCGAAACCAAGCACACGCAGACCGTCGCTGGCCAGCTCGTCGGCCATCTTGAAAATTAGTTTTGTGACTTCCTCTGTGAGCGGCTTGATCTCGCCGTCTTTGGTGTAGTACATTTTGGACATGCCCACGATCTTTTCGATGGCACCCTTTGCAAATGTCTCGCTCTTGGCCTTGTCGCCAAAGTGGGACGAGATGGCCATGTATTTGCGGCTAGAGCTGAACGGCAGCTCGCTCGAGCGGACTCTGGTGTTTCGCAGATCTTCCATTCCGAACTTGGACAGTGACTCGATGATGGCAATGTCGGTAGGGTTTCCAAGGAACTTCTCCTTTTCAACCGAGTACTTGGCGTTGTTGCACAGGTTTCCCGTCTCGAGCATGTATTTCACGTCCTTGGTCAGGCTGGCAGACACGTCGTCTTTTTTTTCCAGATTTAAATGCGAAGTTTTCATGTCGACGGTCCAGACCTTACTGATAGTCATGTGGTTCTGCGTCAGCGTTCCCGTCTTGTCCGAGCAGATGACGTTGACCGAGCCCAGAGTCTCGACGCTCGGCAGTTTCTTGACGATCGCGCGCTGCTTGGCCATTCTGAGCACGCCCAGCGCAAGAGTCACGGCAACGATGATCGGCAGACCTTCTGGAATGGCTGCAACAGCCAAACAGACGCTGATCTGGAACATGTCGAGCCACGAACGGCCCTCGAACACGCCAATGATGCCAATGATGCCAATAACCGCAAAACTGAAAAACGAAAGTTGTTGGCCCAGCTTGCCCATCGCGTTCTGCAGGGGAGTCTTGGGCTTCTCGATAGACGACAGCATAGAGTGCACTCCGCCAAGAGCAGTCTTGTGGCTCGTGGCAATGACAATTCCCGACCCGTGGCCGTCTCTGACGAGCGTCCCCATGAACGCGATGTTGGTTCTCTCTCCAATACTAGGCATGGGTTTTGTCACCACGTCCAGATTCTTGGAGATCGGGTTCGTCTCCCCGGTGAGATTGCTTTCGTCAATGGTCAGATGGACAGCCTCTGTGAGCCTGACGTCCGCTGGGATCCGGTCGCCGACCTGAAAATGCACCAAATCGCCCGGAACCAGCGTGGAAGCCATCACCGTCTCTGTTGTGCCGTTTCTCGTTAGATGCGCCAATTCTGGAACGAGCTTGTTCAGCGCCTCCAAACTCTTCTCCGAACGGTACTCCTGGACAAACCCAACAGTCACAACAATCAAAACAGCCGCCGTGATACTGATGGCGTCGTCGAGATTGCCCATGTAAAAACTAATGCCAGCAGAGCCGATCAACAGCAAGATCATCGGATCGCCGTAGAACGTCGACACGAACTTGATAAACAGAGACTCCTCCTCCTCGTTCACCATCTCGTTGACTCCGTGAACAGATCGCCGGTACACAATATCGTTCTGATTGCACAGCCCCTTGTTCGCATCTGTGTCCAGTTCTCGCACGGTCTCTTCTACGGTCTTGCCGGCGTATCTGGTGGACAGACCGTCCTCAAACTGGTCCATCCGGGACAGCTCGACGTCCGTAGTAGAGTCGGTCAATTTACTGGCGTAGGGATTATCCGAAGCCATAGAAGAACCTAAACAGATAAATAAATTTTCGTGCCGATTTTATTTATAGAGGAAAAAGCTCGTGGCCAAAAAATACACGAAAAGTATTTAATTAGTGCTGTCCTTTGAGATGCTCTTTTTGCGCCGCAATGGTGTTTTCGATCGGCCGTAGAAACAGCTTCTCGCGTCGGTCGCTGCCGCCGTTGATGGTCTCGCGCACCCTTGTCGACTGCCGCAACGCGCTGATGATGGAGTCCTTGCTCTTGAGCTGCCGTTTCAGGTCCGCAATCTCTTCGTCCTTGTCGCTGGAGCTGCCTGCAATACTGATTTCAGGCTTCGATCCGCTCATCTGCCGCCTCAGCTGGTTTTCCAGGTGCGAAATGTACGACTTCATCTCCTCGATCTGGCTGATCTGCATTTTGTACTGTCTCTCGAGACTGGCCACTATCTCAGAGAACTTGGGGTCCGAGATGTCGAATTGTAGCAGCTGCTGCAGGTTTTCTTGGCACTCCATTGCCGATTGGACGTTTTCTGTATCGTGTAGCCGCTTCAGGTGTTCCAGTCTTTCGTTTAAGATTCGATTTTCTGCCGTCAGTTGGGCCACAGACTCGTCGTCCGAGCCACTCCAGAGCCGCTTCCCAACCTGCTCGCGCTTGAGGTCCTCGATTTCTTGTTTCTGGCGCTCGTTCTCGCGGACCAGCTGCTCGTACCTGTCTTTGTCTGTCTCCTGCTGCTCGTTCTTCCTCACGTTCATCAGAATATTTTTCGCGCGCGCTGCAAAACGCAGAGTGTTGATTGTCTCTGTTAATGTGCTGCTGGAGAGATGGATTGTGCACAGGATAGAGACAATGGACTCGCCGCTCAATGACGGCTGCAACAATCTTGTCAATTTGGAGTCTCGGTACGGAATGTGGTTGAAAGAGCCCTGCGACAGCTTTTGGATCACTGTGCTCAGCGCGAGCAGCGACTTGTTGATAAATGCTCCCTCTTTGCGACGCTCTGTCTGCGACGAGGCTTTTTCTGAGCCGGCAAGATCGCACAGACACAGTGTCGAGTGCCGCGTGCTGCTGTCCTGCTTCATCTCGACACGCATCAGCAAAACAGCGTGCGACCGCGACGACCTGTCATTGAAATCTGTGCAGCTTGTTTTCCTCACCGAGTCTCCGCGCTCAAACACCTCGATCAGCTCTTTCTCGCTGGCAACCCAGTGCTCGCTCAGTCCTACCACGCGTACTCCAAAAGTCGGGTCGTCCCGAATTCTAAGCTCCTCCGCTGCTGGGCCGTCGAAGTTTAGCAAATCTATGAGTTTCTCATTGTAAATCTCGAGGTAGGAACAGCCGACCTTGAACGCATTGAACTCCAGCTTGAGTTTGCGAAATAGCTCCTTCGCACAGAGCTGAATAAGCCCATTTTCTGTCTCCGAGCCCTGCATGGAGTGCGTTTTCCCCGATCCCGTCATACCGTACGCGAATACTGTCCCGTTATAGCCCTGGAGACATTTCTCAAGTACAGGCTCCACAACGTCTCTGTAGACCTCGCTGTTGTCTGCGTCCGGCAGAAACACGTTATCGTACTGGAACTCTCCCGTCTCAACGTTCGCAATCGTGTTCCCCGGTTTGTTTATGTTCCAACTTCCAGTCGAGCTCACTGTTTCGCTCAAAGGACGGGGCCTCACAGATACCTTGATAGTTCCCTGGTATGTCTGCGAACCGCTCGATCCGAGCGAGCTGCTGGCTCTTATGGGAGTGCTCATGTTCGACATTGAGGATCTGGAACGCAGTCCTGACCCTGGACTGGCCAGCGAGACACGGGGGGTCATGGGGCGACGCATGGCCGACGAGGCTGCTGTCCGGGTCCTGGAGACCGACGATGGAACTGGCGTCGCAGAGCCCGCAGATCCCAGCGACGATCGGCTTCGCGTGGGTGTTTGTGCCCTAGTAGGCGTGTTGGCCATACGTGGAGGACGAAAAGACATGGCTCCAAGAGTTGGAATTAAAGTTTGTAAACAAAAATATTCCTATTTTGGCTGTTATTATTATTTTTTTACACAGCCACGAGAGTCCATTCTGCAAGGTAGCAAGCAGTGCTGGCCACGTTCCGAACGATAAACGTATGTCTGTTTTTGGCGTGAAGGTCGTAAGCGACCTCTGCGTCTATAAGTCCCACTCCCGTGCCCTTTCCAGCGGCCAGATTAAATGTGGCGCTCGTGGCGTAGCCAATCAGGTACTCTTTGCCCGGGCACTCAAGACCAGCAGGCGTTGTCTTGCCCAATATCGTCTTTTTGCCAGCTTCCTCAAGCCAGCGCAAATAGCTCTCTTCTGGAATCGCGTATATCCGCGCATTGTCCGCAGGATGGCCCCTGTTGACCATGCTAAATTTGACTGCTACCACAGACAGCTGGGACGACGCGGTGTCAGGCTGCTGCGTCAGGTCCACCAGCTTGATGGGCAGCTGTTTGAAAACTGGCTTCCCCAGCGCAGCAATCAGCCTGTCTTTCTGTTTCTGGTCCTCAATGGCCTCAAAAACGTCCTGTTTGTTGTTTATTACTCTCTCCTGTGTGATCGTAAACTCTGTCCCCGTATAGTTCTCGACTGGCGGCACTCGTTTCAGATTCTGCCGCAAGAGCTGCAAATAGCGCCAGTCACAGCCAAACGGCGATCCGGGCTCGTCCAGCTTGTCGTAGTTGACTCTTTTGCTTTTGGGCCGTTTGGCCCAGCGTGCTTCCAGCTCCTCCATTTTGGCCAGGCCCTCAACGAAACCTGCCCTCGTGAACGCGCAGTCGGTAAAACTAAGCTCTCCCTTTTCGAACCCAAGCTGTGCAAGCTGTTTCAGCCCGCCAATCGCAAAATGCGGCGTGTGTGCCAACTGGTGCCAGAACGGTAGCACCCAGTGCCACGGCGTCAGCATAACAAACCCGCACTGCGACTTCAAAAGCACAATCGGGACACTCGGGTCGGAGTCGGTCTTGGGGATCGGCCGGCCAACCAGATCCGGCGTTCTGCGCCGTCCCAGCTGTTTTAACGACGGCTGGCCAGCATAAGACGCAACTCTGCCCTCCACAGAGAAAAGCGCCTCAACCGCAGACACCTCTACACCAGCTCCGCCCTGGACCTGGATGATGGTTTCCAGCGGGTCTGACGGTTTGGTGTGGGGCTTGATTGGTCTTGGCCACAGACGAGGGTCGTCAGCGAAGAAGCTGAACGTGGACCCCAGAGGAACGGCCGAGCCGTTCAGCGTGGACAACTGACCAAATAGCTGGCTGGCTACCGTTTCGCTGGAAGGATGAATAATAGAGGCCAACGAACACAGGGCCTGCGGTCCGGTGACTGTGATTGACCCGATAGAGTATCTGCAGTCCTGAACCTCAATACCGTCTGTTTTGGAAAGAAGGTAGTCCATCACACGATCATATACTGACGGGTGTATTCTCAGCACGCACTCTTTTCCATTTTTTATCCACCAGACCATGGAATGGCACAAAGGTTCTCTGTCAAGCAGGATGAATCCCTCCCATATCCTGCCGTTTTGGACGTGTTTTTTCCCTAGAGCTCTTCCGTCGGTCAAACTTCCAACAACCTGGCTCGATTCGTCCCCTTTCAAAACAATTGTAGTGTAAAAAGAAGTGTCGAAGCCAATGCAGCCCTTGGTCCTGCTTTGACGGCTGGTTTGGCGAAAACACTTCATGGTAGGCTCGTACGCGATGTTCCAGCCCCACCGTTTTACCATATGTGCCCTTTTTGCGTGCCATACGTGGGTTGGAAGCCACTTGAACTCGCGTTGGCGAGATATGTACCTGATGGTGGACACTTTGCTTATTGTGGCCCTTTCGTTGATTCCTGTCCAATCCACAGATCCACAGACATTGTTCAGAGGCGGCTCCGCGTTCTGCGAGAGCTCCTGTATTCTTTCGCGCAGCGCTTTCAGCTTGGCTCTCATCTTGACGTTGCGCACATTAACACGCTCTCCGTCCACAAGGTGTCCAGAGAGTTTGAGACGCGCTGCGTAGCGCAGAAGCTTTTCCTGGCGTCGCAGCCGGTACAGCTCCCTTCCGCGTGAGTGTTTGGCCTTCGACGGCCTGCCCTGTCTGTCCACGCCTTTTGTTTCGTTCCCGTCCGGCTCCTTCATCGAGAGACCCATCTCGCGCAACGCACGGGTCCTCAGCCTTTTGGGCACTCTCCGCACGTTGTGGCTCGCAGTTCGTCTGCGCATGGACCGCGGCAAGCTCTGGAACACTCTCGTTGCGGACGAGTAGCGCGATCTGAGCTTGGATAGCTCAAACTCCTTGATCTCGAATTCTCTAGACTGGACAAACTTCTCTACGTCCAGTTTCGCACTTACCCCGGTGACAGGGTCCTGTGCTGCTGTGAACGCCGGATCGGCGACTTCCGCACGAATAAGCCGCGAATTGTACAGTTTTGTCCGCCGCTGGTTAAAATCTGCCATACAGGAATTTAATAAGTTTTTTTCCTACCTAATCTATTTTACCCATTGGGGCCGTGCCATGCAAATTCATTCGTTTATTGGAGGTGTCTGGAACTTGGCTACCTTCAATTCCGTTCTATTAATTGTCATTAGTTTGCTGAACTTCTCGTACTTGTCGCACTGCTGCGCAAGGCTCTTGTTCTCTCTCTGAAGGGTTTGTATCTGGTGCTGTAGTTGGCCTATCAGCTGGTCCTTGTCGATGTTTTCGCTCTCTAAAAGCGCTATACGCTCCATCAGTTCGCCCAGCCGTGCGTCCTCGTCGTCTCTGGAAGACTCCAGAATGCGCAGCTTCGACTCCAGGCCGTCGTTGATCACCTCTGTGTCTATGAGCTTTTTCTCCAAAGCTCGCACTTTCTCGTTAAGCTGGCTGATCTGCGCCCTTTTGTCATCGTCCAAAGCCCCCACCTGTCGCGTGAGCTCGATATTATGGCCGTTGGCGGCATCCAGCTGTTCTTGTAGCCTCTTGTTCGCGTCCTCCAAAGTCTGGGCCTGCTTGGTCAACCGCTCAACCTCGCCTTCCAGAAACTCCTCCAGCTCCTTTGACTCGCCTATGTACGCACTGAATTCCTTGTCGAGCGCCAGAAGACGTTGCAGAAGCTCGCCCCTGTCCATATTATTGTACGTCTCCATTAGGGAAATAAATAAATAAATAAAATAAAAAACCTACATATTTAAATGAGAAATAAATATTTCAAACGTTCATCTCCTTGATCACACCCATACTAATGGCCTGGTTGATGACGCTCAACAGAGAGTTGAAACTAGCAGTACTGACATCCTCGTTGATACCTACACCCCAAATCAGGTGCTGGTCGTCAACCTTGCAGTTGATGTAGGCTGCTGCCTTGGAATTGGAGTCTGAGCCCAGAGAATGCTCGTGGTAATTGATCACCTGGAACTTCGACTTGAATTGCGTGTTCAGACCGTTCACAAACGCAGAAATCGGTCCGTTACCCTCTCCCAGAACTTTGTACGAGATAGTGCCGTCGTAGTTCGACATGTCGACTACCAATTGCCTGGTCTTGTTGTCCTTGTTGCCGAGGTAGTAGTTGTCCAACTTGAACAAGTTGCCTGCCGGCTTGAGATTCTCGTTGTCTTCGTAATTGTAGAGCAAGTACTTGTTCTTGAATAGGTCCATGATCTCGTTTGCCTTGAGTTCTCTTCCCTTCTTCTCGGTAGCATCCTGGACCACCTTCGAGAAACTTATTTGCAGGCCACGAGGAAGATCGAGCTCCATGTTCCGCAAAATGATCCACGAGGCACCGCCCTTTCCAGACTGCGAGTTGACGCGGATAATGGCCTCGTAGGTTCTGCCGATGTCCTGTGGATCCAGTGGAAGATACGGAATCTGCCAGATGCCCTTGTTGTCCTTTCTTCTTTCGAAACCTTTCTTGATGGCGTCCTGGTGGGAGCCAGAAAACGCACAGACCACCAACTGTCCACCGTATGGGGCACGAGCATGCACGGGGATCTTGTTGCACTTTTCCACCACATCAATCACAGACCTCATGTCTGAGAAGTCCAGGTTCGGGTGAATGCCCTGTGTGTACAGATTCAGGGCCAGAGTGACCAAGTCGACGTTTCCTGTCCGCTCTCCGTTTCCAAAGAGACACCCCTCCACTCTATCAGCACCAGCAAGCTGCGCAAGCTCTGCGGCACCAACGGCGCACCCACGGTCGTTATGCGGGTGGAGAGACACACAGACGGTCTCCCTGTTGGATATGTGGGTGCAAAAATACTCAATTTGGTCCGCGTACACGTTTGGCGTCGACATCTCGACGGTGGCAGGCAGGTTGAAAATAATGGGGTTCTCCTTGCTTGGGCCCCACGCAGCCTTGACACTCTCACAGACCTCCAGAACATAGTCCGGGTCGCTATCGCTGAACGTTTCTGGCGAGAACTCGTACGACCAGACGGTGTCCTTTTGCTTCGGATCGTCTTTGGTGAGACTTCTCACCAATTTAGTGCATTCCGTGGCAAGTTTCAACGTCTCTTCTTTCGACAGCCCGAAAACAACGTCACGGAAACAGTCAGAGGTAGCCAAGTACAAGTGGACAATGGCTTTCTTGGCTCCAGAAAGCGACTCGACGGTGCGTCTAATCAGCTCTGGACGGCACGGAGAAAGAACCTGGATAGAGACGTCTTCCGGGGCGGTTTGGACACAATATCTGGTGAAATCGAAATCGATTTGCGAGGCCGACGGAAACGCAACCTCGATCTCCTTGAAGCCGATCTCGAGCAGTTTCTGGAAATATATCTTTTTCTCCTCGACAGACATCGGATCCGGTAGAGACTGATTCCCGTCTCTGAGGTCGGTGGAAAGCCAGCGCGGAGGTTTCTCAAACGTCCGATCTGGCCATTGTCTATTGGAAAGCTTCAAGGGCACGAACTTCTTGTACTTTTCAGAAGGATTGGCAAGCATGGTGAAGTAATGAGTCAGGAGTGAAATAATTCTTATTCAGTACGTGTGGGGGAAACATCCGTGCACTAGTAAAATTCTTTCAGTCTTGGATGCACTCTGTAACGGTCAAGTGTGAGTTTCTGTAAGTAGCGAGCAGAGGTGTTCTAACTCCAGGGGCGGGCTCGACGTCATTTTCGGCGGGGTGCGCAAGAGCGAGTGCACGGTGGCTTCACAGGACCCCCCCACCGTCAAGGACCTGATGTACCATATTACCGAGACACTGTTGGTGGATAAGAAGGATTTCGACATGTTTGTGGAGGACGGCACGATCCGGCCGGGGATTCTGGTGCTGATCAACGACACAGACTGGGAACTGGAGGGCGAGGACGAGTATGTGCTTCAGGACGGTGACGTGATAGCGTTCACGAGTACTTTGCACGGGGGGTGAACCAGCTCACGAAAGCACGTCTAACTTGCATCCCAACAGGCCCTGGCCGGCCCATTTGGCAGGCACCAGCGTCAGCTGCGTGGGGGTGTTGTTTCTGAGCACAACGACTTCGACAGGAACGTTTTCTGCGACGGCCCCGACTAATGCCTTTAGATTATTGTGATTAGTAGCGTTAATTCTTCCAAACGAGAGCAGCAGGTCGCCGGCGCGCAGACCGGCCGCCTGTGCGGGGCTGTCCTGCGCGACGAGCGCGACCGACGCAAACGGGATGCTGGACGGCCGGGAGACCGTGGCCGCGCGGCTGAACGACTGGGCCAGTTTGGGCTGGAGGGCGTCGGAAACGAGACGCCAGTCGTTGCGGAGCCGGATGATCTGTGTGCGGAGCAGCCGGACCTGCACCACGTCGATGTCCGAGCGGGGGAAGCCGTCGTCGGAGACCAGTGGAGTGTCCATGTCTGCGTTCTGGGCATACAGACGGGCGTGGAGGGTGTCGATCTGGGCCTCAATGCGGGACCGCAGACTGGCGAGCTGGGCGACGTCCATGGCGGCGAGCGCGTCGGGCTCCGTGGACGGCACGACGTCCAAATTGAGGACGCTCATGGCGTGTTCGAAAGACATGGAACAAGGATCGACGCAAAAAAATAGAGGACGATTTGAGAATAATTGTGCAATTTGATTTTTTCTCGACGAAAAAAAAACACGCCCGTCTAATTATGAAGCTGCTGTCATTACTCGTGTCCCTAGCCGTTGCCGTCTCAGGAGCCGCTGCGGAGCCGGCCGCGAAGCCGGAGATCGCCAAGGGCGACTTCAAGCCAACCGAGGAGAAGCCTTTTGATCTGAGAGTCGAGTACCTCATCAAAGACAAACAAACGTCGCCCACCGAGCTCATCGACGTGGAAAACGGCGAAACCATCACGATCGACTACCAGTTCTACAACGGAGAGGAGGATGAGTGCACAATCCTGGGTGTGGGAGGCAAGTTGATCTCGCCCGTCACCGGAGACACGCTGTACAACATCACCGCAACCAACATCGGGCCATTGTCGGTGAGTAGCCAGGACGTTGTGTCTTTCTCGCAGAAAATCGGCATCGACCTGAACCCGGACTCGTACCTAGTTGTTCCGTCGATCTATGTTGTGTTCAAGGAGCAAATCATGATGCTAGGCTCGAGAAACCAGCTCATCCAGGTCGACGACCCTAAGATCTCCATTTTCAACCCCAAGTTGCTAGTTTTGGAGGTCATCCTTGCCGCCTCGGTCGGTGGCATAGTGTACTTCCTGTACACGCTCTTCGGCGCCAGCTACTTCGGCACCGTCAAGAAGGACGCCAGAAAACAGAAACTGCCGGCTGCCAAACCGTCCAAGACGGCTCCTGCCAAGGTCGACGAGTCGTGGCTGCCTGAGACCCATCTCAAGACCAAGCGCAGAACCACCAGAAAGAACTAGACTGATAAATGTATTTAGTAACTATGCGTTCAGCCCCAGCTCCTCCAATATCCCGTCCACCGCCATAATGTCCTGCTCGTACTGCCGCACGCGCTCCAGATACTCGTCGTTCTCGACGCGCGCCATTGTCGGGTTGAGCGTCCCGCCGTCCTGGTCGATCGCGTGTTTTTTCGCCAGATAGAAGCGGATATCGTCGATCAGCTCGATCGTGTCGAACTCCTGCCGCTCGCTGATCCGTCGCGACGATTCCAGGATGATGTCGCGGAACTGCGGGTCCGCACAGAACGAGCCCAGGTCCTGCGCTATCAAATAGGCCACGCGGTCCTCCAGCCGGTGCACCTTGAACTCCCACGCCGCGCGCAGCACGTCGTAGACGGAGATCGACACCGTCGAGAAGTCCTCGATCGACGACAGACTGATTGCGGCGATCGTCTTGAGCCGGTCGATGAACAGCGCGTCTGCAATCACGAGCGTCTCCATCGCGAACTGCGGCGGCACGTCTGCCTCGTCAAAATATAAATGTTTCAGCAGAATTTCCACCGTTTCTTCGGAGATCTCCAGCATGTCCGACGAGGGCAGAGAAATCACTGGGATTGCGTCCGCGTCCGCATGCAGACGGTCCAGGTCGACAACGCCGTCCTGCTCGAGCTCGCCAAACACGGCTGTGTCGTGGAACCCGGACCCGAACAGCGTGAGGTAGTATTCTGCCCTGGAAAAAATAGCTCTGTGCACGGCGTAGTGCAGCGTCCTGGACCCGACCTGCGCGCGGAAAATCAGGTCTGCGTGCCACGGAGCCACAAGCGCGCGTTTCTCGGCCGCCGTGAGCTCTGTGTCCTTCGCGATCTTGCTGGCGACAATCCCGTCCACCAGGTTTTTCAGTTTCTGCCGCGCCGTCTCGTACATGGTGTGTTGCACGGTGTTTTTGGTTTTGTTGATGTCTGCGGCAGACTTCTGCGCGAGAATCATGTCCACGGCGACGCGCATGTACGTGAGACCGGTCTGGTCCGCGACGCGACGCAGCTCGTCCACGTCGACGCCCTTCAGATCCAGCGACGGCACCAGATATATGTACTCAAACAGGAACCGGAGCACCTGGCTGCTGGTGCCGCTGAAATCCACGCTGGGCTGCGCAAAGTACGCCGACATCACCGTGAGCAGGAACCGGTGCAGCCGGAACCCGTCGATGCGCACGTCTGCGGTCGCAATGGGCGGTCTTTGCAGCAGAGCAGAGATGTGCGAGGCAAACGGCTGTGTCACGTCGACGGCCTTGGTGATGTCGTACGAGAGCAGCAGGCTGCGGATGGCGTCTGTGAGCGCGCCGTAGATGGCCCGCGAGCCCTCGAACGTGTCTCTGTTGACGATGGCGCCCTTTTCGAGCAGCAGTCTTACCACTTTTTCGTGGCCACAGATGGAGGCCAGGATCAGCGGCGAGTAGTCCCACTCGTCCAGTTGATTCATCTGGCGTTAGTGGCCGCGTGCACGAACACTTACGTTGACGCCCTGCGCGACGTACTTGTCGACGAGCTCGACGTCGCCCTTGCGGCACGCCTGGCACAGATCTCTAAATTCCTGCGAAACATTAGCCATAAAAATAATTTATTTATTTATTTTATTTATTCTGCCATGAGGGTATATCTGAACAAGAGCCCGCGGTCCGTGGCCATTGTGTCGGACGGGTTTGCGCTGCTGCTGCGAGAGATGCACGGCCAGGCGTCCAAAGACAGCAAGCCCAAGTGCGTGATCGAGTTCGTGCCCGAGCAGCTCGTGCCGTTGCACAAGTATGTGGAGCTCAAGGGGCTCGGCGGATCCGAGATCCACGCGGTGCTGGGAATCGTGTGCATGAAGGGCCTGGTGTTTGTTGGGTTTGTGACTGGCCGTTCGGAGGTCGGGTCGGTGCGCATCAACGAGCGCATATACAAAATCACAGCCACGACGTTTGTGTGTCTGAACAGCGACTCGTACGACTATGCGCTTTTTGACGGGCGCATCCGAACACACGAGGATTTCCCGGAGATTCCTGTCCACTCGATTATCCGCCTGCTCGCCACAGGAACGTTCTACTACTCGCCCTGCTTCGACCTGGTGTCGCGGTTCCAGGAACGGGGAGTTCGCAGCGCACGGTCGGTCTCGTCGTTCAATCTTGTCGACGACTACGACGGCCGCTTTGCGTGGAACCGCAGCATGATTGGCCAGCTGCAGTTGTTCCGCAACCGGCTCAGCAAGGACGAGAGACGAGTATTCAACGCGGGCCAGTTCGTGGTGTCGATAATCCGTGGCTTTGCGCAGACCGTGACCGTCAACGAGAACGAGGGGCTGCTCACGATCATCTCGAAACAGAGCTGTCTCAAGGGCTCGCCCATGTTCGGGCCGTACTGCGCGGACGACGACGGCAACGTGCCGAACTTCGTCGAGACAGAAATCATTCTCACCAACAAGTACTACTGTTTTGCGCTTGTCCAGCTGAGCGGCAACGTCCCGCTCGTGTGGAAGCTCGAGTCGCAGCTGATGTCGACGAAAATCGAATTCCCCAGGTCCGAGGAGGCGTCGAACGTTGCGTTCTCAAAGCACTTCGAAACGCTCATTCTCGAGCACGGCGCAGTGCACGTGATCGACGCGCTCTCCAGAAGCGGCGACCAGCCAGAGCTCAGCCGCCGGTACGCGAAAATGGTGCAGCAGTCGCCGTTCTGGGGCAGCCATCTCTCATACACCAAGGCAGACATCCCGAGCTCGCTGATCTTCAAATCCAGCTACCATTATCTGGCCCCGCTGATGCAGCAGATCTCCGACCATCTCAAGACCTACGAGGCTTTCTGCTTTGACATAGAGACACGCACATACATCGGACGACAGTCTGGTGTGCTCTTGGTCAACACGCTGGCCTCGACCGAACGCGCCAACACCATCATGGCTGCTGTGTCTGCCGAGGTGCTTGATTATTTCTTCAAATTTTTGAACTTCACTCCAGGCCCCGAGTTCTGGGCCAAACACCAGTTCCTGTGGACAGAGAACGGGACGTGCCTGGAAAGAATGGTGGAAGGGTACACCTCGAGCAAGACCAAGACCAAGAGCGGCGGTTTTGTAGGCAAGGTGGCAGAGAAATCCAAGAAATACGTTTCTTCGACGTCGTCCGTGACGTTTAGCAAGCAGAACCAGTTCGACAAGCTGCTTGGCCAGCGCGACTCGCAGGTGGAAGTCGCACTGTATGACCCGATCCACGATTACGTGATGGCTGAGCTGCAGAAACGGGCAGACGAGTTTACAATGACCAAGGAACTAAGTCTCTGGACAGGCACGTTCAACGTTAACGCGATCAAGTACGACGGCGACATCACGAGCTGGTTTTTCCCTGCTCCTGAAAAGTACCCGGAGTACGACATTATTGCAGTCGGGCTCGAGGAGGTGGTGGAGCTGAGTCCGGGCAAGATGCTGAATATCGATGCTTCCACCAAGATATTCTGGGAGAAAAAAATCAAGGAGACGCTCAACTGGTTCAAGGAGGGTGTGGGCTACACGCTGCTGAAAAGCGAGCAGCTGGGCGGGATATTGAGCCTGGTGTTTGTGCAGGAGAAAAATCTCGAGTACATCAGCAACGTCGAGACCAGTTTCAAAAAAACCGGTTTCCGGGGTATCTCGGCCAACAAGGGCGGCATCGCCATTGCGTTCGACTACTCGTCCTCGATCCGGCTGTGTTTCATTGCGTCGCATCTGGCCGCCGGACACCACAACGTGGATGAGCGACACCAGAACTACAAAGCCATTGCCAACGGGCTGCGGTTCAGACACAACAAGAGCATCCGGGACTTCGACTGTGTTTTCTGGGTCGGCGACTTCAACTTCCGGATCGACCTGCCAAACGAGCAGGTGCGCACGCATCTGGACGAGGTGAGGTTCACGCCCCTGTTTGAGTACGACCAGCTCAACAAGCAAATGGCCACGGGCGAGTCGTTCCCGTATTTCAACGAGATGGCCATCAATTTCCCGCCCACGTACAAATTCGACCGCGGCACAGACACCTACGACACGTCCGACAAACAGAGGGTGCCTGCGTGGACGGACCGGATCCTGAGTCTTGCGCGGAGCAAGAACGTTGTGCTGCGCCAGCTAGAGTACGGGTGTGCGCAGGAGATCAAGTTCAGCGACCACAAGCCGGTGTACGGCGTGTTCCACGCCAAGCTGGACATTGCGGACCAGAAGATCATGTCGGAGATCGAGAAACAGCTGTACGAGACGCGCAAGGTGGAGCTTGTAGGCGTGAACTCGCTGGTTCTGGCGCAGAACATCAACGAGTCGACGTTTCTGCTCACGCACGGCCTGCCTGCTCCGTCGGGCAAGACGACGGGCGCGAAGTGGTGGATCCCCAGCGGCACCTCGGGCAAGATCAAGGTGAGCTTCCCGGAGGTCGACAGCGGCAGGTACGTCATCAACCCAAAGCTGCCCGCCAACCCGTTTACGAAAACTACAGAGGAGGAGTTTGTGAAAAAACCAGTCGAATCAATTGGGCCTCACTCGGAGTGACCTATATGGCCTGGAGCTTGATCGCGTCGCCCTTTCGGATGATCTGCGACGCGGTCCACGACTCGCCCGGCTCCAGCGTGATGAAGTCGTGCACGTGACCGGGCTCGATGCACACCATCTTGTGGAAGCCGTCCTTTGGCTCGAAGTCCGCCATGCCGGCCGCCTTCTTGGTCCATGGGTTCCACACCACCACGTCGGGCAGGTTTCTTCTCTCCACGTTGTGGACCACCTTGCCCAGCTCGATCACCTGCAGCAGCTTCTCGCACGAGACGTTCTGGTAGATTCTGTCGAGCTCGCCGTTGAAGTCGATGGCCGGCGCCTTTTCCTCGTACGTCTCGGCCAGCAGCTGGTCGTAGCACGTCTCGCCCGGCAGGTTGTTGACCAACGTGTCGTCGATGTCGTTGACGGCCAGGTACGTGTGGAACAGCCAGTTGAACTTCCAGGGCTTGGAGTCCGAGTTGGTCACCTCGATCGTAGTGGTGAGCGCGTCTGGCTTGAGCTCGATCGTCAGCAGCAGCGTGAAGTCGTTGTCGCCGTTGTCCCACTTGGAATACACCTCCTTGTTGGCCTGTTCCGGGCCGAGACCGAACTGCACGGTTGGCGGGTTTTCTCTGATCTGGCCCAGCAACTCCCAGGTGGAGTTTCGGGCAAAGCCGTGCTGCGGCAGCTGGTCGAACCCTGGCGCGCTGCTCTTGCCGAACACGGGGAACACCAGCGGTATGCCGCCTCTGACCGGCCTGGACCCGTCCAGCTTGGCCGCCGACGACAGCCACAGCTGCTCGACGCCCTCAATGGTCCAGGACGTGACGGTGGCTCCGTAAAGCAGCACAGACACCTTTGTGTTTGGGTTTTCCGGAGAAATGAGCTCCACTTTGTCGTCGGTCGCTTCGATTGGCATGAAACGTAGAAAAATGAATAAATTACGAATTACAAATTGAAATTTATAGTTCTGGCCAGCGTCCAGAACTATCTGCAATTAAAGGCCTCCCTTATTTGTCTCAGGCTCCTGCTCGTTTGGCTGGTCGTCGCCCGTGGTAGCGTGCACAGCGTCCGACTGTGCAGCGTCCGTCGTCTGCGACTCGCCGCTCCTCTCCAGATCGTCCACCCTGCTCTCGATCGCATCCAGCAGCTTCTCCAAATGCTAAAGTTAGCCATTAGCACGCTCGTACCTACCGTTGCCGCCGCCTCGGCCTCGTTCAGTCTTTTGTACGCTTCCGCAAACTCCTCCTTCTCTAACGTCATAAACCGCGAACACGTTTTTTTTTTAATCCATGATTTTTCTCTTGTTTCTTCTGACCCCGTTGGCCTGGGCGCTGTCCTCGGCCCTGGCAGACTCCAGAACGCTCGTGGTGTACGACACAAGACTGCCCGAGTTTGAGTCGCAGTACTCGAAGCTCTTCCAGACGCTCAGGGACAGAGACCTCCAGCCTGAGCTGGCACTGGTGGGTCCCGAGTCTGAGCCTCTCGAGCTGTACAGAAACGGCTACAGACGGTACCAGAACCTGCTGATCCTGCCGACGACCGCCAGGGACCTCGTCGACACCGACATGCTGCTCAAGTTCACCCAGGACGGCGGCGACGTGTTTGTGGTGTCTGACAACACGGGCCTCCAGACCGACGTCGTGCTGTTCCTGAACGAATTGGGCATCTATCCAAGCCCAAAGGGCTACAAATACATTGACCACCACAACGGCGACACGCTGGAAGCGCCAGACGTCCTGAACAAGGTTGTGTTGCACACGGAAAAGCCAGTTGCATACAAAGATGGCTCTGTCGCGTTGCTCTCGAATAACGAGTTTCTGGTGCCTGTTGTGCGCGCTCCGCGCACCTCATACACCTTTAACGTGGACGAGGGCCGTGTCAATGCCGATTCCACGTGGCACTCCGGCTCCCAGGGCTATCTGTTCGTCGGACTGCAGGGCCTGAACAACGCTCGTGTTTTCTGGACCGGCTCGGCAGCCAGCTTCAAAGACGAGTCTTTCAACGAGGAGCTCGTGACAGATTTGATAAACTGGACGTTCCAGATCTCTGGACTCATCAAGGCTACGTCTGTGACACATTACAACGAAAATGGAGATTCCGGATACAAAATCAAAGACACAACAACGTTCGAGATCGGCGTGTCGCAGTGGGACGGCGAAAAATGGGCCCCATTCACAGATTGCCAAGATCTTCAACTGGAGTTCGTTATGCTAGACCCATACTATAGACTCACGCTTGCTCCCAAGCGTGTGGAGAACTCGTCGCAGATCTACGGCACCACGTTCCAGATCCCAGATCAGCACGGCATGTTTACGTACAAGGTGCTCTACCAGCGTGAGGGATACAGCTTCATCGACGAGAGCGTGACCGTTCCTGTGCGCCATCTCGCCAACGACGAGTACCCGCGGTCTTGGGAGATCACCAACTCGTGGGTGTATCTGAGCAGTGCTCTTGCAGTCATGGTGGGGTGGTTTGTTTTCTTGGTGGTGTTTGTCTATTCAGGAAACAAAAAGCTCGGCAAAGAAAAGACAAATTGAGAGGAACTAGCACCTGTATAATACATCTCTAATTTGCCTTGACTATCCTGATATTGTTTTTCTCTTTCCAATCGAGGAACTCTTTCTGCTGTTTCTTGAGCTCCTCGGTCAGCGTAGCCACCGACTTCTTCATGCCGTCGAGGTTCTCCTCCAGAATCTTTGCTGCGTTGCCAGCAACGAGCTCCACAAGCGATCCACCAATCATGCGGTAACACTTGCGATCTGGAGGCGCGTCTTTCAGCGTCGCCAGCACAATTCCGTGCTCGTCGATCTGCGCGTGCAATTGGACGATTTTTGTGTTGAGCGACTCGATCGTCTGCTGAAACTGGTCGTACTTGGCCTGAAGCGACATGGAAAAAATGAAAAAAATGGAAATTTATTCAAATATTATTTAAAATGCATATTTTCTATTTTTCAAATATTCTATGTACATGCTACCACCTGCGCGCATCTATGGCACAGCTCGGCAGAACCCTCCACAGCGTACCGCCAGCAACGAGGACATTTTCCAAGGTCTGTTCTCGCGACTGCAATAGAAACGTCGCCGTCTTTGGTCTCTAGTAAGACGTCCTTTGAGCTTTCTGTATTCAGGTGGAATCTAGACACCATCAAATACTCAGTCATCTGAGACTCATACTTGGAAACAAGAGCACCCAGAGCAGTCTCGGGAGCAACGTCCACATAAATTTCGGTTTCGGAGGCCATTTTCATGGTGTCTGTGCCGCGCAATGCCTTGTCTATTGCAGTCTTGATCTGATGATTCAGTCTCAGCAGCTGGTCCATCTCGGCCTCTAGTTCCGGGTTGAGGTAGTGTTGCGGCACTTCGTACCATCCGCGCACAAACGGCGACCGCAACCCCCCAGTGACCAACTCTGGCGAGTGGTTCCACGCCTCTTGAGTCATAATCGGCATAATAGGAGCCAGCACGCTCGTCAGCACCTTCAGCACCTCCACGAACACCGTCTGTGTGCTGCGTCTTTTCAGGCTATCTGCAAAGTCCGTGTACAAAGGATCCTTGCGGATGTCAAAGTACAGCGCAGAAAGGTCCACGTTGACTAGCTGGTTCATGTCCTTGATAATTTTCGAGTAATTGTGTGCCTCGTAGCACTGACGAGACTTATTCTCAAAGGACGCCAGCCGCGACAAAATGTATCTGTCCATGCTGTCCAGCTGGGCATAGTCAACCGTCTGCTCCATGTCGCCGATGTTTCCAAGCAGGAACCGGAAAGTGAAACGCAGTTTCTTCACCACGTCGGCCACTCTGTTTAGAATAACCGGCCCCACGGCCATATCCGATGTGTAGTCGGCCTGGGCCACCCAGAGACGCAGCCCGTCAATACCCAGCCCAGGCACTTTCTTCGCCTTGTTTCCTTCAACAATATCCACCGGAACAATAGTGTTTCCGAGCGACTTGGACATCTTGTCTCCTTTTTCGTCCAGCGTGAACCCGTGCGTGACAATTTTTCCGTACGGCAACACTGCAGGCTCGCCAGCCGGAGTCGCGCCGATCTTGGTCAGCACGCTCGACTGGAACCAGCCCCGGTGCTGGTCAGAGCCCTCCAGATACACGTCGGCCAGATATCCGCGAGCCACCGCCTGCGGAAGCAGCCCCGTGGACTCCAAGAACTGCTCCACCAGAGTCCAGCTCGAACCGGAGTCGAACCACACGTCCATTGTGTCTGTGCCGCGAACATAGTCGTTTGGATCCACGTTGCACTCGGCCGGGATCCATTTGTCCATCGACGACTCGCCAAACCAGCTCTCGACGTCCTCTGCGGCAATGACCTGCGAGATGCGCTCAATCACCAGGTCGTTGATTAGCGGCTCGCCCGTCTGCTTGTGGTACACCACCGGGATCGGAACGCCCCAGCTGCGCTGTCTGGAAATGCACCACTCGTTCCGCGTGTTGATAAACGAGACCAGCCGGTTCGAGCCGCGCGGCGGCAGGAACTGTACATTTTTACCAAGCAGCTCGGTGGTGACGGCCTTGATCTTGCCCACGTCGATGAACCATTGCGGCGTGGAGCGGATGATAATCGGTTTTTTCGACCGCCAGTCGTATGGGTACGAATGGGTGTAGTTTTGGTCCAGATGGTAGCAGAGCCGTAGCTCCTCTAATTTAGCCACCATTTTCTGTGTGCCTTCGCCGAGAACTCGCAGACCAACAAACTCCTGCAGGTCGTTGTCCGGCAGCTCGCTCGTGTACTTTCCGTACTCGTTGACGGGGGAGTACGGCTGGATATTGTGTTTTAGACACACAAAGTAGTCGTCCTGTCCGTGGCCGGGAGCCGTGTGAACTAGACCGGTACCGGCAGAGTCTGTCACGTGGTCTCCATGCAGAATGGGAAGGCTCGTGTCCTGGCTGCTACCATAGAGCAGCGGATTCCGGTAGCGGCAATGGAGCAGTTCTGAGCCGGGAATCTGCACGCCAGTCTCCCGCAGTTCTGGATCGACCTTCCTCAGCGAATCGACCAGTTTCTGCCCCACAATCAGCCGCTCGCCCCTTGATTCCACGGTCGTGTACGCCATGTTCTCGTTGACGGAGATCGCCCGGTTCGCGGCTAACGTCCATGGCGTCGACGTCCATATGAGCGCGTACACGGGCTCGGGGCCCAACGCCGCTGGTGGCTGCTCCAACGGGAACTTGACGTACACCGCGGTCGAGCGGTGCGCCGTGTTGTACTCGAGTTCTCCCTCGGCCAGGGCCGTGGCGTTCTCGCACCCCCAGTAGACCGGCTTTTCCTGTCTTTTGATGAGATTGTTGTCGAACAGCCGTTTGAACACACGCAGCTGCCGCGCAACAAAGTCCTTGTCTAGCGTTCTGTAGGGATTAGCAAAGTCTCCCATGATGCCCATGCGCTGGAATTGGTCCGATTGGGACTGCTGTGTCGAGAGAGCATGCTTTTTGCACAGCTCGATGATCTCCAGCGGTTTCAGCTTGGAGTCGAGCGCGGCCAGCTCGGCCTCGAGCTCTGCATTCGGCCCAGTCTTGAGCTTTCGTTTGATCTCCTTCTTGCGCGTCTTTTTGTGCTGCGCGATCTGTTCCAATGCCTTCAGTTCGATCGGCAGCCCGTGGCAGTCCCAGCCGGGACGATAGTGCACTTTCTTGCCGTTCAGAAGCTCAAATCGCACAATTATATCCTTGAGAATTTTGTTCAGAGCATGGCCAATGTGCAGGTCGCCATTGGCATAGGGAGGGCCGTCGTGCAAAATAAATAGCTCTTGTATACTTTTCACCTCGCGACGGTTATTCCAATCGTACAGTTCCGTGGTGACCTGCGGCAGCAGCTGTGTCTGCACCGCGTCCTGGTCGGTGCGGCCGGGAAATTTCGTCTGGGGCAGCCGAATCGTGGCCGAGAACGACGACTTCTGGCGGACAAAAACCCGCTGGAGCATTAGGTTTATTTTATTTATATTTTTTTTGTTCTATTTTATTTATATTTTTTCGCTCAATGTCCGCAATCGACTCTTCTTCTGTGAGCCCCGTGGGCTCGCCGCCGGAGTTCCGCATCCACAACAGAAGAGGCTCGCTGCTGGACGTTGGGGGCGAGAACTCGATCAACAATTTCGCCTTTGCCGTCCGCCGCTCAGTCAACTATCTCTCCTCGTCAGTAGGGTCTCGGACGACGCTCGACCCCGAGTGTGCGGTGCCCGGGAGCCCGCGAGTGACGCCGCAATTGCCGCCCGAGGAGCACACACCGCTGCTGGAGCCACCGAAGGACGACGTTTCTGAGATCGTTATCTCGCTCAAGAGCACCCCCGTGCAGACGGTTTTCAACTCCATCAACGTCCTGATCGGCCTAGGCATTCTGTCTATCCCGCTGGCATTCCGGCTGGCCGGCTGGGTGATGGGCACGGCGATACTGACGCTCGCGGCGCTCTCAACACGATACACGGCCGTGCTGCTCGGCCGGATCCAGTCGCGCAACCAGTCGCTGAAAACGTACCACGACATCGCGCAGCAGGCGTTCGGCGCGCGCGCCAGCGTGCTGGTGTTTGTCGTGTTCGCACTGGACCTGTACGGCGCGAGCGTGACGATGGTGATCCTGTTTGCGGACTCATTCAACGCCATTTTCCAGGGCCTCTCGCCGGCGTTCTTCAAGACCGTGCTGTGCACAGGGCTGGTGCTGCTGAACGCGCTGCCGCTGCGAATACTGTCCTTTCTGAGTTTTGCCGGCATCGTGTGCACCACGGCGACTTTCTGCGTGGTGCTGGTGTCTGGGCTGATCCACCGCACGTCTCCCGGCTCGCTGCTCCACCCAGCACCGACAAACCTCTGGCCGGCGTCCCTGCTGGACCTGTGTTTCAGTCTCGGCCTGTTTCTCGCGCCCTGGGGCGGCCACGCCGCGTTCCCAGAGGTGTACGCCGACCAGAAACGGCCCGAGAAATACACCGCGTGCATGTCGACGGCGTTCTTGTTCAGCTACTCGATGGACCTCGCCACCGGCGTCGTCGGGTTCCTCATGTTTGGGCAAACCGTGCAGGACGAGGTGACAAAAAACATCCTGCTCAATAAAGCGTACCCGGCCTGGATTCCGACGACGATCGTCGTTCTGATGGGCATCTTGCCGCTCTCAAAGCTGCCGCTCGTGTGCCGGCCCATTCTGTCGGCGCTGGACAGCCGGCTGCCCCCGCTGGCCGCCAGACTCGCCGTCAGCAGCGTGCTGCTCGTGTCGTCGCTGCTAATCACGAATTTCGGCAAAATCATGTCGCTGCTCGGCTCCGCCATCTGCTTCACCGTCTGCATCACGCTGCCCCTGCTGTTCTACCTGCGGCTCTACCACAGCGAGCTCACCCCGCCCACACGGCTCCTGCTCGCCCTCATGGCCCTCGTGAGCCTGCTCCTCACCGTCGCCGGGTCGATCGCCGTGCTCCTGGTGTGAGGTGTAGAGGGATCGCACCCACCCTCAAATCTTCCCTGTACATTAAAATAGGTATCCCCCAATGTATACGCTTATTTCTGACCACGACGAGGGAATGGCCACTATCTGGTGAGTTTCCGTAAAGTTCCGCTAACATCAGGCTCCTGGCCACGCTGGGCTCCCGCACAGCCCACTCGCGGCTGACACGGCGCAGAATCGAGCAGGTCTCGATCCCTGCCGCGTGCCGGGCCATCGCGAGCCCGCTGTTCGACGCGCCGCTGCGCCAGACGTCCGGTCTGCTGTACGGCGTGACCCTTGTGTACAAGCAGAAGACCGAATACTCGTTCCGTACGTGTTTTTCGTTGGTTACTGACATTTAGGGGAGACGCATGCTATGAGGACCCAGGTCGCGCGGGACCTGATTGCGGGGCGTCGGGCGGCCGTGAGCGAGCTCAGCGCGGCAATCGAGGCTGCCGTGCACACGCGGCCGGTCAACGTGCTGCGCGACGACCCAAATTTCGACATCGACGTGGGCATGCTGTCGGAGCTGGACTTGGAGCCGACAGACCCCCACGTAGTGGCGCAGCAGCGGGAAATCCGCGAGTTCGACATGCAGCACGCGCTCGTGGCTGAGTCGTCGGTCTCAGACACGTCGAGCACGGTGTTCACGCGCGACTCTGCGCACACGGCCGCGACGGCGTTCAGCGGCGGCGTGCGCTCGCCGCTGGGCTCTGCCGCGTCGATCGGCCCGCTCGACGACATCATGAACCAAAGCCTTGGCCAGCTGGAGTTCTCGTTCGACGAGCACGGCAACGTGGTCGCCAATGCGGCGGGCGACGGCGTCGGCGACGTGCTGGACGTCGACCTCGATTTCGACTTCGAGGGGCCCGTTTTGCCCGAGCAGCCCCAACACCCGGACAGAGACGTGTCCGTGGTGGACCTAGAGACGTCCAAACGGCCGCGCAGCGATGCCGGACGGCTCAAATTGCGCAGACTTGTTTGCGACGCTGAGATCTCGATTTCCACCGCCAAGATGAAGGAGGACCGCGAGCGGTACTCGGAGCTGATGCTTGCCGGCCGCAGTCTGCCGTCTGTATCGTATATGGATCTTGTTGATGCAGAGTTGCAAAAAGTGCCGCCGTTCATGCGATCGCTGCTGCATCCAGCAACTGCCACCAACACGTCGCGCCGCTACAGCCGCGCCTCGAGCGTGTCGTCCATTGAAGAGGCGCGGCGTGCGCTGTCAGGCCAGTCGTCGCGCAGAGGAAGCATCTCGAGCGCACATATTCGGTTCGAAGAGCCGGTCCAGGAGATGAGCCCCGTGGCGTTCGAGAACGACGACGCGATGCTCGATATCACTTTTGGCGATGCGTCCGACTCAGGCGGCAAAACCCGTCTGCACAGGTTCTATGAGTCGCTGGTGGAGGAGTGTCGCGCACACGGTCGCGGGCTGGACGAGAGCGAGCGGTCTGATCTGATGCAGATCAGTTTTGACGCGCTGGCGGGCCCGTGCGCGAGAAAAGCCGCTGTTCAGCAGTTCAGCTACCTTCTCGAACTCTGCTCGAGCAGTATGGTATATTTGGAGCCAATTGGCACGAACGTGCGGTCCAAATGGGAGCTGCTTCAGCCGGAAAATATCAACATCGTTGCACAGGTTTGAAAAATCATTTTTATCTTTTATTTTTAATTCTCATGTCTCTCCCAGACTACGAGCCGTCAAGCTGGACTACGTCCTCAAACGAGGCGCTCAACGTGTCGCTAGCGGAGCCAGAGGGTGCGTTCACGTTCAATCCCACGTTCACATACCCGATCTTTGGGGACTCCGAACAGATCTTTGGGTACAAAGGCCTGCGGATCGACCTTGCCTTTGACTGCCGGTCGATGTTCCCATTTCTCGGCGTCAAGTACGAGTCTAAACTGTCTGAAGACGTGAAGGACGTCGAGAAGACGCTGCTGGAGTTTCTTCCCGAGGAAACGGTAGTCAAGGACGAGGCATTGTGGCTAAACAAGACTGAACAGGAAAATTTCGAAATCCCTGGCAAGCCCGTGTACACGTACCAAATCGACGGCGAAACATACAAGATCTTCAAGTTCAAGCTCAGCGACCCCAGTGGGCTGAAATTGCACCTGCGAATCCAAATCTTCGTCCTGCTGTTCATCGAGGCTGGCTCCTACATCGACAGCACCGACAACGTCTGGGAGATCTACGCGATTTACAAGTGTCCGGAGGGTAAAAAAGAGTCCTTTGTCGGGTTCAGCACAGCCTATTCCCACTGGAAACATCCGGGATCGGCAGTCCACGACGCATCAGAGACTCTCGAGTTGCAATTCCGCAAGAAAATCAGCCAGTTTATCGTGCTTCCTCCGTACCAATCCAATGGCCACGGAAAAAACCTATACAATTGCATGGTGGACGAGTGGCTCGCAGACGACAAGGTCAAGGAAATCACCGTGGAGGATCCGAGCGAGGCGTTTGACGACCTGCGCGACCGCTGTGACCTGCAGCGACTGAACAGGACAGACTTTCTTCACGGTGTCAAGCTGCCAATCGAGGAGTCCTGGATTGAGAAACAGGTTGCTGTGCACAAAATGGACCGCAGACAGTTCGAGAGATGCGTAGAAATGACTTTGTTGTGGATGTTGCAGAACAAAAAGGGCGGTGTTGAGAACCTGAGCGAAAAGAACATGCGTTTGCAGATCAAGAAGAGACTGTATTTGAAGAACAGAGACGCTTTGAGCGAGCTGGAAAAGGCAGACAAGATGGACAAACTGCAGACGGCGTACGAGCGGCTGCGTGAGGACTACGAGCGGATTTTGGAGAAGGCTGGTCTTGCGACAGGCGTCAAGAGAGAGCAGTTGCACGAGTTGCCCGATGCAAAGCGTGCAAGGGTGTGAGCATTTCGCTTCCTCCGGGCCCTTTTTTTCTGAGATTTGGTGTTTGAGTCAGCAATTACGTTATGCCGTGCGCTCCCAATATGGAAGCCACGATATTCCCAAACAAGAAGCGAAAATTTGTGGGACACTGCCACAGCAAGAGTGTTGCGCCCTTTTAGCCCAATCCGGAATAATATGGTCGCATAAGGAAATCAACACCTGAAATTATACTTACTTGCTAGAGTTGATAAAGAACTTAATTTCCAAAGGTATTTGAACTCATCGCTATTGCAATGCACAGAACCTATTCTTTGAGATCTTCCAGAGCCCCAACGGCCTCCCAGTTGGCTACCCCGCCACCTCCACCTTCGAGCACCAAGTAAGTTGTCCGCACGCGTTTTTTCCAGCTAACCAGTTTAGGGGTAAATTCTTTGGTACCACCTCCATTGCTTCCTCCATCAGAAAGTCTGCTGCTGGATCGTTTGGTCCAGAGCTTTCAAAGAAGCTATCTCAATTGATCAAGATTGAGAAGAACTTTGAGAGAAGCGTCGAGCTTGTCGCCAGAGAGAGAAGAGTCGTTGCTAAGCAGCTCTCGCTCTGGGGAGAGGAGAATGACGACGACGTTTCCGACGTCACCGACAAGCTGGGTGTTCTGATCTACGAGATCGGTGAGCTGGAAGACCAGTTTATCGACAAGTACGACCTGTACAGAATCACCCTCAAGAGCATCAGAAACATTGAGGCCTCTGTTCAGCCTTCGAGAGACCGGAAACAGAAGATCACCGACGAGATTGCCCACCTCAAGTACAAGGACCCACAGTCTCCTAAGATCCCAATTTTGGAGCAAGAACTCGTCAGAGCTGAGGCCGAGTCGCTTGTTGCTGAGGCCCAATTGTCCAACATCACCAGAGAGAAACTGAAGGCCTCTTTCCTGTACCAGTTTGACGCGTTGAGAGAGCTTTCCGAGAAACTTGCTCTTATTGCCGGCTACGGAAAGGCTCTGCTTGAGCTGTTAGACGACTCTCCGGTGACTCCAGGTGAGACCAGACCTGCCTATGACGGCTACGAGGCATCCAAGCAGATCATCATCGATGCTGAGAACGCTCTTGCCTCGTGGACACTGGACAACTCCTACGTCAAGGAGCCTGCACTTTCTCTGCACCAGACTGTCGACGATGTGTACGAGGAGCACCAGGCCGAGGACGCCGAGGCTCAATGGGCCGAGCACGAGAACCAGCAGTAAGTTTGCTATGTAGTACTAAATGTTCATTACGTGTAAAGCAAAAAAAGGCGGTCGTATCCTGTAGAGAAGAAGGGCGCGCGCTGCATGGAAGGTTTTGCACAGTTGGGCAGGGAAAAAAAAAAAAAAAATGGTTCCTAGCAGGATCGAACTGCTGATCCCCGCGTTATTAGCACGATGCCTTAACCAACTGGGCCAAGGAACCTGGAACGAAAAAGTGGGGGCGTCTCGCCCACATACTCTCGCTCCGCCACCTGCAGGTCATCGGCGTTTGCTGCGCCAGAGAACGTGAAACACGTAGCCACAGCCAAAAACGGTAACCCGAAGAGTTTCATCTGGAACTGATCCCAGTATAAATAGAACACGTCTGCCTTTGATCTGGTTTCCAATTAACGATCATGTCTGCTAACGAATTTTACTCTTCAGGCCAACAAGGCGAATACCAACAACCGCAACAACAAGGCCAGCAACAACAGGTTGCCGGGGAAGGCGAGAGAGGCCTTCTCTCGACTGTTGTGGGTGGCGCTGCTGGAGCCTACGGAGGTTCGAAGCTGAGTGGCTCGCACTCCAAGCTGGGTGGCATTGCCGGCGGTCTGCTCGGAGCAGTCGCTGCCAACAAGATCGAGGACAAAGTTGAGCAGAAGTGGGAGCACCACCAGGGTGGCTATGGTGGCCAGCACCACGGGGGCCAGGGCGGTCCAGGCGGTCCAGGTGGCCCAGGGGGGCCAGGGGGCTACGGTGAGCAGAGAGGCGGCTTTGGCGGACCCCAGGGTCCTCCACACGGAGGTCCCCAGGGCGGCTTTGGAGGACCCCAGGGTGGATTTGGAGGGCCTCAGGGCGGCCCTCAGGGCGGATTCGGGGGGCCTCAGGGCGGTTTCGGTGGCCCACAAGGAGGCCCACAAGGCGGCTTCGGGGGCCCGCAAGGCGGCTACGGCGGCCCAGGCCGCCAGGGCGGCTGGTAAATAGCGAGCAGTAGGTAGCGATTCGAAATGCACATTTACCCGGCCCATGAAAAATTGTGTCCTGCTAAAGCATTCTTTGTGTTAAGCATGAGTTATATTGCGGGCGAGAACGTGCACTTTGACTACGAAGGGCACTCGGTCCGCATGAAACCGCAAGCGAGAACCCATGCTGGCGCAAAAGTGAAGGTCCAGGTCCAGCTCAACAACGAGAAAGACGAGTATCCGGAGTCGAGGGTTATCAAGATAGGCGAGAACGGCGACGTTGTGGTGAGCGAGCTGAGCGAGCTGAGCTCGGCGGACGCGCACAGCCACTCCGAGCACAGCGACGACGAGTACTGCCACTCGTGCGACCACGACAACTGCTCCGAGCACTTTGAGGACTACGACGAGGACTACGACGAGTGCGTGCACCACCGGCCGCCCACGGCACACGAAAAGATGTACTGGAGCAGCACGCTGCCGAGCGTGGAGGAGCGCGAGCAGGTGCGGCAATTCTGGACGCAGCTGGACGCGCAGAAGCGCCGCGATCTGCTCAACGTCGAGTACAGCGAGGTGTACAAGGTTGTGCACGAGAACCCGCCCGGGTGCAACTGCCAGGGCTGCAGCGGGCCGAAAAAGGCGTTTGAGCGCGACCTGGAGAAGCTGTACCACGCGATGCGCATGACTGCGAACGAGGATCTCGAGCTGAGCTCTGCGCTCGTGCACGAGATGCTGGGGCTCGAGGACCCGAAGCCGGCGCCCACGACGATCCAGGACATCGGCCGTGTGGCGGACGACATCCTGAACAACAACGGCAGCTCGTTCATCGACCTGGTGGAGCAGCTGGACGAGGAGCGCGGCGCGCGACCCGACGACGGCGACGGCGACGACGAATACGACTACGAGGAGGAGTACGAGCTCGAGAGCGAGCGGCAGCGCAAGCAGCTGCACAACGCGTACCGGTATCTGCAGGTGGTGATTGCGCGGATCATCAGCGGGCGGCTGGTGGCTGCGTACAAGGAGAAGGTGGCCGAGGACAGCACGCGGCAGCTGATCGAGGAGCTGGAGGCAGAGGAGCGCCGCAAGAAGGAGAAGGAGGAGAAGGAGCGCCGCAAGAAGGAGAAGCTCAAGGAGAAGAAGCGGCTGCAGCAGCTGGCGAAGGAGGAGGAGCGCCGCAAGCGCGAGGAGGACAAGCTCGAGCAGGAACGCATACACCAGGAGGAGATGCGGCGCAAGACGGAGGAGGGCCGCCGGCGCAAGGAGGAAGAGCGACGCAGGCGCGAGGAAGAGCAGCGGCGGCGCGAGGAGGAGCAGCGGCGGCGGCGCGAGGAGAAGCAGCGCAAGGAGGAGGAGAAGCGTCGCGAGAAGGAGCGGCAGGAGCGCGAGGCCAGCGTGGACGGGGCCGAGAACGGCAGCGCTCCGGCGCCGACAAACGGCTCTCACGAGCCGGCAAACGGCGCCGTCTCCGCCGCCCCCGTGCAGTACTCCGCCGAACAGCTCAGCCAGCTGCTCTCCAAACTCAACATCCCTGTCGAGAAGCCGGCCCGCGAGCCAGTGCCCGCCACACCGCCGTCCCAGAACCCGCCTCACAGCCTGTTCGACTTCCCGCAACCGCAGCTGCCCCCCCTCGAGGTGCCGCAGCTGTCCTCGCTGGACCTGTTCCCAGACCCGCTCACACAGCTCAAGCAGCCGTTCCCGTCCATCAGCAGCTCCATCTGGGACCTGCCAGCGTCGCAAAAGTCCATCTGGGGCACCTCCTCCATCTGGTCCAAACCGTCTGCGCTATCGCCCGCACAGATCGAGGCAGTGCAGATCGAAACGATCAAGGCAACTGCAACGCTGGTTGCAGATAACCAGTGTTATCCGGCAAATTTACTCTATGCATGCACCCGTCAGGCAATGCTGTCCCTGTACGGCCTGGACCTGACAATGGATCAATTCGCAGACAGTCTGGCGTCAAAGGTGAGCCAGAAGCTGGGCGTCGCGTTCGAAGTCATCTACGACGAACTGGCAACGCCCGCGTTGGTGAAAGTGTCGCCCGTCCCGACGGGCGCGAGCTTAAATACGTGGAATATCGGGTTTTAAAGCTCATTATTTAAGCAGCCTGTATCTAACCATTTTCTGACATGCTGGCCTGGTCTCTTGGAAAAAATAATTTTTTTTTTCCAAATTTCAATGTCTAGTTTTATGGACAACTCTCATAATTGACCAATTTCCGTAGTCCAATGTCTCAGAACGTCATCAAGCGGAAAATCGTCATTGTGGGAGACGGTGCTTGCGGAAAGACATCGCTCCTGTACGTGTTCACCCTTGGGGAATTCCCCACAGAGTATCACCCAACGGTGTTTGAAAACTACGCAACAGATTGCAGAGTCGACGGAAAGCCCGTGCGCTTGGCCTTGTGGGATACCGCAGGCCAGGAGGAGTACGAACGGCTTCGACCACTGTCATACTCCAAGGCCCACATCATTCTGATTGGGTTTGCCTTGAACGCTCCCGATTCTCTAGATAACGCAGGCATGAAATGGGCCCAGGAGGTGAAAACATACTGTCCGAACGCGCCGCTCATACTGGTCGGGCTGAAAAAGGACCTTAGACCCGAAGACGATGGCACAGACGAATACTATGACCAGAAATACGTCCGAAAAGAAAAGGCCGAACAGGTGGCTCGTCTCATCGGCGCCCGAAAATACGTCGAGTGCTCCTCGCTGACGGGGGAGGCCGTGGACGACGTCTTTGAGATCGCTACCCGTGCCAGTCTCTTGCTCAAAGAGACTTCAGCCTCCGGCTGCTGTACCATCACTTAATTTGCTCGGATTTTCCGACATTTCGCTCCTTATACGCCAATCCAAATTCGCTCGTTTATTGTCATGTTGCGCCCATGACCCCTGTTACCCAAGTCTTAGCTCATTTCACCCGATATCATCAGTCGTTGCCGTCTAATAGCCGGCCCACCTGGTACCCAACTCTTAGGTCTAAGGTGTAGACCGGTGTTTTAAATAGTCCATGTCTAATAACAATTATTTTCAACCTTGATGATATCCACTTTTGGTTCCATCAGAAGACACTTTTCGTCAGTAGCCCTGCCCACGGTCTATGCACTGTCTACGTATCCCGCAAGATCGGCCATAGCTGTCGTCCGAATCACTGGCCCGTCCTCGGCATCGATATATCGAGCTCTAACTGCCAGAGAGCAGCCCAGACCACGAATAGCCACCCTCGCCAAGCTCTACCACCCTAAATCCAAAGTTATTCTTGATGAGGCCATAGCTCTGTATTTTAAAGGCCCAAACTCGTATACCGGAGAAGATATGCTCGAGCTTCATCTCCATGGCGGTACCGCAGTGGTGAAGTGCATAATGGAAAGCCTGGAGTTGTTGCACACGCCTGCGAATCCTATAAGGCCAGCAGAGCCTGGAGACTTCTCCAAGAAGGCGTTCCAGAACGGCAAAATGGATCTCACACAGGTCGAGGGCATTAACGATCTGATCCACGCAGAAACTGAACGACAGAGAGTTCTCTCTCTGGCATCCATGAAGGGAGAAACCAAAGAGCTGTTCCACCATTGGAGAGAGCAAATCTTGAGCACATACGCCCTCATCACGACACTGATAGATTTTGGTGAAGAGCATGACATTGAAGAAATTGGCCAATTGTTCGAGAGAGCTGAGTCGGAAATCAGAATTCTTGAGATGGACGTGAAGCGGTACCTGGAAAGAGTCCAGCGATCACAGACATTGATGGACGGATTCAAGATAACGCTGTCTGGCCCTCCGAATGCTGGAAAATCGTCTCTTTTGAATATTATCGCCAATGAAGACCGGGCCATTGTGAGCGAGATAGAAGGCACGACGAGAGACTCCATCGAAGTTCCTCTAGACATCAGTGGGTACAAAGTCGTGATTGGCGATACGGCAGGAATTAGAGACGCCGAAAACCAAATCGAACAAGAAGGGATTAGAAGAGCAAAGATGAAGACTTCAGAGGCAGACTTGAACTTGGTTCTTCTCCCGTGCAACCCTTTTGAGTTGGGTGATGCAATGAAGGATCACATTGGCTCATGTGATAAAGAAAAACTAGTGATAATCTTGAACAAAAGTGATCTGGTTACCCCTGACCAGGTCGGAAGCTTGGTAGCGCAACTCGAAAAAGAGTTCGAACCAAAGGAGATCAAAGTCATAAGTTGTCGTAACAAAGAGGGTATACAGGATCTTCTGAATGCTATAACTCAGATGCTTGATAGTTGGACCCAGGACGAGCCGATATTCGTTTCTAACAGAGTTCAAAACATTATTCAGCACGATTTGCTCCTTGGGTTTGAGGAATTTTACATGCATTCTAAATCCAACGACGTGGTGCTTGCCGCTGAGGCGCTCAAAATCAGTATGGAGGGTATTGGCAAAATCACCGGTGAGGCTATTGGAGTGGAAGAGATCTTGGGATCGATCTTTGCGAATTTCTGCATAGGCAAATAGTCAAGTTCAGTAACAGCATTACTCATTTCCGCAACGATTGTGCCAGGTCATTGAGTTTGGTGGTGACTTTGGACGTGTCGATGCTTATCCTGGTAGGTGGAGGTTTTTGCTCTGTTTGTGGTGACGGCGCTGCGGCTTGGTCTTTTTGAGTTTGTTCCTGGTAGTAGCCAGGGACCTCTGTTCTGTCTGCTGGAGCACCAGGCAGATCTGGCACTTTCCAAAAGCCTCCAACTCCATTGAAGAGGTCATTCACACCGAATCGGCGGGGCAGGTATGCTCTGCCAAGATTTTCGGTGATCAAGGGGAAGGGGAAGTACAGGGAGTAGAATAGGACGCCGTACAAAACGCCCACGCCCATGCCTGCCACCACGTCTCGAACAAAATGTCTGTTATCGGAGACCCTGGAAAACCCAACAGTGGACGAAATGATGATCGGATACATCAAGGAGATGATGCTTTTGCAGGATAGACCTCTGCCATCGAACAGATTGAGTTTACCTGCGGTGAACAGAAATTGGACAGTGGATGTCGTAGTGATTGTCGACGCATGGCCGCTTGGGAAGCTTCTCAATCCCTCAAAAATGAGTCTGTGAGACGGGTTTGCACAGATTCCGATTGTGCTCAGCGAGCCCAGCTGCTGCGAAGCAAATGTGAAGGGAACGCATCTGGTGAGAAAGTCGGGACGGGGAAGCGCAGAGACGTTCTTCAGAATAACCACGGTGAACAGCTGAAACGCGGAGGCGCCCATCATTGCAAGCAGCACGCAATGGATGTCCCATGCCTTGCGGGAAGGGGGCAGCTTGGTGACCAGAGAGCCCGCCAGAACCACTGCCAAAATCGGCACCACAACGGCCATGACCACAAGCAGCCATATTGGAGCTAGAGTCTTGGCCTCCTGAACGTACATGTGCATGATTGACGTATCTCTGACGTCAAAGTCGCTTGTCCGCGGCGTTCCAAACACTCCATAGAATATGGCCCCCAAAAGGATAACAATGTAGAATGCCCAGTCCAGAACGTACGATATAAACGTGGGAAGCGAGACATCGTGGCCGTTGACAACCATGAACGTCTCCTCAAACTCGAACTCTGCTCCCTGTGAGAAAAACATTGGTATATTAAGAAGAAGGGTATTTTAGCTGATAAAATGATCCCGCCCAGATGTATCCCTAATTTGGTTCCCTTCCTGTCACCCAGATTTCCGTGCCAAAAATAATTCGTAATGAGGGGAAAATAGATAAACTTATTTAATATGTTATCGAATCTCGCTGGATGGGCACTTTTCGGGGCCTTTGCAAGGGCATACCAGCAGGCTCTGCGGAACCTGAGTTTCACTTATGCTCCAATGGGATACGTCTATTCAACAGGGGCTTGGGTAGGATTTGGGTACCTATTTGAGAAGTGGGTCAGGAACAACGACGAGATCATAGAGGAACGGCTGAAGAAACTAAAGGAACAGAGACAGAAGACGGCGTAAGCTGCGTCGCACCATAACCTCACCTACTTACTTATTTATTTATTGCTCTGGTTCATCCTCATTCCCCAAATCAATATAGCCCAGGTCCTCATAATCCTCTTGCAAATTGTTCAGCTCTGCCTGCAGATCGTCCACCTCAGCCGCCTCCTCCTGCTCCTCGTCGCCGCTCGAGTCGTCGTCACTGCTGCTCTCGTCACTCTGATAGTTCTCGTCCTCCTCTTCGTCGTCGTCCTTGCCGACTATCTGGTTGCCTCCCGGCACAAGCTTGGCGGCCTCTGCGAGCGCGCCAGGGTTGTCGGTGTTGTTCTTGAGCTGCCTCTGGGCCTTGAGTTCGTCGGTCATCGACCTGTCTCTGAGCTCTTTGCTCTTGACGTACTGGTCGATCTTCTCGAACTCTTTCTGGTCGATCATGGAGAACTCGTGGCGCTCGGAATTCGGCAGCAACGTCAGCGTCACGTTGAACGTCAGCCGCGTGATGGAGGTGTATGTGATGGACTCGATGTTGGTGGAATCGAATATGAGGATTGGTTTCTTGAAGCCGAATATCACATGGTTGGGCAGAAAATACAGATAGCCCTCTTTAGACCCTTTGTACGCGTCCACAAAGAAACATTGCGGGCCGAACCCTTTCACAAGATCGAACCCGAATGTTCTGAACTGCTGCTGTAGAAAGTCTGTAAGGTCGATCTTGTCTAGGAGCGGGCCGAACTGCTCGCTCAATTCGTCGTTGTTGAACTGGATCAGAATCGGGTCGTTCTTATACATCTGGCCCTTGTTGGCGCCGTAGGTGATGAGTAGTGTTTTGTACTGTTTTTTCTCGGGCACGTCCAAAACAACAGCAAACTGGATATTATTTTCCGACAGGTCTGTGATCAGCAACTCGGGCTTCGACTCGAGGCTTTTGGTGAGCGCCAGAAATACCTTGCGCTCGCCAGCAAAACAGCCAAACACAATGTTGAGTTTCTTGCGGATTGGCGACTGCACAGACAGCTCGGGGATCTGCAACACGATGTGCGAGCCAGCCAGACTTGAAGGCAGGACGTCCGCGTCGAAGTCCAGCTTGCGGCGCTTGGTCCCGCCCATATGGTCGATGATCGCTCGGAAGATCTCCTCTGCCGGCGGATACGCGTTTACCACGTCCTGGACCTGTATTTTCAGCTCTGCAGGCAGAAAGTCAAACGACATGGCGAAGATAACTTTTTTTCAGGTCGCGTCGCGTCGAAAATAAATAGATAAAAAGCACAGGACCCCTACTGAAATTCCTCCTTGCTGACAAAAAAAGTGTCTCCTTTTTTACCCGATGTCGGTCGCTCTTCCGCTGTACGAGGACGAAGAGTGCAGCGACTACCTGCCTCCGTCTCCAAGACAGGTTTTGAGGATCTCCATCAACCTCAAAACCCTTATTGACAAGGTTATACCTATTCCCCTGAAAGAAGAACAGATCCTTGGCCTGGACTCGATTATTCTGACAGACAAGCTGATCGCCGCGGTGTTGGACGCCGCAGGGGGCGAAGGCGCTTCCCGTAGACGGTATCAGGCGTGTCTTGTGTTCTGTCTGCTCAAAGTCAGCGAATGGTACTACTCTCTAACCGTCAAGGAGCTTTCTGACGACACTTTGTACGCATCTAGGATGCTGGCCGCACAGAAAATTGCTGCCACGCTGATCGAACGCGAGCAGGACGAGAAGTACCTGTTTATCTCCATGCTCTGCAACAGGTACTCCATCAACCTCCACGACGTGGACTCTGCGCCTGAGAACGCCCTGGAGCTGGCTGTCGACACCCATGCCACCATCATCATCTCGTCGGGCGGCTACCAGAGATGTCTGAAATGGATTTGGAGAGGCTGGATCGTCCAGTCGTCCACGGATTCGTCCAATTATGTTCTATTCAGGGGGACAGGAAATACAAGCTTCCTCAAGCACTTTGACCCGGACAGAATCAAAACCCCACTGTACCAGAACATTTTGGAAATCACGTTCTCGATTCTGTATTTGGCTCTCTTCACCTTTCTTGTCAACACAGACACCATCTCTTCCCATCTGGGAGCCGTCGAGGTGGTGTTCTATCTGTTCACCATCGGGTTTGCGCTGGACGAGCTGGTCAAGTTCTATCACGTTGGCTACTATTACATGCAGTTTTCCAACGTGTTCAACGATGTGCTGTATGCGATCGTGATTGCGTCGGCCTCTACGCGATTCGTTGCGTTGGCTGCCCATTCGCCAGACAAGCGCGACCAGTTCAACGTCATCTCCTACAGACTTCTGTCGCTGGCTGCTCCGTTCATGTGGTCTCGGCTGCTGCTGTATCTTGACGTGTTGCAATTCTGCGGAACCATGATAGTGGTGGTCAAGAAAATGATCAGAGAGTCGTTCATCTTCTTCTTCTTGCTGGCCATCATCACCGTGGGCTTCTTTCAGGCATTTGTCGGTTTGGACCAGGCAGACGGAAAGAGGGAGCTCACGTCATTCTTGACCACCACGATGGTTCAGACGGTTCTTGGTGGTCCGAACTTCGACACCATTGAGCGCTTTGCGTACCCGTACGGAGCCATTCTCTACTACGCCTACACCTTCATTGTGGTTCTGGTCTTGCTCAACATCCTCATTGCTCTGTACTCTCAGGCATATGGAGACGTTGTTGGAAACGCTACAGACGAATACCTCGCTCAGTACTCCGCCAAGATTCTCAGATACGTGCGTGCTCCAGACGACAAGACTTTCTGCCCGCCTTTGAACATCGTGGAGACCGTGTTCCTGCAATTGCCATTCAGCTGGTGGCTCGACAGAAAGCTGTACCTTTCTCTGTGCGACAAGGTGATGGTGGTGCTCTACCTTCCTGCGCTGCTGTTCATTGCCAGCTACGAGGTCCAAGCTGCCAAACGAGTCGAGTACAACAGAAACAGAAAGGTTGCAGACGACAACAACGAGGAAGACACTCCTTGGGATCTCACCGACGGCTTTGACCATAACGACGAGAATGGAGATGGTATCCGTGCATCGATCCAGACTCAGAGAAGGGCCGAGCAGGAAGATCCAAGCTTTGCGAAGAATTTCAAGGCTTGGGAATCCAGTCTCGACAGGCTTGTTCCTCCTATTGAGCCTAGTAAGGACGCGGGTATTTCATGGGAGAACTACGAAATATACCATAAATTGGACGAGCTGACGCAGCTTGTCAAAGCGTTGGAGAAAAAATTGGACGCTAAATAAAAGTAAATGTGAAATTAATAAATTTAAAATACTATAAATATTAATTCTAGTATATGGACCCAGAATACAAGGCTTTGACCTCTGTTTTCTCGGCGCACAAAAGCTACAAGTCGTGGGCCGTGAAGCAGGTGGTTGCTCCGAAGAAGCTGAAATACAAGAGCCTGACCAAAGACGAGCAGGCACTGTTTCCATGGATGAATCAGCATATCGACTATCTAGAGCACTCTGTTAATTTGAATGCGCAGTTTCTTGAGCAGATTGCCATGACTGTGGCTCCAATGTGGGGCGCAGAGCCAGATCCGGGCGTGTGGGCAGAGTGCTCGGCCCAGGACCTGGACAAAGTGCGCAGCATACTGATCCAGTTCGCGAGAGAGTGGTCTGCGGAGTGCGCGGACGAGCGAGCCGCATCTTTTGGCCGCATTTTGCAGGAGTGCGAGAACTTGTTTCCAGACGTCGTCAACAGACAGAACGTTGAGATTCTCGTGCCGGGCTCGGGATTGGGCAGACTGGTTGTGGAATTTGTGCGAAGAGGATTCCGCACCCAAGGAAACGAGTTTTCGTACCACATGCTCACCAACTCCAGCTTCATAGTCAACCACTCTTTTTGCGAGAACAACTACGTCATATGTCCCTATCTGCACAAGAGCTCCAACGTCAGCAAAAGAACAGACCAGATCCGTCAAGTGTACATTCCCGATTTTAACCCGGGAGACATTTCCTTTATCAATAAAGAGTATCCTGAAATTCCGGTCGCCGATCTGATGTCGATGGTGGCAGGCTCGTTTGTAGACCTGTACGGCCCGCCTAACATGCCGCGCATCAGCGACGTGTACACGAACGATCCGCAGGCCGTTGAGTTTCGCCAGCAGAACGCAAAACGGTTTCAAGTGGTTGCAACATGTTTTTTCCTCGACACTGCCTCGAACATTGTCGAATATCTGCGAGCCGTGCACCATTGTCTGGCCGACGATGGCTATTGGGTCAACTTTGGCCCTCTCCTGTGGCATTACGAGGGCGACGAGACTGTCACCATGAACACACAGAAATCCGAGAATAGCGACTGGGAGCAGGTCACGACGCCAATGAGAGGATTGGAGTTATCGCGAGACGACCTGGTTGAGCTTGTGCAGAAAGTCGGCTTCGAGTTCGTAAAGAGAGAATCTGACATTGAAACAACGTACGGCAGCGACCCGCGCTCGCTAGGCGGGTTCAAGTACAGGTGCGAGTTTTGGGTAGCAAGAAAAAAACAGAGCTAGTTCTGTGCAATTTCCTCCTGCATGTGGCTTTTCCACGAGTGCAAGTTGATAATCTCGGTCGAAGACGTCCTTGGAAAGTCCGTCTTTTTAGATCTCGCAAACACGTCTCTGGTGAGCTTCATCACCGTACTGGAAATAAGCCGTAGCGAGCCTCCTTCCTCTTGGTAGTGCTTGAATAATGATTTTGCAAGCTGCGCTTGTGAATCGCCTGCTTGGTCCAAAAGTTGTTCGAGCTTTTCCCGCTTGATGGGCAGACCTGCTGCTGTGAGAAAAGTTTGCAGCCGTATGGGCCGAAGCTTTGTCGCCACTTCTTCATGGGAAAGCTTGGTTGAAAGCATAACACAAAGCTTCGAGCGTTCCTCTGAAACCAACTTCGTCTTGAGGTACTTGATGAGGATAGAAAATGGCAAGCTCTCAATCACAGCGACATCGATCTTGTCCTCGCCAGAGGCTGAAAAACTCAGCGACTGGTTGATTATCTGGTTCCAGAAATTCTGGTGCTCCTTGATCAACTTCCCGTCGCCCAGACTTTTGCCCACGACTCCGAAAGTTAGACTTGAATTTTCGTTCACTGGCTGGTTTAAAGACTTTATAAACTGCTTGAAGATTTCTGCATATCTGCTGCCACTCTTTTCAAATTCCCTTATCCACTCGGTCACAATGTCGTCGATTTTTGCGTCCAGGTCCAATGGTTCGTGATCACCGCTCATGATTGTCACATGAACTCCCACGGTGTCTTTAAGCGTCCGAAGCCCAGCAAAAACAGCGTATCCCAGCTGGTACTGAGTTCTGATTTTTGCCGTGAGGAACGTCGACAGGATGTACGCCACAAATCTCGCTAGGGATCTGTCTCTCATGTTTCTGCGTGCTCCAAGCTGAATATAATACACCAAAGCGTTGGTTTCGTCCGGCGAAAAACCATGGATTCGGTAGTTGCAGCCGTGTGGCAGCGACAGCGTCTGGAGCTGTTTGTACCGAGGCGAGGCGAACTCCGCGACTAGCGTTCTCAGAGTGTCTACCGTGCGCTGGTAATTTGACATTGAAACGTCACCGTGGAGCAGTGCTGTCAACTGGCAGCTTTCGAGCGTGGTCTTGGCCGTCGTGGCTACCGTTTCAATGTCCAGCTCCTCAAGAATTTCGAGTCGGTCTTCCAAAGGCCACGTTCCCGGCTCGAGAACAGAAAGAAGCCCCAGTGATGCCAGCTCGTGAGATCGCAGTGTGCGCAGGTTCTCATACTTCATCTTGATCCTGATGCGGGACTGGCGGAACATGGCAGGCGTCACTAGCGCCAGAAAATTGTCACTCAACTCGCGCAGCTTATTCGTGATTATTTCCAGTATATTGTAGATCCCCACTGTGGAGCCCGAGACATGGATCACCAAACTGCAAGTCCCCTTCATTGAGTGCAGCAGATCGTAGGCGTACCACAGCTCCAGAGCGGGATAGAGCGTTTCACGGAGCAGCTCCTTGACTATGTCACTGAAAATCTCTAGGGATAAAGTTGACTGCACACTCGGTTCAATAGAGGCGCTGGTGATTTCAAAACTGAGGTAGGCTTTTCCACGGTACCTGTCACAGTCTTGTTTGAGCCAAAGCTGGATCTCTTTGGACGAGTGGACCAGCTCCGGAGGCCTTGTTTCCTCCTTTCCCGCATAGACAAAATTGCGACTCGATTCCAAAGTAGACTGCAAGAGCTCATACAAACCAGTCTGATTATCAATCTGGCCAACCACAAACTGATTTGGCCGTGGCAGCTTCACCTGAAACTCCGATTGACAATACGTTATGGGCAAGATTTTGTAACTGAAGCCATAGTATGGGTCGACGTCGTACTTTTGCCTCCCAAAGTGTGCAAGAACGTCGCCAGGAGCCACCAGTGTAGCCAAGATATTTTCTTTGCACACTGTCGAGCGCATTTGAGCGCAAAATTGCTCTGATTTCATCTTCCACCATGTCTGTGCCTCCATAGACTCCTCATACGACCCGTCATAACCAGAGTCGCTAGAAGACCAGCAAGGAGCATTTTTGAATAGCCAGTCGGAATATATCTGCTGGTCTTCCAGCAGCCTCTGGCTGAGGGTCCGGCATTGTGAGGATGCAGACAGTTCCGTGTCGCGGTGCAGAAAGTTGTACAGTTCAATGGAGTTGAACTGCGACATCAGCTTGGCTGCTCTCTTGACGCGCTTTGGATCGGGAGAAAACACCTCTTGGGTGTACCGAATGAGATAATCAAATATTTTCTCGTAGTCTCTTGTGCCGGCCATGGTCAGGTTCAGTTCTAGCTGTAGAAGTCGGTCCTTGAATGTGATGAGCGGACACGAGGAGTATGAGCCTTTGATAAGACCTGCTTTGAAAAGCTCTGAATTGAAAGACACCTCGTTTTCGCTGCCCATCACGTAGCTCCACACGTGGGCGAAAACAAGCGAGTCCTTGCTATCGGTTTTAAAAGGGAAGCATATCCTCAGAGTAGGGGTAGTGTTGGCGCTCTCGATCAGAACAAACTTCCCCAAATCTGTGAAAACTGGCGACCGGTAGACGGGAGCCCAGCATGTTTCAAGGACATTGCTCGTTTCTGTCCTTTGGGATGTCATGCATTCCGAAAAGTTTGCAATTGCCAGCTTCTTGAGCGCATTGAGCGACTGGGGGCCCGTGAGAACCAGACCCGATTTCCAGGCCTGGTAATTCTGCTCGTAAAACTGGACAAGCTCGTCGTGCAAATTGGTCTTCCTGCCCCGGAAAAGAGTGTCGAAGTTGCCTGTGCTGAAACGATGAAACGGATGTTCCGGGCTGGCCAGCAGCCGCAGACCATGGTGGGCCATCTTCCCGACCACAGAGCAATTTTTTGTGTGCTCGCTGTCGATGGCCATAACCTCCCGTCTTGCGTAGTCTTTGTTGAATGTCGGATTTCTAAAGCAAGACGAGAAAACACCCACAATCTCCTCATAAACAGCAAGATCCGGCGTTCCGTCGCTGTTGAAAGCTGGCACCTCGAAAAAAAACGACGTTTTCTCTCCCACCGTCGCAGCGTTCCATCTGCCACCACTGCAATATACAAGCTTCTTGCACAAGTCTGTCTCTGGGAATTCCTTAGAGCTCACGCAAACCATGTGTTCGCAAAAGTGGGCCAAGCCGACAGTGTCTTCGCGGTTCGAGTGATGGCCAACGGCCACGGAAAGACCGCACGCGGCGGTCTCCTGGGTTGGGTCGGAAATCAACAGGACATTGATCCCGTTGGGGAGCACAAACCGGAGATGGCTGCAGTGTCTGGTGCCAAGTGGAATATACGACGACATTGCCCCCACCAGAGCGATCCTGCCGCCTTTATATGGTGTGGATCCCTAACAGGACCACTACCCCCTTTTTTGTTTGAGATCGGTTTTTTTCTCACTCACTTTCCTATTTGGATTTTTCAATGCACAGCCTGCTAAGCGGCCAAGCAACCAGCAGCATAGCCAAGGGGGCCAACCTCAAGCTGGGCCCCCACGTAACAAGGCAAATGGGTAGTAGAGACTTGATGTAGGTTGTAGCCCGCCAGAGAAGCCTGTCGCGTCCATCAGCTTATTCCCTGCTCCGCCACCCTCGCCACTAATCTTTTTCTCTTTTTATACTACATTTTATTCTCATGTCCAAACAAACGTCTGTTAAACTTGTGCTGCTGGGCGAGGCAGCCGTCGGAAAGTCCTCGCTGGTGCTGCGGTTCGTGTCGAACGACTTCCAGGAAAACAAAGAGCCCACCATCGGCGCCGCGTTTCTCACGCAACGGTGCACCATCGGAGCAAAGACCATCAAGTTCGAGATTTGGGATACCGCTGGCCAGGAGAGATTTGCCAATCTGGCCCCGCTATACTACAGAAACGCGCAAGCTGCGCTGGTTGTGTACGATGTTACAAAGCCAGCAAGCTTCATCAAAGCCAGGCACTGGGTTAAAGAACTACACGAACAGGCCTCAAAGAATATTGTGATTGCTCTGGTCGGCAACAAGTACGACCTGGTGGTGGACCCAGAGACCGGCGAGGAGATCGAGGGCCGCAGAAGCGTCTCTGTCGAAGAGGGCAAGGCCCTGGCCGACGAGGAAGGATTGCTGTTTTTTGAGACCAGTGCCAAGTCCGCTTTCAACGTCAACGAGGTGTTCACAGCAATTGGAAAACAGATTCCAGAAGAGACGTCCAAGCCCCAGGACGAGCCTTCTTCGGTCGGCAGAATAGACCTCAACGCCCCTGTCGACGAGTCCGGAGGGGCCGGCAACTGCGCTTGCTGATCTCCTTACAACTTCGCCTTCATCGTCAATCCGCCCTTGGTGGCCTCCTGGTTGATCTCCAAAGCACTGTTCGACGAATACTTCTCGTGCTTGTCTCCTTCTCCAAAGAAGACCACGCTCACAGTCAGGTCGTCTCTGTACCGCCTGCTCAACGGAGAAGGAATGCTGACCAGCATGTTCACCTCCTCTTTGGAACCCCCGTTACTTAATGCGTTTCTAATCAGATGTGTGGCCACGTTTTCATCTTCCAGTAGGAATCCAACCTCATTGGACTTCCGTCTCGTTCGTAGTCTCTGCTTGCTCTTCGAGCTCTGGTCCGTCACGTCTTCCACCAGAGGCAGCTTATCTTTCGAGCTTGGCCACAGCGTGTCCATGAACGACTTCTTGGGCTTCACCATTTTCTTTTTCTCCATCCACCGCACCACCAGTCCCACAATCTCCTCGTTCGTCAGCATCTCGTACAGTCCGTCGGAGGCCATCACCAAGAAATCGTGTTTGGCTGGCGAAACCTCGTGCGTCGTTATCACCGGTTCGGCAGTCACATACGGAGGCGTCTTGAGGTTGGCAGGCAGCTGCCTGCCAAAGAACTGGTTGGCCACTCTTGTCTGGATGTCCTTGGCCCACTTGTATCTGGCGTCGCCAAACGCTCTGGTTGGCTCCAGCGAGCCCAGAACACGGCCGTTTCTGACCACATTGGGCTCGTTTGGATGCTCGCTGAGCAGCTTGGCCACTTCTGTAGGGTTGGAGCCCGTCTGGTCTGTCGAGAGTGCCCGCACAGTCCACTTGTTTTCGTGGTCATCCAAAGACCCCAATAGGGCTCGCGAATCGCCGGTGACGGCCACCTTGAGGTTGCGCGAATGGGTGTCATAGAACGACATCAGGGCACAGGAGCCGGAGAGAGCAGGCATCAGGAGCTCTGCGGCGCCGGCCTTGTTGGACGGATTTTCAAGCAATTTCTGCACGTTTTTGTTCACGATGTCGTCGTCCAGCTTGAGGAAGCCCTGTTTGATGGCCCTGTCGATGGTCTCGCTCGACGGGATCAGCCTGAGATTCTTGTCGCTGACTTTGTATGCCTGGTCCAGTTCGTTGACCACGTAGTCCAGAAGGCTGTCACGCAGCTTGGCAGACGTGTTCCAGCCCGCATGCCCATCGAAAATGGACCAGAAGTGCCAATCTGTCTCGACACGCGCGTTGTTGTTTTCCCTATCCTGGACAGGGACCTGGACGAGCTTCTCGCTGCGGTCGTCCTCAATTGGGTTGTTGCTAGGCAATTGACAGATATCGTACCGGATCACGCCCTTTCCGCGGTTGACCATGTACGATTCTTCGTATTGTCTCAGCCTTCTACTAACCTCGGCATCGCTCAGGAGATAGATGCCCTGTTTGTTTTGTTGGGCCGAAATCCCGCTTAGAGAGTTGGTAGAGGCCGAGAACAGCTGTTTTTGGTCTGCGCTGCCGGCTCCCTGGGCCGGCAGAGAGTCGGAGCGCAAATTGTTATTTGTGAGGGAGACGTAGGAGGTGGCTAGGAGGAGGCCGGAAACCAGCGCTAGACGAAACTCTGTTCTCATCTTGGAGCCCTTGTGACAGTTGGAGGCAAATCGGTGGTATCCTCGAGCCAGCGGAATGTTCTTGGAGCAGGATCTAAGTCTGAGTGCCAACATAATAGGAACAAGAGAATTTCTCGATTGCGAAATCAGCGTGGGTGAGCATGTCTGGCTGTGCAAAGATTCAACTCTTACGACGATTGAAGAAAAAAAAACTGTAAAAAGTTTGACGAGCCATGCCGCCAAAGAAGGCCCAAAAGGCCCAGAAGGACGCCGAGAAGAAGAAGAATGCCAAGAAGGTGCAGAAGCAGCTGGAAGATAAGACTTTCGGCCTGAAAAACAAGAACAAGTCGAAGAAAGTGCAGCAGTATGTGAACCAGGTCACTGCACAGGCTGCGGACAAGAAAGCACAGGCCATGGCCAAGCAGCGTGCTGCCGAGAAGAAAGCCGCCGAGGAGGCCAAGAAGGAGGCCGCCAAGCTGCTCCAGTCCTCGATTCCGACGCAAAAGGTGCCATTTGGAGTGGATCCAAAGTCGATTCTCTGTGAATTTTTCAAAGCGGGAGCATGCACAAGAGGCAAGAACTGTAAATTTAGCCACGACCTTGCTGTTGGCCGGAAGGCCGCCAAGAGGGACCTGTACGCGGACGACAAGGACGAGGAAAAGAGAAACGACACAATGGACAACTGGGACGAGGAGAAGCTGAGAAAGGTGATTTTGTCCAAGCATGGAAATCCAAAGACCACCACGGACAAAGTGTGCAAACATTTCATTTCTGCGGTTGAGGACGGCAAGTACGGATGGTTCTGGACGTGTCCGGACTCCGACCCCAAGCAGGGCAAGGAGTGCAAGTATAGGCACTCGCTTCCGCCGGGCTTTGTGCTCAAGACCAAGGAGCAGAGACGGCTGGAGAGAATGGCGTTGGAGGCACAGCCTAAGATCACGCTGGAGGATTTCATAGAGACAGAGAGAGACAAGCTGCCACGAGACAAGCTGACTCCTATCACGCCGGCTACGTTTGCAGAATGGAAGAAGAAACACACACAGGAAAAAGAGAAGCAGAGCGAGACGGCCAAGAAGGCCCTCACAGGAAGAGAGATCATTATCAAGAAGTTTGCAGACAAGTTCTACCGAGAGGAAGATACAGGCGACAAGGGCACGGAGATCGACATGTCGCAGTTCCGTGTTGCGCTCGACGAGGTCGACAACGAGAACATCAAGGACTACGGAGATGGAAGAAATGCATTTTTTGAGGAAAATAATGCAAGTTAATTTGGGAGATCGCCTACTTGGCTGTCTTGATGGCGCTGAACGAAGCTTCCATCACGTCCGCCGCGTCCCACCAGAACCGGAAGTCGACCTCTGGCGGATACTCGCTCACCACATGGTACACGCGCTCCTTCCACAGTTCCTTCTTCCGATCGAAAGCGTACTCGTCCGAGGCGCTTTCTGCCTGCTGCGAGAGCGAGAAGTTCTTGGTTGGCGAGTGCGGTGCGTAGCGCATAGAGTCCGTCGGGCGACGCGGAACGGGGGGCGGCGATGGCGACGGCGACTTGGTGTTTGCGAGGCTGTTGTCGCTCCTCATGTAGCTGCGCTTGGGGAGCGGTGGTGTATCCAGAGGTATGTAATCGGCAGAATGCGAGAGCGTGTTGGAGATTTGAGTTTTGATGAACTCTCGATGGAGTTTCGGAGATCGTAGTGTATCTCTGTAGGATCTATGGTCTTTGGAGGCGTCTGTGGATTTTAATGGTTCTCCTTGTAAAACTTTTGGTTTCGGAGGCGGAATCGGCGAGAACTTCTTCGTCTTGACATCCGTGTTGGAGTTTCGAAGAGCCAGTATGCTCTGCAGTTCCTTCAACACCTTGACGTCGTCGCCGTTTGACGAGAACGCACCGTTCAAAGCACGAATGTAAACTGCTAGAACCTGCTTTGGAAAAAGCTTCACCAGTTGTGCATAGGCCTCCACGTCCTGTTCTCCAGCGTCCCCGATCAAAATGAATTTTCTATTAGGGAAGTCCTTGAACAGTTTGATGAGCGACTCTTTTTTCCGTTCTGCGGACGGCATCGTGAAAGACGCTATCAGGTTGCCTGAATACTGACGTAGACTAATGCTGTCTACCGGCAACCCAACGTAATCCATGAACCCAGACACTATGTTGTATATCTGCCACGGGGAGTTCGACACATAATGGACTGGACAGTGGTATCTGAACTTGAGCTGTTGCAGCCAGCTAGCAACGCGCGGGATCTCGCAATCACTGAAATCCTTGGCAAACACGTTTCTGAACAATTCTCGTTTGTCTCCAAGCACGCCTGTGATTCTGACGGTGTCGTCTATGTCTGTAATGACACTCACTCCCTTTGACCCAATGACATTGGCTTCCTGCGTCTGTGTGATGCCTGGGTTGTCCACAGACGAGACAGAAATAAAAGACGGTTTGTACGAAGAAGCCACCGAAATGTTGAACGCACCAACGCCGTCAGTGTACAGATTGGCCCCCAGAAGCGAGTCTGTTTGGTCATCCGAGTACAGCGTGATGTTAAGCGGCGTCTTAGGGATCGTCCTGGCCATAATGCCCTGCATGCGGTCGCGGATGGTGTCGTGGGCGGGAGAAGAGTCTGTGGATTGCGACCCAGACGACACCGTCGAGGCTGTGTCGGAGTCGGGGCCTTTAGTGTCTGGGTGTGTCAAAGAGTCCTCCAATTCTGTTTCTATCTGGTTGACTGTCGAGGACGAGACGTTGGACTTGGACAAACGGTGCACTAGCGACATCATGAGCTTATTTTTCCTATTCATCACTCCGGGACAAAATATACACCCTGCAACGTCGGTGACGTATTCGCCGTTCATGTAGCGCGTGTACGTTCTGTAGAGCAGTATCTGGGCGTCGTCGGGCACGCGTGTGGCCAAATTGGCGGCCTGTTCCTCGTCATAGATGAAATTCTGTTGAATTGCGGTGGTGATGCTCTTGAAGTACGGAGACTCCTTGGTGCTTCTAAAAGCATTCATTATTCGTCTTTTGCCCATGTTGAGAACTGTGCTTGCCCGCTCGTCTTCACTGGGGCCCGTTGCAAGCGGCTTGTGCGGGTTCTCCATCAGCTTCCTGTAAAAAGCGGGATCCACGTCCTTGCGCAGTAGAAAGAAAAAGACCTTGTCCTTGCTGGATCGGAGAAGTTTATTATTGATGTATCTGGCAAGGTTGTACCGGAAAGATCGATGCGGACGGTGGACAAGGCCTAGCTTGTGCTTGATGCGTCTGAAGAAATTCACGGTGGAAGAGGATCAACAAGGAAAGATTATTACAGATCCCACAAACGTAATTTTTTATGCGTGCGTCGATCGTCCACAGTTCTGTTCGTATATATTATATGTGCACAACGTTTTTCAACGTGTAGCAGACAACTATCGGCATCGTCACCACCAGCGACGTGTACTGGACAATCAGGTATAGCGACAGACAGTTGATCTGCAGCGGGTTCTCGTCCTCCGGGTCCATGTTGCTGGCCGTCAGATACACCTGGATGGTGGCAGACGGGAGCGAGAACTCCATGCACGTGACAAACATGGCCATGGGGTCTGTGAGCCAGTGGGCCTTTTTCATGCGGTCGACCCACAGAATGCCGATGATTGGCAAGACGCACAGACGGTAGACCGTGTGGCAGAGCACGCATTTCCAGAAACCCTTGGGGATGTCGTTAATCTGCAGCCGGCCCAAAAGCGACCCGATTAAAAAAATTCCCAGCGGGACGCAGGGCATGGCACAGTACTGCGCGTACTGGAGAATAAAGGACAGCGGTGGCTGGTGGTCGGGGGCGTTGGGCATGTACACTGTGGTCTGCACAAACAGCGCCTTTAGCCATGGAATTAATGCAATGATGAGCGAGATGATGAGCACGATGGAGTTTGGCTTTTTCAGGTTCTTGACAAAAAAAATCAAGTAATGCAGCTTGTATCGTCTGACCCACGGAGCCTTTGCGGAGTTCTCAATGTCCTTGGAGCTCAGGTTGGTCTCTGTGATGATCTTCATGTTGGTCGGGATGTCTCTATTGTAGGGTTCGTGGCGCGAGTATTCTCTGATGAGTTCCTGGACGTGCGGCTGAGTGAGCACGCTGGAACGGTGCGACGACGCGGCGGACGACGCGTGCGAGTTGCACTGGCTCAGCGCGTAGTCGTGGTGCGACCGTGCCGACGGGATTCGCGAGACAGGGTACCGGGTGCTGTGCGAATTGTGCGAGGTGGTGTTGGAAAGTAGCGCGTGCGGATTTAAATTTTCGCTCGCGGGAGCAGAGTCGATGCTGGAGAGACTCGACCCGGACAACGACGACTTGGGCGACGCGCGGTCGTGGTCCATGTCTGTGTCGCGCCCGGGGGCCTTATCTTCGCGAATTGTAGGCAGCTCAAGGCTCTGCGATTTTTCCTCTGCGTCTCGTTTGCGTCGGAAATCCAGTTCCACCAGTTGGAACATCCCGCAGTTGAACTGCACAATTATATACATGGTGAGCCAGATGATCACGTAGGCGGTACCCTTGTTGATCTCGTCGTCCGAGAAAGTTGTCATGGCTTGCAGATACGAGATCGGCAGGTCGGAGACGTTCTGCATTATTCCTGCAAGCATGGCTCCTCCTATCCAGGACTGGTTTTTTTTCTTGGGCACGGGAGTCAGCGTCACGATCACCGCCGTGACGCCGGCGTTGCAGCAGTACATCATGAACGCCGACAGGCAAATCACGCCGATGGTCTTGATGTCGGATATCGAGATGTAGGACACGATCTTGTCGAAGATAAGAGCAGGCATGAAGAGGAGCAACACGAGGTCGCTGATTGCTCTGGTGGTGGACACGCTCACAAACCCGAGCTTCGTCATAACAAAGCCCGTCAGGATGATCATGTACATCCGGATGATGGGCTTAACCGCCGAGTATATCACTTCAGGAAGCGGTACACCCATGGCTTCTGTGCGGAAAGAAAATAGAGACAATTTTCGAGGACCAGTTTTTTTATACACTAGATAAGCTGAGGAACTGATAATCACGCAAGATTTTTTCCCTCGGCCTGACGGGTAGCGTGTTGATTGCGTGTGGAAGTAGAAAAGGTGTGAAATGACCTGTATATGTTTGTGGTTGTTGTTTCGGTTCCAGGGCCCCTGACACTGGTTCCTGCGCTAGCGCACCTTTTAGATTTCGTAACATTTTCTCATTTCGTCTTCTTATGAGCTCGGTGTTATCCCAGTCTCAGACAAGCTGGCCAGCCAAAAACTTTGTTGTGTACCTTCCTGGAGGCTCTGACTCCACAATTGCTGGCGTCCGGCTTGTGCTTGGCCCGCGCTCGGCGGTAGACTCTGCGCTCTCCCACCTGGATCCCCAGCCGGGACCCTCTAACGTGTGTGTCCGATTCGAAAGAATACACTTTCATCTCGACCAATGGTCTGTGCACATCACAGGACCACCACAGAGGGTGTCCGAGACGTATCGATTGGTAAGTTTGCCTATTTTTGCTGCTAACAAGATCATCTCCCTGTTTCCAAAAGACCCCCTAATTTTATGGTCCAAGTTCAGCCAGCCGCCAGAATTGGGGGTCCTGGTCAACAGCCACTACGCGTTTGGTGATATGTACCAACTAAACAGAAATTCAGAGCCTCCGCTAGCGGAAATGAGCAGAAAGAGTGCTGATCTGAGACCCCCAACAAGAATTGGCTATCTGCAGGAAAATAAAGTTCTGACGGAGAGGAACGCCCTGCCTGTCGCTTTCTCTGCTAAGCAGAACGTGGCAGTAAAAAGACAGTACCGCATGACACGCAAGGAGATAGGATCTCTGATTGGGAAGAAAGGTAGGGATATCGAGCGGATCCGAGAACAGACGACAGCGAAAATCAAAATACACGACACGGCCGACACAGAGAACGTGGGTATAGTCCCGGGAATCAACCAGACGCAGCTGCTGGAAATTATCGGACTCAAAGAAGAAGTGAAGGAGGCCGAGCAGCTGATCCAAAAGAAAATCAGCCAGTGGCGTGCTACCAAAAGTTGAGGCAGTGCCAAAACAAGATTTACCCACAAAAGCGTCGTGCGCAAGAGCCAAACCCGTTTTTTTTTTCTGAAAAATTTTTCACTTTGGGAATATTTCAAGGTAAAATTTGGGGGTTTAAAATCTTTTAATTACCTTTACAAATAGACATAATGGCTGACGGTGTTTTCCAAGGTGCTATTGGTATCGATCTTGGTACTACTTACTCCTGTGTTGCTACATACGACTCTGCTGTCGAAATCATCGCTAACGAACAGGGTAACAGAGTTACTCCTTCGTTCGTCGCTTTCACTCCTGAGGAGAGACTGATTGGTGACGCTGCCAAGAACCAGGCTGCTTTGAACCCAAAGAACACGGTTTTCGATGCTAAGAGACTGATCGGTAGAGCTTTCTCTGACGAGTCTGTGCAGAAGGACATCAAGTCGTGGCCATTCAAGGTTATCGACGACAACGGCAACCCAAAGATTGAGGTTGAGTACTTGGGTGAGACCAAGACTTTCTCTCCACAGGAGATCTCTTCTATGGTTTTGACCAAGATGAAGGAGATCGCTGAGGCTAAGATTGGCCAAAAGGTTGAGAAGGCCGTCGTTACCGTTCCAGCTTACTTCAACGACGCTCAGAGACAAGCCACCAAGGACGCTGGTGCCATTGCTGGCCTGAACGTGCTGAGAATCATCAACGAGCCTACCGCTGCTGCCATTGCTTACGGACTTGGTGCTGGTAAGTCCGACCAAGAGAAGCACATTCTGATCTTCGACCTTGGTGGAGGAACTTTCGATGTTTCTCTGCTGCACATTGCTGGTGGTGTCTTCACCGTCAAGGCTACTGCCGGTGACACTCACTTGGGTGGTCAAGATTTCGATACCAACCTCCTAGAGCACTTCAAGAAGGAGTTCCAAAAGAAGACTGGTTTGGACATCTCCGGTGACGCCAGAGCTCTGAGAAGACTCAGAACCGCCTGTGAGAGAGCTAAGAGAACTCTTTCTTCCGTCACCCAGACCACCGTCGAGGTCGACTCCCTGTTCGAGGGTGAGGACTTCTCTGCCAACATCACCAGAGCCAGATTCGAGGACATCAACTCTGCTCTGTTCAAGTCCACCTTGACTCCTGTTGAGCAAGTTCTGAAGGACGCCAAGCTCGACAAGTCCCAGGTCAACGAGGTTGTCCTTGTTGGTGGTTCCACCAGAATTCCAAAGGTCCAAAAGCTGTTGTCTGACTTCTTCGACGGTAAACAACTCGAGAAGTCCATCAACCCAGATGAGGCCGTTGCCTACGGTGCTGCCGTTCAAGGTGCCATCTTGACCGGCCAGTCCACCTCTGACGAGACCAAGGACCTGCTGTTGTTGGATGTCATCCCACTCTCGCTTGGTGTTGCTATGCAAGGTAACGTCTTTGCTCCAGTTGTTCCAAGAAACACCACTGTGCCAACCATCAAGAGAAGAACCTTCACCACTGTTGAGGACCACCAGACCACCGTCCAGTTCCCAGTGTACCAGGGTGAGAGAGTCAACTGTGCCGAGAACACTCTGCTGGGTGAGTTCGACCTCAAGAACATCCCACCAATGCCAGCTGGAGAGCCAGTTCTGGAGGCCATTTTCGAGGTCGACGCCAACGGTATCCTGAAGGTCACTGCTGTCGAGAAGTCCACCGGTAGATCTGCCAACATCACCATCTCCAACTCCGTCGGTAGATTGTCCACCTCTGAGATTGAGAAGATGATCAACGAGGCTGACAAGTTCAAGAAAGCCGACGAGGAGTTCTCCAAGAAGCACGAGCAAAAGCAGAGACTCGAGTCGTACGTCTCTTCCATCGAGGCTACCGTCACCGACCCAGTCCTGTCTGCTAAGATGAAGAAGGGTGCTAAGGACAAGGTTGAGGCTGCTCTGTCTGAGGCTCTGGCTGCTCTTGAGATCGAGGACTCTTCTGCTGACGACCTGAGAAAGGCTGAGCTGTCGCTGAAGAGAGTGGTCACCAAGGCCATGGCTACTCGTTAAGCGTGAGATAGTTTATTCGCATAATGGAGTGAATTAAGTATCGATTGTTGTAATTACTTTTTCAATATGTAATTTCCAAACTTATCAGTTTCCAGTTCTTCTCCGTCCACCAGGGCCTGCACGATTTTTTCGTTAACAGAGTCCGTGTCCGACTCAGACTCCGAAAACTCAAGCTCCGACCCATACTCCTCCTCTTCTTCCTCTTCCTCCTCCTCGTCCTCCTCAGTCCCGTCGTAGTCCCGTTTCATGCTTCCCAGCGCGTCTTCCAACTCTGTCTTCTTCTCGCTCCTGTAGCCAGACGCCTTCACCTGCATGTCCAAATCGCCTAGTCTTTGCACGTCTCTGCTGAAAACGGGATATGCGTGTCTGAAGCCATCGCCGTAGCCGTCCGTGTCCAGCATCATCGAGTCGTCCTTTGGCGAGTACCCAAATCTGCGCTTGAAAAACCGTCTGATGCACTCCACGTCCCGCTTGAAGTAGAACTCTGCGTCCACGTGGTTGATGGATATACACTGCGGGAAGTCGATCACGAGAAACCCAGGCTCTGTGGCCGGGTCGTAAGAGCCGTCCTCTTTGATCATAATGTTGTACTCGTTGTAGTCGCAGTGAATTAAACCATGGTTGGCTAATTTCACCATAAACTGCATCAGCTGCGAGTATAGCTTTTTGTATTGGAAATGCTCGCGAAGCTGCCGCATCGGAAAGCCCACCACCAGCTCCATGACAACGCAATGACGCGAATGGTCCAGCGGCCGCGGAATCTCAAACCCATTCTCATACAATATCGTCATAAACTCGTACTCTTTTTCTGCTGCCAGCTTCGACAGATGCATCCAGCTCTGAGCTTCCTTGTTCCGGAGGTAATCTCGCTTATTTTTCACTGTGCGGAAAGAAACTCTTCCCAATCGGTGGATCTTCAGCACTCTTTCGTTGCCCTGGCCGTCCTTTCCAGCATAGATATCCGACTCCTTACCAACACCTATAGTGCTCCCTAGCTCGACCAAGGTTTTTTTCTGCGCAAAGGTCTTGAGAGCTAGATAGTCGAATCCGTTGTATGTCAAGCGATACCCGTCGTATTTGGCGTTTCTCAGCTTTGAGATGAGGTTCAGTTTCGCAAGATCAGAGATGGCCCGGTTGGCAGAGCCCATCCCTGTCTTGAGGTTCGCTATCTGCCCGATCAGCTTCGTGGGCACAACCTCGTGGCTTCGAGACCCGTTTTCGACGGCCTGGAGTACTCGCCAGTCGTCCGCATTGAGATAACGCATGTGAATAGTGTCCAACTTCATGGTAAAAAATGAAAAAAAAAATGCAGATTTTTAAAATGATAGAAATTAATTTTGAGCGTGATAAGGTGGGTGAAGTTAGACGGATGGCTGGAGACTGAATATGCAACAAACTCCAGTGTAGTGGATTGGAAGATGACCTCAAGCAGCCCATCTACTTTTTGCAGACATAAAAAAATGTCTCCCCTCCCGGGATCGAACCGGGGACCCTGAGATTTCTTGTACAATTACAGTCTCATGCTCTTCCAACTGAGCTAAAGAGAGGACTTGTTGACAGAGAGTAGAGGGAGGTCGTCACATACTCACAGAGGGGACGAACGTACACTATAGAGTATACAACCCAGAGACAGAGCATTGGACGATACACAAATGGTGAAAACGGCGAGTCTCAAAATTGCTCCTACTCAAAATACTTATCTCCTATGTAAATGGTAGTTTTCATCCCAGACAATCAAGTCCAGCAACAAAGAAACTGCATTCTACACCAGTCAACCTCATTTATCATTCTTACTTACAACAGCTTGGTAACCTTTCCGATAGCAATGGTCTGGCCCTGGTCTCTCAGGGTGAATCTACCCAGCTGTGGATAATCCTCGTATGTCTCGAGACAAACAGGCATGGCGGTCTCCAGCTCGGCGATGATCTTCATGCCCTGCTTAGCAAATGCAGGCGGCTTCTTGGACTTTCTGTTGGTTCCCTTTTGCAAGTGGTGAAGCAGCTTTGTGAATGTGACTTCTTCAATCGCGGTGTGGACGTGCATCACACAGGAGAATCCAGAGGACAAGATCGACTTGAGCTCAACAATGGCGATCTGGGCCTCGAATCGCGTCACGGTCTTGACTGGGTTGAGCGTGGAAGAAAGCACGTAACCGGCAGACACGTCTTCTTCCTCAACACCCTTTAATTTCATTCTCACCTGCTCTCCGCAAACGGCAGTGTCGACCTCTGCCTCGGTCTCGTTGTAGATGGTCAGCACTTCGACCTGTATCTTGTTTGGCATCATTATCAACTGTTGTCCCTTCTTGACGTGTCCAGACTCGATCTTACCCTCGACGACCGTACCCAGGTCTTTCATTTTACCGGAAATCGGCAGCATGAATGGATCATTGATTTTTCTGGCAGCAAGAGGCATGTTGTCCAAGAACTCCAGCAGAGAAGGCCCCGTGTACCAAGGACACTCTTCCGGCTTGACACGATCCTTCAGACCTGCACCGGTGTAGCCAGACACAGGCATGAAAACAACGTCGCTCTTTTGGTATCCAACACCCTTCAAGTAGGCAGACAGCTTGCTGATACACTCGTTGTATCTTTCCTCCGACCAGTTGACGGTAGGATCGTCCATCTTGTTGATCACCACAACAAGCTTATTGACACCTTGCGTCTTGGCCAGAATTGCGTGCTCTCTGGATTGTCCTCCTCTCTCGAAACCGGCCTCGTATTCTCCCTTACGGGCAGAAATCACCAGAATACCAACATCTGCCTGAGAAGCTCCTCCAATCATCTCGGAAATGTATAGCTTGTGGCCTGGAGCATCCAGAATAGTGTATCTTCTCTTTTCGGTCTCGAAGTAGGATTTTCCAACCTCAATCGTCTTTCCGTCGTTTCTCTCCTCCTTGTTGGTGTCCATGATCCACGACAAGTACCAACCTTGTCTTCCGGCGTCCTTGGCCTCTCTCTCGTACTTTTCCACTGTTCTCTTGTCAACAGCTCCAGTCAGATAGAGAATGTTACCTCCCATGGTACTCTTTCCGGCATCCACGTGGCCCATGAAGATAATCGACATGTGGTCCTTTCCGCCAAACATATCCTGCAAAACGGACTCGTCCAGCTGTTGCTCTTGCTCCTTAATGACCGAGGATGCAGCAACCGACTTGTCTGTCTTCTGTGGCTTGGAGGAGGTCTTGGCATCGGCTTTGCTGTCTGCCTTTGGTTCTGGCTTTGGAGCGGCCTTGGTCTCCTGTTTAGTCTCCTGTTTAGTCTCCTGCTTGGTCTCCTGCTTGGTCTCCTGTTTTGGCTCTTGCTTTGTTTCCTTTGGCTCCTCCTTCTTTTTCACCGGCGCCTTGACGGTGCTGCTGTTCAAGTTCAGCTTCAGCTTTGTTTTAGGCTTGGAGCTCTTGTTGAGCGACTCCTGTTGCTGCTTCTGGTACTCTTCCAAAGACATGTGGTTGCTTTGCTGTTGTGGCTGAGCAGCGTATGGGTCGCGGGCATCGTAGCCAAATGACTGTGGCGGCACGTACTGGCCATACTGCTGGTACTGGCCGTATTGCTGATTGTATTGTTGGTATTGATTAAATTGCTGATACTGTCCAAATTGCTGTCCAAATTGGCCAGGAACAAACGAAGGAGCCGCGTTCGGGTTGAATTGCTGGCCGCCCACGTTCAGGTCTTGCATCCCCTGAGACAAGTCGTCCTGGTTGTTTTGCTGGTTAGGGTTCGACATTTAGCTATATTAAATTAAGGATGAATTTGGAAAATTTTTTATGCTCCACTACTTTCTGTCAATTTGCAAATAGGTTCAGATATGTTTTAAAAACTAAACATAAACATAAACATAAACAAAACCGTTCTCTTAGTCATGGATAGCGTGGAGTACCTGGATCCAGACTTTGACCCCCACAAGGTGACTGTGCCGCGTCTGAGGTCGATTCTCATTGACCGACAAATTGACTACCCGTCCAGCGCAAAGAAATCTGAGCTGATTCAGCTATATGAAGAGTATATTCGCCCTAACGCGGCCAAATGGCTCGAAGAGTACAAGAAAAGTATTGAAACTAGCGTGGAGATAGAAGAGGCCAACTCGTCGCCCAAGAAGAGCGCGAAAAGCTCCAGAAACTCAACTCCCGACAAAAGATCGCGCAGAAGCCTGAGTCCTGCCCCAGACCAGACTGTCCCGCAAAAACGAGGCTCTGAGGCGGCCACTCCTAGAAGGAAGAAACTGCACAGAAGGAACAGGAATGCGGAAGAGAGTGCCGTCTCCGACGATGCTGAATCGCCTACTGTCAGTAGAATGGAGGAAGGAAAACCCAATAAATCCATTAAGTCGCCACTGTCTTTGGAGAAGTTTGAGTCTGAAAGTCCGGTTGAGGAGGGCGACATTTCCGACATTCTTGCTAGGCTTGTGAGTCCCAAAAAGGAGGAACCAAAACAGGAGGTAATCGAAACGCAGATGGAGAATACATTCGAGGTGGTCGAGAACGTTCAGGTTCCTTCTTTTCTTGACGAAATGCTGGCGGGACCTGATAGGATTCTTGATAATGACAGTGGAGACGATGAGCGCACGATAGCAAGCGCCGCAAAAACGATGGAGAAGGAACTACTTTCAGATCATGACAGCTCGGACACGGAAGTAGAGGAAGTAGAGGTCAAAGTGCGTGAGAGCGAGGTGTGCGAGGTTGTGGAAATTGATGGCGAACAGCAAACAGAGACCGTGGAGACAGAGACGACAAAGGAGACTGTCACTGTGATTGAGTCTCCTGCTGAGGTGGAGTCAAAGCCAGCTCAGAAACGGCATTACAAATATGCGCTTCTGCTGCTACCAATTTTATCGTCGCTATTTTTGTACCGCTCGATGGCCCTTGACGTTGGATTCTGTGGTCGGGAAGGCGAGATAAGGAGTGTGCGGTCGTACCTGCCCACAGAGAATCCATTGTGGATGCAGTTCGCAAACAAAGCTGACGCGCTTTTGGAGCAGATCAAGCCGCAATGCGTTCCGTGTCCCGAGCACGCTATTTGCAAGTACGACTCGAAACTTGAATGCAAGAGCGGCTACACTGTTTCCAGACCGTGGCAGTCGCTCTTGGGCTTAATTCCTCGAATGGAGCAATGCATTTATGACGATAAACGTCTCGAGAAGATCAAACTAATGACCGAGTTTACGCTGGATATTCTGCGTCGCAAGAACGGTAAGGAGATGACTCTGGAGGAGCTGCACAACTTTCTCAAGGCCACCAAGTCGGCCGGCATGGCTGACGAGGACTTTGAGGAGTACTGGCTTCGGTTTGTGACGGAGGAGATCTCAAAGGAGCCGGAGATCAAGGTGGACTTTACCACGAGCTCGATCTCGATCGAGAACAAGATCCCCACGCAGTTCCTCACACGGACGCCAGGGGCCAGGCGGGCCAAGAAGTCGAAGCTTTTCCAGCGGTATCCGCTTCCGACGTCGACCTTTGGCGGCTTTTCTGCGTATGGTAATTAAATAGGACTAGGTAACGAATCATGAAATAATAATTAGGGCAGTGCATAAAAAAGGTTTCACAATGGTTTTGGCCAAGATAACAGACCACGGTCTTTTGATGGACCAGACAAGCAGCGACAGCAGCAGAGCCGGATTGTTTTGTTGCAGTCCATCAGAGCTGGCCGACAAAGACGGTTTCGAAGAGCTCTCCAGCGGCACGCTCATCCCGTTCAAGAACATTGTCTGGGTAGAGGGAGCATTGAATGAGAGCGTGGAGATCACGTATATCGAGCAGCAGGACTCGCATCTCAAGATTCGCACCGTTGTGGCTGACGTAACCGGCAGACAGCAGTCGAACGAGCCGGGGTCGAAGAGTGCTGTGTCGCAGCTGATGGCTCTGGCATACGCAACTTCTGAGCCCAAGAAGTCCGTCATTGTGTTTGTTAATCCGCACAGTGGCAAGGGCAAGGCTATCCATCTGTACGGGCACGAGGTGGAGCCTGTTCTGAACGCCGCGCGGTACCACGTCGACCTCGTCAAGACCGAATATTCAGGCCATGCTACAGAATACATGAAACATGTGGATATCGATAAGTACGACGGAGTCATTTGTGCTTCTGGTGACGGCATCCCGCACGAAGTGCTCAACGGCATATACAGTCGCAAAGACCGCGTTCGGGCCTTTCAAAGGCTCTTTATCGCGCAGACCCCGTGCGGGTCGGGCAACGCCATGGCTCTCTCGTGTCTGGGCACTTTGAAGCCAGGACTGGCGACTCTGGAAATCATCAAGGGCCACACAGTGCGCAGCGATCTGATGCTCGTCTGCTCCAAAGGCAGCGGTCCACGGGTCTCGTTTTTGAGCCAGACGTACGGCGTCATTGCCGAGGCAGACATAGGCACCGAGTGGATGCGGTTCATGGGCGGGATTCGCTTTGATATCGGCGTGGCGCTCAACATTCTGCGAAGAAAACAGTTCCCTTGTCGCGTGGCAGTCAAACGCATCACCAGCGACAAACAGGAGCTCTCGGAGCGGTACAAGTCTCAATACCAGCAGCACGGCGTGACCAGAGTGTTGGACGAGGCGGCGCTCACGCCAAAGTATTTTGACGGACATCTGTTTGACGACGACCAGCTGCCAGCAGGCTGGGAATGGCTGGACGACAGCGTCACACAAAACCTGTCCATCTTCTACACGGGAAAGCTACCGTACATCGCCAAAGATGTGGACTTTTTCCCTGCTGCGCTGCCGAACGACGGGGCGATCGACCTTGTGCTTTTCGACGGCCGCGCACAGGTGTGGAGGTCGGCGCACAGTCTGCTCCAGCTCGACAAGGGTCTGCACGTGTGGCACGACCACGTGGACCATCTGAAGGTGGAGTCGCTGAAACTGGTGCCGATGCTGGGAAAGGGCCGCACCAGCTACATTTCCGTTGACGGAGAAAACTTCCCCGTGGAGACAATCCAGGTGGAGGTGCTCCCGGGCGTGATGAAGACCGTGATGAACGACGGCCGCTACAAAGACAGCGGGTTCTTAGCACAAATTCGTTAATACTGAAAAGATAGAAAACGCTACTCTTTCTTACCGTCCTCCTTCTTGTCGTCGTCCTCGTCGCTGTCGTCCACAGCAAACGTGTCGTCGACAACAGGCTCCGGCTGGACCGCCGGGATCGGCTCGTGGCTCTGTTTCGTATCTGTTGTAGCGTCCTCGAGCTTTATTCCTCCGACCTGCTCTTCCAGCTCCTTGCTCTTGTGCGACTCAGCCACAGAGCTCGTCTTTTGCGGCCGTGGCGGCCTCACGGGAGGCGGAGGCGGGGTCTGGCTATCGTCGCGGCTTCTGCTGGACTGCATGCTGGATTTCCTGCCAAACGCGTTGAACAGCTGGTTCTCGCCCTGGCCCTGCTGCACGGTGTTGACCTCGGTCTGTATTTTCTTGGCGAGGTTGCTCATCCAGCCGCCAACAGTATTCTTGGCCTCCTCCACGTTTTTGGCCAGCGACTCGACAAAGTCCTCCTCGTCGTCAGAGCCGTCCTCGATCGCAGCCCAGACAGGCTTCTTCTTGGGCTTTGGCGGCGGAGCCTTTGAGCGAGAGCCGCGTTTTTCGTACTCGCGGGCCAGCCGACGGGCCAGTGCCTCGTCGGACTCGAGCTGCTGCCGTTTCTCGAACGAGTCCTTCGATGGCAACTTTGGCTTGGTCTCCACAACAGGCACGGCGATATCCGACGAAGGGTCCGACAAAAACAGCAGCGCGTTGAAGGCAGGGTCCAATTGGCCCTGCGACGCAATCAGGGCCATTTTCACGTACTTCTCCTCCACAGTTGGGAACGCCTCCTTGAGATCTTGGATCGCCCGTTCGGCTGCAGACACTGGTCGTTTTGGCATTGGCGGCGGCGCAGCATCAGAGGACGCACCCTCGGCCTTCTCAGCGGCAGGTGCCAGCTCGGGTGTCTCGTGAGAAGCCTTTTCTTCCTCTTGGAGGTCTATTTTGGTCGCTGTCTCAGATGCTTCTTTGTCACTCATAGTTTAATAAATAATTTTGTCGCGGCGATTTTACATACCTGATTAGTACACAACACTAGATCGCGCAAGCACTGGGCTCACTCAGTTTTGATCGCCTTGGCAGCCTTACGGCGGCATAGGGCCTGTTCAATACAGTAGGCGACAGCGTCCCAACACACACGGAAGATGTACACCACCAGATCTGCAAGAATAAATAGCAGCCATGGGGTGATGATAATCATCGCCACGGTGTACTGCACAGTTAGTCCCCAAATCCAGTCAGATACTCACGTTGAACCAAATAACACAGCTCTTTATTTTATCCCATGTCTGTGCCAGCAGGTCCCAGTCGACTGACGACTCCAGCATCGGTGTGTAGCAGCCAGAAAAAGTTAAAAGTTTAAAAAATATATTTAAATGAGCAGACTCGAACTGTACTCACCTGAAGGTCTCAGGGTGGACGGAAGACGATGGAACGAGCTTAGACGGTTTGAGTGCCAGATCAACACACACCCGAACGCAGCAGACGGCTCGTCGTACGTCCAGCAGGGAAATTCCAAGGTGCTGTGTCTGGTGAAGGGCCCGATGGAACACGGGGCGAACCTCGCAGCAGGAACGAAACTTGACCCCAACGGGCCGGTGCTGTCTCTCAACATCAACTACCCGCCGTTTGCATCCAACGAGAGAAAGAAGAGACCAAAAAACGATAGACGATTACAGGAAATCAGCATCATTCTCAAACGTTGCTTCATGAAAACTATAGTGCTGAAAAATTATTCACGAACAGCCATAGACATCAATCTCACGGTCCTGGCGATGGACGGCGGCCTGCTGGCCTGTTTCTGCAACGCCATCACGCTGGCGCTGATCGACGCCGGCATCTCGCTTTACGACTACGTCAGTGCCGTGAGCGTTGGGCTGTACGACCAGACGCCGCTGCTGGACATGAACGCGCTCGAGGAAAACGATCTCAGTTTCGTCACGATCGGTGTCGTTGGCGACTCCGACAAGCTCAACCTGACTCTATGCGAGGACAAGCTGCCGCTCGATAAGCTGGAGAGACTGATCAGTCTGGGCATAGAAGGCTGCCACCGGCTGAAGGAGCTCATGGATTTGCAAGTGCGTGTAGCAGGTGGGCAGCTGCAAGAACGCCAGTAATGTACCTATTTCAGATGTATTTTGCGTAGCAAGTTGCGTCCTTTCTGTTTGATCACGGACGAGGTGCGTAGAAGGTCGTTTGCCAGCTCTGCCGTCGACGGCGTGCTCGAGTGGTACTGGTCCGAGTTCTTGAATGCGTTCAGCACGTTCGGTCCCAATTGCGAGTCGGTGTTAGCGAACGACTTGGAGCCGGCCTTGATGGCCTCGTGCAAGTACCCAGAGAGCCCAGTGTCGTACTCCATCAGGTCCCGTCTCGCTTTCTGCAGCGCTGCAAGCCGTTTTTCCGTCGTCGGTAGCTGCATGATTTTTTTCAGGTCCGCGTCGGGAAAAGCCGTTATGGCAGGTGTCTCCTTGATAGTCTCCTTTGTGTCCTTGGTATCCTGCGACGTCTCGCTTGCAACTCGACTGTTGGTGCGGGGCTCTGGCACGTCGTCAATTAGCATGGATCGCACTCGGGACTGCTGGATCGGCGGCCTCACTATAGGGCCTCTTCCCTGGTATCGCTCGCTTCGAGGGTCCTCGTACACGGAAGACCCCAGGGTCTCTGACCTCACTGGTCTGACCGTGTCTTTTGTGTTCTGGCGCACAAAATTCTGTCTGAACTGGTCTGCCTCGGACTCCTCTCCCAGCACGCTTTCGCAGTAGCTATCAGACAGATCGTAGGTGCGTCTGGTCGACAATGAGCCCGACGAGCTCACAGATCTTGTTTCGTGGCCTGCAAACGAAAACTGGTCGTCGTTCTGCTGCCACGAAAACCTGTCTGACGGAGAGTTTGAAAGGTGAGAAGAGTACGACAGCGACGATTGTTCGTCGGGAGCACGGTTCGATGAAGTGTCAGTTGAAGCGTCGAACGAGGTGCGAATGGTATCGTTTTGTGTCCCCGAATGCTCCTGCTCCTCGCTCGTATCGAAATCGTTCAAAAACCGGCCTCTAAACTCCTCTGCGTCCGCCACAGGCTTAGCCTGCGCTTTATTTTCTGGCTCAGCCGAATCTTGCTCAGACTCTTCGTCTGCCTCCTGTCTGGCGTCCTCGCCCGTCAGGCCATTGGCAAACTCGTCTATGGAGCGCGAGATGTCGTCGATGGAGTTTCCAGACTGCGCAGAGAGCGTATCCGGGACAGAAGAACGGTGTATATCCAACGGGGGAGTGGTCTCTAAAGGAGACTCAACGACCGTGTGATCGGACGTTGATGCAACAGGATCAAGCACTTCGTCGGCCACAACCACGCTGCCAGTGTTTTCTCCTTGTTCTGTGTCCTGCAATGGCTCCTCATCCGCTCCGTCTGGTTTCTGTTCGTCGGTCAAAGACAGGTTGTGTATATAATTATCGAGTCCTTCCTGAGCCCGAGTAGACAGAGAAGTGCTGTCGTCATCAGAGGCCGCGATAGCAGCCAGATTATCTTTGCTTGAACTGGCCATGGGATAGATTGGTACCTTTATTAATTAACCATAAGAACGGTGACAGAAAAGTTTAAAATATAAATAGAAGAGAAAAAATACATTTTATTTATTACATTTTATGCACTGCAAAAGCTCAGTCCAGGCGGACGGTGCGTTGGCAGAATGAACAAATGGCTACCGATGATGAGTCTTTTTCTATCCTTATCTACATTACCTGATCACAATGATAGACAACCATGACTGAGGATGCCATTTCGATCATCTATTCCTCGCCCGCAGGAATCTCGTCTTTGAGCACTTGCACCAACCGCACACGTAACTCTGTAGTCTCGTCGCCTCGTAGAACATCGCTAATAAACCCAACTTCGCAGTCCAGCTGGACCATCTCCAAAGCGCCCCTCAAAACACCGCACAAGATGTTCGAGTACCACAGCTCCTTGACGGCCTTGCCGTCGTCAGGCAGCTCCACGAAGTCTGCCAGCGGGTTTTCTGTCAGTATCAGACTGAATGTAGTCATGTCTGAGGTCCAATTCGTGATGTTAGGCACAATATTCAAAAACATCTTGAATCCGACTTTGGACACGATTTCGGCCGTGTCGCGGAAACTGCTGCATCGCGAGAGTTGTGTTTTTTGTAAGAACTCATCAATCAAGCGCACGCCTATGTTGTAGCCCATCTTGTATGTTTGCGCGTTGACCTCCTCGTAGTTGTTATTAAAATCGCGACACAGCTGCGCAACAATCGAGCCGTAAGTGAGCGTAAATAGCTCGGAGTTCACCTTCTCGACTTTGGTCTTCCAGACGTCGTCTCCAAGTTGTTTTATTTGTTTAGACATCGACGTTAGTGGATTAAGAATTTATTTCGTACTTTTATTTCTCTAGACACAGTTTGCGCAAACAAGTTGAGTCCCAGCCCACCAGAAACAGAGTTAGCCCGAGTAGCGTAATGGTTAACGCGTTTGACTTCTAATCAAAAGATTCCGGGTTCGACTCCCGGCTTGGGTGCTTATTTTTTGCAAATTAACATTTTACTTTTCCTTTTTTTATAGCAAGAAGCTACTCATTCTTTCTTTCCTATCACAAATAGATCACATTAGCTTACTCTATACCTAATCCACCTCCTCAACAGTTGGACCTTGAGTCTCCTCGGTGGATGGAGCGCCACCGGCACCTGGGAATCCACCTGGAGCACCACCTGGCACACCACCCTCAGCATACAAGTCCTTCAGGACTTCGTTACCAACTTGCTCCAACTCCTTTCTCTTGTCGTCGTACTCCTCAGCAGTAGCGGTCTGGTTCTCGTCCAACCAAGCAATGGTTTCGTCGCAAGCCTTGGTCAAAGCCTCTCTCTTGGAAGCTTCCACCTTCTCTTCGAATTGCTTCTCAGAAGCAGTTTGCTTCAAGGAGTAAGCGTAGGACTCAAGACCGTTCTTAGCAGCAATTCTCTTAGCTTCCTTCTCGTCCTCCTCCTTGTACTTCTCAGCCTCAGAGACCATTCTCTCGATCTCCTCTTGCGACAATCTACCCTTGTCGTTGGTGATGGTGATCTTCTGGGACTTTCCGGTACCCTTCTCAACAGCGGACACGTTCAGAATTCCGTTGGCGTCAATGTCGAAGGTGACCTCAATTTGAGGAACACCTCTTGGAGCTGGTGGAATACCAGAGAGCTCGAACTTACCAAGCAAGTTGTTGTCCTTGGTTCTGGCTCTCTCACCCTCGTACACTTGAATCAACACACCTGGTTGATTGTCGGAGTAAGTGGAGAAGATCTCAGACTTCTTGGTTGGAATAGTGGTGTTTCTTGGGATCAGCTTGGTCATAACACCACCAGCGGTCTCAATACCGAGAGACAATGGAGCAACGTCCAACAGCAGCAGGTCCTGGGTCTTGGAGGAAGTGTCACCGGTCAAGATAGCAGCCTGCACAGCAGCACCGTAGGCAACGGCCTCATCTGGGTTGATGGATCTGTTTGGCTCCTTTCCGTTGAAGAAGTCGGAGACGAGCTTCTGCACCTTTGGGATTCTGGTGGAACCACCAACAAGCACAATCTCGTTGACTTGGGACTTGTCGAGCTTGGCGTCCTTCAACACCTTCTCAACTGGGTCCAAGGTGGATCTGAAGAGGTCTTGACACAACTCCTCGAATCTGGCTCTGGTGATCGAGGTGTAGAAGTCAATACCCTCGTACAGCGAGTCGATCTCCAGGGAGGTCTGTGCGGAAGAAGAAAGAGTTCTCTTGGCTCTCTCACAGGCGGTTCTGAGTCTTCTCAAAGCTCTCTGGTTGCCGGAGATGTCCTTCTTATTCTTTCTCTTGAATTCGTTGATGAAGTGGTTGACAAGTCTGTTGTCGAAGTCCTCACCTCCCAAGTGAGTGTCACCAGCGGTAGACTTGACCTCGAAGATACCGTCCTCAATGGACAGAAGGGAAACATCGAAGGTTCCTCCACCAAGATCGAAAATCAAAACGTTCTGTTCACCCTGGCTCTTCTTGTCCAGACCGTAAGCAATGGCAGCAGCAGTAGGCTCGTTGATGATTCTCATGACGTTCAAGCCAGCAATTAAACCAGCATCCTTGGTGGCTTGTCTTTGGGAGTCGTTGAAGTAAGCTGGAACAGTGATAACAGCGTCCTTAACGGTGGTTCCGAGGAAAGACTCGGCGGTCTCCTTCATCTTGGTCAACACCATGGAGGAGATCTCTTCTGGAGTGAACACCTTGGTCTCACCCTTGAATTCGACCTGGATGTGTGGCTTGCCGCTCTTGTCGACAACCTTGAATGGGAAGTGCTTGACATCACCCTGGACCTCTGGGTCGTCGAACTTTCTACCGATCAGTCTCTTGGCGTCGAACACAGTGTTGGCTGGGTTCATGGCAGCCTGGTTCTTAGCGGCATCACCGATCAATCTCTCGGTGTCGGTGAAGGCAACGAACGATGGAGTGGTTCTGTTACCTTGGTCATTGGCGATAATCTCGACTCTGTCGTTGGCAAAGTGCGCAACACACGAATAGGTAGTACCTAAGTCAATACCGACTGCTTTAGACATATTAATTTCTATAATTCTATTCTAAGAAATGGTAGAAAACAATTCTATGAAAAGATTTAGCCCAGCTGGACCTCAATGCATATATATAGTATTGCCATTGATCGTACTAGAACGACCGACAGCTTCAAAAAATTGATTTCGTCGAATTTTTCACTTATCGCACGACTTAAGTCCTTCTAGAAATTTCCATTCCCAACTCAGGTCGCCATATCTGGCTCAATTGCTCTTTGGATAAGACCTGGTTATCGATCACGCAATCTCCGGGCCAAACGGGACGCATCCTACAGCTCAGATCTGCGCCTTGCAACGGTGTGCATGCTGACATAAACGATTAGATAAGCGTACCATCGCAGTTCATTCTATCTTACTACTCATTACCACGATGCCACCTTCCTCCAGGGACGCAGTTCGTGTGACTGCCAGTGCGCATATCAAGCATTGGCTGGAGCCTGTTTTATGCGAGGAAGAGCTCGGCCACAACTACATATTTGACAGGGTGCTAAAAGTGCTCCGAATATACCCCAGATCAGACACTATGTCCTCGCTTCCCCTATGTTTGTGTGATGCAAATTACAAGATTCTTGCCTTTGCGAACTATAAAGCAATTGCAGCTTTTGAACGCAAGGAACGACGCAGAGTCACGCAAAATTTGCTCAACTCGGAAATCATGATCCACTCATTCACAGTAAGGTTTTACAATGATTACCAGGTGCAAGAATTTTTTGATGGCCTGAAGTTCAAGCAGAAGTCCAGCTTGTTTCCTGGATACCTGGTTCTGGAAATCAATGACTTTTCGATGTTCAATCGGGACCAGCTGATCTTGAGCAACGCAGGTGCAATCGAATTTCTATATGGTATCCCACGGTACGTTGCCCGGTTTATAGAGCAGGAATTAAGCGAGGAAGAGAGATAGGCGACGTCTCGATCCCCTCAAAATTGCTAAGGCCCGAATTTTTTTTTGCAGGGACCCATGTAGCGTAATGGTTAACGCGTTTGATTCCTAATCAAAAGATTCCGGGTTCGAGTCCCGGCATGGGAGCTCTCCTTGTATTTTTTTTTGGCACAGTAATAACGTGAACGTGGAAAGCCCGCTTAGCCCTCTTCGGTACTCTGCGCTCTTGATTGTTCAAAGCTGCCCCACTAAATCTGGAGTTGCGGACAACCTTGATAGATTTATCCAGAGCGCGACAGTAAGCGAGGGAAAAAAAAATTCTTACATAAGCGAGGGCGAGATATATATTTTGATAGCATGTTTATTCTTTTTCGTTCCATTGGCAAAAACTAGGTTCTGAAATGTCAACGCCTGCGAGAAGAAGACTGATGAGGGATTTCAAGCGGATCCAGCAGGATTCCGCTGGAGGTGTGTCTGCATCTCCATTAGCCGATAATGTGATGATTTGGAACGGAATAATTATCGGTCCGCAAGATACCCCGTACGAGGACGGTACGTTCAGACTGCGACTAACATTTGATGAGCAATACCCTAATAAACCACCTAATGTGCGGTTTACGTCTGAAATGTTCCATCCGAACGTCTACGGGTCTGGAGAGCTGTGTCTAGATATCTTGCAGAACAGATGGTCGCCGACCTACGACGTTGCCTCGATTTTGACGTCGATTCAGTCGCTCCTTAACGATCCAAATATCAGTTCGCCTGCCAACGTGGAGGCCGCCAACCTGTACAAAGACCACCGCAGCCAGTACATCAAGCGTGTCAGACAGACTGTCGAGAAGAGCTGGACAGAGGACATGTTGGATGTCGGCGACGACGACGACGATGAGGCTGACGAGGATGACGAGGATGAACAGGACGGTTTGGACAAGGGGGAAGCGGACGACAAGGAGTAGCGACCATAATAGCATATAGTTCTTTAAAGAGCACAAGTCATGTTTACTTGACGTAATTTTGGCAATGCTATTTGACGGCCTGGGCGAGTTTCTTACTTAGGTCGTCAATTTGCAAAAGCCTATCGTTTTGCAAATACTCGTAGTCCGGCACCTTGCCGGTGCTGTTCACCTCTCTGTCTTTGCGGTAGTTGAGAAAGGTGAGCACCATAAGGAAACCCAGTACAAACTGGCTGTACGGGTTCATTTTTCTGTCTTTTTTGTACTGCTCGACTCTCTTGGGACCGAAAAGACGTGGATCGCGAGGCGGCAATGGGGATATGATTGTGTCTTTGGATGGGTTCACAGACTTGAGGACCGACGGCGTGCGGAACGGCAGATCTGGCGGCACGTACTCGTCGACCTGGACTTTATATTTCTGCGACTCTGTTTCTGCAATTATCTGATCAAGAAGAGTGCTGGACTCTTTTTTCTCTGGAACCACCGTCCTTCTATGCTCTGTGACAAACCCCTCACGAGGCCCGTGAGGTCCATAGGCCAGCCAATAAATAAATCGTTTCTTGTCTTTGTCGATCCCCGTCCACTTGCGTTTGAACTTGTCCTCGAGCTCCTCCAGAATGTAGTGCTGTTTTGGTAGGGACAATTTCAGATACGTTTCTGGGTTTTTGTACACGGGCGTGGGATCGAAATTGGCGGTGTCAAACTCGTCGTCGTCTCCTGAGGTGGGGGAGAAAATGGCAAAGATGTCCTTGATTGAAGAAAGAGCGAGCTTGTTTCTTTCTCGCCGCAAATCCCGCTCCTGTTTCAGTTTCTGGTTGAGCAGTTTGGCGTCTGGCATCAAGCCGGCCGCTTTGGCCTTCGCATTGGCGCCGGCCTGGCTCGTGGAATAGAACCGGATCGTACGCACTAATTTAAACATAGGACAAGAAATAACAAATTAATTTTTCTTGACTTATTTTCCTATGTCGTCAACGTCCAACTTTCTTGCCGAAATGACAAACTCGCCGGTCGTGGTCAAACTCCAGCACGGCCTCGAATACCACGGAGTGCTCGCCTCCATTGACGGCTATATGAACGTCGTTCTGAAGGACACCGTCGAGATGGTTGAAAACAACAAGGTCAGAAATTACGAAGAGGTGTTTCTCAGAGGAAATAACGTGCTGTACATTTCGCAGAAATAACCTACATAACAGCATTACCACCAGTGTACTATACAGACAAATACATCGTTTTTGCTCAACTATCTACTCAGCGTCGTTCTCTTTGGGTTCCTCAGAAAGCGAGACTTCGACGTTCTCCTTTTCGTCAGAATTGCCAACTTCAGAAGACTCGTCTGTCTTGGCGCCTCGTTTGTGCGCCCGCTTTCTTTTCCGTTTCCTGCCTCCTTCTTCTGGCTCATCGTGCTTCTTTGGCTTTTTCACGCTCAGCGGATTTGGCCCCTTGGGACCCTTGCGTTTCGTCTGGGCTGGCCCTTTCTCCTCTATTTTTTGGTCCCCGTCTTGCGCTTGCACTCCTGCACGCGGATCGTTCAAGTAGCTCGTCAGTTTTCTGGCTTCTGTCTCCTGGACCACCCGCTCAGAAACAGGCGACATCGGCTCCATGATCATCACCGACCGCTTCATGTAAATTAAAGGAACTCCAGGAACAGTTCTTAGTGACTGGCGGAGTCTCTCGTCCTGGGTTACCACCAGATATCTGTGCTTGTTCTTACCGTCTATGTTAACGATCGAGCCTATGCAGTCCTTGCTGCTCTGAGTCTCCTTGTGGTTACAGCGCCGCTTCTCCATCTGCTTGGCAATGTCAATAGCTGGCTGGTTGCGAGTTTCGTACAAATGGTTAATGCAGCATTGCGTGATCATGAGCTTCACCTCAGTCTGGACGGTCCTGGAAATCGCTTTAATCACATCGAACTTGGTTCTTTCACACTCCAAAATCACGTTGTCATCAACTATGCACTGGATCGGCGGCTTGAACTTGAACGTCGAGATATACTGGTGGATCTGCTTGCGATACTGCTTTGCTCTCTTTTGCTTCATGCTCTTAGCTTTTGTAGATAAATTTTTTTTTTACCCAGCACAGCCTTCAAACACAAGCTGAAATTTGTGTAACCGTTAACAGCAAAAAAATGTTATAAGTCTTCATTTCAAGTTGAGTCGCGCCATTTTTGATATTTAGCAAATGTCATCCCCAAAAGCCGCCGCTCCTGCAAAACCTCTCAAAGAGCAACTCATTGAGCTGGTGCAGACCGCCCAATTCGCCTGGTTTGCCGGCCATGTCGCCACTCTTTTCTACTCTCTTGTCTATTTTATTTCTTTCAGATCTAAGGGCTCTTTCCACAAGCTCAGCTACAGTCTGATTTATCTGTCTGTGATTGAATCATTCGGAATCATCATTCACCAGTCCTGGAAGGCTGGCAGTCTCAAATTGAACAACCCAAAGGCGGTTCTTGCAGACGACAACGTCCAATATATCTTGATTGCTTTGGCTCTGTTTCTGCTTTTGCCGGTCATTTCGCTGTCGATCTTCCCCTTTGTGTTCTTCTCGTTCTTCCACTGTATAACATACTTCAGGGGAGCCATTCTGCCAAAACTGGGACTCAAGAACCAGGAGGTTCTGACCAACAAGCTGGGCTCCTTCGTTGCCAACTACAACGACCTGTCCATGTATTACGCTGCCAATTTTGAGATTGCCACTTTTGCCTACATTGTTGTCAGGGCACTGTTGTGGTCAAGAGGATTCTGGATCGCTCTGATTGTCTACGGAGCGTTCATCAAGTTCAGATACGAGAAATCGATTTTCACTAAATCGTGTTTCAAGAAGCTCGAGGTGAGAATCGACGGTGTTCTGTCTCATCCCTCCGTGTCTCCTCAGATCAAGCAATACTGGATCAGCGCCAAGTCAGCTCTCAAGAAGTATGGGAACCAGTTCAAGCTCGTGCAGGAACCTGGCAAGACCGAGTGAATCAGCGTTTTTTCTTCAGCTTGTTTTCGTACTCGATCCATGTTGGCTTCAGCCCGTACCGTTTGATCAAAAGATCCTCAACCGTTTTGAAATGCGGGCCCTGCACTGTGACTTCCACAAGCTTTGGATTCTGAACGTTGTTGGCGACAGTGGTAGAGCCCGAACACTTCACTTTCAAAATGGAGCTGAGCTCCTCTGGGTCGATCAGAAACTCCTCCGTGCCGATGATCTTGGTTATTATTTTGCGTCCAATTTTCATTTCTTCCACAATTTTGACAATAGGTACCTGTCCTTTCTTAGGCTTGGTAGACTCGTCTCCACGACTGACCCTATAGAACGGTGAGAAATGCTGTTTCACCAAAACGTCCACCACCTTGGCTCGCTCGATCGTGGCAGTCTTTAGCAGCCGTTGCAACGGTTCGTCGGCGGTGATGCTTTTCGGGTCGTTTTTGCTCACCAGCTGGTGTGTTTGTATGTATTTACTGACCAATGCTTTGATATCTTGGAGAGTGTAGTAATCTTGCGATGAGCCTGACAGACGCAGAAAATTTGATGCTGAAGAATGGGCTTTGTACAGCTGCACAACTTGCAGCTCTGTCGAGTCTGTAGTTTTTTTAGATGCTTCCCCAGACTTATTTTTCCTAATTCTGTACGGCTCGAATTTCCTCACCTTTTCATGTTCCTTGTTCACTGACACCACCACCACGTCGTCGCCCTTGCCTTTTAGTTTGAGAAGATTTTCCTTTTCCATCGCTTTGAGATATTTCGCCGTCTTCTTCCACGACGTCTTTTTTATGTTGATCAGCGTGCTGTCCACGGGAGGAAAGTTCTTGTACACATGGCCCGACATGAACAACGACGCACTGATAGGCGTCTCTATAGTGTCCTGGCTGATCGAGTACAGCGTTGCCCTGAGGAACAGGTCGTCCATGTCCTCAACCGTCAGCGAGGACGAGATACTAATTTCTTTTATTTCCTGTGTAGCTTGTTCCACCGTCTCTTCCTCCGGCTGATGTTCCAGAGCGGGTGCTTTAGTTGGCAGAACATCAACCTTGTCCGGAAGTTTTGCTCCCTTGACCAAGGTAAACAGCCAGTCTTGGTAGACGTGCATTATCTCGACGGCTACGCCATGGGTTCCAACGACGTCGGTCACGCCGTCTAAATCCATTTGGCAGTATCCAATAGCAACAGCAACATTGGGCTTCTTATAGTCGCCCACAGCTACCACCTTGCCCCGTTTGGCGTTGTCAGGAAACGGAGGAATGGTGCCTGGAAGCATGAGATTCGAGCCGTTGATGAGTCGCTCTATAACGTACTGGTGGGTGTTGACAATGGGCACAATGTAGGGATATTTCCACATTGTAAAAAGCGTCGGCAGCAGCTCGGAGTCTCTCGTACGGAACCAGATGGGAACGCCCTCCAGATCGGTGTAGAGCGTGCCCTGAGCATGTGGCGACTTAAACGCAGCGTATTTGACCTCTGGAGGCAATACGAGCGACGCAACTCCGTCACTGGCCAGAGTCTCTTCACTCAGCCCGTACTGGCTGCAAATAGCAGCGTACAGCTTTCTGCGCTCTGAGGATTTGAGATTCGAAAGCGATTTGAGTCCCGGGTCTTTTTTGAAAAGAGACATGGTCTAAATTATTTTTTTTGGCACAGCCAAACTTTTATAAATATACATACTACAGAGTGCCAGACAACACAAGTCCCATTTCAACCACTGAAGACTCCGATTCCCGACTAAGCCCCGTGTACGGGTTACCGAACAGGAGCCTAAAATCGGTGCCGTATCTGTGGTAGATAAGGCCGCAGACCTCGAAGATTTTGAGGTTCGGAAACGCTTGCAGCGACGAGTTGAGCTGGCTACCGGCAAAGTGGTCGAATAGGTACCCGTTGGCACCCAGATCTGAGCGGAAAAAGCGCGCAAACGGTTTGGAAGTGTCTGTCTGGCGTTGGAAATAGTCTAGTTCGTGTCCGATGATCATCATCGTCGACACTCTGACGGCCTCCTTGACAATGGCTGGCGGGAGGTTTGTCATTTTGTCGCAGACCCGCTTGCAATTCTCGCAAGAGCAGTCGTAGACGTAGTTGAGTTGCGGGAACAGGTCCTGGACGTCGTCCAGGTTGCTGAGCAGATTGCCGACGAGGTTTTCGGAAGGGGTGTCGATGTTGAGCCGGAAGTCTCTGAGCGACGCGGTATTGTTCGACAGCGGCGTCCCCACCATCATGAGCAGGTTGGAAAGGTCGAGGCCCTCGATTTTGAGGTCGATCGCCAGCTTGCGCAGGTTTTTGAACGTCTCGGTAAGTTTTAGAAGCATTATGGAGCGCAGGTGGTTTTTGTCGCTGTCGGGCTTGACTAGTTTGTAATGGATAGAAAGTTCGCGCAGGTTCTGGCTCTTGGACTTGAGAAGCGACGCCAAATGCTGTGTCGTGTTGATGAGGTTCAGCACGCCGCCGTCGTCCTCTATGAACAGCTCCAAACTGGTCAGGTGCTCGAGGTGCACGTGCTTGCTGATAAGGTTCAAAATGACTGCTGTTGAGTGGTTGGTAAGCGGGAGCGCGAGCTTGGTGAGGTTGTTGAGCAGCAAGCCGATCTTGCGCCAGATCGCCATCACCCCGACCACCCGCCGGTACACGCGGTCGCCGGACTCGGAGTCCACCTCGAACCTCAGCTCGGTGAGACGTTTCATGGCCTGCGGATACGTCGTCAACAGCTTGAAGATCACCATGTCCTCGTTTGGCCCGAGCTTTCCTGCGAAAACCAGCCGTCGCAGTTGTACCAGGCCGACAAAGCTGACCATGCCGTTGTATTTTTCTGTCTCTCGACAAAAATTCACGTCCACCCTCAGGGTCTCGAGATTAGGGGCCTCCAGATGGCTCAGCGGAGATATCACCACAGTCTCGGGAAACTTGTACCGGACAAGGTTGGGAAAGTGGGGACAGTGGTCTCTCCATTCTATAAGGGTCTTACTTTCGGACTCAGCGTCCTGCAACAAGAGCTCGATGACCAGGTCGGAGTACTGGAAGTTCAAACACGAGGTCTGCGACAGCGCACGGAGCAAGTTCGCCAGCTGGTGTTTCCCGATGATGGTGTACTGATCTGAGACCAGCTCGACGTCGAAGTTCTTGCGACACACTGTGTCGTTGCTCAAGTATAGAAGTCGGGAGTATATCTGGGGGACAACGGTCTTGTACAAGAGAGCGCACGAGTACGCCAGCCGCAGCTTGTCAGGCAGTTCTAGATGCCTGATAATTTCGAGATGAACATTATGTGGAAGGCCTGTCAAGCCCATCTGTCAAATTGTATCAATGTCAACAAACAGTCAGAAACACTTTGCCATTACCTATAATAATGAAAAACCAGGGAAGAAAAAAATACACTGCCATCTTTATATATAAATCTATGTACAGATCAGCCGTCGAGCAGCTCTTTTGTTGTCGGCACGCTTTCGAAGCCGATCCCCTTACTGGCCTCGATCATCTGTTTCTCGTAAACCTCCTCCAGATCCTGCACGGGCTCGCGCCGGAACCACGAGGCCACGTGCTGGCACAGCTTGTTGAAATGGTACTGGACGAATGACACCAGCCGGAACAGGTTGTACGTAACAAACCGCTTCAGCACAAACTGGAACCTGTCGTCGTCCAGGTCGAACAGCTTGACGGTCTTCGCGGCCTCGGTCGCCAGGATGTCGACTCTATTGCAGGGCGACCCAAAGTTTCTATTCAGCCCTTGCACTATGCGCATGCTGCGGATAATGAAGGTGAGCGTCATTGGGAACTTGTCTGAGTTTTTGAAGAACTCGCGCATCTTGTCTCTAATGATGGTCTGTCTCTCAAAGTACGACTTCTTGCTGAGCTCCTGGATGTGCTTTTTCAGCGCCTCGTTCTTGCCCGGGTCCATCGACGACAACCCGAGCATGATGTCGTCCGCGTTGATCCCCCACTCAAGGAGCACACTCTTGACTTTCTCCGGGTTCAGCTCGAACGTGTACTTCCAGAACTGCGCGTACTCGCGTCTAAACTTGTCTCCAAAGTGCTCGTACAGACCGTGGTCCAGAATCACCAGCTGCTGCGTTTTGTCGGGCAAGTGTCTCACCAACAGGTTTCCCGGATGCAGGTCGCAATGAACCAGCCCCCAGTAGAACACTTGTCGCGAGTACACCTTGATGATCGTGTTCATGAGACTCTTGATGTTGTAGCCCTTGTCCTTGAGCTTCAAGTAGTCCCCAACAGGATCAGCGTCTATCCACTCAGCAGTCAGCACCCGTCTGGAAGACGCCTGCGGAAAATACTTGGGAATGTATACCGTCTTCTTAAACTCCGGGTCCTTCGCGATCAGCGACGCGATCAGGTTGCCGTTGCGCATCTCGATCCCAAAATCGACCTCCTCGCGCATTTTGTTGCAAACATACTGCACGGTAGCAGCTAACGGCATGTCGAACGCCCATTCGTACACTTTCATCACAAACCGATAAGTCGCCAGATCCAGCCACATCTGCTTGCTCACAGACTCGTGCTGGATCTTGACGGCCACCTCTTCGCCCGTGCGCAGCCGCGCCTTGTGGACCTGGGCTATCGACGCGCTTGCCACGGGCGACTCGTCGATCGTCTCGAAAATCTCAGTTCTATACCTCGCACCAAGCTCCTGTCTCAGAACCCGGTCGCAGACCTCCCAGTCGTCCCTCGGAGCCTTGTCAAACAGCTGGCTGAACTTCTTCTGGTACTGCTGCGGGAACATCATTCCCTGGATGGCTATCACCTGGCCCATCTTGATGTATAGCCCCTTGTTCGTGGTGAGCAGGTCGTACAGTCTCTGCGCGTTGCGCTCGTGCAACGCCTCTATATCGTTGCCCTCTTCAAAGTTGAGCTTGTAGTCTATCGAGATCAACAAAAGCGTGGACAAAGACCGCACGCTCCTGTTTGTGACGCCGGCCCCCAGCACGGAGTCGTATCCGTAGGCCGCCAGGCCGACCCCTAGAGCGGCCAGGAACGAGTTTCTGAAGACGCCCCGTTTTTTCGGACGAACTCCGGCCGTCGAATACGCCCGCACAGTCTGTCTTATAGATAGCTGGTGGGTTGCTAAAAACATTTGGCATGAATTAATATTTTCCGGTGTTAAAATATCCAGCTGCCAAAGCTAGGCATAGTTGTGGGGAGCCATCAGGGCCCGGCCGGTGGTTCACATAGGTGTTTACCTGCTATTAGTAGCACAACCCCCGTAGCACCAGGATGGATTTGTATGCACGATCTGAGGCTGTGGTCAAAGGATTCCATGTCAGCTTGGGTGTGGCTATCTAATCTGCCACTTTACGCGATTTCTTATTCAGCACAATATGTAGGGATCTGAAAATTTTCAGTTAATTTCACACATTTATTTAGTAAGGACAAAAAGGGACACCGGATCAAGACCTGCCAATTGCTTACTTTTCGACGTCTAAGAGATACCAGGGGCAACATATCACAGCTACAAAATACCTACCGTTTTGAAAATCCCCGATAAAAGCGAAACATATCATAGTCTATCATGGCTAAAGGCAGAAAACAAGTAACCTCCAAAAGGGTACCGCAGGCGTCCAAGCACCTGCCCCCTCCCGCTGGCGGTGCGCATTCACGGTCCAGCAGACGATTTAGCATTGTATCCGACTCAGAAGAGTCGGAATCGAGTGAGGAGTCGGAGGATTCCGATTCGGGTAGCAGTGCAACGGAGGGAGACTACCGAATCAGCTCCGCTCGCAGACAAGTGGACGAAATAATATCTAGCAGTTCCGAGAGCGACGACGAGTCGAGCTCTTCCGACGATGACAATGTCGATTTTGTGCAGCTGACCAAGGAGAGAGCCAGGGCGATGAAGGCTGCCACTCGTCACAAGAGTCCGCGCAAAAGCAGCAAGAAAGTTTCCAAAAAGGCTGCAAAATCTGCAAGTTCTAAGAAAGGTCCTAGGGAGTCTGAGCGAGCCATGGAAGCCGACGAGGATGAGGAAGAGGAGCTGGATGACGACATTGTGGACCAGGTGTTGGAAAACGAGGAGCGCAAATTCAAGGATCTGGACCCGGTGGCAGACATCCAGCTTGACAACGAGCCGGTGGATTACGCCAACATGATCACAGAGGAGGATTTGGGAGAGGAGGTGGACATTGGCACGTTTCACGACGCCACGATAATCGACGAGACGGTGAGTCTGGATGTCCCAAAGTTTGACGACCAGGAGATCGACTCTGACGCGGACTACGAGTTTGACAAAAACGACCTGATCCAGACGCTCCAGAACGACAACGACGATCTCGAGCTGCTTGCTTTTGGCAATAGCGACGACGACTACGATTTCTTGCTGCCCGAAGACGATCCTTATTTCAAAGAGGATAACTATTTGCTCAAGGAGGAGACAGACGCTCTGGTGAACGACGTCAACGACGTGAATGATTACTCGTCGTCCGCAGCGACTCCGCGGTCTTCTATCGTTGAGGAAAATACCAACGCTACTGAAGAGGACCAGGACGACGGGCATGTGAGGGTCAAGGAGATGAAGCCAGAAAAGGTCAAATATCTTCCTGCTCCGGAGGACAGCGACGAGGACGACGAGGACGAAGACGACCTGGCAGACATCGATGTTTCTGCGTTCGACGACATCTTCACCAGCGACTACGACCACTACTCCGGCAAACGCGGACAGAGCGTGGTTCCAATGAATGCGATTGTATCCGACGAGGACGACAGCGACGGCGAGAACCAGCTACTGCAGTACTTCTTTTCTTCAGACAGTAGTGCTTCTGAGAAGGAAGACGAGCACGAAAACTCGAGCGCTGAGGAGGACGCCGGCGAGAGAGACGGCGACGAGACCGACGAAGACACCTCGCTCCCTGTGCGCTCTACACGCAAGATCGGCAGCAAGAGCGCCAAAGAGGTCCTCTCGTCGTCCAAGAACAATTTCAGAGCGCCTGTTCTTGGAACTTTTATCATTTCTAAAACCCGCAAACCGTTCGGCATTATTGACGGCATCTCGACGCGATTCCTGCATCCCGGCCAAGACAACCGAACATCGGTGGTGAAGGGCACTCGCATGAGTGTGGGCCACCGCCAACGCCAACGCACACAGACACAACCGAGCGCACCGCCTATTGCGCTGGACGAGCTGCTCAATATCAGCGAGTTCGAGGACGAAGAGCAGGAGCAGACCACGTCTGTGGACTGGGATCTGTTCCACGAGAGACGCGTTCCGCTCTCGGCTTTTAGGAACAAGGGTATTGTCAACAGCACGTACTACCAGCCCCATCCAGATGCGACGCGCAAGTACAGCTTTGGCGACCACAGACGCAAAAAAATGCGTGCTACGGTGGCAGCTTTGGAGAAAAAGAAAAAGAAGCGAGCCCGTGGCTCGTTCGGGGGCGAGCTGATGATTCCTGCCAACACGGCCAAGTCGCTGCGCAAGGCTTCGAAGCGGCTGCACAAACTGTCGAAGGGAAGAAGACAGAGCGTCGCCGAGGCCCAAGCAGAGGGCTTGAGGCCCACAAAAGGCGGGCTTTTCAGCGAGGAAATCCTCAACGACGTGGAGGAACTGCTGGTCGACATCGGGCACAACGATGACGTCCGTTTCCTGTTTGGAAGCTGAGCTGCATTTATTATTTATGGTACGGCATTTATAAAGGATGGATACTAAATTTGATTTTTACATAGCTATTTTGCGCTCTCTTCAGGAGTCATAAAGTTGGTCAATTTGGCACTGAGATCGAGTTGCTGCTTCACACACGAGGCAAGGTACTCGACAAGCGAGGCATCGTCGGCATGGTTCTGTAACATGGAGTGCAACTGGTCAGGGTCGATGGAGCTTGGCTGTGTGTTGAGAGTTTCAAGGAGTCTCTTTCCAACGTTCTGGTCTCCCTTGATTTCGCCCTTGATGACCTTTTGAACATAGGCCTGGAGCGTCTCGAGCAGACTGGCAACGTTGGCGACGGATCCAGAGATTTGTTTGAGTTCGTCTTGACCCAGAAGATCCACTGCTCTGGACTCGGTTTGGACACCTTTATTAAGATATTTCAGCGTGGTGAGCTCAGTCTTGGAGTAGATGACTTCGTTTGGGACAGGAGTAAATGCAAAAGAGCCGATCTTGTCAATTCCAATTTGGTTGGCCAGGTTGGAGTTGGCAGGCACTCCGACCGGGGACGAGATGTATGTTTTCAGAATTGGCGATATGATGTCTCCGTTGTCGTCTTTGGTCTGAAGAGTCAGATGGATGGGCTGGTGGGGAAAACAAGATCCCTTGGAGTAGAACTCCTGGAAAAGACCGGTGAACGAGTCAAGCACAGGGTTGGTGGAGAACCAGCCGACAATTAGCAGTTCTGGATTCACTCTTTTCAAGAGCTGATATGTGGAAATATGATGGCTTTCTTCGATTGTGAGCTCCTCAGCTTCCTCCTTGTGAGGCACAATATAGCACTCTTTGACCTCCAGCTCAGATCCGTCATCAGAACGGGTTCCAAGCAGAGTTCCAATAGTTCTGCTTTTCGTGAGGTCTTCTTCGTTGTCCATATACACGGCGTCAATGAGCTGCATCAGAGCGGGAGCCTGGATCAAAACCTTGACCGGCCCCACAGGAGCAGAAGTGCTCGGCGTGGCCACGTTTGGCTTCACTATGTGCAAAATTGGAGAGGACATGGTGAAAGGCTCGTTGGTCCAAAAAAATTTGTCAAAAAATTCAAGGTAGGGTAGTTTGAGAAAAATATTTTAAGTTTATTTGAAATAAACTTTAGTATGGACTTCACCACAAAAAGGAGCTACAAAAAGGTCGATATCGAGCCTTTTTACATTGGTTCTGCCAATGCCACTGTTTCTGGAGACGGTGTGGTTCTAGCGACTGCAGTTCTTGAAGATATAGTTATCATCAATAGAGAAACAGATGAAGTTGTGCACCAGATCCAGGGAGACGGAGACCTGGTGACGACGTTGCAACTCACGCCAGACGGCAAACACCTGGCCATAGTATCTCAATCACAGCAACTCAGGGTGTTTGATCTCCAGCAAAGCAAATTCATCAAAACCTTCAAACTGCCAGCCGCATCGTACATCTCTACCGTGGACCCTACGTCGTCTTTATTTGCATTTGGACTTACAGACGGTAGTGTCATTGTCTGGGATATAGAGGGATCATTCATCACGCACAACTTTAAGGGCCATCCATCGACGGTTTCTGCGCTGCGTTTTTACGGAAAACTCGACTCCAAAGATTGGAAGCTGGCCAGTGGAGATATCATGGGAACAGTGAAGATCTGGGACCTGGTGAAGCGCAAATGTGCTCGCACGATGAAGGAGCATACAGCCACCGTTAGAGCCGTCTCATTTAGTGACAATGGCGAGCTGTTCATCAGCAGTGGAAGAGACAGTGTGATAATAATGTACAATACCAGAACATGGAGGGAGGTGAAGACCATCCCCGTCTCGCACTCTGTTGAGGCCTGTGGGTTTATTGAGCTTGGGGACAAGGAGCTGCTTTACACGGCGGGCGAGTTAGGCCTTCTCAAAGTGTGGGACCTGGACTCTGAAAAACTGGTTGCAACCAGCAGGAAACCACTCGAGACCACAGAAGAGCTAAATATAATGGACGTTCTGCATCTTGACAAGGGAATAGACTCTCTGCTGTTGGTTTATTCAGACCAGACAATCGCGGAGATTGATCTGGAGGCACAAGACGGCGTATTCCCAACTTTGAAAGTGATGGCTGGTAATCACGGTACCATCGCTGACATGCGCTATGTTGGTCCTAACTTCGACCAGCTTGCTTTGGCAACGAACTCGCCTGCGTTGCGGATTATCGACGTTGCCAACAAGCCGCTGGATGTCACGCTGTGCGAAGCACACACCGATCTCTTGAATGCTCTGGACTCCACTGCAGACGGCCTCTGGCTGGCTACCGCTGCTAAGGACAACACTGCGCGTCTTTGGAGGTACGACGAGGAGCAGAAATTTGTGTGTGTTGCCGTGTTCGAAGGCCACATCTCGTCGGTCACTGCTGTTGCGCTACCTAGGACGCCCGTCAAGGATTATCCTCGCTTCCTCATAACGGCAGCTGAAGACCTGACGATAAAAAAATGGACGATTCCCAAACCAGGAGACGAGGTGATACATGTGAGAAAATCCGACTACACTAGAAGAGCGCACGACAAGATGATCCATTCCATCGACATTAGCCCGAACGACGATTTTTTGGCGACCGCGAGCCACGACAAGATGGCCAAAATCTGGGACTTGGAGGCTGGCGAGACTGTTGGAGTTTTGAAGGGCCACAAACGACCAGTCTACGATATCAGTTTCTGTGCCTACGACAGACTGATCGTGACCGGCTCTGGTGACCAGACGGCCAAGGTGTGGTCATTAGAGGATCTGACGTGTATGAAGACTTTCCAAGGCCCGGCCAATGCTATCCAGCGAGTTGCATTTCTAGCCAGAAATCAATATATTGTCGGAGCTGGAGCAGACGGGCTAATTAAGATCTGGGAAATATCCAGCGGGGACTGCGTGCAGACGCTTGACAACCACGACAACAGGATATGGGCGCTGTGTATCAAAGACAATGGCCGCGAATTTGTGTCTGCTGATGCTGACGGAGCAATCACCATATGGATAGACAACACTGAGGAGGTGCAGCAGCTGGAAGCAGAGGAACACAAGCTGAAGGTCGAGCAGGAACAGTCGTTGCAGAACTACATCAACAAGAAAGACTGGGTGAACGCGTTTAAACTGGCTTTGACTCTGAACCATCCAATGAGACTCTACAACGTTCTTCTGGCCAGCATAGCAGAGGGCGACGAAGGGTCTGTCATTGGATCCTTTGGCATCGAAAGTGTGATTTCGGAGCTGGAGCAGGAGCAGATCTTGCTTCTCTTCAAAAGAGTCCGGGACTGGAACACCAACTCGCGCCATTTCGAGGTGGCACAGAAGCTGATCAAGGCTATATTGACAAACTACTCCAACGAGAAGCTTTTTGAGATGCCTGGACTGATGGGGTACATCGACGCCATATTGCCCTACAGCGAGAGACATTATGGCAGGTTGGACGACCTGGTGGAGCAGAGTTTCATTCTGGACTATGTTGTTCAGCAGATGGACGAGGTGGCGTAGATAGAAAAAAATATCAAAAAAAATAATTTATTCAATATTATGTCTGCCGTGGAACCCCTACCCAGTCGAGAGTACTGGGCCGGGCTGGTCAGTGTAAAGACAAGCAACTGGAAATACACGCTTGAAGAGCTGCAGCAGGACACGCCGTCAAGAAGAAACGGGTCGGAGCTGAAGAAAGTCGGTTTCGAGGACGAGTGCCAAAAGCGAGCCAAGGGAATAATATATTTGTTTAAGTGCTGCAGACAGCTGCGTCTTTCGCGGTCGGTGGCGATGACTGCGTCGTGCTACTTCCACCGATTCTACATGCGTCGGGACATGCTTAGCCACCACTATTTTGAGGTTGCTGCCACGAGTCTCTTTATTGCCTGCAAGGCAGAAGAGTGTCGGCGACGTCTGGCCGACGTGGTCAAAGTGTGCGCAAAGACCGCGATGGCCAATAGCCAGGACCCGATAGACGAGAACTCAAAGGTATTTTGGCGCTGGAAGGACCTTATGATCAGCCTGGAGGAGATGCTACTGGAGACCCTATGTTTCGAGGTCACTCCACCAAATCCTTACAAATTGTGTCTGAGCGCTCTAAAGTTAGAAGAAGACATACCCAGAGAAACCGAGTGGCTCAAGCGGTCCAAGGACCTATTCATACAGTGTACAAACGTCTACGAGCTGACTTCGCGGGTGCCGTTGGTTCTTCTGCACGAGACAAACGTGATAGCCATGCTGGGCGTTGTTCTGAGCTGCGCAAAAGACCAGAGTATGAAAATACCTCCGGAATTTGTCCAGGAGCTGGGCACAGACCAGGAACAGGTCTGGGCGTGCTACCAAGACCTGGTGGCGCTGAGCCGACCCCTGGCCAGTCTGGATCCGCCGTTCCAGGTTTTACAGCATCTGCCGAAACTCGAGTTTGAGCAGTTCACGGGGCTGTTTGGCCCTGCGGCGCCAGATTCGGCGCCAGAAAAAACTCAAGAAACGCTAGCGCAGGATAAAAAAGAAGGATAATTATATATAAAAGAAGGATAATTATCATACGCCATCTACAATTATGAGCACCAGTGCAAAGCTGAACATTGTAAGTTTGAGCCACTCACTCCAAGCTAACCACACAGCTGACAGCGGAAGAGATCCGCCAAAAAAAGTTCCTCAAACGGGGTTTGCAACTCAGCATCTTGGTTGTTGGCCAGACGGGAACCGGCAAGAGCACGTTCATCAACACTCTTTGCAACGAGGACATCATCACCACGAACCGTCCGGCGCCGGCAGATCTGTCGATCGAGAGCCACTCTGCCAAGATCTACGAAGGAGGGACCAGAATCGATTTGGACGTGGTTATGGCGCCAGGATTTGGCGACTTCATCGACAACAGAGACTCGACAAAATGTCTGACGGACTACATCGAGAGCCAGTTCGAGAGGGTGCTGAACGACGAGTGCAAGATCCAGAGAACGCCTAAGGCCACCGACACGAGGATCCATGCTGCCATCTATTTCATCAGACCGACCGGCAAAGGGTTGCGCGAGCTGGACATCGCTTGCATGAAGGAGCTGGGCAAACGGTGCAACGTGATCCCCGTCATCTCCAAGGCAGATCTTCTGTCTGAGGAGGAGGTTGCTCTGAACAGGAGAATGATTTTAAGGGACTTGGCCAAAAACAGAATCAACACCTACGACTTCTCAAACTGTTTTTCGGACATCGACGAGGAGGACGACGAGTCGGCAATCAGCAGCGTCCAGGATTTGGTTCCATTTGCCATTGTCTCCGGCACGGACAGGGCCATCATCGACCAGGTGGAGTATAAAGTGAGACGTCTGCCGCACGGTATCGTGAGAGTCGACGATCCTGCTCACAGCGACTACATTGTTTTGAGAACGTGTTTGCTGGGCGCATGTCTGCAAGATCTGAAGGATACGACTCACGGAGTCTACTACGAAAAGTACCGTACCGAGAAACTTTCCAACAATCCACCAGGGACCGGCTACATGAAGCCTGGCTCGAGGGCCTCGAAGCCAACGAGTTCGGGGTCTCTTCTGGACAGACTGCGGACCAACGTTGGCTCCAGACACTCGAGCGTTCTTTCTTCCGATAGACTCACCATTAGCGAGGGAATAGTTAACTGATTAGCAAGATATATTTTTTTTTAGGCCGCTTCTTCGGTGACAAGCCGCTGGTGGAAGAAGTCGTCAAAAGACTCCACGTCCTTCCACTCTTCGAGCCACGCTTTCTGGAACAGGGTTTCTCTAGGCACCCCTTTCACAGGGAACAGTGCAGTGAGCAAAAACAGAACGCAGCAAGAGCTGGCGTAGCCAGTAAAGAAACTAAAGTAATACACCTTGGTAGCACCGTCCGGCACGGTGTGTGTCTGTGTAGCTCCAACGAAACCAACAATGTTGGGAGCAATTCCACAAAGGTATGCGACAATGGCTCTCCAGTTGAAGCCTGCTGTGTAGAAATACACGCTCGAGTTGTTGGCGGTGTACAGGTCTTCCAACACGATGTGGCCCTTTCTGAGGAGGTAGTAGTCACAGAAATAGACACCTGCGATGGACGAGAGGAACACCGCGTAGGCGCTCAAGTACGTGGTGAACATGCTGCTGGACGAGAGCAAGTTCCATGGACAGATAGCGTACCCGATGATGGCGCAGATAAAGCCACCTCTCCGGATGTTGATGTATTTCGGGAGCAGCGCAGTCATGTCGGTACCGGCTGAGAGCGAGTTGGCGGAGATGTTGGTGCCTAGCTGGGCAATTGCAAATCCAAGAGCGATCAGGAAAACTCCTCCCCTGGCTCCGCTGCTGTAATTGTCGAGGAACCGCGAGAGCACGTCCAGAGGGTCCCAGTAAGTCTCGTCGTAAAGGACTGTGCTAGCCGAGGAGACTAGCACGCCGATCAGGGAGGTGACAGAGAAGGCGACCGGGATTGTGATCAGCTGGGAGTAGATGGACGAGTTTGGCTTATGCGACATTCTGGAGAAATCCGGAGCGTTCACAATGAGCGTGGCAAAGTTGGCGAGCGAGTTCATCATGCTGTTGACAAACGCCCAGCCGAAAGCAGACCCGCTGAGCGTGCCGCTCTGGTGGATCACCGGGCCGCCTCCGTCCGCCTTGACCAGGGTCCAGGCCAGAAACGCTATTCCAGCTATTGGGCACGCAATGGCTTTCATAGTGAACAGATGGCGGACGGTATGTGGTTTCATGTAGATCGCCGGCAGCTGGAACAGCCAGAACAGGAAGAACGCCAGCATCTGGAACGACGAGATTTCTCCCTTGAGCTTGTTTGGTATCCTGGTCTCGAGATCATTGCCGAAAATCGACCTCAGCATCAGAGCAACACACTGGCCTCCCAGCACGGACTGAACGCCAAACCAGATACACGCCATCACGACTCTGTTGATGACCGGCCACAGAGATCCCCAGATTCCCCAGGACGACCTGGTAGCCACGGGGAACGAGATATGGTTGTACGCACCGTACCGTGCAGCCAGAACAACAAAACAGCCGCAGAACGAGTACCCGAGCCAGATGGTGATCCACGTGGCCCACCAGCTGAGTCCTGCCTGCACTCCTGTGGCGGCAATCTGCCAGGTATTGATGTTGAACGAGTCTGCTATCCAGAAGGTGACAAAATTCCACCATCTCCAAGTACGTCTTTTTTCCTCGAGGGGTTTGAGGTCGTAATTGTACAGAAACAGCTGGGACAGCGTGAAATTCTGTGTGCCGTCGAGTTCGAGCCATTTGACCAGTTTCCTGACCTTGCCAAAAAACCCTGTTCTGTCCTCGATCGAGCCGGCAGACTGCGACTCGTTGTCGAGCGAGACTTGCTTGATTTCCTCCAGTTTTTTCGACATGGCGCTCGGGTGCGAGGTTGTGCGGTCGCTACAATTATATACGGTCTGTTTCTTTTATCAGCAATCAAGAACTGACGAGGACGCATTGGCTGCAAAAGAAACCTTCCTATCGAAAGACAATGCATGATAAGCAAGCTGCATTATTGCCGTACACCGGAAACCGCCGAAAAAGTGCTCAGGGCAGGCGTCGCAATCGTCGCGCCGACACGCTTTTTTGCTCGAGCTGGCAAAAGTGGAAAAAAAATACGCTCTCGCCAAGCATGTCGGAAGAAACTGGGTCTCCCGCCCCCTCGTCAATCTCCATATACATCCCGATCGTCTACGTGGTAGTGCTGCTGACCACACTGGTGCTGTTCTCCGTCGCCCACCGCCGCAAAAAGCTCAGCAAACTTGTGTCGATGAAACCGATCTTCAAGGACAACTACCAGCGTGAGATGTATTTGCAGCTGAAAAACCAGACAGAACCAAAGGTCAACGACAAGGTGCTGAAGGCGGCGCTGATCCGGCGCGGCGCGGAGGCGATCCGCAGAATGATCAAGCTCAAAGAGATCCAGCAGTACGTCAACGTGCTGTACCAACGTGGGTCGATCGGTGACGACGTGTACGAGAGTTTTAAGTTGCAAAGCAAATTGCAGGAGCTCGAGCTGAACGAGCTGGCGATGGAGGCGGAGTCGTTCAAAAAGGGATGGGCGCAGACGTTCTTCCCTGTGTGTCAGGAGGTCACCATCAACGAGGCGCTCAGAAGACGTCTCAACTCGCTCGAACCAATGAAAGAGTCGCTGGACCACCAGTGGCTCAAGCAAGTCGCCGCATAACTTACATAATGAATCTTGTTACACCTATGCTAATCACATGCTATTACCTGGACTAGTTCTTTCTTCTGTTTTTCTTGCTCACCACCTTGGTAAAGGCCATGTCGAAGTCGTCTTCCTGGCCGCGGACGCTGGCATTTAAAGCCTCGCCCCAGCTGAAGTGTATTCCCTGTGCTTTGACGAGCTTCTCGACCTCCGCCTTGCGCTTCATAAACTCGCTCGCAAACCTCCTGCCGTCCATGGTGGCAGAGTTGGAGTAGATGGTGTCAGCAATAATTTCCTGCGACTCGCTTCCCGTCGGGAACTGGATGATGATCGACAAGATGTCCTCTTTGTTGATGCCCTTGTGCAGGTTGCCCAGCTGCGTCCGACACCACACCAAGAAGTCTCTTGCTGGCGAGCCGCTGTTTGTCACCGGCTGCGGCTTTGGAGAAGCGACCGTGCTACCAACAACGGGTTTCTTGGCTGGCGTGGCGGCGGGCGCAGAAACCGACCGAAGAACGTTCGGCGAAATCACCGCAGACGGCTTGTTGGTCTTTGTTGGCGCAGCAACAGCCGGCTTTGCCGTCTTCTTGCTGCTCACCGTGGTCCAGCCGCTGCTGGCCGTCACCTCCGCAAACGACGCTGCGGCAGATTTCTGTTTGGTAGCAGAGCTGGCAGCCTGCAACTTGGCAGCTTCTTCTCTCTGGATCTCTTCCAGCGTCATTGTAGGAATTGGCTGCGAAACCGTTCCGGCACTGGCCCAAGCGGCAGCAGACGGAAGGGCCACGGCCGGCTTTGGAGTCTCCTGCTTTGGAGCCAGCGTGGCAGCCAGAGACCTGGCGGCCTCTGCCTGTTTTTCCTCCCTTTTGCGTCTCTCGGCCTCTTCCGACTGGATCTCCGCCAGGGTCTTGGTTGGCTTCACTGGGCTCTTGGAAGCCCATGGGGCCCACGTGGTTGGGGACTGTGGCTTGGACTTGCCAGACTCTGGCGCTTTTTCTGGCGCAGGCAGTCCCTCAGATTTGGAAGCTGGTTCGGCAGGAGCAGCGGAAACTGCTACAGGAGCCGAAATAGGCTCAGTTTCCTGAGTCTCCGGTTTAGTTGAAACAGATAGGCTGGACGCCTTGCGCACGATTCTCTCAATGTCGCTGGCGTCCACCTTCGGCACAGCCACCTCCTCTGTCTTTGCTGGCTCTGGCATCGATTGGGACGCTGACGCCGACTGGCTCTGCTCATTAGGGGCCGACCAGTGATTTGCCTCCTGGAACGAAGGAAAAACAGGAGCCGTAGCAGGCTGGTTGACCAGTGGAGCCAAGGGAACAGAAAACGGCACAAGATACTCTCCTATGGACTGAATAAACTCTGCGAGAGTCATATACGTCTGCTGTTCTTCGCGACGGATTTTTAGGCCGTAGTCGAAGTATCGAAGAGAATACCACTGCTGCATCAGGGCCGAATCAAACGGGCCCTGCTCATTATTGGATGCGTCCAGATAGTACCATTTTATATTAGAAGGATCGACCTTGGGCTGCTGGAACTGCGCCTTCAAAGCATTGAGAGCAGCAGTGGGAGATTGCTGTTGGCCGACGAACGGGTGCAAAAAATCCTGCGTATTCAGATGGCTGTCGTCCACTGTCAGGCTGGCCATCTGGTGCTCAATTGGTGCATTTGGCCGGGTCTGGGTCTGATCTCCGGTCAGCACGTTGTAGGCCAGCGGTGAAAATGCGTCCTGGCCAGGCGAGGGAGCCAAAATATTGGGATTTGACAGACCGTTAATGCTGTAAACATGTTCTGTGTTCTCCTTGGAGTATGTGTTTGGGTTGTTCCTACATGTTAGTGGATTGTCCACGACTACTGCAAAAGCTCTTCACTCACCAATTTCCATACATCGAATGCGACATCTTGATTCTCTAGTTACTCGTAATGGGTGTATTTGACGTGTGTATAAGATACCGTCTCCATAGGTCGAAAAATTTTTCCGTGACGAATTTTTTCGATCGAGCCTTGCAAGCACACGACGGGGGCAAGACTCGCGGTACCTTGACCAGAGATCAGATACCAAACCTCTTCTCCATCTCGGTATGGAAGTCCATTGGAGGTCTGTCCGAGGCTGCGGCGGTGTTAGTACACGTAGTTTGCGCAAACTTACCTGAATAAATATCCTCCCAGTCGATGCTGGTCTCTTTGTTCAAAAGGATGTCTCTGTGCAGGTTCGAAGACCCGCCCAGCACGGCTGGCCTGAAATCGGTGTCCTGCACGAGCTTCAGCTCCATCTCTCTCTTTATTGGGTCTGCTGCTCCAAATATACGCCTATAGGCTTCCAGCTGGTGTTCTCTCTGAGTAGTGTCCCAATTCTGCACCCTGCTCTCCAATGGGTGTCTGTTGTTGATTTTCGACGAGACAGAAAGAGGTCCCTCGCCCGATCTCAAGGTATCGTGCAGTCCTGGGGCGGAGGGCGCAGACTCGCCAAAGGCGGTCACGCTGACGCGAGAACTGTGCGCTTCGCCAGGTATGAGTCTTAGTGGGTTGGACTGGATGTTAGTGCACATGGGTTACCGCAAACACGTACCATTAGCGACGCTGTGTATAAATGTTTTAGTGTATTTGGAATACTTTTTTGCCACTAGATGGACGACGATCGACGCAGACCGATATATTCCTGGATTGACGAAAAAAAGAATTTTCCGTACTAATCAACACACATGTCTTGGGGTAAGTGCCAATGGAGGTGCTGAGACTAACAGCCAGACGACGAAGACTTTGAATATCCCGCCGCTTCCAACGCTCAAGTTTCCGAATCGTGGGAAGACCAGCTCGAGGACGACGAGCCCGTCTTGGACTCCTGGGACATGGACTCAGGCGACGAGAAGGCCAAGGAGGAGAAGAAGGCTGCTCCAAAGGCTGCGCCAAAGCCCGCGAAGCCCGCAAAGGCCGGCAAAAAGAAGGCGGCAGACAAGAAACTGCTCGATATTGACCTGGTCGACGAGAAGACAAAGAAGGAGATGCTGAAGGAAGCAGAGCTGAACTCTGATCTGAACAACGCCGCGGACCTGTTTGGCGGTCTTGGCGTTGCCAACGAGCATCCGCGCGCCAAGGCCCTTGCTGCCGAGCAGGCCTCCAAGGCTTCTGCTCCTAAGTTGGACAAGAATACTCCTATCAGTGCGCATCCCTTATTCGAGGTCGAGACCAAGCAGGACTACGAGAGACTCAGAAAGGCGGTCTCGCCGGCCCTCACCGACCTGGCCAAGAAGTCCCAGCTGCATTACTCCACGTCTCTGGCGATCGACCTTATCAGAGACCTGTGCGGGCCTATGAGTGTCGAGAATACCAGAAAGGTGGTGAGCACGCTCAACGCCATGATCACACAGAAAGTGAAGGAGGAAAGACAGGCGCGGCTCGCCAAGACGGGCGGCACCTCGACCGGAGGAGCCGGCAAGAAGAAGGCCAAGGGCCAGGTCAACATCGGGTCCTCGTTCAAGAAGGACAACTACGACGATTTCCTGCCCGACGACGATCTCGGCGACGACGACTTTATGTAGTTACATAATTAATATAATGCAACCTGTATCTGCAGCTACGTGCACCCGTCCTGAATTAATCCCGCTGCTCTATAAAAGAGCCATAGTTGCCTGAAAAAATATTAGTATGAATTTATTCCGACAGAGAGGTGCACAGCGTGTGCGGGAGGTTTCGAGGAGCTATAAACGGTTCAATTCCTCAACCCAGACGCCCAGCCCGATCGCCGGGCCCAAGAAGGACAGATCCAGCTTCCTCAGGTCGGGCGGCCTGTTTCTGCTCGGATCTATCCTCGGTGCCGCGTACGTTTCTGTGAAAGTTGGGGGCAATGTGCCGGAATTTATGTTCCCGCAGTCTTCCACGAGCAAGCTCCGAGACATGCTTGCGCCAGCCTACGGGGACGCAGAGGACGCCCTCAAGGAGCTGACGGATGTGCTGGGACCGTCCAAAGTGAGCAGAACAAAGACTACTTTGGACGACCACAGCGACACTTTTTTTTCCACCCACCACGCGGAGCCGGACCAGAGACCCGTTGCCGTTGTGTATCCGGAAAGCACCGAGGAGGTTTCGGCTATCCTGAAAGTGTGCCACAAGCACAGGGTCCCCGTGGTTCCGTTTTCGGGCGGAACGTCGCTGGAGGGCCAGTTTATCCCTACCAGAAAGGGTATCTGCATCGATCTGGGAAACATGAACAAAATTCTGGAGCTGCACAAGGACGACCTCGACGTCGTGGTGCAGCCGGCCGTTGGCTGGGAGGACCTCAGAGACTACCTGCAGGACTACAACCTGATGTTTGGGCCTGATCCGGGGCCTGGCGCGTGTATTGGTGGCATGATCGGAACATCGTGCTCAGGTACCAATGCTGCCAGATACGGCACCATGAGAGAAAACGTCGTGGGAGTGACGGTTGTTCTTGCGGACGGGACGGTTGTCAAGACGAAGAAGCGTCCGAAGAAGTCGTCGGCGGGCTACAACCTGACCGGTCTTTTCATCGGCAGCGAGGGAACTCTGGGTATTGTGACTGAAGCCACATTAAAATTGCACGTGAAACCCCGTTACGAAAATGTTTTGGTGGTTGCGTTCCCTACTTTGGTGGATGCCGCCAACACTGTGGCAGAGATGGTGCAGCGGGCGATCCCGGCAAACGCGATCGAGCTGCTGGACGACAACATGATGCACTACGTCAACTTCTCGGGCGAGACCAGCTCCAAGTACGACGAGCTGCCGACGCTGATGCTCAAGCTGGGCGGCGACTCCAAGGAGTCGACGCAGCACGTGACCCGCGCCGTGGAGCAGATCTGCAAGCAGCACAACCGCAAGTCGTTCCGGTTTGCTGAGAGCGACGAGGAGAAGTTCGAGCTGTGGAATGCGAGAAAAGTGGCGCTGTGGTCCACGATCAATTACGGTAAACAGACTATCGACGAGGACGTCCAGGTCTGGACGACCGACGTGGCCGTGCCGATCTCGCGGCTGTGCCAGTCGCTGCAGGAGACCAAGGACGAGATTTCCAAGGCCGGGCTCAACGCGTCGATCGTCGGACACGTTGGCGACGGCAACTACCATGCCGTCATCCTGTTCAAAAAAGACCAGTACGAGCTAACCAAGAAGCTGGTCCAGGGCATGATCGACCGCGCCCTGCTCGCCGAGGGCACCGTCACCGGCGAACACGGCGTCGGCTATGGCAAAAGAGACTATCTGATAGAGGAGGCCGGCGAGGACGCGATCGACCTGATGCGGAAGATCAAGATGGCGCTGGACCCGAACCGGATCCTCAACCCAGACAAAATATTCCGGATCGACCCCAACGACGTGGGCGGTCACTAAAATTAATAGATGCGTTAGAAGTCCAGCGTGAGTAGTCCGGCCACCGCCTCCAGATGGCGCGTGTCCAGCACGGCGTCCTGCTGTTTCTCGTCCACGCGTTCGTCCACGTCGACCCTGTATCGGTCGGTGTCGCGCTTTCCCTCTTCCAAACGCTCCACGTTCGATCTCACGATCGCCTCGCTGGTGAACAGCCTGATGTACTCGGACACCAGCAGCAGCGTCTTGTGCGAGATTTTGATGGATTTGTCATCGAACGCGACCGTGTGGAAGAGTCGTGCGATCGTATTAGCGTCGATATGATTGGTTTGGTTTTCCATTTGTGGTATACGTCTTGCACGGAATTAATAAGCAATAAATATTTAAACTTTTTGGGTGCAATTTTTCCACCGATAAGAGTCACTGGTATGACCACGGAGTTTGAATTGGAAACACGAAATTTGGGCCACAGCGAGGACAGCCTCCTCGAGGCCAGCGACCCGGACGAGGTGTACTACGAAAACAACAAAACGCGCAGCTGGCTCGTCGTGCTCGGCTCTTTTTTCGGGCTGCTACCGGTCTGGGGGCTTGCCAACTCAGTCGGTGTGATCCAGACCCAATTGCTCGAGTACGAGCTCTCTGGCGTGTCCACGACGACCGTCTCGTGGATCTTTTCCATCTACACTGCTCTTCTGCAGATCTGCATGATCTTTAGCGGCACCTATTTCGACAGACACGGGACTCGCTTGCCGCTTATCGTCGGCACCATTTTGATGACCGGCTCGCTCCTCGGATTCGCAAACAGCACAAAAGTGTACCAGAGCATCCTCTCGTTTTCCGGCGTCGGCATTGCCTCGGGAATTCTCTCGTCGCCCCTAATGGGGGCTGTCTCGCAGTACTTTCCTGCCAAGAAAAGAGCCACCGCCATGGCTGTTGCCGGCAACGGCGGCTGTGTGGGCGGCCTGATATTCCCCACCATGCTGAGAAAGACATACGTGAGTGTTGGGTTTGCCTGGTCCATGCGACTGCTCGCTCTGATCGCGTTTTTGTGTCTGTTGATCTCCATTTTTCTGGTCAAAGAGAGAAGAGTCGTGGAGACAGAAAAAATGTCCAGAAAGGACACGGTGATATACTACCTCACCAAGTCGCTCAACTTCAGAGCGCTGCGCGACGACCGCAAGTTTCTGTTCTGCGTTCTGGGCTGTGTCTTTGCCGAAGGAACGGTCCTGGTGACGTCGTCGCTCTTCTCGTTCGTGTGCATCAAAAACGGGTTTTCCTCGAGCCAGGCATATTTGTTTGTCACTGTGATCAATATTGGCGCAGTTGTGGGCAGACTTCTGAGCGGCCTTCTTGCGGACGTCCTTTTCGGCAGCTATAACATTATTATTTGTCTCTTGGTCATTACTGCAGTCTTCAATTTTGTCGTTTGGATGCCCTTCAAAAGCAGCACTGGCGCCATGTACACCTACAGCATCCTGTACGGCACGTTCTATGGCGGGATCTACTCCCTGATCCCCACGTGCTGCTCGATGATCGTGAAAAAGGAAGAGTTCGGAGCCAGTTATGCCACCATGTACGCCGTCATCGGGCTTTCGCTGCTCGGTCTAAACCCTGCCGCTGCTGCCATCGTGGGCAACGGCACTAGCACCAAACGCACAGACGGGTTCATCGCCTACGCTTCCGCTTTGAGCCTGCTGGGGGCCGTCTGTATCAGTCTGACGCGTGTATTATGCGTGGGAGCCAAGCTTAAGAAATTCTGAGGAACTGCCACCACGAGAAGCTTGCTGTGTCTGTTTTCGCAGTTAGCAATATTGGTATCTCCTGGGCTTTCAGAATCTCTGCCTTGACGATCTTCCAATTCGGTCCTTCCTCTGTGCGCGATAGAGCTTCCGCTCTCGAGTTGGTGAGTTTCGGAGTGGGAATGGATTTTGCATATTCCTCAGGCGTCTTGCACTCTGGACGAGCACTCAAATAGAGCCGCGTTTCGTATAATGTCAAAACCTCGCTATCCATCAGATGTAGCTGAACTTCCATCGACTCCTTGCTCGGATTCGTGATCACCAAAGTCGAACCAATGCACTCAAGAACCGGCAGTCTGCTTATGGCCATGGACAGCGTCTCAAAAGAGCTCGACGAAGGCTCGGAACTCGGTTGCACCAAAACGTTGCGACAGCTCTTGCACCGCACGCTCGATTTACAGCATAGTTCCTGAAACAGCGGGAGCTCGGGCTGTTCAACCGTCTGTTCTCTGATTACCCCGATTTCGGGTAATTTGCGATGCTCCACTACATGCGCGAGTTCCAGCGACGAGAATCTCCCAACCAAACGCTTTCGATGCCGTGCTTCGCTAATATGAAGTGTCTCGTAGAGGTTCTCATAATACGTCTTGAGCTCGCTAAAGCGGCGCTCCAGCACCGTTTTGCTTCTCTCCCTAATGATTTCGTACAACGGCTGCGGCTTGGTGAGCTTGCCTGTGGTGTAGGTCCATTTACAGTTGGCACAATTGAATCGAAAGCTCTTGCTGATTTTTGTGTCCTCGTCGTTGCTGTCTGCCTTCACGCGAAGTCGTGAGCGGCACGACGGACACCTGAAGCAATGGCGTTGACAGTACCGCGCCTCGTGGTCAAAGGACCGCCAACAGGACGGACAAAACTTGGGCCCGTGTTCCAGATCGACACAACGGTAGCATTTGATGCTGCGGCAGGTATGGCAGAAATACAGCTCTTCTATCGGGTGTCGCAGACTCGGATCGTGCAGGGTCAGCGGGACCTTCTCGGCGGCGCCCGGAGGCTCGTAGCAGGGACAAAACACAGACCCCATAAATCCACGCCCCGGAACCAAAATAAAAATCGTGCTTTATTTTTCGTTTAATTATTGCCTTTGTTAATGAACTGGCTCCGTTTCGCTATAGCAGGCTGGCTTTTTTCCAATACAGCCAAGGCAGGCGAACAGCTGCTATCGGTCGCGGAAAGCATAGCCATCTTCAAAGAGGAGGAGCCGGCGCTCCGAGAAAGCTTGTGGTTCCTTACCGATTATAAACCTGCACAAGACGACCAGGTCCACCTGGCTCTCGACGTGGACTACTACGACGAGGCAGACAACATAAAGAAAAAATACTGGAACTCCAAGCTCTCCGAACGACAATTGCATGCCCTGGATTCCCTGCACCGCCTGGCCGACGAACACAACGACACCGACGCTACCTATCTGCTGGCCCAAATCAACCTATTTGGCAACTACTCGCTGCCAACGAACGCAACACAGACACTCCATTACCACCAGAAAATGGTCCAGCTGGCGCCCAACGCGACCTCAAACTACCTGCTGGGCTTCATCTACGCAACGGGTCTTTTTGGCAAGCTGGACATGGACCAGGGTAAAGCGCTGCTCCATTACCAGATCGCCGCCGACCAGGGCGAGATCCGCGCGGCAATGGCATTGGCATATAGATACTACAAGGGCATCTCCGTGGAGCAGAACCTGATGCTGGCTCTGTACTACTACGGCATGGTTGCGCACGAATGCTTTGAGTTTATCAAGAACGGGCCAATTGGCGGACCTAACATCGATCACTTCAATTTCCGCATCTACGACCTTCAGGGGGGCCTGTATGGCTCAGGAGCGAGCGAAACAACACCCGTTGTTCCTTCAACATTGAAAGAGGTGATTGAGTATGAGGACTTCACAGACGTCGATTTCCAGTCCGCTTCCTACAAAGACAAGGCGCGGTCCGTGCGCCACTACTACGACGGCAACTACTGGAGACCGCGCGACTACAACACAGCCTTTGAGATAGCCCAAGAATGCGCAACTCGCGGAATCCAGCTGAGACCTGTCCAGGACGTGCTAGACGGTAAAATCGACCGGAAACTTTCAGTTTCGCGGACTCTGATCCAGAGTGTTGGCCAGTGTTGTTCGGATCTAGGCCACATGTACCTCAGAGGCGAAGGCACGGAAATGGACCTGGAGAAGGCCAGAGTGTGGCTGGAGAGGGGCGTGAAACTGGCCAACTCCGCGGAAGCGAGCGTCGATCTCGGACTTCTGTACGAATTGATGGACGACGAAGAGCATCGCGCACAAGCGTTCGAGCTCTACAACTCTGCGCGTTACGCGTCCGCCAGGGCTCTGTACCATCGAGCCAAAATCCTCATAAGAAGCGACTTCGAGTCCGGAATGGGCCAGCTCATTACCGCAGCGTACAGAAACGTCCCGGAGGCCAAGTACCAGGCGGCACAGTTGAAGGAGCTCCAGTACGAGCCGGGCAAAGAAGAGGGAATCATAGTGTTCTACAAGGCTTTTGTGGAGCACATGGAGCCGGTCGTCTGCGACTTGCAATGGGCGTTCCACCAGCTGCTGAACAGAAATCATGAACAGGCCCTTATTGGATACGCCATGGCTGCAGAGCAGGGATTCGAGCCGGCACAGTCGTCCACAGCGTTCCTGCTCTATTCGCCTGTCGGGTATCTCGAGGAGCCTCCCAGGGTTCCGTTCGAGCGGTTCCAAAGCTCGCTGAATTACTACAGACGCGCGCACCAGCAACAAAATCTGGACGCGGGAGTTTTTCTTGGGGATATCTACTACAACGGGCTCAAAAACTCACAGATCGGAAAGTCGGCAGAGGACGCAGAGTATGCTGTGGAGCCGGACTACAACACGGCGTTTTCGTACTACCTCTCCGCTGCAGCAAAGGGAAGTCTTCAGGCCAGATTCAACCTCGGCTACATGTACGAAATGGGCATTGGACTGAGCCAGGACTTCCATCTGGCCAAAAGGTACTACGACCAGATGTTTGAGATAAATCAGAAACCGTCGTTGGCTGCGCAGCTGTCTCTTCTGCGTCTCTGGCTGAAGATCTGGTGGTACGGCGAGAAAACCGCTGAAGACGCAGACGTTGAACAGTCGACGAGCAGAACGTGGGACGATTGGGTGCAGATGTACACGAGACTCAGAAACGAGAGACGCGAGACCTCTGCACAGGAGCAGCTGGCAAACGGGCCCAACAGTGCCGGGCCAGACCCGAACTTCATTTTCGAGAGCACTTTTGAGAACGGCAACGCCGACATTTTCTTTCTTATCGCGTTTGCATCGATCTTCCTGCTAGTCATGCTGAACCGATGGCGTCTTCTGCGCCAACGGCGGCCGGGAGAGCCCGACGACGAGCCTGGAGACGAGCCAAACGTGAGGTTCCGGGTGATACTTTTATAGCATGTTAAATAGTATGTAAGATTACTGATCGGCTTCACCAGCAGACTCCCATTTTCCCGACAAGTTCTCCTTCCATAGCGTCACCTTGTTGTCGCCGCCACTGATGGCGAGCACGTTTCCGCTGAGCGACCAGCTGGCTCTCCAGCACACGTCAGGGAACTTTTCCTCCGTCAGGAGCTGTTTTTTCCATGGCGACTTGCCGCCGACTGTGTCGTTGGTCCATATCAGAACGGTTCTATCCTGCGAGGCAGATGCAATGTATGACTTGGAGAGCAGGGACGACGACCAGGCCACGTCTCTGACCCAGTCTGTGTGGCCTGCGAGCACGGCCTCCTCGACGTAATTATTGACTTGCGGGTCGAGTTTCCAGATCTTGACTAGGTTGTCGCATCCACCGGTCACGAGTCGTCTTTCCTTGATGTTGTCCTTGTGCGGAGGGGCCCAGGAGCCTGCGTTAGCTCCGATGGCATGTGCCTGGAACACCATTGTCTTTTGCGATCCGTCTTCCATGAACTCCACCACAGAGGCCTTGCCGTCACTGGAGGTGCACAGCAGCACCGCGCCGTACTCGCTTGGCGCCCACGAAACGCTGTTCACGGAGGCTTGGTGCACACCGTGCTCTGCGATGTTCGACCACACTCCGTTCTCTTCTTTCCAGATGAGAGCCTTGCCGTCGTACGAGCAGGAGGCCAGTATCACGCCGAATTTCGGGTGGGCCCACGCGACCTGCCAGACCGGCCCGTCGTGACCCTTGAGCGTCTCCACGAGCTTGTGGTTCTCGCCGTCGACCTCAAAGATCTTGATCGTCTTGTCCGACGAACACGTGGCCAGTCTCTTCCCGTAGTAGTCCAGGACGGCGTCGTGAATCAGATCGTCATGCGCGTTGCCAATTGTCACCTGGGGTTAGTGTTGGGAACATGAATTACTCACCATTTGTGTCTATTTATTAAATATAACAACAAACCTTTATTTTCACCCTTCGGTGTGAGGTGGCCATTTTTCAATCGTTCTCGATCAGCCCGTATTCCTCCAGATACAGGATATTGTCGCGGACAAGATCGTACACGCCGCGGTTGTTCTTGTACTTGACCTTGATCTCGTTCTCCACCTTTGTGCGCCCCACCTCGTTGATCAGACCGGCCAGCCCTAGAATCAGCTTCGGAGAGAACGAGCAGTACCATCTGTGGAACCAGACGGTCAGATTGACCACCAGGTCCAGAATCTGGTCATTCAGCTTGTTGAGCGCCTCCACGTTTGCCGTCTTCTTCTTCTGCTCGGTGTAGTAGTCTAGTAATTTTTTGGAGCTGCGCACAGCAAACCGCAGCCCGAGGCCCCTCTCGTAGCACTGAGCAGCCTCTCTCTGGTGGCCCAGCCGCTCCGAGACAAGTCCTAGAAGCTCCCATTCCAGCGTCGTTTTCTCCAGGTCCAGCTGCTGGGCCTCGAAATGCATCACCTGCGCACGATACATCGTGTAAGTTCTCAAGTCTTCGTACAGAAGCATGAATAGATTGTCGAGCCATCTTTCGCAAAGACGCTTCTTTTTGAACTGGGACCCGGCAGACCCGTTCGCGGCCTCTGACGAGCCCGAGCTGCTGTCCAGGCTTGGCTGTGCGTTCTCCTTCTTGAACTCGTCCTCCATCACAAACACCTTGGTGCGGTACTTCAGAAGCGACTCCCAGCCCGTCTCCAAGACGATATCTGTCAGCAGCTTGTACGCCTTGGCGAAAGTCGATTTCAGGTTGGCCGCAGCCAGATTCAACAGGTTGTGGTCGACCTTCTCGTGCTCGGCAGCAATGTCCAGAGAGCTCAGGCTGGTCACATTGGGAAGGGTAACGTCCATTGGAAGAGGAAGATGCAGATCTTCCGACTGCGGATTGTTGACTCTCTTCAGCACGAACTTGTCTTTGTGGGTGACCATAGGACACGAGTTCAGTGTGAGCAGCGCCTTTTCATAGTCTCCTTTTTGAATGTATGTCTCCACCAGGACCGACCACGGCTTGAAGTAGGATGGGGTGCTGTTGACCGCCTTGATGGCAATAGGAAGAGCCAGGTCCAGCTTTTTCTTGTTCAGGCAGTATTGGGCCTGCAGAGTGAGCATCTCGCCATCCAGCGGGTTGAGCTTGATGGTATCGTACATCACCTTGACGGCTTTTATTTCCTGGTTGTTGAGCAGATACAGTTTGGCGATCAAATACGAAGCCGTGTGGTCCTCCTGTGTGATTCTGCTGAGAATTGCAACTCCTTCCTCCCACATGCCCGTCAGCTGAATGCACTTCACGAACGCGTCCACTAGATAATTGTTGCACCTGGTTGGCACCTGGAGATCTTCGGAACAGCCGAGTTTAGGGCCCTCGTTGTACAGTTCCTCGAACCCCTTGACAAACAACGACGCGCACTCTTTATTGAGAAACGGGTTGATCTTGCGGATCTCCACCACAGACGTGAAGTCGTCCACGTCCGCGTCGGCACTGATCAAAGCACGCACAACGGCACTGACAAAAGTCTCAGTCCATAGTCTGTCGGTCTCGCTCACTTTGTTCCCCAGCCCGTCAATCATGTACGACTCCACCTGGCCCGGGAACTTGCACGTGACGCGGACATCGACCTTGCTGAACACATTGTAGGTGCAGTAGGTTGCCTCGGTCACTTTCCAGTGTTTTTCTTTGCCGAACCAGATTTGGGGCTCTTCGCCAATGATGTTGCTTAGCGAGTTCAAAAGAGCCGCGATTGTGGCAGAATTCGACACGTCGGCCCCCGTGTAGTATAGAAACGTGCCCAGAAATGGATGTTTCGAGCTGGACGAGCTGTTGTGCTTCTTCAGATGCACCATATCTGGGGGACCCAGGTCGCTGATGTTCTCGAGAATGGACGTTCTCTCGTCCAGACTCTCGCCAATGGTCTTTTCGACGACCCTGGAGTTAGAGCTGAACGGGTTATCTACTTACTCTGGGATCGAGCCCTGTGTAACAAAAGTCATAAAAATAACACTTGTAATGTACAAATAAAAATATTTAATTATGGACGTTTCAATTTATCCTTGATAGACGAAAATGTAGCAGTCTCGCAACCAGCACCGCCAAACGCGGAACTCTGCCGTATGTCGGTGCCACCGAATTGAAAGGCGTTCACTGCGTCCTCTGTCTCTTGGCCTCTCCTTCGGACCCCTCATCCTCCTCCTCGTCCAACTCCCAGTCTTTGGCCGTCAAACAGTATTTCTCCGGAGGCAAGCGCACACCCCACGCAGGCATTACAGGCGGCAAGGGCTTCTCGTTTCTCTCGGCTGCCAGCTTCAAAAGAAGCTTCTTTGGAGGAACAGGCTTGAATTGGTAGTTTGTGCGAGCAGCAATAGCCAGCCGGATATCCTCGTTCGAAAGTGGCGCGTTCGACATCCCGGCCGAGGTGCCTCCATTGGCACTCGCGTACGCATGGTCGTTGTAGAGCACCGCATCTTGTAGAACTCCACAAGTGTATCTGTACGCGAAATCCATCAGCTGAAGAGGAACGTGGTCCTGGTACGACTGGATTCCCTGCGTGGCAAAAATCAGGTGCAACAGACGCACGTCGCGAGGAACCTCCTCGTTCCCTGCTCCGGTGTTCATGGTGTAACGTTTGAACTTGTTTTTTGTACGAAATTATTATTATAGTACACACCCGTGCACCGGGTCGCTCAGGCGTACTTGGACAGTTCGAGCTCGTATCGTTGCAACACCTCGGCGTGTCCTTGCAGAAACTGCGTTTGCGCACTATTCAGCACCTCGTCAAACCGACAACTCTGCAAATACGTCTGGAAATTGGCCTTGTTCGCCACTATTCGGTCCATGCACCTAGCGTTGGCTTCCTGTCGTGCCTGGTGGTATTTGGCCATTAAGTGCTGGTAATTGAAGACCTGGATCAGGTACTCTTGCATGCGGTGCTGCAGCTGCTCGCGCGTGGCCAGCCCAAACTCGGGGAAAGGCGGCGGAGAGATGTGGACTATATCTGCCTCGTTGCACTGGAGATCCGATAATGTAAGAGGAGGCACGTTTGCTTCCGGTTCCTCGGATTGCATGTCTTTTTCCTCGTCCACGCTCATGTCAGCGTCCACCCCAAGGCTCTCTCCCATAGCCGACATGTTGAAATTGCCGTTTGTCTGAGTAAAGGGAGGAACGTTATCCACACGTATTTTGAACCTCTCATCGTCAGCGTCTTCCATCTGTGCCTTGTGCGCTCTCTGTTCTCCCTCCTCCTCCATGGCCGTTCTATTTGTAAACCGCTGATGCGAGCTGGGCTTCCAGAACCGCTGTTTGGGCTTCTTGGGGCTATGTGTATGCGAAGGCGGGTCGTCCACCACAATGGGGTCCTCTTTTGTCCCGCTGTCGAGTATTATGGGGTCCTCGGGAGTCCCGTTGAACGAGGCAGCTTCGGGACCACTGCTGCCTCCAAATTTAAACTCTGGCGTGCTGAAATCTTTGAGAATATCCGCGAAATCTGTGCTCATCCGCGGCTTCTGCTCCTTGTCCGTCCATTTGCTTGGTTTTTCCGTCTTGGGCATTGACCCAGGATACGTTTTTTCTCCGGGAGTGAACGAATAGGAGGAGCTGGTCTTTCGCCACCCGTTGGAGCCGTTACTTGAATGGCTTTCTTGAGTATACTGTCTGTGTGTTTCGTGACGGTCGGAGGAATATCTGCTGTAATGGTAAAAACTGTCCGTGTAGTTCCACTTGTTTGCCCAGTCGTCCGCCTGCTTTTTATGAGCCTCCTCGCGAGCCTTCCGTTCCTGCTGTTGTCTCTTCTTGAACTCCTCAAACTGTCGTCTTGCGCGCTCGTACTCGTCGTACGCTGAGGGCTGTTTCGAGGCCTTGGGTGTGAAAGAGTAGTTGTGCGTCGTTCGTGGTGGATAAGTTCTATCAAATTCGGCCTTCTTGACTGGGTCTGACAGAACGCCGTAGCTGTCGTTGATTTGCTTGAACTTTTCCTCCGCCGACGCGCTCTTGTTCTTGTCCGGATGAAACTTCAGCGCCAGCCGTCGGTACGATTTTTTGATCTCAGCATCGGTTGCGTTTCTGGAAATCTCCAGCACCTCGTAATGGTTTATACTCATGCAACATAGAATAATTTATTTTGCATTTATTTTAGAAAAAGATGAGGGTGTAGATTGGAAATTCAGTAGCAGTTTTTTTGCAGGTGATGCAGCTCTTTAGTTTTCTTCCTTTGAGGCATTGTCGGCGAATCACATCTGATGGGTTGTCCAGATCAAGTTGACAACGACAAGGTAGCCCAGATTGAATGAAAGATTAGTCCTAGTACGTAATCCTTTTTGACTGATTGAAACTTACATGATCTTGTGATATTCATGTAAGCAGCACAAAAGCAAAGACGTTTGACCTGAGTAAAATGTCCCATTTGTGAAGAACTCAGGTTCGTCAAAAAGACACCCAAAAATCTGAATCAGCTAGGTCTTGGACATAAACGTACTATGTGATAAAAGTTTTACTGCATGCTTGAATGAATCTTAGCACAGCGTCTTTTTGCCATCTGCTGCACCTACGATGGTGCAACGCATAGACCCAGCCTGCCCGAGTCAACCTTTTGCTACCATGGCTGAGCGGATAAAAGACCGTTTTTCCATACAATAGTAATGATAGATGTACTATTAAATAAACTAGGTAAACCCAATATTAACCATTTAAATAGCTTGATTTGGTTCTAATCTTCATCATTGTCGTAATGACTCACATACTCGATCTACTTGCTAGAGACGCCCAATTGACGAAACGGTTGCGACTACGCTGTCTGCAATTTCGCCCCTTACGTAATGCTACATTTTATTGATCTTTTGACATTAATTTGAGTAGATCCGAACAATTTAATTTATTTAATTTATTTATTATCCCGCTAGAACAAAACACCCACTGGATGTCGAAGATCTTCTTCTACAAGTTTCCCGTCACAAGCCAGGTGTTCTACAAATCCAAATTCACCTTTGCTCTGGTCAACCTCAAACCAATTGTTCCCGGACATGTGCTGGTCGTTCCCTTGAGGGTAGTTCCGCGACTTAAAGACCTCTCGCCCGAGGAAAGCGTGGACTATATCATGACTGTGCAGTTGATCCACAGCTTTATTGAGAAAGTGTACAAGGCCGACTCTCTGAATCTGGCCATGCAAGATGGTGTTGCTGCTGGACAGTCCGTGCCCCATGTGCACACCCATATAATTCCACGGTATTTGAACGACGGTTATGGAGACGGGATTTATGAACTGCTGGAGTCGCACGAACAGGATCTCAACAGCTTCTTCCGGACTGCACTGAAGAAAATGCAGGTTGCCAGGGACGAGGACCGCAAACCAAGGTCTATGGAGGTGATGGAGAAGGAAGCCCAGTGGTTGAGAGAGGAGCTGAGTGAGTTTATCAAATCCCGCGAAGCTCTCCACTCTGATAACACTATGAATGCGTCACACTGATACGTACTCAGCTGATGATTCTGGTATGATTTTTCACCGTTTGTCATCTATTCATGCTATTTTGCAGAGGAAATAAATAATGGTGATAGCAATGGCAGGCTGAAATTTGGAGCTGATGAAGGTGGTCTGAATGACGTCATCATAGGATTTCTCAACATGTACTCAATGGACAAATAACAAGACACTTTGACTGTCAAAGTCCGCATACTTTTCAATCGTCACTTTTTGCTGGCGAGATTCAGGATAATCCATCTAGAATCCAATAGAGTGTGAATTTTCATCAGCTTGCTTTGTGCACCTCGAACGTGTGTGATAATCTACACCGCTGCAATCCGTATCCTAATGCGGTCCATCCAGAGCTTTGGTTACGATCGTTCCAACGCATTTTCAGTCTGCTGTCTCGCGCAATGACTATGATAGCATCATGTTTCCAGCTCAGATATGCACTGGAGAGATGCCAGGCGCTATAGATAGTGACTGTTTCCCCTAGCTGGGTTGAGGCAGGCCAACGCAGATAGGTCCATGTCGACACGTCTTTTGAGTCTTGCAATAGATCAATACATTTAATTACATGCATCTTACACTTGTGAGCCAATACGGAAAACTCTGAACGCTCATTTCTTCCCTAAAGGCGTGAAAAGAGGCTTTCCTGGTATTTGTCCAAACTCTTTAGCGGTCTTTTTTGTTCCGTTTGTAAATTGCCCCCATTTTTAAACCTTGGCCATTATTAATCTCAGTGCAAGAACCTGCCTCTACAATGTCCTACTCAATGAGTACGATCCTTAACCCCTTGAAAGCACAAACTGAAATCAAGAATCAAACACAACCACCTTCATCGAGAAGTTCCAGAACGAGTCTCTTGTCCAAGTCACGTGACCAAAATATCTAGTACTGCTCCCATGGAGCGGTGGCAGGCCTGCTTGATTACCTCGGGTACTGTGCAACGGGGACAATTTGCGCATTTTCTGGGATGTCTTTCCAAATGAAAGCGTGAAGAAGCTCTGCCAAACAAACAGCAAGTGACAGTTAAACCCAAGGTGCAAGCCCTACCCAGTTGAGCAAGTGAATATAATAGCTGTTTTTGTCCACCGGTCCTTTTCAACACCACTGAATCGCATATTCGCATAACCAGGCATGCGTACAACCAGATAACAACGTTCTGGACACACCCCTGTATCTCTCAGTGGAATTATTCCTACACCAAAGGCAACTATAAATCGTCTATATAGCTGAACAGATCGAGCAACACTTTGGACAGCACCCCGGTCAACGGCTCAAAACTGACCGTTGCCCGACCGGGGTAAGCACCATCAGTCCCAGGATCGACCGGGCCACCTCTCCTGCCATGATAGAGGTCACGTCGTTGGTGGAGTCGCCCCATGGAGAGACCTCTGTTACGTCAGCGCCGACCACATACAGTCCTGCCAGACCGTCGATAATCTCCAGCAGCTCTCTGGAAGACCATCCGCCTGGCTCTAGAGACCCCGTACCAGGGGCAGACGGCGGGTCCAGAACGTCAATGTCAAAGCTGATGTACACCGGCGAGTTGCCCAGTCTTTGCTTAATTTTGTCTATTATGCCCTGGACACCAATTTTATCCACGTCTCTGGCCATGATCTTGGCGAACTTCGACTCCGAGTAGTCCCGGCCAGGGTCTCCTCTGTTCTCGTACCATCCTCTCAGTCCGGCGTGGATATTGTTGCCGGCAGTCCAGCCTTTTCTGTGGGCCCAGTATAAATACGTGCCGTGGTTCAGCGCAGCATACTCGGTCACGTTTGGGTTCATATAGTACGGATTGACGGTGTCGAGATGGGCGTCGAAATGCAGAACGCTGACTTTGCCGAACTTCTCGTGAGCAGCGCGGATTCCCGAGTAACTGATGGTATGGTCGCCTCCGAGAGTGAGGAACCGGGGGTATTTTCCAGGATTGGATTTCGTGGTCGAGTGGTTCAGAATGGCTCTTTCGGACCGATACAGCTGGTCCAGAGCGATCCTGTTGTCCAGCGGCGTCATCGGGACGTTGCCGCAGTCCACGATTTTGGCCCAGTTGTTCCAGACATTGAATCCTTCCCTGTACGGAGAGTACGCGGGAGCAAACTTTCTTGTGCCCTGTCTGATAGCGTCTGGTCCGAACCGCGAGCCCGGCTTGTACGAGATGCCCGTGTCGAAGGGGGCTCCGAGAACAACAATGTCGAGTTCCAGCTCGGCCAGCTTTTCGGGGTCGAAACAGTGCGTCTCCATTGGAAGATGGCCGTAGGTCAGGTAGCCGGCCTGCGAGATGCCGTTGTATCTGTCGCTTTTGCCGGGATACAGGTCGGACGTGTCGTCCGGGTCTCTGTACTCGACCTGCTGGGACGCAATGTAGGCCAGGTCGTCGGGAAGCTGGATATCGGCGGAGAAAACGAGAGCGTTGTGCTGCTCTACTCTATAGTAGTCCTCGAGAAACTTGATTTTGGTGTCCTCGTATTTTTTGACGAGCGCGGAAGACACGTCTGTAAGTCCCTGGACGGCCACCTGGTCCAGTGGCACGTGTGCCGCGAGCGCATGGGCGCTCAGGAAAAGAGAGAAAAGCATAGTTGAAAAAGGTGCGGACGAGGTTTTTATCGCGGAAAACTGCCGGATTAGGAAGCGATAAGGGACTGCCGCCACGCTTCGCCTGAATTCGGTCGGAAGAGCGAGGTGGCCGCCGGTGGGTCCTGAGACGGCAGCCGTGCTTGTCAGCTAGAAGCCGGGCTCCGGGGCAGCTCATACTGAAATTGGGTTGGGGTGGCTGGCTATTTTACTGCATCAGATAACAAAGTTTTCGAAATCGCTTTTTTCTCAACATGGCGAAAATCATAGTTATAGGGTACGTACCAGCGCAAGGCCCCGCTAACCAGCCAGTTGCGGCGTGGTTGGAATGACCACGGCCTTGGAGCTCGCACAGAGAGGCCACAGCGTCCAGATAGTGGCTCGGCACCTGCCGGGCGACGTCGACGTCGAGTACACCAGTCCTTTTGCAGGCGCCAATTGGTCGAGCTTTGCGCAGGACGAGGACTACGAGATGAAGGAGTGGGACAAGCTTGGTTATTACCGGTTCATCGACCTGGCCGACAACGTTTCTGGTGCAAGTGTGGTGAGACGCACGGAGCGCGTTCTCAACTCCAAACAGCTGCCGTGGTTCAAAGACTTTGTGCAGGGATTCCGGCTTCTTTCCAAAGAGGAGCTGCCAGACGGAGTCGAGTACGGCCACGAGTACACGACGGTGGCAATCACGGTGCCAATCTATTTGCACTATTTATTGCAGAAGTTATTAGGTCTGGGTGTTAAATTGCACAGAGCACATTTACACCACATCGGAGATGCCGCGAGATATTTCACAGACGGCAAAGCTGACGTGACTGTGAACTGCTCTGGGCTTCTCTCCAGCAAGCTTGGAGGCGTGATGGACAAGGACGTGTTCCCGATCAAGGGCCAGGTGATCCACGCGCGCAACAGCTGTCCGTACATGCTTTCCGTCAAGGACATTCCCGGTGCCAGCAAGGACGAGTCGCTGTACATTTTCCCACGGAAAGAAGGCGGCACCATCATTGGCGGCTGTTTCCGCGTGAACGACTGGACGCCGGACGTGGACGAAGGTCTTTTTGAGCGGACCGTGGCCCGTGCACGCCAGTACTGTCCGGAGCTGTTTGCGCACGGCGACCTGGACGTCGTCAAGGTGCACTGCGGCCTGAGACCGGGCAGAAAAGGCGGGCCGCGGATCGAGAAGGAGGTTATTCCTGGCGTCGGCCGCGTGGTCCACAACTACGGCGCCGCAGGTGCTGGATACCAGAATTCGCACGGAATGGCCATGAAGACGGTTATGCTAGTGGAGTCGTTTATGCGCGAGCACAAGCTCTAGTTGGCTGAGATCCCCTTTGTCCAGCTGTAGCAGCCCAGGATGAGCAGCATGACGAGAAATGACACCACGAGACTGGCGGTGTAGTAGATAGCTCGGCGAATTTCGTTCTTGAGTGCGACAATCTCGTTGACAAACGTGCTCAGCGTGCTGTACACGCCGCAGAAACCCGTTCCCAGGGCGGCCAGCACGTCAAGCTGCAGCTGGTCGGTGACCAGCGGCGCGCCCGTGCTCGTTTGTCCGTGTATTAGAAGGTAGATTATTGCGAGGAGAATAGATGCAGTGACGTTGGTGATGAAGGTGCCGATGGGGAACCAGGAGCGAGCGTTGAGTTTTGCGAGATGGTAGCGGGCGAAGCAGCCAAAGGGCGCGAAGACGATGCCGAACGACCACGATTTTTTCCAGAAGTGGTGGTTGTGCAAAGTGCAGCAGAGGACGAGGTTGGCGACCCACACAATAACTCCGAGCGCCATGGTGAGCGGCTCAAAGTTATGCACAGGCTTGATGAACTTTCTGTGGCCGAGTCCCCATGCGTCGCCAAACCTGGTCAGAAAAGCGGCAAGGTCGGAGCCCAGGTGGTAGCCGACCATGGAGACGCCCATCTGTGTGAATGCAACGGAGAAAAACTCCATGACTCCGTAGCCGTGGTTCGGCAGCTTGCTGTCTATGTTGAGAATATCCAGTGTTTTGGCGAGCATCTCCATGGCCAGGGCCGAGAAGCTTGAGAAACTGCCGACAAAGCCGGTGGTGAGGGCGGTATAGAGCACGAGCGATTTTTTGGTTTGTGTCTTCTCGTCCGGCAGCAGCGTCTGCCAGCCCTGGTCGTACTGGTTGATTAGAGCGATGAACAGGCAGGCGGTGAAGTTCGACCAGATGCACGAGCCGGACAACTTGTAGTTCGGGTTGATGTACGAGTTCGAGTAGAAGGTGAGCCTGGTGAGTCCTTCTCGGGCCATGAAGCCGAGAATCGACCAGAAGGCCAGCTGGAGGTGGACATTAAGCCAAGACATGGAAATGTCTTTTTTTTACAGATAATAATAAAGTTGCACAGCCATGCAGTTATAGCAGTTTTCAGTCTATGCACCGGCACAGTGGCCGCCGTCAATTCTAAGGTCAGAGCCCGTCATGAACCGCGAGCCGTCGCCGAGCAGGAACACGGCGGCCGTCTTGAAGTCTTCGGGCGCGCCCAGCCGGTTGAGCATGGCGCCGCGCATCCAGGTCTCGTACAGCTCGGGTTCCACGTCCAGCAGCTCCTGGGTCATGGCAGTTATGATATAACCGGGAGAGATGGTGTTGATGCGGATGCCGTACTGGCCCCACTCCTGGCACAGCGACCGCGCGAGCTGCAGCACGGCGGCCTTGGACGTGTTGTACGCCGTGTTTTCGAGCCCGCGGTTCGCGATAATGCCGGACATCGAGCCAATCAGCACAATCGAGCCCGGCGTCCGTTCTGCCACCAGGATCTTGGCCGTGTGCTTGGCCATGATGAACGAGCCCACAAAGTTGATGTCGACGATCTTGCGGTACAGCTCGACGGGGTACTCGATGGCCGGCAGCTTCTGGTTGATGCCGGCGCAGTTCACCAGGCCGTGGATCGGTCTGCCTGCCTGGGCGGCCTCCTGAGCAAGCCGGGGCAGCAGCAGCTCGACGGCAGGCTCACTGGTGACGTCGAGCGTGTTGAACGAGAGGGACCCGCCGCTTTCCTTGGCGAGCGCCTGCGCGGCGGCCCACTCTTCGGTGAGGGGCTCTGGCAGCAGGTCCAGAGCCACTGCGCTGCCGCCTGCCTCGAGAATGGCCGTGATAAGGCTCAGGCCGAGGCCACGGGCGCCGCCGGTGACGAGGTAGGTCCTGTTTCTCAGGTCCAGGCCCGCCTTAACGGAGGACGGCGAGGCGGGAGCAGGGTCAGTGATGGTGGCGAGAGGGTTGTAAGACTTATATGTCATGGTGCACCAAGAGAGCAAACTAATGCTGTATTTATAGCACTGTTTCACATTTGCGGTAATCGATGCGGGGGCCGCATTGTGGGGCCGCGTAATTTTTCCAGTTCGAACAATAGGTGTAAATCTAATGCATGCACCCCGCATTACACCCGGCCTTGGTATATATGGACGGCTGGGAGCCCTGTGTCACCAAGAATGTATCTGGGATTGAAAGGCCGCAACTTGCAATGGGGAGTCACCATCGCCTCTGGCGCGGGTTTCCTGCTCTTTGGGTTTGACCAGGGCGTGATGTCGGGCCTTTTGACGGGTGCCGCGTTCACGCACCAGTTCCCGTCGATCGACACGACGGACACAGGCCACGGCAGCTCGTCGCTCCAGGGCACCGTGGTGGCCATCTACGAGATTGGATGTTTCTTTGGCGCGCTGTTCAGCTTTGCGCTTGGCGAGCAGCTCGGCAGACGCTGGAGCATCATGGTAGGGTGCATAATTCTGTCAATCGGAGCAGCAATCCAGACCTCTGCGTACGGCGTGCCGCAGCTGATTGTGGGGCGGATAGTCGCCGGCCTGGGAAACGGCATGAACACGGCTACGATCCCCGTGTGGCACTCGGAAATCTGCAAAGCCCACAACAGGGGCCGCGAGCTGTCCATAGAGCTGGCAATCAATATTTTTGGAGTTATGACGTCATACTGGGTCGACTACGGCATGAGTTATGTTGACAGCGAGGCCCAGTTCCGGTTCCCAATTTCGCTGCAGATTCTGTTTGCGCTGTTCACGCTGGCCGGCGTGATGTTCCTGCCCGAGTCGCCGCGGTGGCTGATCGCCCACGATCGCCACGCAGAGGCCAAGCAGGTTATCCATCTGACGATGTCCAACGCCGAACAAATAACCGACGACGACCCGAGCGTGGCGCGCGAGATCGAGCAGATCAACGAGGCCCTCGCCGAGGAACGCGAGTCCGCAAGTGTGGGCTTTGCCGCTGTCTTCTCCAACGGACGGCAACGCTTTTTCTGGCGTACCTTTTTGGGCATGTTTTCGCAGTTCATGCAGCAACTCTCGGGAATCAACCTGATTACGTACTACGCCACGAGCATCTTCGAGGAGTCCGTCGGCATGGACCACAACCTGGCGCTGCTGATGTCTGGGTTCAACGGAATCGCGTACTTTGTCTCGTCGCTGCTCCCGATTTGGTTGCTCGACAGAGTCGGTCGCCGCAAGCTCATGATGTTTGCCGTGATCGGACAGGGCTCGTGCATGGCGATCCTGGCCGGCACGGTCTCGAACGGCAACACGGCGTGCGGAATAGTGGCCACCGTGATGCTGTTTATGTTCAATTTCTTTTTCTCCGTCGGTCTGCTTGCCATTCCGTGGCTGCTCCCAGCCGAGTACGCGCCTCTGGCGATCCGTACGAAGGCTGCGGCGCTGGGCTCTGCCAGCAACTGGATTTTCACGTTTCTGGTCGTTGAAATCACGCCGTCGAGCGTTGCCAACATAGGCTACAAAACGTACATCTACTTCTGCGTGTTCAATTTCTGCTTCTTGCCGATGATTTATTTCTTCTACCCAGAAACGAAAAACCTCCCGCTCGAAAAAATCGACCGCATGTTTGTGGGGGAGAAGGTGCACCTGTTCTGGAACGATGCGCTCGAAGACGACTATGCGCTTGTTGCCGACAAGACCGCCAATAAAGCGGAGGTCGAGATGGTGGAGTCAGGTGTGTACGTTTCAGCTTAGCAATATCTGCCGCAGTTTTGTTTAGCTCCCCGCGTAGCCTTCCGTATTGGGTAATTTTGAGCGCAGCCAGGACCCCAGATAAATAGCACCGATCTGGCCTGCTGGAACGCGAATGACGACCGACAACTCTCAGACCCACCAGCTTGTGCTCAGCAGTTTCCGCTGCCTCATCGCAGACCTCGTCCAGCACTACGGGGGCGGCCATCCCGGCGGAGCCATGGGCATGGCCGCCATGGGCGTGGCTTTGTGGAAATACGCCATGAACTACTCTCCCAGCAACCCGGATTTCTTCAACAGAGACCGTTTCGTGCTCTCCAACGGCCACACATGCCTGTTCCAGTACGTGTTTCTGCACCTGTCGGGCTACAAGCACATGACCATGGAACAGCTGAAAACGTACCACTCGGACCGTCCAGACTCGTTCTGTCCGGGCCACCCGGAGATTGAGCACCCCGGCATTGAAGTGACGACGGGCCCGCTCGGCCAGGGCATTGCCAACGCGGTCGGCCTCTCCATTGCGTCCAAAAATCTTGCCGCCACGTACAACAGGCCAGGCTACGACGTGGTGGACAACTCGATTTTCTGCATTGTCGGCGACGCGTGTCTGCAGGAAGGCGTCGGGCTCGAGGCCATCTCGCTCGCCGGCCATCTTGGTCTCGGCAACCTGATTGTGCTCTACGACAACAACCAGGTCACGTGCGACGGCAGCGCCGACGTGGCCAACACGGAGGACGTGGCGGCGAAATTTCGGGCGTGCGAGTGGGCCGTGCTCGACGTGGTCAACGGCTCGGAGGACGTCGAGGCTATTGTGGGCGCCATCGACCGCGCCAAGCGGATCTCCGACCGCCCCGTGCTCATCAACGTCCACACCGTGATCGGCTACGGAGCGCTCAACCAGGGCCAGGCGTCCGCTCATGGAGCAGCGCTCGGCGAGGACAACGTGAGACAGCTCAAGGTGAAGAACGGCCTGGACCCCGACCTGCGCTTCCACGTGCCGCAGGAGGTGTACGAGTTCTTCAGCGACTGCGTTCCGCGCGGCCAGCACAGCGAGCGGGCGTGGCAGGAAAAGGTGGCCAAGTATACGGAGCAGTACCCTGAGCTGGCGGCCGAGTTTGCGCGCCGCGTGGCGGGCAAGCTACCTTCCGACTGGAAAAAACACATTCCAACAGAGTTCCCTTCAGGCCCGACACCAACCAGAAAGAGCAGCGGTCTCGTTTTCGCGCCGCTCGCCAAGGCGATCGACACGATCATCGCCGGCACGGCCGACCTCACACCGTCTGTGCACGTGAGCTGGCCTGGTGCACGGGACTTCCAGAAGCCTCAGCTGCAGACCAGTTGCGGTCTGGGCGGCGATTATTCGGGCCGCTACATCCATTACGGGATCCGCGAACACGCGATGGCGGCCATAGCCAACGGCCTCGCCGCCTACAACAGAGGCACGTTTGTCCCGGTGACATCCACTTTCTTCATGTTCTACCTGTATGCTGCTCCCGCCGTGCGGATGGGCGCTCTGCAGGAGTTGCAGACGATCCACGTCGCCACACACGACTCTATCGGAACGGGCGAGGACGGGCCAACTCACCAGCCGATAGCGCTGCCGGCGTTTTACCGCGCGCTGCCTAACACGCTGTATTTGCGGCCGGCAGACTCTGAGGAGACCGCCGGCGCGTGGGAAGCTGCCATGGACTTCAAGCACGGCCCGAGCCTCATTTCGCTGTCTCGTCAGGCACTGCCACAGCTGGGCGTCACTTCCCGGGATAAGGTCGCCCTGGGGGCCTACGTGGTGAAGCCGGAGACAAAACCGCAGCTGCAGCTGCTGGCTACGGGTTCTGACCTGCAGTTGGCACTGAAAGCGGCCGAAAAATTGGCCGGACGCGGTATCCGGACCAGAGTGGTTAGCTTCCCGTGCACACAGCTGTTTGAGCGGCAGAGCACCGAGTACAAGCAGAGCGTGCTGCTGCGCGGCGAGATTCCGTCCGTGGTGGTGGAAAGCTACGCCGTGAACGGGTGGGAGAGGTACGCGACGGCGGGCTACAGCATGCACACGTTTGGCAAGTCGCTGCCGGGACAGGCCGCGTACGAGTACTTTGGGTTCTCGCCGGACCGTGTGGCAGACCGGGTGGAGAATTATTTCCGTTCGGCAACTCCAGAAAAATTATGGTATTTCGAGGATCTAAACTAAATAGCTGCAACTAAGTGGTGCTAATAACTCCAGTGTTCCTGTAGGTCGCGGATGCGCCAGCTGGTGGACCAGCCGGTGGTGTTTTCGATGTCGCGCAGCAGCTGAACGATGATGTGCTGCTCCTCCTTGCTGCTCATGAGCTTGCCCGCGACCCAGAGCGGTTGCAGCGCGTTGTTGAGACAGCCGTGGTCCGAGTTGGACAGACTGATGCCGACGACGCACTTGGCGTGCCAGATGAGGCTCTTGCGCATGACGGGGTCGACGGCGAGCGTGGGCAGCGGGCGCACGACGCGCGTCTTGTACTTCATGAGCAGGATCATGGCTGTGTGGAACATCTGCGTGCCCGAGATGGCCGGGGCCACGCAGAACAGGATGCTCGGGAACGGCGTGCCGTCTTTGAACACGCTCACGACAGGGTGCATCTCGGCGGGGCGGTCCTGCCACCAGCGGTCAAGCTCCGTGTACAGCTCGACCCACTCGGACTCGAACTCGTCCTGCTTGAGGTTGCCCGAATAAACGAGCCGACAAACGCGGGCAAGCAGGAAAACCATGTAGTTGGCGTACATGTCGCGCGACTCGTTGACGTCGAACTTGGCGTCCATAAACAGCGCGCGCGCGTGCTGCACCGTGCAGTTGCGCGGCAGCCAGTTCTCGCACGGGATCAGCGTCGCCGTCTTGTGCGAGATCGCGTGCATCACGTCCATGCGGATAAAGCACCAGAACACCGCCTGCCGCAAGCCGCCCGAAAACCCGTGCAAATCGGCCACTCTGAACAGCGCCGCGCAGCCCTTCAGGTGCTTGGTCCACGTCTCGCTCGGGTCCGACGACATCATCTCGAAACAGCACAGGATCACGCACGACGCCATCACGCTGGTGTCGGGCACTTTTTTCACCTTGGGAATCAAGTACGTGAGCGACCGCTCGTACAGCCGGTACGTGGTCTCCGAGACGGGCCTGTCGTGCTGGAGCTTGTCGCGCTGGCGGCTGGAGATCGTCAAGATCGCGCACATGAGCGGGTCCTCCTTGGCCGTTTTCGACAGCAGCGCGGTGAAACAGCTCCTGTGGTCGAACATGTCGAGCCAGGGGCCGATATCGTTGACGTAGCGCGTCAGCAGCAGCAGGTTTTCTTCGGGCGACAGGATATCGTGGTCGCCTGTGCCGTGGCCGAACTCCAGTCCGTCGTGGAACGCGTTGATTCCCTTTGTGAGGTTGAGCAGCTGGTCGTCGAGAGACAGGTCGTTTTCGAAGATGTTGCCCGACAAATTCGCCGGCGTGGACGGGCTGGTGGTCATGGCGTTGAGAAACATGTAGTCGCGCAACGTCTCGCGCAGGTTGGCGTAGTCGGGGCTCACGCTCGCCACCTCGTTGCGCTCAAACGCCCAAGGTCTGTCCCGCACGCTCTCGTCCGATGACGGCGTGATGGGCACCGCAACCGGCTTGACCTCGTTCAGCAGCGACTTGAGGTCGCAGAAGCTGCTGCTGGCGGCCGGCTTTGCGACCGGCTTGGTCTCGATCGGCTGCAGGTCCGGCGTGGCGGGCACTTTTGTGGGCCGCTCGTCGCCAGGGACCATCAGATGGAAAGTGCTTGCGCGCGACGGCCACACGCACTCGAACCGGCGACGCGTGCAGAACCCGCACACGGGCTTGGCCTCGTCGCATTTTTTGTGTTTGCGGCGGCACGTGAGACAGCCCGTCTTGACGCGGCGCCGGGGCTCTTGCGGGAGAAGAGGGTCTTTGGGGAACATGGCGAAACAAAAGCTGAAAGAATAAATCTGTAGGCCGGATTTTTTCATGCACGGGGCAAGCCGCCGACCCCGCAAAAAAATAACCAAAAAAAACCCGCACACCAGGTACGGGAACCGGTGGAGCTACTGCGCTGCCAAGAGGCCATCGATAAAACTGCCATTGCTACACAGGAACAGGGTCCATTTTCGGGAAGATGCGCGCGGCCTGGAAGAAGATGCGCGCGGCAGCCGCAGAGGCCATGAGGCTCTTGCACACGGGCCGTTTTTTCGGGTCGCCTCCAGACTGCACACGGTCGTCCTCGCTGGGCTGGAACGTCTTGTGGCCGCCGAACTCCGTGCGGTACCGCTCGTACGTGCGGTCGTCGAGCCGGTAGATGTCGAACGAGCAGAAATACAGGCCGTCGCTCGGGTCGTACATGTATTTTCTGAAGTAGGACAGATGACGCAGGATCTCGTTCTCGCAGCAGCGGCGCGTGCTTTCCGGGGCGTCCTTGCCGAAGGTCAGCAGGTAGTCGACGAGGCCCTCGACGAGCAGCTGGATGAAGTAGGAAGGCCCGTGCCAGAACCGTTTGTTCCAGTCGTCGTAATCTCTGTCGAACAGCGTGCGGCCGCGGTCGGTGGCTGCCTCGGCGAGTTTCCGGGCCTTGTCGGCCCATTGCGGGTCTCTGTCGTACTGGTACAGCATGCAGATCGCCGAGAGCGTGTTGCCCGTGTTGTAGGACCACTTTGTTTTGTCGATCACGTCCGAGTCGTACGCCACGCCGTCCATCACGACGTTGTCGGACTTGTCCCAGAGGATCTGCTCGATGAAGTTGACGCACAGCCGGGCAAAGTTGTACAGCCGCTTCTGCTCGTCGGGCGACGAGTACTTGACCATGCGCATGGCGCCCGTGGCAGCCACGCAGTTCGAGATGGTGGCCATGTACTTGCGCGAGATGTGCCACTTGAGCCCCGGGACATGGAACTTCTGGTGCTCGACCACGCCGGTCATCAGGAACCGCACTAGCTCGCGCGACAGGTCCAGATACTCCTGGCTGCCCGTGGCCTCGTACAGAGCAACCATGCCGCGCAGCAGGTGGGCGCAGTCGTCGTAGTTGATGTCGTCGTCGCCCGAGTTCTGTGCGCCGTGGTACATCACCGAGTACGCGCCGTACTTGGGGTTGCGGTAGCACGTCAGCGCAGACACCGTGGGCGCGACGATCGGCAGCGTGAGGTCCTTGTACGCGGCGCAGCACTCCGCCACGGCGTGCAGCACGACGCCCATGGTCCAGCACGAGAACCGGCCCTCGCGCGACTCCTTGCACGGCACGCGGGTCGAGAAGTTGCCGATGCTCGGGTTCCAGTACGTTTGCCAGAACGTCTTGACGATGTTGTAGCCTTCGAGATTGTTGTCAAACGACATAGCAATAAAAAAATACTAATTAATTCTCCTGCGTCTCGGCATTTGTTATAGCCGGCCAAGCATTTTTCATTGTATTTTTTTTATTTTTCACACTCCCGATGCCCGACACAGACAATCAGACGGACCTCAAGAGTCCTCTGGACGTCTCTGAGACGCCCGTTCACGCCCCGCAGCCCGCCAGCGACATACCCAACACGTTCACCGGCCGCGGGCTCGCGTCCGTGGTCGGCTGCGTGCTATTCTCGTTCAACACCTGGGGAGCCAACTCGGCCTACTCGCTATACTACCAGGAGTACCTCAACTCCGACGTGTTTCCCGGCACAACCAAGTACGAGTACGGCATCGTGGGCGGGCTCACGTTCGGCGCCGGCCTCTCGTTTGGCCCGCTCATCAACTACCTCGTGGGCACGCTCGGGCTCAAGCCCACCATCTCGATCGGGATCGCGTTCCAGCTCGCGTCGATGCTGCTGGCGTCCTTCTGCACCAAGTACTGGCAGCTGGTGCTCACCCAGGGCGTGTGGCAGGGCGTTGCGCTTGCGCTGATTGCGATTCCCAGCATTGTCGTGATCCCGCAGTGGTTCTCGAGTGGCAAGGGTGGCAAGCGTAATCTCGCGCTGGGCTTTTCTGCGGCGGGCTCCGGGCTCGGTGGCATTTTGTACAACATCGGCATGGAGCCCCTGCTCACACGGTACGGCTACCAGTGGTCGATGCGCACACAGGCCATTATCTGCGCTTTTCTCAACGTCATCGCCGTTGTGCTGATCCAGTCCCGCAACAAGCACGTCCGGCCCATCTACAAAGTGTACGACAGGGTGGTGTGGGCGAACTTCGGCGTCTGGTGTCTCCTGGCGTGGATCATGTTCACGCTGTTTGGCTACGTCACGCTCATGTACAATCTCGCCGACTTCACGCGGTCGCTCGGCTACAACGCCAGCAAGGCGTCTCTCGTGGCCACCATGACGTCCGTCGGCATCATCTACGGCAGGCCCACGATGGGCCAGCTGTGCGACTTCCTCGGCCCGGTCAACATGACCATCTGCGCGAGCTGGATCGTGGCTCTGTTTGCGCTCGCCATGTGGATCCCGTGCCGCAACTTCCCGACAGCGCTGATTTTCGCGCTGTTCGAGGGCTCCCTCATGGGCACCATCTGGATCACGCAGCCGTCGATGGCCGCGCACATCATCGGGCTGCGCAAGATGGGCATTGCCCTGTCGCTGTCGTGGGTGGCTACCGGCGTGTTTGGGTTTCTGAGCCCGATCCTGGGCATTGCGCTGAAAAAAGACGGCCCGCAGCGGCCAGAACAGTACCAGAACGCGGCCATTTTTGTCGGCGTGTGCTACTTCGCCGCAGGCGTCATGCTCGTCGTCCTGCGCGGCTGGCTCATCGCTAGACAGGAGATCACGCCGGGGAAAACCGACGAGCAGCTCTGGCACGCACGCGTGCCCATCAGAAGCGCCGCGCGCTGCACCTTCTCCTGCAAGTTCCACAAATTGTAATCTATTCGGCTATATATCGTAGCCCTGCTGCACAGCCATCTGCTGGTGGTGCACGATGTCGGTGCTCTCCCACGGATACGCGATCCAGCAGTCCGGGAACTGCTCCCCGACCACGTAGTTGCTGCGCATCAGCTCGGCCGGCAGCTGCGCTCTCTTTGGCTTGTCCTTGTTGTGCAGCACAAACACAAAGAACTGCGTATTGGGGTCCGCCAGACCTTTCTCGCGAGCCTGCTGCGCGGCGTCCTTCTGCAGCTCCTGCAGCGCGTAGTGCAGTGTGGTGCGTGTGTCGTCCACCTCGTCGACAATCAGGATCTTCTTGTTGCACAGGTCGACGCCGCTCTCCTTGTAGTTGATCCACTGGATCCGCTTGACCTCGGCGCCCGCCTGCTCCTCCTGCGTCGACACCGTGTTCAGGTCCTCGTACAGCGACAGCACAATGGCGAAAATCCGCAGATTCGGCCGGTTCTGCTGCTTGAGAAACGTGCGCAGAATCCGCGCTGGGATGAACCCGCCGCCGCCGATCGCTATCATCAGGTCCACGTCCAGCGGCTTCAGCGTCTCGGCCGCCCGCTGGCACAGCTGGTGCACGTTGTTGTACGAGATGTACCTCTTATCCATGCCGGAGAGCAGCAATGGCCCGGGACTATATATAATAATTGATTTATTTTTTCCATTTCCAAATAAATCACCGGACTGGTTCCGGTGATAAGATAAGACCAATAAATACGATAAATAAATACGCCGTCTACAGCTTGAACATCCGCACAGGGTACTCGTCCGTGTACATGCCGTGCTCGGGCTCCTCGAGAAGCTCCATGCTCAGCTTCTTGTTCAGGTTCGGCGCCACCACCGGCTCCCCGCGCGGCCCCAGCAGCTCGCCGTGCAGAATCGCGCTGTCGGCCGCACGCAGCACCTGCGGCAGGTCCACCTGGCCGCTGGACGCGAGCGCCAGCTGTTTCGCGCCCTCCTCGCCCTTTGGCAGCCGGCTCCGTTTGGCGTTGCCGATCTGCAACAGCGCGCCGATTTGCGGCTGCGTGAACACAGACGCCCGCGGATACGCCCTGCGCTTGTCTCTTTTGAAGTAGTCGTTCTGGACGATGTCTGCGGCCGGAACGGTGCGCGGGTCCTTGTAGACCTGTTTGCTTGACGACGGCGACGGGACACGGTAGTACGGGACATACGGGTTTCCGGACGACCGGTTAGGCACCAGCACCAGCATCGACCGGATCAGCTCCCAGATGCCCTTGGACCCGGTGGTGTATTTCTTCCAGACAGGAACAGGACCTCCAACACTCATGGGGAGAAATATATTTTGGACGCTCGCTTCTCCACACTAAGTTTCCGGGTAACAAGTTTTTTTTTCTTTATCACCAAATATGCCTCTTCTTCGCAGTTCCAGACGGCTGCGGAGCAATTTCGGCGAGCTTCCGGCGGACTACGCGGACGAGTCGCCCGGCGAGGAGATCCCGCAGGTCGACGTCGACGAGATGGTCGATCTGGCCAACGAGCTCATGCGCAACGGCAACGGCACCCGCGCCGGGATCCGTGTGCGCCCCAGAAACATCGAGCTTGCGCGCGACATCATCCTGGAGCACGAGCGGCGCGCGGCCAACGGCACGCCGCGCCGGCTGGACGACCGGCCGCTGTGGATGAAAGTGGTGGACTCCGTCACAATCACGCTGTTCCCCATCATCTTCATCCGCATCGTCAAGAACCTGCTCAGTGTGTCCTCCTTCTCGATCGACGTGGTACAGGACACGTTCGACTACATTGAGTACGTGCAGGGCGCGGAGCCTGCGCGGGAGAACAGCTCGCTGCTGATGAAGTTTGGCGAGATCCTGATGGCGGAGTTTCCTGGGCTGAGCAACAACGTGATCATTGTGCTCACGCTCGCGGTGTTCTACGTCTACACGATTCTGTTTTCGATGTTCATGGTGACCTCGTTTGCGTTTCTGATCCTGTGTCTGACGTGGTCGCTGGGGAAAAGGTGGCAGAGCATCGAGAAGCTGGTGATGGGGATAATCACGAACGGCGAGGGGTGTATATAGAGGAAATAATTCGCTAGTATGCATTTTTTTTTAAATTTAATTTATTTTCATGGACAAGAGACCGTTCGACCAGCTAGAGCCCGAGTCCACCCCGACGCCGGTTTCTGAGACACCGTCCAAACGCGCAACGCCGGACCCGGCCGGGACCACCGTCAATGGCGGCTCGTCCAAAGTGCCGGCGCACGTTCTGCAGAAAAGACGAGAGGGCCGTCTGAGGGCGATGGAGAAACTGCAGAACCGGCTCGACGAGCTGGGCATCAAGCGCGTGGACCAGGAGAACGCGCTGAAGTTCAGCTCCATCCCGCCCATCCAGGCCATCAACCAGAAAAACTACTACACCGACTATCTCAAGAAGGACGACCAGATCATGATGATCCGCGAGATGCGGCAGCGGCTGCTGGAGGCGCGGCTCGCGAAAAAACAGGCCGAGCTCGAGCGGAAGCAGGAGTCGCAAAACATGATCAACAAGATCAACACCCACGGCTTCGACTTCGACGACAACGAGGACGACGACGACGACGACGACAACGGCAAGATGGGCTCGAAAATCGTAGTGCTGCACCCGGGGTCCGCCAATATCCGTATCGGTCTGTCCAGTGACGTCGACCCGCTGGTGATCCCCAACATGGTGGCCCACAGACGGCCTGCTCCCAGGGCAGGCGTCGACCCGCTGCGGCGCGAGGACGAAAACGGCGACATGAGCGTTGTGGACGAGCAGTTTGCTAATGCGAAGCGCACTGTCACTTCCAACTTCAAGGAGCGGATGAAGTTCTACAAAAGACGCATTTTGCCCAACTCCAACGAGCAGTGCTACAACTACAACAAACGGGCGCAGCCAGAGACAATCCCGGAGCTCGACGACGTGCACAAGCTGGACTATTTCGAGAAGGTGCGGGAGAATTACGTGACCGGCGCGGACGTGCTGAAAATCAAAGATCTCGAGAACTGGCACGTCAGAAGCCCGTTCCTCAACGGCAGGTTCAACGACAAGGACATCGCGTACAAGTCCGAGCAGGATCTTCTCGGCGACGTCAAGCTGATTCTGACCGACGCGCTCAAACGGTTCAACATATTCAACAGAAAGACGCTCAACACGTACAACTGCGTGCTTGTCATCCCCAACCTGTACGACAAGGTGTACTGCGAGAAAATGGTTGGTTTTCTATTCAACCTTGGGTTTGGCCAGGTGGCTGTGTTCCAGGAAGGTCTGGCAGCGACGTTTGGGTCTGGCGTGAGCTCTGCGTGCGTCGTGGACATCGGCGCCACGTCGACCAAGGTGTGCTGCATCGAGGAAGGCTACATTTTCCCGGACTCTGTGGTGGAGCTGTCGTACGGCTCGAACGACATCACACGCGCCCTGATCAAAAGCCTGATTGGCCAGCAGTTTCCGTACAGAAACATCAACCTGAACGAGCTCCGCGACTGGACGCTCGCGACCCAGCTCAAGGAGAATATAGTCACCTTCAACGACGCCAACGTGGCTGTGCAGATTTTCAAGTTTGTGAACAGACGGCCGGGCCAGCTGAGTGAGAAGTACGAGTTCAAGTTGTTCGACGACGTGATGGTGACGCCGATGGGGCTGTTTTACCCGGAGCTGTTCCTAGAGGCCGGCGACGCGCGCGAGGAGAGCACGATCCTCGGCAAATGGTCGCCAAATAAAAAGCTGACTCCGGGCCTTATGGGCAGCAAAGTCGCGAAAAGCACGGCGCAGAAGAACGAGACAGAGCGGAAACTCATCTCCGAAATGGACACCAAAGACCTGATGGACCAGCTGGTCAGCAGCGCGGGAGAGGAAGCGGAAGCAGCCGACGGTGAAACGGATGAAAAAGTGACGCAGACGAATGACTTCCGGGTAAACATGACGCCATTGGACAAGGCCATCATCGAGTCGATCACGTACGCGGCCAGCGGCGACCAGCAGCGGCTCGACAAGCTCTACCAGAACATCCTCATTGTTGGCGGCGGGTCCAAGATCGAGGGTCTGGACACGATTCTGGTGGACAGGCTACATTTGAACCGTGCGCCGCTGCTTGCGTCCAACAAACTGGCAGAAATCACGAAGCAGGTGCAGCAATGGAAAGACAAGGAAAAAGAGCTGAGCGAGCAGCAGGTTCAGGAGATAAACAATACGGTTGCGTCCGGGGGTGTGACGACGATCGAGATCATTGCGAACGACGAGAACCTGGACCCGTCGATGCTCGTGTGGAAGGGCGCGTCTGTGTTTGCGCGGCTGAAGATCGTGGAGGAGATGTGGATCGGCGAGAAGTACTGGGACATTTTTGGCGGCCGCACGCTGAGCTACACGACGCTGTTTAACTACTAGAAACGCGATCTGCACATTGTATTTTTTTTTTTTTTGTTTTTTTCATGGTTTTTCGGTCTCCGCCTCACACCTCGCCGTGCTTTCACCCGTCGGGCTGGCGGTGCTCGCAAAACAAAACGCTTTCCACCAAAAACCACCTCACTGTTTATTTCATCGAAAATGTTAAGAAGAGCCTTCTCAACCTCCAGAGCAGCCAGAAACTACTCGGACACGATCAAGAACCTCAAGATCAACAAGGACACCAAGGTGATCTACCAGGGTTTCACGGGGAAACAGGCCACCTTCCATGCTGAGCAAGCCTTGGCGTACGGTACCCAGGTTGTCGGTGGAACCAACCCAAAGAAAGCCGGCCAGACCCACCTTGGTAAGCCAGTTTTTGCCAGTGTTGCCGACGCCATCAAGGAGACAGGAGCCACCGCCAGCGGTATCTTTGTTCCTCCTCCTATCGCGGCCAGTGCCATTGAGGAGGCTGTTGCTGCCGAGATCCCGCTGGTGGTCGCCATCACCGAGGGAATCCCGCAGGCAGACATGCTGAGAGTGTCGCAGCTGCTCAGAACCCAGTCCAAGACCAGACTGGTCGGGCCTAACTGTCCGGGAATTATTGCGCCAGAGCAGTGCAAGATCGGAATCATGCCCCAGAACATCCACAAGAAGGGCAGGATCGGCATTGTCTCGAGATCCGGAACCCTCACGTACGAGGCCGTCAACCAGACCACCAAGGTCGGTCTGGGCCAGTCGCTGGTCATCGGAATGGGAGGTGACCCATGTCCAGGTACCAACTTCATCGACGCCCTGACGCTGTTCATCAACGACCCAGAAACAGAGGGTATTATCTTGATCGGCGAAATCGGCGGAGAGGCCGAGGAAGAGGCCGCCGAGTACCTCAAGCAGTACAACCTCACCAGAGACGTTCCTAAGCCCGTTGTCTCCTTCATTGCCGGCGTCACTGCTCCTCCAGGAAGAAGAATGGGCCATGCCGGTGCTCTGATCTCGGGCGGCAAGGGTACGGCCAAGTCCAAGATCGAGGCTCTGACTGCTGCCGAGGCCGTGGTTGTGCCTTCTCCAGGCAGACTCGGCAAGGCTCTCTACGACCAGTTCGTTGAGAAGAAGTTGCTCTAGACAGTAAATAGCTGATACAATTGATTCAAGCTCTTTTCACACCCTGCTTAGCCGTTCTTTCAGGCTCAGCAACTCGTTGTTCAGAACAGCCACACGCTCCAGTTTCTCGCTGTTCATCTCCTGTTCCAGCTCCTTGTACAGCCGGAAATACTCTCTGTAGGTCTGCTGGAACCGGCGAATATCGTTAGCCACGTCTGGCCGTCTTTTGTGCGCACTGACAGGTCTGCTCTGTTCGCCGCGCCAATTGCGCACTATCATCCGTTTTTTGATCCGTCCGAGATGCACGGCCGAGTTGTCTCTTCGCACGCCGTACACCTCCGTGGCGTACTCCGGCAGGCTCGAGAGCTCGAGCCGTCTAGCCCCCGCCTTGATTTCTGTGATCTGGCCCTTGCGTACGAGGACTTTGAGCCCGTCGCGCGCACTTGCCAGCTCTGCCGCCTGCTGGTCGCTCAGCCGCAGCACGGCACAGTGTCCGCCCTTTTTCTCGCCTGCCAAACGGTATGTGTCGGGAGCCATTAGATAGCAAGGGTGATAGTATTTTAGAAAATTATTTAATTTATTTTTATTTATTAATCATGGATCCCTTTTATGACGTCTACCACGACGGCCTTGTCCAATTGGAGCGGCTCAGGTCCACGTCGCCCAACTCGCTGGACTTCAACAACATCAAAACAGAGCTCATAGAAACCATCGGCGACCTCACAAACGCCCTGGAGGTGATACAGCAGTCCAAGAACCGGGCCAAAACAGGCAACGGAAACGACACTTTCGCCCACATAGACGCCGCGGAACTGCGCTCGCGCGAGGCCAAACTGCAAGACCTCAAGTCGCAGTTCAGCGACGTGCTCAAATCCGTCGACCTGCCCGGCCATTACTCAGACAACCCGTTCGAAGACCCGCCTCCCATCGATCAACAGTATACCCAGCAGCTTTTGCAAGAGCAGGACGACATCATCTCGCACGACCTCACGAAGTCGATCCAGAATTTGCATCAGCAGGCTCTCACGATCGGAAACGAGCTCGACTACCACCAGGAGCTGCTGCAAGACGTGGAGCAGGATATTGACAGACTCAACTTCAAGATGGTGAACCACGGCATCAAAAGAATCAATAGATTTCTCGAGACGAACGAGCGGGGCGGCAATTGCTGCATTGCCGTGCTTGTCGCTGTGCTAGTCATAATTTTAGTGTTACTGATTGTGTTATAGAAATCGACGGGATTTTAGAATAATTTACTTAATTGTTGAACACCTGGTCAAGCAGGGCCTCCTCCTCGGCAGTGTGCATGGCCTTAGATCCAGCAGCAACAGAGGCCGATGGGTCTCTTCCTGCGTATCTCAGACCCAACTTCTCCAGACCGGCCTCTCTTAACACGGTCTCGATTCTTGGAGTAACATAAGAGTAGGCTCCCATGTTGAATGGCTCCTCTTGACACCACACAAGGTCCTCAAGAGCAGGGTACGACAGCAGGGCGTCTCTGAGCTGGGCAAATGGGAATGGGTGCAGCTGCTCCACCTTGATGAAGGCGGTCTCCTTGTCTCCCAGGTTCTGTCTTCTCTTGTGCAGAGCAGTGTAAACCTGGCCGCTGCACAAAACAACTCTCTTGATACCGGCCTTCTCGTTGATGCTCTTTCCCAGCTCAACGTCCTCGATGATCCACTGGAAGTGAGAGTCGCCAGTGAACTCGTCAATGCTCGATCTGGCCAGCGGGTGTCTCAACAGACTCTTGGAGAAAAACAGAATCAGAGGTTTTCTGAACTGACGGTGCATCTGTCTTCTCAGAATGTGGAACAACGATGCCGGCGTCGATGGGTACGCAACCTGCATGTTGCAGTCTTGATGCTGTCTCTCGAGCTTCTCTGGGGTAGGGAAGTAACGAGGGTCTTCGTTACAAAGTTGCAAGTATCTCTCGAGTCTTCCGGAAGAGTGCTCCGGTCCCTGTCCATCGTAACCGTGAGGCAAGGACAGAACGACACCGGATCTCTGTTTCCACTTAGACTCACCAGCAGCGATGAACTGGTCAATAATGACCTGTGCCGTGTTGGCAAAGTCACCAAATTGGGCCTCCCAAACAACAAGAGCGTCTGGCGAGGTCAGCGAGTATCCGTACTCGAATCCCATCACACCGTACTCGGAAAGAGAAGAGTTGCTGATCACAAAATCTCCTTGGTTTTCGTCAAGATGCTTCAATGGAATGTACGTCTCTTCGCTCTTTTGGTCGTGCAAAACAGCGTGTCTCTGCGAGAAAGTACCTCTTTCCACATCCTGGCCCGACACACGAACGTGGTATCCTTCCATGGCCAGAGAACCAAAGGCCAGAGCTTCACCCGTGGACCAGTCGATTCCCTGGCCGCTCTCAATGGACTTGAGTCTGTTTCCCAAAATTCTCTTGAGGTTTCTATGCAAGTTGAACTTTTCAGGAACGGTCGAGACAACCTTTCCGATGTGCTTCACCTTCTCCTCGGAGATGGCGGTAGGCAAATGAGGCAGAACCTCTGTAGCCAGTTCTTTAGGCGACTTGAACCCTTCCCAAGGCGTGGTCAACCACTCTCTCGAGTCTGGCTTATAGTCTTTCGACTTGCCAAACGACTCCTCCAAAGTGTTCCACACCCATTGTTTGTGCTCGTTGATGTCCTCTTCCGTGAACGTACCTTCTTTCAGCAGCTTGTCGATATACATGTCCAAGACCTGCTTCTTGTGCGCAATTCTCTCGTACATCAGGGGCTGCGTGAAGGAAGGCTGGTCGGTCTCGTTGTGGCCGTGCTTTCTGTATCCGACAACGTCCAAAATGACGTCCGAATTGAAAGCGGCTCTCCACTCGGCAGCCAGATTGAACATGTAGACCACAGACTCGACGTCGTCAGCGTTCACGTGGAAAATTGGGGCGTTGATAGACTTGGCAATGTCGGACGGGTAAGGTGTGGATCTGGCAAATCTAGGATCTGTGGTGAAGCCGATCTGGTTATTCACGATCACGTGAACAGTTCCTCCGGTAGCGTAGGCAGGCAGAGCAGTGAAGCCCATGGTTTCGTAGACGACACCCTGGCCGGCGAATGCAGCGTCACCGTGCAACAGCACGGCTAGGGCCTTCTTGAACTCGCCGACATCGTTCTTGTAGTGCTGAATCGCTCTGGTTCTTCCCAAAACGACCGGGTCCTCGGCCTCCAAGTGTGACGGGTTGGCCACAATGGACAGATTCACAGTTTTTCCAGAGGTGGTTGGTCTGACGTAGTTCATACCCAGATGGTACTTCACGTCGCCGGAACCCTCGTCAAACTCCTTCGAACCCGTGAACTCGGAGAAAATAGCCTCGGCTGGCTTACGCACAACGTTGGCCAGCATGTTCAGTCTACCTCTGTGAGGCATACCAATGACGACATCCTCGACTCCAAGGTCCACGGCAGTGTCGATCAGGGCCTTCAGACCCGGCACAACCGACTCTGCTCCCTCAAGACCGAATCTCTTGTCGTTAGGGAACTTGGTGGACAAGAAGTTCTCAAACTCACACGACCACATCAGTCTATCAAGGATCTGTCTTTTCTGATCCGGAGTGAACTTGAACGGCGTAGGAATCTCTATTCTCTCACGAAGCCAGTCGCACTTCTGCTTCGATGGGATGTGGACATACTCCACACCGTACGACGAGCAGTATATCTTCTCGCACGTCTTGATCACGTCCCTGAGCTTCATGGACGTGACGCCGTCCTTGATGAAGTACGGCAGAATACCCGGACCCAGCGTAATGTCCTTGTCCAGGTCGGCCTCGGTGAAGCCGTAGTAGTCAAGAGTCAGCTCTCTTGGAGGCGGGGTGTTTTTGTCGTCACCAAAGGTAATTCCCAACGGATCGATGTGGGCTCTCTGGTGGCCACGCACCTGGTACGCCCTCACAAGCAGCTGCGCTTTGAGGTGAACCAAAATACCCTCGCTGATGTTTCCCGTGGCAGAGGGCACAAGATGAGGTATACCTCCCTCAGGCTGTGGGATCAGAGTAGGAGGAGCAACAAAGGCAGTGGAAGCCGGCTTGTTGCCGTTCATGTTGCGGAAGTACGCGTCCCACGAGACATGCACGCTCTTGGGATCTTTGCTCCATGCCTCGTACATCTCGTCGATGTAGTTGGCGTTGTTGGTTTGTAAAAAGCTGTCAAACCCAGTAGCCAGCGTTCTGGCCGGAATTAGCGGCCGCGCGCGGGAACGAAGACCGTTTCTGGCAACGAATCTAAGCATGGTGAGTTTGGAAAAGTTGCAAGGTGTATGAACAAGACAATTTTCCGTCTTATCCCAGGTACTTTACGTTTTTAGCTATTTTCTTTTTTATACCCACACTGCTGGCTCCAGCAAGGGCTGCTGACGTAAGCGCCCGGGCTGGGAAAAAAGTGCCCCAGAGCTGTGTCATTAACAAATGCCGGGCTGTGATTGGCTGCAGCATTTTGTCTTCGGTTTCCGGGGACGTTTATTGTGCAACGAATCCGAGTCGGGGTCGATCCTCCGGGCTTGCGTCGCTCGACCGCACTTTTGTCTTTGTCGACGCGACGCCCGCCGATCGACCTTTTTGACCTTTTTTTCATATTTTTCACCATGACGGGCATCCACCGCCAGCGGGTCCTGGCTGGTCTGAGACAAATACACTGTTTCCGCGACCCGGGGCTTTTTGCGCAGAGCCCGCACGCGGCTCCGAGTCTCTGTCTCGAGTACAAAATCAACCGCGCACTCGACCAGAACGTCGCTTCCGAGCACCTCGTCCGCTACTTCAAAGAGCATCCGCGAGAAACCATTGGCGCCGCCACTTTGGACCGAGTACTGGAGCATTTGTCCCCCACGCTGTACCGCGAATTTTTCGAGCGTCTTCTTGTGTCCGGACACAAGTTTTCGGCCGGCTCCCAGGCCAAAAGGCTGCTTACCCGTCTATGTTCAGGAACCGTTGCCGAGCGAGCGACGTTCCTGCTAAAAACGCGCAAATACCCACAGAATCCGTTCTTGAGCCAGTACTCGGACGACATGCGCGTGACCACCATCAAGCGGCTCAACGAAAAGACATACACGCACGAAGCTCTGCTGTTTCTCAATCTCTACAAGTCCACCCTTACACCAGAAAGTGGACGGTGGCCGCAGTATTACCGGCTGTGGAACGACCTGATGTTGCGGCACGGGCGCCATCCCGTGCTGAACGCGTCGACCGTCCATTCGAGCATCGACCTTATTTTGAGGCACTATTTTGTCGTCGAACGGGACCTCGAGAAGGGCCTCAAGATCATGAACCGCTATTTTGAGGCTACCGACACCGAACTCTCGCCAAGCCGGATCGACAGCATCAACCTTGCGTTTCTCAAGTGCTTGAGCGCGACTCCCGCCGCCTCGCCGCAGGTTCTCGTGAGCTACGTGCTCACAATGTACCCCAGCAGCTACCGAGTTCTGGAGCAGGTTGGACTGCTGAGCATGATCTACGAAAATCGGTGCGGCCCTGTTTTCAAGCGACCGGAGCTGCTGCTGAAGCCGAATATCCGCGACGAACTTGTGTGCGGCGACAGAATGCCGCCTCTGGACGTGCTGGCCATAGTGTATCGCTCGCTGCTATTCTCGACACGGCCCTCAAAACTCCAGACCAAGGTGCTTTTTGCGCACTATCTGGACTTCATACAAACGAACCCGCCGTCGTCGTCCCTTGTGCTCGACATGTTTCTGTCCTACATGGACAGAGTGCACCATCGGCCGATATTTGCTGCGCGGCTGCTGGAGTCGTTTCTCGAAAAAGACGGCTATTCCAAAGCGGCAAAAATCCATTCCACCGCTGTCAACGCTGTTCTGTCGCGGCTGGCCTCGCTCGACGTCTCGCGGGCTGTCGAACTGGCCAACCGGCTGAGAAATATTATCTGCTTCGATGCCCGCGTGTTTTACAGCTTCGTGTGCAACCTGGACAGAATCGGCGAGACAGACGCGGCCAGAGTGTTCTACAACAAGCTGCTCGACCACCAGGCGTCTGTCGCGCCCAACCACGCCATTCTGAACTTCTCCAAGCTCGGCCATCTGTGCTACAAAAACAAGTGGCCCGTGCCGCAGCTCAGCCGCGACAGCACGCCAAAACGGCGCTCGCACGAGATCGCAAACACGAAAAAGCTCAGCTACACGGAAATCGTTGATTTCCTCGACACCATGCGAACCAACTCCTGAACCGTATGTTCTACGCCACGCAAATAATCTCCTGAATACCATTTTATACACCAGTCACATGTATCGTAATAAATAATTAAATGTCCTCGCCAAACGAGTCGAGCGTGACCACTTGGCCGGGCTTGAACGCCGGAAGCCCCAGGAACGGACACCCGTCGCACCTGAACGCGTCGCCCAGAGCACACGAGTTGCATCCGCCGGTCTTTCCCTCGATCGTGAAATCGACCTCTGTCATGTCTGTGTCCGAAAACTTAATTTTCTCGCCCAGCTTGCGTCTGGCCTCGTCCCGCTTGGCCTGCAGCCGCTGCTCGATCTGGATCGCCTCGTCTGTCGCCGAGCGCGCCATCTTGCTCAGAATGCTGTCCTGCACAGACCGCTGGTTGCGCTCCTCCTCCTCCTCTTTCTCTCTGAGGCCACACGTGCAGTCTTTGCAGGCCTTCCGTCTCTTTTTGCCCGTCGTGGTGCACTGCACGGGCGTCACCAGGTTCTCGTTCAGGCCGAGGTCTGCGCTTTTTAGCAGCTCGTTCTCGTCGATGTATGAGTCGCCGACCTCGGTCTCAGACTCCGAGTCCTCGAAGAACACCAGCTTCGTCTCCTTCAGTCTGCTCTGCTCCACGCCGTCGCTGTCGTCCTCGTCAAGCTCGGACGAGTCTGTGAGCGTCGGAGGCGACGCAAGTTTCTTGAAAAGCGGCAATCTTCTCGTTGGCGATTTATTCTGGTTCCGCGACTTGAGGGGCACGGCAACCGGCACAGGCTTCGTCGATTGCGGCTTCTGCCAGCTCTTTTCGTCGTCGGCAATCACAAAGCCCGCCATGATGGCCTCCAGAGCACAATCCGCAGGGATCAGACCCGTGAACTGGCCCCCTGGTACAAGCGAGTCGTACAACTGAGCAATCAAGCCTGACGTGAATTTGTTCTGTTTGGCCTCCTCGGGCGCAAGATAATGAATTAGCTTGTAAGTGTTGGCGTCCAGCGTCTGCTGGCCCAGAGCCACGCGGTCTACCACATGCTGGACCAGGTCGGCCTCGGGGTTTGATGCTATCAGGTGCCTTTTGGTCTGCTCGACCCGTTCAGGCTCCGTGACAACCGTGGGATGGATAAGAAGCAGTATGGAAGGCATCAGTGGAAAGAAAGCGTGTTAACGACGTTTTATCCGTACCTATCGAAACAACCACAAACTAGTTTCCGCCTCTCTTCTTAGTAATCCTGAAAATTTTTATTGTTCCAATTTGGCCACACTAATTTGCCTTTGCACAGCCGTAAGTTACATCCCTACGAGGCAATCAATTCCTCGGCTCGGAATATTAAGAAGCTACTTGTAGATTACACTGTGCCTCTAACGTCGCGAATCGTTTCCTAGTCCGTTTATATACATACCGTCATCCCCGTCTCTCGTTCATCTTGATCTCGCCGCCTCCACAGCACCCGCCGCTGGCCATCCCGCCGCCAAACGGGTTCCTGCTGCCTTTCTTCTTCTTGATATCGTCGTTATCTCCCAGCTCGGTGTCCTCGTGAATATTCAGGAAATACTTGTTCTCCTCATCCTCCTCCTTTCTGCCCTGCACTATGTTGCGCCGCAGGAACATAGACACGTCGTTCAGATGCTTGATCCGGTCCTCAACGCTCTTGTCTGGCATGTCTGGGTCGACTTCAAGAACCATCTTCGCCTTTATCTGCGCGCGAGCAGCCTGGAGCATGGCCACGTCGCTGTTGAAGGCGACCGACGTGGCACGCAGCGCGCCGCGGTACGCGTTAAGAGCCTGTTTTGCGAGAGACATGCTGTGTCTGTTTATACCAATCGCAGGATTACAATTAAAAGAAAAAAAATTCCAGAAAATTGTGCATTGCAAGTAATTGCTTATGTAAGCAGAGCCGGCGCTATGTGAACACAACCAGCTGTTTGCCCTGGTTGGACTTGGCCAGGGCCTTCTGGAAGGCTTGGTACACTTCTTCCTCGGACGCGTCGGCCGAGACCGGGTTCTCGTGCATTTTCACGTCCACAAGGTCGCCCTCCTCCATCATTTTCTGCACAGCCTTGATGCTGTTCTCTCTGGAACCGGGGATGCGCTGGATGTTGGCAGAGATCCAGAATCCCTTGGCGGTGATGTTCTTGAAGATGAACAGCGTGGTTGGCACCGTGACCGGCTTCATCGACATGCCTCCGTAAGTGACGAGAGTGCCGTCCTGGCCGAGTTTTCTTGCCATGTTGGTGCAGTTGTCACCTCCAACACAGTTGAGGGCCAGTTTGATTGGCTTGCCGTTGGTCCATTGAGTAATGGTCTTGCCAAACTCTTTGGATGCGTTCTCCTCCTCGGTGATGACCTTGGTGGCTCCCAAGGCGGTGAGGTCGTCGACCAGCTCCTTGAGGTTGTCTCTGTTTCTGACGATGGAGATGGAGTTGAGGCCGAGCTTCTTTCCGATCTGGATCGCCGAGCGGCCGACCTGCGAGTTTCCTCCGTTCTGGATGAACCAGTCGCCCGGTTTGAGCTCCTCGAACAGCGTCAGCATCTGGTATGCGCTGGACGGGTTAACGGCAATGGTGGCAGCCTGGTTTGCCGAAATGGTCTTTTCCATCTTCATGAGGGCAGATTCCTCGGACAGAACGTGTGATCTCCAGGTGCCGAAGTTCACGTTGCTTGGAATGACCCAATCGCCCTCCTTGAGGCCCGAGACCTGGTCCCCCACGGCCAGGACCTTGAACAGGCCCTCGTTTCCTCCCACAGCGACCGGCTCAGACTGCTCGTATTGTGGCTTGAGCTCCGGCCTCGACGGATAGACTCCCTGGATCTGGTTGATGTCCGAAGGGTTTATTGGACACGCAATGGTCTGCAAGAGCACCTCCTTGCCCTTTGGAGAGGAAGGTAGTTTGTGAGACACGCACTTGAGAACTTGGTCAGGCTGGCCGTACTGCGAATAGAGCATTACCTTGGCCCTGATGGAATTGGCCACGGCGGTGGTGCTAAATGATCTGGACATTGATTGGAAACCAAAAGACACTCTAAACATTTCACTTAAAAGCAACTTTGGAGAGGGGCAATATAAGAGAATATTGTGCAAGGCCAGTCGCGTCGATCGGGAGAAAAAAATAATTATTTTTGTTCCCTAGATCTGTTGTTGCAATGTCTTTGTCCGACTCGCTCGCCCCGCACTGGAGCGGACGACAGCGACACAGGCCGCTTCGTGTGTCAAGGACCATGTCGGAGTCTGTGCTGGGAACAGACACCGGCTCGGGCTCGGACTGGGAAACGTCTACCGAGGACGCAGACAACGGCGAGTACGGGCCGTCTGCCATCCCCAAACGGGTCTACTCGTCGTCGTCCGAGGTGTCGAGCCGTCGCAACTCGCTCAACACCAACATCAAGCGGCCCAGCGTGTCGGAACTGCTCAGTCTCGAATCGCATTCCGTGCCCCCTTCGCCCAGTGCCACGCCGGCACAGGACCCGCACAGCCCCAAACTGCACCCAGACGATCAGTTCGACCTGGCCGGAGCGCCATCGCCCAACCTGTTTTTCAAAAAGATCGTCTCAAAGAAGAAAATGGTGCCCAAAGCGAAATCGTTCAAACGGGTGGTGATCGACCTGGAACACGAGTTCTCGCCGCTCGACACAGAAATTAGGCACGAGTCGATGGTCACGTCTGCGCTCAAGGACGAGTCGCGCGCTTTGTCGTCCCGAATAGCCACAGCTCTGCTCGCAAGACCCTCCTCACTCAACCAGGACAACCTGAAAAAATTCGAAATCATCAACAGGGCAAACGAACTGTGGAACCAGCGCCCCGTGCTGCGCTCCCGCTCGAACTCGGCCGCCTCCACGGTGTCCGACATGGCACCCCAGCCGCCGCAGCCACCCGTCCAGACCCCACGCGTGAAAAAACGACGCCCCGACGAAGGGCCGAAGACCAGCTCGTCGAAACGCCGTGTCGTGTCGATCACCCACTCGCCCACGCCGCCATTCTTCCCGCCCAGCCGCAAAAACTCCAAACTCGTCCACGCCGCCCCGGTCGATCTCGAGGCCATCAGGCTCGACAAGGTGTGAGGTGTGCCCTCCTGAGCAGATAACACGGCCGCAATCTGCGCCAGCAACTTGACACAGAAATTTATACCCAGATGATGATTATCCGGCACTTCAGTGCGGCCGTCCGCAGATGCGCCAAGGTCGACTCGTCGGCCAAGAGCACGCGCGCAATCGCCAACTCGATCGTCCAGAACATGAACTCCAACACGCTCCCGAACAAAAACCTCGCCACAAGCAACTCGGCCATCGACGCGGCCCGCTACTTTGACGGCCTCCAGGCACAGAACTTCTTTGAGCACGCAGAATACAAACAGCTGCCGGACGACTCGCAGTTTATTGAGAAACACTACGACGAGCTCAGATACTACAGAGACAAGCTGGGTAAGTCGTTCGGCGAGTTTGGCAGCGTGAGCGAGCTGTTCCGCGAGCTGAGCAAGTACAAGCCGGATTTCGGGTCCCGGAATACGCGCACGCTGCCGGACACAGAGGTGTTCCAAGATATGGACCAGCTGGCTGTTGTGCGATTTGACCGCTTTATCAACGATCTGGCCATCACGCTGCGGCTTAACGGCGGCCATCTGTTTACGCTGGACCTGCTGCTGCACAACAAGGAGCTGTTTGACAGCTTTGAGCAGGAGAAGAAGTGACTTTATGTAGCGCTAACGAACCGTGATTTACGATGGCAGACCACTGGATAAGTCGATTTAAAATTAATTTATTTTCCTCCACATGTCTCTTTATACCTGGAGTCTTGATCGCGAGACGCTGGGTCTCGGGTGGCTGCCGTTTCACTCGACGATGGTCCACTGGAGGTTCTCGGACGCCGTGTATGTGGTGCTGGTGATTCTGCTGGACGGGCTGATTTTTGAGCGGATTGAGCCGTACCAGAGACAGTTCACCGTGAACGACCTAACGATCAGTCATCCGTTCGCGCCAGTCGAGCGTGTGAGCGCCGAGATGCTGCTGTGGATAGTCACTGTTGTTCCTCCGCTCGTTATCATTTTTTGCGTTCTGCTGCTCACCCCTAAACAGCACAAGTTCTATGTTCTCTATGTGAGCATACTAGGACACTTTGTTGCTCTTGGAACGTGCGTCTTTGTCACAGACGTGTTCAAGAACTGGATTGGCCGGTGTCGGCCCGACTTCCTCGACAGATGCCAGCCAGACCCGAAAGCAGTCAAGGATACGCTCTACTACGCAAAGGAGATCTGCACCACCAAACACAGGAAAAAGCTCCTGGATGGCTTCCGCACCACGCCGTCGGGCCACTCCAGCATGAGCTTTTCTGCCCTGGGCTACACCTCGCTCTGGCTCCTGGGCCAGCTGCAGGCTACCAGATCCGAGGTGGGGGCATGGCGGTCCGTCGTGGCGATGCTGCCCACGTTGTATGCCTTCTACGTGGCTATGTCGCGCACACAGGACTACCGCCACCACTTTGTCGACGTGCTGCTCGGCTCTGTGCTCGGGTTTCTGCTGGCCTGGTGGTCCTATAGAAGAGTCTTCCCGGCCGTGACCAGTCCCAAAAGCCACCTGCCCCACGCGCTGGCAGATTCCGAGCACAGCTACGCCAGACTCGGCGACGAGACCTACCCGCTCACGTCCCACCCGGACGACGCCAACTCTGAGATCCGCTCCGCTGTGTAACGTAGAGTATATTTATTCATTCCAGCTACCACCGGCCGGGTAACAGGCCGTGGCCCAGGCCCTACGCGAACAGATAAAAACTAGATCCTAAATTCTCTTGTTCAACTATGGACTCACCCAAGAACTCCACCTACTGTCTGATCTCGGACGGCGACCTACATTTCCTGCCGTACCAGGACGTCTCTCGCACGGGGGGTCTGCCGTACCACTCCTTTCTGGCCAGCAAGACCATGTCCTCGCTCGCGGCCAGTGCCACGGCCTCCCAGCCCAACTCAGGCTCCGATATGGAGTCCCAGAGCGCCTCTGGGTCCTCGTCACTGTGCGACGGGGTCCCGGGCACCCACAGTCTCCAGACGTCCGCTCTTTTGAATCGCTACGCTACACATGCGTTGTATCTTCCCAACATCTACATCGAGCCGTCCAACACAGGTAACCACGAGGAGACCAAGAAGATGCTGTGCACCATTTTCCCCCACTGGAACGACGAGTCACAGATCAGCGTGAAACAGTTCACAGGCGGCATAACCAACATGCTGCTGGAGTGCACGATGTACCACCCAAACACAGAATCACATGAAAAAGTTCTGGTGAGAACTTATGGCCGCGGGACAGGCATGATTATTGACCGCGATAGAGAGTTTGTTTCGCATCTGGTGATCAACTCGGTCAACCTGGCTCCGCCTATCCACGCCCGGTTCGGGAACGGGCTGGTGTACGGCTTTATAGAGGGACGCTCGCTGGAATTCACAGAGCTCGCCGATGAGCATCTATACCCATTGATCGCCGCCAAACTGGGCCAGTGGCACCAGCAGGTGCAGGTCGACGCGATCGAGGAGTGTCTGGCGAAGCTGCGCCGGGAGTTTCGGGGCTCCAAGCCCGAATCGAACGCTTCTGACCTGTGGTCTGTGATATCGAACTGGATCCAGCTACTACCAGAGATCGAGGGAATCACCAGCAGCTGTGCGCGGAACATCGACATCCGGGAGGTCCAGGACCCTCACGCGTCGCTGGGGGACGTTTTGAAGGCAGAACTGGCCTGGCTGCACACCCAGTTGCACTCGAAGTCGCCGTCGGTGGCTAGTCATTGTGATCTGCTGAGCGGGAACGTGATCATCTCCGAGGACCTGTCGGAGAAACTCAAAGCGGGCCTTTCGGCGTCTGACATGGAGTACTACATGCAACACAACCCAATAGCATTTATAGACTACGAGTACATGGTGAAGGCACCGCGGGCGTTTGACATCTCAAACCACTTCATGGAATGGCAGGGGTTCAACTGCGAGCGACACAGAATCCCCAAGGCAGAAAGATCCAACCCCTTATTGAGAGAATGGTGCGCAGCGTACTTGGGAGTGCGCGATGCAGACGATGATAAATATGCTATTGATGATCTTATTTCCGAGATATCGCTACATTATGGACTTCCTGGATTTTATTGGGGAATATGGTCTGGCATTCAGAGCGGCATCTCGCTAATCGACTTCGACTATAGTCGGTATGCTGGAGAGAGAATCCAGGAGTACTGGGATTGGAAACGCAGTTTCAGGACGCAAACTCCTGGATCACATTTCTAACCACCATGGTTTTCTGCACCATCTTGGATTGCGTGCCGATCCGCACCGTCTTGCCTGAAGACGTCCGTGCCGACTCGGTCTGCGAGGGGTCGAAGTCGTGGAAGATGCCGCGGTACACGTCGCTGGCGTCGCGTGGAAGCTGGTATACCCAGTTGTGGCTTGAAACGAGACTCATGAACCCTTCAAACTGCGGAATTGTTTTCATCAGCTTTTCGCTCCCCAAGATTATGAGCTTGGACTTTGCGCGCGTCATGGCCACGTTCACACGGCGCCACTCGCGCAGCAGCTCTCCCGCGACGTTTTTTTCGTTCGATCGCACCAGCGAAATGATGATACAGTCCTTGTCTCTGCCCTGGAACTGGTCTGCCGTGAGCACCTCAATGTCCGGGTGGTTTCTGAGTCCGCGATAGAAGTACCGCAGCTGCGCGCGGTAGAAGGACATCACGCCGATGGAGGACGCAGAGACTCCACACGAAACCAAACACTTGATGATCTGCAGAATCAGGTCTGCCTCGACAGGGTTTTCTATTTTCTCGCCGTTGGCTACCTCTTGGGCAGGAACGCTGTCGTGGTTGAGGAACAGGACGCGGTTTTTCGGGTCGAACACATGGTCCATCCATCTGAACGGTCTAGGAACCTGGATACACGCTTCTTGCAATCGTTCAGGGAACGGGACGTGGAGCGTCTGGTTGGCGACTTGTGGCGTGCCGCACTTCAGCCGGCCGTCGTAGATCAGACAGTTCGACAGCATCATCACGTCGGCGCTCATGCGGTACTGGTGTGTCAGTTCCACGACGCTCTGTGGGTACTTTTCGCTCAGAATCCGGAACAGCGACTTGTCCATGCCGCCTGCGCGGGCCTCGGCGCTCCTCACGAGCGGGGGCAACTGGTAGTGGTCGCCGACCAGCACGAACTTGTCGGCAAACCGCAGCGGGCCCAGACACACCGGCATGGACACCTGCGACGCCTCGTCGATGATGCAGTAGTCAAAGTGTTGTCTGTGAATAAACGCGGTGTCCTGGATGCCGAGACACGTGGTGGCGACGATGTTGGTTTCGAGGAACGCGTGGCGGAAGTCCTCGGCGGACTCCATAGGATAAATTGTGTCTGTAGAATACAGCGAGTATTTGCGCACTTTTTCAGTGACTTTCTTCGGAGCACCAACTCTGAGGATTTTGGGGTTTTCGACAATGTCGATCACTTTCTCGAGGATATTGTCCACGGCCGAGTGCGTGTAGGACGCGATCAGCACGGTCTGGCCGTTCTCGACCAGACATTTAATCAGACTGGCCGTGACGGTGGTTTTTCCCGTTCCCGGCATGCCCAAGATCAGACAGTAGTCCTGTGCGCGTAGCACGCGGTCGAACGCTCTGAGCTGGTCTGTATTGAATCTGGACCTGTCGAACTTTCCCTGTAGCAGCGGCTTTTCTGCAAACTGTGGCGGCTCCAGGTCCACCACGAGCCGTCGAGTTTTTTCGTCTCCGTCGGGAAGAAACAGGTTCAGCAGGTTGAACCGTGCCAGAGCCAGGCCGTGAAACATTTCGTCCTTGTCAATGCGGTATGTCTTCTTCTTAGCGCCCACGCTGCCCGCACTGCTTCCGCTGAGCACGCTTTCGAACACCTGGTTGTGTGCGGCGTCGAAGTTGCTCAGCTTGACGGTCGAGTTCTCAAAACGACGGTCGGTGCTGACCACAACCACGTTCGACCGTAGCGTCTCGACGAACCCAAACGCGAGCCCGAACTGGCCGCTCTCGTCGGAAACGATGATCCGGTCGTGTTTGGCCAGCTGCGTGTTGCTCATCGGCTGGTGTATCGTGTCGTCGCGCTCAAAAGTGTACAGAAACCGTTTGGCGCGCGCGTTCGCGGTGTCTGCCTCCTGGCACTGTGTGAGATGCAGTCCGCCAACCGCCTTGCCGCCTTTCAGCTCTCGTTCTGCGGCAGAATAGCACCACAGGTCCTTTTTGAAGCTGTTGACAAAACCCTCCTCCTTGGACAGCAGGCCGTTCCAGTGGTTGAAAAATTCAGGGTACTGCGGTCTGTTCAGATGTCCGGTCAGACTCTCGTACAGCCCGTCGTCGAGGCCGCTTTTTTCGGCTGTCCCGTGCTCCGCGAGCCTGTTATACGTCATGCACTCGTTCAGGACAAAACAACGCTCGCAGCTGGGCTGGTTCTTGATCGGCGGCAGCTCGCTGGCCCCGTAGCTCAGATACTGCGAGATGTGGTTGCGGATGTTGACCAGCATGCGCAGGTCGTTCGCGTTGATCGCCTCGTAGTAGCTCTGGCGCATCTTGGTGTACACGAGCGCGAGCGAGCGCGCCTCGACGTCGTAGCGCTGGTTCACCAGTAGCGTGTACAGCGTGGCCTGTGCGCGGTTGGCGATGTAGTCCTTGCCCGTCTTGATTTCCATCGGCACCACCACCTTGCTGCCGTCGCGCAGCGAAGCCTCGATCACGACGTCGATCAGCCCGCGCAGCCCGTACATCGGCGACCAGATATTCTCCTCGATGTCCAGAACCTTGGACGCCTGGAACGGCACAGAGCCTGAAAATTGCGCGTTGCGCGTGTACGTGGCCACCCACTCCTTGATGTAGTCGACGTGCTCCAGAACGGTGGCTTTCAGCTCCTGCCGGCTCACGCCAATGCTGTAGAGCGCGATCTGGTTGGCGTCGAGCAGCTCTTCGAGATACTCGTCGAAAAATGCGTCGGAGACATTGCTCTCTTTCAAACACGCCTGGAACAGCTGGTGGACGATATTTCCCAGCACCAGCGGCACCGCGTGCTCGCCAACGCCCTGGATCTTGCTGCTCAGCACCGCGCGCCGCTTGCAGTCGACCGCGGTCGCCGCCATCGTCGCCGAAACAAGGATGTCCGGGCCCCAGATCAGCAGGTTGCTGCTCTTGTCGACGAGCTGCGCGTTTGCGCTGTCGACCACGACGTGAACGATGTCGCCCTCGCGGTACTCCAGCTCGGTCCACAGGTCGCGTACGACGATGTTTTTCGTCTTGTCGTCCTCGCCGACGCACCTGAGAACCAGCTGCGGCCCGCCTTTGTACTTGGTGCGGACGATTTTGGATATTTGGTAGCGGTGGCAGTTGCGTTTCTGGATTTGCGAGTGCACGGTGTTTTCGACCGTTTCGTAGACGGCAGCGTTCTCGTTTTCCAGCTTCATGTCCTTGAACTGCGGCAGCGACACCGTGCTGGGGGCCGCAAAGATCTCGTCGCCGTTGTCGCTGAACTCGTCCGACAGCCCGTCCGACAGCTCGGCCGGCGTCGAGGCCGACAGAACAGGCTCAGCAGGCGGCTCGGCAGGTGGCTCTGCAGAAGCGCTCTTCTCGCGCTGCGTCCGTCGCAGCGTCGTCAGCCGGTCCAGCTCGGCCATGTCGACGTCGCTCAGATCGTCCGTCTCGTCCGTCTCGTCCGTCTCGTCCATCTCGTCCAGCACTCCTGCCTCCTCGCGGATCGTCTTCCCAATCAGCGTCAGCAGCTGCGACACGCTCTGCGTGGGCGTTTCTGCGGGCGAGCCAAAAACACTGCTATTCACCAGCCGTTTCGACGCCTTCAGTTTGTTGATGCTCTTCTGCATGCTCTCGCTCAAGCTCTGTTTCGTCGCGATAATCGGCGTCTCCCCGATCGCGGCAAGGCTTCGGTGCACCATCGAGTGCGGATCAGACACAGACCGCGAGATACTGGGCGTCCGGTGCACATCTGCAGAATTGTCGTACTTGTCCAGCAGACTCTTGAGATTCGGGTCCAGCAGCTGCACGCCGTTCAGCGACTCGTCGATGGGCGACGAAAGAACGTCGCGCTGGTCGATGCTGTCGCAGCCCGACGTGGTGGCAGAATTGTCCTTGTTCTTCTGGATGCTCGGAGTCAGCGCCCAGAAAATGTTGTCGTCGCTGCTCGGGTGGTGCAGCTCGCTGCTGGCGCGCGACGCGTTTTTGTCCGGAGTCTTGACGCTCAATTGGAACTCCTGCGTCGACAAGGTGCGAACGTTGGGATCCTTGCGCTGCAAAGGGACGGCCTCAGACGGCGGCTTGGACGAACGGCCGGGCTTGCCGCGCGCGAGCGGCTCTGTGAACCCGAGCGTGTCCAGCACACCGCGGTTCTCGCGGTCGCAGTCGGCCTTTATTCGCTTTGTGCGTCTCTGTGGCGAGCCAGACATTGGATCAAAAAAAAATACACAGCACGCGTATTTTTTTTTTGGCACGCAGACACTGAGAGGAAGGAAAAAAACGTCACGTGACCCGCGTCAGATGACTGCTCTTCCCCGGCTGCTCCAGAGATAATTGTTTTTACTCAAGCTTCTCAAGTATGTCTGTGCCGTATACTGTGATTGCGAAATACCCGTACACCCCGTCGGCCGAGAACGCCTCAGACGACCTCGCGTTCAGTGCCGGCCAGCTCATAACCGTCACCGAGGAGGTCGACGCCGATTGGCTGTTTGGAACCAGCAAGACAGGTGGCGAGCTGGTGTCGGGGTACTTCCCCAGGAACTTCGTCGAGAGGCAGGCTGAGGACGAGCCAGAGTCGGTCGGGACGGCAGACACCGTGCCGGATGCCCGTGCCGAGACACAATCGCCAGCGGAACGTCAGGTGGAGCCTCCGGTGGAACCCCCCGTCGCACAGCCTTCAGTGTCCGATCCGGTGCCCCAGTCTGTCGCCCAAGCCACTCCTGATCCTTTGTCGCTGAGAAGCGAGACAGCAGAGCCCGTTCAGTCAGCACAGCCCCAGTCGACCATCGAGCACGGCACGTCCGACTTCAAACACAAGCTGCAGAGCTTCAACATCAGCTCTGCTCCTCCGATGCCGGGGCAGGCCGTTGCCGATCCCAACTTTGCGAAAAAACCGTTTGTTGCCGCTAGTCCGCACTCCACGTACGTTTCTCCAGTTGAGAGGCGGGAGAGCAGGAGCGACGAGCGGCGTGTTTCGTCAGGCTCGGCCACTGTGCCGCTTCCAGCGCAGCCGGCGGCCGACGAGCCTGCAAACGCAGAGGAGGACGCTCCGCGCATGACCTTGAAGGAGCGGCTGCGGCTGCTGGAGGAGAGACAGAGAGAGGAACAGGCTGCTGCCGAGGCGCTGATGAAGCGCAGGGAGGAGAAGAAGAAGAAGAAGGAAATGCAGAGGGAGGAGGAGCCGGCTGAGGAGAACGAGGAGACAGAAGAGGAAGAGCAGCATGAGGAGACCGAACAGGAGAGGCAGGCACAAGACGAGGAGGACGAGGAGGACGAGGAGGAGGTGAAAAGACGCCAGCTTCGTGAGCGAATGGCCAAGCTTTCTGGCGGAATGGGCATGATTGGAATGATGGGGTTCGGTGCTCCTATGCCGGCCAAGGAAAAGAAAGTCAAGGAGTCCAAGCAGAGCGACGGCGAGGCTGCTACTCCTGTTCAGGGCCCGGTCCCTGTCCTGCCTATTAAGCCAGAACCGCAAGAGGCGGCGACTGCCGCCCCAGAAAGCGCTGGCGACGAGTCCGAGGAGTCTGGCGACCACGAGTCTGTCGACCTCACGAAACAGCCAGACGTCGGCGACGAGGAGGACCTGCCTACCGAGCTCGAGGAGCCGAAACAGCTCCCGTCCGCGGCCGACCCAGTGCGGTCGCCTCCGCCGCCAATTCCGACCTCGCCAGCCGTGCCTCAGCCGCCTACCGTCACGACGTTGCCGGCCTCCTTCTACGCGGCAGAGCCTGCACAGCCACCACAGCCACAGGACCTCGAGTCGGAGTCTGACGACGAGTACAAGTCGGCCTCGTCGGCGTCGCCAACGCTTCCCGTCTCGTCACCTGTGGCCACTGTTCCGCCTATACCTGCTGTTCCTCCATCGCCGCCGGCGCCGGCCGTTGCAGACGCTCCCAGAGCTCCGACCTCGACTGCCCCCCCTCTGCCACCAGTGCCAGCTGTGCCTCCTGTTCCACCTCCAATGTCGGACTCCAGTGAAGAGGTTGTGACCGGATACGAGGCCGACGACGATACAGACATTGCACAGGCCGACAAGCCGGTCGACTCGCCGGTGAGACCGGCCCACGCCGTTGCTCCTCCTCCGCCAATCACCAAGGCCCCTACCGCGCCCCTGCCCCCAAAGACGACCCCTGCCGTTCCAGCTGCGCGTCCGCCACCGCCAATTCCTACCTCGCCACTGACACAGACAGTTCCACGCGCATTTACGTCGTCGTCCGTCCAGCCAAACGAGCGCAAAGTGTCTGGTAGCAGGACGTCTGCGTCTCACGCACCGCCACCTCCGCCGCCAGTCGCGGCTCAGGTGCAGACAGACAACACGGGCTCGACCGCGCACTCGGGCTACCGGTCGAGTATGGAGATCAGCGACTACGGCTCCTCGTCCAAGTGGTGGCTGACTAAGAGTCTCCCGGCAGAACTTTCTGCCAAAGATGTTTATTACGAGGTGGACAGTCACGAAATCAAAAAGAGAAACGGCAAGACAGTCGTCTACCTGGACTATTACGTTGTCAACCAGGACTACTCGACAAAGATATGGGAGCTGTCGTACGACGCTGCCAACCCAGACAAACTGGCCACCTTTGTCGAGACTGTGAGAGAAAAACCGGCAACCAACACCTCCTACCTTCTTGAAGCGTCGAGAAAATACGGTGCAGTGGCGTTCCAGCTCTCGTCGTCGGTCGTTGGTAGTTCTAAAGTCCAGGAAGATTTGGTTTCATGGGTGTTCAAACAACTGCCCCACGACGTGATGCCTGCTGTTGGATCCAAAACGTTTGGTGCCACCATCTACAGGAACACAAACAACGTCGAGATCAACCAGCTCGACGAGATCCGTCCGGGCGACGTGCTAGTCGTTTTGAAAGGACGGTTCGAGGGCCACTCTTCGGGACCATTCCACAAAAACAAGACTGCCGAGCTGGGCTTCAACGGTAGACCGTACGCGGCGATCGTGGCCGGTTTCGACCCTTCCAAGAGCAAGATCAAGGTGATTGAGCAGTCTACCAAGGGCGTGCAATCGGGCTCGTACAAATTGGGAGACTTCAAGTCCGGCAAGATAAGAATTTTCAGAATCGTGGGCAGAAAGTATTTTGGATGGTAGAAAAATAAAAAATAATTTATGATTCTTCGCAGCATTGTAGCAGTCAACCGACCGCGACTTGGAAGGTCGGTAAGCACGATAAATCTGACATTTTTCGGGAAAAGCAATTGCGGACTTTGCGATGAGGCCAAAAGCGCTCTCAAGTTGGCCCTGGATAGCAAGGAAGTTGCTCCGATATCTTCACGCATTCAGCTGGATCATATAGACATCACCGCCAAAGGAAACGAGCAATGGTTCGACTGTTATAGATATGACGTTCCTGTTTTGCACATCGACCGCGAGGGCTACAAAACCGTCAAGTTCATGCACAGGTTTAACCCTGAAGAAATCAAAGAGGAACTAGTTGAGGAGATGTGACGCCTTCGGTCTGCCTCTCTTTCTTTTGCGAAGGGCTTTAGGCTTTTCCGACTCTTCCTTTAGGTTGAGCTTTGTGGATTGCGGCCCCAGAGATGCCAGCTGCTCGGCCTGGGACGCCACGGTCTGCTTCAATATCTCGATCTCCCTTAACTTGTCGCTGTGTTGCTTCTCAAAGTCTGCATGCTCTGCATTTAAGCGGCTATATTCCTCCATCAGTGATTGATACTCCACCTCTCGCTTTGCCTGCTTGAAGTCGAGCAGAGCCTGGTCTCCAGAGAGCTGCTGCGCTTCCTGGACCGAATTCAGCGTCCTCTCGATATCCTCGAGCTTTGCAGGGATTTTCTCAGAATTCTCCGCCAGTCGACGCATCTGCTCAGACATTTTCCGCGACACGGCTACCAAACCCTGCTCAAACTTGGCTCCAATTGTATATATTTGGTGAACATCGCTTTCCAGCTTATCTGTCGAAACAGCTGAATTATCCTTATTTCCAACCATCTTCATCAGCTCTGCGTTCCTGGACCGCTCTTCCTCTAATCTCGAAAGAGCGTCGTCGAGCCTCATTCGCAAAGACGTCATCTCTATCTCCTGTTTCGTCGCCATACCCTGTGTGTCAATATGCCTGGCCTTGAGCCATTCAAACCTTTTGATGTGCAGCTGTAATTGTTCCCTGGTATCTTGGGCGGTTCTTTTCAGCTCTCTGGACTCCTTCAGCACCTCAAAAGTGGTTCTGCTCAAATCCGTGCATTTCTTTTTTCCCTGTAGCAGCTCTTTCCGCGAAACACAGAGGTCTGACTCCAGCGACTTCAGCCTCTCTTTGAAGGACGTAGCCAGTCTCTTGTACACTGCAAGTCTTCCGTTTGCCTCCGCTAGTTTAGCCTCTGTCTGTCTGAGCTCTGAGTCGTTCTTCTCCGTGGTGGTGTTCAGATGCGAGATCGTGGAGAGCAGGTAATCGATCGATGCCTGTGTTTCCGCGTGTTTTCTTCTTTTATGGGGCTTAGGGGGCATTTCTGGAGCGAATCTCGTCTTCTGAGGAGCACGGTCAACAAAAACATTGTTTTCTCCCTCTTCTACAATCCCTGAGTCGTTGCAGAGTGTTGTCTCCGACACGTCTCCAACGTCTTTTTCCGACTTGTCCAGCTTGAACGTCGCCAATTTCGACCGAAACAGCGATGAGTCCTGTAGAAAACTGGCCATGGCAGATAAAAGATCACCTAGAAATTAATCCCCAAAATGTGCCCATTAAAAAATGCACGAAATTTACTTCAATTTTACAGCAGCTGCGAAAAATCAAGCGTTATTGTATAAATTGGTTATCAAATGCTGGCAGTAGAGCCAGACTTGTTCAGCCACTCAGACACAGTGTCAGTGTCGAGAGAGTCGCTGAAGTCGACGTCGTCGTCAAGAACAACAATGTGGACCTCTCCGTCGTAGAAGATGGCAGCAGCCTTCATGGACGAGTCGGTAGGTCTCTGGAAGTAGTCCTGCGATCCGCCTCCGCCAGAGGAGGAGCCGTTGTCGCCCTGGCCGTCGTGGAGGTGGGAAATCAGCTTGTCGGAGCCAGAAGAAAGAATCTCAAACAGATCGAGCTCTCCGCAGCCAGTAGACCAACAAGAGCAGTCTGCGCTACCGTATTGCAGAGTTCTTGGAATCTTGGCGTTGAGCAGCCAGATGGCCGGCATGTCGTAGTTGGTGGTGGCAGAGTCGGTGGCAGTAGGCATTTCAAACTCGAACACAAACATCTTGGTAGCACCAGCGAAACCGTGGTAGGCCGGGATGCCGGACCTGTAGTAGCCACAGTCGCCAGCAGAAGAGTCGTCACAGTCCACGCCAGACATGATGAGGAACTCGACGTTCGAGTCGATGGTGACCTCGTCAAGGGCAACGCTGGAAGAAGAGGCAGACTCGCCGTCGGAACCGCAGTAAGAGATCGAGTTACCGAAACAGTAGGAGAAAGTGCCGGAGCCAGAACCACCCTTGTGGTTGAGGAAGGTGACGTTGTCCTTGGAGCCTGGAGTGAAGTAGGAAGATCTGCTCCATCCGGATCCAGAGGAGGAAGAGGAGGTGGTGGAAGAAGCCGAAGAGGAAGACGAAGAGCTGGAGGAGCTGCTCTTGGAGGACGTCTTGGAGGAGGTCTCGGAGGTGGTCTCGTCGTTTCCGTCGGAAGTAGGAACAGCTCCGTCGGTGGAAGAGGCAGCGCTCTCGCTGGTGATGACCTTCATCTCTGCAGTGGATGCACTGGTGGTACCGCTGATCGTGTTGCCGTCCTGGTCGACGTACACGGTCGCGGTGACAGAAACGTAGTCAACGGCTCTTCTGTGGTGGTGGTGAGCATGGACGGTGGTTTGGCACTCCTCGTCGTCCTCGTCTCTCTTCACCTTGGAAGACGAAGAAGACGGGTAGTAGACACCGAACTGCAGCAACTTCAAAGGACCTCTGAAGTGCACGGAAAGTTCCTCGTCCAAAGGAGACAGGGTACCAGAGAACGACTTGGTCTCCGACGAGCACTGACACGAGGACTCGTCGATGTCGGTGACGTCAGAGTAGGAGCCAGAGTAGCCGATGCCCTCGTAGACGATGGCATTTGTCTGGGAACAGTAGTAGTTGCCGTCTTCGTAGGAGCACCCGGCGTGGGCAGTGGCCCAGATGGCTGAAAACACGGTAAGGAGCGTAGCTTTGTTGAAGATCATGGTCTGGTGATAATAAAGGAATGAATACCAGACAAGGTTCACGGTGAAAACAGTTTTAAGTCGATTCTCACGGAATGCGCAGTTTATTTTAACAAGTGCAAAGCATTCGACTAAGCTTCAGACTTGTTTCTAGGAAGGGATGGCCAAGCACGGGTCGTGCACGGCGCGAGCTTTCTGCATGAGAATGGTGTTTTTTTTCAGTCTGGAGGAGGCTGGATTTGGAAACTTCCAAACACGCTGAAACCGGACCGCGTTCCAGCGTGCTCAGCCCCACACCCGTGCACCGTATCTGGCAGAAGAGTGCAGCCAAGATGCCCTAATTCGGAGCGGCTGCTCCAGCCATCTCTCAGGGGTGGGCGTTTTCGTCGCCGCTTGTCTGGTCCAGCTGCCATCCGTCGCCAGTCTAGATTCCCAGCACTGGCCACCTGCTCTTTCCTTTTTCTATTGTCTGGGCAGCCCAAATCATCGCGGTTGCCGAAAACGAGCCTAAAATTTTTCATGGGTCTTCAGAGCCTGCAGCCTCTATCTGGTTCATGCACTGATTTTGCACGGGCCAGCCAGATGCAAGTTGAGGTTTTATTGTATTGGCCAAATTCCATTGCCGTCATGCATCTAATTTGTGCAAGATACTATTGTTGAGCACTGTTCAGCCAGTCGTATGTGCAATGACGAGTCCACTAACGGCCCAAACAAGGCAGTCTGTACGAAATTTGCTCCATCTGCTACCTTCCCTATTGAGCCATACGATAATACCGTTGAGACGATTGTTTCACTATTGTAGCACCTTCTTTCTTTTTCACTTCCGCACCCTTCCTCCCAGACATTTGTCGATGTGGGCAGCGAAACGGCCACCGGCAATCTTTCTTTCGCAATTGAGACACTGGAAGTAGGCATCCGAGCAGTTGGTGCTTCTCGGGAAGATCTCCTTGCCGTTCTGTAAAAAGCCTATTCTGCCGATATCTGGGATTGATCCGCTCTCCCCAGACTGTGGTGTCGCCGCTGCTGAGGACTGGCTCGACCCACTCGCCGAGTTCCCTATATTTTGTCGCACCTTCTTTACCAGCCCTGCCGCGGTCTCCCCCTCTTCGACCAGCCCCGGCTGCGCCATTCCGTACTCCTGTCGTAGCAGCTTCTCGTCCAGTATCGACCTGCTGATGATCTCGCTCGCAATCTCCAGCAACATGTCCTCCAGAATCGAAATGGATACCGACGAATAGGTCACCGTCATGGTTTGATCTATTTTGAGAAATTTTATCTTTAATGGGTGCAAGGATGCCTCGAAAAAAATTACTCAAATATCAAATGTCATATTTGGACCAGGAAGAGGTGCATGACTGGACATTGCTCGCAGAGCTGGCTGTGAAGCGCGGCGACAAGAGCTTTGAGCCGGTTTATGACGGCAGCTCGCTTTCCCAGTACGATGTCGACGCCCTCGAGAAACAGCGAAGCATCATGTACCATGCTTTGTCCCAGCCGCGAGGGTTCCTTACCCAGCCAGATAAACTCATCTCCTCCACCATCCGCTTGGGAACGGGCGCGTACATTGACCAGCCAGGAGGCAAGTTTTTGGAGACGATGGGGAGGATAGACCGGTCGGGAAGATGTCATCTCAACTTCGAGGAGGCACTATATCTGGTGGAGAGAGGGACCTGTGTGGCGAAAAAGGAGAACTCTGAGCACATTATGTCTTTGCAGGAAGTCTATGCCAACCTAATTACCAGCCCAGAACAGTACGATCAGCTACTCGTGTACTCGCTGCTCAAGAGAAACGGATACATAGTGCTGCGAGCAGCGCAACGCGCTTCTGAGCGCCATGAGCCAGCTCCAGTCCGCTACAGATCACCACTCCTGAGCTTTGTGGTCTCGCTTTTCGGCCTCAAATTTCTCACTTTCCGCTCAATTTTCAGCTACCTTCACTCGCTCATAGCTCCCAAAAAAATCCGCCCAAACCCAGACCCCAATTGGCAGCCGGCTTTCGACGTCTGGAAGCCCACCAAGGGCTTCAAAAAAAGCTCGCCGCCCGTTCCGCATTTCCAGGTCGTCATTGTGTCTGCAACGGATAAAATGCCGGAAATTGAGACTCTCAAACAGCATCTGCACGAGTCACCGTCCCTGCTGGTGGCAGTTGTCGACAACGGCATCGTAAACTTCTACAACCTCTCCCAGATGGACTCCACCCGGCTGGGAATCGCGTGGAAGGACTCGTGGGGGTACAACCGCACGCTCTGGTCGATGCTCCGTCGTCTACTCATACACAAAAAATAATAGCACCGGTTGGTTTCGATCCAACGACATCAGGGTTATGAGCCCTGCGCGCTTCCACTGCGCCACGGTGCTTAATAATTTCAAAAGGTGGCCATCTGCCCTCAAGTGCGGGTGACCTATGGGGCACCTCCCTCCATACGTCATACCACTGACAGAATCTTTTTAACCTTGCAAGCAATGACGGTCCAGGACACAAAGCAGAACAAGAACCTGTTCTCGAAGATCAAGCAGTCGCTCCTGGCCAGCCACAAGCACAGCCGCTCGTTTTCGGCGTTAGATTCGCTCCAGGCCAGCCGTCAGCACCCCCCGAATGCGTCTCAAATCATCTCCAAGTTCCCCATCTACAACCCGTACGGGATCAATGATCGTCACTCGATGCAGCTCTCCGCCCTGGCTGCCGACGGCAGCTCCGACAGCCCTATCGCGCTACCTTACCCTATAGACTCGCCGAAAAATCACGTTCCGCAGCGGTTCCAGAACGAAATCGAAGACCTGGACCAGATGTACGAGATCGCTGATACAGGCAGTTTCCTCGGGTCAGGCGGCTCGTCGACCATCCGCAAAGTGCAACGAAAAGCCGACAAGAAGGTAGTCGCGCTCAAAATCTTCAACGTGTTCAAAGACGAGGCCCCCGGCTCGTACTACCGCAGAGTTGCTCACGAGTACATCATCACAAAAAGCTTAGCACATGTTCACGTAATCACGGTGTACGAACTTGTCCGATTGCCGGCGATTCTGTCCCGGCACTGGGGGATGGTCATGGAGTACTATCCGCACGATCTGTACAACGTTCTGCGCCAGCCGCACTGGCAGGCCATAACTCTTGGCGAAAAACTGTGCTACTTCAAACAGGTGGTTTTTGGGCTCTACCACTTGCATTTGCACGACATCGTGCATCTGGACCTCAAGCCGGGCAACATCCTCGTCGAGCACGGCGTGCTCAAGATCACAGACTTTGGCTGTGGCGACTACGGCCACGTTCGTCCGGGGAGGTTTGAGTCTGGTGTACGGATGTGCGATAAGATTCTGGGCACGCCTCCGTTCCAGAGTCCGGAGGTTACGATGCTGCGCAATGCGAAGGGCCAGTACGACCCGTTCAAGTCTGACTGCTGGTCGTTGGGGATGATGCTGTTTGCGATCGTGAAAGGCCGGGTCCCGTTCAAGGAGGCCCAGCGGCTTGACAAGGACTACGCTGATTACGAGCACGAGTCGCGGTGGTACAAGGATCTCAACCCGTCTTTTGTGCACAACGACGCGCTGAAAGTTCCTAACAGAGGCCCGCTGGCACGCGAGTTGCCGCACGGGCAGCTGACGCGTCTTTTTTGGAGACTGTGCGATCCGGTGGCTGCCACGCGAATGAGTATGAAAGAAGTTTTTGCGAGCGACTATTTCCAGAAAATAGCAATGTGTTTCAAAGAGGAGACGCACGGCGACGGCGTGAGCATTTTGGACGAGACGGGCACGGTGATCGAGAGCTCGGGGCGCGGGGTTGTGGCCAATGTGCACGACGTGCACCTGGCGATTGGGTGCCGCATGGAGAAGCATCTCCACGATATCTAGGACGGACGATCGACGCGACGGAGTTGGTTGGGACCACTCCAAAAAAGAAAAATTATAATCGTGCAATTTTGACGACGGCGACCAATGGACCTGAAAAACCTAATTTCCAACGACGAGATGTCGGCACCGAACATGTCGCGCACCAACTCGCAGCAGCGAATGTCTATCCACGACCTGATGAACTCCGACGACGGCGGCATTCGCCAAAGAACCAGCATCACGAACCTGACCAACGACCAGGACGTCGACATGAATGGCAACAAAACAATGAGTCGGTCGCGCAGAGTGTCGTCCACAACGTCGAGCGACGCCGACGCGTCGTCCACAAAGAGCCGCAACTCGTCTTTCCAGGACCAGACAAAACCACTGGAGGAGCTAAAGGAAAACAAAGAGCCAAAGGCGACTGGCGGGACCAGAAAGCCAAGACGGTACGCGGAGAAGCCGGTTTGGGCCAGGGATTACGTGCCCACGGTGCGAAAGAGCGTCCGCAGGCCTGCGCTCACCACGGTGGCCACCAAGCTCAGCGTCGCGTCGATCACGGGGTCTATTCCGAGAAACGACTTCAACAAGGTCGTCACCGAGTGGATATGGGCGAACGTGGAGGGCGTGCGCCACGAGTACGCTGCGCGCGGGCCTGTGGACAAGTATCTGGAGCTGGAGCTGAAAATGGGCCATATTTGGGACAAAGTGAAGGACAAGCGACTGCGACTGCCGGTGAACTGCGAGACGATTCTGAACGTGGACTTTTTCCAAAACGAGTGCTTTTTCCGTTCTGGCGTGCCGGCCCAGCAGTTCCATGATCTTAAGGCGTACATTACCAAGCTTGCACAGGAAAAAAACCAGAACAGAGGCAACCGATTTGTGGTGGAGAACTCGCACTGCGTGGACCTGATTGCACACGAGAGAAAGCGCAACGAAAAGCCGCTGACAGGCCGTGTCTCTGTGGACGTCAAGACCAAGAGACGGATGGCCAGCGTGCACAAGCAGCGGGTGGCCGACCTGGTGATGTATCTTCCCAACTCGCTCTACGACATCCGGCTGTCGATGTCGCTGGAGCTGCCGTACGAGATGAATGACGCTGCGTTCGAGAGCTTCCAGCAGCGCGTTGAGCTGCGTCGCGACAAGGAACGCGTGAGCTTCACGCATCCGGCCACGTTCACCAAGATCGACATGACCAAGGTGAAGGAGAACGGGGCTGTGAAGCACGAGGTGGAGCTGGAGCTGGACGTCGGAGAGCTTCTCAGGAGCATGGCCAAGGTGGCCGAGGATCCCTTGTACTATATCGACTTGGTCCAGGCGTTTTTGGACAACGGGCGCATAATAAGTAGACAGCTTAGTATTCAGGCTTGACTGAAATAAAAAAATAAAATCGGCTGTGGATCTATTTTTTTGTTATTATTTTATTTTCCATGTCGCTGGCCGTTCTAGCCACCGTTGCCGCGGGTCTGGTGATATGCGTATGTGTTTAGACCGCCCCTACTAACTCCAGGTGTACCTCGTGGTGTTTCTGTTCACGCACAGCCCGAGAAAGCCCTACGACAGCGAATTGGAATACATAACAAATGGCATCGCTGGTCGATTCAAGCTTCCGCCACGCAACTCGGCTCCGAGCGACAACATCGAGATTTCCGTCGTGGTGCCCTGTTTCAACGAGCACGGCCGGCTCCGTGCCATGCTTTCCGAGTGCATCGAGCATTTGGAGGCCCGGCTCCCTGGCCAGTACGAGATCATCATCGTGGACGATGGGTCGAGCGACGGGACGGCGCAGTATGCTGTGGACCTGGCTGCGGAGCTGGGTCTGAGGCCGCACGTGTTGCGCGTGGTGCAGTTTGTGAAAAACCGCGGCAAGGGCGGCGCCGTGACCCACGGGATGCAATTTGGCCGGGGAAAATATGCCATTTTCGCTGACGCAGACGGGGCGTCGAAATTCAGCGACGTGGACAAGCTGCTCGAAAATATCAAGCGGCTGGACAGAAACGAGCCCGAGACACGTGCTGCCGTTGCCATTGGCTCGAGAGCACACATGGTAAACACGGACGCCGTGGTGAAACGGTCGTTCGTGCGCAACTTTCTGATGTACGCTTTACACGCTCTGGTGTTTGTCTTTGGCATACGCACCATCAAGGACACGCAGTGCGGGTTCAAATTGTTCAACAAGGCTGCCGTGGCCAAGATTTTCCCGAAGATGCACACCGAGGGCTGGATATTCGACGTCGAGCTGCTGATCCTCGCCATCAACCAGCACATCCCTGTTGACGAGATCGCGATCAGCTGGCACGAGGTCGACGGCTCCAAGATGGTGCTTGCCCGTGACTCCATCACCATGGCCATCGATCTCGTCGTCACCCGTCTGGCATATATTCTCGGTATATACTGAATAGAGTATTATTTTTTCATTTATTTTACCATGGCCAGCTACACTTCAGCGGGCGGGCTGCGCATCGTGCCGCCGTATTATCGCCAGTGCGCCACGACAGTGAAAGAGCGATGGCGCAACAGACTGCTGCTGGACGTGCTGACGACCGAGTTTCGCGAATTTTCAGAGGATCAACATCTCCAACGGATCAAAAATAATCAAATAACAGTACAGCGCAGAATTAAACAGCAAACGCTCGAGCTGAGACAGGACCAGCTATTATCTGAGAGACTCAAGCAGGGCGACGTCATCATGCGCCGTGTGCACGTCCACGAGCCGCCTATCGTGGACGCAGAGATTGAGACTGTCTATGAAGACGAGGAGGTGCTCGTGGTGAACAAGCCGGCCGGAGTGCCGATCCATCCCGTGCAGAACTTCTACTACAACACGATGGTGGAGATTTTGAAGCGCCAGACAGGTCTGGACGAGCTCAGGCCGTGTTTCCGCCTGGACAAGGTGACGAGCGGGATCTGCATTCTGGCCAAGAGCGTCGCAAAGGCCAAGGAGATCCAGTCGGCGATCAGAAACAAGCAGGTCCGCAAGGTGTACGTGGCGCGTGTGGCGGGAGACTTCCCGGAATCGGCGGTCTGCAACGACGACGTGGTTATCGTCGAGACGAAACGTGGCCCTAGGGACGGAATCGACCGCAAATCTGCTACCACGGAATTCAAACGGCTGAAGTACTCGTCTGTCCTGGACGAAAGCATTGTGGAATGCCGGCCGTTGACGGGCAGAACGCACCAGATCCGTATCCATCTTCGGAACATGGGCTTTCCGATTGTCAACGACCAGCTCTACAGACACGGAATTCTGGCTACCAACGAAGACTACTCGGACCCAGACGTCTTTGAGCGCATCGCAAAGGAGGCAGAAAGCTCGCGCAAGGAACAGCTGACTGACGAGTTCTGCAAAGAGTGCGACAAACAGCTTTTCAAGGCGCCAGATCCAGCAAAACTCGTGCTCTATTTGCATGCAAGAGAATATTACCACGAGGAAAATAAATGGGCGTACGTAACGGAGTACCCAGAGTGGACAAAAATATAGCGGCCGATCCGCTATGCTCACTTTTGCCGGACCAAAGGTGGCAGTCCGTACACTTTGGACACGCCGTTGATTTTTTTCCAGTCCATACGGGCCTTGGGCTCGGGAGCTGCGCGGTGGCGACGCACGTACTCCAGACTCTTCTGGATATGGAATTCGAGGTTTTCAAAGTCAGTGTTCAGCACAGGACGCACGTACAGCTGGAAGCGGTACAGCCCGTCCCATTGCTCTATCATGTTGTTGGCTGTGAAATGCTCGAAGAACGTTTTACGGTAGAACTTCGAGGTCTTTGTGCGGTGCACGGATAGAATAAACGGATAGTAATTTGCCGCGTCTTTGCTCAGTGTCTTGCCAATTTTCACTCTGCGCGACGCGGGCGTATTGAGGAACGTGCTGTTGTCGTACTGAAGCATCACGCCCGGCCGTGACTTGCGTATCTGGCCCATATAATATGACTCTGGATAGAACGTCAATGTAAAGAATTCGCACTTATAGGCCGGTCTGATGTGTCCAATGCGCGTGTCCATGCCGATCGAGTACAACGACGCCTGAACGCCCCTGAGTTCCTTGTAATTTGCAGCAAAAGGGGTGTCTTTGGTCACGTATCCGAGTGGTGAGTCGGGCACCTGTGCCGGCGCATTGTCGAGATCCTGTTGCGATATTTGGTATTTTTTAGGGTCGAAGCGGAACCACGGCACTTTCTGTATTGGCTCGTACTCGTGCGAGATTGTCTCGAACTTTGCAACCTCAGCAACTGGGCTCGGTCGCACCCGTCTTAGACCCAGCTGCCCAAACACCTTTTCCAGGGCTGAGTCCATTTTCTCATTTCCCAGCGGCACATATTTCCCAGTATCCACCTTTGTGGTTCCAATAAACTTTACCAGCGCTCGTACCTGTCCTGGTTTTAATATGCTCTTTCCCATAGAAAAAAAATAAAGTTTCCCAGATTTTTTTAATTTATTTATTCCATTCGTCTTATGAGTGCCCCTGCTTATATGAAAAGAGGCAGCGTTCCGTTGCAGGATCCGGGTGCCGCAATGGCTAACTCAAACTCGGTGTCAGCGTTTGGGCAGCCGGCGAACCCCTACATCACTTTCACAGCCGCTTCTCCCAACGCTCACCAGAATCCCCAGCTGCCCATGCCGGCCAGGAAAAGAATCTGGGTCAAACGTCCAGGAGGCAACGCCACGACGCTGTTTGTTGGTCCAGGAGACCTTGTGGACGACGTCAAGTCGCAAATAATGCTCAAGTTCCCCACAACACTGGCACAGCAGTTCGACCCGTCAGAGCTCATCTTGAAACTGGAGATCCCGTCTGTTCTGTCTCCGTCCGCCACCGCGTTTAATAATCCGCCGGGCCACTCGCAGCGAGACTCCGCGTTCCAGAGCTCGCCGCTGACGGCCCAGAACGCCACGTTTGCACCGAAAACTATCATGAGCCGCTCCAGCAGCACCAACTTACAGGGCAACAAAATGTCGAAAATGAGGCCGCACGCAGCTGCCGGAGAGAACCCGGCGCTCCACGCGCACCCCGTGTCGCCGATCCCTGTTTCCGCGTCCAAATCGACGCTGTTGAGCCACAACGATGTTTCGGCAGCAGATCGGGTGCCCGAGCCGACTCACAGACCGTCGCCCCTGGGCCATACCAGAGCTCATGCCAAGCCGCGAACCACCACCATAGTGTTGGAACCAGATGCGTTCATCTGGAAAATCATTGACCAGTACTTCCCGTCCGGAATGAAGCTCGAGGACTCGTTCATCATCGACACGCCGTACCCGGTGGCGGAAAAAAGACCGAGCGCCAAGACTGCGTTCCCGCAGGCGGCCGAAACAAGCTTCTATAACCAGACCAGCGCAGGCGGCTCGTTCAACTCAGAAGTGAAAGACGCCGCAAATGCTCCGCCTTTCTATAGTGGTTCGCTGACAGGCCGGTCGAATCCGACCAGAACGCCCCAGGACGCCGTCTTTGCAGACAATTACTCTGGAAAGGTAGCGGTGCTGGGCGAGCAGAGCCTGCCTCCGCCAAGAGAGTTCACGAGGCTCGGACGCAACTCTGTCCAGGACCAGAACCAGTCCTCTTCCACGGTGATTCTTTTTCCAAAGGGCACAAGAACGGGCAGTAAGTCGCCCTCCTCGCAATACTCCAATCACAACTTGACTCCCGGAAGAACGCCGACATTCGAGGAGAACCATACTCCAGACGAGACCAACAAGGCCTCTGAGACTCCCGAAAGCGCGTCGTCGTCTTCGAAACACCCAATACTGCTGAAACATGGGCCAAAAAAGGAAGAAGTCGCCTCTGCGTTGCGCTTGAAACAGCAGCCAAAGCCCGGAATTAATAAGATCCTGAACAACATCAATGTGCTGGTTGTGGAGGATAATTTGGTGAATCAGAAAATCCTGGCCAGACACCTGAAATCCTGCAACGTGCAGTTCAAAATTGCTAGCAACGGAGAGGAGGGCCTGCAGCTTTGGAAGGAAGGCGGCTTCCATCTCTGTTTCATGGATATCCAGCTGCCTGTGATATCTGGAATTCAGGTGACTGAAGAAATCAGACGACTCGAACGTCTCAACAGGATTGGAAATTTTGCCAACTTATCTCTTCCAACCGAGCAGGAAGAACTGAAGCCGGCCGATCAGCTGGACCACGAGCTGTTCCGTTCGCCGATAATCATCGTGGCGTTGACCGCGTCGACCTCTGCGGCCGACAAGCAACAGGCTCTGGCAGCTGGCTGCAACGATTACTTGACAAAGCCTGTGCAGCTGAAGTGGCTCCGGAACAAGCTGACGGAATGGGGATGCATGCAGGCTCTGATCAACTACGACCATTTCAGAAACGGCAAGGATTAAACGGTCATTCTGTCCTCTTTTATTCGTTCGTTGGGCTGTACAGAATTTACAAAGGCTCTTTGGCGGCGTCAGGGTTGTTTGTCTCGCGTGCAAACGCGCCCGGAAGCGCACGTCTGGGGCTCGTTGATTTTCTAGAGGCCCGGGATTGCAAAAAGGCTTCATACTCGGAGTATTCTGGCGAGGTTGCACCAGAAAATGAGTTTGGACCGCAGCAACTGGTGTGTTCCTCTTGGATCTGTTTTCTCAAATAGGCCATGAGCTCCAAAACCTCGGGGTTCTTATAGTTCTCCAGCTCTGACTCCGGAAGCAAATATATGAGGTTGTGGGGGGTCGGCGGTGTAGAAAAGAATATCAGCACCTCGCCAAGCAGGTCGGTCTTGTACCCCGATTTGATCAGCGTGCAAATGTACTTGAACACCTTGTACTGCGGCGGAACGTGGGGAGTCATTTTCCAGTCGGCAAACTTCCTGTCGACTTTCAGATGTCTGGACGTTGGATATTTCCAGCAGCACACACAATACTTGACCACTATTTCAATGAAGGCGCCGACCAGAATCGTCGGTATATCGTTGTCGTTGATAATGAAGTCCGATTCCACCAGCTGCTCGATCAGCATGCCGTACGACATGAGGAATATGCGCGGGTTATTGAATTTTTGCAGTCCGAACGAGTTGGCCAAAAACTTGAAAATCTCGAGCACTTTCGAGGCAGTGTCCAAAGAGCAGTTGAATAGACTCAGCCGAATCATCGTCAGCTCTTTCTCGATCTCCACAACCGAGCTCTCCGAGTAGAGCGGTTTTTTAGGGAACAAAATGTCTGTAGCAAGCAACTTATTGTCTTCTCCGTCAACAAACTCCTGGATGAGGTCCAAGGGCTCTAGCTCGTAGAGCTGCACCATGGTGTAGACGATCTTGGGCTCTTCTTCGTGGTGGCCGCTTGCCTCTGGGGAGTACCGTTCGTAGATGCTCATGATGCGCGTGTTGTCTGCCGACTGCTCCACAAGGGACCCGTCCTCGTTCACCAGACACGACGTCTCGGGCGCAGACTCGTTGGTAGCCGTGTTCTTCACGGCATCGGGCGAAACGCTGCCGTTGACAATGTCAATGGGCGAGAGTCTCGAGTCGATCATCGACGACCAGGTCGGCATGTATCCTCCGTCGATCGACGCAGAGAACTGCGTAGAGGCAGACTGCTTGCCTGGTAAAGCCCTGGACGTGCCGCGCTTAGAGATCTTGTGCAGCGAATCTTTCCAGGAGTGAAGCGTCCGCGTAACGGCAGGGGTCTGTTGCTCGGCGTCGGGAAAAGTAAGACTAGTCTTGGGCAGTTCGCGTCCTGGGCCCGGCGAAAAAGCAGACGCTCTGGTGGACGGCTCCCGCAGCGTGGCGCCGCTGTACGTGCTCTGTGGCTTGGGCTCGTCGTCCAGTTCCTCCTCGTCGTCGCAAGGCGGCACATCTTTTTCGTAGAGGCTGACGCGCCGGAGAAGAAGACTGTACTCTCTGTAACCAAAATAAACAGCGCCGCAAAACACGGCCAGCAGAGTCACGAAACAGGCGATCAGAAAAACCAGTATCACGCAGTCCTTCTTCTCGAACGTGTATTTCAGCGGCTGGGCCATCTTGCTGAAAAAAGAGCTCTTCTTGAGCGACTCTGTAGCGTTCTCGGCGGCCACCGCCTCCTCCAGATAGCTGGGTTCTTTGTACTGCTTGAACTCGGTCGCCACGTCGAAATTGCCGCCTAGAAGATCCTCAAAGTCATCTCTTCTGATTATCCGCATGGTGGGTGCAAAAGAGCAAAAGATTGAGAGAGTGGCTGCAATGAGCGTCTAAAATAAGCTGCTCCCAAAAATACAGCACAGCCCAGATTGGAGCTTTTTTCGGTAGCTCACTTGTTGGCCACCGGCAGGTCCTGGTAGCCGGTGTCTATGAAGGCGCGGTTCAGATAAGTTTTCCACAGTTTTTTCGCTCCAGCAGTTTCCACGTCGTCGGCAGCAACAGCGGCGGACTTCGCCAGCTTCCGCGCCATCTTCAGCCAGTCTGAGACCAGCAAGCTGTCCATCTGGTACTCGTCGTCGTCTGTCGAGTACTCCACCTCGTACTCGAATTTCCAGTCCGGGTGTTTGGCCGCGTAGTCCAGGTCGACGTAGTATTGGGTGTATCTCTCTGGCGAAAATAGCTGGGGCGTGTACGCTGGGCCCAGAGGCAGATCTGACGGCATGATTGGCGGAATCGTCTTGTCTTTGGACGCTTCCGCGTCCAGAGTATCCCGATTGTCCTCTGCGGCCAGCTCCTCCTCGAGCCGAGCAAAAAAGTGCTCCCACGGCTCAAATTGTTTGGCTTCGCTGCTGTACAGCTCCGACACGTTGTACTCCCAGACACGGAACCCAGGGTTGAACGTGGGCACCACAGACGCGGTAACGTGCGCGAACGAGTACCGCTCGCCGTTTTGGCCGGCCTTTTTGGGCCCCTTGAGCTTGGCATAAAGTCTGTCTCGTACGTCTTCCAGATACGTCACTTTTCCGTTAGGGGCGTTGTCGTAGCGCCGCGAGCCGCGTTGGATCTCGAAATCGTCGTCGAGCAGCCCGAAATCCTCGTATAGTCCCACATCGTCCGTCTCGTCGTCGTCGCCGTACGTATCGTAGTCCAGCTTGCCCAGTCTCTTCTCGATGGTTCTCCAGGACTTGACAGAGTCCAGCGGCACAAAATGGTCGATATTCATGTGGCCGTACAGCGAGCCAATGATGATGTCTCTGTACTCGTGCTGCCAGACGCTCATCTTGGCGTGGCAGCTGTAATGCAGGTTTTTGGGCACCGGCGGAACGTGGCCGGTGAGCCAGACCTTCATGTTGCGTTTGCGCAGCTCCTTGAGCACAAACCCCAGCCATTGGAACAGCTTGTAGCCGGGCTCCTTGCGGTTATAGCAGTTATCGCACAACGGGTTCGATTTGAACAGGTACAGCGTGTTTATGGACACCACGGCCAGCTTGTTGGGTATAACCTCTCTGAAGAAATAGGCTCCCCTGTCGAACGTGTGCAGCTGTTCCGTGGGGACAAAGTTGCGCCAGATCTTGTACAGCTCTCTCGTCTGCAACGTGGGGCCCGGAGCAAACAGGTTGTGCGGATACACGTCGTTGTTGCCCAGACTGGGCACGATCTTGACGCGGCGGTCCAGCGGCATGGTGTCCTCCTCGCCGTCGTCCATGAAAATGCTGCTCATCTTCTCGGCCACCTTCTCGTTCATGGAGAATATCTCGCCCTCGTAACGGGGGTTTTTGCGGTCGTTGTCGTGCCGAACGTTGTCCCCGGTCCAGACGACAAAATCGATCTTGTCCTTCAGATTGTCCCGAATCCATTGCAGAGTCGCCTCGTACAGCTCCAGCGGTGAGTCGCAGCCGCTCAGGGCGTCGCCGTACCGGTGCATCACCTCGTCGGGCAGAGCCTGCTTGTCTTTGCGGTGACACCTGTTTTCGAACGACGCACCAATTTTCGCCAGTTCGTCCGGGTGAAAGTCGGTTATGTGCAAAAACCTGCCGTGCAAGACGGTCTTGTCCACCACGGCGTCGCCCGCTAACGTGGTGACCTCGATGGAGTGGTGGGGTGTCAGCCCGAGTCTGTAGTACTCTTCTGCGTCGGCGTCGATTATGCCCGAGGAAACGTGGGCATACCCAGCACTGGCAGCTGTCTGCGTGCGCCGGCTGCGGTCTAAAACCTCCAGCGTCCCGCTCAGGCCCAAAAGGACCACTATAACCACAACTACCTGACGAAACATAAACGTGCCAAAAAGAAGGCTGTGCCGCCAATATTTAGAATATTTTTTATTTAATGAGGTCCAAGACTTCCTGAGCACAGGCCCAGCTCTCTGTGAAGCCCAGATTGCTGCACCCGTAATTGTGGACCAGTTTTGGGTTTTCCGGGTCGACCTCGATCCGCACGCCGCCGTCCCTGTGCGGCCGGAACCCGATGTTGTGCTTGAGGACGCGGATCTCGCCCTGCAGCTCTGGAAGGTGCCTGGTGGCCTTGGCCCGGAGCCGCTCGACGTAGTCGGCGTGGACAGACGTGTCGAAGGCGGGCGAGTGCGCGTCGTAGATGCCCCCCAGCACGGCACAGCCCTCTTTTCTCGGGAACAGCATGAGGAACTCGCCCTCTTCGACGGGATTGTTCTCCTTGAACATGACCTGGTACGGCAGCGTGTTTTCGATCAGCAGCGTGTGGCCTCTGATAGGCCGCAGGGCCGCGTCGTGACACCCGTCGATGCTGTTGTACTGGATTCCCGTGCAATTGACGACATAGTCGGCTGCGATGTCCTGGAAGTTACGCACAACACCGCGCTGAATAGCCACGCCGAGTCTGAGCAGCTCGCCCGCCAGATACGCCAGGTACTGCGGGGGAGAGATGGTGAAGGTGTCGAACTTGTAGATGTGGCTGACTCCGGGGAATTTCTGCGGGTCCTCGCCGATCCACTCGTAGTTGTCCACAAACGACCTGAGCTCCGGCTCTGTAGCAGGGCCCTGAGGGTCGATTTCCCCCTTGTAGAGCGGGATCTTCGCGACCCAGGCCTCGGGGACTCTGCTCAGCTCGTCGAATATCCGGTACGAGAACCTCGCCCGCTTGTTTCCCGGCGAGCTGGACCACTGTGCTCCTGCCTTGGTGGAGGTGTAGATAGGGTCTGCGTCGCCGGGTAATTCCTTGGCCACGACGACGAGGTCGCAGTCCAGCTTGCGTTTGAGGGTCAGAGCGGTGGTCAGGCCGATGACGCCGGCACCAACAACAACAATCTTCATGAAAGAGAAAAACAACGAACGCTACAGCTCTCTGTATCGGGAAGTATGCGATAAGGCTGATATCGACGCGACGGCGACGACGTGCAGGCCGTCGAAGTTTTACCCTCTCAAACAGAAAATTATTCTATTTCGGGAAATCTGTTTTAATCCATGAAACGATAAGATCCATGAGTCTTGTATCCGAACAACAATTGCTACAAAACCAGCTCCAGCTCAAACAGCTGGACGAACAAAGACAGAAACAAGCCGAGCAAACAAGAAGCTTCCAGTCGAAATCGTCGTCCACACAGGAAATGCTGCACCAGCTGCGCCAGAAGGAAATGGCCAAGCGAGACCCAACAGACCCGATGGCCGTGCTGGTCCCGACAGAGGCAAACCCAACAGACATCCTGGCCACCCGGTTTGGTCTCTGGCGCACCATCATTGGCTGTCTTGTGCACTATCTCAAGGAGATAGTGTCGGTGCACGAGGAAATAAGCAGACAGCAAATTAGACTCCATCACGCCATCACCTTCCCGTTTGTGACCCAGGGCCTCGACGGCGAATTTTACCAGCCCGTGAAAGTCACCACGGGGGCCCCGCAGACTGGCCAGGGCCTGTTTGGCCACAAGGAGCAGCCGCACCCAGAAGCGAACGACGAGTTCGAAATGGCAGAGAAGTTTTTTCTTCCGCTGGGAAACGGCAGCATCCAGGACCTGCCCACCGTGTTGTACCAGTACCACTCGAACGCGGCCCTCTTGGCCCAGGCCACCGTCAAGGAGCTCAACGGCACCATTATTCCGCGGCTCGAGGACCTCAAGCGGGACCTGATTGTGAAAATAAAGGAAATCAAGTCGTTGCAGAGCGACTTCAAAAACCAGGTGGCTAGATACCACCAGGAGACAAAGCAGGAGCTGAGTGCGTACATCAAGGCCGTCGAGACCGCCAAACACCATCCCGAGCTGCTCACCCCGAAGGACGACCCGTACTTACTGAGATTCAATCTGAACAGACTGATCAAACGGCAGCTTACCGAAGAAAACTATTTGCATGAGGCCTTCAACAATTTGCAGGGATCGGGCAAGGAGCTGGAGAAAGTCGTGTACATTGAGATCCAGACGGCATTGACCGTGTACGCTAAGCTGATTGGCCAGCAGGCACAGAACGTGTTTGACGGGCTGATCTCGAAACTCGACTCCGGGCTGCTGACCAAGGACCCCAGCTTCGAATGGGACTCGTTTGTCGCCAAGGACACCAAGAACTTCATCGACGTGAACCTGCCCATGAGGCATCTGAGCGAAATCCGCTACCAGCACCAGAACGACCCGCTCACGTTTGAGATCCGGTCCGGATTTCTGGAGAGAAAGTCCAAGTACCTCAAGTCCTACTCCAAGGGATACTACGTGCTGACCCCGACCTTTTTACACGAGTTCAAGTCTGCCGACCGCAAACGCGACCCGGTGCCGATCATGTCGCTGGCGGTGGAGGACTGCCAGGTGGCCGAGCACTCTAAGAAAGACGAGCACAATCCAGACTCGTACCATAAGTTTGTTCTCCATGCCAAGCAGAACGGATTGCTACGCAAGGGCCACAACTGGGTGTTCAGAGCCGAGTCGTACGACCAGATGATGAGCTGGTACAACGACCTCAAGAAGGTGACGGGACTGCCCTCTCCACAGGCGCGGTCCGTCATCGGCTGGGAGCGCAAGAAACAGGAACGGCTTTCGTCGCTGGCGTCCTCGTCGATGATCTCGAAAAACAGAAGAGACACCAACCTGACCGGCGTGACCGACCAGTCCAGCTTCAAACGCGGCCAGTCGCCGCGCAGCTCGGTCGCACACCAGTCGCTCAACACGGTGCTGTCTCTGCCAAGGAACCACCACCCTGCTACCGAGGCCACGACGGTCGCCGATTCGGACGTCCAGACCAAGCCGCGGCTGCCGATCGACATCAACAACAGCTCGTTTGTGACGCTGGAGACGGGCAACGGCTACGTGGACGAGAAGATTGGCGACCTGACGCTGTCGGATGAGTCGAAAAAAGATACTCAAATGTAGCAGCACAGTTAAATCTGATTATGTAAGTGTAAAAATAATTAAATTATTTATGTCTGGACAGACACCGTTGATGATAAGAGACGTTTCCGGCGCCGGTGCTGGTGCTGGGCCGGTGTCGCGCTCCGTGCTTGGGCTTCCCACGGCGTTCGGCACTTTTTTGGGCGCATTGGTGCTTGCGTGGGCCGTGTACAAGTGCATCGACGCCTCTCTTCTTCGCTTTCTCGTGGTGCCTCCACACAACTACCGGGACGCGATCGCGCGCAGTCTCGAGAAGGGCACCATTCCCGAGTCCGTCGTGGGCGTCAAAGGCGGCTCGTTCCGCAGAAGACTCGTTCTGGCCGCCCAGAAGCCGCAGCTGTACTCCACCATGAAACTCAACAGAGACTCTGTGGCCACGTCGAAATTGCGTCTGGCCAGAATCGACAAGGACGATCCCAACTTTATGGACCGTCTGCGTCCTGCCGACCCCCATGCGAAACGCAGACTCGTCTTTGGCTACTTCCACCCCTACAGCGACGCCAACGGAGGCGGCGAGCGAGTCCTCTGGGAGGCAGTGTACTATACGCTAAAACAGTCGGAGCAGAACCTGGTCGCCATCTACACGTTCACGGCGTCGGACGACGTGTGTGTGAGCTCGATTCTGCAGTCTGTGCGCTCTACGTTCGGAATTGATCTATTTGCAGACGGCCTCAATGACCGCATAATTTTTATTCAGCTCAACAACAGGTACAAATGGCTCATCGACGGCGCGTCCTGGAAACACTTCACGATTATTGGCCAGGCGTTGGGCTCTGTTTTCGTGTGTTTCCGCAGTCTGACAAAACTTGTGCCCGACGTGTTCATCGACACCCAGGGCCTGCCCTTCTGCTACCCGCTGGTGGCTCTCTTGCGCATTCCGGTGGTCGCGTACGTGCACTATCCGCTGATCTCGGCAGACATGCTCAACAAGCTGAGCTCGAATAGCGTTTACCACCTGGCCAAGTACGTCTACTGGACCTCGATGATGAAACTCTACCAGCTGGCTGCCAATTTTATCGACTACACCCTGTGCAACTCGACATGGACCTGCAACCATATCCGCTCCATTTGGGGCAGCAGCGCGCAAACGAGCCCGCAGATCGTCTATCCGCCAACGGGCATCGACGAGTCCAAGATCGCCGATCCGTTGGCGGAAAAAGACCGTGTTCTGTTGTACCTGGCGCAGTTCCGGCCAGAAAAAAGACACAGACTCTTACTACAGGAGTTTGCAGGCTATGCGAAAAAAAGCTCTGGGCCATTCAAATTGGCGCTGATTGGATCGACAAGGTCCAAACAGGACGAGGAAACGGTGCAAGAGCTGAAATTGCTTGCAGAACAGCTAGAGATCTCCTCCCACGTTGCTTTTGAGGTGAACGCTCCTCGCAAAACCGTCGACAAGTACCTGTCGCAGGCCGCGTTTGGGCTCAACGTCATGTGGAACGAGCATTTCGGCATCTCTGTCGTCGAGTACATGCTGAACGGCGCCATTCCTATAGTTCACGCCAGTGCTGGTCCGTTGCTGGACATTGTGCTACCTGTTGAAAATGATGAGGTGGTGGAGCCGGGAACCGAGCACGCTACGCCGTCGGGCTTCTTTTTCACCGACCCGTCGGACCCCGACTACAAGGGACTGTTTCCGTCCTTGAGTGAAGTGCTCATAAAGGCTAACCGTCTAGATAAGGACGAGGCGACCGCTATTCGTAAAGCGGGCCAGCTGGTGGCACGAAAAAAATTCGGAATGGATGTGTTTGGGAAGGAGTGGACGCAGGTGGTGGCTCTGGCCAAGAAAACCGAGCTTGAGAAACGCCAGACCAGGAACAAGGTGGAGATGGTGTACTGACTGAAAAATATTCGAACACTGCCAAATAAATTTTTCTGCACAATTTTTTTTTTTTTATCATGGCTGAATCGACTAAACTTAACACCAACCCAGAGGTGTTGCTTAAGAAGCGGAAGAACGCCGACAGACTCCGGATAGAGAAACAGGAACAGGCACGGAAAAAGCTCGAGGAACAGAAAAAGCGCAAACAACAGCAGAGAAAGGCCAGGTTCATCAGAGCAGAGACCCTGGTGGCTAAACATCGCGCATCAGAAAGAGAACAATACCGTGTGAAGCGCGTGTCGCAGCATGAGCGGAGTTCTGCCGCGCCAGAAGAGTCCGACGAACGTCTTTTGTTTGTGGTCCGCATTCCAGGCCCGCACGGAGCCAAAGTGCCTTCCAAGGCCAGAAAAGTGCTTGAGCTGCTGCGTCTAGAGCACGTGTACACCGGAACCTTCATTAAGCTGAACGCTGCCGTCAAACCTCTTCTCAGACTGACCAGTCCGTACATCGCCATCGGCACTCCATCGCTTGCTACAGTCAGAAACCTGATCCAGAAACGTGCCACGGCCAGCGTCGTGGAGGACGGAACGACCAGGAAGGTGATTTTGGATGACAACAATTTGATTGAGGAGCATCTTGGAGACTATGGAATCATCTGTGTGGAAGATATCATCCACGAGATCGCCACTTTGGGCGACTCGTTCAAACAGTGTGTCAAGTTTCTGGATCCGTTCAAACTGAGCCCGCCTGTGCACGGCTGGGGCCCTCTCAGCAAGTTGAAACGTCTTGAGCTCAGAGAGGAGAAGCCAAAGGTAAACAATGCGGCCACTGCGCCGCTCGAGGAGGTCGACATCGACCAGTTTGTGTCTGAGCAGATCTGAGCGGTGAGTATGTAAGCAGTTTGGTAATACGAGAAAAAAAACTAGAGTGAGTAAATCGATGGCTTCTCAGTTTTTTCCGGTACCGGCGCAAAATAGTTGCATCATTTTGCAATCATGAGTAAGAACATTGTGCTTCTCCCTGGTGATCACGTCGGCCCTGAGATTGTGGCCGAGGCCGTCAAGGTTCTCGAGGCTGTGTCGTCGGCCAGCGGCGTCAAGTTCAACTTCTCCAAGCACCTGATCGGCGGTGCCTCGATCGATGCTTATGGGGTGCCATTGTCCGACGAGGCTCTCGAGGCTGCCAAGAAGGCCGATGCCGTTCTGCTGGGAGCCGTTGGGGGCCCTAAGTGGGGGACTGGCGCCGTGCGTCCTGAACAGGGTCTGCTGAAGATCAGAAAAGAGCTCAACCTGTATGCCAATCTGCGTCCATGCAGTTTTGCTTCCGACGCTCTTTTGAAGCTGTCGCCTCTGAAGCCAGAGATTGTCAAGGGCACCGACTTTGTTGTTGTGCGTGAGCTGGTTGGTGGCATCTACTTCGGCGACCGCAAGGAGGATACCGGCGACGGAGTTGCCAGCGACACCGAGAGCTATTCTGTTCCAGAGGTGCAGAGAATCACGAGAATGGCGGCCTTTTTGGCACTGCAGAGCAACCCTCCGCTTCCGCTGTGGTCGCTGGACAAGGCCAACGTGCTTGCGTCGTCGCGTCTGTGGCGGAAGACCGTCGAGGAGACCATCCAGAACGAGTTCCCGCAGCTGACGGTGCAACACCAGCTGATCGACTCTGCGGCCATGATTCTGGTCAAGTCGCCAACCAAGCTCAACGGCGTCATTGTCACCAGCAACATGTTTGGCGACATCATCAGCGACGAGGCCAGTGTGATTCCAGGGTCTCTGGGTCTGCTGCCTTCTGCGTCGTTGGCATCTCTTCCTGACACAAACAAGGCGTTTGGTCTTTACGAGCCGTGCCACGGCTCGGCGCCGGACTTGGCCCCTGGCAAGGTCAATCCGCTGGCCACAATATTGTCTGCGGCCATGATGCTGAAGCTGTCGCTGGACATGGTGGACGCGGGCCGTGCGATCGAGCAGGCCGTGAAGAACGTCCTGGACGCGGGCATCATGACGGGCGACCTGGGCGGAAGCTCATCGACCCAAGAAGTCGGCGACGCTGTTGCGCAGGAGGTGGCCAAGCTGCTCAAGAAATAAATAAGGGAGAAAAAAAGAAGGATCTGGACTAATTCCTAAATAATCCCCAGAATCGTAGAATTTCATTTTTTCGACGCGACGCTCTATTGTTTATTTTTTAGCTTTTCCATGTCAACATGAGACTCGGTGTTGTGTTTGTGATCTCCCAAGTCCTAGCAGACTTCACGTATCTGGGATGCTACTCGTCGGACGCCGTTTCCGGCCTGACCAAGAAGGACTCGTACACATGGCAGAGCTCCAGTCATTGCACGGACCAGTGTTCCGGACACGCAGTTGCTGCATTGATCAATGGCCAGGACTGCTACTGCGGAGACGAGGTGCCTTCGGACGACGCCGACGGCTCGTGCACAAAGTCCTGCACGGGCTATCCGATGGAGATGTGCGGAGGCACCGATTCGTACTCGGTGTATGTTGACGAGTCACAGGAGGACGACGACAGCGACGACAGCGACGACAGCTCCTCGACGCGGTCGACGCAGTCTTCCACGAGCGAGGCCACGACCAGCTCCAGCACCAGCTCCAGCTCCTCGAGCTCCTCGGCGACCAGCTCCTCCACGTCGTCTTCCTCCACCCAAACGTCCTCCACACAGAGCTCCACCCTTTCTTCCTCAAGCTCTACCCCAACGTCTTCCTCAACTTCGTCCACAAGCTCGTCCACAACGAGCTCAGCTTCCTCCTCCTCCACCTCCCCCACCTCCACGTCGTCCTCCACCTCCTCCACCTCCTCCTCCTCATCGTCCGAAACCGTCCGGATAACAACCTCCGTCTCGCCAGGAAACACGCAGACCTCCATCATCTACATCACGGAGTCGGTCGCCACCAGCACCTCTGCGTCGGCCGCCGCGTCGTCGTCGAGCGTCTCGAGCGCCCAAAACAGGTCCACCGGGCTCAGCAAGGGCGCCAAGGCGGGAATTGCGGTCGGGTCGATCGTCGGGGCTCTGCTGCTCTTGGGACTCCTGCTCCTGCTGCTGCTCTGGCGCAGACGCCAACGCGACGAAAGAGACGACCTCAGCGAAAAGCGCGCGTCCAGCATTCTGGCGTCGTCGCCGCTGCCGCCCCCAGCAGGCTCGCGAGGCGCGGCAGCAGGCATCGGAGCCAACGCGTTCGGATTCATGTCCGAGGACGACAGACTGGACATGCCGGGCACGTCGAGACGGTTTAGCGACGGGTCGTTGCCGGACGCTGCCGCCGGAGCCGCGGCGCCGCCCAAGAGCGCGCGCCAGGGAGGATTGCGGGTGGTAAACCCAGACCTCAGCGACGAAGAATAAATTGCATATAAACACTTACATAAAATTCAATGTCCTGCCCATTCGATCGAGTTCAGGTCGATTCCCTCGTTGACCATCTCCCACAGCGGACTCAGCTCCCGCAGGAACTTGACTCTCTCGGTCAGAGCCTGGATCACGTAGTCGACCTCTGCCTCGGTGGTGAATCTGCCGATGCCAAACCGGATCGACGAGTGTGCAAGGGCGTCGTCGGCGCCCAGAGCATGCAGAACGTACGAAGGCTCCAGCGACGCAGACGTGCAGGCCGATCCTGACGAAAGAGCAATGTCCTTCAGAGCCATCAAAAGCGACTCTCCCTCGATGTATGCAAACGAAACGTTGACACAGCCAGGGTATCTGTGGATCCGGGATCCGTTCAACTGTGTGTGGTCCATGGATAACAGGGCGTCCATTAGTTTTGTGCTCAGGGCCCTGATGTGGGCCTGGTCTGCATCGTACTCTTGCACCATCAATCTGGCGGCCTCGCCAAAGCCGCAAACAAGCGGAGGAGCCAGCGTTCCGGACCGCAGGCCTCTCTCCTGGCCGCCGCCGTTGATGATCGGGTCCAGGCGGACTCTAGGCCGTCTTCGCACGAACGTGGCACCAACACCCATAGGGCCGTATATCTTGTGCGACGAGATCGACATCAGGTCGATGTTGCACTTGTTGACGTCGATCGGTATCTTGCCGTACGCCTGGGCGGCGTCGGTGTGGAAAAACACTTTGTGCGAGCGGCAGATGCGGCCGATATCCTCCAAAGGCTGGATCACTCCAATCTCGTTGTTCACAGCCATAACAGACACCAGACAGGTATCTTTTCTGATAGACTTCTCCAGAAGCTCCAGATCAATCAGACCGTCCGAGTTGACCGGCAAATACGTCACCTCAAAGCCCTCGTCCTGCAAGTGTCTGCAGGAGTCCAGGACACACTTGTGCTCGGTCTGGGTGGTGATGATGTGCTTCTTGCTCTTGCCGTAGAACCGAGCCACGCCCTTCAGGGCCATGTTGTTACACTCGGTGGCGCCCGAGGTGAAAATGATCTCCTTGGGGTCTGCGCCGATCACGGCAGCGACGTTTGCGCGCGCCTCCTCAACAGCCTTATCGGTCTCCCATCCGTAGGCGTGCGTAGACGAGTGCGGGTTTCCGTAGAGGCCGGTGTAGAATTCCAGCATCTTGTCCAACACACGTGGGTCCGTCGGCGTTGTTGCCTGCATGTCCAGGTAGATCGGTCTTGTGCCGTACTCCGAAGGGTCTCTTGTGGCGGACTTGAGAGATATCGATGATCCCTGGGGCGGCTGTGCCCCGGACGTGGGCATGGCCTGCTTGACGCCGCTCGACGACGTTCTTCTCAGCGCAGAGACGGAAAAGCGTCTCACGCCTGCTCCAATCCTGAACTTGTACATGAAGAGTGCTGAAAATTAAATTAAATAAAATAAAATGTTTTTTGCCTCCAGTTAAAACACCGAGCAGTTAAGTCCGACGCGACGAAAAATCATTTTTCAATGAACGACTTTACCATCTCGCTGGTGAGCGGCGGGGCTGCGGGAACGGCCACCGACCTGGCGTTTTTCCCGATCGACACCATCAAGACGCGCGTCCAGGCGCACGGCGGGTTCCTCAAGAACGGCGGGTTCCGGGGCCTCTATCGGGGGCTCGGGTCGGCCGTCGTGGCCTCTGCTCCTTCCGCGTCGCTGTTTTTCGTCACCTACGACGCTCTCAAACGCAGCCTCATAGACAACGGCACCCCAGCCGCCGTGTCGCACATGGCCGCCGCGTCGTGCGGAGAGGTCGCCGCGTGCATGGTGAGAGTCCCCGCCGAGGTGATCAAGCAGCGGACCCAGTCGATGCAGTTCCGCACCTCTACACAGGCACTGCGCCACATCCTCGGCAACGTTTCTGGAGAGGGCGTCCTGAACGGTCTCTACCGCGGGTGGAGCACCACGATCATGCGCGAGATCCCGTTCACGATCATCCAGTTCCCGCTGTACGAGTACCTCAAGACGCTGTGGGGCGCCGACGGCGCGCTATCGCCGGCCAGGGGAGCCGTGTGCGGGTCTGTGGCTGGTGGCGTGGCTGCGGCCGCGACCACGCCGCTCGACCTGCTCAAGACGCGGCTCATGCTGAGCCAGGGCAAGGTGGGCGTGTGGAGCCTTGCGCGGCAGATCGCCCGAGACGAGGGCTACTCGGCCTTTCTCCGCGGCATTGGCCCGCGGACCATGTGGATCAGCGCCGGCGGCGCCATTTTCCTCGGGGTCTACGAAAACGTGCGGGCCCTTCTAGACAAGAACCTATAGATATATTAATGAATGCGCTCTATTCGACGTCCATGGCGAACTTGAAGCCGGAGCCCTGCTGCGTGAGCGACTTCCATACGTTTTTGTGCTGTTTCAGCTGCTTTCCGTTGAGTTGCAACAGTCGCTCGAAAATCTCGTAGATCGGCAGCTGCACGTCCAGCTCGCCGATATCGTCGTTCGACTCGACCTCGCCGACTTTCTGAAGCAGCACGGCGTCCATCTCGCCCGCCGCAACACACCGGTTCACAAACTCCAGCACCGTTGCCGGGTGGAAGCCGGAGATCTGGTCCTGCTTCTTGCGGAAGAACCGTGCCACCTCCTCCAGCTTGCACTCGGGAACGAAATTCGCCGTCAGCGCGACCGTGTCTTCCAGATTGATCACCATGTGCCACCAGCCGGCAGGAACATGGAGACACTCGCCGGGAAACGTGATGCCGATTGCGCACCGGTGCTCTGTCCTGGCCACCTTGAGAGTGTCGTTGAAAAAGCCAGATAGCACCCATTCTGCAAGGCCCAGCGGAGACGTCACCTCGCTCTCGTCCTCGTTCGTGTGCACGCCCGGCGGAGTAACGTCAGGCGGCAGCATGATCCACAGCTTCGAGCCGTCCAGCACCGTGTTCCACGCGGAGGTGTTGTTGGGGTCCTTGTGGAACGTCGAGCCGGACCGGTGCGGGCCCACGATCAGCCACGTGTGGTCGGGACGGCACGAGCACCCGTGGCGCGTGAACACGTCGAACATGTCCTCGCAAAAGACGCCCGGACGCACAAACTCTGTCTTGAGCTGTTTCATGGCGTCGGAGTTGCAGTCGAACAGATAAAGCGGGCTTTCGTCCTGGTTGCTGGCACAGTACTCCGCATACAGTCTCAGCGGCCACTGCACGTACTCCTGGCGGAAAACGGTATCCGGAAAGCGGGCTGTAAGGGTGTCTATTGTCCATGCTGGCCAGCGGGCAGCGTCGGCGGACTTGAGGATAAACGGACGGTCGTGGAAGCGCGAGGAGAAGAGCGAGGCAGTCATGGTACTCTCGTCCAGCCGCGGGATGGAAAGGTCGTATGGAATATTGGCAGAAGCCGGCCTGACCTGGTGTCTGCGCTTGTTTTCTGTGATTATGATACTTTCGAAAACCTTGGAGTAGTCGACCTGGGAATTTTGATACGGCACAAAAAGCAGGTCTGAGTGCACGATGCTGCAGTCTATAGCGCTCTGTTTGCGCCTGAGGACGCTCTCCTTCCAGCTTCCCTGCCATGTGTCAAATCTCTCTCCCCTTAGATAAAGCTGCTTCCACAGCTCGTCGGAGCTGGCAAAGGCGTAGAAAAATCGTGAGACACGCATCACACGTCCCAGATCGGCGGCTGAGTCCAAATGTCCCAGGATGTCCATTATCAGCTGCTCTGGGAATCTGTAGAAATCGCCCATCGACATGTGCAGCTTTTCCTCTGTCTCCTTTCCAGCGAGCAGCAAATTCCCGGCGGGGCGTATTTTCAAAGGATGGCTCACCACCTGCAACGACAAGGACGGCGGAATGGCATACGGGTGGAAAAGCCCCGTCTTAGGCGTCTTCTGGCGTTTCCGAGACTCCTTCGTCTGCTCTGGCATTAAATGTTTTTTTTCAAATTTATTCTTTTTCGACGCGTCGATCTATGTACATTATTTCTCAACAGGCAGCGGCTTTGGACGTTTCTCCACGTACTCCTTCAGCCGCAGCTTCTTGACGTGCGGCCGCTCGTACGTCTTTGGATACAGCACGCGCTCGTCGGCAGGATTGGCAAACTCCTCCTCGTAGACCGGTGGTTTTTCGGCCTGCTCGCTCCACAGCTGTTTGATCTCGAAAAAGCAAGACATGCACAGGAAATGCGATCTTTTGTACTTTCCGCACGACGGACACCGATTGAGGTTGTGGTTGGGCTTGATTTGCTTGCTTCCCGGCGTGTACAGGCGCAGCCGGCGCTTCATGTGGGACGTTTTCTTCTTTGGGGCCGCGAGAACGAGACCGTTGTCCAGGAACGACGGAAGCAGTTTGGAAGGCAGGCTGTCGCGCAGGCGGTCGAGGAAAGACTCTGCGGGAGCCCACACTGCGTTCGCGAGGGCCGGCACGGCTGGCAGGGCGAGTCTGGCGGCGAGGCCCGCCAGCGGATGAGCGATAGCAAGAGACATGAGAGCAGGTTCCAAGGCTGGAAAAATATTTTTGGTTGTCGGTTGAGGAGAAAAAAACCGGCGTGCACCGGTGCAGACCTGTTATGCTGCGAAGCTGTTGTTTTTCGCGTCTAAGTAGCGTGTAAATAAGATCCAAATTTAACAACTAACGATTAAACTCCTTGATATGACAGACTTCCAGGGCGTCTCCGATGCCGCCTCTCTGCTGCAGCCGAAATCCTACGTTGGTTTCGACACGATCACCACGCAGATCGAGAACAGATTGCTCAAACGGGGCTTCACGCTGAATGTTATGGTTGTTGGCCACTCTGGCCTGGGAAAGAGCACGCTGGTCAACACGCTGTTTGCGCAGCACGTGATTGACTCGAGCGGCAGAAAGACGATCTACGAGCCGGTCGACAAGACGTGCGAGGTCAAGGTTACGTCGCAGACGCTGGTGGAGAACAACGTCAAGCTGGCTCTGAACGTGATCGACACGCCGGGTTTCGGAGACCAGGTGAACAACGAAAAGTGCTGGGAGCCGATCCTGAAGTACATCAAGGACCAGCAGAACCAGTATCTCAGGAAAGAGCTGAACGCCACTAGAGAAACATCCATCAAAGACACCAGAGTCCACTGCATTCTCTACTTCATCGAGCCAACGAACTACGGGCTCAAAAAACTGGACATTATTGCGCTGAGGAAGCTGACAGAGGTCGCCAACGTCGTGCCTGTGATCGCCAAGGCAGACACTCTGACCCTGGAGGAAAGAGCCAACCTCAAGTCCATTCTGCAGGAACAGTTCAAATACTACAACTTCAGGATGTATCCGTACGAGTTCAGCCTGGGCGAGGACGGCCTCACTGCCGAAGAGAGACAACTGAACAGCGACATCCAGTCGCTCTTGCCGTTTGCCATCATCGGCTCCGAGGACATCATCACCACTCCTTCCGGAGAGGTTATTCGCGGGAGAAGAACCAAGTGGGGGCTCATCAACGTGGAGGACGTGACCCAGTGCGAGTTTGTCTATCTGAGAGACTTCCTGACCAGAACACATCTCCACGACCTGATCGAGACCACTGCGTACGTCCACTACGAGAGTTTCAGAACAAAGCAGCTCACCGCTCTCAGAGAGAACGTGGGGGCCAGAAACACGCAGTACCAGCCGCAAGGCCCGGTCCCGGCCACTGCGCCAGGCCCTGCTGGCCCATCCATGGTGGGAGGAATTCCTCAAATGTCGTGAAAGTGCAGTTTTTTTCTAGTGAGGATAAATAAAATTAAGGTGCTAATTTTTCCAGCTCTTGGGACTCCTGCTCGTCCAGCTGTTCGTCCTTCTTGATCTCCTGCAGCGTCTCGGGCCGCTCGGCCTGGTCTCTGCTGGCAATGTAGTTTTCTAGCTCTGAGCCGTTGTCAAAGGCGGCCGTGAACGGGATTTTCGTCAGCGTCGTCGGCAGCGACGTTCTCGCACTAAACGACCGTGTAGGCTTCTGTCTGGCGGCCGACTTCTCCCACGGGAAGATCGGGTGCGTGCTGGCGTAGTCGTCCTGCGGGCTCTCGACGTCCAGCTGCGATAGCGAGTGAACCAGTTCTTTAGTGTCCAGCTCTCTAGTGTCCTCCTTCTCCTCCTCCGACTCGCTAGGGTCCTCCCATTTGTTTGGGCCCCGCGACTCGTTCAGCTTCCATGCCTCGCCGCGGTTCTCCTCGTACTTTTCTGGCTCAGATTCAGGCTCCTTGTAGTAGTATTGGTGGTGAACAACAGGTGGCTGTGGCTGTGGTGCCTCCACGGCCTCAACGGCCTCAACAGTGGCAACATGGCCTGGCTCAGCTTTCTCACTAATTTGCAGAATTGCATTCTGCGAATGACCGTCTATCTCAATGGACTCATACACCTCATGCCAGAGTTCATAAACGTTCTTGTTGTCTGCGACCTTGAACAGCGAAGGGTCCTTGCGCAACTGGGCGGCGTAGTTCCGGTCCCAGGGCTTCTTGTCGCCTATGAAGTGAAACACCTTGATGTCCTGGAAATAGCGTTGCAGAGCTGGGAAGTACTCGTAGTGCGAGTTCAGCGTGCAGTTGTAGATGAACGGCAGCCGCAGCCAGCGCGAGGTGCCACCGTGGTACAGGTCTGGATTGAAGTAGTGGTTCAGCAGGCCCTGGTCGGCGCCGTCGAACGACTCTGTCGACTCGTACAGGTCCATCAATTCCTGAAACACAGTCATGTTTGGTTGCAGCACCATAACCCCGGAATTGAACAGGTCGGGCCAGCCGCAGTCGGGCGCCGCCATGACCTGGGAGGCGTCAAAGTTCTGGGCAAACAAGTGGTCTAGGTTTTGCAAGGGCAGGGTGTCTGCGTCGAGGTAAACAAGCTTTGAGTACTCCACCAGTCGCCAGAGGTTGATTTTGGACAGCGTGTATGCCAGGTCGGGCCTGTTGAGGACGAATTCCAGCGTGTGGGGGGAATTGGACACGAGGATGTTGTCGTCGATGTTGATGAGGTCCGAAAACAACTTGGAGGCGGCAAACAAGGCAATTGTGTCTTTGTTGACGTTTTTGGCCGAATAGAGGAGAACCACTGGGAATTGGGCTTTTGTGTCGGAGAGAGCCTTGCGGACAGCGAGAACGCCTGGAAGATATGTGTTCTCAAGCAGGAGAAGGGCGTAGGCCGACATGGGGGGCAGAAAAAAGGAGGGCGATAAGTACGAAAAGAGGTTGTTTCTAGTAGCTAATTTAATTTGTAGCAGCTTTGTGTGGGGTGGAAGCTCGAGTGCGCCGATCGACGCGACGTCTTTCCTATTGTGGACCCGACGTGACGTTCTGTGTTTTTTAAATGTCCGCGCTTGTGTTTTGCCTATTTAGGCGAGCTGTCGCATGTGGCATTATGCATGCAGAAAATTACAACCACATGGAGAGAAAAAATATGGGAACAGTCGGTGTGTCAGTGCAGATTCAGGCAGACCTCGATTGTAACCGAAGAAGCTCTGCCAGATACGCCTCGTCCACATCGAAGAAACCAGGGTTTTTCCAGAACAAATACCGCAGCAGCTCGCGGAGCTGTTTTTGGTCGACAGCCTTGCCCGTGGTTTTTTCAAACTCGCGCACCAGATACCGAAGTTTCTCCAGCTCGCCTTGGTCCACCACGTTCCGCAGCTCCATCACGTCCTCGGGCCCGCAGTCGTTGCTGCCGCCGCCCTGCTGTCCTATCAGCACCTGGTATCTGTTGCGTGCGGCCAAAAAAGTGCCTACGTTTGCGAGCTCGGCAATTTCAACCCACGATTTTCCCGCTTTCTTTAGGTCGATGATCATCTGGTCCTGTTCCTTGGTGAATTTGGACTTGCGCTTTGTTCGTCGCATCGGCTGCTGACGTAAGGAGTCGGGCGACGGCTCGAGCTTGTCGAAAGGCGGCGTCGGAAGTTGCTGCGACAACTTGTAGGCCAGCGGCGAAATTCCATGTGTTTGGACGGTGATTGGCTTGGGCGGAGGAGGCTGCGGGGCCATAATGAGCGGCGGTTGCGGGGGAAAGTAGTTCTGCGGCGATTGCTGGTACTGGAACGGGCTGTAAGCGTAGTTGACTTGCTGTGGCTGGGGTTGGTTTTGCCCGACCTGGTACTGAGGAAACTGCGACGTGTACTGATTCTGGACGCTGTAGCCCCTTTTGTCGGCGGGATGGCTAATTTTGCGGTCCATGCTTCATTTTGAAAGGAGATAAAACTAAACGGTTTTGCTGAACATTTATATACATTGGCATTTCTTGTATAGCTGTGGTCTGGGAAGTGATTGGGTAAATCACCTCTGTCGCATGAAGCTGCATTGTTTGCTTAATACATACCACCTGTGGTGGGCGCACTTTTTTTTCCGTGCATTTGCATGCATATGTGGGACGTTCCCTGATATCAGAAAAAAGAGAGCCCGCTCAACGTGGCTGGCCGGGTTTGCCCATTTTGCATTTCCAAGACCACTCGATGAAGCGGTAATTCCGGACCGAGATTTGCCAAGAGCACAGTTCCCCGACATCTGTGTGCTACACTGCGCTCAGGCTCCACAGGACCAGCTGGATCATGAACTGCAGCGACCAGAACCCCACCTTGCGCAGCTTTTCTCGCTGGAATTGCTCGTCGCTAAGGTACTCAACAAAGCTGTTGTACACCCCGACACTCAAATCGTCCATCAACAGACTGTCGTAGACTGTCCACGACCCGTCGAAGTCCTTGAGCTGTTTGTAAACGCGGCAATAAATAGGGATGAACGTCTTTCGGGAGTTGATGTAGCCAACTATCGGCCGAATCAGCGCGCTGTTCACGTACGACAGCTCGTTCGCAAACAGCGGCACGCTGGCTTTCGGGTTATTGAGTCGCAGATAGAAATCCATGATAAAAGGAGCGTCATAACTCTCGTTATTTTCCGACGAGGTGTAGTACTTGAAAACGTCTCTGAGCGTGGCCTGTTCTGTCGAAGCGTTCTCTGGAACAATTACATCACCAATCATGTCCACGGTTCCCCTGTGGATCCAGCCGAACGGGCCCTTCATGCCGCCATTCAGATGCTCTAGCGGGAGGTTATCGATCCGCAGTCTGGTGACGGTCTTGTTTGCGAGGTCGATTTCTTGCCGCGAGCCGTGCGTGGGCACCTTGCGGTACTCCTCAACCTCCCCGCCAATTTGCCGCTCTCCACGGAAGTCGTCTGTGGTCTGCACACGGTCGATGGTGAACAGCGCGCCGTCGTAGCAGCCATTGATGTGCTTGCCGTTCAAGATGTCGAAAAACAACCAGTTTTTGCGAAACAACGGCAGCTCGCAGTTATACACAGAAATGTCGAAACTGCGAAAGTTATTCGGGTTATGCATCGTCACCAACAGATCCTGCATGCGGAAATCAGAGATCTCCCAGTCGCCCGGCCGGTGGACGTTCTTGTAGTTCAGAGCAGAGTCGCCGGGCTTCCAGTGAACGTGTGTCCTGTCCACCACGCCACGCACGCCGCGCAAAGAGCAGTTGTCGATTATGCCCTTGCCCGACAACCATTTCCCGAAACTTAGAGAGATGTCGATCTGGTCAATGGTCAGGTCAAATTGGGTGTAATTGCCGTCGTCAAGGTCTTCCTCGGGAGCCGCCTCAGCGCCCTTGACCTTTTTGCGGAACATGTGCCGTTTGCGGGGCCGTCTGCTCACCACACAGTGGTTGAACTGAATTTTTCCATCTTTCCAATTGGGCACAATTGCGTTGTCGAACGTGACACTGAGGGCGGAGTTTCTGGTTATCATGTTTCCAACAAGCTCGGCCACCATCTCTTGGGCCAGCACGGTATTCATGGTGTAGAGGAGAAGCGAGAAGAACGAGGTGGTACCTATGATTAGAAATGCAATGTTGCCGGCCATGAGCCACGAGAAAATCGCAGAGAAATCGTCATTGTTCAAGGGTCGCTTGCTCTTGACTAGCGCCCACCGAAGACGGCGGCACTTGTCGTAGACGTACTCGAACACTCGAGAGACTCTGCGCTGCGAATATAACCGATAACCCAATTGCCCGGCTCGGCCGGGCAGCGCGAGCCGCACAAGGCAGCTGGGCGCTATAGCAGGCATCGCGGCAACATGCACCGGGTACGGAACCTGGAACCGTCGGGCTGCTCGCCAGGAGCATCGAAAGATCAGCATCTATTTTTGAAAGGATTTTTTTATTATCGAATATTTTTAATTTCCCCAGATAACCAAACAAGAAGCCTAGCAGCAATTAAGTTTACTAATTAATAATTCTAGTTATTTATCCGGACTCTGGTCGCCGTTTGTATCCGGCTTTTCGAGTTTGCGTAATTTTCGTCTGCCGGCGTCCGTCAGTCCCGTCTGCGTTTTGTCGCCAGCCTTGCACTCCTCGCTCCCACCTGCTTCCGGAGCAAGCTCGTACTCCACGTCGTCATGGCATCCCACCGTGCCGTTATCGCGCGCGCCAACAAGCATAACCATCCGTTTATAGTACAAATCAAGCACCTCCGAGGCGTTCTCGATGCCCAGCTTGATCTTCTTTAAATAATCCGTGTCCAGCGTCCCCGTGCTGCTTTTTCTTTCCTGTAGTCTATCGTAGTTGAAGTCCCGGGGAACCACGCGGTACCCGACTTTGTTGAGGAACTCCGTCTCCAGCACGTTGAGCTCCATCAGGTTCACACCCCCTACTTTGGCATAGTGGCTGTTGGAGCAGAAACTGTCGCAGAGCGCCTTGGACGCCACCGTCGTCGCCGTGAGCAAAAACCGGTGCACTGTGAGCGAGTTGACCGCAAATATGGGATAACACATGCTGAGTAAATCAATGTAATATATGCTAGTTATGAGAACAGAGTTCTCCAGGGACGAGTAATGGGACAGTCGGGAAAGATACGAATATAGCGAGATTTGCGGCGGCGAGCGCGAGTGGAACCGTGTGAGCGATTGCTGGTTGATGTCCGAGGAGATTTGTTGGTCGTTGATGGAAATGAGCGAGGAAAGCATACGCGATATGATCACTATGAGGTCGTCTTTGGGACAGTGTATGAACTTTTGCGGGAGCGTGCGGTAGGTTGTGGGCGTGGGGGCGGACTCGTCGGCGCCCACCGGCGGCGGGGGGATCACAATGGGCGGTCTTTTGGACTTGTGCGGCTGCGAAGTCATGGTGTTTTACCCAGCGAGTTAAAAAAGTCAATCTATACGGTTCACCTTTGCACCGTGTGTGTTAACTAAAAAATATTCAACTATTTTCAACACATCCATGTCTTTTGTCTCCAAACTGGGCGTGTTCGTCCGCGGCCTGGCGACCGCAGCAGAGTCGAAATTCCCCCACAAGGCCATCCCGCCAACGTACACGCTAGCCACGCTGCGCGCATTCCCGTCGCTCGAACCGCACGCCGTGTTCCCCGTCCACAACGCTTTCCTCAACGCTCCAATAAGAAGAGACGTTCTATGGCTCGCCGTGGTCATGGAGCTTGACAACAGACGCGTGGGAGCGTCCAACCCGCCGGGAAGAAGCGACCACAAGTTCTCCAGACACAAACTGCTGCCGCAGAAGGGCTCTGGACGGGCCAGAGTGGGAGATGCAAACTCGCCGATCAGATTCCGTGGAGCATACGCCTTGGCCCGCACGGCCCCCAACGACTTCAGCACGGACCTGCCCCAGAAGGTCTACGACATGGCATACCGGATCGCATTGAGCTCGGCCTACAAGGCGGGCAAATTGTTTGTGGTTGGAGAGCACGAGGCAGTCGGGTCTGAGCTGCTTCCGGGTGACTCGTTCAACCTGGAGCTGACACACAGTCACCCCCGCGCGCTCGACACGTTTGTGGCGAAGCACGGATTCAGCAAGCTCAACGTGCTATTCATTCCTGGAGAATACGATCCGGAAGCCAACCTGGCCAAGGCGGTGAGCAGATACGGCGACAAGGTGCGGATTTTGCGCAAGGAGGACGTCGAGGTGAGAGACCTGCTCAAGGCGGACCGTCTGGTGGTCGCAAAGGACGCCCTCGTGTACTTTGCTGCCAAGTACACCAAACACATTTTGTAGATAGAAACGTCCCCGGTCACGTGACACGACACAGGGCAGGGTTTTTTATAATTAAAATTTTTAGTCCATGAAAAATTGTAACTTTAATACATCACCATGGGACTCGTTGTTCAAGACTCTGGCTCGTTCCAGCACATTTTGCGTCTCCTCAACACCAACGTTGACGGAAGAATCAAGGTTATGTACGCTCTGACCACCATCAGAGGTGTCGGTAGAAGATACGCCAACTTGGTGTGCAAGAAAGCCGATGTTGATCTTTCCAAGAGAGCCGGTGAGCTGACCCAAGAAGAATTGGAGAGAATCGTCACCATCATGCAAAACCCAACCCAATACAAGATCCCAGCTTGGTTCTTGAACAGACAGGCCGACGTTGTCGACGGAAAGGACTACCACGTTCTTGCCAACAACTTGGAGAGCAAGTTGAGAGAAGACTTGGAGAGACTGAAGAGAATGAGAGCTCACCGTGGTCTGAGACACTCCTGGAGACTCAGAGTCAGAGGTCAACACACCAAGACCACAGGTAGAAGAGGTAAGATTGCTGGACCTTGAGCGGCGAGCAGGCAAGCGAGTGCAGCTAGCATAAATATGTGATAATATAGTGGAAACTATGAGACAAGTAGAGGTGGAGCATGGCTATTTGAAAATTATAACTTAGTTATGCCTCGTTTATTATATATTATCATAACTCGTCATATGTACTACACTGGAGTTTGACTTTTCAGACTCAGCAGGTTTTCCACACATTCAATGTCTGTCTTGCCGTTCTGCTTTGTGTGCGACGTGTTTGTGCTGTCCTTCAAGACATTGCCCAGCTTCTTGTTGACGTTCATTCTCATAACTGGCTTCTGTCTTTTGTGCAGCATCTGGGTCATTGGCGTTGCCAGCCCCAGATCGCTGGCCTTGAACTTGAACGTCATGGTGGCAGAGCTCGGCGTGGTTTGCGGCACGTGCTTGCGCACTGGAGTCTTCATGGGCGTCAGGAAAATGCCCTTTGGTGGCAGGTTTTCGTTCCTTGGAGACGAGACCGGCGACGACTCCACAGAGGTTGCAGAGTCGTCCTCCACGCTGGTGTCAACCGTGGACAGGTCCTCTGCCGACATGAGCTGCTGGTCCAGGTCCTGTCTCTTGGGGATGTCTAGCACCACCTCCTTGATACTCTGGTTATTTTTGCGTAGCGACTGTCTTTTGTTTTGGAACCAGATCTGCACGGCCTTTTCAGTCATGTCGACCTTGCGCGCGATCTCGATTCTTCTCATCTTGTTGGGGGTATTCCCTTTTTCGAACTCGGCCTGTAAAATGGCGAGCTCGGCGGGGGAGGTTCTTCTTCTTTTGCGTCTCGCGAGACGCGCATTGTCGATGTCGGGCTCAGAGGACAGAAACGTGGACACCGAATGCGAGATGAAGGCGAAGCTCTTGCCCTCGCTCGGCGGCGACTTGGCCATCTGTCTTTGTGGCTTGTGTGGGGTAACGGCGAATTGTCTTGGGGGCTGTGCGCGTAGCGCGGGTGTCTGCGAAAACATTGGAGGTGGGGGTGGTAGCACACGGTTTGCCACGGGAGTCACGGGGCTGCTGTACAGTGGGAACGAGTTGGACCGCTTGTAGCTGGGACTCGACGTGATGTGCTCAATTGGGGGAAGCACCATCTTGTTGGATGGCGTATTTGCCGGCCGCACTTGGGAGCGCACGGGCGAGTGGTTGAGGAGCGAACTCAGAGGCGGCAGCCGTGTTTGGCGGGCTGGAGACGGATCAGAGTTCGATCTGGTAGGTCTAGACACGTTGACAGACATGTTTTTTGGCAACAGCTGGATATTTTTGTTGTTTATATATGTTGAAGGCCTCCTGTGATTGAATCTCGAAAGTGTACACAAAGGGCGAATGAGTTTAATTAGACTTTGCTTGAAACGGAAGTTGCGGCGCGCAGCATGCAGCAGTTTTATTATATTTCGACATTTCGTTTCTGTTTTCGGCGAAGATTCGAATAGAACCGTGTTTAATATAGCTGCACGAATAGCGAACGCGTTCGAAGGGGCTTCATTAGGGGGCAGAGCGGACGCGTGCAAGGCAAGGGCGATGAAACGGGAACTAACTTGCAGCACACATACAAATGTGGGAAATAGGCAGCAGACGCACTTTGCCAAAGCGAGAATGTGACAGGGGCAGACATGTCGGGCCTTCACTGCCTGGTGCGACACAGGCTTTGTCGTGGTGTAGGGTTGAGGTAAACAAAAATAAACATACCTCGCTCCCGGTGCAGAGATGCGTTCCAGCACAGCACCGCGGAATATCTCGCTTGTATCCTTTGGCCAGCCAGCCAGTATGTCTAGCGTTCTATCGGCAATTCCGCTCAGCCAGCAAATTCGCGCAAGACGCCCCTCGCTTTCGTTTCCGTCCAATTGCTGTCCTTCCAGAATTGCGCCTATCTGTCTGCTCGGCTTTCCTCGCCCTACTCCTCCAGCTCTGATTGCTTGACACAGATACACCAGCACCGCTAGATATCTCCACCATCGTCCTATTGTGTGTGCTATTGTTGTTACGACCGAGCAAATCCGAACCGTTCCTGTTCCAGATTGCACACCCAGCAATCCGCCCTTATCTCTGGGCCAGTTTCCGGATTAGGCAACTAATTCGCAGCGCTGCTACCATTATAAATACACCCTCCTTGTCCCCTTCCAGCACCAATGGCAACCGCAGAGCTTCTTCAGCAGATCCAGACCGGCAACCTCCACAAGAGGGTTCTGCCCCACGCTTACGAGGCGCAGATCAAGCCCATCAGCGACACCCTGAACGGCGTCGACATCAACGTGGAATTCGACCCGAAAAAACACCTCGCCTTCACCCCAGACTGTCTGCAGACCGTCAAGCGCACCACGATGGAGGAGCTGGGCGCCGTGTGCGACGACCAGATCTCCGACATCGGCGTCAGCGCGCCGTTCCCGCTCTTCACTGAGGAGGCCGTCGAAATCATGAGAGCAGAGATCCTGCGCGAGGAGGTGTTCTCCCAGTGGGCCAGGGTCTCGTTCAACTCCACGACAGGCCTCGACTGCACCATCCGCGGCTACGCAAAGCCAACCTGTCCGTTCACGTACGCAGCGTGGACCCATCCGGAAACCGTCGCTGCTGTTTCCGCCATGGCCGGCGTCGAGCTCGAGGTGATCATGGACTACGAGGTCGCCAACGTCAACGTCGCCATGCGCTCAGAGGACGAGGCGTTCAACCAGAAAGTCTCCGCAAGAAGAAGATCGTCGTTGGCAGACAAGACAGACTCCGACATCCCGGCCGTGGTGGGCTGGCACAACGACTCGTATCCGTTCGTGTGTGTGCTGATGCTTTCCGACACGACGGAAATGATTGGCGGCGAGACACTCATCAAGACCGGCTCTGGCGAGATCGTGCCTGCGGCCGGCCCGGCAAAGGGCAAGGCCACAGTTCTCCAGGGCCGGAAACTGACCCATCTGGCAGCGCTGCCGGTAGGTTACACCGAGAGAATCACGACAGTTACCTCGTACAGGGCCAAGGACTCCACCAAGCCGGAAACCAGCGTGCTCAAGACGGTCAAGCCGGAAAACAATTTCGGCTCCATGTACAACGAGTTCTACCCAGAGTGGATCTCGTACAGGATGAAAGTCATTTCCGACAGAGCCATTGCGATCGGCGAGGAGTTTGAGCGCAAAAGACGCAACGGCGAGACGTTCGACAAAGACGCCGCGTTTGAAAAGCTCAAAGACTTGCAGGCGTATTTGCAACACACCTGGAAAGAAATGGAGGTGACCGACGAGGAGTACGCTGCTCACTACAGCAGAAAATGAATAACCATCACCTTGCGTATATTCTATTCCATAACCTATGACAGTATTAACCCGTGACTCATGTTTTCTAGTCTATCTCTAAAATCCTAAATCTCTCTTTTTTGCTGCTTGCACATCCATATCCGTGTCTTGTATATCCTGAATAATTCCTTGACCAAATCTCTGAAATCGATCCGTGCGTTGGAGTGGTAGTAAAACGTCAGCTTGCGACGATCCCATTGGTACTCGGCGTCCGTGACCTGCATCACCAGCCCGTGCGATTTCACCTTCAGCTGGCACACGTTGCGCGACTTCTCCTCGTCGCTCTTTTTCAACAGCAGCTGCGCCACCTCGTTCGGGTACGCAAAGCGCACTATCGGCTTTGGGAAATGCAGCACGGGGTGCTTGTCGTTGTTCTCCTGGTTAAGAGCCGCCTGCTGCTCCTGAAACTGTTTCAGCTTCAACAAACGCGCCTCGTCGATCGACACGTCCAGCTTGACAACTTTTCCCAAGTCCCGCCCTCTATCGGCCTCCACAATCACCAGCTCGCCAACCTTCATGTTCTGCAGTAGTTTTTGGTTCTCCGGCGGAAGGAAGAACACGTCCAGTCTGCCGCTCTTGAAACAAACAAGAACAAGCTTCACACCGGGCAGGCCTCCTCCTGGAAACTTCGGCAGTTGCTGCGTGTTGAGGTTCTCCAGCACCTTCGACAAGTTGAGCGACTCGGGCGACGGAGACGTAAAATACAAGTCTGCTTCTTTGTATGCTTGTGAGTATTGGTCCTGAAAATTTAGTACCCCTGGAAATTGCGTTGATTGTTGCGGTGACGCTTTTGCCTTTTGCTCGAGTGATTTCATAAAGTCCAAGCCTGGGGCATGCCCAAACGTTGAAGAAACTGATTGTCTTTTCTGCTGGAGCGCTGGCAGTAAGGGCTGCGTGCTGCCGGACGAACCGGACTGCGCGGCTGCTCCTAGCGCAGCATCGTACGAGTACCGTCTGAGAGCAGCAAAGTCTGATGCCGGCGGCGACTGCCATGCGGTGGGCAGTTGCGGAGGAGAGCTCAAATTAGCGAAACTGAGCAGCGGGCTACCTGCAGACCCGATCGAGCTTCTGTTGTCGTCTCTGGAGTTCCAGATGCTGCCTGTCGATGGTCTGCTATGCGTGGTAAACTCTCCAACATATGAGGTTCGTCTCGAGCCGAACTCTGCCTGAGACGGAGGCTGTCCCGAAAATGAGGATCCCGAAGGGGGGCTCAATAGAGTGGCGTACGGCGAAAGCGGCGAGACTATTGGATCCCGTGGGAACTCTGGCGCGTGAGACGAGGGCGAGAGCAGATCCTGCGGTCCCTGAGGTTGTGGCTGCGGCGCGGAAGTCCATATGGAGGAGTTTATCTCGAACGGGTTGACAAAGCCCGCCTGCGCAGAGTTGTTGTTGTTGTTGTTTGTTGTTCCAGTGACTGTCGAGCCCGTTGCTATAGTATCCTTGTCGCTCAAAGTGTGGTTGTCCATATCGCTGGCGTAAGATAGAACACTGTTTAGGTTGTTTACAGAGAGATCATATTCTCCCTGATTGGAGAAGATGTTGGAGCTGTTGGAGCCGTTCGACTCGAAAGATAACGATGATCTGGCTGATTCCGGGTCTATGAATGTGTCGTAGTTGATCGTTCTGGACATGCCCTGTACCTCTTTAAAAAACAAGTGCTTGTTTGCTAAAGAGAAGGAAGGCAAATTTATTTATAAAAGATAAGCCTGGAATATGCGCGTGGTGTGCGGGGGGGTGGAGGGGCGCGAGGCGAGACGATTTGACAGGACAGGAAATTGCTGGGGGCCCTGTGCATGCCCTGCGAAAACGCGGGCGAACTGGGGAATCTTGTGGGGACGTCACGCCATGCACTGTTTCTTGCTCTCCTCCCCAGGTCACGGAGTTCCCGGCCGTTTGCCAGAACCACCGTCCGTGTTTGGAGTTACGTAAGCGGCGCTGATAAAAAAAATAGCTGTCATGCCAACCTTAATACACGGAGCTGAAAATGCGGTGGTTCTCCTTGTTTTCTGCGCGCGGGCCTGCTCGGGAGGTGTCTTCGCTGTCGAGTGACGCTGCTGAAAGCAGATCCAGCAGTTTCTGACCGCTCGGAGCGTGGCTGTTCTGTTTTTCGTGCACTAGATTGCTGATCAGGTGCTCTTTCTCCGCCTCGAGCTGCTGGAACTCGCTCCGGAGAGTCTTCAGGTGTACGGCGTACTGAGCGCATTTGGCGCGCAGCTGAGACGCGGCCAGTTCTGTGCGCAGAAGCTCTTCTGTGGCCGCTTTGTTTTTCTGAAGTAGCTCCGTCTGCTCGGCACGGAGGGCTTCCACGTAGCTCTGGTCTGCCACTATCTGGTTCTTCGCCAGACCGCTAGCCTCTCTATCCGTTTCTCCCTCTCCCGGCCCCTTTGTTGCTCTCAATTCCTCGACAATCTCGCGTAGCTGTTCGACCAGTGTCTGGAGCTCTTTCCGCTCCGTGCCGCCCGTCGTCTCGTTAAACGTGGCCAGATTCTCGTTCAGCTTCGCCAGACTCTGGTTGTTGTTTTTCGACCGCGCTTTCAGGTCCGTCAACGCCGTCCTGATCTCGGCCAGCTCCTCGCTGATCTTCATGTTGAAGCTGAGCGGAAGCGGTTTCGGCTGTGCAAACTTCGAGATGTTGGTGATCGACGGCGACTTCTTCAGTGTGGCCTCCTCTCTGGTCTCGGTGCTCTGCGAAATTCCCAATGTCATAATGTCAACGTAAGGAGTCCAAATTCTTTTCATAAACAAAAACACCGGTGCCAGGTGTGTCTCGTTATCGAATATGAAATATATCCAGCTCGTGCTCTGTCTTGTTTGGTGCTCGCTGGCGCTCGCGAACACGGAAACGCTGTCGTTTGTGCCCGCGCGCGGCGAAATACCGCACACCACCGCTCCTGACGGGGCCCCGCCGCTCCAGCTTGGCCTCAACGTGCTGTCCGTGTCGCTCGACCCAGTGACGCGCGTGGCGCCCGCGCAAAACGGCCAGCGGGTCCAGCTGCAGCGGCACACCAACGGCCTCCGCGCAACACCGCACTTCGCCAAGCTGTGCTGGTCCGCGACGGCGCCCGTCGACGTCGACCTCCGCCAGATCGACGACGCCGTGCTCATAACCGTGGCTCCGGACTACTACAGCACGAACGAGGAGCAGTCGCGCCGGTACCTGGGCGCCATCCGTCTGGAGCTGCACGTGAGCGAGGTGCACGCGCTGCCGACCGACCTCTGGCCGATCCTGGCGTACGTGGGCTCCGTCGCCGTGCTGGCCCTGTCGGCCTCCGCTTACCTAATACGCCTCCGCCCAAAAATGTGTTGAGCCTTGTTTTTTCCAGCCTTGTTTTTAATCGCAAGTACGGCCTCCTAGTATCGCACAGATCTGGCGATGAACGACGACCAGAACCTCACCACAGACCCGGCGCTCAAGGCGGAGGGCCAGCCGGATTTATTGCAATATTCGCAGGACGCTCCGGCAGGCACAACAACACAGCCTCAATTACCAAGTTTACAAAAAAACCCCGGGTCTCTTATGGGCCAGCACCAGTCGCAGCCGCTGTACTATCCCTCGTCGACGTCGCACTTGCGCGAGGACCACAAAAAGCTGCCGCCGCTCGAGATGGCCGGCGCGGACTCCAAATACATCGCCAACCTGTTCCCCTTTGCGCAGCACTCGTCGTCGCAGCAGGGCGCGTCCGAGTCCGGCAGCTCGAACCCGGCCACGCAGCAGGACAACCCGCTGTTCACGCTGGCGAACTCGGTGCCCTACCAGTCGATTCCCGGCGGCAAGGCGCAGAAGGAGGACGAGAACTCGATCGACTGGTCGAGAAAGGCGGCCGATATCGCGCTGCGCATCGACGGCGCGAAGCAGGGGATCGTGGAGTCCTCGAACGGCGGGCTTCCGTCGCCGCCGGGCAAGTACGGCGGCCAGGGCTCGAGAAAACAGCCCCGGACGTTTGCGTGTCCGTTTTCGGGCTGTGGCAAGACGTTTTCGCGGAAAATGAACCTCAACTCGCACATCCAGTCCACCCACGAGCACCGCAAGCCGTTCCAGTGCGACAAGTGCAAGCAGTTCTTTGCGCGCCACAGCGACCGCAGACGCCACGAGACCAACCAGCACAAAAACGACGGCGGGTTTGTGTGCGGCGGAGTGCTCAAGAACGGCGAGGAATGGGGCTGTGGCAAGAGCTTCAAACGCAAGGACGGTCTCACCGCGCACTGGCGGTCCCAAAAGGCCAAGAAGAAGTGTCTCAGACACATTACCAATCCGAGCGAGCTCGAGATGATGACCATGGCCAAGTGAGTGTTCTTGCTTTATGTATTTGTACTATATCGACAGCCGTGAGCTTGTGAAATCCAGATCCCGATTGTACGGGTCTGGCTTTTTTTCTATTTTTTTGTTGCTAGCATTTATTTTACATTTATTTGTCTATGTTGTTTTCCCTTCTGCTGCTCGCCGGCTCCGCGCTGGCAGGCAAAGTCCGCCCGTTCCCGGACCCAGAAGACGACATTTCCAGGCTGCCCGTCTACACGCCCAACGACGCCGTCCCGCTGCTATGCAATGCCCGGCAAATCGACAATGGAGAGCACAAGTTCGACTCGCACGGAAACGTCGTCTACGCGGACTTTCTCAAGTGCCAGGAGATCGCCAAGCCGCTGGCGCTGAAGTACGGCCACGACGAGGAGATCGAGTGCACCGTCAAGTTCGAGGACGAGGTCTACCATCTATTCCAATTATATCTACATAACGACGCCCCGTTCTCGTGCAAGGTGGACGTCAAGCCGCAATCTGGCGTCAGCGTGCCGATCGTGTTCCAGTTCCGCGGCGTGGTCGAGGAGTCGCACTTCGATCTGGACCCAAACGTCAACGTGCTCTTCATGACAAGAGACAACCAAATAGTCTCAGGAACGGCCTGGTCCAGCTCGCTCAACACAACAAAGGTCATCATCGGCGACTCTGTGCCGCTCAAATTCGACGTCAAATGGCTCGCCAATGGAAACGAGGACACAGACGACTCCGGAATGACCTTTCTCCGGTTCCCAAAACACCACAGCCCGCTTATCATCGCCACGTACTGCGCCGGCTCGCTTGTCGTCGGGGCCGTCGTGGCCCTCGGCCTCGGATACAAACGGATCTCCAAGAAAATCCAGCTCAGCGACCTAAATAAAGTGGATTGATCATTTCAGCCTCTTCACAAGCAGCGCCAAAATCTGCTTCACCTCGCCGTCGGCCCTGCTCAGGTACTGCTGCGTGATGTAGTCGGTGTAGAGTTGTTTCACCTCGTCTTTTACGACCTGCTCCACTCTCGCCCGCGTAGCCCACGACTGGTACGTCTTGACCGAGCTCTGCAGCGTGCTGACGAACTCGGCGTCGCCCAGCTCCACGTACCGCAGCGGCAGCGTCAGCTGCAACATGGCCACCTTGGGCACGTGACCGTGGTCATGTGCCAGCCACTCGACAACGTGGTTTGCCAGGTACAGTCTGTCGAGGATGTCGTAGTTGTCGATCAGTGCGAGCACTCTAGTGCAGAAGTCCCACACTTTGGTGAATTTGTCCTCGGACAGCTGGACGTTTTTCTGGATCGCGTGCACGGCGACGTCAAAGATGGCCAGCACCAAGTCTCCCTTGAGCACCGGGTTGGTTTCTGCGGTTCCAAGCACGTCGATGTTCATTTCGGGCAGTTTATTCAGCTCATCGTTGATTTCTGTGTCTGGAATGAGGCTGATCATGTCGTCCCCGTCAAAGGTGCCTGCCTCGTTTTCTTTCAAGTCCTGTATCTGCTGCTGTTCGGTGATGATTTTGAGCAGTTTTCGTCTAAGTAGCAATTTGGACAAGTACGTCAGTTCCAGCTTGATAAATTCCTGCCACACCTCGCTGCTCTCTGGGTTGAATCTCACACATCTCTTGAACAGGTTTCTGGCCGACTTGACGTTTCTGTTCTGCTCAAACTCGTAGCTGGCAGCCGAGAACCAGACGTTGATGTTCTTCGGCTGTAATTGCAGCAATTTTGAGTAGATCGAGTACACCACCTTGACGGAGCCGTTTTTGCGGGCAAACTTCAGGTACGACGACCAAAGATCCATACTTTTGGGGAACTTGTTGACTCCGCGCTCGAAAATGAAGAATATACGCCGGCTGAACGCCCAGTCGGACACAGACGGCTTGGTATCAATCACAGGCTTCATTCTGTTGTAGCGCTTGCGTCTCAGCTTCTCCAAATTCTTCTCGTACTGGGCATACGCCAGAAAATCCATAGGTTTAGATCCTCTGCCGGCAATCCTCTGTTCGAAGTCGGTACGTCTTCTCATGATCATCGTGATCTCTTTTCGGGTAAAGAGCTTTTTGCGCTCTAGATCCTGAAGCTCAGGAACGCTCTGCTCCAAAAAGTAGCGAGACTTGGACATGGTGAAAAATGCTAAACTGTCCTAAATTTTTTTTCCAAAAAAATATTCGCATTAATTATTTTTTCCTATCGTACAGTATAATACACTATGTAGCATTGCACCATTTCTGCTGCACAAAAAAATCGTATATCTTCATCGTCTTTGCAGGGTCTATCTTGATTAGCTCCTTGGCAATCTTGCGCTTCAAGACGCCTCCTGTGCGTAGCAGCTCGCGGAAAAACGTCTCCTTGATTGCCAAATACGGCTTCGGTAGTATGCGAAGGTTGGAACATAAAACCTTCTCCTCGTCAGACAGCAGGTCGTAGTCGAGGGCCTGTGAAATGTCGAGCGGCTGGTTTCCGCGCTTCTTAGAGTTACCGTCAAATGAAGGAGTCTGGTGTCTCGACGTGGACCGAACGGAGTTTAGCGTGTGCCGTTCTCTGCCAGAAGTAATGGGAACAGCACCAACACCAAGATTCACGCGGGAAAGCCTGCTGATCTTGTCCTTCTCGTACTTTGCACCGCCCTCAAACGACATCACACCGTTGCGACGCCATTCCTGCAGCTGCTGGATCCGGTTGCGGATGCGCACTTCGCTCAGCATGTCATCAGTGAACTCCTTGAAATCCTGCGGCGTCATTATCCGCGCAAAGGCCTTCAGTTTGTTGTACAGTTCGCGCTCCTCCTTTGTTCGTTTCTTGTCGATAGCTATGTTGTTTCGGTAATCCAGCAAATTGTTTTTCAGCATCAGCCGTTTGCGTTCGGCTCGCATCGTCAGCTTCGAGTTGTAGATATCCAGTATCGTCAACTTGAGTTCTATGTCCTCCTTTGTCTCGTCTCCTTCAAACACCATGTCCTGCACAACCTTCTCTGCCTCATCGTCGGCTTCTTCCTCAAACTCCAGTCTACCAGGCATATACTTCTGAATGTCCGAGCACAATGGCTTCGAGGTCAGCACCTTCTTCGGTGGGGGCAGAGGCAGATTCTTGCGTGAGTCGAGTCTCTGCTTGCGTTTGCGCAAGAACGACGACGTGGAAACATGCTCAAACGATTTGTTCAGATCAGGAATGGGATAACACGGAGAGTTTAGGTAATACTCCTCGTAATGTTTTCCAACTTCCTCCTTAGACCGACCTCCGATGAAGTCGCTGATATCTTGCCAATTACCCAGTCCAAGGGTCTGACAACCTTCTATCAGCAAAAGCTCCTCGTCGGCTCCCCAATCCTCGTCGAAAATTGGATACTGGTGTTGTTCGATCACCTGATAGTCGTGGTACGGCTTGTGCTTGCCTGAACTTTCGCCCTTGGCAAAACACGGCACACAGAGGTCATAGTCGGCACAAACTGCGCACCGTATACGCACGCGGCGCGTGCAGTCCGACGAGCAGACGTCGCAGTGGAACTTGGGCATTGGATAGGGGGAAAATTGGCACTATTTATATTTTCGCCCCCGATGTACGTAATGCGGGTGGGACCTTGTACGGAAATTGTAATGAGCTATGAAGTTACGGGTAAAAAAAATTAGGAATCTATCACGTGATGTAACGGCGGGCCAGAATCACATTTTTGGTTCAGTCCCATGAAAAAATTCTTTACCAGGATTGAAAACTAACATCACAAAATGGTAAGTAGGAGCTAGCTGGCTATAGCAAATGGAACCCCAAAGACTAACATGTTCAGGGTAGAGTTAGAACCAAGACCGTCAAGAGAGCCTCCAAGGTTCTCATCGAGAAATACTATCCAAAATTGACCTTGGACTTTGAGGTCAACAAGAGATTGACCAGTGAAATCGCCGAGATCCAGTCCAAGAGATTGAGGAACAAGATCGCTGGTTACACCACTCACTTGATGAAGAGAATTCAAAAGGGTCCAGTCAGAGGTATCTCGTTCAAGCTGCAAGAGGAAGAGAGAGAAAGAAAGGACCAATACGTCCCAGAAGTGTCAGCCTTGGACTTGAAGAAGAACAAGGGCCAACTCCACATCGATGCCGACACCGACGAAATGATCAAATCCCTTGGCTTCAAGGTCCCATCCTCCGTGATCGCTGTCTCTGCTAACAGAGGTCTCAGAAGATACAGAAAGTAAGCAACACACTTCCTGTTTAATATTGTGTATCTCACAGAATAAACAACCATAGCAAATCAAAGCTCTGTTTCTGGCGAGAGCAGTTTGTTGAACTTGTTTCTCAGACTGATCACTTTCTCCACGATTTTCTCGTAATCCTGGATCGTCTCTAGCGACTCGTTGATCCATGCTGCCATCTCAGGGTCGCGCATTCTTTTGCACATCGAGCTCTCTTGTAATCCGTACTCTGGTCTCTTGTACGAAAAAAACGGCAGCGGCTCCGATTCCAGTTTGCGTTTCTTGGGGTTGCACGGTGTCGAAGTTGACGAGTTGGTGATACACGAAACAGAGTCGTCCTCTCTCAGCTCGTTGGAATTCAATTTAGTCCCCACTGTGGCCGCCGTCGTGGCAGACCCAGCAGTAGCGGCTCTGCCAAAGACGTTGACCGGGGTCAACGATGTGTCGTTGACAAACTCGTTGAACCTGATTCCGTGGCCAGCCCATTCGTTCGAAGCTCTCGAAACCACCTTGTTGGCTTTTGGGGTGATGACCGGGATCTTGGAAGCAGCATGCTCCCTGGCTGACATCGGGGTTATCAGCTCGCTCGTCGTCTGCTGCTTGGGGGCACTCGCTGGTCTTAAAATCAGCCAGTCGGAGCCCTTGACGTTGGGCGTGGACGAGGCCGCATTGCACTTGGACACCTCCCTTTCCATAATCAGTAAATTCGATCTACAATTAAACAAAGGAATTTAGGGATAACTACTAGATGGGGGCAACAAGGGATTCAATCCACCGGGGCAGGGGGTTTTTAAATTTTTGTGTGTACGTAAGCGATGACATAATCATCGCGGCCCTAGGACGAGTAACCGTTAGCCTTGAGCCAGTCGGCCACGTCCTTGGAGTCTCTGCTGACCCATTTGGCTCTGGAGTCAATGGACTCCAAGGCCTGGGCAAGTTTCTGGTCGAACGCCTTGGTGTCCTTGTCTTTGAAGAACGCCTCCACCTTCTGGTACTGCTCCTTGGTGGTGAATCCACGTGTGGCACAGTCCACCACGTAAGCCAGCAAAGTCAGCGACGCAGGGATGGCCTTGACAATTTCGTCCCATCTGCTGGTCACAAAGTCCCACAGGTGCTCGACGCCGGCTCTGTGAGAGGCCATGCCGGCCATTGGTCTGATCACGTCCTGCGTTCTGATAGTTCCGTCCAAAAGCATGTCGGTGACCTTGGTGAGCAGCTCTTTGTCCTCAAACTTGCCGAGACTGGCCAGCACCTCCTGTTTTTCGTCCGCCAGCGGTGTCTCCTTGTACAATTTGACTAGTGCCTCGAACTCTTTTTTGGAGCCGTGGGTTGCAGCAACGCTGAACACGGTGCCTCTAAGGTTAGGGTCCAGTTCTGACTTCTCGTTGGCGATGTAGCCTGCAAACAGACTCTTGGCAGCGTCGATCACTTTCTGGTCACCGTTGGCAGCAGCAGAGCTGAAAAGCAGTGCCTTGAGTCTCTGTTCAAGGAAGGACTCGGACGAGCTGAATTTCCAGCCAGCCTTCTGGCACTTGTCGCTCACGAGGCTTCTGACCAGAGCCTTGAGGCCCTCCTTGATGCTTTCGTCTTCAAACAGCCAGGCACGCTTGACGGCGCCGATTCTGGCAATCATCTCGGACCACACAAAGAACGAAGGCTCGTTCTTGAAGTGCGACGTGAGAGAAAGCAGGTTGGTGGTCTTGGAGTAGCCAGAGACAGAAAGCGCACCAGCGTCCGCGACCAGACCAATTCTGTCCTCGACAGAAAGCTTGTCGGCGGCGGCGCCCAGAATATGCCATCTTTCCGGCTCGTAGTTGACTCTGAACACACCGGTGGTGTCGCTGTTGAGCTTGAAGAAGTCAGAGCTCTTGAGGTCCATCTCTTGCTCCTTCTTGTCAAACACAAACTCCTTGACACCATCGTCGGTCCTGATGCTTAGGAAGATCGGGTACACGGTGGTGTCGTCCTCTGGCTTGACATCGCCCGTGGTGAGGTATCTGTGCTGTCGGATGGTGACCTTGCCGTTTTTCTCAGAGACCTGCACCAATGGATAGCCGACTTTCTTGGTCCAGACGTTCATTGTGGACTGGACATCCTTGCCAGACACCTCAGACAGCGAGGCCCACAGGTCCTCGGTCACAGCGTTGGCGTACATGTGTTTCTTCACGTAGTGAGAGACGCCCTTGATGAAAGTCTCCTCGCCGAGGTAGTTGGCGAGCATTCTGAGAACAGAAGACCCCTTTTCGTACGAGATGGCGTCGAAAATCTGGTTGATTTCGTCGGCATGCGCCACGGGAACCTCGATCGGGTGCGACGACCTCAGAGCATCCAGCGAAAGAGCCATCTGCAACGAGTCGCCGACAAAGTTCTCCCAGATCTTCCAGTCCTTCTCGAAATGGTCACAGCACTTCCACGACATGTAGGTGGCAAAACTCTCGTTCAGCCACAGAGAGTCCCAGAAGTCCATCGTACAGATGTTTCCAAACCATTGGTGTGCCAGTTCATGGGCAACGACCTCAGAAACACGCAGCTTGGTGGCCAGATTGGTCTTGGTCTCGTTCACCAGCAGATCGACCATTCTGTACGTGACCAGGCCCCAGTTTTCCATAGCACCCGCAGAGAAATCGTGGATACCGACCATGTCCATCTTCGGCAGCGGATATGGAATGTCGAACACCTTTTCGTAGTATTCAAGAGCCTTTGCGGCCAGCTCCGCAGAATACTGGCCCTCCTTCTCGTAGCCCGGCGTGGTGTACACTCTGACAGGAATATCTCTGAACTTGTACTCGGACTCGACGTATTTCAGGTCTCCGACAATAAACGCAACCAGATAGGTAGACATAGGCGGAGTCTTGTTGAAAACGACCTTTTTCTGGGTCGCGGAAACAGCCACCTCCTCCTTCACGTCCATGTTCGACAAACAGGTGTACTCTTTGTCGGCAACAATGGAGATGGAAAAAGTGGCCTTCAGATTAGGCTCGTCGAAACACGGGAACGCCCGTCTGCAGTCCGTGGCCTCCATCTGTGTCGTGGCCAGGTACTTGGTCTTGCCATTCTCCGTGTACGAGGACCTGTAAAATCCGCTCAATTTGTCGTTCAACTCACCAATAAACTTGATGTACAGCTGAACGGATTCGCCCGCTTTGAGTATGTTGTCGCCGAATTTGAACGTCGTCGACTGGTCATCTTTGGAGTACGACGTCTCCTTGGGAGCAAGCTTTCCTTCCTTCGTGCTCAATTGCACCTCAGAAAGCTCGAGATCCAGTGTGTGAAGCTCGATGAAGTCGCTTGTTTCCTTCACGTCCAGGTCGATGGTGACCTCTCCGTCAAACTTGAAAGTGGTCAGATCCGGCTTCAGGCCCAGCTCGTAGTGGACCGGCTTGACATTTGCAGGCGAAACCTGTCTTTGTGGGGGACTCATGGTACCGTGCGAGCAGTAGTGTAAATTTTTGACCCCGTATGGATTTGCCACTTTATATATTTTTACGTGCACACCCGCGTGTCGGAACGGCAGCGCCTGATATTTAGGACGAGCTAAAAACCTTGATATATTTGTGCACAGGCTTGTATGAAAGGTCCTCAACATCTCGGCAACAAGTTTTCGGGGGCCCAACGTTTTTGACACGGTGACGGGCCTGGAGTGATTACATAAGCACTCGGACCGGTCATCCTGTTCTCTCGATGAGATGGACGCCGCTGTCAGACTCGACAACGTCGCTCAGCTCGCCGACCTGCAGGCCGAACGCGGCCTTTTCGAAGCTAGGCTGCATCTCGCCAGGCCCAAAATAGCCCAGGTCGCCATTCTTTGAGTGCGAGCTGCAGTCGCTGTGTTCGGACGCGATCTCCTCGAACGACGCCTCGCCAGACTCGATCTGCGCTTTGTAGCCCTTGACCAGCTCAATTGCCTCCTCTCTGGTGCGTGTGATGTTCTGTTCTTTCCACGAGGACGGTCTTCTGGAGTCTTTGTGTTTCACGAGGATGTGTCTGGCCGCAACCTTCTTTGGTTTGTGCAGGTTTTTCGACAGATACAAGTCCAATGCGTCTTTGTCCGTTCCTTCTGGAGGGGTCCAGATCGACTCGGACGTGGAGGGGTTATAGTAGTATTCCTGATTGTGTGTTTTGGAGATCTTGATCTTCCAGCCTTTTGGGAGTCCCGTGTGCGGATTCAATGACTGGGGTTAGGCAAAATAAAGCCGCGTAATTGCAATACGTACCATGATGGCAAGAAATATCTGATTTAAATATTAATTCAGTATTTTGTTATTTTTTTAATTATTCGTTAAGTTTTTTTTATTTTACTATTTATTCAGCTATTTCCTTCCACCTTGCCTCAGTTGCGCTCATCGCCGCTCATATGCTGATGGCTTCCTTAAGCTCATCGGCGTTCAGGTAGTCGGACCCCAGCGCGATGATCTGTTTCCAGACGGTGTGTTTGATCGACTTTGTGAACTTTGGCGTGTCCCAGATCCGCGTCTTGAGCCCAAGCTTGTGGGCAGCAGAGATGTATTTCTCAAGGTCGGCAAGCTGGTGGGCAGACAGCCCGTCAAACAAGCTCAATGCCTTGTGGGAGCCTGTCAGCTCAGACAGCGAGGCGGAAGAGAATATCGAGATTTTGTTGGCCGGATAGAGGCTGGCCTTTTTTGGGTCCACAAGATCTTTCAGCGGCGCATCGATAAAAGTGTAAAGGAGCTTCTGCGAACTAATGTGGTCGTAAGGGTAGTCTCCCGTGACAATGACGGTGAGAGGCCCTTCGCGGAACTCGTCCTCTTCTGCGTCGTAGGTGGTGAGATATCCCTTGGCGAGGAACCGCTCCAGCTTCTTCTCCAGCACTTCCAAGAGCTGTACTCCGTTGTTCTTGACGTCAATGTAGAAATACGTGGTGGTTTCCGGCGACGTATAGAAAATGCCATTTTTGCGAGAAGTGTCGTTATTGACATTTACTTCCTCTAGCATATTGTACAGGTGATCCAAATATAGCGAGTCGATGTTCCGCTCCTTCTTGAGAAACACAGTGTTGTGGCCCACGTATATGGTCTCCGGGTCTTCTGGGAAGTAGAAACAGTCGGCTTCCACGGAATTCGCGCCCGCTTTCAGAGCGTCCACCAACGGATGTCTTCTCCACTCGTCGTTGTGCGAATGAATCGGCTTGATGATCACGTCGTGTGTGAGGGTTTCTATATTGACGATCCGCGGGCCGATTTGGTCCTCGAACTCGTGACGGAGCCGGACTGCCTTGATGTAGAAATGGATAGCAACCACAGACATGGCCAACGCGAGCAATAGCGAGAAGATGTGTGTGCGCATCCGACTCACGTACTGGCTCTGTCTGAGCTTGTACATGCCCTGTGCCTCCAAGTCCTGGTACGGTTCTCTCCAGAGGTTCCACATTTGTCTGCTGCTTTGTAAGGTTCGCTTTCGTTGAGTGTTTCTGATTTGAGTCGCTTCAAAATGGCAGTAAAGCTTATAACCGTATCCCTCAAGCTCGCTGCAATACTTAAGTCCGGTACACTCGTCAACTTTATATAGAGCCCAAAAATAGTTCCGCGTATATTTATTACAAATCCTATTGCATGCTAGCTAAATTAAATCTATTGTGCCGTATACTGCCGCACGGTGCGTAAATTAAATTGTCCGGGATCTTCAAAAAAACGTGCCAAGGATTTCAGCGCGGCTCAGTTTAGTAATTATATACATAATATTCGGGCTTTCAGCCACATGCTCGTTTTCGCCTCTAGATCACAAAACTGCCCAGTCCGACCAGGATCAGGTTGCCCAGGATGAAATTGTTGAAAAATATCTCAAAATTCGTGCGTTTCGAGTAAGCCTCAATTAGCCGTTGCTGCAGCTCCTCCTTGTACAACATCAGCAGACCAAGCATCTCGGCCATGGCGGCATCAATGAGCTTGTTGGTGTTCTCGAAACTCTGCTCTTGCGCGCCACTCAGATCCCGCGCCGGGTCGGTGTGCAGCCCCAAGCAGGCAACCATGTCCACGAGCTCGAAATTGGCCAGGTTGTGCACCAGACGGAATTTGATTGGCGGGACACGTGGGTCCGCTGCTTTGCCCTCGTCCGGCTCTGTCGCAAGATCAGACCCGTCAAAAGGGTTCTCGTCGATGTCCCACGTTTCAGCCGTGCGCATGGCTAAGCCGAAACGTTTGTCGTTGATAAATGTGATGAGGCTGCGCAAATCTGCTTCCGAAATATATGGGGCGTTGGTCAAGGACGAACAGGGCATCTTTGCGGGCACCCTGGCGTGCAGATCGTGGAAATTCACCTTGAAATCCATCACGACGTACTTGTTTTCCTCCATGGTCTCGTTTCCCGGCAGCAACAGCTCCTTGATACTGTCCGAGTCGTCCTCTGTAGGCAGCATGATGTCGACCGTCAACTCGACCGAGCCCGAACGAAGCCAGTTCAGCTTCGACACCGGGCCCGTCACCCGCGCAAGGTCCAGCTGGTCGATGCGCAGCCGGGTGATTTTCTTCCACGGGTTTGTGTCCTCGGTATGGTCCAGAGCAGAGAACTTTGCAAACTGGTTCTGGCGTTTGTGCAGCGTGATCAGCGATCCGTTGATCGATCCCGAGAACGCATCCGCATTGATAAAGTCGTACGTGATCCAGTTGCGACGCAGTCTTGGGAGCTTGCAATTAAATATCTCCACCTCCAGCGGAGGACAATTTTTGCGCTTAACCACCAGCTTGAGGTTATTTATCTGAAAGTGCTCAAACTCGTATTTGGCGGAAAACGACTCGTCCATGACCTCCTGGTAGTGCTCATCCATGTGTGCCGAGCCAACCACTCCAGTCAAGTCTACGTCCTTGATCAGTCCTTTGCCGTCCAGCCATTTCCCGAGCGATAGAGTCACGGTCACCGTGTCGATCTTGAGGCTGTAGTGTAGGTGTTCGTTGGGGCCAAATCCAACAACGAGATTCTGCAATTTGATGGCTCCGTCCTCCCAGGAGGCCTTGAAATCGTCTTTGCTGATGTCCACATTGAGTTTGTTATCAAAGGTAATGAGTTTCTGCAAGAACTTCTTGTTGATCTTGCCGTCTGTGAACGTATTTCCGACGTAGATCAGCAGCCCGCAGAATGTGGTGGTTCCTACCAAAATCCACAGAAAATTGCCCATCACGATCCACGACAGAAATGCGCTGATCTCGTCCATGTTGAAGGGCCGGTTTTGCCGCAGAAGAATCCATTTCGCCCGCAGAACGAGGCGGTCGAGTCTGCTTTTTCCCGCCGCCAGAAATCGCTCGCGGGGGCTCATGTGGGTGTACGTGCGCCGTAGCATGCTCGTGTTCAGTTTCGCGGCCGTCTGTGCGCTTGGGGTCGTCATCAGTGCCAGAATGCTAACTCTTGGCGTGCAAGAGGTAAATGGTCGTAAAGTCGTCCGATGAAGCTCCGGCCTGGCCAGTCCGTTTCGCAACAGCAAGCCGAGCGTCCTCTGTGATCCAAGCCTCACAGCTTGGCGCCCAAGACAGGTAAAGCGCACACCTGTCAAACAAGAGGGTTTAATCATTTATGAAAAATTTCTTGCTAATTGGCTGTGCTACATACTGATAGCAGGTAGCTGAAAAGCCAAAAACAGCGGGACAGGAGCGTAAATTAGCCGGTAGAAGGGAAAGCAAACATGGGAGGCGGAAGAAGGCATGTTGGCAGCGTGGAGACTGAGTATGGCAGACGTGATGCCTTGGTGGTAGGCAGTATCGGCTGTTTGAGCTGTCGACTCCTTTTTTCCGGTCCTGCCATACGGGAGATTGGACACCAGACACTGCGACCGCAGCTGTTCCCCGATTACAGCGAAGCCTCATCCAATCAAACTTGGGAGTCGCCATTTTTCGTGTGGCCCCGTCCTTCACTTTCTGCTACGCTGCCTATTAATTACGTAAGAGTTGAAAAGATTTATCCAAATCCTCTACGTGGCTATGAAAATAAACACAGTCAAGCGGACCCTGCTTCTGTCTGTGAGCATTGTGGCGATCGTCGTCGTGCTGATCCGACTATCGTCGGATTCGACACCAGATCTGCACCAGGTGCTAAGTCCCGGAGTGCCCATGTCAGACTCGTCGCAACAGGATCAACAGGGCAGAGGACGCGGCCGGCGCGGGTCAGGACTCGGCCTCTCGGGGAAATCGAACTCGGAGGAGCTTGAGATCGCCCGTAAGCTAAACGAGCTGACCGAGAAACTGCTGAACGAGCAGGAAGTTCGTCTGAAAAAGCTGGAGCAGGACAGACAGAAACTGGAGAAACAACTGAGCGAGCTGCGCAGACCGAGCCCGGAGGCGACTCTGCGCGAGCGTCTGGCGTACATGTTCCCGTACGACCAAAACAGGAAGTTCCCGGCTTATATCTGGCAATCATGGAAGTACGGTCTGAACGACGCCAATTTTGGGCCCAGGTACAAAGAAGGAGAGGAGCAGTGGGCGCTGAAGAACCCGGGTTTCGTGCACGAATTGTTCAACGACGACACGTCCAACGCGCTTGTCCACTATTTATACATGCACATGCCGGAGGTGGTGAAGGCGTACGAGCTGCTCCCCCACATTGTGCTCAAGATGGATTTTTTCAGGTACCTGATACTTTTCGCAAAGGGAGGAGTTTATGCCGACGTCGACACGCTGCCGTTGCAGCCGATTCCTAACTGGATTCCGGAAAACGTGGACCCCTCAGAGATCGGCATGATCATCGGGATCCAGTCGGACCCAGACACTCCAGACTGGCGCAAATTCTTCGCTAGGAGACTGCAGTTTGCCAACTGGGTGATCCAGGCCAAACCGGGCCATCCAATCTTGCGTGAGATTATCGCGACGGTCACAGAAGAGACTCTCAAACGGGCCAAGGAAGGGACGCTGGACTTTGACGCCGAGAGCGACTTTTCCATCATGGAGTGGACCGGTGCGGGAGTCTGGACAGACGTGATCTTCAAATATTTCAACGACTACGTTCTCAGCGGAATTTTCTCCAAAGTCACCTGGAAAGATTTCACCAAGCTGGACGTGCCGAAACTCGTGTCGGACGTGCTGGTGCTGCCCATCACGTGTTTCTCGCCTGGAATTGGCAAAATGGGCGCCCACGACGCAGACCATCCTTTGGCATTTGTCAAACACTACTCCGAACATCTCTTTAGACAGTGAGGACTGCTCCATTGATATTCCCAAAACGGTAATATTTTTGATACAGCAAATACGACTCAAACCAACTCCACACGGACCCTGCCCGGTATAAAGCCTCGTGGCAGCGCTCTGCTGCGCTATCATGAGACCCACCGAATTAGGAAGAGTCGAGGAGCTGGAAAGCGACAGCTACCAGGAACATTTCTGCGACTGCCACGTCTGCGCGCTCCAAAACACGTTTATCAGACACATCGCGCCAGTAAGTACACTTTCCGCACAACACTGACCGCCAGCTGTTTGTGGCTGGCCTGCTGCTGCCCCCGGTGCTCTTTGCCGTTGTTGGTGCAAGGATGTACTGCTGGCTGTACGACGAGTGGACTCTTGGCGGTTCTGTGCGCCCGTCGTGCCACAGCGACGACGAGAGCCGGTACGAGGACAAGAGTGTGGTTTCTGACCCGTTTGCGGACCCTGTGGACGACTCTGTTGCCGGGCCTGACGTCGAGGCGAGCTGGGATGCGCACTGCCGCGTGCAAGGGCGCATGTCTCGGTGGGCGGGCCGTGCTCTGATTGGTCTGTTTGCGCAGGCGTGTTTGGGGATGGTGGTTGCACTTGCTCTGACACACAAGCGTTGAGAAAGGTGATAAGTCGCTGACGGGTGTCTCAGAAACTGCACAGCCGTGATTTCCGTTTTTGGGTTGCAAAGGTGAATTATCATACAACGGTAGCTAACGGGAAATTATATAAAGCGAGCGAGATGGAGACGGCGAAATGCATACAGAATGGTTGATTTTAAAGCGTTTTTGATTAGCATTCACACGCTGTGCTTTGCGTTGAACGTGCCGCCGATGCTGTGGCACATCCGCTCTCGCAACATCCCTGCGAGCGCCCTGTTTATCTATCTTGAGATAATGATGCTGGAGTACATTGTTGCGGCGGCGATATGGGGCGGCGACGACTACGTGGACGCGTGGGACGGCAAAGGCTGGTGCGACTTGACGATCCGAGTGCAGCTCATGGCGCAGTTTGGCATCACCGGCTCGATTTTCTGCATTTTGCTCAATTTGATGATGATCTTGCTGGCCAACCGGTGGACCGAGTACTGGTTCAATAGCAGACGCACCAAGACGGCCATCGAGCTGTTCAGCGTGGTCGGGTTCCCGCTGCTGATCGCGGTTTTTGTGTACTTTGCGCTCTACTTCAGATACACCATCACGCAGTGCACAGGGTGTCGGCTGGTGTTTCTAAAATACGGCATTTCGCTGCTGCTATACTACTTCTGGCTGCTGCTGTGGGCGGTGCTGTGCTTTGTCACCGCGCTGGTGACCCTGGCTGTCTTCTTCGCCAAGAGAAAAAACACGAGAAATATCTTGCAGTGCACCAACTCGGGCTACTCGCTGCGCAGATTTAGCAAAATGCTGATTTTCTGCTCGCTCGTCATCGGCGCCATGTTCCCGCTCAAGATCCTGTCGCTCGTGCTCAACATGAACGGCTGGCAGCCGCAGTTCAAGCCGGACTTCAGCAGAAAGCTGTACTGGGACACGATTCTGCGGCTGCCGTATAACTCGTTCGACGACGCAGAACGCTGGATCCAGATCGCGATGTCGGTTGTCGGCTTTGCGCTGTTTGGACTCGGCGAGGACGCCGTGTACATGTACGTGGATTGGCTCGAGTCGGTGCCTGGTGGCAGCCGGCTGGTGCAGAGATGGCGCGCGTGGCAGGAGTCCCGAAAAGTGGTCAAGAAACAGAACTACATCTCCAGAAACACCACGTCCAGCACGCAGTATAGCACAGACTCCGGCTCGTACAAGGAGTACGTGCAGGACTCGCCGGTCTCGAGCTGGGAGCTGGACGACACCAAGTCCGGGGGCCGCAGTGCATACGACGATTACGTCAGCACGCCGTCGTCGCAGCTGACGACGCCGCGCGACGAGGATATCCGGCACGAGCTGCGGCAGGCGGAGCTGGACCTGCTGGACGAGGACATCCGCCGCGACCTGCGCCGGATGGGGCTGGAGTACACGGATATATAATTACTTATTTCGATTGAGCTAAGACTAACTTACAAAGCAGATTTGAAAAAAAAACCAGGCACTATTCCGCCTCGGCCGGCTCCTCTCTCTTTGGGAATCTGAGGACTTCGACGGTGTTCTGGAACAGAACCCACGAGATGTATTTGGAGCCGTCCTCTCTCTCAACGAGACTGTTGGACACGTCGGCTTCGACATACACTCTGGCTCCCTTACCGAGACGTTCGCTCATGAAGTTGGCCTGGTTCTCATTGAAACAGGCAATGTTGAACCACGAGGTGGAGTCGTTGTTTTTCGACCTGGAGTCGACCGCCAGCGAGTATCTGACGTACTCCTTGCCCGTGGACGTGGTGGCCTTGGTGACGTCGGACCCGATAGTGCCAATGAGGTTGATTTTGGCGAGCTGGGCTCTAGCGGTGCTAGAGAAAGTTCTGGCTTGCAATCTGAGCATCTTTGGTAGAGTATAAAGTTAATTGGGCAAACAGAAGTTGGGAAACGCGCTTGCTTTACAGACTATGGAAAATAAAATGGCTTTTTTCAATTTCCCCAAAACGGGTGGTGTGGGCCGGGTAACGCTCTTTGGGTGCGACAAAAGGTGGAGTACCCCAAATTATTTATTCTTCATTATGATTCGCATCGGCTTGAGACAGGTTCGATCGCTGCATTTGTCCCGGACAGTGCTCAAGCCGGCACTGTCTGCCACGGCCGGCTCCTCGCAGTCGTCGTGGCCCACGGGCTTCCGACTGCCTCGTCCTCGAACCTGGGAGGAGTCCAAAGAGGGGGCACTATCGAAAGCAACTAGATGGTATTTGCTGGCGGAGATGTTCAGGGGCATGTACGTTGTTCTGGAGATGTATTTCCGTGCGCCGTACACCATATACTATCCGTTCGAAAAAGGAGCCATCTCGCCGCGGTTTAGAGGCGAGCATGCTCTAAGACGGTATCCGTCTGGAGAGGAGCGGTGCATTGCGTGCAAGCTGTGCGAGGCCATCTGTCCCGCGCAGGCCATCACAATCGAGGCAGAGGAGCGCGCGGACGGGTCCAGAAGAACTTATAAATACGACATCGACATGACCAAATGCATCTACTGCGGCTACTGTCAGGAGAGCTGTCCCGTGGATGCCATCGTCGAGACCCCGAACGTTGAGTATTCGACGGAAACGCGCGAGGAGCTGCTGTACAACAAGGAGAAGCTGCTTTCCAACGGCGACAGATGGGAGCAGGAGTACAAGTATGCTGCCGATGCAGATGCTCCGTACCGCTAACATATTTATTTTATTTATTTATTGAAAAATTTAGTTTTCAGACATGTCTGTTGTATCTCGAAAAGAGGTTTTTGGGAACGACGAACCAGTTGACGACGCAGGCCACGAGTACACGTTTGATCCTGGAATCGAGTTTGAGATCGTCGACGTTGCCGATGTCGCTCCAAAGCCCCAGCCTGAGGCTATAGAGACGTTTCCTCTGTTCTCTGGAGCAGCAGATGTCCAGGTCAGTCTGGAGGAAAAGGAGTATGTTTACGAGCTGAGGAGGGAAAATACAGAGCGCCCGCAGAGCTACTATAGTGCGCAGTACTCTTCGCAGGAGAAGGCCGAATTTGAGCAGGCTGCCATTGACGGCGAGGAGATTATTTCGCAGAGCAGAAATGTCATACCCAGCAAATACAAACTTGTCGTTTTGGACAGGCAACAGGATACGCAGAGACCTGTAACGGCAAGGACACAAACGAAACGGACGCGTCCCAGCAAAAAACAGCGACTGGGCAGGATCGAGGCGGCCAAACGACGCAAAGAGTTCAGACACAGACTCTTGCAAATACAGCGACAGAGCAGAATAAAAAAGACCAGACGAGGCGGCAAGCGAGCCAGGAAAAACAACAGACAGCCTGCGGGCATCGATTTAGCTATCTAACATTATCTAGAGACGCAACACTATTCAGCATCATTCTCACTTCGAGACACTCGGGGCCTCTGTCGCCGTTAAACGAGTCCAGCACTGCATTTTTGATCAAATTCTTAATTTCTTCCTTGAGTTGTCTTAAGTTCCTGGCAATCGGACCACCCCGTGTCACGATTTCCTTGAATTTGGGCTCCACACCAATGGCAGTGTCTTTCCAGAAAAGAGTCCCCAAAGAGCTACCAAACTGCAGCACAGAATTGACTTTTTCGTAAATAGTGAGCGTACTGGCCTGCGTCTCTTTGGTGTTGTTTGCGTCCTGCCATTTGTTGGACTTCATCACTTTCTCCAGCTGGTTTATCAGCTTACCGGAAGCCGACACTTCAGCAAAGACCTTGTCGAGACTTTTAGCGTTGTTGAGGTTCTTGATGATTAAGTTGATTGCGGCCGCAATTTTGAGACTCAAAAGTTGCTGTAGCTGATTGTAGAACGACTCCGACGACATGATCGAGAGCGCGTTGATCAGGTTGAGTGTCGACTGGGCATCGTACGAGAGCGAGAGGTTCTTGAGATGCGTGTTGCAAATGTCCATCACCTTTGCTGTCTGGAGCTGCTGGAACGAGTCGTAGTCCCGCACAAGCTTCAGCGATTTAAGAAACGGCGAGTCTGCAAGGTGAATCTTGACCTGATTCAGCAGTCTGGCCAGCGAGATGAGCGATTTGAACGGCTTTTTGTTGAGTTCCTGGTCGGTCTTGTCGATCTCCTCAATGCGGGAGATCAAGTATATGAAATAGGTGGAGGACCGCAGCAGGTTAGATGTCTGGTGTATTTTTCTCAGTGCAGAGTGCAAATTAGAGGATTCGTTGTATGGTTGCAGGATTTCGGACTCCAGCCGTGCGTAGGACGTGTTGACCTGTTTCAGCGAAGGCTTGATTTGCTGTATGGTGCTGTGCAGGTCCTCGGCTATGTCGAGCTCGGAAATGAGGGTGGTGTAGTTTTCGCTGGCACTTTTCTGGAGCCGTTTTTCCACATCTTTCAGGTCAAACTGGAGCCGTTTGATGGATGTTGTGAGGTCTAGATTCGCGTCCTCTACGCTGTTCGTGGATACCACAAGCTCATTGGCGTATTTCAGCGGCTCGAAATCTTCCAAGTACGCGGCATACTCAGACATTCGTGAAGATACAAAAAAAAAACTGTTTTAAACTTATACAAAAAATTCATATGGGATTCAAGTTCGGGTTTGAGGACGACGAGCGAGATACGTCCGCTGCGGAAGACGCGTTTGACGCGGCGACCGAAATTGTTGCTCCGCGTGTGCACGATATCAGCCATTTTCTGGAGCTGATGACCGGCACGCGGATCTCGTACGAACACATCGACTTCCCAGGCTCGCTGGTTCGTCGTGAGTTTTTCGATGTGCGTCACCAGCTGATGAGCGAGGATGCCGAGTCAGACGAACTGCAGTTCCTGATAGGTTCCACGGCCGAAGACGTCCGGAACGGGGTCTACGAGGGAGGACTCAAGTCCTGGGAGTGCTGCTACGATCTGATGCAAAGACTGCAAGAGGTCGACCTTGCGGGCTACAAATCGTTCCTGGAGCTTGGCTGTGGGACCAGTTTGCCGAGCTTGCTGGTTTTCCAGAGCCTGCTGCGACGCAAGCAAACTCACGTCAATCTCATCCTTACAGATTTTAATTACGAGGTGTTACGGCTGGTGAGTGTTCCGAACCTATTTCTGACGTGGTGTCTCACAAGTCTTTCCAAGGAGGAGTTGGAGCAACTGCAACAGCGGCCAGATGTGGAGGGAAACGTCCGGGACGGCGAGATCGACGTGACGCCAGAGCTGGTAGCCAGGTTCAAGAATGCGCTGCGCGAACAGCACGTCGCCATATCGCTGATCAGTGGGTCCTGGGGCCGCCAGATGATGACCCAGATAAACGCCCTGGCGCAGTCCCCCACGCTGATGGTCTCCTCAGAAACCATCTACTCTCCACAGCACTTGCCAGTGGTGGCACAGATGGTGTCGGAGACAGTGCGGCACGAGGGCTCTGTGGCGCTCGTGGCGGCTAAGGACATCTACTTTGGCGTGGGCGGGTCGCTCACGGAGTTCCTGGCGTGCCTCGATAAAAAGCCGGTGGAGTATTCTGTTGAGAAAATAAATGCCGGCCTGCAACGCAGCTTGGTTAGGGTGCACAAAAAAATATAGCGATTTATTTTTTATCTACTAAAATTAGAAATCTTGTTTCAAACAGAAATTGACTGTTCAAGTTGGTGTTTTCTTGCAATCCAAGCAAACCCTCTTTCTCCCGGCTCTGGTAAGATATTCATGCTTATGGCGTGATCCAGTTCTATGTCCAGCGATACTCCCACCCCGCAGGACACCATGTCCCCCCAACACTCCCTTCCCACCACCAACGGTATTCGACGGCCAAGAAACGTCAAAAACCTGCAGCTGGACCTGTCCAAGAACCAGACAAAATACCCGGTCCCTCTTACGTACTCCTCCAACGGCAATAAACAGGTTCTGTCGCATTCTCCAGCAACCACACCCAGAACCCCTAGACTCTACCGAACACCCTCTCTCAACACTGTCCTCATGTCTTCGACAAGCTCCCCCACACAGACGGCCAGCATTCAGCCTCCCGCACGGTCGCTGACTCTCTCTATAAACTCGTCAAACGGCCACCATAGCCAAAACACAGCACAGCCAGCCACCGCGGTCCAGCAGTCCCTCGAGTCCACCGATTCGCTCGCATTTTCCTCGTCCTCCACTTTCGACTCCTCAGGGTCTCTGTCCGCCGTGACAGAGGTGCCCTCCTACCACCCGCCTGGCTGCGTGAAAGCATATCCTGAAGGCCCTGTTTGCGTTCTGGAACCAAACCTTTATTTGTACTCTGAGCCGTCAATCGCCCAGCTTGTCGACTTCGACGTCATCATAAACGTCGCCCAGGAGATCAAAGACTACACAGACCAGATCTCCAACAAAACTTCGATCTCAGGCCAGAATATCCAGTACTTTTACATTCCCTGGACTCACACCTCAAAACTGATGCCCGACTTCCCTAAACTCACAGAAATCATTGACAAGGCACTGGCAGAAAACAAACGTGTCCTGATCCACTGCCAATGCGGTGTCTCGCGCTCGGCTTCCCTAATTCTGGCATATCTGATGAAGCACAAAAAAATCGGCTACAACGATGCCTACAACATGCTAAAAGAGAAGGCTCCGCTGATTTCGCCGAATTTCAGTCTGATATACGAGGTCATGGAGTGGGGGCGCTATCTGGGTTATAGCTCTGCTGCTTCGTCCACTAATGATATGTAAACGTGTACGCTAATACAGTCGCGTCGATCGACGAAGTTCCCTGGCACGGAACTTGCAAATAATTAATTTATTTAATCTTTTGTTCAAATGTCTTTAGAGCAGGACGTGAACACGGATTTAACAGGGCCGGTTTCGCATGCGAACGATGAGCAGCCGCGTTCTGTGCGACCGGATACTCCGGAAACAGAGTCTGGCCCAATGGATGTACGCGAAGAGGGTCCCAAACCCATCAAGAAGGAAGAGCCGTTACTGTCAGAGTCCGAGACCGACATTGATGAGTCGATCCCGCTGCCGTCCAACAGAACTAGGAGGCTGCACTATCTCATGAGGAGAAGCTCGGACGAGAACGACTCTGACGACGAGCCGGGCTCCAAGAAACGGGTGCAAAAACGGTCTGCTTCGCAAAACTCTCGGTCTTCAGAGCGCAAGGTGAGCGGCAGAAGCGGGAAAGACGCCTCAGGAAGGTCGCTTTTGCAGCGCCACTGTGCAAAAGGTCATTACGACGAGGCCAAACAGCTCATCGAGAACGGAGCAGACGTGAACGAGGCAGATTTCGCAGGCAACACGCCGCTCCACGAAGCCGCTCTGGAGGGTTATTTGGATGTCGTTGAGCTGTTGTTGGATAACGGGGCGGACATAAATGCGCAATCTGCCCATATCGACAAAGACACTCCCTTGATTGACGCGGCTTCTAATTTACACTACGATGTGGTGCGCACGCTGCTGGACCGGGGAGCGAATCCGTGCTTGGTGAATTCCCAAGGCGACTCTGCGTTGGACTCTGTTGAACGAGATCGCGACCTGAACGATTTGGAGGAGGAAGAGCTCAACAGAGTCAAGAAGCTCAGAAAGCTACTTGCACAGGCCACTCGAGAATACAAAAAGAAACACGCCAAGCGCCAAAGCTCAGGCCCAGGAACAGACTCTGAAAAAGAGGAGGTTTCCAAACGGTCGAGCGCCATATTCTTTGATCCCTTCTCGAAAGAGGGCAGATCTGAGATCTACCACAAAATATCGGAGAACGACGTCACGTTTGTGCTCAACTACGTTTCGAACCTTGCAGGAAGCAAGATTTCCCCCGACTTGCTGTGTTTGGCTGCCAAGCATGGCCATACCGACATCGCCAGTTTGCTTATTGCATTTGGAGCCAAGGTGGATTACGTTGACAAGAACGGAATGACACCTCTGATGCACTCGGTCGGAAAGGACCATATTGACATGGTCAAGCTGCTTTTGGAAAATAAGGCAGACGTGTCGCTGACGGACAAACATGGTCGTACGGCGATTGACATACTACAGGAGAGCTACGTTTTTGACGACGAGGAGATGAGGATTTTGACAGAGGCGGGCCAAAACAGCTCCAAAAAACGAAAAGAACGGGCCGAGACACCAGAGAATGACCGGAAAAAAAGCGACGTGAAGAAAATAAAACACAAGCCATCCACAGACAGTGACACGTCGGCGCGTTCTGCCTCGCAAACGCCGGCTGCCACGCGTGTTCCGACGCCTCTGAAACAGGAACCCAAACAGGAACCCAAACAGGAACCCAAACAGGAATCGAAAGAGGAGCCCAAACCAGAGTCCAAATCAGAACCGAAGATCCAGCCTAAACGGGAGGAAAAACCCCTGCCTCCTACTCCGGAGGAGCTGGAGGAAAGGAGAAAGCAGGAAGAGGAAGCACGTAAAGCGCGCGAGGCACTGGAGTTGCAGCGGCTGGAGAGAAAGAAGGCGCGCCAGCAGCAGATTGCGCGAACCATTGCAGAACAGGAAAGAAAGAGGAACGAAGAGCTGCGTGCTGCCGCCATGGAGGAAGAGCGGCGAAAACAGCAGGAAGAGCAGGAGCGCGCCCAGAAATTACAGGAAGAACAGCAGCGGGCTCAGCAGGAGGCCGAGAAACAGAACATGGAACGCAAGCAGTATATTCGCAGCTACTATCCATATGGATTGAAAATTGCGAGATTCGATGCAGATCGTACAGAGACAGATATATCGCAATATCTTCCGCTGTACGTGTTCAATTTGGGCGGTGAAAGCTATTTGGTTGATTTGCAGGCGATACTGATCTTGGGGACAGAGGACTTTTACCACGAGAATGGCGAGCTAGAGAGAAAACCGCTCACTAAAGCAGAAAAAGCGCGTGTGTGGAACATCTTTTGGCCAATGATTGGCATGTTCCTGAAGGGCAGCAGTGTACAGCTTCAAGAGCTCAGAAAGATGTATGAGCATGAGGAGAAGAATTTTGAGGAGCTAGTACTCAACTGGATCAAATTGAGCGACTTCGACAAAATCCTACAGAAATCAAAGTATGCCGTTGTCAAACAAATTTACGAGAAGTCTGCATGCTGCAAAGTGTCGCCCGTCGAGCACAAAGAGCAGACCGTGACTCCACCAAAAAACGAGATAAACAAACTTACGACGGAGCGTGCCTTGCCTCTTCGTCTCGGGCCGAAAGCCAAAGCAGTCCTACAAACGTTCGACAGGAAATTGTGGTAATCAATTTAGTGTATAATAGTATAAATTTATTGCTGAATGTGCAATAACTAGCCTAACAACCACCCCACTCGAGGTTGGTCTCTGTCAATGAATAGTTTGCTTGATTGATGGGGATGATAAGGTTTTATTTGGATTGAACTTGAGAGTATCCGCTGAATGGGTTGGCGTTCTTCGATTTCAGGTACTCGTCGGACATCTCTTGCCATTCTCTGTTCATCGTCTTTGGAATGTATCTCTTTGATCTGTAGTAGAAGAAACCTGCGGCGGTGATAGAGATACCAATGACGGTACCCCAGAAAATGAATCTGACGTCTTCAGCGGAGTGGATAGGCTTTCTTGGTCCCCACTCACCGAACGAAACGTAGAAAGCTGCCTTCTTCTCTTCTGGGGTCAGCTGAGTCCATGGCAATTTTTGTCTCTCGGCAAGAGCCTCGATCACTTCCTTTCTGTCCTCTTCTGGAAGCTTCTCCCATCTAAGTTGTATGTTCGACACTGTCGCCTGTGACAGTGCAGAGGAGTGTCTCACTTGCACTCTAGGAACGGTCTTCAATGCTTGTCTCAACATATTGTATACCTGGAGAGTTAGTATATTTGAAAATCGGGGACCAGATGAAAAAATCTTACCATCGCCTGCTGACATAACATGCTATTTTTTGAGGATAAAAAATTGCAAAATCGTTGCGCTCTCATTGGCTAGAATCCTTTTTGAGAAGAAACAGCTTTTGGATCGAGTTCCACGCCAGTGTAGAGGCAGGCCTCGCTAATCGTAGCCCATCCACTATGCCTCTGTAGTTCTTGCCTCGCGCTCGCTGATCTTCAATGAGACGTCATTACAACCTGTAATCGATGCAAGACTGATCTCGTCTATACGCAGGCCGTCATGTCTTTTCACATTCATGCTGTTGCAATTGATTATTCTCGTACAGTTGTTCTCCACAAATACGTGTACAAATTTTGTGTCGCTGAATTTGCAAAATGAACCTCTTGAAAAAGCCTGATAAGATCTCTTTACTCACATCGTCCCCATTGCAGTTCCTACTCACCCTTAGTATCCTAACTTCTGGTATATTTCAACAAAGAATCCAGTGGTTGATAAACTTGTGTAGAATTTGTTTATTAGGCACACCAAAGTATGGAAAAATTATCCTTCACTGTCTGCCACTCCCAAATACGGCCTTACGCTCACCAAACATCGGATTTTCATTGGAGAACACGATAAGCTGGTGTTTTTTCACATCTTAAACTATACACCCGTACACCGCCTAGCTCGAGATCTTCTCTCTCAATTGAGTCAAGAACTCCTTGTAACTCAAGTTTGCGCTCACTCTATCCTCAACGAGCTCAGACATGCTCCACATTCTGAGCGGAATGATGTCTCTGTTGGTGTTCATCATGTTCTCGTTGGTCGAAGGGCCTCTCACAACGTACAAGTTCAGGTACTCGATAGAGCCCTCGTTTTCTCTGACCTTGTTGATGATGTTTCTCACACGGACGTTGAACTCGTTGTCCAGCTCTGGAAGCTCTGCCTTGCCAATTGGCACCTCATTGATCGAGTCCACGCCAAAGACGTCGTTCACCAGCTGAGGAACAGCATCTCCTCCGATATACAGGAAGAGCTCGGACGTGTTGTTGATCAGATACAGGCCGTACTTCTCAAAGTTCGTAATGGTAGCATTGAGAGCCTCTGGAAGAACGATCTCGCCATGCTTCTTAGGAGGAATGTCGTATGGGTCGTCCTCCCCGTCGTATGGCAGTCCGCAGTCGTCTGTCATGGAATGGAACGCGTACACGGTCGGGTAGATGTAGTTGATCAGGCTAGGCAGAGGCAAGGTAGCCAGTCTGTTCAGAGCAGAGGAGCGGTGGTCAGAAGGAACCTTGCCCGTTCTGAACGCAATGTGCTTGGTGAGCGATTGCAACAGCAATGGCAGCATTCTCAGGTTGGTACAGAGCTGCAGTGGCGACGAGGATCCAAGGTTACCAGGAACGATTTCTTTCTTGTAGACACCGAGGATGTCTGTCAGAACTTTGTTCAGGTAATCTCTAGCGTCGTTCAGGGAAGAAGACAGGGTCTTCTCAACGGCCTTATGCGTGAAGTAGTTGGTGATGGCCAGTTGGTCAGCGGAAGCATAAACGTCTGTGAGATCCTTGGAGGTTGGAATGCCCAGAGTAAGCACTCTGATTCTTCTCTCGCCGAAACAGGTGGTGTGCAGAACGGCACACTGGAAGAAAACGTATGGTTTGGATATGTACTCGTCAATTGCAACCTCAATGACATACGATTGGTCTCTTGGGAATGTTGGGAACGAGCACAAGTCCGAGGATCTGTTGAAGAAGTTTCCAAAGAATGCATTCATTCTTAGTCCACTGGAGCCTCTCACTCTCAACACAGCCTCCAAAGCAATGTCCATGGAGAGATGATTAGAGACCTCTTTGGTGAGCTTAGTAATATCCTCCACTCTGCTGGCAGACCATGCTGGGTAGAAGTGAGTCTGACCTGCTGTGTACCTTGGAAGGTTCGAAAGAGTCGCAACATCTTGATAATTGGATCCTGTCAAAAACATATCCACAGTCACTTGTGACTTGTTGCATTCCACGGCGAACGACTTGTAGAATGAGTTGTTAGAGGTCAAAAGGGCTGACGCCTCTTTTGGTTTACCACTGACAGCGTTCTCATCTCTTATAGCCAGTTTTCCAACACCCATGTTTGGAAGAGCAGATGTGAAGGTGATAATCTTACCACCGATTTGAGAAATCAGCTTGTGTGCGGACTTGAGAGCTGGTCCCAGTGCTGATCCGGTATTTTGATTGTTTGCAAACAAGTCAACAAAGTTGGTGAGCAATTTCTCAACGTTCTTCCTGCAGTCTTTCAAGTTCACCAGCAAGTTATCCGGAGAAGGTATCAGCACGTCGTCAAGATCGGAAACAATCATCATCGAGGCTTCTTTATCTTCCTGGTCGTCGCTTGGGATGGTGAAGAAAGAAATGCTGGAATCGACTCCCAGGAACGCAACTCTGGCTCTTCCGTTCTCGTTTGGAATTCTATCAAGAGTGTCTAGAATGGTTCTCGTGACAGTAGCCAGAAGACCGTTTTGAATAGAAGCATAGGAGACGTCCAGAACAAAAACGTAAACCAGCGGCTGCGGTGGTCTCACCATATATTCGGAAGGAGCCACAAACTCCACCATTCCGTAGTTGAGCTCGTTTCTCTCCAATCTGTTCAATGGTGTAGAAGTCATTCTATCGTAGTCGAATCCACCAGGAACGTCGTTCAAGAGCGAACAGAAGTTACATCTCCATCTTCTTCCCTGTTCTGTAAATTGGATAAACGGATTGATATACGATCTGCATCTACGACATCTCGAGATAATGGTGTCGCTGACGACGGGAACAGGTCTCTCGGAGTCATGGAGCGAGACGTATGGCCTCACCACCAGAGCAAACGGCAGTTTCGACTTTTTAAGCAAGGAGCTGGTGGTTGGAACGACGTTCAAAGTTGATCTGAAATACTCTGGAGAACAGTTGGCCTCTGGGTTGCCATTGACGGACGTGCCCGGTGCCAAAATCATTGGTGGAGGTGGGAATTGCAAGTCTGCAATGGGTGGAGGAGTCTCTTTGAGCAGATCTGTCGAGTAAAGCTGGTTCAATGGCAATGCGGTTTGCGCTGGCTGGGCCGGCGACTGATACGAAGGCTGCGGATATGCAGGGTTCTGCAATGGTGCTGCGCCCGTCTCCTGGCCGTAGATGCCTGCTGGAGCGGCCTGAGGGTACGCAGGCACGTTTGGGGCCTGGGGCTGTTGGGCACCCAAATTGATTCCTGCAACACCTTGGGCCAACTGGTTGACTGGAACAGCCGCCTGTGGAGCCGAGTACAACCCCTGGTTAGCCTGGGGCTGTTGTGGCTGTGCTGGTATGCCGTAGGCAGCCGACGGATCTGGGGCCTGGTACATTGGCTGTGGATATGCTCTTCTTCTGTTGGACATGGTGGAAGGTTTTGGAAGGCGATGAATTTATGGTTTGCGAGCGCAATTCGGTCTTTAGAAATGGTACGATTGGTGATTCCGCTGGTTTCAGCTAGTATCTGCCCGTTGGATCGCTCGTTTGCAGCTCGTTTAATACAGCACGCTCCAGATATTCGCAGAGAACAAAACAAAACATCTTTTTTTCATGAAATGCTAGCCAAAATCACCACTCGGACTTTGGCGATTGTACACGACCATAGGTGGCAACAAAATACACTAACTAATTAAAATTACACCAGCCACACCCGCGCGTATGTGGCTCAGTTGAGTCTTAGCTGGAACAGAGTCTCGAATTGGCCCCGCGTGGCCTTCAGAGAGTCCAGGAGGCGGTCGAGGTCCACCCTTGAGAGGTTCCTCCAATTGAATTTGGCCAGCGTTCCTGCCACAAACGTGACAATCATCTTCAGCAGATGGTACAGCTGTATCAGAGTGTACCGGATCTGGGGCAGCAGTTCCGCCAGTTCGGGCTTGTTGTTCCATAGTTGGATAGCCACGGCAACAGCGGCAAGAAAGACCACCAGCTTGATTGTGTTGACGATCGTTCTGTAGATCATCCTGGCCATTCTGAGTACCAGTTTGGCACTCACGTACAGGACGAGAAGGTACACAAATAACGACCAAATTTCGGGATAGGCCTGTTTGAACTGGGAAATGTAGTCTGCTGCGGTGATCACGGCGGTCCTGAGCGAGGTCAGGACCATGCTCACTGTGAAGTCGTAATCGGAACTCATAATGAAAACAATGATGTTTACAAATCGGGGGGTGCAAGGGTTATCCTTAATGATAATAATTAATTTGGGGCAAATATTTTTTTATTTTCCACTTGATTTCTTTCTACGCCATGGCTTCAGCACAAGAAATCCTGTCTCTGTACAGGCAGTTTTTAAGATACTCGCGCAAGTTCGAGAACTACAACTTCAGGGAGTACTTTTTGAGAAGAAGCAGAGAGGAGTTCCGCAAACTGAAGGACTTTGACGGTGACACCTCGGCCATTATAGAGAAGGCGAAAAAAGAGCTCGGAGTTCTCAGGAGACAGTCCACAATCTCGCAAATGTACCACTTCGACAAGCTGGTGGTGGAAAAAGTGAAGAACCATTGATTTACGGTGCTGATACATCTAATACAATCTATTCTAGTTGGGCAGCAACCTGCAAAACGGACTTGCTGAGTCTGGTGGCGGCCTCCACCAGCAGATCGGTGCTTCCGGTGTAGCAGATGGCCATCCGGACGAAGTTGGCGCGTTCCTTGGAGAACTCATAGCTAACGGCCATGGCGCCTCCATACACAACGCCCACTCCGTTGACCGCGCACCTTGCCTTGAGAAGCTCGATGCCCTTTTCCAGATTGTCCTTGCCAAAGTCGACGACGCTGGAGACGAACATGCCGCACTCCGGATCCATGACCTGTAAGTAGCCCTTTTTAGCGGCCTCTGTATTCAGAAGAGCTTTGACGAAGGCATTTTTCCGAACAAGATATTCGTTTCTGACCTTGATAATCCACTTGAGCCAGCCGTCCAGGCCGCCCATGTAGCGGATCGTGTCGTTGACCAGGATCTGCGAGATCCCGCTCGGTGCCCTTGAGCCGAGGTCCGAGTACTGCGTGCAGCTCTGGATCACCCGTTTGTGGCCCGCCAGGAACCCGAGTCTCAGACCCGGGGCAAACACTTTGGAGAAAGTCTCCGACCTGATGACTCTTCCGGTGGTGTCCAGGTTGATGTAGGAGCCGTGCAGAGAGTCGACAAACTCGTCTGGAGTGAGGTCGAATTTTGGAGTCTCGGAGACTTTTTGGAAGTTGAGGTAGGCATACGGCTCGTCTTCCAGAATGACGAAATCGTGTTCCTCAGCAAGCTGAAGAATCTTTTTCTTGTGCTCTGTGGTCTGAGCAACACCCAGCGGGTTCTGGCCCGTGGGGATAGTGTACAATAGTTTTGGCTTCTTTTTGCCTGGATGCAGGGTGTCCCAGTTCTCGAGCAGCTCCTTGAGGTTGGCGGAAAAATCAAACGTCTTGTCGGGTCCGAAGTCCAGCTTCACCGGGACGGTGTTGACGCCAAGGTTGTTGAGGGAATTGAGGATCGGAATAAAGGTGAACTCCTCCAGCAGCATCGAGTCACCCTTGCTCAGAAAAGAGTCGAACACCTTGTCGATTCCGTTGGAGCCTCCGCACGTGAGCATCGTGGACCACTCGTCGTAGCCCGGTCTCCACACCTTGGCGACAAAATCCCGCGTAAAGTCCACGAGACACTTGGTGCCGTTGGTGAAGCCGTACTGCAATCCGGTTTTCAGGTCGATCTCCGAGGGATCGGACGCGACCTGCGACACCAGGAACGAGGAGTCGGACTGTGGCTCGTGAGCCACAGCGGATTCCTCGTGATAGCCGTCCTCAAAGGGCTTTTCAGCAATGCCAATTCTGATGCTCTTGACAGGGAAGAAGTCGTGGTTGGGCATGCCCCCGACCAGGCTGATAGGAGCCGGATGCGGCTCCTCGCCGTCGGGAAGCTTGGCAGAGCTCCAGAAGTGGCGAGTGACGCGCGCCTTGGCGCGCTCAGACATGAGGTTCTCGTGTGGGTAGGACATGGTGGCAAAAATAAGATAACAAACTAAGCAGCCGTCTCACTCACGCTTTTGCTATCTAATGCGGTGCGAGGGTGGGCGCACTTACTAGCTCAAAAAATTGGCGACGATAATTTTTTTTTTCCACTTTTAGGCAATGTCGCCGTTCTGAAGGATCAGAACCGTAGCATTGACTCCAACGCTTAATGCCTTCGCGTAGACCGTTCGATGGTCTGTGTGAATACTTTTGTGTTGGGAAAGCAAAACCGACAGGCGTCGGTTAGGACTACTCCACCCTGGTCAGACTTCCCGTGTCTGGTGAGGACTAAATCACCTTCCTATATCTCTAAAAAAACAACTAGCAAGTGCTATTAATCTACTGTATACACTGGTACAAGCTTTTGAGGTATCTAACGGCGACTAGTGTTTGGCGGCTCCAACAACACCGCCAACCACGGCTCCCACAATGATGCAAATGATCACCACACAGACCCAGAAGATGATCCACTTGAGTTTGCGGCCCTTGCGGGCGTGGTCTCTGGCCTTGATGACGTTGGCGTCGCCTCTCTCCAGGTGGTCTTGCGCCACAGCCACGTTCTCGTTGACGTTGTCAAACATCACGTCCTGCTCGAAAACAAGCTCCTGCAGGTCGCCAAACAGCTGGTTCAGCTCCGCAGCGAGTCGCTCGGTTCTCTCCACCTCCATGTGTCTGGCCTGCACCTCCTGCAGAACCGTCATCGCCTCGCCTTTTCTGTTGGACATCCGAATGGCGTTGTCGAACACCTGCTGGTCGCCAACCGTGTAAACGAACTCGGCGGCCTCGTCGTACGTAGCATCCGGATTGACAATCTTGTACTGGTTGATGGCTTTCTGCTTGTTGGCCTGGTTGTATCTGTCTTCGATTTTGGCCAGCCTGGTGATCGAGGCTCTGAACTGGGCGGTCAAATTCTCGGCCTGTTTCTGCTTGTCGGTGTCGGAGCCGCACTCCTTGTACAACGCCTGCAGCTTCGGCTTGATGGTGTTTTTCTGGAGGTCAGAGAGCGAATTATTGTTATTGTCAATTTGTCTCTGGAAAGAGGCCATCTCCTCGGATCCAATCGCGTTTAGGGAGTCCAGCTGCAGCTTTTCCAATCTGTCAATCAGCGTGTTGTAGTCTGAAAGGTCGTCCTTGATGTCCTGGACAAGCGTGAAGAACTGGTTTGTGCCGGTCATCTCGTACGCCGAATTCTCGGCGTAGGGGTTCCCTTGGCCTTCAGCGTACGGGTTGTCAATCTAAAACGTTAGCGCCCACAATACGCCGCCCATCCGTCGGCCATTGGCCATACTTACGGTGCTCATTCTTCTGGTCTAGTGCTTTATTTTCCAGGCGGAACAAAAAATAGTTATCAAAAGAATTGTGCCAGACTATACTTTTTGAAAAGCCGCGGTGCGAGGGTGGATGGCGCTCCTGCCAAAGGGACCGGGCTTGGGGGCGTCCTGGGGGCTCTCTGGTCGGGCAATCTGCTCGTTCGTTTTCTGCGCACGGCATCTTCTGTATTCGCTGCTGCAGTTTCCCTCCGTGGTGCCCCAGAGCCGTTGGGAACTGGCGTTTTGGCTCTTGGAGGCTTTTTTGCACAGCCTTGTGTCTTGACGTGAAAAATTAAAAAAAAAAACGATATAGGGTGATTTTCTGTATATGCCTTCGTCGTCGGTTTTGCCCCAAAAAAGGGCCTCTGAAACGGCTTTGTCTGCTGGAAAGCGCCAGATCAGTATCAAGCAGACGCCCGAGGAAGAGGCCAGAGCGAAAGATTACTTTCAGTCGCACATTTTTGATGATCATTTCAAACAAGAGCTCAAGAAACAGATCGCAGATTCGCAGCCGTATCGATGGGGGACAATCCACAACCTGATTGACGACGATCTTTTGCGCAATGTTCGCAGGGAAATTATCTCTGAGATCAGTTTCAAGAAGAAAGAGACAGATATTTACAAGGTGTTCCAGAGCGGTGATCTCGCTAATCTCTCAGGTATGACCCAGCAGGACCTCGAGCGGCTGCCCAGTCTTTACAAGCTGCGATCCGCCATCTACTCGCAGACTTTCCGTGACTACGTGTCGTATGTGACCGGCTGCGGAAAGCTCAGCGGAGTGAAGACCGATATGAGCATCAATACGTACTCGAAGGGCTGTCATTTGCTCACGCACGATGATGTGATTGGCTCCCGACGGGTCAGTTTCATTCTGTACATGCCAGAACCGGGAAAAACGTGGAAACCGCATTATGGTGGCTCGTTGAGACTGTTTGACTCTGTCGTGCCAAGCGTGCCCAGATCGGACTACTACTGCAAGCTGACACCGCAATTCAACCAAATAGCATTTTTCACTGTGCAGCCTGGGCTGTCTTTCCATGATGTCGAGGAAGTGCGGGTTGACAAGCAGCGACTCTCGATTCAGGGATGGTTCCATATTCCTCAGGCTGGCGAGGACGGTTATATTCCTGGCGAGCAGGAACGCACAGAGGCCAAGTCGACGCTTCAGCAGCTGGAGTCGAAGGAGCTCAAGGAGTACGACTTCCCAAAAATTCAGTACAACGAGCTGCCTCCGCTAGAAACCCAGGAACTAGTCACTCTTGCCGGAAAAGAGTCGGATTATCTGTCCTCGCTGGACCTGGCGTACTTGCGAAAATACATGAATCCATCGCTGTTGACCGCTGCCTCAATTGAGCGTCTTAATAATATTTTTGCCGAGGAGTCGGTGGTGGACGTGCACAAGTTCCTGAGCGAGGAATATTTGGGAGACCTGAAAAAACAGATGAAACAGCTCGAGCTCAACGAGTACCCAGAAATGCCCCACAAACAAGATCTGGTCGTCTTTCCGTGGAAACTCGCCGTGCCGCCGCACAAACAGAGATACTGCTACATCGACGGGCTGCAAAAACAAAATATCGATGACGCACAGAGCATAGCACAGATAAACCAGGTGAAGTCCACGGAGCTGCCGAATTTCGAGCTCACAAAAAACATCTTTGAGCTTCTGAAGCCAGACGTGGCTCAAAGACTTGAAGAGGCGCGCAAGCACAACCCGTCGCTGACGAGTATTCACGACGTGTCTATACGGCTGTGCGAATTAGCATCGTTTTTCAAGAGCGTGAGCTTTAAAAAATGGCTGATGGCCGTGACAGGACTGCGTCCGACGCACGACCAGATCCTTGCGCGCCGGTTCCGTCCTGGCCACGATTTCACGCTGGCTTCCAAACTGGACCTTGCTACCGACGACAGACTTCTGGACGGCCTTTTGGAGGCCACATTGAACCTGACGCCGTCTTCAGGCTGGGAGAGCGGCGAATTCGGTGGCTACGAGCTCTGTATGGGTACAGACGAGCCAGAGACCGAGGAGACCGCCGAGGAAGGCTTGAACGAGGACGAGGCTGCCATCTACAAGGCGTCAGGGGAAGATTCTGTTGTTTACGAGTCGCAGGCGTGCTGGAACAAATTGAGCCTGATGTATAGAGACTCGTCTGTGCTGAAGTTTGTGAAGTACGTGAGTTTCAACGCTCCTGGCTCCAGATGGGACGTGAGTTGCGGATGGCTCTGCGCTAAGGACGAGACAGAGGAGTCCGGGTAATAGACGAATTTTTTGATAACCAACTTTCCTGGATTTTTTGAATTTTTTGTAATATTTTTTTAATCGTGAGTCTTGTTTGTTCCTTGTATGAACAGATTGATTAATCAAACTGCCAGGAACTGTTTGATTATCTACAAGAACAAGACTAATTTGATAAGACCCGCCCGTTTAGTTTCGCAGTTAGCAAGACCAATAATGACTTCAGCCGTGGATACTCTTTCGTCCAAGCTCGATTCGCTGAGGCTGCAGGCTCCTCCTGCCATTCCGGGCTCATTTCCAGACTACAACACCGTGGACCTGTGCAGAAACTACATTGCCAACCAGCTGTCTGAACTGACCGGTGTTGACGCCTCGATCGCATACCAGAGTCTGGAGTGGTCCCTTGTTCTGGAAAATGGAGACCTGATCGTTCCTCTTCCTCGTTTGAGATTGAAGGGCGATCTTGTTGCTCTGGCCAAAGAGCTCGCTGAGAAGTTTCCCCTAGGCGGCTATCTCAAAAGAGTGCATCCTGAGGGCAAGTTCCTGCAGTTCTTCTTCAATCCAGAGTTTCTATTGAAATACGTGGTCAAGGACGTTCTTGAACGCAAACAGGACTTTGGTTCTTGTCCGCTGGGCAAAGGCAAGCGTGTTGTGATTGAGTTCTCCTCCCCAAATATTGCCAAGCCGTTCCATGCCGGCCACCTGCGTTCGACCATTATTGGTGGTTTCCTGTCCAACCTGTACGAGAAGCTCGGCTGGGAGGTCATCAGAATGAATTACCTGGGAGACTGGGGAAAGCAGTTTGGTCTGCTTGCTGTTGGGTTCGAGAAATACGGCTCCGAGGCCGAGCTGGAGTCCAACCCTATTCAGCATCTGTTTGATGTCTATGTCAGAGTCAACCAGGACGTGAAGGCCGAAGAGGAGGAGGCGGAAAAGACAGGCGTTCCTCTCGACGAGGCCAGCTCCGTGGACGGCGCCGCACGTGCTTTCTTCAAGAGAATGGAGCAGGGAGACAAGCAAGCCCTGGGGCTTTGGGAGAAGTTCCGTGCGCTGTCGATTGAGAAATATATCGACACATATGCTCGGCTGAACATCAAATACGATGTATATTCTGGTGAGTCGCAAGTGAGCCAGGAATCGATGGACAGAGTGCAAAGAGAGCTGCAGGAGAAGAATCTTGTGACAGAAGACAGAGGAGCTCTGTTGATCGACTTCAAGCAGCTGGGCGAGAAGAAGCTGGGGAAGGTGCTTGTTCAGAAGAGCGACGGAACGTCGCTGTACATCACACGTGACCTGGGAGCCGCCATTGAGCGCAAGGAAAAGTACCATTTCGACAAGATGATCTATGTGATTGCGTCGCAGCAAGACTTACATGTGAGACAGTTTTTCCGCATTTTGGAGAAAATGGGATACAGCTGGGCCAAGGACGAGCTGCTGCACGTGAACTTCGGCCTGGTGTTGGGCATGAGCACGAGAAAGGGAACCGTTGTGTTTTTGGACGATATTCTGGAGACGGTGAAAAGTGCCACTTTGGAGATCATGCAGAAGAATGCCGAGAAGTTCACGCTGGTGGAGGACCCGGAGGCTGTGGCCGACCTGGTTGGAATTTCTGCAGTGATGATCCAGGACATGCAGGGCAAGAGAAACAACAACTACGAGTTTAGCTGGGACAGAATGCTTTCCACAGAAGGAGATACAGGTCCGTACTTGCAATATGCCCATTCCCGACTGAGGTCGATCGAGAGAAATTGCAACGTTGCAGAGGAGAAACTGCTCAACGCCGATCTTTCTGTTGAAAATCTCGTTGGCACCGAGGAACAGGTCAAAGAGCTAGGACTGGAGCCAGCGGAGCAAGCAAAGAAACTAGACATGTTGGCCACTCAGCGCGAGAAAGTGGAGTCGCTGGTGCGTATTCTTGTGTCGTATCCGGACATTCTTCGGTACGCGTCGAAAAACCACGAGCCGTCCACCCTGGTGACGTACCTGTTCAAGCTGACGCACCAGTTCTCGTCGACGTACAAGGTGTTACGTGTGATGGGCGAGAAGGAGCGGGTGTTGGAGGCCAGATTGGCATTGTTCAGCTCTGTTAGACAGGTTCTGAACAACGGGCTCAGGGTGTTGGGCATCACGCCAGTTGACCGAATGTGACCTACTAATTTGAAAATAGAATGGTAGCTAAAAAATAAAATAAAAAATAGATCAAATTAAGTGAACTTTAGCGTGGATGAATATAGCCTTTCCACAAAATTCAAATTTCCTAACTTAGCATTTTCCCCTGATGACTTTCAACACTATTGAGGAGGCGCTCGAAGCGTACAAAAACGGCGAGTTTCTTGTTGTGATGGACGACGAGGACCGCGAGAACGAAGGAGACCTGATCATCGCTGCAGAGAAGGTGACCCAGGAAAAAATGGCGTTTCTGGTCAAGCACTCGTCGGGCTTTGTGTGCGTGCCTCTGAGCACAGAGCGTGCGGACGCCCTTGATTTGCAGCCCATGGTGCCGCACAACACGGACCGTCATGGCACGGCCTACACGATTACTGTGGACTACGGCGAGGGCACGACGACGGGGATCAGTGCCCACGACAGGGCGTTGACCGTGCGGCAGCTGGCGAACCCGGACTCGAAGCCGGCGGATTTTCTGCGTCCCGGACACATCTGCCCGCTGCGCGCCCGGCCCGGTCTGCTCAGAGAAAGAGTCGGCCACACCGAGGCTGCGGTGCAACTGTGTGTTCTGAGCGGTCTGCAGCCGGCCGGAGCCATCTGCGAGCTGGTCAATGCCGACGACGGGCTGATGATGCGGTTGCCCGAGTGCACGAAATTCGCTCAGGAGCACGGACTGAAAATAATCTGTATCAAGCACCTTTTGGAGTACATGGATGAAAAAAAAATCTATTAAAAATAATGAATAGACTATTTGGAACCCGTAACAATCTGCCCAAGGCGACGCTGGGCGACGCAATCAGCAGCATCGACGAGCGCGCCGCGTCGCTGGACGTGAAGATCTCCAAGCTGAACACCGAGCTCGCGACGTACCAGCAGAAAATGGCCAAGATGCGCGACGGGCCGGGCAAGACAGCCGTCAAGCAGCGCGCGCTCAAGGTGCTGAAACAGCGCAAGCAGCTGGAGGCGCAGAAAGACCAGCTCGACGCGCAGAGCTGGAACATCTCGCAGGCGCAGATGACGACCGAAAACCTGAAAAACACCATGATCACAGTGGACGCCCTCAAGAGCAGCAACAAGGAGCTCAAGCGCACCTACGGCAAGATCGACATCGACAAGATCGAGGCGCTGCAGGACGAGATGCTCGACCTGATCGACCAGAGCAACGAGCTGCAGGACTCGCTTGCCCGCAGCTACGACGTGCCGGACGACATCTCGGAGAGCGAGCTTGACGCAGAGTTGGAGGCCCTGGGCGACGAGGTGGCCGAGGACGAGACGCCGGCGTACCTGGAGATGCCTACGTTTGTGGACGAGCCCGCCGAGCCCGAGCAGGAGGAGACGGTGAAGGAGGGCGAACTGGTGCAGTGATTAGCCTATATACAGCTACTCTGTTCGCTGCAGCGCCATCAGATAGTTGCCCGTGTCGGGCAAGCTGGTGAACACCCAGCCCCGGAGCGGGACGTACGTGCATCCTCTGGCGTCGACGACGCGGAACTGTGTCTCGTCCACAAACTCGGCGATCTCGCGGCGGTCGATGTACTTGGAGTAAGTGTGGGTCCCGACGGGCACGATGCGCAGCACGTACTCGCCAAAGACGATCGTCGTCAGCCACGAGACGAGGTCTCTGTTGATGGTGGACAGAAACAGGAACCCGTCCTTCTTGACGTGCTGCATCGCCGTCTGCAGCACGAGCGCGGGATATTCGACGTGCTCGAGCATTTCCATCATGGTGACGACGTCGTACTGGTCGTCTTTGTCGAGCTGTTCTATTGATTTTAATTGGTAGTCGATTTTGTCAGTAATTGCCGGATCGAGCGCTTTGTGCTGGTCGGCGACGCGGATCACCTCCGGGCTGAGGTCAATGCCTCGCACAGACGCCACCATGGGCAGCCGGGCGAGCGATTCGGACAAGATGCCGCCGCCGCAGCCAATGTCGAGACACGAGAGTCGCGGCCGGCTTAGCTCCTGTGCGATGCGTCTGTTGATTTCCGTCTGTATGGATTCCGCCACAGGGCCCGGCAGCACGTTGTGGTGGTTCCAGCCGGGCACAAACGTTTTCTGTTCGTCGGGCACTCCGGCGTTGATTCTGACATGGCTGCGCAGGGTCTCGTTGATGAAGTCCATGCGGACGAGGTTCATCTTGTGCAGGATGCGCTGCGGGCCCGTGGTATCCCACCAGGACGCGGCGAGGCTGTTGAAGTGTGATTTTTCGGCCTCGGAAATGGCCGTCGAGAGTCTTCTGAGAAACATAAATAATTCAATTTAATTTAAATTATTTTTTTTATTTATGTCTTCTTCCGAGGAGGAGTTTGAGAGTTTGATTGCGACGCGCGAGCGGCGGTCGAACGCCGGGTCGCGGCTCAAGAAGCTGCTAGAGGCCGAGGAGGACGAGGTGCTGGGCGAGGAGGACGAAAACGTGCAGCTGCTGTTTGCGGAAGAGGGTGAGGACAACGAGTGGAGCGACGAGAGCGAGGACAGCGAGGAGCAGGAGGAAGAGCAGGATGAGAGGGAGGCTGGCGCGGCCGAGGAGGGCGCCGAGTCCGGCTCGCCCGAGGCATTATCGGACGAAATGCTGTCGTCGTCAGAGCTGTCTGCGTCGGACACTGACGAGAGCGAGGGCGAGCGCGAATTGCAGAAGGAACAGAAGCGGCGCAGGAAAAAGGTCGAGATCCCGGCGATCCGGAGAAAGCCCGCTGCGACGGCCCCGCGCAAGCGGCGCAAGGTCGACGTGGAGACGGGCGACAGACGGCTCTCGACAAGAACCACCACAGCACAGAATACACAGGCTATCCAGGAAAAGCTGGTCAAGATGCAGGAGCGCCAGTCGCACACCAAGACACGCGTGCGGGAGGAGTACGTGGAGAAGACTCTGGAGGAGAACCTGGAGGAGGCGAAGGTGACAGAGGAAATGAATACGCTGTCGCTGAACCTGTTTTTCCAGCAGGAGGTCGAGAAGAAGAAGAAACAGCGCGACCTGATGAACAGCAAGCGGTTCCGGCTGATGGAGTATATTTCCTTCCAGAGCTTTGGCAAGCTGGTGACGCCGCAGGACGAGCTGGACCGGATCAGAGAGGAGAAGGAGAGAGAGGAGCTGGCGCGGCGGACGACAAAAAGACGCGGCCGCAGACGCAAGAGCGAGATCGAGCGTGCTCGGCTCGAGGCCGAGAGGCAGGAGAGGGAGGGGATGAAGCAGGAGGTGAAGGAGGAGCAGGAAAAGCAGGAAAAGCAGGAAAAGCAGGAGCAGCAGGAGGAAGTACCTGGGGAAGTGGCCGTCAAGGAGGAGACAGGAGACGCTAATGCGGACATAAACGAGACACTGAATGGTGAGAGAGAGGCTGAGGTGAAAACAGCAAACGAAGAGGATGCTGTAAAGGAAGAAACGACGCAGGACACCGAGGCCGTCGAAGAGGCTGTGGAGGAGGCTGAGGCCGAGACCAAGAGCGTGCCGGTCGAAGGCCCCCCACAGAGGGTGGCTGTCCAGTTCATCGAGTCGCACCTGCGCAAGGACATCACCCGCCTGGAGCTCAAGGCGATCCTATTTGGGCCGCAGTCGATCGTCCCCGGCCCGCACCGCGACCCGCACGCCCAGACCATCTACACAATCAAGCGCGACTTCCAGAAAGAGCTGGACCTCAGGAAAGTCACCAAGGAGCGCGACGCCGTGTACGAGAAGCTGCTGCAGCTGCCCAAGTTCGGCGAGACGTACCACACGGTCGAGGATCTCGGCGTGACCAAGCAGACCGACGAGCACGTGATCAGCGTCACGACGCCGGCGCCGCTGGGCATCTACCTGCCCAACGGGGCCAAGAAGCAGTGTCCGATCAACGGGGAGGACGCGATGTACTACGACCCCTCGAACGGGGTGCCGTACAACTCGGTCGAGGGGTACAAGGTGCTCAAGCACGTTGCCGAGGGCGGCTACTTTTGGACGCAGATCGACCTCGGCGGCGTCAACTCGGTGTACAAGGGCGGTGTCGGGTGCTACTTTGGCCGCTGGGACGACCGGCACGCGCAGGGCGTGCCGGAGGGATTTGCTGGGTGATTCAGGGGACGTTTATTGTGCTACAGATGTATGGAACGTCAGCTGGTGTTGTGTTTGAGCTCGCTCTCAAACTTCGCGAGCAGGTCGTTCTGGAAGCGCTCGAACACCGCGCGGGCCTCGGGCACCAGGTGTGTGCGGACGAGGGCTCTTTTTTCAGCGTCGCCGGTGACCTCGAACTCGAAGTCGTGCTGGTCGTGCTCGAACTCCACGAGACGCACCGTGTGTTCGGAAACAGAGCCGTCGCGGTCGACCTGGACGACAAACTCCACTTGCAAGTCGAAGATGCAGCGCACTTTGCCCTTGCGCTGGGTCACGTCGCAGTCTCCGGCCACAGGCTTGACGCTGCTGACCGAGAGCGTGTGGTTGTCGCTCGCAACGCGCACTTTTGGCAGCTGTTCCTGGAAGTACGCGTTGGCCCAGCCGAGACAGTTCTTGTCGACCCAGTGCCAGTTGTTTGGGTTGTGTATGGTGGTCATGGCGAGAGCTGCTTGGGTGCTGAGATTTTATACCACGATAAATCTAGAAAAATCTTTTATTGACCCGTGCGTCGGTTGGCGTCGAGAATATTCAGCAGCTGGTGGAAAAAAATGTCGCTGCACGGCTCGACAGCGAGGTTGTGTGCGGCGCCGTCGAGCTCCGTGTAGCTTGCGTGGGTGCACCCGATGCTGTGCAGGTTGGCGACGAACTTCTTGCTGGCCTGGCAGTCGTTGATGTGGTCGGCGTTGCCGTGCAGGACGGCAATTGGCAGGTCCCTGCTGTAGCGAGTGTACAGTTCTGGCTGGAGCAGTCTTTTCCCGCGCAGCACAAAGTCGCGCGCCTCGATCGCCGTGGCCGTGAGTCTGGCCGGCGGCGTCCTGCTCTGGACAGACTGCTGCACCTCGGGCAACGACGAGATGTACTCCACCTTAAGTGGGGTCTTGATTCGCACGTACCGAACAGGAGGAACGGCCCAGCACAGCGCGCGGATCGCCCACTCGTGGTACTTGGGCACCGCTGTTTCTGGCGAGAGCTCGATCAGCGGCGAGCACGCGACCGTCAGTAGCAGCCGGTCGCGGTACGTGCCGAACGCGCTGTAGTTGAGAACCAGCCCGCCGCCCATCGAATGGCCCATCAGAATCACCTTTTCGTCGGACTCCAGGTTTCGTTTGATGAAAAAGTCCATGTCCTGGTAGACGCGCGAGTCGTCGTTGCTGGATTGCACGTTGTTGGCCGGCCGCGACGTGCCCTCGCCGCGCTGGTAGTGGAAATGGACGTCGTAGCCGCTGGCGGTCAGCCTGTTGAAGAGCCCGAAAAATAGCTCGTATATGTCTCTGTAGCCGTGGATGAAGACTACGCGGCCCTTGTAGTCGCCGCTGTGCTTGTGCAGAAACGTGGGGAATACGCATCCATCGTGCTCCACCTCGGCCGTGTCGACGGCGCACTCCAGCTGTTGCATTAGTGAAAATAGGGAGACCAGACAAAATTAAGTTGGTTGCACATCTCTGCACCGTCTGTGCTGGACATGAGTACTCCGGCGTGGCTAGTGCTGACAAACTCCGGCATAGTCCGCCAGAATTTTTTATCCCGCAGGGGCCCCCAGCGGCGATTTTGCGCGGTGGCCAGGCCGAAATGTCCAACTTGCTGCTGGCCCAAACAAATAAATATAAATGGGGAGTGACGATGTTTTTTAAAAAGTTAACGTTTAATAAATCAACGCAATTATGAGTGAAGCTCAGTAAGTACACAAACACACGGCTCTAACCCGCAGAGGTGATATCGGACTGATCGGACTGGCCGTCATGGGCCAAAACTTGATCCTCAATGCTGCAGACCACGGATTCACTGTTGTTGCCTACAACAGAACTGTGTCGAAGGTGGATCATTTCCTGGCCAACGAGGCCAAGGGCAAGTCCATTTTGGGCGCCCACTCGGTCGAGGAGCTGTGTGCCAAGCTCAAGAGACCTAGAAGAGTCATTTTGCTCGTGAAGGCCGGCGATGCTGTCGACAGTTTCATCCACCAATTGCTGCCTCACATGGAGAAGGGAGACATCATCATTGACGGCGGTAACTCGCACTTCCCAGACACCAACAGAAGATACGCCGAGCTGAAGGAGAAGGGCATCTACTTTGTTGGTTCTGGTGTTTCCGGAGGAGAGGAGGGCGCCCGTTACGGTCCTTCCCTGATGCCCGGAGGAGCCCCAGAGGCCTGGCCACACATCAAGGAGATCTTCCAGTCGATCGCCGCCAAGAGCGACGGCGAGCCATGCTGCGACTGGGTCGGAGACGCCGGAGCCGGCCACTACGTCAAGATGGTCCACAACGGTATCGAGTACGGTGACATGCAGCTGATCTGCGAGGCGTACGATCTGATGAAGAGAGTCGGCGGCTTCAGCGACAAGGAGATCTCCGACGTGTTTGCCAAGTGGAACAAGGGCGTTCTGGACTCGTTCCTGGTCGAGATCACCAGAGACATCCTTGCCTACAACGACACCGACGGCACCCCATTGGTCGAGAAGATCCTGGACTCTGCCGGCCAAAAGGGTACCGGAAAGTGGACTGCCATCAACGCCTTGGACCTGGGCATGCCTGTCACCCTGATCGGCGAGGCCGTGTTTGCCAGATGTCTGTCTGCGCTGAAGGAGGAAAGAGGCAGAGCAAGCACCCTGCTGGCCGGCCCTACCAGCGCTCCAAAGATTGCTGACAAACAGGCGTTCGTCGACGACCTCGAGCAGGCCCTGTACGCCTCCAAGATCATCTCGTACGCCCAAGGATTCATGCTGATCAGAGAGGCCGCCAAGGAGTACAACTGGAAGCTCAACTTCCCATCGATTGCTTTGATGTGGAGAGGAGGATGCATCATCAGATCCGTTTTCCTGGGAGAGATCACCGCTGCCTACAGAGAAAACCCAGACCTGGAGAACCTGCTGTTCCACCCATTCTTCAACAAGGCCATTGCCAAGGCCCAGGCCGGCTGGAGAAAGACGCTCGGCGTTGCCATCGAGGCCGGTGTTCCGACCCCGGCCTTCTCGACCGCTCTGTCCTTCTACGACGGGTACAGATCCAAGCAGCTGCCAGCTAACCTGCTGCAGGCCCAGAGAGACTACTTCGGAGCACACACCTTCAAGATCCTACCGGAGTACGCCACCGAGGACAGAAAGGTCGGCGACTTCATCCACATCAACTGGACCGGTAAGGGTGGTAACGTGTCTGCCTCCACTTATAACGCTTAGGTGAATAAATAAGAATGGTAACTTAATTCCTGACACATCGACGCGTCGCCGCACGTCGCCGTAGACGAAAATTTTCTAATTATTTTATTTTTTTTTATTTTTGGCACCTGTCTTGTGTGACTGTGTTTTGAGAAATATTACCCCGGATTTCTTGATTAGATAACCAGGATGCCCAACAGCATCCCGCCCTCCGAAAACAAGCCGGGCGACGCATACCACTTCGACGAAAATGAGATCTTCGACGACAGCCAGCTGCGCCAGGCCATCGAGGACGCCCTGCACGCCGACAAGGACAAACAGCTATTTACCGAGATCAACAGCGCGATCCAGGCCCTCGACGACCCCATGGACGACGACAAGCCGGACGACGAGCTCACACAGGCCATTGCCGAGGCAATTGACCACGTCAAGCCTGCCGAGCAAGCAGAGTCAAACGTCGACACTCTTGAGCCGCTCGAGTCGCTGGAGTCGCTCGGGCTGCCGCTGGACTCGAACGAGCCGGAGCTCGAGTCGGCCCTCGCCGAGATGGTGCAGACCGTGGTGGACACCAACCTGTTCCCGGACAAAAGCGCGGCCAAAAAACACACAGAGACAGACTTGGAGCAGTTCCAATGGACGAAAATGATGGAGAAGGCGATGGAGATGGCGATGGAGAACCCAGAGCATCTGATTTCGTCGCTCAACGACGCCGAGCCGGCCGAAAAGCTCAAGAAGAAACAGACGGCGAAAAGCAAGCGCAGCCAGATCAACCTGGCTGTGCAGCAGCGGTTGCAGCAGCAGGCGCGGGCCCTGCTGGCGCAGCAACAGCGCGACCGCGAGCTGCGGCAACGGCTGGAGCAGGAGAAGCAGCAGACGCAGAAGAGCGCTGCGGAGCCGCTGCCGGCGAGCGTTCTACAGTTCACGGTGCCGACGCCGCCGACGTCGATTCCGGGCCCTGTGAAGAGCAGCGAGAAGGCGTCTGTGCTGGAGCAGTTCCAGAAGTTCCAGCGGCCAGACGATAAGTCCCCGTCGGTAGCCGACACACTCGCCGCACAGCGCGAGAAAATGCTACAGGACTACGCGAAGCAGATCTCGCGAACGCCGCCGCAGGCGTCTCCGCCGGCACAATCGTACGCGAAAAAGTCCGAGGGCTCGTTCCTGCGCACCATTCTCTCGAGTCTCAATCTTGCCAATCTCGACACCCTACAGATCGCAGAGCAGATCTCGCCGCCGCAAATCGACTCGATCCGCGCAAGCGTGTCTTCGGCCGTGGACACTCTGCGCAGCAGCCAGTCGCTCGCCAAGACCGCTCCAAACAGCAACGACAGGCAGGAGTCGCCCAAGCTCGACGACAAGGAGCGTATCCGGATCGAGAACAGAGAGCGCAAGAAGAGATGGCGGGTGATTAATATCGAGCGGAACAGAGACAACGATTTGCGCGCGCGCGTCATCAAGCGAGCCGGCCAGATCTTCACAAACCCGGAAGACGAGGAGATCAAGAAGAAATGGATAGCAGAGGAGTTTGAGCGTCGCAAGCGGAAACGGCTCGAGAAAAACGGCACCGACGCGCCGCTCGTCCAGTCCAACGATCTTGACCACCGCTGCGAGTCTGTGGCGGCTCTTCTGGCCGATCCGCAGGTATCCGCCAATATCCACGCCTTATACCAGTCTCTCTGCGGAGCCGTGCCGAGCGACGACAAGCTGGCCACCGTCTCCATGCTGGCCACCTCATTGGCTGCCGCATACGTGGTTTCCAACAAGTCGCTCAGCGAGAACCTTGTGCCGTCGATTGTGAGCTCCCTGGTCAACTCGCTCAATAACCAGCTCAACGGGCCCGCTGCCCAGTCGGGAACGCTCAGCTTCAAAGTGATGGACCCGGCACGAAAACACGCTGCCGAGCCCAAACAGCACGAGGACGCGAAAAAAGCGAAAATAGACCCGGACCTCATGAAGCTACCAGACCACTTATCGAAGTTCGCCAAACCTACGACAGAACACCACGAGCCCGCGTACGTGCGCCCGGCCACAGCGTCGCACCAGCCGCGGGCCCCGCATTACCAGCGGCCGTCAACCGAACCCAGGCCCAACACCCCTACTGTGCGGTCTATTGTGTCCAAGACGCCTGCCTCCGATACTGTGGGCGGGCTGCGCAAACCCGGTGCGTTCAGAAAGCCGGTTGGTTTCGAGAAACGCGGCTTTGGAATTGTTCCGCTGCCTCATAAAGATTAATAGATGTATACTAGTATAATCAGTGATAGAAAGTTTTTTGCATCGGGTTATCTGCAATAAATGAGATATAACTGTGCTGGACGTTCGAGGAGTGAGATAAAGCTGGAATTATAACTTTTCGAACCTCTCGCTTGCAGGTGTGTGGCTATGACGGCTGTCATGGGGGCTGCTGCAAGTGCTAAAATAAAATGTTGCTACAATTCCCAACTTTGTCTGTGTAGATTAATAACCCGTGGAGATTTAAGACTCTCTACTTGGCGCAAGGAACTCGCTATTGCTTGTCAAAAGGGACTCCAGTACGTTAACGAGCCTAACATTACACTACTGCTTATGGGGGCAAAAAACAGGAGCTAAAAATATGATCGCGCCCAGGATCGAACTGGGGACCCTCTGCGTGTTAAGCAGATGCCATAACCAACTAGACCACGCAACCGATTGGATGTCAGTTTTTGGTGCTCTCCGATCATGTGCTCGCAAGAGAAAAACACAGATAGCTAAAAATGATCGCGCCCAGGATCGAACTGGGGACCCTCTGCGTGTTAAGCAGATGCCATAACCAACTAGACCACGCAACCAATTGTATGTTTTTGATGGGTCGGGAGTATATAACGGGGGTCTGAGCATCTAGAACCGAGGACGAAGGAGTACTGACTACGATACAAACCTTGTTTCCATGTGGTATAACCGTCTTCATCGTCCTGAGCCCCAATTCGTCGTTCTGATTTTATTCCGTATTTAATTTCACGCACTATTAATTTCAGCTCTAGTCAGCTTTAGTTCAGCTCTAATTCAGTAGACTCTCAATACTCGTTCGTTTCTCGTCGCTCTTCAGCAGCATCAACACTCTCGACGCGTTCAGCTCGCCCATCTCGTCCTCAGTCCTGCTTATAGTAGCCAGCTTCTCGTCCACGATCGCCGGCAGGGGTAGCTTGAATTTAGCGTTTGACGAGACCTGGGTACGTTCTGATGTCAAAAGCGAGGAAACAGGACGCACACACGAAGGCAGTCCACTGCGGCCGATGTCGGGGGTAACAATAGGGCTCGGAAGCTGTGTCGGTAGCTGATCCGATAAGTTTCGTATGTCTGGCAAGTCAACCGGAGCCTCCTTGTCGTCGGAGTCCTGATTGAGCAGAGATTCTATCTCCCTTGAGACCGCGTCGAGGTCCTCGAACGGCATGTCGCCGTTGTTTCTCCAGACCCGCGTGAACGCGTCCTCGAAGCTGAAGTCGTTGTCTATTTTTCTATAGGACTGCAGGTCGAGATCGAAGTCCACAAACTTGAGATTATCGTTCTTTGCGAGCCAGTTCTGGAAGTACGAGCGCGTGCTTGCCGGTGTGAGCATCTGCAGCTTCAGCAGCTTGATCACGAGATGCAGATATTTAATATATTCCACCGTGCTCTGCAGAATCGTCAGCTTGTGCATCATGTTGGAGTTGTCGAAGTTGTTCTCGTTGAGACCACTCAGAATGTTGAGCCGGCACGCAGGCACGAGGAACTTGAGGGCCTCGAACTCCCTGTTCATCTTGATGCGCCGCTTCTTTTCGATGATCGAGTGCTGGTTCCTGAGCTCTTTTTTCTTGCGCTCCATGTCCTCTTTGCTGGTGACCGACGACTTGCGCCGCTTTCTGCTGTTGCTCTGCGCCGGGCTGGTCGGTCCTGGCGACGGCGCGTCGACGGCGTACATCATAGGCGAGATAGACGGCGACTGGCGAATCAGCCGGTTCTTGTACTCGTCGTTCGACACAAACGACGAGGTCAGGTAGCTGGAGTTGCTGGAGCCGCTCATTTTCGGGGACGTGCTCGCAGACCCTGTGGGCGAGATGTTGCACGAGGAGCTGCTTCTTTGCATCTGGACAAACGTGGGCTTGAACACTGGCGGTGGAGGCAGGATGCCTGTTCCAGCGGCCGCAATGCTGGAGTCAGAGCTCCGGCCAGAACTGTTGGCGTCCATATCGATCGGAAACGAAATGTAGTGGGATTATTCGTGATGGAAGCAATTTAATTAGCGTTGCATGCACGAATCAGCTTACAATGGTGAAGCCGGCAAATATATAGAGCAAAAAGAACTAAAACGAGCAGGCTGAGAAAGGCAACACAGACGCTTCGGGGAGTGCACTGCGGCGATCGCCACCTTGCGGGAGCGGCCTCTCACGTGGATGGTCTTGTGACCACCCACCCCACGTGTTGAGCCGCACGCGTACGAAATTTATCGCACGAGGCTAAATTTGTGCCACCGTGCGGCGAAGAATATCTGGGGCACGTGCGCTGGAAGCGTCGATCGTCGCGACGGGACGAAGCACGTCGAGCAGTTAGCGGTTTATTTCGAGGACAATGAGTCGTTGAGACATGTTGGTGCTGCTCAGAGATTGCTATGCCTGGTAGGTGGGTGTTACTGTTTTAGGGAGACAGCATTTTTGGATTTTTATGGTAACCACAGGACCGCCTCTTATAGTGCTAGCGCAGACAGGCAGTGGAGTACAGTGGAGACCGTTCGATTTTATAGATCTCGTCCCAACCTAGCACCATACCTGATTAGCTGATTAAAACAAATTTCAACGCTAATCCAGATTGTCTGATTGATTTGCTCGTAATCAGAGTAAAAACCAGTTCTACAGTGCCAATTTGCTGTTATCTAGCATTTTCATAGCCTGCTTCTTACAGTCCCCTCCTGCACCAGACGGGCCACCCGATTGGCCAGCCCGTAGGAGTTTTGGTAGCCCGAGTGCGCCGAGCCGTAGTTGTGGATCCGCCAGCCGTCTCTCGAAACGTTGACTCCACCCTCTCTGCCCGGACGGATACCTACAAACTGGCGCACCTCAACCAGCCGCTTTGGATTTCTCATATAGCCCGACTCCACAAGCTCTGGCGCATACCTCAAAGCTCTCTTCTTTATTCTCTCAGTCAGCTCTTCGTCAACGTCCAGCGAATCATCGTGGTACAGGTACGTTCCTGTCAGCAGCGTTCCGTAGCCGGCCCGCGGAACCACGTAGAGCGACTCGGCAGCATGCTCCGCGTCCATTGCCTCGACAATCGTCAGTTTGCGCGCCACGTTCTCCACCAGCAGCGTCTGGCCCTTGACAGGAAGCCGGTTCTGCCTATCGGTGGTGTTGAGGTCAAACCCGCCGATTCCCGCGCAATTGACCACCAGATCGGCCTCGACAAAGTCGTCGCCGTCCAGAAACAGCATCCTGGCCTCCTCCAGACTGCCCACCGTGCGTCTGACATAGTTAACACCGCTCTGAGCACACCGGTACAGCAAATAGTGCAGATACTGCACCGGATTGATGGTGAACCCCGTGTATCTGAACGCAAAAACAATGTCGTCGCCGGCCGCGCCCACGGGGTACTCCCTGGGATCGATCACCTCGTAGTTTCTCACCAGGTCCTTGAACCACGGCCCGTCGTAGCCTGTCTCCTTCATCGACATCCGCGGCACGTACACCTCGGCCATGCGCTCTGAAACACCCGAGCCGGGCTCCTGGGCAACGCGCAGAAACTCGTAGTACGACGCGATGTCCTGCAATTGCGCCAGCCAGCCTCTGCTGGCGAGCGAGTCCAGATGGTAGAAAAACGCCCCCGCGTACGGGCTCGTGTAGAACCTGGCCTCGTCTCCCGGCAGCTCCTTGGCCACTATGGAGACCAGATACCCGCGCCGCGAAAGCTCCAGCGCCGTCGTCAGCCCAATCACGCCCGCGCCAATCACAACAATCCGCTCTTTCATCTAGGCTATTTTCTTATCTCTTTTTTTTTTTTTTTTTTAATTCTCGTTTTCCAGTGCATTTTTTATCACACCAATCACGGCTGTGCACTGGATCTTATCGCTGCCTCCCTTGCTGATGCTGTACTCAATGTCGCCCAGGCCCTGCAAAACAGCCATCCGCGTCCTCGGCTTCAGCTCGTACTTGTCCAGCACGCTCACAAAGCCGCTCACCAGGTCCACCAGAGCAAGCCCCTCCGTCTTGCGGATCTTGGTCATCGTGGCATACGCGTCCATCCAGTCGTTCGACATGATCGCGTCAAGCACCGTCGTCACCGACTGCGGTCTCGGAGCACCCACACACTCGTACACCATGTCCTGGGTGATCTCCTCGCCCGTTTCGACCGCGGTAGCACACGCCTGCAAAACGTTCAGAGCTCGTCTCATGTCGCCCTCGCTCAGCTCCAGAAGGCTCTGGCGCGCGTTGGACGCGATTTTCAGGCCCTCCGCCTTGATGACGTGGTCCACACGGTCCTGGAGCGCCGAGTCGGCGAGCGGCGAGAACCTGAACCGCGTGCACCGCGAAAGAAGAGCAGGGTTCAGTTTGTGCGAGTAGTTTGCCAGAATGCAGAACCGCGTGTTCTTGGTGTACTTCTCGATGACGCGTCGCAGTGCGTTCTGCGCCGCGTTCGACATCGCGTCGGCCTCGTCCAGAATGATCAGCTTGAACCCGCTGTTGAAAATCTGTCTCGTGCTCGCAAAGTTCTTGATCTGGTCGCGCACCACGTCGATTCCTCGGTCATCCGACGCGTTCAGCTCGAGAACCATGTTTCTGTAGTTTTTTCCGTACAGCTCGCGCGCCAATGCGATGATGGTGGACGTCTTGCCTGTGCCGGGAGGCCCGTAGAACAGCAGGTGCGGGATCCGCCCTTCCTTCGCAAACTTGCGCACCGTCTGCACCACGTCTTTCTGGCCGTACACGTCGTCCAGCTTTGCTGGCCGGTACTTTTCCACCCACGGAAGGTTGTCTGAGCTCATATTGAACGCGTAGAAAAAATAGTGATTTTTTTTTTCTAGGTGCAATATCACGTAAGCAGGTGTTGCCAGCGTCTGAGAGTAGCCATGGCAACGTAAATATGTCTGGCGGCTACTTACCGCTGATGATATGCGGCGACTAATGGCATATAAATAGTCCTGTGTTCGTCCCATAAAGTTAACCATGTTTACTTTGCACCGTTTTCGAGCGCCGGCGAAGTAAACGTGGTTCCGCCAGCAGTGGTGTCACACACTCCAACCATACACCAGACCGGTCTGCTACCGTGGGAGATTCTGGTGTATAGTCACGGCCAGAAATTTCTAGCTTTCGCCATCACTACGGTCCGTCACACTTTACCCAATTCGAAGCGAAGCTATTCATTGGCCTCCCTCGGGAGGCCTCTAATGCCGGCTTTCTCCTACTGGAAATTGCCGGTGTATATCCCTCCGGTGAAACATGGCCGGGTCTCCTAATGGGGGGATACGTTGACGCAGCCCATGCTGCGGAGGGGAGATATAGAACTTTTAAAGGCTTAGATACTTTATTTTAACGTACCTTCCCCTACATGGATAGGGAGAGCGCATCCCCCCTATAGAAGGGGAGAAGTACACCCCCCTTCAAATAGGGAGAAATATAAAATGCGTTCCCCCTACAGAAGGGGAGAAACATATCTCCCCTTTCAAATAGAGGGAAGGCAATTTATATGCCCTCCCTGTTTGGGGTGGGTAGCCCCTCTCCCTCCCCTATGGTCAGGAGAGCCGCATCCACCCCTGGTTTCGAAAGTATACTTCCCGTCTTTCTAGCATAGGGCGGTAGTGGAGCCCTAGCGCCGGACGACCTATGGCAGCATACGTTCCCGGGCCTACCCCGTCGGTAATAGTTCTATGTGTGGTATAACTGGAATTTCTAAATCTGGAAATGTGCTATTCTCAGAAGTGAAAAACGTGACTTGGTAGCAGAATCTAGAAAATTGAAATTGTAGCAATATTCCGATAGTTCGAAGAACGAGCATGATCTAGTAAGACAATAGCTGGTTGCAACAAAAATAATCCAATTGTAGCATTATCTTGCAAGCGCGGCAACGCTCACGTTGAAGGGGGCTCCTCCAGCAGAACGCACCGAGGTTGTACTGCCGCTTCCTATAGTTAGCTGCCGACATCGTCAACCAATTGCAAAGCAATTCTTCAGGGGAATTCAATATCTGCTGACCTCGATTCAAGCTTCAAGGCCGTACTTCGTGCCATGTCATGCAAAGCGTCGCGCGGTTATTAAACCCGCGCCAGCATCTGCACAACGTCGACAGGTTCCTGGTCCTTTCAGTACCCCTGGATGAGGTTGTAAAACCTATCCCGTTTCTTGCAAGCCACGATGGATGCCCCACAGTCCAACGTCCACGTGAAGACCCTGCAGATACTAGACCGCTGTCCATCTGTCTTGCAAAACCCAGTTAATCAGCGCATTGGGCCAAACGTGTCTTCTTTCGGACTCCAATGCGAGGAAAACGGAGTCCTCCCAAACAAGTGGCTTGGGAGTATCGTCCGTGATGAACAGAGAGCTACCTGAAGGGGGCACACCTGGTGTACCAATAATGAGCAATCTTCTGTCCATGAAGTTATCTTTGGGGGGAACTGCAGCTTTTATATCCTTTTACGTGGGCGCCTAAGTTTCCGGTAAACGCCCACTCTAAATGTGCTTCATGGCTGTGCACCAAAATAAAGAGAAATAACCTTGATAATAATTTTCATTTTATTCTAGATTTTGCCATGGAGAAACTACTTCAGTGGTCGATTGCGAATCAGTCAGATGACAAGGAATTGCGGGCCAAAACCCCAGCGCCAGATCCTGAGCTCCTGGCTCAGCTATTCGGACAGGCTGTGGACGAGCCTACGCAGATGAAGCAAAATATGGCGGTCATTACAAGCCCCGACATCGATTTAGAGAACAAGCTCGTTGCCTTCGACAATTTCGAGATGTTGATCGAAAACCTCGACAATGCAAACAATATCGAGAATTTGAAGCTGTGGGATCCGTTGCTGCAGCAGCTCAGCAGCCCTGAGCCCAAACTCCAAGCTTTGGCCTGTTCGTGTATAGGTACGGCCACGCAGAACAACCCCAAGTCACAGCAGAACTTCCTCCAATATGCGGAGGGCGAGAACGGGATGGCCAAGCTCGTGGAACTGGCTTCAGACAAGTCTCCCGAAACGAATCTCAAAGCCATTTATGCCCTGGCAAATATCGTGAGACACAACAAGGAAGGCGTGGAATCTTTTGAAAAGCATAACGGATGGGATATTATTGCTCCGATTCTGAATAGCGACAGGTCTAGCGAGAAACTGAAGCTGAGAGCGCTGTCGTTGCTGAACGCTGCTTTATCCACCCCGATCGACTCGGCCAGACTTGGAAAACTGCAGCAGGACCAGGTTGTCAAGTCCCTGCTTAGTTTGATAAAAGTGGATGGCCATATAGGATGCATAGACTCTGCCACTAACATTGTGACGACGCTGATGTCGCACAAGTACAGTTTTGACGACGAGGAGAAGAAATTGGTGGTCCAGGCCGTGGAACAACTGGAGAAGATGAAGGACCAGATCTCGCACGAGGACCTGCAAATCCTAAAGTCAGTATCTTAAACTTGCGCCAACTAACCTCTAGAACGTATTCGAAAGTTGAATATCTGCGGAACTTGAAGAAGAAATCGGGCTAGTCGAGCAACTCGTTAGGATTCGTGCTTGTGAACACTTTTCTGAGGTTCTGCTCGACGTCGGTCCTGATGAGCGCCGGCACCCTGGTCTGCAGCTTCTCGGCCAGCCGCACGAGCGTGGGGTATTGCTTCGCGAGCGTGCGTGCTGAAGACGTAACTAGGTATTTAAATTGTTTGAGCGATTCTTGGTAGCACTCTTCGGGCGTCTGGCCGCAGCGGATATTGCCGATGTTGGCGAGCTCCGGGTTTCTTTCGTGCGGGTCGTAGCTCTTTTGTGCCATGGTATAACTGAAAGACCTGATCCAGTCCACGAGCTCCCGCAGACCCTTGATGGGGAAAATGTGGACTCCGAAAAACACCTCGAGTTCAACCAGTTTTTTGCGCACCGTTTCCGCGGAAAGTGCGCTGTTGGCGGGGCCCAGCACCCTCTGCGTCTTGTCGTTGCCCATTTTCCGCATCACCTGGCTCACAAACGCCCTGTTATGTTGTGCGCGCAGCGTTTGCAAGTGCTGCTCATACCCATTGATCATGAGGACGACATTCGCGTCCTGGCGCATCCGCTTCACCTTGAGAATGATCGTGCGCAGCGTGTCGTCTCGGATCTTGTCCACGAGCTCGGCAGCGTCGTAGTACAGCACGACGGTCGCCTCTGTCTTCATATACTTGTCCACAGGCACATACGTCCCTTTTCGCTCGTGGTACACGGCCTCGACCTGTCTTTTGAACTGGATAAGCGGGAGATACAGAGACGCCGTGTCCACTTTGATTGGAGCGAGGAAACTGTCGAAATCTGCGTTGATCTCGGCCAGTTTTGCGTGCAGGCGCGTCTCGATCTCCACGCTCATTTCCGCCAGCAGCTCGTCCTTTGTCCGCTGCATCTTGTTTACCTGTTTCAGCTCCTTGCTCTTGAACTTTTTCGCGTGCTCCAGCAGCGCGTCGAGGTCCCCGACGGACACCTCCGTCGTGGCCACAGGGCCAGCGCTGGCAGCCTGTTTCGGTTTCGAGGGGGTGATGGCGGTTTTTGTGCTTATGTCAAAAATGCTCCCCAGCTGGATCTCGTCCGACGGGCAGCCAGGATCCAGCTCCAGGACCGACTCGTCGCCAGCGCGGGCCGGGGAGCTGGGAAGGGCTATTTTTGTGCGTTTGGCCGGCTCAGAGTCGGACTCTGAGCCCGATTCAAGCACAATTGCATTCGACAGCGACGACGGCTCTTCTGGCTGCCGTTTGCGTTTTGTAGGGAGCGGGCTGGAGGAGATTTCGATGATGCTGGGGAGAGACGAGGGAGACGATTTGGCTGCAGATCTGTTGAGCTTGGGCGTGGGCGTCTTGACGGACAGAAGCCGCCGTCTGGTGGGGGTAGGCGACGAGGAAACAAACAGGTGGGAGGAGCGGGACCCGCGGGGGTCCGACGACTCGAGGTCGATGATATCCATGTAAACAAAAAAATATAAAAATGTAGAAAAAAGGCTCTGATTAGCTAAGCACGGCGAGGAAGGTTTCGACACCCCGAGCAACTGGGCCCCTGTTACGTAATTGCAATTATAGTGCACGTCACGCCCGAGAGCAACTATTGTCCACCTTCAGCCGTGGCGTGTCTCCGCCTCTTTGCTCCCCTTGTCCTGTGCTATTTCCGCTTTGGGCGACTGCACTTCCTATTTGCCCATTTCCCGATCCAGTAACGGCCCCATCTCTTTCGAAAAAATTTCCCCCGTTTTAGTAAATAGTACATACGTCTTGTTTATGTATTTCTGTCTCGGTATAATTAGCTGAAATTCACAGGCTCATATTAAAACAAGTTGCTCTTATTTTTTTTTGTTAATTTCAATTCCCATGTTGCTCACTTCTCTTAACAGACTGCTCACTTTGCTGTTGCTGGCCGGTGCTACCCTGCTCCTGCTGTTCATTGTCTTCTCCGGCTCGGTCTCGTCCTTCCCTTTCAACCAGTTCTACTGGGTCCAGGCCAGAACCTCCAACCTGAATGCCAACGGAGACATTTCCAGATGGACCTTTTGGGGAATCTGCAACCCAGAGACCTACGACTCCCACTCCAACGGAAACTGCACAAACCTGGGTCCTGACCAGCCTATTTCTCCGTACGACAACTTTGGAAACTCCACCTTGTTGCCCCAGGACTTTGTCACCAATAGAGATACCTACTACTACCTCTCGAGATTCTCGTTCCCATTCATTCTGATTGCGCTGGTGTTTGCCGGCGTCAGCTTCATCTGCTCGCTGTTCCAGCTCTGCTGGTGGACCATGAAACAGGTGGTCATTTTCTTTGTGTCCCTGAGCGTCCTTTTCTGTGCTGCCGGTGTCTCGTGCCAGACTGCCGTCTCCGTGATGGTGAGAAACAAGTTCTCCGACGCCGGCATGACCTCCAAGGTCGGCCCGTCCATGCTCGGCATGGCCTGGGCAGCCCTGGTGTGTCTGCTGATTGTGTTTTTCCTCACCTGCTGCAGTGGCATGCACAGAGCGTACAAGATCCACCGCGAGCAGCGCCAGCTGGAGATGAGCCAGGCCGGCCCCGCCGGCGCTCCGCTCTCGCAGCCCGTGTCTGGCCCTGTTCCGGGCGACGACACCAACCAGGGAACGCTGCCTTCCAACGAGGGCGGCATCCGCTTCTTCAAGATCAAGAGAACCCAAAAGGCCATCGACGAGGAGTCGTTGTAGATCACACCTGTATAACTAGAGCTCCGCTCGAACATAATACCAATAACTCTGTTCACCTATGTACAACCCGCTTCTACTCGTTCTTCTGCTCACCCTCCTCGCGCTTCTGCTCCCGCTCGCGAAGAATCTCCTCCTGCAGCTGCTGCAGCTGTCTCTGCTTCTCCACCGCCTTCTGCTTCAGCTCCATCTTCTTCTCCTCCATCTTCGTCTGCGCCACCTCCAGCATCATCTCGTTGAAGCCGCTCAGCGTGTCCTCCACAGCGTCCAGCGACGGACCCTTGTTCACGGTGCCCAGAATCACGTCCGCAACCGTCTTGTCGAACTCGCCCGAGCTTGGTTGCGAGCCCAGACCGCTCAGATCCACGCTCAGCATGTCCTTCACCGCCTGCAGCTTTCTGTCCGAGAACGCACTGTCCACCATCTCCTTGAGTTTTTCCTCCGTCACGGCGAAATTCGCCGCCGCATTGTACAGTTCCAGCAGCTTCACCGCCTGCGCCTGCTTCTGCTCCAGCTCCCGCGCCCGCCGGTTCGCCTCCCGCTTCAGTCTCAGCTCCTCCTTCTCCTCCTCTGTGCGCGGCCGTATGAACGGACCGTCCAGATAGCTCTCGACGGTCGGCATCGTGTACACCTCGGCGTGCGACGCCTTGTACTCGCGCGCGGCCTGCTCCACCTTGGCCTGCTCCTCTGCGCGGCGGCGCTCCTGGGCCTCCAGCCTCTCCAAACGGCCCACCTCTGTCTGGTACGACTCGGCAAGATACTTTCTGCGGAGCTCGGCCTGTTTGATGTTTGCGCGCTGCTCGGCGGCCATTTTCTGCAGCGCAGACTCGTCCGGCGCCTGTTTCGGCGGCCGGGCCGTGCGCAAAAGACGCTCCTCGGGCGTCACCACCGGCGGACGGATCAGGTCTCTTGTTGTGCCGCGAGGATGCAAGATCCCGTCGGCGTACCCCGTGTCGGGCTCTTTCTGGTACACAACGTGCTTGTACGGCTGTTTGAAAATGTCCCGTGGTTTCGGCAGAAACCCGCTTTTTCCTCCAAACCTCGCAGCTCCTTTTCCCATGGTGAGATGAAAATTGGTTAAAATTTTTTTAATATTAGTTGCATTTCGCGTCGATCGTCCATGAGCATCTCGGCAAGACTGTCAATTGCGTGGGAGTCGTCTCCAACGCCGGACGAGAAGACCTCGACGATGGTGCTCAGCACGCCGAGCGAGCGCTTTGTCGACGTGCGGCCGTTGCTGGCGCCCCGTGGCGACTTCCCCTTCGAATGGGCCTTTGCAGGCTCTGCGCGGCTTCTGGCCCCTGACGGCTCGCAGATCGAGTTCTCGCACGATTTCTTTGACTCGGACTATATTCGCCGCTGGTGCGAGTGCCGGAAACGCGAATTGGCCGGCCACGCCGTCCAGTACCCACTCAGAAGCGAGATCCCCAAAGATATCGGCCATTTCGAGACGTTGCCGGACGGAACTCGCCGCGAAACGGGAGCCATGCACAACGCCGCGTCGGGCAAAGTGGAGCAGTACGAAGAGAGATGGGTGACGCTGGACCCGTGGCAGACGACGCCAGGACACAGGGTCCAGGCCGCGTCGACCGTCGCGGCCGAGTCGCGGCTTTTCGACGTGAAAAGCGGCGGCGAGGGCCGGTTCGTCCGCGTCGGGAACTGGGCCCAGGGCGTGTTCTGGAACAAAGACAACCTGGACGCGCCAATCTCCGTCGTCAGGGCGTTTTTCGACGGCCGTTGGAACCCTGTGCTACAGCATGGCGATTGCTCCATGTTCCCGGTGGGGGAGAACCCTGCGGTGGGGGCGACAGTCTCCCGCGGCTGTGTCGTCTGGGACGTGATAGAGTAAGCAATTTCAGCCGATTAAATGGAATTCTACCATACATAGGCACTCGACTTGTATTTCTCTAATGATCTACTCATGAATTCTGTGGTGTCCGGGGCAGTTCAGTGGTGGCCCGGCTCCTCCTCCTCTTCAAACACAAACCAGTCGTCTGGGTTGTACTCCTCGGCAGCGGTCTCGCCGGAGGCCTCGACGACCTCGACCTTAGCGGAGTCGTACTCGGCCAGCGCGTCGGCGCCCTCGCCCTCCAAAGATGGGACCTTGGCGGCCTGTGGGAGCTTCCATGGCTTGGTGGCGGCGTCGGCGTCGGCGGCAGAGGCAGGAGTGGGCTTGAAAGCCTTCAGCTCCTTGACGTAGAGATCGGTCACGAGGTTGTTTCTAACGGCCGACACCGAGAGGCATCTGGCGTTCTGGCGGAGAACAAGCTTCTGCGGGTTAGCAATGGCATTTTGGCGAGCACGTACTGAAGACCTGGCGACAAGGTTCAACATTTTGGTGTATACGAATAGGAACGGAGAATTTTCGTTGGATGAGAGCGCAGGAAAGGGCTGCGTAACCGCGACAGCTGGCGAGTGGATTGTTGGTTGTGCACCTCTACACCGCGCAGGACCTGATTACTTAACCTTACTCTATTTAAAGGTCGGCGTCGTCCTCGTCAGGCAACGGCATGGCCGCAGCCTGGTCCATCTCGGCCTGGTACTTGGCCATCAGGTCGGCGTCGACAGACACCTCCGGAGGAGCCAGGGCCGGCGACTCGACGAACTCGAGCTGGGAGTTGCCGACGAGCTTTCTGGCGAGCCACAGGAACGGCTTCTCGAAGTTGTAGTTCGACTTGGCAGAGATGTCAAAGTATTGCAGGTTCTTCTTTCTGTGGAACGTGATGGTCTTGGCCTTGACCTTTCTCTCCTTGACGTCGACCTTGTTACCGCACAGGACAATAGGGATGTTCTCACACACTCTGACCAGGTCTCTGTGCCAGTTTGGAACGTTTTTGTACGTGATTCTCGAGGTGACGTCGAACATGATGATACCACACTGGCCGTTGATGTAGTAACCGTCTCTCAGGCCGCCGAATTTCTCCTGCCCGGCGGTGTCCCAGACGTCGAATCTGATCTCACCGAAGTTGGTGTAGAACGACATTGGGTGGACCTCGACACCGGAGGTGGCCATGTATTTTTTTTCAAACTCACCAGTCAGGTGTCTCTTGACGAACGTGGTCTATATTTTGTTAGTGCGCCAGCCGCTGCGTGCTACTTACCTTGCCGGTACCACCGTCACCGACCAAAACGAGCTTGAATGTAGGAACTTGTTGTTGAGCCGACATATTGCTAAAATTATTGATAAACAAAGGCACGCCTTTCAGTTTTATCCAGCAAAATCAAGGAAAAATTTGTTGTGCGGCGCACGACAACAAAAAACCCATGAGCTTAAACTAACGACTACTCTACACACTGCCGGCCTGCTGCGTCTGCGGGCGGCTCTATTTTCTCGCTTGGGCGCCCAGTTCTGCCACCGGCTCGGTCGCCTTCTTCCACTCGGCGATTACCCGCTTTTCCTCCACCTGGTCGTAGTACGCGGCGCTAGGCGGCGGGTTGGGGAAGCCCTGCAACGTGGGTGGCGGTGGCAATTTCAGGCCCTTTTTCTGCGTGCGCGCGCCGGGCATCCCCGCGTAGTGCGTCTCCAGACTGTACTCCCACGGCAGCTCCTCGGTCTCCAGCAGGCCATTTTCACGGGCAATCTCCTCGTAGTACTCGCAATAGAACGTCAGATGGTTGCGGCCCTGCAGATGCGACTTGCGCACGCTCAGCGAGTCGTGCGTCAGGTACGATTTGCAGTAGTCGCAGTAGTATTTGGGCATACGCAAATACTAGATTATTTAATTTAATTTAATTCAAATAAATTAATTATTTTATTCATGTCCCTTCCTTTGGTCTACGATTCTGCCTCGAAGAAAGTGTCGCTGGCGGAAGACACGTATGCCGCGGCGTACGGAGACCTGCAGCTGGAGATTGCCCAGCTGAACACGCTGATCAAGGACTACGTCAATGCAAACGTTGACGTTCCTCCACTGCCTACAAGAGAAAACTACACCAAGAACCTGAGCATGATGATCAAAAAAATGCACGAGAGCGCGGCCGCGTCGATGAGGACGAAGAAGTACGCGGACGCCGCCAAGCAGTTCGGCGTTGCGCTCGGCCTGGCCGCTGCAAGACCGAAATTCGAAAACTTCCAAATGACGGTCAGCGAGGTGCTGATCTGTCTCGTTGGCCGGTGCGACGCCAACATGATGCTCGAAAACTGGCTCGACGCGTACGTGGACGCCGAGCTGCTGTGCCAGCTGGCCGCCAACATCCCGGAAAACCATCTCCGAAAGGGTGTTTGCCAGATGAAGCTGGGCAACCTGCTTGCTGCCAAGTCCGACCTCGAAAGGGGCCTGTGTTTTAACCCCTCGCACTCCAAGCTGGCCGAGGAGCTCAAGAACGTGCAGCGTTTGATCGACGAGGAGAACGGCGAGCTGTGAGCTACGTAGTGTGTCGTAGAATATATTGCGGCTGTGTAACATGCAATTTATTTTTTATTTTGTTTGCCATGTCTTCTGACGAGGTGCAAATACTCGATGTTTCCGAGCTGTCGCCGCGCCACGACGACAGCCCCGTGCGCGACACGTCCGGGAGCTCCACCGCGTCGTCTCTGGTTTCGCCCCAGGTGCCTGCGATGCACCGTTTTGTTGCGCCGTATAGAAGGCAGGATGAGATAAGAGAAGAGACAAAGCGGCAAAAACTCGAGCCGGCGTTCAAGTCCGAGGTGATCGATCTAACGTCCGACGCGGAAGAGGAGGAGCCCCCGCCAGCCAAAGGTGCGCCGCCAGCCGAGGAGAAACCCGCAAACAACGACAGCGACAGCGACCACAACGACGACGTGGTGTTTGTCAAGTCCACCAACATCAGTCCGCCCGCGATAAAGTCCTCCGACCAGCCGTCAGCTCTCCGGGAACCGCTGCCCACCACTGCCGAGGGTTTAAAAAGCGTGCTTGTCCAGGCACGAGAGTACTTGCACCGGCTGAACGAGAACGTGAAGAAGCTGATGGAGCGGCGCACAGCGGTGATCAAGTTCCTCACGACGGACGCGTGCCGCAACGACCCGAAAAAAGCCGACCATTTCCAGCAGATGGAGACGGCGATCAGCAGGAAGATAGATCGCCATTTTGTCAAAATCAGAATCACGAGCGAAAAGATCCAGTTTCTTTGCAAGTACGAGCACCATTACAACCCGCGGCCGCCGCTAGCGGCCGTCAAGCGCGACGCCCTGCCGACGTACTACCCGGAGCCGGACCATTCACGCTTTTCGGCCAACACCTACGACACCTACGCTTTCAACCCGTATATGCAGCGATTCAACAATTATTCGGACGCAGACGATATCCAGCATCTTCTCGACACCATCAAGCCCGATGAGGCGTACGAGGATGGAGACGTCCGAGACCCTGAAGAGCTGAGTGTGGCGCTGCTGAAACACCAGAAAATTGGGCTCAAGTGGATGCTCAGCATGGAGGAGTCCGCCAACAGGGGCGGCATTCTTGCGGACGACATGGGGTTGGGCAAAACGGTGCAGGCAATAGCGCTGATGGCCGCCAACAAGGCCCGCCCCGACGAGTGCAAGACAAACCTGGTGGTGGCACCAGTTTCGCTGCTGCAGCAGTGGGGGCAGGAGCTGGACTTCAAGCTGAAAAAACAGTGCAAGACGAGCTATTTTATATTCCACCAGGGCAACAAGCTCAACAGTTTCAAGGAAATGGCGCGGTACGATGTCGTTCTGGTGTCGTACAACACGCTCACGTCCGAAATGAAGAAACACTATCGTTTGGCACTCGAGGAGCTGAAAAACAAGAAGGCGACTCTGCCGGAACGCGACGACGGCGGCTCGCACTACCGCTCGCCGTTCTACACCTCGGACGCCGTTTTCCACCGCATTATACTCGACGAGGCTCAGGCCATCAAGAACAAGCTCACGCAGACGTCCAAGGCGGTCGCGTTGCTGGACTCGAAATACAAGTGGTGTCTATCTGGTACGCCGATCCAAAACAACATCGACGAGCTGTACCCGATTTTGCGGTTTTTGAAGATCAAGCCGTACTGCGAGGAGGCGCGGTTCAAAGAGCGCATCTCGAACGCGCTGCGGAGCAAGTACGGCAGCGAGACGCGCGGCGTTCAGACGGTGCAGGCCCTGCTGACGGCGATTCTGCTCCGCCGGACAAAGAAGACTCTCATAGACGGCAAGCCGATCCTGCAGCTGCCCGAGAAGCACGTGGTGGTCAACCACGTGGAGATGAAAGAGGACGAGCGCAAGTTCTACTACAACCTCGAGGCCCAGTCCGCCGACACGGCGAAAAAAATCCTGGCCGGTTCTGGAGACGGCCAGAAGCACAAAGGCGGCTACAGTGCCATCCTGACGTTGTTGCTGCGGCTCCGACAGGCGTGCGACCACAAGTTTCTGGTGAAGATCGGTGAGAACAAAGAGCGAGAGATCAAAGTGAGCACGATCAAGAACGGGTACGACACGGCCAGGAAGTTCGACCGGGCGATGTGCGACCAGATCAACGAGCAGTGGAAGAGCGGGTTTTCGTGCCAGATGTGTTTTGACGTGATCGAGGCGGACGCCAACGTCATTCTGCTCGGAAGCTGCGGCCACGCGGTGTGCAGAGACTGTCAGGAGCAATTTTTCGAGGACAACACAGAGACGGTCTGGAACGGCGTGCGGTCTGCGCGGTGCAAAACGTGCAACCGGTCCAGCAGCGAGAGTCTGTGCGTGGAGCTTTTGGTGTTTGACTCGGTGTGCAACAAACGGCTGGAATGGAGAGAGGTGCAAAAACAGTTCAACATCCAGACGCAGTCGCTGAACAGCGCGCAGCGAATAGAGAAGATAAAGGGTCTGATAGCCAGCGAGGGCGGCCGGCTGGAGGTGTCGGCCAAGATCGAGCGGTGTCTGACGCTAATTAGAGATATTCTGGAGACGAAGCCCGGAGAGAAGGTGATTGTGTTTTCGCAGTTCATGGTGCTGTTTGACATTCTGGAGCTGTTTCTGCGGGACCACGGGATCGAGTATCTACGGTACGACGGGTCGATGGACGTGGAGGCCAAGAGCGCGAGCGTGGCCACCTTCTACCAGGACCCAAATAAAAAAGTGATGCTGCTGTCGCTCAAGGCCGGAAATGTCGGTCTGACGCTGACGTGTGCGTCGCACGTGATCATCCTGGAGCCCTTCTGGAACCCGTTTGTGGAGAAACAGGCCCAGGATCGCGTGCACCGGATCTCGCAGGTGCGCGAGGTGTATGTGCACCGAATCCTGATCCAGAACACGGTGGAGGACCGGATCATCGAGCTACAGGCGGAAAAGGAGAAGCTGGTGGAGAGCGCGCTGGACCCGACGGCCCGGCAGCAGGTGAACCGGCTGAGCCGCGTGGAGCTGGGCTTCCTTTTTGGACTCAACGGGCTGAGCGGCCTGGAAAATGTTTAAGTGGGGTACGCTGCAGGGTTCCTCGCGGGGTGTGCTGGCGGAGACCGAAGTACAGCTTTTTTTTTTTTTTTTTAGCCAATAGATAATAGAAGATAGGGGTGTCTACCGGGTGAGATCAGATGTCGCCAGCCCAAATGGAATCGTTCCAGACGCTTCTGACGCCGCAGACCGATCTCAGCAGCACGTCGCCGGCGCCCGTCCAGATCAAGGACAAGAAGGGCCGGTCCACGTCGTGTTACCTGTGCCAGAAACGAAAGCAGAAGTGCGACCAGCGCTCGCCAAGCTGCACCAACTGTGTCAAGTCGCAGACCACGTGCGTGCAGCCGCCGCGGTATGGCACGAGCAACAGAACCAACGTCAAGAGCGAGTACACGGTCTTTCTGGAGAAAAAGGTGCAGCAGCTGGAGAAGCTGCTGGAGGCCCGGAATAAGGAAGAAGCCGAGCCGCCTTCCAAGTACAGAAAGATCCGGCCGCTGGTGCGCGCCGAGGAGCCGCAGGTGTCGCTGAACCCGTACAGGGACACGCTGGGCAAGCCGTTCGACGAGTTTTTCATGGAGCACGGCGCGAAGTACGACCGCTCGATGCTGGCCGGGCTGAGGCTCAAAGAATTTTTCAAAAAAGAGCCGATTTTCGACATCGACCCGAAACTGTCGAAACAGCTCGTGGACATCTACTTTGCGCTGCTACAGTACAAGTTTCCGATGCTCAACGAGCAGGACCTGCTCAGCTTCCAGAACGACTACTACAACCGCGTGGCGCCCAAGAGCGCCGACGACTACCACTTCAGCTGTGCAAGGATGTTTCTGGTGTACACGCTGAGCTCGACGCTGCACGAGACGACGGGCAAGTACAAGGGCCCGGAGCCGCTGCGGTTCTTCTCGGCCGCGCTGCGCCACATCCTCATGTTCGAGAACGTGCACAGCACGCAGAAGATCGAGCTGCTGGTGCTGATCACGTGCAACCTGATCCGCAACGACACGGACAGCAACGGGGTGTACGACGTGATTGGCCAGGCGATGCAGCTGTGCATCAAGCTGCGTCTGCACAAGAGCAGCAGCTACCAGAACGTGAGTCCGGCGAAGCGCGATCGGCAGATGCGGCTGTTCTGGTGCTGCTATTTGCTGGAGAAAGCTATCGCCATCGCCATTTCGAAGCCGTTCGTTCTGAAGGAGCGTCAGACCGACGCGGACGTCCCGATGTTCGAGTACGAGCCGTCGCGCGCGCTGCATCCGAGCGACAAGCTGTTCATCAACCAGATCATCAAGATCCGTCGCACAGAGGCGCGGTTCATCGAGGAGCTCAATATTCTCGGGAGCACCTCGATCACCACCAAAGACCAGCTGCCTGCGGTCGAGCGGTTTTTCCAGCAGCTGCAGGACTGGCGCAACGAGTGCCACGGGTTCAGCAGGGGCATCGAAAACGAGACCCTGAGCATCTACTACTACCGGTCTGTGCGGAACCTGATCCAGCCGTTTCTGGAGCTGCTGGACCCGGAGGACCGTCTTTTCAAGGAGTGCCAGGCTGCCGCGGGCCAGATCTGCCAGAGCATCAAGGCGTTCCACCAGAAGACCGTGCGCGGCCACTCTGTGATCAACATCCACACCATATTTATTGCCGGAGTCACGCTGATCTACTGTCTGTGGTTGCACCGAAACCGCGACGATATGCGCCGCAAGCTGCTTGGAGACGACAAGAAACACACGCGGCCGGTCGTTTCGGAGGCGCTGTTTGCCGGGCTCGACGACCTGCGCGCGTGCTCTGTGTCGCTCTACGTGATGTCGGAGCGCACCAAGTTTGCTCTCTCGTTTAGAGAAACGTTCGAGGAGCTGATGACCGCCACGATCGGCAATTTGATTTTGCGGTGCGGGCCCGACTCGTCGGAGGTGGTGCAGACGCCGCAGAACGCGATGCCGCCGGCCACGGTGCGCAAACCGCTCCAGCACTACACGGTGGAGTCGGAGCTCAACATGAAGCCGACCGACGCGGATCGACGCGAGGAGGAGGAGCTGTCGCAGCGGCGCGGCCAGCTCACAAGAAGCACGATCCCGAAGGGCCTGAGCCACCTGCTGATCCACTCGCCGCCACAGCCGCCGCAGAGCTCGTATCTCGCGCCCCGGGTGACGTCGTCGCCGTCCAGCCTGCGCAGCACAGCCAACTTGTTCAATCGTCCGCAGACGGCGTCGCCGCAGCCGCAGCTCAGACTCCTGCCACCAGAGAACACGTTCAGCCCGCCGCAGCTGTCGGCACAGCCGCTCGCCGGCCCCGTCACGCCGGTGCCCAACATCCCCGAGATGATGCCGTTTGTCGGCCGGACCACCGCCATGATCAACAACATCTCCGTCTGGACGGGCGAGAGCGGGCAGCAGATCCCGCAGACGGGGCTGGTGATGCTGCAGGGCGCCAGCAAACCGTCCAGCGCGGCGGCGCAGCTGCCGCTCTACGACACGTGCTACGCGCAGCCTGAGGACCTGTTTTCCTGGCCGTGGCAGAACGACCAGCTCGCCGACGCGGGAGATTTTGCTTTCCTGCCCTAGACCAGCGCCACACCCCTGCACCATGTACACGCTCGAAAATTAAAAAATTCCAGCCGCAAACGACAGTATAATTTCTTATTCACACCGTATCCACCAAGACAATGAGCGTGGTTGATGGTCTAAAGTACGCATACGGGTTCTACTATTTCCTGTTCCCCCACTACATGCTGACGAAGTGCGAGTCGTACGCGCTCCACTTCACAAATCTGATGCTGCTGCTCGTGGTGGTGTACTGCGCCAACCTTGTCATGACGCCGGTTGTTGGCAACCTGGTGGACTCGACGTTCAAGCCGGTTTTGGGCTGACACGCTAGCGGGTCTAGCTGGAAACGCTTTCATTGTCCCCGATGCTAGATAGTTTTGCTTTTGAATCAGACTCTGGCTTGTTTTGGCCGCTCTCTGTTTTCGAGGCTGAGTGGGTCGACTCACACTCGGACTCGGAGATTTGTAGCTGTGTGAAGCTCGCGACCGGCCCGTCCAGCACCTGTGCCGGCGCCGGCAAGGACACGGCCTCGCCGTCTGGGATCGCAGACTCTTCGGGCTCGGTTGCTCTGACCGTGTCCTCTGTCGAGAGGTCGATCAGGTCCTGAGGGAACGGGTTGTGCGACGACCTTTGCGGGCCCGTCTTTGGCACGGGCACGGGCTCGGGCTCCACAGGCCGGTTTTCTGTGTCTTTCTCGCCGCTGAGCTGGATTTCTGGGAACCGGTCCATGTTGAAGTCGACCAGCGAGTCCTCGGACGGACGCGACGACTTGAGGTCGACAGACGTGCCTGTCGCCTCGGCTGGCTGTGTTTTCTCCGCGTCGACCATCACCACCGGCACAACAGGGTCCAGGGGCATCGACTTGAACGGAGAGTACATGGGGACCACGCTCGCCGTGAACTGCGCAATTGGCGGGTGCATCTGCTCTGCGGGCGGGTGTTTGTACGCTCCTTGCAAGTAGAAGTCCTCTATGCCGTCGGGGATGTCGATGTCCATCATGCGGCAGATCTCGGCCGTCACCTGGTAGATGTTGGGCCGGTACGCGGGATTTTCCTGGAGCATGATGTTGATGAGGCTTTTCAGCGAGGTCGAGTACCGCGGGGCAGACGGGAACCGGTACGCGGCGTGCAGGATGGCGAGCTCGCCGGCCGTTTCGAACGGCGTGATGTAGTAGCACAGCTTGTACAGGAAAATGCCGAGAGCCCAGATGTCTGATTTCTCGTCAATCGGCAGCCCCCGGTACAGGTCGATCATATCTGGGGGCCTGTACTGCGGCGTTGTCTGGCGCAGCAGGTCGTTGGTGAGGATCTGGAACTCCTGGTGGTTGCGCGGCGGCCGCAGCACGGGACACGTGGACCCGAAGTCGCACAGCTTGAACGTGTATCTATCGTCAATCAGCACGTTCTCTATCTTGATGTCTCTGTGGATCAGTTTGAGTCTGTGCATCGCGTAGACCCCCTGCGAGATGTCCAGCATGATTTTCAGGATTTCCGGCTCGCTCAGCTTGGTGCTGAGCCGCGCATTCATGTGATCCAGCAGCGACTTGTTGGGACACAGTTCCATCAGCACCAGCACCTCGTAGCAGTGGGTGTTGGGCACTCTGGACGCGTGCGAGTCCAGGTACTTGACCACGTAGTCGCAATGGGCCAGCCGCTGCATGACCTCGACCTCTGCACGCAGCAGGTTGAGCCCCTGTTTGTTGGGCACAACCACCCGTTTGAGACAGGCAAACTCGGGCTTCTCGCTGATCTGCACCAGATACACGTGGGCAAAGCCGCCGGCAGAGATGTAGTTGACGATTTTCGCCTTGTGGGAGCCCACCTGGAGTTCTGTTCCGGCAGGCAGCCGCTCCAACACTGGGGGTTCTGACATTGCAATAAAAAGAATATTTTTCTGGCTACAGTTATTGGACAGAAAACGGCTAAGCAGGGAAGCCAGCGAGCCGTGCTATTTGGGACCGGTTTGACGCAGGGGAGCTTTTCTGACCGTGCTATTTACACAGCGCCTTCTGGCAACTTTTACACTGCAGCTGGCGCACAGAATTCTCGTCAAATTATTTAATTTTCCTATGAACCTGTCTCTTTTAGACCCCTTCGCCGTGGCCAAGGAATACCCCGACACGCTCGCACAGACGCTCGCGTACGGCCACTCCACGCAGGTGCGGTACAGCTATAAAGGCGACTACCTCGCGTCGGGGCTGGTCGACGGCATTATTCTCATCATCGACACAGACACAAACAGCACGATCCAGGTGCTGCGGGACCACACGCGCGCCATCACGTCGCTGAACTGGTCGCCCTGCGGGCGGTACTTGCTTTCGTCGTCCAAAGATTGGAAAGTGAACCTGTGGGACCTGGGAACTTGCACGGTGATCCGGAGTTACAATTTCGAGGGGCCCGTCTGGTGCAGCGTGATGAACCCGCACAACCGCTTCCAGTTTGTTGCTGCGCTGGTCGACAACGATCCTGTTTTTGCAGACCTCGAGGACGAGCCCAAAATCACGAGACTCGACACCAACCCGCGCGACCAGCCAAACACAGTGAAACAGTCCACGCTCACGGCTACAATGACCCCGGACAGCAACTACATTCTCACAGGGACCAGCAAGGGCTGGCTGAACGTGATAGACACGAAAAGTCTGCAAATTGTGCGCTCGTTGAATGTTTGCAGCTCGAATATAAAAAACATAGAGATCTCGCCCAACTGCTCGAAACTGGCCGTCAACTCGAGCGACAGGATCATCCGGCAGTACACGATGCCAGACACCTCTGTCCCGGCCGCGGACTGGGAGTTCGAGCTGGAAACGCGGTACCAGGACGCCGTGAACCGGCTGCAGTGGAACGCGCTGAAATTCAACCATAACTCGGAGTACATGTGTGCTTCCACGCTCGGCGCGACCCACGACGTGTACATCTGGGAAACAGGAATGGGGTCGTTGGTGAAGATTCTGGAAGGCTCGAACGACGAGCTGCTGGCGGTGGACTGGAACTATCGCAAATGTTCGATCGTGGCCACCACGATGGACACCGGTACGCTTTTCATCTGGTCGGTGGTGATTCCGCAGAAATGGAGTGCTCTGGCGCCTGATTTCGAGGAGATCGAGGAGAACATCGACTATGAGGAAAAAGAGGACGAGTTCGACTATGTCGACGAGGACGACATGAACAAGCAGATCGAGGAAGAGGGCGACGAGATCGACGTGATCCAGCGCGAGGAGGTGGACGCGCGCGGGTTCCCGTTCGTGGACTCGTTTGTGATCGAGAGCGTGCCTGTTTCCGAGTGATTTCAGCAGCACTCTCTGGGTGTAGGAGTCGCGAGCGTGATTGCGTCGTAGCTGAGATCGCCGTACTGGACGCCGCTGGCCGGGTCTTCGGGGTCGATCTGGCCGAGTTCGATTTTCGTGACCAGCGACCCGGCCACCGTCTCAAACACAGTGTCCACATTCGAGTTGTCCAGGGCGCTGGTTGCGACGAACTGGACGGGCCGTCCCAGCAGCACAGAGCTGCTGTCCACCAGGTCGGCAATGTCGCTCTTGGAAACCGCCTTGGACAGGTCGTTCTTGTTCCCGACGAGCAGCACGCACGAGTCGGGCGGCGTCATGTTTTTCACGTCCTGCATAAACTCTGAAACGGCGTCGAAACTGGGCCGCGAGCTGAGATCGAAGACCACGACGACGCCGCTGGCGCCGCGGTAGTACGACCTCGTGAGCGCACGGAACCGCTCCTGGCCCGCCGTGTCCCATATCTGCAACTTCACGCGCGTGCTGCCGTCCACAACGGCCACCTGGGACGCAAACCCCACGCCGATGGTCTGCGCCACGGCCCTCCAGTCGCGCGAGACGTACCGGTGGAGCAACGAGGACTTGCCGGAGCCGAACGAGCCAATCAGAACGAGCTTTGCCAGATACTCGTACTGCTCGCGCGTCCGCGGGATGGTGGTCCGCGAATCGAGCGAGGACAAACTGGTCTTTTTCATGTAAAACAAATAATTGTGTGCACACGGCTGTGTAGATAAGACAAATATTATTAGATTATTTCCATTTATTACTCTATCAGTTCTTGAGAACCGACGCATCGTGGGTCTTGGCGTATCTGCCCGAAGGGTCCTCGTGGCATCCCCATTCGGCCTTCGGCACCCATCTCATGACGGTGGAGCCGGCGGCCTTGCTTGGGAACAGCTCGTCGAACTTGCAGCGGTAGAAGTACGCCTCCTTGGTGGTTGGGATATCGTCGCCCCATTCGGGCTTAGGGTGGGCAAACTCCTCGTCGGAGACGGATTTCTCCGCAAGCTCCTTCAGTCCGTCGATCCACGAGTAGCCCACACCGTCGGAGAACTGCTCCTTCTGTCTCCACAGAATTTCGTCTGGCAGGTACGGCTTGGCAGACGGGTCGTCGCTGGTGTCGAACGCCTTTCTCAGGATGTATTTCTCGATTCTGCCGGCCTCCGGAACAATCATCTTCTCCTTCGGGTCGATGTTCATGCACAGCTCCAGGAACTGCTTGTCCAGGAACGGCACACGAGCCTCGAGTCCCCAGGCCATGGTGGACTTGTTGGCTCTCAGACAGTCGGCGTAGTGCAGGTTCTTGACCCGCTTGACGCATTCGGTGTGGAACTCCTCCGGAGACGGAGCAGAGGCAAAGTACAGGTAGCCACCGAAGATCTCGTCGGAGCCCTCGCCAGACAGAACCATCTTGACACCCTGCGCCTTGATCTTTCTCGAGAGCAGGTACATTGGGGTCGAGGCGCGGATCGTCGTGACGTCGTAGGTCTCCAGATGGTATATGACGTCCGACAGAGCGTCGAAGCCTTCCTCCACGGTGAAGGTGTGCTCGTGGTGGATCGTTCCGATGAACTTGGCCACCTTCTTGGCAGCCACGAGGTCCGGCGCGCCCGGCAGACCGATCGCGTACGAGTGCAGCTTGGTCCAGCCCGAAAGAGCAAGCTTTCCGTCGTCGTCCACACCGGTCAGCGTGTGCGACGCGTCGATGCCCTCGGTGTGAGAGTCCGCCTCCTTGGCGGCCTTGGCGGTCTCTCTCGCGGCGATCGAGGCGATCAGCGACGAGTCCAGTCCGCCAGAAAGCAGCACGCCAAACGGCACCTCCGCCATGAGTCTCTTTCTCACAGCCATCTCCAGCGTCTCTCTCACCTTCTTGTAGTCGACAGGAGTGGTTGGGATCTTCTCGCCGTCCCACCACGAAGGCGTGAAGTACCGGGTCAGCTTGTCGGTCCTCGAGTCGTACACGTGACCTGGAGGGAAGTGGGTGATCTCGTCGCACTCGTCGGTCAGACATTTCAGCTCCGAGGCGAAAAACACCGTTCCTGGCCTGCTGGACGAACGGCCCATGTACAGCGTCGTGATACCAATAGGGTCTCTGGAAGCAACGACTCTGTCCTCCTCCTTGTCATAGAGCACCCACGCAAACATACCGTCCAGAAATTTGGGGGCGTCCACGTCGTACTTCTGGAACAGCGGGATGATAGGCTCGCAGTCAGAGAGAGTCTTGAACTTGTAGTCCTTGAACTCCTCTCTGATGTGGATGTGGTTGTAGATCTCGCCGTTGACGGCAAGAGTGTATCTCTCGTCCGGAGAGGTGATTGGCTGGGCGCCGGAATCAAGGCCAACGATGGCCAGTCTCTCGTGGCACAGGATCGTGTTGTTGACGATCTTGTTTCCGGACCAGTCCGGGCCTCTGTGTCTGATTCTCTTCGAGTATTGCAGGGCCTTGCCCTTGAAGGCCTCCACCTCCTCGACGTTGTAAGCAGCAAAGATACCACACATGTTGAAGATGTTTTTCTGGTGAAAAATTATTTATTTAGTCATCGTCGTGCAAAGTCGAAACAGAGATAATGGCGATGGTGGCTGATTCGGCGACTGGCTTGAGCCGGATCCGGGGGTGTTTGAAGCGGTGGTAGCGTGTAGACCACACACGTCTTGAGACGGGACCGCGGAGCACGCGACCAGCCAGAACGTCCGCTACGGGGACCGCGACAATCTCCGTGTCGCGTTACCCGGTGCGATAAGCTGTCGGAGTAGCTCGCGATGCGAACGTGGAAGAAGAGGGGTCTGAGAGTCTGTTTGTGGAGTCACAAGGGACGGAGAAGGGAGCAGAGAAAGATACAGTGGTGTACACGTCTTGTAAGCCCACCCCACTCTCCCCTGCTAAGCGCTTCTCAGCGATATGCAACCAATGGGTATCTCTGTATCAACACGCTGAACTCTAACTCGTCAACGGCCGCACCCGTCTACATAGCGGTACGCGGCACCCGCACCCTCCCATTTTCCGTCTTCTCCCATAAACTCACATCAAAAAATGTTTGCATGCTTAAATTTGTTCGCCCTCTATCGTATATCTCTCGAACAAATAAAATGAGTGTTTCTGAATCCGTCAAGCCGCTGTTTGCACAGATCGACAAGCTCAAGCCGGAGTACGTCAACAGACTGGCGCAGGCCGTCGCCATTCCGTCTGTGTCCAGCGACGAGTCCCTCAGACCACAGGTGTTTGCCATGGCCGATTTCCTGAAAAAACAGCTGGAGTCCCTTGGTGCTGAGGACATCCAGCTGCGCGACCTGGGAACCCAGCCTCCGCCTGTGTCGGATCCAAAATTACAATTGCCTCCAATTGTATTGGCTCGTTTCGGCAAGAGCCCAGCGAAAAAAACCGTATTGGTGTACGGCCACTACGACGTCCAGCCGGCGCTGCTGGAGGACGGCTGGAACTCGGACCCTTTCAAGCTCGTTGAGAAAGATGGCAAACTGTACGGCCGCGGCTCCACAGACGACAAGGGCCCTGTCATGGGCTGGCTCAACGCCGTCGAGGCCCACAACAAGGCGGGCATCGAGCTGCCAGTCAACCTCGTTTGCTGCTTTGAAGGCATGGAGGAGAGCGGCTCGCTGGGTCTGGACGAGCTTGTTGCCCAGGAGGCAGACAAGTACTTCAAGGGCGTCGACACCGTGTGCATCTCGGACAACTACTGGCTCGGAACCAAAAAACCAGTGCTCACCTACGGCCTTCGCGGATGCAGCTACTACCAGATCACCGTGAGCGGGCCGGGCGCGGACCTGCACTCGGGCATTTTCGGAGGCGTGATTCACGAGCCTATGACCGACCTCTTCAACGTCATGTCCAAGCTGGTCGACACTCAGGGCAACATCCAGATTCCTGGTGTCAACGAGATGGTGGCACCTCTCACAGAGAGAGAGGAGAAGCTGTACGAGAAAATTGACTTTGACGTGGACGAGCTGAACCTTGCCTCCGGCTCCAACACCGCCATCTACCAGGACAAGAAGAACATACTTATGCACAGATGGAGATACCCTTCATTGTCGCTGCACGGAATTGAGGGTGCTTTCTCTGGAGGAGGAGCCAAGACCGTGATCCCAGCCAAGGTTGTTGGAAAATTCTCCATCAGAACTGTGCCTGACATGGACCCGCGCAAGCTGGACGAGTACGTGTTCAAGTTCTGCAAGGAGAAGTTTGCCGAGCTCAAGTCTCCAAACAGCTTCAACGTCGAGCTGATCCACGACGGTAACTACTGGGTTAGTGATCCGTTCAATGAGGCTTTCACTGCTGCTAGAAAGGCCACACAGCTTGTCTGGAACGTCGACCCCGACCTCACCAGAGAAGGTGGCTCCATTCCGATCACCCTGACGTTCGAAGAGCAGCTCAAGACCGATGTTCTGCTGCTTCCAATGGGCAAGGGAGACGATGGGGCACACTCGATCAACGAGAAGATTGACGTTGCTAATTATCTGGAGGGTGTCAAGACGTTGAGTGCTTACTTGCACTATTTCGCTGCAGGCAAGGACAGCGAGTAGCTGGGTAAACGTGGCGGAACAAGCTAGTGGTGTAATGAGTAACAAAGTTATCAGGGACATGCGATAAATTCCTGAGAGAATTCTTCAGTAGCTTGAATTGAGTAAACTACAAAAGGGAATAGATATGCTCATAAAGCCAATAATATATGAAAAATATTGAAATATTGAAATATTGAAAAAATTAATTTTCATACTCTATGACGACCAGACAGTCTCAGGTCGCCCTGATCTGCCTAAAAAAGGAGTTTCTGAGCGGAGCTCCCGAGGAACGGCCAACCAAGCTGCTGATCAATGGCCAGTATGCGAAGCTCGCCGGCTCCGATCTGCGCCTAATCTTCCATGATCAAAGTATCCTTGAGCTGTGCGATATCGAGAGTTTGGGACACGAGCAGCTGCGAAACGTCGTTGATCGCATAACAGACAAAATGATTAGCGTGTCTGAAGAGCTGTCTTATTTTTCGGCCATTCTGCTGCTCCAAATCTTCGTCCAGACCAACTTCACAGGCCCTAAACTGCCTCTGGTAGAAGAACTGGGCTTTCTCACAAACCTCACAGCCTCCACTCCAGCAGCTCTGTCTCTTCTTTCTCTGTCAGGACAACGGCCCAACAAACTTGTGGACTGGCCCATGGCCCTGATTTTGTCGCTGCGTCTCTTCGAAAAGCTGCAACGCTGCGAACTCAGTCTTATTGGAGAAAACCAGTCCATCGAGCCTGAAGCTGCCGTCAGCCAATCAAACGTCCCAGAGCTCACGGAGGACAACCACCTCCAAGCCGCTCTGTGCTGGTGGCGCGCAAGAGCACTGCAGGTCCAGCAGTCACTGTTCCACGACCAAAACCCAGTGCTGTCTACGCTAACGTTCTCGCTGCTTTGTCCCTCTTTGGTGGCAGCGCTGATGGACAATACAGATGTCAACACAGTTACAAACCAGTACATTCTAGTTCTGTACCATCTGGAGCGAGCCAGAGCCGCGCTAAGTGCCGGCTCAGAGACCCAGGCCGCAGAGAGTCTGGCTAAGGCGAAGTCTGCCTCAGGGCTCCAGTTTGTGCTCACAGGCTGCAAGGCCAAGCGGACCAAGTTCCAGGAGAAGGCATTTGCGGCACTGGCTGTTCTGGCCCGCTCGCAGGACACTCTGTTGCGCGCTGGGTCGGAAAATCGACAGAATCCGCAGGAGGTGGCTCTGAACGACGACCTCTTTCTGGAGCGGTTGCAGTACGAAAATCTGGGCGACGACCAGGCCCTCGAAGAGCTTGGAGACGAGAAACGCGTCAAGATCGACTTCCCGAACTACGAGTCCACCGAAGACCAGGAATCGAGGCTGCTCCCGATCGCTGCCAAGGAAGAGGACATCCCTGCACCGCTGCGGTCGCTGGACCCAAATAGCCAGCCGCCGCTCGCCGATCTCGACAGTGTGCAGCTTTTGCTGCGTCTGGAGACGATCCGCGCGAACTCGCCGGCCAACAACGCGCTCGTGGGCGAGGAGCTGAGGGCGCTTGTGGAGAGAGTCCTGTTTTCTCCGCCGGGAAGCGTCAACTGGCTCGTTTTCAGCAACGCTCTGTGGCAGCGGTCTCTGCTAGAAACCACCAGGCCCAAGACGGTCGAGAGAGGGGTTTTGCAGCTGTACTCGCTTGTCGAGGAGCTCGGCGTGCACGCGGAGCAGACCGCCCGCCTGTTCCCAAAAACCAAGGAGGAGGAGCAGTTCCCGGAAATTTTCACAGCTTCAGATCTCCCGGACGACACTACACTAATAAATGCCGTGAGATCGCAGTACATCTACGCTTTGTCGCTAAGCCCGAAATGGTCGCTGGACTCCAGGCTGGCAGAAAAGCTCATTGAGCTCGGCTCCGTCAAGTCTGCGCTCGAGATCTACGAAAGACTGCAGCTGTGGACCGACGCTGCTCTGTGCTACGGCTCGATAGGAAACGAGAAAAAGGCCGAGGAGCTGGTTCTGCGGCAGCTCGCAGAGACGCCCGACGACGCGCGCGCGCTGTGCGTGCTCGGCGACGTGCGCCAGGACCCGGCGCTCTGGGAAAAAGCGTGGCAGCTCGGCCGCTACGCCAACGCCAAACGGTCGCTCGCAAAATACCACTACCGGCTCCCGGACGGGTCACGTGACTACGCCGCGGCGATCGGCCACCAGTACGACTGTGTGCGTGCGAACCCGCTCAGCTTCGAGAACTGGTACTTCTACGGGTGCTTGGGGCTGGAGACGGAGAACTACGAGCTGGCCGCAGAGGCGTTCACGCGGTGTGTTGCGCTGGACGATGGCAGCCAGTACTCGTGGTCGAACCTGGCGTCGGCGCTGCTGCGGCTGGACAAGCTGAAGGAGGCGTTCACGGCGTTGCAGCGGGCGGTGAGCTCGGGCGACACGGAGAAGGCCTCGTGGAAGATCTGGGAGAACTACCTGATTGTGGCGGTGAAACTGGGCCGTTGGGACGACGTGCTTCTTGCGTCGCGCACTTTGCTGGACACGCGGAAGCTTGACGGCGACGGGTCGCTGGATATCCCGATCTTGGAGAAACTGGCCACGCTGCTTGTTTCCGAGCCGTACGACGAGGACGCGCGACAGACGCATTTCAAGAGAACGTGTCTCAAGTTCCTGTGTCAGGAGGTGCCGGCCGTGGTGAACTACAGCGCTCGCGTGTGGCGCATTGTGGCTAAGGTGGACCTGTGGCGCAAGAAGCCGTGGCTGGCTCTCGAGGACTACGAGAAAGCGTACCGCGCGGCGGTCAGCCGGCCGGAGCTCGAGGTGGACCAGGACGTGTGGCGAGAGGCCGTGACGGCGTGCGAGGACCTGGTGTCTGCGTACGAGAATTTTGGCGAGCTACCGGGCAAACACAATGCCGGCGACGTGGTCTGCAAGGACTGGCGGTTCAAGGCGCGGTCGACGGTGCGGTCGCTGCTGTCGAAGGGCAAGGTTTGGGAGGACACAGAGGAGTATGTGCGGCTGCAGGAGTTGAGAGATGAGATAAAGAATAAATAGAGCTAATTAGAAAATGGTAGCATGGAGACTAGGTGAAAAAATTTCAGTTAAATAAAAATGGTAGCAATAATATAGCAGCTACAAAATGGCTTCTCATGAGCACGCGCTGTGGATCTTCTTCTTCCGTCTCTTTGGCTTTTCCCTCATGGGGCTTCCCTCCTTCCTGAACGAGGCAGACTCTCTGAGCTCGGCCCCGACAGCGATCGTGTCGTAGTCGGTGATCGAGAGCATCAGCGTGAACTTTGTCCTGGCCAGCACCCAGGTCTTGTGAACGGCGTGCGGCAAAACGTCCTCGTTGAACGCCTTGTCCAGGAACCGCAGCAAGTTCGACACTGCCAGCCGGCTGGCGTCAGAGTACTCGACCCGCAGCCCCCATACAAAAATGTAGAATATCAACACGTACAGGGAGCCCAGGTTGTTGGCCTCTTTGCAGAGAAGCCCGATAACCGCCAGGTCGACGTGCGCGGCAAACAGCAGCAGCGGATACTCGATATACGTGACCAGCGGCGTGATTGCGAGCGACAACGGGTGTTTGGGAAACGCCTCGATGATGCAGTAATTGGTGAGGTTGAGCAGCGAGTACGCGGCAAAGGGGAAGATCTTTAGCATATTGGTTGGTGTCGTCAGCCACAGACACGCATAGACCAGCAGATGTGTGTTCTCGGACTTGAGAATCTCGGCCAGCGGGACCGTGTGGTAGTCCATCTGATGAGACTTGACAGAGCCCGACGGAGTAGCCACCATCAGCTCTGGGTCCAGAATGTGTCTTCTGTACACGACGAGCGAGTACGTGCAGATCGATCCCGCCAAGGAGAGATTGTACCAGGGCACAGACGCAAAGATCAGGGAGGCAGGACTGACGAATCTGCAAAAGTGCATCACCGCACCCAGAAACGTGACAAAATGAGAGAAAATCCATATGTATTGCAAGCTGTCGTTGGGGAAGATGTTGAGCACGGACTCGGAGACGCGCTTCCAGGGAATGCGCGCCGCCAGGTCGGCCATTTTGTCTATAATCCCACTCTTCATAATAGCAAAGGTTGAAGACTTTTTTGGTCCAGCGGGTGTCTGAAATATGGCGGCAGAATTAGGTAAGCCACAGAGCCAGAGCAAATATATACAGGACGAGCCAGACGCCACCAGACGACTGGGTGGCAGCCTGCAGGCCGCTCAGGCCGCTCACTCCTTCAGCAGCGGCGTGTCTGGCTCTGGCTTCTGTGGAGCGTCCTTGGCGTGGTGGCCGATCAGATCGCGCAGTTTTTCGGGGATATCTTCAAACGCAAGGTCATCGGGCGTCACAGTGACACTCTCGCCTTTCAATGCCAGGATGTCCTGGATGTTTATGCGGTGGTCAGAAAAAATCTGGAGTTAGTCTGGAGCAATAGGGAAAACTTACCTTTAGATGATCTGCAATTAAATGTCTGTTTTTGCAGCCCGGACACTGCACCAGAACAGTTCCGGAGGTGTAGGCTTGTTTGGATATTATATGGGACGACCTCTCATGACACTTTTTGCAGGTGAAGGCCAGCATCAGCATTGGTTTGTCCATCCTGACTGTCGACGATTGCAGACGCACTGCAAAGGCGTTGGCTGGTCTGATAGCCAGGCGTGCACATGGTATTCTGCAAATGAGAGGAGTCTGTGTCCTCAGAATTCTGGCTCCCAGGGCTGCCGTTCTCGCTAGTCTGGGAATGTTCCACATGGATGAGAAATAAATCAAATAAATAAAATAAATACTATAAAAAAAATAAAATATAAGTGAAAAATTAGAGATATTTTTTATGCTACGACGGTGGATTTTTGCCAGACGTTTGGCCACCAAGACGAGACTGCCGCAGGGCAGGACACCAGAAACGCCGCCTATGAGCGACAGCGAGCTGCTGGAGGCGATCGAGAAGGACCCCGAGATCGTGAACGACAGAAACTGGCGAAACTCCTACTACCACCAGCTCTCGCAGCTGTCTGGCGTGCTGGACTCGCGATTCCAGGAAAAGCTGCAGAAGAGCCTGCGCAAAATCGAGAGCTACAACATGCGCATCAACACGCCGATCGAGGAGCGGATTCGCGTGGACCTCACCAAGGAAAACGTCACGTTCAGAGACTTCTATTCAAATGTACTAGTTGCAAAAGCTATCGAGAATTCGACCGGCATATCCAGGGCAACAGAATTCCAGAAACGGATCCTCGCGCTGGCCAGTGGCTACGTGAGCACAGTGGCCGTGGGCGAGCCGGGAACAGGCAGAAGCACGGCGTTGTTCACGCACGGACTCTTTCTTCGCCGTGCTCCGGCTCGCGGAGAGGGAATAAACTCGCTCGTGCTGGTGAACTCCGGGCTGCAGGCAGTGCAGATGCAGAAGTACGCGGAAAAAGTGTACGAGAGCATCCGTCACGTCAAGCCAAAGAGCCTCCCCAATATCCAGACAATGGCACAGTTTCTGTACCGTGCAGACCAGCAAACAGAAGAGCAGCAGATCAAGCACCTCATGGACACTCCGTGCCCCCACATTCTCGTGTCGACGCCGCAGCGTCTGCTGGATTTGCTGGCCACTCGCGGTATGGACTTCATGAAGGTGAACAGTGTGGCATACATCGGAGTGGACGACATCGACCACATGATGGACGTCGACGCGCCGATCGACGACCAGCGCAAGACGCCCATTGTGAAGCTGCTGGATTACGTGCTGAAGCTCCAAGACTACCGGCGTTTTCACAACGAGCCGCATCCGCAGCTGCTGTTCACCACCACGGCGCCCACTCCGCGGTCGTTTCTGGACGAGTTGCAGGAAAACACGCAATGGTTCGACTGGAGCAAATTCCACGAGATGGGCAATTTCTCCAGGGGCAACATGGCCGACACCTGTGTTGTGCCCAAGAACGTCGGCGTGGGATGTGTTTTGGTGCGGCCAAACATGACCAAGTCCAAAAAAGTCCGCACAAATTTGGTAGGCATGAAAGCTCCAGATTACGGCGACCGCCACGATTGGGAGCAGCAGGCCGACGGAGAGACGGCCTATGTGAAGTATTGGAAACGGAAACGCAGTCTAATGGACAAGCAGGTTCGCGAGGGCGAGCTGGCGGTGCTTGTTTCCGGACTGGTCAAGCTGCTGAAAAAGCAGAAACAGAACTTCCAGAAGTCTGTCTTGGTGATCGTTTCTGACGAAACCAGCGTGTTCAAGGTGCAAAGCTTGCTCACGAAGCTTGGCAAGAACGCCGAGGTGTACAATGGTCAGGAGTTTGACGCGGCCGCGAGAGAACGGCTGCTGATCGCCAACGTGAAGACCGTCGAAGGCATGACGTTCAAGTCATTGGACACCATGGTTGTTCTCGGGCTGGACGCGCTCCGCGACACAAAGACGTTTGTTAGTCTTTCTGGCAGGTTCCGCAACGAGACCGGTCTGATTGAGCAGGACCAATTCGGCCTTGTGGACGACGAAAAGGAGGTGAAAAATAAACTGGTAGTTCTGTCGCCGGTTCTGGACGTTGGCGAAGAGGAAAGAAACCATCTGCGTCGTCTGTGTCTGCGTGGCGGCCTTGTCAAGTGGATCGACGTCGTCGGAATTTCCGAATGAGCCCTGTATATATGTATAGTAGTAATTAGGCCCCTTCCAAAACACTCTTTCTTACGCTCTCGACGATCTGCTCCCGGCTAGGCTCTGTGTTCTGCGAATTGTCGACGTGCTCAACCTCAACGTCCTTCTCGCGCCACACAAGCGACCGGATGCGCTCCTCCACTTGCAAACACGTATCTTCGATTTTCTGGATGGTTTCTGTGTCGTTTCTGATCTTCTCTTCCATCTTGAGAATCAGTCCCTCGCGCGACTGGTGCAGACGGTAGCTGTTGAGCAGATGATGCAGGTTGATCAAAATCACGCGGATCTGCTCAATCTTCACGTGCGCCTGTGCAGGGTTCTTGGCCAGCAGCCCTGTAAATTCCAGGAAGTTAAGCAGTAGCGACTTGGTCATTTTCTTGAGCTCCTCGATACGCTCCACCGTGAACGTCTCCTCCTCGACATTGTCCGCCTCCTCGTACAATTGCTGGATCCCGGACTCCTCCAGCGTGATGAACTTGTCCTCAAAGTTCCAGATGTCTCCAAAAGAGCGGTACTGTGGCTTGTTGGGGGGCAGAGGAGGGACAAGAAACCGCAGATCTTTGGTCTCCGAGAGCACTTTGTCGGCGTCCGGGCCGTGCTGTCTGCGCAATTCTGCCGCACGCTGCACGTTCTCGGCGGTGAAAAAGCGAACATACGGCGGCGGCGGCGGATAAAGAGAGGATATCAAATCGGACATGAAGAAAATAATTTCATATATTTTTTTATTTGTTAAATTTTTGTTCAATCCGTTCGCCCTCGTCAAAATGGCCGACCAAATGGATATAGATTTGCCGACGCCAGCACCGCAGCAAGCCAAGAAAAAGCGGTTTGAGGTCAAGAAGTGGACCGCAGTGGCCTTCTGGACGTGGGATCAAAACAATGAGACCTGTGCCATCTGTAGAAACCACCTGATGGAACCGTGTATCGACTGCGGCAACAACCCAAACTTTGGCGCCAATTCGAGAACAGCAACCCACACAAAGTGTCCGCGCGCAGTGGGAGTGTGCAACCACTCGTTCCACCTGCACTGCATCGATACATGGATCCAGAAAAGAAACTCGTGTCCTCTGGACAACTCAGACTGGTCAATTAAGGATATTCTTAAAGATTAGAAGTCTATTTACCGAGCTGTCGCCAAACGTTCTTGAACGCGCCAATCAAATCGCATTCTCCTCCAACCAGTTTCACTATTTCTCTCTTGACGACCTCGAGCTTGAGCATGAAGCGCATGGAGTCGTTTCTGGTCTGCAATTGGCCAAACTCGCACAGCTCGGCGATCTTGGGGTCTGCCGACTGGTCGTGTGCCTTCGGAACAGCCGCCAGGATGCGCAAGTCGTTTGTGCGGCCGTAGAGCTCGGCAAACTTCGTCGCCTCGGCCCTGAAGCCCTGCACAGCTGCGTTGTCCGAGCCAAGCTCGCCTTCCGTGTATGCCACGATTTTCTGACGTTAGTTTGTTGTGCTGCGCATTTTCTACTCACCTCGAGCTGCGCAAGCAGCTTTGGATATTCAAACACACTCAACATGTCAACGTCAAGACCTAAATTTTTTTCCATCGAAGACCAAAATAAACATCATGGCTGTGCATGGCTGTGTTTTTTTTTTTCAGAGCTGCTCAACAGTGTGCACGGTTTGGTCCTTGTCGATGCAGGATATACCGAAAGAGTCGTACAGGCTTGCCTGCGAGTCGGCCACGTCCAACGAGCCATACTGAGCCTTCGCAAGGGCGCTGCGGTTCCGTCGTGGCACGAGAAACAGGCCGAGCACAGCGACGATGTTGAGAGCCTGCACCACAGCGAGCAGCGCGACCGAATCGAATAAGTACCCAAACTGCCAGCGCGTCGTCATAACCACGAGCACAGCTACCGTCTCTCCGACGTTCTGGTACGGTTTTCTGCCGCAAAAGTACGTGCTGTAGCACTCGGCTAGTTTGGTGGCCACCACGAGCACCATGCCGATCAGCGCGGGTGTTCCGGCAGGTAGGGGCGGCGAGGTTTGCAGGCTGTGGTTTATGGGGCTTGCGTTCGACGGCACAGGCGACACGGCCAGAAGCGCGGCCAGGACAGGCGCTGTTTGAGGCTTGTGTTTTGGAGGATAACTTCCAGACGTCACAAGGTTGTTGTCGTTGTTCCAGAGCGGCAGGTGGTCTATTGTCTCTGCCCTGTTGGCGGGGATTGAGCTGGGCGTGAAGAAGAACCGGTTTTGACGGGGCGGACAACATGGCCTCGCGGCCGGTAGTGGGCTGTTTAGCCGCGATTGTTGGATCCACAGGAAAACCAGATAAGCGTCGAGCAACGCCCTGAGCACTAGCGAAAGAGCCAGGTTGAGGTCTGTCTGCCATGCTGAGGAAAACACGCAGTTCAGCAAGTCCAGCACGGTGCCCAGGATCGGGACCAAACTCGCGGTGGAGCCGACCGTCGGCACGGAGGCCACCGGCAGGAGTGCGAACACGAACGTGTTTGCAAGCTTTGCGGCCTCGTAAACAGACATGGCGAAAGAAGAAGGAAAGAGCAGTTTTTATTTATTTCCGGATGATGTCGAAATTCAACGTCAAAAGATAAGAATTCTTATCTGTACGCATAATCATGCGTCGCAATAAAGATTTGCTTTTTCACGAATACGCAACCTGTAGAGGAGGACACATCCAAGATACCGTCTATTGGACACTGTTTTTGGCGGGGACGGGCGGTCCAGGCTGCCAGCAGCGGCAGCACTCCAAACTGTGTGGATGTGTCTGCTGGACTTGGCGGCAGTGCCGGCCACAGCCCTGCCGCTAAGGCTCTGCCTTCCCGGCTACCGCATCATGGAACTCTGTGGAACGTGCGCGTGGTCTGTGGCTGGTGGACATAATTCGTGCTCCGCCGGGTAACAAACTTTGCTGTTTATATTTTATTATTTCGCTTCGCTGTTATTGCCACTATGGATGAAACATTAATCCAAACGATCAACAAGCTCCAGGACGCTCTCGCGCCTCTCGGCTCCGGCTCGACCTCGCCCGTCGATCTGCCGCAGATCACCGTTGTCGGGTCGCAATCGTCGGGAAAGAGTTCCGTGCTAGAGAACATTGTTGGCCGCGAGTTCCTTCCTAGAGGAACGGGCATTGTGACTAGACGGCCGCTGATTTTGCAGCTGATCAACCGGCGCAGCGGCAGCAAGAGCGCCGCGAGCGACCTGATTGACATCCAGACCACAGACGCGCAGGGCAACAAGACGGAGAACAACACAGAGGAATGGGGAGAGTTCCTGCACCTGCCGGGCAAGAAGTTCTTCAACTTTGACGACATCCGGGACGAGATTGTGAGGGAGACGGAGGCCAAGACGGGCAAGAACGCCGGAATCAGCTCTGTGCCGATCAATCTGCGGATCTACTCGCCCCACGTGCTGACGCTGACGCTGGTGGATTTGCCGGGGCTCACCAAGGTGCCTGTGGGCGACCAGCCAAAGGACATCGAGAAACAGATCAGAGACATGATTATGAAGTTCATATCGAAGCCGAACGCCATCATCCTGGCGGTCAATGCTGCCAACCAGGACCTGGCCAATAGTGACGGCCTGAAGCTGGCCAGAGAGGTCGACCCCGAGGGGCTCAGAACCATCGGTGTGCTGACGAAAGTCGACCTGATGGACCAGGGAACCGACGTGATCGACATTCTGGCCGGCCGAGTGATCCCGCTGCGGTCTGGATACGTTCCCGTGATCAACAGGGGCCAGAAAGACATCGAGAGACGCAAGACCATCAGGGAGGCGCTGAACGACGAGAGACGGTTTTTCGAAAACCATCCGTCGTACAGCAGCAAGGCGCACTACTGCGGCACTCCGTACCTGGCCAAGAAGCTGAACGCGATCCTGCTGAACCACATCAGAACCACGCTTCCTGAGATCAAGGCCAGAATCGAGACCGCGTTGAAAAAATACCAGCAGGAGCTCTCTGCGCTGGGCCCGGAGATGGCCGAGTCGCCAAGCTCGATTGTTTTGAGCGTGATCACCGACTTCTGCAACGACTACACGGGAATTCTGGACGGACAGACCAAGGACATCTCGTCCAACGAGCTGAGCGGAGGAGCCAGAATCAGCTTTGTGTTCCACGAGATCTTCAAGAACGGAGTGTATGCTCTTGACCCATTTGACCAGATCAAGGACGCAGACATCAGAACCATCATGTACAACTCGTCTGGTTCTGCTCCGTCGCTGTTTGTGGGCACACAGGCTTTCGAGGTGCTTGTGAAACAGCAGATCCACAGATTCCAGGACCCCTCGCTCAGATGCATTACGCTTGTGTTTGACGAGCTGGTGCGTATTTTGTCGCAGATTCTTGCGCAGCCAGAGTACGCAAGATATCCCGGCTTGAAAGAGCAAATATCCCAGATTTTCATCCAGTACCTGCGGGAGTCTGTGCTTCCAGCCAACACGTTTGTCGAGGATATCATCAAGGCCGAACAGACCTACATTAATACTGCACACCCGGACCTGCTCAAGGGGTCTCAGGCGCTTGCCATGGTCCAGGAGAAACTGCATCCTACGCCTGTGCAGGTCGATCCAAAGACGGGGAAGCCACTGCCTGCTCCGGCGCACTCGGCCCCGTCGATCAACGACGAAGAGAACAAGTCGTCGTCGTTCTTTGGTGGCTTCTTCTCGTCCAAGAATAAAAAACGGCTGGCAGCCATGGAGGCTCCTCCTAGCGTGCTGAAGGCCACGGGCCAGATGACTGATAGAGAGACCCAGGAGACAGAGGTGATAAAGCTGCTGATACAGTCGTACTTCAACATTGTCAAGCGGACGGTGGCCGACATTGTTCCAAAGGCCGTGATGCTCAAGCTGATCCAGCAGTCCAAGAACGACATCCAGAAGGTGCTTTTGGAGAAGCTGTACGGCAACAAGGACCTGGACTCGCTGGTGAAGGAGAACGAGATCACCGTCGCGAGAAGAAAGGAGTGCAAGAAGATGGTGGAGGTGCTCAGACACGCTTCGGAGATCGTTTCCACCGTCTAGGCCCCCCGAGAGCCTGATAAATACACGACCACCTAAAGAATTAATCCCAGTTATTTTTCAGTAGTTTGTTTTTCAAGAGTGGCAAACCTAGACGGAGACAGGTTAGCTGGCAATACGACCGCGAATTCGACACGCTAGCCGCTGATATTTAGGTTTATGTCTGTTACACGAATGTGCAGGGCGGTTCCGGCCCGGAACGCCCCTTTTTTGCGCTGTGGGGCCCGATTACTACTGAGCAGGCAGGTGTCGCAGACTGCGACCCAGAAGGTGTCTCAGACGGCCCATTTGGCCCATTTGGCCCATTTCAGGGTGCCGAGCACTGCTCGCCCCTCTGTGCGGTTTATTCGTCCCGGCGGTGTTCGTTTCAACTCGTCGAAGAAGTTCAACAGCGACGGCGACCGCGAGTTGACCGACGAGGAGGCGGAGGAGCTGCTGATCGATCTGAAGAAAATCTGGTACAAAAAGGACCTGAGCGAGGAGGAGCAGAAGGCAAAGATCAGACAGCTGTTTGACAAGTACGAGATCGGGGGACTCATCTCGCCGTCCTCGACAAAGATGATCAATACGATTCTGACGGACGAGATGGCCACTCGTGCGGGCGAGAAGATGGAGAACGTGCACAAGTTCCACAAGTCGCTGCTGGACTACCATATGGAGAAGCAGGAGCAGTTCAACGAGCGGGAAGAGAAGGACGGGCTGTTTGGCAGCAAGTTCAGTCCGCCGAAGGGGGACGCGGGTCCGGGCGGTGCTGCTGGCGGGCCCGGGCTGAGGCCCGATGTGCTGCTGTTCTGGGTGTCGACGGGGCTGTTGACGTACTATCTTTTTTCGCTGGAGTCGCACGAGCGCGAGATCACGTGGCAGGATTTCCGCACGTCGCTGCTGGACAAAGGTTACGTGGAGAAACTGGTGGTGGTGAACAACAACCTTGTGCGGGTGGTGATGAACGAGCTGGGGCGGAGCCAGCCGGTGCACGACTCGCGCACCGAGTACTACTTCACGATCGGCTCTGTGCAGGTGTTTGAGGAGAAGCTGAAGCAGGCGCAGGAGGAGAACAAGGTTCCCGAGGAGCTGCGGCTGCCGGTGATGTATGTGCAGAACGCGTCTGTGTTCAAGGCGCTGTACAACATTCTGCCGACGGTGCTGTTGTTTGCGTTTATCATTTGGTCGTCGAAAAAGATGCTCAACAGCGCTCCGGGCATTGGCGGTGGTCTATTTGGCACCCCAGGCAACCGGTTCAAGCGGTTCAACGCGGAGAAAAGCGTCAAGATCAAGTTCGAGGACGTGGCGGGCTGCGACGAGGCCAAGGAGGAGATCATGGAGTTTGTGAAGTTCCTGAAGCATCCGGAGAAGTACGAGCGGCTGGGCGCCAAGATCCCGCGGGGAGCCATTCTGACAGGCCCGCCGGGCACGGGAAAGACGATGCTGGCCAAGGCGACGGCGGGCGAGGCGGGCGTGCCGTTCTACAGCGTTTCTGGGTCTGAGTTTGTGGAGATGTTTGTTGGAGTCGGGGCGTCGCGGGTGCGCGAGCTGTTCAAGACGGCGCGCGAAAACGCGCCGTCGATCATCTTTGTGGACGAGATCGACGCGATCGGCAAGTCGCGGTCGAAAGGCCGTGCTGCCGGCAGCAACGACGAGAGAGAAAACACCTTGAACCAGCTGCTCGTCGAGATGGACGGGTTCACCACGTCGGACTACGTGGTGGTGCTTGCGGGCACAAACCGTGCGGACGTTCTGGACCAGGCGCTGCTCAGACCGGGCCGGTTCGACAGAAAGATCTATCTGGACAACCCGGAGCTGGAGGGCAGAAAGGCCATTTTCGACGTGCACCTGCGCAACATCAAGCTGAAGGAGGGCGCCGACTTGGACGACCTCAAGGGCCGGCTGGCGACGATGACGCCTGGCTTTTCGGGCGCAGACATCGCCAACTGCTGCAACGAGGCCGCGCTGATCGCGGCCAGACACAACGAGGAGTTTGTCGACCTGCACGACTTCGAGCAGGCGATCGAGCGGGTGATTGCCGGGCTGGAGAAGAAAAGCAAGCTTCTGTCGCCGGACGAGAAGCGCATCGTTGCGTACCACGAGGCCGGCCACGCCATCTGCGGCTGGTTCCTGGAGAACGCGGACCCGCTGCTCAAGGTGTCGATAGTGCCGCGCGGCCAGGGAGCCCTGGGCTACGCGCAGTACCTGCCGCCAGACATCTACCTGTACAGCACGCGGAAACTGCTGGACCGCATGACGATGACGCTGGGCGGCCGTGTGTCGGAGGAGCTGCACTTCAACTCTGTCACGAGCGGCGGCTCGGACGACTTCGAGAAGGTGACGAACCTGGCGCAGAAAATGGTGCTGGAGTGCGGCATGTCGCCGAAAGTGGGGCTCGTCAACTACAACGTGGACCGCGGCAACGACATGACGAAGCCGTTCAGCGACAGGACCTCGAGCCTGATCGACTCGGAGATCCACCGCATCGTGGACGAGTGCTACCAGCGGTGCAAGGGTTTGTTGACGGAGAAATCCAAGGAGGTGGCCCTTGTTGCCGAGGAGCTGCTCTCGAAGGAGGTGATCACGAGGGAGGACATGATCCGGCTGCTGGGGAAGCGGCCGTTTGCCAACAAGAACGACGCCTTCGACAAGTATCTGGCCGAGAAGGAGGAGCGGGAAGGAGAGGAGAAGTGAATCTACAATTGTCTTGTCTATAGTATGCTAGAGAGTCTAGACCGGAATGTTTTGAGCGCTAGTAGTCGCCGTAGAGGGCCACGTTGAAGCCGAGGCCGGACCGGTCGCGGCCTGCGATCGGCAGCTCGTAGTAGACGTTGCAGTGCGCCACGGAACCGACCTTGTACGTGAGGCCCAGGGCAGCGCCTGAGCGCCAGCTGAGCAGCTGCGCCGGGTCGGAGGCCACCTGGCCGCCGTTGAGGTCGACGTAGACCCGAAGCGGGTACGCTGGGTCGACAAAGAGCAGTCTGGAGAGCAGGCGCAGGTTGCCGCTGATGTACGACGTGCCGCCGAACCTGGTCTCGCTGGGGCTCGGGTAGCCGAGCGTTTTGGAGCCCAGCACGTCGAGATAGAACTTGTCGTGGTAATGGATGGTTTTGGAGCCCGAGAGGTTGACGATGTGGCCCGCCGCGAGCTGGCAGTCCAGCGTGAGGCTGTTGCGGAAGACCGACCGGATGAGCTGCAGCGAGGACTCGAGCTTGACGAATTTTTCCGGGCTGGTGTTGGACAGGCCTGTGAGCTCGTTTTTCAGGCTCCAGTGGACGCCGTTGAGCGGGAGCGCGTTTTTCGACGCGGGCAGGTACGTGAGGCTGTCGCACGCGACGGCGAGCAGCACCGACTCTTTGAAGTGGTCGCCCGCGTAGGTTTTGATCTCGTCGCTGGCGCCGTCGTTGACGCGCAGCGTGGTTCTCTTGACGAGCGACACGGCAGCCGAGACAGCCGTGGTGAAGTGTCTGAACAGCTTCAGCTTCTCCACCCCCAGCGTTCCGGAGCCGACCCATTGCTGCTCCGACTGGAACCGCGCGTCGTTCGTGTTGGACACAAACCCGTCCGCAAACAGTTTCAGCGACGTGTCCACCATGGGCGCCTTGTACAGCACGTTGAGCAGCCGCACGGGCGAGTCGGGCACGAGGCCGGCCAGCGACGACACCTGCAGCAGCTCGGCGTTGCCGAACGTGTTGTTGTTGATGTAATTGAGCATCAGCTGGTTGCCCTCTGGGGTGTAGACACTGCCGACGGTGGTGTGGGCCAGTTTTGCCGGGACAAGGTCGAATTTGGCCGTCAGACACAGCGGGCTGTGTGGGTCCTGCGCGGCGGGCTCCACCTGGGCCGCGACTCTGTCGAAGCAATTTGTGAGGGCGAGGTTTTCGAGGGCCGATTGACACCTGCTGTTGAGCTGGCCGACGGTGAGGTCGGCGGAGGAGAGCAGCGGCGACAGCAGCTTGGTGAAGAAGTTGTCTGAAAACTGCTCGCCGCCGGCGACGGTGACGGCCTTCAGATTGACCCCGGCCGTGGCGTTTTGTTGGAGCACTTCAGAGGGAGAGGACATGAGAGAAAAATATTTGGAGCGATTATTTGAAAAATAATTGGAGGGGGAGAAAGGCATGGGTTTTGTGCGGGCGGCAGGAAGCGTAGGTGGACGGAGAGGTTGGAGACGGACTGGGAGACGGACCGGGAAGCGAGTAGCAGGGGGTCTTTTGGGATGGCCTCATCTATGTGTACCTCCCTCCACACTAATCTCTGTCCTTCGGGACATTTGGTCAATCGAAAAAATACAGAGAAGATTAGCATGGCCCCTGCATAAGGATGACACGCTTTACAAAGAGATCTTACCATTTTTTTTCGTTGGCCAGAGAGCCCCAGCCGTGGACACCCCAACCCCCCACGTTAGCAAGACTACGTGGCGACTCGGTGTCCAGCCAGGGCTCGCTGTTTTTTCTGCTTCCGCCGCCCACGTTCAGTTCTGGCTGCGCACAAATTTTTTTAGCAATTATTCATTATGGACTCGTACCTGGCACACGCCCCGGCGTTCCTGGTGCCGCCCGTGCAATTGCCCAAGTACGAGGAGTTCCCCCTCGCACGCAAATACGACAGAGCAAAGTTCCGCACAAGCGCGCGCCACCAGCAGTACTACCAGTACTACGACAAGCTCAACACAGACGGCCTTCTGTTCGAGCCGTACTCGGACTCGGCCACGGCCAGATACTACAAAGAGCACCGCATATACTCGGCACAGGTGGACCGGCAGAAATTGACCTCAGACAGCCCCGACGAGCCGGCCACAGAGCGCCCCTTGGAGACAAGCAACCTCGTGACGTTCCCCGACCTGCTCGCCGGCGACGGCGTCCCCCACCTTATCCACCACTCGCTTGTGCGCATGGGACACCGGATCTGTCTTTTTGGCGGGCTCGAGCTCATGCCGGACGCGCAGTACGAAGCGTACCTGCGCGAGCTCACCGACGACTTCTCCATCCCGGCAGCCAACATCCACATGCACTTCGACTATGAGCTGCCTCCCCCACTTAGCAAGGCCAAGCTCACGTCGCTCCCTCTGCGGCCCAACAAAAACGTGTACACGTACAACTCGGAGACAAGCACGCTGCTCAAGACGTGCGAGCTCGACGGTGTCAAGACGCCGCCGCCGTTGCTGTGTTCTGGCCTGCAGCAGATCAGCGCGTACCATTTCATGCTCCACGCAGGCTTCGAATTGCACACCCACGTAGAGAAGCGCGACGGCCACGTCCACATCACCAGGACGCTCGACCCGCAGACGGCCATGTGGATGTTCGATGTCCGCACACAGCTCTTCACACAGCTCGAGGCCATCCTCAGCTCGTCCATCTCCACCTATCTGCCCCACTACATCCCGCGATTCGGCCACAAAATCCAAGGTATCACCATCGAGCAGAACAATACACCGGACGACGACGACAGCCTCCACTCTGGCCCCTCCCACGACCACACTATTGGCTCGTGCTCGCGGTACTCGCGTCCCGCCGTCGTCTTTGTCATGGGCGGCTACAAACTCGAAGAGCACACAAACCGTTTTGTAGCACTCAACGACCTGTGGAAGTGTGAGCTCTCGGCCAGCAACACGACGGACCCTTCTGCGCGGGGGTTTCAGCTCGAGTTCTCCACGGAAATGATCTGCTCGCTTGTGGGGAACCCGGACATCCTCAACGACCGATTCAGTTTCAGCTACAACGCAAAAGGAGAGCCGTTAGGCCAGGAAAAACGGCAGGTCATCCAGGGCCTGTTCCGCCACGGAATAGACGTCCAATGGCCCAAGCCGCGCGGGTTCTTTAGCATGGACGTTGTGCAGACGACCGATCTTGAGCAGATGGTGGAGAGCGAGTTGGCGGAGCAGCACCCACGCATCAGCCAGCCCAAGCCGAAAAATTGCCGCTATTTCACCGGGTTGCAACACGGTACACGGTCGCCGTCGCCCACGCCGTCGCTGCAGGCGCAACTGCGCGCGTCGTCGCCCTTGTCAGCAACAGAAAGAGCCAACATGCGCCAATATTTCCAGTACGAGGGCCGAATGAGGAGCAGGACCCCATCCTCCACGGAGGAGACGCCGCGGTCGTCGCCGGGCGCTGCGGCGGCGCAGTTTTCGTCGCTCGCAGTGCGCTCGAGCTCGCTCGTGGTGTTTGGCGGCTCCAGCATTGTCCACATAAAAGTGGTGGCCGACGACGGCTCGGAACACGTGTACTCGAAAGTGGAGGTGTTGAGCGACATGTGGTGGTTCGATCTCAACACGGAAACCTGGACGAGCGTACTAACGGTTAAAAAATCCGATAACAGGCCGCTCAAACTGTGTGGCCACGCATCGGCTAGCGACGGGCAACAACTCATGGTGATCGGCGGGTTGCGCGGGTACCAGCTCGACGACAAGCTGCTGGCCACCCAATACAGCGGAGACGCCGCAAAGGAGTACCTGGACATTGCCGAGAAGGCGTTTGACGCGATCAGCGAGAAAGTGGGGCCCGGAATCAACCGCGACGTGTACGATTTCTTTGTGCTCAACTTTGCCACGCGACAGTGGAAACACGCAGAAACACGGCTGTACAACGCCAAGAAGAACCTCATGTCGGGGCATTTCCTCATCAACGTCCACGTACAGGCATTACAGTTCGACTCAAAGGTGGTGATGTGTGGGGGTGGAGACGCGCGTGTCGTCGATAGCAACCATCTGCTGCTACCGGACGAGCAGCAGGACCACTCGTTGGGTGGGGCTTTCGAAATCTTATCGTCGCTCATGAAATTTTAATTACTCGTTACTAAGCAGTCGCGCAACCATCTCGTCCACCGGCACAGCGTACTCCTCGGCCATCTGCCGCGCCACTTGCCGGTCCGGCTCATTCAGACGCTGCACAAAATCGGCGTACCGTCGTTTCTCCACGCCCTCGCGCTCCACCAGCTCTGCAACCTTGTTCAGCCACACAACGTACTCCACGCGGCCGGAAACAAGCCCGTACAGGTGGCGCGACACCTCCCTGTTCACCTGTGTATACTTGGTAGCAGACAATCCCAGCCGTTTCAGCTTTGGTCGTAGCAGAAGGGCCTGGATAAGCGATTTGAGCGTAAAGCTCAGCACAAACGGCGTCTCTTCTCGCACGCGGTCGCCCAGCAGCTTGTTGTGCTCGGCCAGCGCCGCCGCAGACAGCTGCCGCTTGCGGGACGCTCGTTTCGGCCGCTTAAACTTCTCAACGCCGCTCGCGTGAGTGGTATCCACGACGCCCGTTTTTTTACCCCCACGCAGCGCATCGAGCGCCCGCCACGCAATGTCCTCCGATGTGACCGTCTGCTGCCGCCGCTGCTCATCCACAAGAGCAACGTAGTCGGGCTCGTCTCTGGATACAAACACCCCCAATTGCCTCTGACGCCCGTTTCTGATCTGGCGTCGCACGCTTTGCAAAAAAGTCTGCCCCCGTCTGCCCCCACGAGACGGGATCACGCTTCCCGCGTCCTGCAAAGAGTCGCACACAGGACAGTGGAATTGCGCGCCTTCAAGCACCCCCAGACACGCCGTGTGATAGCCGCTCGAGCACTCGCGACAGATCGCAAACGCCCCCGTGCCTGATCGGTCGCACAGACAGCATAGCTGGTTATCGAGGTGGGAGTGCTGGTGCAGAGATGTGTTCTCCACAACCGGCTCGAGCGGCTCAGGAGTCTGTTTTCTGTCCGCCACCGCGGTGGACTGGTACACGCTGTTGTCAGAGATGAGCTCGATGTCGGTAAAAGTTGCCCGACACTGCGGACACGAATTTGCCTTCTGAGCCCATTCATTGATGCAAAATCCATGGTAATAGTGGTGACAGGGCACTGTGCGGGCGAGATGTTGCGCGGATCTGGTTTCCCGCACGATGATCTGGTCTGGATGGGGGAGATCGTCCAAACATATTGGACACAAATCAGGAGGGTTCATATTGTCTGAAGATTAAATCGACTTTTTTTTAATATTTTTGTTTGGTCCGATCGACGCAAATCGACGCGACAGAATCCAATCTCAGATTATTACACATGTTGCATGACGTGACGCAAATCTAATTATCCGAAAGGGGTACGTCCGGAATTTAGAGGCGTTCCTTTAGGCGCGAGCGCGTTTCAGCCTAGTCCCAAAAGTTAATGTCATGACTGTTATTGTTGATAATGTACAAATATATATTTTTCGTGAGAATTGAACGCAGCCTCTCTAGTCAAATCCACATTGGTTTGGATATTGTCTGTCGTCGAGAGGTTGCGGGATAATGCCTAGACCAAGAAGTCTTTGCATGTCCCATTCGATGGTGTTTTCCGTCTTCCAACACCAGAACACCCAGCCTGCATTCTTTCCGTACAGGAACGAATCCATCTGTGCCTCCACATAACGTCTATAATTGGAGATCACTTCCGGAGTGAAGTAGTCGTAGTTGGCTGTGTAGAGTTGATCACAAGAGCCAATGTAGTTTCCTCCACCGTAAGTGGCATCGTATCTGGCACCTCTTCCTGCACCATTTAGCCATTTGGCGCAATCAGTCAAAGCTGCAGTCCATTCTCCGCAAAGACTGTAATGGTATTCGGTATTTTCGGACTTGCCCCAACCGCACGCCGTAGAGACGTGCTCGTCGATCGACTGGCTCAAGGATCCTTCGTCAAACACCTGGTAGTGGTGGTGGTCGACAATCACCTCCCAGATGTTCGGGTCTTGTTCGGTGTTGAGCACGTTGTCGAAGGTGTGGTCCGCGAGGTACGCGTCGTGGATGATAACAGGCGCGTTTCCGTTATCTCTGACCAGCTCGTAGCCCTTGTTGTAGTAGTCCACGAGTTGGTCGAAGTCGAGGTACGCGCCCAGTGGCTCGTTCAAGAGCTCAATGCCGATGATCACGTCAGAGTAGTTGGAGCCTCCGTATTTCGAGGTGATTTGGCTCAGGACCTGGATCGTGAGATCCACATAGCCCGTGGTGTTCTGCCAGCCGATCTCGCCTCTCTTACCAGAGTTGTCGAAGCCGTTTTGGGAGCCTGGGGCACCGTGCAAGTCGACCCAGGCCTTAAGTCCGTATTTAGCACACCATTCCAATGCCTTGTCCAGATACTCCTGCTGGCCCTGCACATAAGGGTCTCCCTCTGCAAGCTGGAACGCCCAGTACCCGATCGGGAGTCTCACGAAATTAAGACCGACATCTGCCATGCCCTTGAAGTCCTCCTCTCTAATCCACGTGGACCAGTGCTCCTGGAGACGTTTTGAGGCCTCTTCCTTTCCCAGAGCCTCAGTGTAGTGGTACTCATCCACAGGCACGTCTGACGAGACTGCCTCGAACAAGGAAGGGGTGATGAAGGGTTCGAGAACGAGCCATCCTCCGATGTTGACACCGTAGATCTTGTCGTTTGCGTAATCCCAGCGACTGTCTCTTTTCAGAAGGGTGAGGGGTGCGGCTGCCACGAGCGAGAGAAGTGAACTGGCAACGAGAGAAAAAGACGACAACTTCATTGCTTTGGGTAAAAAAGCGGGAAACAACATGCCTTTTATATGGATCTAGAACAAGGGGGGGACCTTTGGCATAGCTGCACAAAAGGAACGCATATCCGGATTTCGCAGGTGCAGGAAGCCCTAATTTAAGAAGTATGGGAAATTTGCCACACGTCTACAGCCTGTTGAAATGCGCACCGTTCAAAGGGGCTCCGTAACATTGTTGGTGCCCCTGCCTGTTGTCCGGATGCCGTTTCACTCTGTTCAGGAGTTCCCGAGCGTCGTAATTGGCGTACCCAGTATACCTCCCCAAAACGGATATCTAATTACGACTGTTTATCTTTTGCCAAAGATGGGAATTATGGACTAGCTTGGACAAAAGCCATTACTTTTCCTTTTTCGGACACTTCATCACAAACCTTAAGTTGGCACCGCACTACTCCCCACCCTGGGATCTGCACTGTTTGCGGGCTGGCATGAGGCAGACGGGACTACGACGCAAACCGGCGTCGATGATCGCCGTGCTTATCTCAGCCTATTTTTTTCCCTCCCCATTACTCAGATGATTTCGTAATCAAACTTCTTTGTTTCCCCTCATTTATATGAAGCTAATCAGACCAACACAAGTGGCCAGGTTTTCGACCTCTGTTTTGCGAGCCAAGCCGCAGCTTGAGGTTGACCGTCCTGTGCTTTCCGAACTGCCCCTGTCGAACTCTTTGGACTACGCTTTTACCTCTTTCGACAAGCTCAAAAATTGGGCAAGAAAAAGCTCCTTCTGGCCAGCAACCTTCGGCCTGGCCTGCTGTGCCGTCGAGATGATGCACGTTTCCGCGCCCCGGTACGACCAGGACCGGCTGGGAATCATTTTCCGTGCGTCTCCGCGGCAGTCGGACGTGATGATCGTGGCCGGCACCGTGACAAACAAGATGGCGCCAGCTCTTCGCCAGGTGTACGACCAGATGCCGTACCCAAGATGGGTGATCTCGATGGGCAGCTGTGCGAACGGCGGCGGCTACTACCATTACAGCTACAGCGTGGTGAGAGGCGTGGACCGCATAGTTCCTGTCGACATCTACGTGCCGGGGTGTCCTCCGTCGTCGGAGGCCCTGATGTACGGCATTTTCCGGCTGCAGAAGAAGATCATGGCCCACCAGACGCACCGCATGTGGTACCGGGCGTACTAGGGTGCGCTGGCGGCGGCTATTTATTGGGTGGCTCCGAGTCACCGCTCTATTTATTCATAACTCCGTGTTTCTATCTTACATAACCCACAAGCTGCTGTACGCGACCCTGCTCCTCCTAGCTGTTATTTGCTATAACCCGTTTGAGAGCGTCGAACGGGCTTTTTCTGAACTGCTCGTCCTTCAGCACGGCCCCAAACCGCTGGATCTCCGCCCTTTCCACGATCTTGGCCCCACGCTTGTGCGGGTTCGGCGTGTGGTCCCGTTTGGGCTGCGCCGTCGTCGCCGGCACCTCGTCGAGCGCCTGTGCGAGGTCCTCCAGCTTCGGTTTCAGCTGCTCCTTCATCTTGCGCTTGCGCCGGCGCAGAGCCGATTTCGAGACCAGCGAGTCGTCCTTGCGCTTCTCGACGCGCTCAGCAGACTTCGCCACGCCCCCGCTCTTGACCCGTTTCTCCAGCTTGGCCCGCAAACTCGTTCTCTTGCCCACACCCATTACGTAAATTTTTTTTCCATTTTTTTTTTATTTTTTCCACTTTATTTCTCATGTCCAGAGCTCTCGGATACTCCGTCCTGGCAGTCGCCGCCGCCGCCGTTGGCTACTGCGTCTACTTCGACTACGCCAGAAGAAACAACCCAGACTTCAGAAAGAAGATCGTCAAGAACAAGAAAAGAGCAGCCAAGAAGGCCAAGCAGGAGGCCGAGGCCGACAAAAAGCAGAAACTGGAGGCTCTCAAGGAGAAACTCAACCAGTCGCTCGCAGACGAGCCGCTGCCTAAGGACGCTGCCGAAAAGGAGAAATTCTTCATGACCCAGGTCACCATCGGCGAGCAAATGAGCGCTCTCGAGGGCAAGGACATCGAGGCTGCCATCCACTTCTACAAAGGCCTCGCCGTCTACCCTAACCCGACCGGAATCCTGGACATCTACCAGAGAACCATCCCAGAACACATCTACGAGCTGATCATGATGCTCACCGCCATCCAGCCTCCGGCAAGCGTGATGAACGTTCTGCAAGACAGCATTCCGTCGCTCGACCAGGATTAGACCCTGCTTGTTTATATATAAGTACCAATCTACTCAGATGCCAGTTTTTTCCACGCTGCGAGCACCGCCACCAGCTGCGGCCGGAACCGGCTCTCCAGCCCGGCTATGTGGCTCCACCTGTACTGTCCCGTCTCGTCGTTCTTGCGGAACTCCTCGTCGCTCACGCTCACCTGCTGCACCGCGTGCAGAAACGCGGCCGTGTCCATCTCGTGGAAAAACCCGTCCGCCGGCTCCTCCGCGTCCAACGAGCCGTTTAGCTCCATCAGGTCCTCGCTGCTCACCCCGACGTACTCGCCCAGCCGGTCCAGGTCCGCCGTGTCGCCTGCAAGCCCCAGCATCTTCGTCTTCACCTTCTCCCAGTTCGCGTCCACCTGCGTGCGCGCCGCCTGCGGCGGCTGCTGCGCCAGCTGCTCGTACTTGCGCCGTTTTTCCTCGATCTCGGCCATAATGGCCCGTATCTCCTTCTGAACGCCCTCGTCCGCGCCCAGCGACCCCAAGTCCAGCACCAGCTCCTCGTGGCCGTCCCGCACAAACCGCAGAAACGACACAAACCGGTTGAACCAGCCCAAGAACCCGGCAAACAGACCCTCCTGCTGCTCCAGGTCGCTCACGTACAGCCTGTGCATAAACCCGTACACCGCCTCCTGGTATTTTTCCTGGAGCCCCATGAAGCTGGCCACCACGTTGGGCGAAAAGTGCTCGTTCTGGAAGTACTCGGCCAGCTGGATCAGCTCGTTCATGTACCGCTGCACCACAGGGATGTACAGGTGGATCTGCGCGCTCTTGAACAGCCGGATCAGCGGCTGGAAGAAGATCGCCAGCAGCTCCTTGATCAGGTCGATCAGCTCCGGCTCGTCCCACAGCTCCTTGAGCGCGATTTTGTCGAGCCGGCGCAGGCTCGTTTTGAAGTACGAGTGGAGCAGGAAGAAGACGGTGTTTTTGTCGCTCCTGGGCTTTTTCATCGTGTCTAGCACCTCCAACAACACCGACTCGTCCAGTTCCGGCGCCAGGTCGTTGTTGTTCAGCAGCAGCGCCGGGAAAATGCCCAGCCCGCTTTTCTGCGCCGTCTTCTTCACCTGCAGCACGGTCTCGTCTGACGCGGCGAAATACGCGTCGATCTTGTCCAGCAACGCGGCGTATTTTTCTCCCTTGCGCAGCACTGCTCTGTGCAGCTCTTCCAGCTCTCTGTCGCATTTTTTCAGGTCGTCGTTCAGAACGCCAGCAAAAATCACCTGCAGCAACGACCGGCTTCTGCGTCCAAACCCAACGGGCATCTGGAACGTGAACAGGTCTATCAGTTTCTTGACAATCTGCATCGGGTTCGTGAATCGCAGAATCGTGGCCACCAAGCCGTACGGAAACAGCCGGTGCAGCCGCTTCACCAGGCCCAGCGTCTCGCGCGAGTTGTCGCTGCCCACAAACAGCTCGTAGATCGTCGACGCCACCTCGATCTGCACAAGCTGGACGAGCGACCTGAGCGGCTTGGACAGCTCTCTGGACGTGCTTTTCGTCTCCAGCTGCTTGAAAATGTACGCAAACCCGTCAGAATACAGCGCCTCCTTGAGGTCCTCCATTTCCGTCTCCAGCTGGCTCACCGCACGAAGCGTCTCCTGCTGGAACTTGTAGTGCTGCAAAACGGTGTAGAAGTCCAGCTGGCGGCGCTGCTCGATGTCGTGCTGCTCTTCGACAGTCAGCTGAACGGGGTTTGCCGAAATGAACTCCAGAAACTCGTCGCTCTCACAGACCGGCTGCAGAGCCACGAGCGACCGCAGGTAGCCACGCAGAGCCACGCGCAGACTCTCGCGCGGGAACTCGTGCTCGTTGTCGGCCTCATCGGCGTGTTCCTCGCTTACTGTCCGCCGCAGCGCGCTCATGAACAGCTCCTCCAGCTGCGCCACGTCCACGGCGTCCGTGCCCTGCGCCAGCTGCTCTGTTTCTGCCGCAGACGAGAGACTCACCTTGGCCTTGGTCTTTGCCGGCAGAAGAGGCAGGTCTGTGCCGGGAAACAGCTTCCCGAGCGTCCTGTCGAACTCTGCAAACTGCGAGTACCGTCGCTTCACATGCCATTCTTTTCCGTCCTGCGTGCGCACTCTGATGATGAAATTATAATATTTCGACTCGCTCGAGCCCAAAAAATAGCGGGCCTTCATTTCTTTGGCAGCAGCCACGCCAACAACATTGATCAGCAAGCCGTTGACAAAGTTCTCGTCTTCGCGCTGCTCCAGCGTCAGCTCGCCCGCCGTCAGCTTGTTCATTTTCTTGTACGTGTTTCTGTGCTCGCTCGACTTGAAATACTCTTCGTCGCCGCGACAGAGAATAGCAGAGTTGAACAGCGTCAGCAGCAGCGACTGCAGCTTGTGCACCGCCAGCTTGCGCTTGCTGACCTCGCCGCGGTCGTTGCTGTTGCTGATCTTCTTTGTCCGCCACATCTCCCAGAAAACCTGCACTCTGTCCCACAGCTCGTGCTTATTGACCAGTCTCTCCAGATGCATTTTGATAAACGGGAACGTGACGAGGTATTCGGTGAACATGAAGCGCAAAAGCGGGAACTCGGCGTCGAATTGCGCCACACACCCGTTTGTGGCGGCCTCGAGCCGTTCGTGGTCCATCGCAGGTGGGCTACGCGGATCGTACATCCTGAAAGGCGGGCCAAACCGACGCAGGCCGTACGCATCGGTGTACGTTGGGGAGAGCCTGTTGATCTCCTCGGTGAGCTCCAGATTGATCAGTTCCTTTTTCAGAAAATGCTCCTCAGCGGCAGATAACGCCGGCGCAGAACCAGAGACACTCATGGACCATAGAGACAGTAAAAATTAAATTAAATTATTTATCTAATTCAAATTATTTCCGTCTTGTTTGAACTAATGACACTCCATGAGTGATGAAAAAAAAACAATCACTTTTGCGACCACGGCCGACAGCTGCCCGGCGGCGGACTCGCGGTCGAGGAAAAGCTCGTGGGGGTCTCTAAAGTCCAAAATCAAGCCCGTGGTGCGCGCGCGGTCGCGCGAGCGACCGGCCTCGTGGCTCCTACCGCGCCGGTTCTCGTCGTCGTCTCTGAAATCGCCGGACACACCGACCGGCGACAGCCAGCCGCCAGGGGCCGCGTCGGCGCCTCCGCTGCGGTCCATGGCCTCCGACTCGTCGTCTCTGGAGCTCCGTCTGGAGTCCAGCAGCTCGCTTATTTCAGACAAGAGCAATGGCCAGCTGTCGCGGATCAAACAGCGCACAAAATCGATTTTCATGCTGGACGCGCCCTCCAGCTCGTCCGAGTCCTCGTCAAAGCCCGCCACGCCGTCCAACGTCAAGTTCACGCTCGCCCCGGACCCCGACGACGAGAACGAGATGATTCTCACGGTGTCGAGGCCCTCGTACCGGCGGTCGCACTCGATGAACGACGGGCCCGAAGACAAGGAGCCGTCCAGCATCCCGAGCGGCCGCACAGACACAACGACAGACTCACCCGATTCCAACAAGATCTCCCGACAGCGGTCGAAGACGCTCAATGCGCTGGACGAGGAGAGACGCGAGCTGAGCCCGGGAATCCTCAATTCGCTCACAGGTTTCATGAGACGGCGTGCGCCCACCTCGCGGACCACCTCGTCCAGCAGGCTGGACGAGTTTGTGGAACAGAGTCTCGCCGAGCTGCTCACCGTCGGGGACTCCGAGACGCCAGCGCAGTACCTTGACCGGTTGCTCCAGAACTACCCCGTCACCAACATAGCCAGTCTGCTGCTTTCCAACGAGTCGGAATTCTCCAAGCAGTGCATGCGAGAGTTTCTGGCACGCTACTTCGATTTCTCCCAGGAACCGCTCGACCTGTCGCTGCGCAAGTTCCTCATGATCAACGAACTGCCCAAGGAGACCCAGCAGATCGACCGAGTCATCTACGAGTTTAGCCGTCACTACTGCGCCCAACACCGGGACGCCGGCATAAACGAGGACTACTGCTACATTTTGACGTACTCGCTAATCATGCTGCACACAGATCGGTTCAACCAGAACAACAAGAAGAAAATGGCCAAGTACGAGTTTGTCGACAATTTGCTGGCTACGCTCGAACAGAACGAGGACTGGGGCAAGAACGGCGAGCTCTCGAAAATCAGCATCAAGGCGGTACTGGAATACTACTACGACAACGTCACGTACACGCCGTTCACCAACATCCCCAAAGACCAGAGCGATAGAATCCTGGAGAGTCTCATCAACAAGACGCCGCTGCCGTATCCTTCTGGGAGCTTTTTGAACGGTGCCGCGTCCACCACGGCGCCAGTGATACTGACAAGAAAGAGAAGCAGCACGTTCCGCTGGAGCAGCGTGTCGATCGACCCGTACGAGTACATCATCAACCACAACGCAAGCGAGCTCAAGATGGACGTGCCGTTTGACTTCAGGAACCCGTTTCTGCTCACCACGGCCGAGTACGACCCAGACGACATCATCGGGTCGCAAATCGTGCCGGACGAGCAGTATTTGGACGAGCGTCTGCTGGGCAACGTTCTGAACACACTGAAAGGCAGCCATTGCTCAATGCTGCTCAAAGTTGCGAAAAGTAAGGCCGCCTATTTGCTGGGGAGCAGGACAGAGGTGATCAACTACAATTGCGAAGCCACGGGCGAGGAGTATCTCATTACGCGTATATTCAAAATCGGCATGCTCACGCGCCAGGAAACGAAACTCCTGTCGAACTACAAGTCCTGGAAACGGTACTTCTGCGTGCTCACGTCGGTGGGGCTGTTTTTCTTCAAGAACGTCTCGCTGTTCAAGATGAAGTACGTGATGAACTCCAAGCGCGAAAAAACGATCGTTCTGGAGGAAAAGGCAAGCAACACGCCCATCCTGGAGTCGCCCGAGCCGAGCTTCATGATCCCGAACGGCGCGTTCGCCGTGCGAATGCGCAGAAACCTGTACTTCGACAGTCTCGTCAGCGACGCGCAATCGTCGCAGCTGCAACACTGCACTTTCTACATCTATGGAAAACACTCCAAAGACGTGTACATGGTGGACAACCAGTACGAGCTGGTTTCGTGGGTCAACTCGATCAACTGTCTTTCGGCGCTGGACCCGGTGAACCTGCCGATCGAGAAGCTGGACCTGCCGCCCACCGACGCGTCGATCGGCGAGGTAATCAACCTGCGAGTTCTGACTGCTGCCGAGCGGCTCGAGAAACTGAACCAGGCGATCGACACGTCGACAAAAACGCTGCAGGACTTCTTCCTCATGATCAGAAGGGTCTCGCTGCTGACGCCGTTCCAGGCCAAGACGCGAGAAACGCTCCATTCGGGCGTGAAGCTGTTTGCCGTCAAGATCGAGTGGACGTGGTTCGAGCTGTCGCGAAACTCGCTGTTCCGGCACATTTTCGAGCGCGCGTACGAGCAGCTGGAACAACAGCGCGCCGAGTCCGAGGACGAGGAGTTTGTCACGGCGATCGACATTCTGCAGGAGTGAATCATCTGCCCAGTCTTTTGCGCTCGAAAAACATGTCTGAGCGCGAGGACCCGATGTTGACAACTTTCGGACACCCGTCTCTGTCGCGCTCGAGCATGACGCACTCGCGGCAGTAGTACGCGTCGCTGATGCCCGGGAGGCCGCAGATGATGCATTTTTCACGAGCAGACCCGAACGCGCAGTCGTCGCAGATGCGCGCCTGGCGGGCCGCGTTGACGAAGGAGTCGCACGCGGGACACTTGCCGTCGCATTTTTCGCACAGCCGGCCGACGGCCGTGCCGGGCTGTTTGAGACATAGCACCAAGTCGAGCTGATGGCGAGACATGAATAAAATATATACTAGAACTATTTTTCCAATATTTATTTTTTGCACAGCCAGCCACTACTACAGCTTGTTGCCAATGTTCAGGTAGATGCTCTTGGACTGCGTGTAGAGGTCGATGCCGCTTTCGCCCAGCTCTCGGCCAATGCCGGACATCTTGAACCCGCCGAACGGAACCCTGCAGCTCTCGTCGTTCGACGAGTTGATGTACACGGAGCCGGCCTCGAGCTGCTCGGCCACGCGGTGTGCTCTGTGGAAGTCCTTGGAAAACACCATTGCGGCGAGGCCGTAGATCGTGTCGTTGGCGTTCTTGACGGCCTCCTGTTCGGACGAGAATTTCGCCACCGCCACCACCGGCCCGAAAATCTCCTCTCTGACGATGGTCATGTTCTGGTTGCAATCGGCAAACACTGTGGGCGGAATAAAATAGCCGGTGCTCTGGCCGGTCGGCTCGTCGCCCAGGACGAGTCTCGCGCCCTCCTTCTTGCCCGACTCGATATACCGCTGGATCTTGTCGTACTGGGCCCTGGAAATCACTGGCCCCAGTGTAGCATTTTCGTCGAACGGGTCGCCGACTTTCCAGTCCTCGAGGATCTGCTTCCGGAACAGCTCCAGAAACCGCTCGTACACGGTGTCCTGGACAAGCACGCGCGAGTTGGCCGTGCAGTTCTGGCCCGAGTTGTACATGACGCCGAACGAGGCCCACTTGGCCGCCTGCTCGAGGTCGGCGTCGTCGAACACCACGAGCGGCGACTTGCCGCCGCACTCCAGCGACACGTTCTTGAGGTTTGCCGCCGCGCTCTGCATCACCTTGGCTCCCGTGGCTGTCGAGCCCGTGAACGCCACCTTGTCCAGGTCCGGGTGCTCGGCGAGTCTCTGGCCGGCGACAGAGCCGAGCCCAGAAAGCACGTTGAACACGCCAGCCGGGAACCCGGCCTCCTTGACGTACTGCGCAAACAGCAGCAGCGACAGCGGCGTCAGCTCGCTCGATTTGATCACCAGCGGACACCCGCACGCCAATGCCGGACAGAATTTCCAGCCTGACATCGAGAGCGGATAGTTCCACGGCACGATCTGGCCCACCACCAGCGGGTACCTTCTTGTGATGGCGAGCCGGTTGTTGCTGAGCGGAATTGTCTTGCCGTGGATCTTATCGGCCCAGCCGGCGCAGTATCGCAGATACTCCACCACGCCGTCGATGTCTGCGCGCGCGTTGCTGTGCAGCGGCTTGCCCGAGTCCATTGCCTCGACAGCGGCGACCAGCTCTGCGTTCTGCTCGAGGATATCGGCAAGTTTCAGCATCTTGAGCGCCCGCTCCTCGCCCGGCACCTGCAGCCAGCTCTGGTAGACGCCTCTGGCGGCGGCGACGGCCGCGTCGACCTCCTTCTCGCCGGCAGCGTACACTTTGGTGATCACCTGCTCGGTGGCCGGATTGAGGGTTTCGAGCGTGGAGTCGGTGGCGACCCACTCGTTGTTGATGAACAGTCCCAGCGGCTGCTGGTATTTCTGGCCTGTCGGCAATTCAATCTCCTGGAATAACGACATGCGAAATAAAGGAATAAAATAATCTAAATTATATTTATATTATTTTAGGGTGATTAGAGTTGCCCCATTGGGACTGACTCCACAGCGATCGTTATCGTTTTTGTCTCCCTTTTTTATTTTTTTTCGCCAGGCATATTTTTAGCGTAAATAAATTTTAAAGGCCTCTCTTTCTCCAAAGACCCAAAAGCTCAACACCGGCGCCCCTATCCCTTCAATCGTCCTCGGATGGCGGCAGTCGTCTCTGAATGACACGTACACCTCTGTTGTGTCAAAACATGGGAACTGGTCCTACAGCTGCCCAAGGACAAAGGCCCTGCCCTGGGCGTGTTTAACCTGTCCAAGACAGACCTGGAGAAGCTGCTGCAAGCAGAAAGGCATTGCCGTGGAGGCGTACTCGCCGCTGGGCAGCGCCGGGTCGCCAGTACGGGGACAACGTTGGGGAACAGTGACTTAGAATAAGTGTTTTGATTACGTAAGCGCGGGCCTAGTTTCTTTCCGCGTCGCGCAGCTCCACGTAGCTGAGGTAGTACTTCTTTGTCCAGCGTCTCATTTGTTTTCCGTACAGCAGGAACGGGATGATGAACGCGAACGTGCCGAAGTCGATGATGGCCAGCATGACGTACGTGCGGACCGTGCCGAGCGCGTCGATCAGCGGCGAGCACGCAAACGTGAAAATGCACCCGATCATGTTGTTGATGAACGCCACGCCCAGCATTCCCTCCAGAATCATTTCCGGGTACGCGTCCATGAGGTAGCCCATGGCGATGTCGCCGGCCGTGGCGAAACCGAACCCGATAAAGCCCAGTCCGACGGTGTAGGTGACTTTCCAGCTCCAGAGTCTGTCTGTGCCGAGGCCGAAGAGCAGCAGGCCGAGCGGCGAGATGATGGCTGCCGGGAACAAGAACCAGAGCCGGAACTCGGCCTCCTGGATGCCGCCGTTGCGCTTGGCTTTCCAGATCACAAACCAGTCCGAGAAGTAGCCCGCGTACAGACACCCGATCAGTGCGCCGATGACGCACGGCAGGTTCATCAGCGCGACGCCGGTATCGGAGTAGCTCCACGGCTCGTCGTAGTACAGATCGTCCTCTGTGGTGAGGTAGAACGTGAGAAAAGCGTCCTGCAGCCCCCAAAGCAGCCCCGACAGCAGCACGGGCGGGAACCAGAACACGCGCAGCATGAGCACGAGCCGCTGCAGGTACTGCTTGGCGCCGAGCCCGACAAGCGACGCCGACGGCGTGATCAGCTGCACGCGTTTCCAGTACGGCCGCCGCGGCTCGCCCGCGCCCGTGCCGTACACGCCCGCGACCTCGATCACGTCGGAGCGGTCGCCCGAGTGCGAGTCTGCATTTTTTTCGTCCAGTTTCTCCCGTTTTTCGCTGGAGTCGATCTGCCCGATGTAGCGGTGTCTGTCGAAGTACGTTTCGTACTGCGTCAGAAACATCACCGCCAGCAGCACGCCCGAGATGATCACGGCGATCCAGCCCACCCACCGGAACGTGGTGTACTGGACAATGAAGCCGGCAATCAAAGGCCCCAGATACGTCCCGACAGAGGTAGCCAGGATGTAGACGGTCAGAACACCGCCGAGCTGGTGCGAAAAATACATGTCGGACAGCGAGAGCTGCACCTGGGCCTCTGCGCAGGCCTCAGACGCCCCAACAAACAGCTGCGACCAGATGGTGTCGCTGGTGTCTTTCGACAGAGCAAACCACACCGCGCCGACGAGACCGAGCACGATACAGATCACGTAGCCGATTTTGCGGCCGTAGAGCGACGAGGCAGGCCCGAGAAACACCGTGGTGAGCCCGATCGACGCAAAGAGCACGCCGGCGCCGGTGTTCATCGAGTCGTACGAGATGCCGTACAGCTCGTTCAGGGCGTCCTGGGTCGAGCCGGCGTCGTTCGACGTGGCTGCCGTGAAACCGGTAATGAACGCCAGCAGCGCAAACTGGTACGCCTTGGTCCAGAACCCCCAGTTGAGCGGGTCGTTGGGCGAGTCCGACGGCTGTGGATGAAGAACGATGCCGTCCTTGGTGGTCTTGACTGTGGACGACTGGTCTGCCGCAGTGACCCGGCCGTGGTCTATCTGGTGCACCAGGACGTTGATCGTGCCCGGGACAAAGTCCGGATGGTACTTGTCGCTGTACTGGTCCATCGCTGCGCAAGATCTAAACGGAAAGATTGAATTCCACTTATCTTATAGACGTCAATTTTTTTTTCTCGGGCCGCGCACGACCACGTTTTTTCCGCGACGACATGCCAACAGCGCGGCTAGATAAAGCGATCTGCGCCTTGGCCCGATACGGTGCGAGGGCTGCGTGGGGAAAACACAGGAGCTCGGCGGCGGTGGCAGTCAGCGACGCCAGGCAGGGCGGCGTGCGTTATCTGCGCGGTTGCAGAGCGTATCAGGCTTTCCCGTCTGTGACGGGCATCGGTGCCCGGACGCCACACCTCTGCACGGCGTAGCAAATTAATAAATTTAGCTGTCTGGTTTACTTCTTTTCCACCGCCACAATGGCAATTGCTCCTAGATACGCCAAGTCTCACGTCTACAACGGCCCTGCTGGCCTCTCCAGCGGCCTCAAGCACACCGTCCAGCTGTACCTGGACTACAATTGTCCCTTCTCGGGCAAGCTGTTCCGCAAGATCACCGCCGAGGTGGTTCCGTTGCTGGAGAAAAAAAGTCTCCTGGACAAGTTCAGCTTTGTCTTCATGAACGTCATCCAGCCATGGCACTACGTTGGCTCCGGCGCGTACCACGAGGTTGCTCTTGCCGTCGCCAAGGTGTATCCGGACCAGTTCTGGAAGTTCTCCGGCGTGCTCTGGGACAACATCATGACCGACTCTCTTTCGTACGACAAGACCAAGAAGCAGGTTCTCGCCACCGCGATCGACCTCGCCGCACAGCACCTCGACAACGTCGACACGGAAAAGCTGTGGGAGCAGGTTGCTGTCCCGGAGGGCGGCCAGAACCAGCTGCAGAAGGACATCAAGTATTTCACCAGATACCACCGCACGGTGGGCGTGCACGTGACGCCGACCGTTTTTGTCGACGGCATTGTTGTGGGCAGCATCGAGAGCTCGACGGAGCCGGAGAAAATCGTGGAAATTCTGCAGAGCCTGCTGGACTGATTTTATGTAGCAGTTTCAAACACCGTTCTGACAGCGAGGGGCCCGGCCGCCCCAACAATGCCCGCGTTTTCCATGCGGACAATAGCGTGCGTTAGTGACCTGTCGCCGGCAGACCGCACGCTTGCTGGCTGTTCTCCTGTAATGTGAAACACGCCACACCTCGCACCGCGTCTTGGTTGCCATTGTGAGTCGCAACCGGCAACAGGAAAACAATACACGCCGCGAACGCGTCCGCACCAAAATTATTTCCCTTTAAAATCCACCTGGTCTTTCTTTGTTCCTTAGCCAACAGCTCTTCCACGATGAAACAGGAGCTTTTGCCGCCAGCAACGATCATCAGTCCCGTCAACAAGTCCTTCGAGCTGAAAACGCCTCCGCACTCCGTCGTCAGACACGGCCCCGTCAAGCCCCACGACACGCGCTCCACCCTCCGCACAAACGGCCTGCTGTCGCCAGAGTTCTCGTCGCCGCAGGTGACCCGCGGAGCCGACGACGACGAATACGACGACGACGACGACTACGAGGAGCCCGGCTACTCCAGAAAACGCAAGCTGCACTCGTCTCCGCCGCCGCCGCCCAAGTTTGCGCAGCCCGAGGGTGCTGCCAAAAGCCGCGCCCCAAACAAGACCAGGCGGCTCAAGGGCCCGCAGAACATCGAGATACCCGACCCGGAGGACATGCCGCCCGTGATCTTCGACTCACACGAGAAACCGCCGTTTTCGTACGCCTCTCTGATCGGCATGGCCATTCTGCGCGCGCCGGAACGCAAACTCACGCTGTCGCAAATATACCAGTGGATCTCGGACAACTTCAGGTACTACAAAAAAGGCGAGGTGGGCTGGCAGAACTCCATCCGCCACAACCTCTCGCTCAACAAGTCGTTTGCCAAGACAGAGAAGTCCAAGGACGGCAAGGGCCATTTCTGGAAAATCGTGGACGGGTACGAGTACCAGTTCTGCCACATCAAGAACTTCGAAAAAATGATGGCTGCCGGGAAGCTCAAGCGCTCCAGAGACTCCCACGCGCAGCCAGCCGCCAAGTCGCTATCGTACACGCCGCAGACGTCGCACCGTCACCCGCAGTCGCCCGAGCTGCCGCTCAAACGGGCCAACACCGACCCGTACCATCTGGACTTCGACCGCCAACCCGCCGCTGGCCTTCTGGGCTCCATCCCGGAGCTCGCGGCCCCGTCGTCGGCGTGGAAGGCCTCGGCCACGGGCGAGAATATTGTCTTCAGAGAGTCCCAAATGTCGCCCGAGCAGTCTTTTTTGCAGGAGTCGCCCGGCGGGCCCATCTTCGCGGCCCGCTCGCTGCCGTTCACGTCCTCGTTCAGCTGCAAGTCCACGCTCGAGCTCTCGCCGATCAAGTCCGGCGAAACAGGACCGCTGCTCGAACCGCTCACCCCGAAGCAGAACAGCTCGCTCAACACGCTGCACAAGTCGCAGTACCAGTACGACCAGCTGCTGCTGTCGAAGTTCCGCTCGCCCACGAGCGTGCTCAAGACGCCTAACCTGTCAAGCACCAAGAAGCTGTGGACCTCGCCGTCCTATCTCGACGACTTCTACACCTCGCCCAGCGCCGGCCGCGGAGCAGAGGAGGACACCGTGTACGGCTCGCCCTTGGGGCCGGTCAAGAAACGCAAGACCGGCTCCTCCTCGCGGTACTCGGCAAACGAGATCTTCGGCATCGACATCTGCAAGATCCACCATGACGATTGAGGCTGCGGCCATGTAATGTAGCGTATGTATATTAGATTTATTTTCCATTCTATCGTTTTTCGCTGTTATGGTGCACCAGCTGCGGGTTCTCCTCGTACTCCGCTTTCGACACCCACATCTGCCTGAACACGCTCAGACTCGCCAAAATCGACCCGCCGACAAAACAGCTCGCGCGTCGTTCTGGCGACGCGTATATTTTCAGCTGCAGCTCAGGGTCCTCCAGCTTCATCTCCTCCAGCAGCCGCACGCCGTAGTTCCTGAACATCGTCGACCCGCCCGCCAAGATGATGTTCTCAAACAGCCGCGGCCGCAGGTCGTAGTTGGTCTTCCGCACAGAGTTCACCACCGCGCGGTGCACCGGCACCTCCTCGACGCCAAACTTCTCTGGCTGGAAGTACAGCTCCGTCGGCGCCCACAGCGTCTGCCCGCCAACCCGCACCATCTTGCCGTCCGGCAGCGGGAACTCCCTGCGCTCCTCGGCAACAGCAGGCCCCTTGGCGTGCTGGTCCGCCGGTTTCGGGTTCACGTGACACAGCCGTTCTTTCAGGCTTCGCACGAGCTCAAACTCGGACGAGGTCGATAGGAAGTACCCGTTCTTCATCAGCTCGCCCTGCACAAGCCGCGTGATGTCTCGGCCGCCAAAATTGAGCCGTTTGATGGTGCCCGGAATCGAAAAGCCCTCGTAGATCGGCACCACCGTGGTGACTCCGTCGCCAGAGTCCAGCACCGTGCCCGTGGTCCGTCCCGAGGAGTACAGCGACAAAACCGCCGGCATCGCCACGTACAGCGCAGGAAAGTTGAACGTTTCGAAAACCAGCTCCGCCAGCCGGTCTCTGTTCTTGCTAGGGTTCAGAGGGTGCTCGCTCACCAAAAGCGGATGCTGGTCGGTCTTGGCCTCCAACTGCTGCACCACGTCGCTCCACACAAGCTCGAGCGCCTCCCAGTCGTTGACAATGCCGTTGGCCAGCGGGTATTTCAGCTTCAGCAGCCCGCGAAGCTGCTGTGCGCGCGCCCCTATAAATGTGTCTGTCTGCGAGATGGCCGAGGGCATGATCTTGTTGTACTTGGGCCGGCCGACGAGGTTCGAGTGGTTGATCTTGGGCTTCTCGTCGCCCGCAAAGCCTGCACGGATCGTCCCAGAGCCGTTGTCTATGACAATCGGCTGGTTGTAGATGGACTCCATGAAATAAACGTAAAAAAAAAATGGTATATAAAAAAATAATTATCAGTAGTATATTCAGATACAGTAGTATCTATCGCCAAAGTCTCCCAGACCAGGAACAACAAACTTCTTCTCATCCAGAGCCTGGTCGATCATTCCGGTGATGACCTTGATTTTCGGGAATTTTTTCTTGAACACCTCGATTCCCTCCGGACTGGCCAGCACGTTGAGAAACAGGATCCGTTCCTCTTTCACGCCTTTCTGCAGCAACACGTCCACGGCCATCGACGCAGAGCCACCAGTGGCAAGCAGCGGGTCCAGCAAAAACACGTATCTCTCCGGAATGTCCTCCGGAAGCTTGACGTAGAAGAGTTTTGGAGTGGCCGTTTCCTCGTCCCTCTGAATTAAAATCTTGCCCAATCTCACAGACCGACAGCAGTCTCTGAGACCCTGTTCCATGCTCTCTCCAGCCCGGATGATGGACACCCCGCATATCTTGCCCAGGAACTTGTGGCCGTCGTAGGATACTCCCAGAGGAGTCTGAACCTGGCAGGACTCGATCGGCAGCTGATTAAGACCTTCTTCCACCAACAGTCGGATAATTCTATCAGAGTAGAAGATGAAGTCTCCTCTACGGGTATTTCTGTCACGGATGATCGTGTACAGACACTTCAGCTGGTTGGTCTGCGGCAGCATGATGACATTTTCGTACTGCGACATGATTAAGTGTTGGCTGTATAAAAATAAATAAACGTTGAAGTTTAATTTTTCGCTTATCTATAAAAAATTCAAACTCATTTCATGGCCGATTTTTTTGCGCACAGAAAGAAGTTCCCGTTTCAGGTCGAAATTCGGCACTTGCCGCGAACAAAGCTTCTGGGCCGCCGCGAGCGTCTCGTCGTCTGCCTCCTTCTCAAACTCGTTCAGAACCTTGATAAGCTCCACCAGCTCCTCGGTCTTTAGCACTCTCTTCTCCAAGTACGGCTCTATCAGGATCACTAGCGACATTTTGTAGTGTTTGGGCAGATACCTGAAATTTAGCAGCTGGAAAAGAAGTCTGAAATTTGGTTGATCTGTCTTTTGTAGAAACTCGTCCAGAATAGCCAGCGGACTTAGTGCTTGTCGCAGAGCAGGCTCCGAAATCTCGTTGGACCGCATTTTGGTTATCAAGGTCTCGTCTTCCAGCTCGCCAACAAGTAGTTTCCCAAATATCTCCCATGCCAGCTTAGTCAGTCGCGTGTAGTCCCCCGCCTCAGTGTAGCAGTATAGAGCCTCGTATAGATACCCTATTGTAGCCAGTCTTGCACCCTGGATCTTGTATATTTTCACAGCTGTTTGATGTAGCCTCAGCTTGGCGCAGATCGATAGACACCACTCCAGATCATCATTGCTCGTGATGTGGTATCTGGGGAGAAGCTCGGAAACGATTTCTCTGGAGTTGGAGTTGTTGATAAGGATCAAGATTCCAATACCAATTGGAAACAGTTGGCGGTGCGTCAGATATGAGAAAGATAAGTCCTCCAGCATCTGGTCGATGGTCGTAGTAAGGGACGCTTCCGTGAACGACACAACAGACAAGTATGCTTTCAAAAGACCAGCAGAGGCCATGAGAACCACCACAAACGTAGCGATCGACTTGTCAAGCAACTCGATCGAGCTGATCACAGAAAGATACTTTCCTTGCAAAAGCTCAATACACATGGTTTCCCAGGACTGAGTGGTTTCAGGCGGGTATTTATCAATTGACACCTGGAGATACTCATCGAGAAGCTCCATGGACGGCAGCTGGTAGAGATAGTGTGCATAGAGTGCTTCATACCATGTGCTGGAGGCCTCTAGTATGCTATTTGATGATCCGGACATGATGGTGATAAGTTCAGACACCTCTGAAGCCAGTCCAGCCTCGGAGAAACTCAGCGACTTGACTCTCTCGCGCAGCTCGACCATCATTTGTTTCCAGATCAGAAACTCCTTAGAGTCGGCAGAAAATCTGAGCATATCGTAGGACTCCAAAAGGTTCTTGAAATCGATCAGCACGTTGAACAAATTAGCATCTTCATGTTTCAAATTGGCCCAGTTGCTCTTGCCCAGCGCTTCCAAGGCCTCTTTGAAAAACCCACGGAGCAGAAGTTTCTTCATGTACGTGGACCAGAACAGAAAGTTTTTGTAAGGGTGCTCAAAGCTCATCACCTCTTCGAAAAGCTCGTCGTCTGGCTGTATATCGGCGCGGTTTATCCAGACAGAAAGTAAGGCGATTCTTTCTTCCTCGTTGGAGAAATGCACAGCATTCAGCAAATTGAGAACGTTGAGAATCTCCTCATAGTTGAAAATGAAAGTTTCCTCGAAATTAGGATCGAGTTTGGATTTAATCGAGACCAAGCTCTTAAGGTTCTCTACCATGGCTGTGATAATGGATTGTAACATCTGTTTTTTCTCTCTCCGGTTCTCTTGAATTTTGCTCAGCACACCAAACGTCATGTCTTCGTCATCGTCGCTGAAATGTTTGTATGCTTGGTTTGTCAGTAGTGGCTCAAAAGTGCGGTACGTTTTGGTGAGGAACTTGACGTACTCCTCAGAGGTGTCTATGTTTGACGGTATTCCAAACGGATATAGCTTCCGCTCGCGGTCGTTCAGCGGCTCCATCTTGTTTTCGTCTCGGGACGCCAAGAACAGCATTCCATTGTCGTGTGCCTTGTCCAGCGAGAACTGCAGAGTCCGTCCATTCTTCAGCCAGCTGAGATCGCTTTTAGCAATGGGTGCGTCATCATAGGGCAGTTTAGTGACCGGCAATTGCGTCTGTGGGTCAATTTCAATCTCAAAGTCCAAGTCTTCCGGCTCAGCGAGTTGGGTCGTCCCATTCGTTTTTATAAGTGACATTGTAGAGAAGCTAAATAAACAATCAAAATTTTAAACCTTGCAAAATTGGCAGTGATAAAAAGTAAAAAAAAAATATTCAGAGCAGAGATTCAGGGTGGTGATACTCAGATGAGCTGGAAAGAGATTCGAACCACGGAGGGCATCACGAGGTTCTTGAGGAATCAAAAATGTCCAATCTCGGATGTTTGCACAGTTTCTGAAAAACTGCTCGAGGATGACGAGCCAGTGGCCCTTCCAGACAAAGAGAGGTTTATTTTTGAGCTAGTCTGCGATCGGCTGGGGCAGGCCAAGAATCGAGAATACAGGAGCAGCAGGGAATTTTGGGGCTTATTCCAGAAAGTCTGGCTAGCATTCGATGCAACGGAATCTTTGAAATCAACAAGAATCAAGTGCATTAATAGGATTAGATTCAATGATCTGGTGGTGTCCATGTTGAGCGATGTGGAATTTGAGAACGACGTCCCCTTTCTCGTTATATTTGTCGATTGTGTGAATCTAGTGATGAATGAGCATCGACTGGCGTTTTCTTCGGAGACGAACGTCGAAATGGTTGCAAGACTATTGGACCTTGCACTTAAGACGAAGCAAGACTCGTGTATCAAGTTAGCTTACCGAATTTTCAAAATGGCCAACACAACCACTCTTCACTACAGCAAGAAAAACGTTGCTCATTTTTGCGCCGAGTGTCTCCCCAGCCTGTTGTGTCTGATGAGTTCCAATGAAGCTCAGCTCCTGGAAAGTATGTTGAGAGAGGTGCTACTGCGAAGAGACGCAATTGCAGACCTTAAGGAAAACGTCGGGTTCTTCTGCAATTCAGCATACGTCAAGAAAATAGAAGGGTCGTTGGTGGCAGACCTTTTTCAAAGGATAGCAAGGAGACTTGCAATCAGCGATATGGAACAAGTTTATATGGAGATTGTTTCGAAGTTTCCGGACGTGAAAGTGGACTTGCTACGGAGAGTTGTGGCAATGAACAAGGTTCTGTCAACCAAGTTTCTCACGGATTTGGTTGAATCTAGTGAGCTGAATCTGGAAATCTTGCAACTTGCAATCAACAAAAATGTGGATGTCGGTCTTCACTACGCGAGCAGGATTTTTGAGCTGGCCAGCACTGGATTTGAAGAACAAAAATTCAGTATACTTGCTACTCTGCTAGATGTTTACGCGAAAGCTCGTGAGATCGACGAGTTTTTCGATCTCTGGCTCAAAAACTGCAACCAGGAGTCTGTTTTAATCTCCGACGACTTTGTGACACGGGTTGCTCAGGTAATAGTTGACCTATCACAGAAACAAATCACTGCCTTGGTCAGCAAATATGTCGAGACTTTCAAAGATAGCGAGTGGAACTCGGTTCTTCTTTCTGCAATTGCAAAATGTCTTCTTTCGAGTGTGACCGGATCGACTCACACGGCCGTCACCAAAACACTGCAACAGACCGTGCAAGAAGCCAAACCGCTGTTTCTCCGAGTTCTTGATCACAAGCAAGGTGGTTCTCATTATTGGAAGCTTGCCACAATGATCCTCATGATATACGCCGTCGAGCCTGACTTACCACCTGGCGAGACCGATGAGTACTACTTTGCGTATCTTCGTCTTTGCGAGCGCGACCTATCACACTGCAACGAAACCCAATTGAACCAATTTATCAACCACTATAAGACCTCTGGCCTTGACTTCAAGCGTGTGATTTTCAAACGGTGGTTTGTTCTCATGAATGCGATGCTCAATAAGCAGCAGCTCAGAACTCTTGTTGAAGAATATTTGAGAGTCGAAACAGAGCCGGTACAGGTGCTTTCAAACGGCGTCTTGCACGAACAGATCAATCTCGTGAGAGAAATAATCAACTACATCGTCCATCATTTCAGTGAAGATCCCGAAAAGATGGCACAGTACACAGAACAGATTCCAGTATACTGTTACTCGCGCGCTCAGCGAGAACACGCTTTAGATGCGTTGGTTTCTGTGCCGTCTGAAGCCGCCTTGGCTTCCATATTAATGCTTTTGAGTCAACCTACGATGAGATCCAAGCTCGAATCCAATATCGACGTTCTGATTTCATTTGTGGACTCGTCCGAAGACCCTAGACGGATGGAAATTGCGGAAAAGATATTCGATTCGCATCTTCGTCAAGGGTCTGCATTTGTGTGCGACGCTGAAAAAGAACTTGAGAGCAAGAGCCTCAAAACAACGTTGTGCCTGCTGCGGGCAGAGCGCAAGCTGGGAAAACTAAACGCTCAGCTGTTTGACGCTACAGTCAAGAGGTGTATCGAGAGCCTTTCTACAGGAAAGCGTTATTTGGATTTCTTGGTGGAATTGAAAAGCTGGAACAACGAGGCAGATCCATCCATCAAACCGGTCATCAAGCAGCTGGGCGCCAACTGTGACGAGAATACCTCAGCAAAGCTCTTCTCGCTGGTATGCCACCTCAAGAATACCTACAGCCCAAGCTACGTGCTTGCCCTGTACTTGAATTTGAGAGATTCGCCTGAAGTGATCAATTCACTAAAAACGTACTTACAAGAGCTTGGTTCCGAGCAAATTCCTGCTCTGTGGGTGCGGGTTTTGGAGAGCGACGCAGATTCCAGCAAACTGTGCTCTTTGATAGGTCTATTTCTACAGGTTCAGACATCTGAAAATCAGTATGTCCAGAAACTGACGATTGCTTCACTTTCCAAGCTTCTGGATTTGCAGCTGTCCACAAAAGACATGATTTATGTGACAGACATCCTCAAACAAACGTTGAGCTCTTCACATTGGATGCTGACACAGTACACTGTAGAGCTGATCATCACTTTTATCAACCGAGTCACGATACAACTCCTGGATTTCGAGGGATCTCTGGGTGAGATACAAAGTCTCTTTGCTCAAAACTGTCAGCTACTTTCGAATATTCTGCTTTTCCAACGGTTCAGATTCTCAAACAGACAGCACTTGATAACGCTGTCCTTCATCCCGTTAATGGAGTGTTTATTCAAACTCAAAATGGATGCTTCTGCTGGACTGGCATACCAACGTCTGGTTGGGAACCTGTGTGAGATTTCAGCCTCTTCGGTGACAAATGCAGAAACCGACTCGTCTCTAACGAGTGCCGTCTCGTACATGAAATACCAGCTGCGAAAGTTCTCGTCTCTGTTGATCATGCACTACGTCAAGTTCTACCTCATTTATCGACTAGATCCTGCTACCAAAGAAGCACTAGAGAGCAGCATGTTTGTGATCTTCGATCTTTTGACGATCAACGAACTGAACTACATCAATGTGAGTCTTGACTCTCAAGCGAGAGTGGTCTACAAAACTCTTTATGACGATTACAAGAAGTTTGGTAAATGGAGAGAAGAGTGACCTTGTCCTGGTAATAGGGGTGTAAAATAAAATAAAATAAAATATTTAATTCTTCCAATATGGTGGAAATCACAGAACTAGACCAGAAAACCGACCAGCTCATTAGCGAATGGGAGAAAAGACGGTATGTGCCCAAAGAAGGGGAGCCGGACTTGCCACCACAGCTTGCAGAGCTTGCCAACAAGCCCACCGAAGAAGTTATGGCCGACCTAAACAGACTGCCTTTGTTCATGACAGAACTCGATGAGTCTGACGGTGCGGGTGGTGAAAACTTACACGTTGAGGCCCTAAAGGCTCTTGCGTACGAAGGAGAGCCCGACGAGATTGCTACGAATTTTAAGAACCAGGGCAACGACTGTTACAAGGCCAAGCAGTACAAGAATGCCGTGGAATATTACACAAAGGGACTCGAAGTCGGTTGCAACATGGAGGAGATCAACGCAGCACTGTACCTCAACAGAGCAGCCTGCAATTTAGAGCTGAAGAACTACCGCAGATGTATCAACGATGCCAAAGAGTGTCTCAAGATCCAGCCTAAGAACGTCAAAGCTCTGTTTCGTGCTGCCAAAGCTTTTCTTGCTATCGAGAAGTACGACGAGGCCGAGCAAATTCTCCAATACGCCTCCTCTCTGGACAACACCTCCCCTGCTTTCAAGTCGCTAAACAAGCAGCTTGAAGACAGACGAAGACTGCTCCGCGAGTTGGAGGAGAAGAAACGTCGGGAGGAGGAGGCGGAAGAGCGCAAGAAAAACAATCTCAAACAAGCCATCGTCCTGCGAAGTTACCTGAGCGTTTTGAGTGCGGAGCCCGCAGAGCTTCCCGCAGGAACGCAGATCCATCTGGAGGACCCGGAGGACATAGAGACACAGCTGATTATTCCAACAATGGTTCTATATCCGACTACAGACGAGTTTGACTTTGTCAACGAGGTGAGCGAGCTTTCTACGCCTGGAGAGCTGATAGAGTTGGTAATGGACCGTCCTGACTCCTACTTTGAGGATCCGAAGCATAAAAATTTCAGACAGATGGAAGCATATATGGAGACAGAAAGCGGCGGTCTGATCAAGGCCGGGAAGAAGGTGACGTTCAATGCGATCCTCTCTGCGGCAACTCCGCGTGTGCCGTTGTTCGACAACGTGATGCGGATCTACTTTGTGCCGAGAGCGGACTCCAAAGCGTGGATCTCAAAATGGAGCAAGGAGGCAGCTCTGAAAAAAAGACGATAAATATTAGAAAAATTTCAGTAAAACAATTTTTTTATATACATAAAATAAATGGCCTCTGTTAAAAGACAGCGTCCAGCCGACGGACTCGCAGTCACGCAGAAAGTGTTTGTGCGGTCCCGCAATGGTGGTGCCCTGAAGATTGTTCGCGAGCACTATTTGAGAGACGACATTCCGTGCTCCAGCGTCTGTTGCGACGATTGCGAGGAATACTACAGGCCTTCTCCTGATGGCCAGCCCAGCGAGCCTATCTTGAGCGGCGAGCCCCTGGAGATCACCAAGAACGGCATTGGAAGACACTACTTGATTCTGGACACCAACGTGGTTCTGAATGCTATAGATCTGCTCGAAAGCGACAAGGTGTTCTACGACGTGGTTATTCCGCAAACAGTGCTGGAAGAAGTGCGAAACCGCAGCTATCCGATATACATGCGTCTGCGCGCGCTGTGCAAGAACGACGACAAGCGTTTTGTGGTGTTTCACAACGAATTCAAGACCGACTCGTTTGTTTCGCGCGAGAAAGGCGAGTCTGCGCAGGACTACAACGATAGACTGATCAGAAAATGCGCATTGTTCTACAGCCAGCACCTGGCAAAACATAAACTCTCGGTCGTGTTGCTGACTAGCGACAAGAATAATATCGAAAAGGCCGTCAACGAGGGAATCAGAACCATGTCGTTGCACAGTTACGTTTCTCTGCTACCGAACTACAGCGAGCTCGAGGACATGCTGCCGTCCAACGAGACGTTTTCGCGCCAGCTCACAGAGATCAGCTACCAGGAGTACTACTCGCCTGCGCGTCTGATGGGCGGAATCAAGAGCGGAACCCTGTTCCAGGGCACAATCAACATTTCGTCGTACAATTTCTTGGAAGGCTCGATTTCCGTGCCGTCGATGCCGAAACCGCTGCTGGTTTTGGGCAGAGAGAACCTGAACCGGAGCTTCAACGGCGACACCGTCGTGGTGGAGCTGTTGCCGAAAAACAAGTGGAAAAAACCGTCGACGGAGATTGTCGACGAGGAGACCATCAACAGCAACGGAGTCGGCGACGAGGACGAGGACGAAGTGGTCATTTCGGACCAGGAGCGGCGACTGCTTGCCGAGCACGCGGTGGCTGCGCAGGGCGAGGACCAGAAGGTGATTCCGACCGCGCGAGTCGTGGGCATTGTGAAACGCAGCTGGCGACTGTATGTTGGGCAGCTGGCCCCGAATTCTGCCTCCAAGGACCAGGTGGGCGGCAACGCGGCGAAGTCGTGTTTTGTCATATTGATGGACCGGTCGCTACCGAAGGTGCGCATCCGCACCAGACGGGCCCGCGAGCTGCTGGGAAAGCGGATCGTCGTGGCCGTCGACTCGTGGAGCCCGACGTCCAAGTATCCGGACGGCCATTTTGTGCGTGTTCTGGGCGACGTCGAGGACAAGGACGCGGAGCAGGAGGCTCTTCTTTTGGAGCACGACGTGGAGTACAGGCCGTTCTCGAAGAACGTTTTGGACTGTCTTCCTAAGGAGGGCCACGACTGGAAAGTGCCGGAGAAACTCGACAACGGCGACCCGCAGCTGGCGCAAAGACGCGATCTCAGAGAGAAGCTCGTGTGCTCGATCGACCCGCCGGGCTGTGTGGACATCGACGACGCGTTGCACGCCCAGCGTCTGCCCAACGGGAACTACGAGGTGGGCGTGCACATTGCGGACGTGACGCATTTCGTGAAGCCTGGAACGGCGCTCGACCAGGAGGGAGCCTCCCGAGCCACGTCGGTGTACCTGGTGGACAAGAGAATCGACATGTTGCCGATGCTGCTCGGCACGGATCTGTGTTCGCTGAAGCCGTATGTGGACAGGTTTGCGTTCACTGTTCTCTGGGAAATGGACGAGGACGCCAACATTGTGCGCGTGGACTACTTCAAGTCGATCATTCGGTCGAAGGAGGCGTTTGCGTACGAGCAGGCGCAGTTGCGGATGGACGACCCGGCCCAGCAGGACGAGCTGACCCAAGGTATGCGGATTCTGTTGCAACTGTCGAAAAAGCTCAAGCAGAAGAGACTCGACGCTGGCGCATTGAACCTCGCGTCGCCAGAGGTGAAGGTGCACATGGACAGCGAGACGTCCGACCCGGGCGAGGTGGAGGTGAAAAAACTCGTGGAGGCCAACTCGCTCGTGGAAGAATTCATGCTTCTGGCCAACATCTCCGTGGCCAAGAAAATCTACGACGAGTTCCCGCAGGTGGCCATGCTCAGACGGCACGCGGCGCCGCCGGCCACGAATTTCGAGGCCTTGAACGACATGTTGCGCGTGCGCAAAGGAATGCATATTTCTTTGGAGAGCTCGAAAGCACTGGCAGACTCGCTCGACAGGTGCGAGGACCCGCAGGACCCGTATTTCAACACTCTGCTGAGAATTATGGCTACGCGGTGCATGATGGCCGCCGAGTACTTCTCTGCCGGCAACTACGGCTACGAGGATTTCCGTCATTACGGTCTTGCTACCGAGATCTACACCCACTTCACCTCTCCAATCAGACGGTACTGCGACGTCGTGGTGCACAGACAGCTTGCGGCCGCTATTGGCTACGAGCCATTGCACCCGCTGCACAGAGACAAGGCCAAGATGGACCTGGTGGTGAAGAATATCAACAAGAGACACAGAAACGCGCAGTTTGCTGGACGGGCCAGTATCGAGTACTACGTGGGCCAGGTGATGAAGAACACGCAGAGCGTGCACGAGGGATACGTGATCAAGGTGTTTTCGAACGGCATTGTTGTTTTGGTGCCGAAGTTCGGCGTCGAGAGTCTGATCAAGCTAGAAAGTCTTGGAGACATCAGGACGAGCCATTTTGACGAGGACCTGTACAAGCTGACTTTCACAGACAAAAACGGCAGCGAGCGCCAGGTGAGCGTGTTCGACCGCGTCCAGGTTTCTGTCACGTCGCAGCTGGACGAGATGACCGGCAAGAGAAAAGCGCAGCTGCTGCTGGCATAAGTAGAAATAATTATTTTTCACGTTTTTTGATTTAATTTTTTCACCTTCTCCGATGTCAAACTTTGGGTTACAGGTTAGACAGACGGTGCCGGCGATCGACCCGGTCGTCACCGACTACGCTATTGGCTATCTGGGCCATCTTTTCCAGGCGACAGAGGACTCTGTTCTTGCGCAGCAATTGGACATCCCCAAGGAAACACAGTTTCTGAGCCAGCTCCTGGTCAGTGCTGGCGGAGAGTCGGACAAGGTGGACGGTCTCGCGGCGAAAGTGCAGGAGGCGCTCAAGAAACAGCTGGCAGACAACATGGCCAAACTGGCGGTCACGGGAGACACGTCGAAACGGCTGCTGGACGTGGATCTGATCCATAACCAGCAGCGTGATCTGGACAGTTCTTTGGCTCTTTTGAACTCGACCTCTGATATTGCACATACCGGCAGAAATATGGAGACGCGTGTGGACAAGAAGAAGCTGCAGAAGGCCGAGGCAAAGATCGCCAAGAAGGTGGCCAAGCGCGCCAACAAGTTTGTCCAGTACGAAGCGTCCAAGCTGCTCAACGAGCAGACCAAGGACGACTACGACTCGTTCTTCCTCAAGGTGAATCCTATTGATTTCGGCGCTGGGGCGGGCAAATCCAAGGACATCAAGGTCGAGAACTTCGATCTGTACGTGGGAGCAGGAAAACGGATTCTTTCCGACGCCTCGCTCACTCTGGCGTACGGCCGTCGCTATGGTCTGGTCGGACAGAACGGTATCGGTAAATCGACGTTGCTGCGTGCTCTTTCGCGCAGAGAGCTGAACATCCCCAAACACATCACCATCTTGCACGTGGAGCAGGAGCTGCGCGGAGACGAGACCACGGCGCTGCAGTCTGTGCTGGACGCCGACGTTTGGCGGAAACAGCTTTTGCACGAGCAGGCCAAGATAGACGAGCGGATCTCAGAGATCGACAGGCTCAAGGCCGAGTTCGAGCCGGAGTCGCTCGAGGCGAAAAAGCTCGACAACGAGCAGAACGACCTGGCCGAGCGGCTCGAGGAGGTGCACGAGAAGCTGAGCGAGATGGAGAGCGACCGTGCCGAGGGCCGTGCCGCGTCGATTTTGTACGGCCTGGGATTCAGCGAGGAGGCACAGCAGCAGCCAACCAACACGTTCTCCGGAGGATGGCGGATGCGGTTGTCGTTGGCTAGAGCGCTTTTCTGCAAGCCGGACCTGCTGCTTCTGGACGAGCCCACCAACATGCTGGACGTGCCTTCGAGCACGTACCTGGCCCATTATCTGCAAACGTACCCTGCGACTGTGCTGGTTGTTTCTCACGACCGTGCGTTCCTGAACGAGGTGGCCACCGATATAATTCACCAGCACTCTGAGAGACTGGATTACTACCGAGGCGCGAACTTCGACTCGTTCTACAACACCAGGGAGGAGCGGCTCAAGAACCTGAAGCGCGAGTACGAGAACCAGATGCAGTACAGACAGCATCTGCAGGCGTTCATCGACAAGTTCCGGTACAACGCTGCGAAGTCGTCCGAGGCGCAGTCGCGAATCAAAAAGCTCGAGAAGCTGCCTGTGCTGGAGCCGCCGCAAGAGGAGAAGCAGATCACGTTCAAGTTCCCGGAGCCAGACAAGATCCAGCCGCCGATTCTGCAGCTGAGCGGTGTCTCGTTCGGCTACGACCCCGAAAAACTGCTCCTGTCGGATGTCGACCTGGACGTGCAACTGGACTCGAGAATCGCGCTTGTTGGAGCCAACGGGTGCGGTAAAACGACGCTGCTGAAGATCCTCATGGGCGACAACACGCCGCTCCAAGGGTCTGTGACCAGAAACTCGCGGCTGCGGATCGGCTACTTTGCGCAGCACCACGTCGACCAGATGGACCTGAACCTGAGCGCTGTTAGCTGGCTGAGCACCAAGTTCCCTGGCAAGACCGACGAGGAGTACAGAAGACATCTGGGGTCGTTTGGAATCACGGGCTCGCTGTCTTTGCAGAAAATGGAGTCGCTGTCCGGAGGACAGAAGTCCAGAGTGGCCTTTGCCTCGCTGTGTCTCAACACGCCCCATATTCTGATTCTGGACGAGCCTTCGAACCATCTCGACACGTCTGGACTGGACGCGCTGAGCGACGCGCTGAAGAACTTCAAGGGCGGAGTGCTGATGGTGTCGCACGACGTCGCGATGATCAACAGCGTGTGCAACGAGATTTGGGTCAGCGAGGACGGAACGGTCAAGCGGTTCGACGGCGACATCTATGCGTACAAGAAGTACATTCTGGCGAAGGCCGACGCTTCGGGAGTGGTCAAGAGACACTGACCGGCCTGTTATTGCTGGATGTCGCGGCTTTTCAGCGTGAGATTGAGGAAATTGCTCAGTCTTTGCTTGGCTCTAAACAGCGAAATGGTAAAGAGGGCGAGAACGAGGACGATCGAGGTCGTCTGGAAGTAGACAACAAACTCGACCGTTCCGCGGTCGTCCACCAACGTGTGTTTTCCGCTCACGGCGCGGCTGATGACGTATTTTTCATTTGCCATGTTGAAGTAGACACAGATGGCCATCGATATTAGACAATGCACAATAACGACGATCCACCAGTAGAAAAAGTACCTGAACGACGTGGCAAACTGCTGGAACATGCTGTGTGCGTCGATGTGAAGCAGGACGATGACGGCGGTGAGCAAAAGCGACGCCAAAAACATGGACAGCGTCGTCACGGCTGTGAGCAGTGTGGTTGTTCTGCGGAAGTACCCAAACGTGATTGCGCCAAGGACGAAGTTCAGAAAGCTCGAGAAGTTCGAAATCAGCGCAGTGCGCAGCAGAATGTTGCCGGGATGATATTTCTGTACCGCTATCGAGTTTTGAATGTTGACATGCAATTTGAACAACTGCGAATTGAACAGCCGGTATACAGGGTCGTCTCGCAACTTGACTTTGGTCGTGCTTGAGATATCCAGCTTGAGGCAGTTTGCGGTGATTTGCTTTTCGCAAATGGTGGTGTCTGTGTCGTACAGAACCTCTGTCCTGCATTTTTCCATCCCGCTGGCGTCCAGCAGTCCGTTGGCCGACATCGACACGAATATTTGTGACGTGTCGTCGTCTGCTGCTATGAGAAAACATCCAACGCTGAAATCTGGCGTAAGTTGCCATCCATGAGGAAGTAAGCATTCTGAGCGGAACGTAATAATGGTCTTCTCAACTATCTCTGTACCCGTATTGACATTAAATACCAAGTCTCCTATATGGCTTTGGTCCACGGCGACGCCGTTGACTAGCAGTTGCGCTTCTCCAAAAGCCACGAACCTGGCGCTCTTGGCCTTTTCAAGCTCCAACTCCTGGATTAGAAGCTCACAGCGTGTTTCCTTGCACTCATGCTGCTGTTCCCGCCAGCTGCAAATGGCCTTTTCCAGCGTTCTGAGGTTGTTGTATGTGTCTGGCTCGTGTTCCATATTCTGTAAATTAATAGGGAGCAACTACGCAACCAAAATTGACCAAGTAAAAAGGGAGAAGTAATAAACAGGATTTTTGGGCAGAAAAAAAAGAGCACGCACCCAAGCCGGGAGTCGAACCCGGAATCTTTTGATTAGAAGTCAAACGCGTTAACCATTACGCTACTCGGGCGTTGTCTGCTCAAAAAGGGGGTCGGGACATTTTGGCGCAAACTAGCAATGCCGTTTTTCCCCAGCCAACCAATCACGAGCAATTAATTGTAATTACAATAAGGCCGGCCTATAATTTCCACGGTATTTTTTTTCCTCTACGCACGCTCGCCGGGACGCACCGCAGTGGATTTTACAAGAAAAACAATTTAAAAGTTTTCAACAGTAAGCACAAGTCGCCAATGTTGTCGAGATCTTTTGTTAGAGGCCTTAGAGCTAACATGGGATTGGCCTCCCAGGCTAGAGCTCTGTCTTCCACCACTGCCGCTCTCAAATCTACCTACGATTCCCCAGACTTCTCCCACTACCTCAACAAATCCAAAGGAACCAATGACAAATCTAGAGTTTACACCTACTTCATGGTGGGCTCGTACGGACTGCTCTCTGCTGCTGCCGCCAAGTCGACCGTCGAGGCGTTCTTGACCACCATGTCGGCATCTGCCGATGTGCTGGCCATGGCCAAGGTCGAGGTCAAGCTGAACGCCATTCCGGAGGGAAAGAACGTCGTTGTCAAATGGCAGGGTAAGCCTGTCTTCATCAGACACAGAACCCAGGCAGAGATCGCCGAGGCCAACGAGGTGGACATCTCCTCTCTGAGAGACCCGCAGAAGGACTCGGACAGAGTGAAGAACCCAGAGTGGCTGATCATGCTCGGTATCTGCACCCACTTGGGTTGCGTTCCTATTGGAGAGTCCGGCGACTTTGGCGGATGGTTCTGTCCATGCCACGGTTCCCACTACGACATCTCGGGCAGAATCAGAAAGGGCCCTGCTCCATTGAACCTTGAAATTCCAGAATACGAATTCTCCGACGAGTCCACTTTGGTTGTTGGCTGATTAGAGGGACACGATTGTATAAAGTCACAAACAGCGCAGAAAATTAGCATCCAGTTGGATCTCTAGTAATAGAATATTCTCCTCCATATCAAACTAATTTTTTCTCACTTATGTCTTTCTAGTCTTTTGGTAATGGATCGTCTGTCGTCTTCCGCAGGGTCGTCGTCCTGGCGAAGCTCTTTTGAGGTGTCGGCCAGGACCCAGAAACCGGTCAAGCGGTTTAAGGAGTTCCATACTGTCGATTGGGTCCAGGAAGCGCTCGTCGAAAACAAAAAGTACTACGAAGCCATCCGTCCCAGAACACGCGGCCAGAACTCTTCCACGGACAGGTGGAACACCATCAGGACGAAGTTTGTCACCTCGGTCCAGAATTGGCTCGCTCTCACGCTCATGGGCGTGTGCATCGGCCTGATCGCAGCAGCCATCAACATCATCACAGAATGGCTTGGAAATTTTAAAACGGGATATTGCCAGTCAAATCTCTATCTCAACAAGGAATCCTGCTGCTGGAGCGAGGAAGGAAGGTGTTCCAAGTGGCAATCGTGGTCCGGCAACTCGTTTCTCCAGTACCTCATATTCATTATAATTTCTGTCGCGTTCGGCAGTATCGCAGCTCTTCTCTGCAAAGCTTTCGCGCCTACAGCAGCTGGATCGGGCATCTCAGAGGTCAAATGCATTGTCTCTGGATTTGTAATGGACGGGTTTCTTGGATGGCCGACGCTCATCATCAAGTCGATCGCTCTTCCGCTCGTGATTGCGTCTGGCCTGAGCGTGGGTAAGGAAGGCCCCAGTGTTCACTATGCTGCGTGCGTGGGCAACGTGATACCAAAGCTGTTCAAACGGTTTAGCCGATCGTACGTCTCGCTGTCGCAGTTTCTGACGGCCGGCTCGGCTGCTGGCGTTGCCGTGGCTTTTGCGTCACCTATTGGAGGCGTGCTATTTTCCATCGAGGAAATCAGCTCCAACTTTAAATTGTCCACGCTCTGGAAGAGCTACTACTGTGCATTAATTGCTACCGGAACGCTGTCGGCGATGAACCCGTTCCGGACGGGCCAGATCGTGCTGTTCGAGGTGAAATATGACTCAGACTGGAAATATTTTGAGATCCCGGTATTTGTCGTCCTGGGAATATTTGGAGGTGTCTACGGAATTCTCGTTGCAAAATTCAATATCAAATGGGTGGCCTTTAGACAGAAGTACCTCTCCAACTATGCTATAAGAGAGGTTATGATCCTGTGTTTGCTGACATCGGCCATTGGCTATTTCAACGAGTTTCTGCGACTGGAAATGACCGAAGGAATGCAAATTCTGTTCCACGAGTGCGGCGGAGAGTTTGACCACTCTCTGTGCAAAATCGACCAGCATTGGGGCTCAAAGCTGAGGTTTTTCGTCAGCCTGCTCTATGCCACCGTTTTGCGCGTGGTGCTGGTGGTGGTGTCGTACGGGTGCAAGGTTCCGTGCGGTATATTTGTCCCGTCCATGGCTGCCGGTGCCACTTTTGGCCGAGCAATAGGCCTGCTCATGGAAACGTTCAGTCCGTGTGTAGATGCAGACTCCGGCAAGTGCATCATCTCTGGCACGTACGCGTTTCTTGGCGCGGCAGCCGCGCTCAGCGGGATCACACACCTGACTCTCGCAGTGGTTGTCATAATGTTCGAGCTCACCGGCGCAATCAAGTACATTGTGCCCACAATGATTGTTGTTGGGGTGACCAAGATCATCAATGACCGCTGGGGTACCGGCTTTGGAGGCATTGCAGACCAGATGATCAAATTCAACGGCATCCCATTTCTGGACCCAAAGGAAGAGCACGATTTCGGCCCGCATAGCATATCGGACTGTATGACTGACCAGGTTGTTGTGCTTCCGGTTTCTGGATACACGTACCGCGACGTTGAGCACGTTCTCGCCGAAACGAGTTTCCAGAGCTACCCGGTCGTTGCTGAAAATGGGTCTGTGGTGACAGGCATCATCAAACGGTCGCAGCTGCTGGCAGGGCTCAACTATCATAAACAGCTACGCCATCTGGAGATACCGCTGGACACACCGGTGAGTTTCTCGGCGACAATTCTCCAAGACCAGCAGGACGTCCTCTCGTTCGAGCGGTTTGTTGATACCCAGTACTACCGGGTCAACATCAACAGCTCCTTCAACACGCTGGTGAATATTTTTATGAAACTGGGCCCAAAGCTCGTTATCGTCGAGGACGGTGGCAAGATGGCGGGCATCATATGTCGCAAGGACCTGATCAAGTTCGAGCTCCACCTTCACCGGCTGGAACACGGCGATCCCTTCGTCTCGGCCACGGACGAGAAGGTGTTTGCATTGATGGTGAACTTGGCATCGAAAGTGCGCCATAATCTGCTTGCATTGGTCGGCCGCAAGCCGCAGCCGTACGTCACGCTGGATCTGGATGAGTAAAAATAACAATAGACGTTGGTTTATAGATGTGTTGTGTTCCCACAAAAGGGGATTCGGGATATAAATCTCCCATGCGCTAAAAAAGAACCCTGGATTCTGTTACTTTCGCTTGCAGAAGAAGACATGTCTATGGACGGGTGCGATCTGGACCAGTCGAGCGGGTCCAAGTCCAAGAACCTGGTCCTGTGTTTCGACGGCACGGCGAATAATTTCAGCACACGCGTCGAAACCAACATCCTGAAACTGTACAAAATGCTAGAAAAGGGGTCTCACCAGCAGATGTGCTACTACCAGCGTAAGTGTGTTCTGTGGCAGTTCTGACTTTTAGCGGGGATCGGCAACGATATCCGGACAGGGTTCGGGGAGTTGCACGACGCCGGGTGGTTCTGCTCCTCCGTCGAGAACGTCAAGTCCGACCTCGACGAACTGGTAGCCTTCACCGTCGATTATCACGTGATAGAGGCATACACGTACCTGATGCGGTACTACGTCGACGGCGACCGGGTCTATTTATTTGGGTTCAGTCGCGGGTCGTTCATTGCCAGGATACTTGCCGGGATGATCGAGCGCATTGGGCTGCTGAATCAGGGATTGGAGGTCATGGTGAGCACTGCCTGGGAAATCTACAAAAAATGGGAGCAGCACGGCCAGCCGATCGGCAGAGAATGGACTAGTTCCAGTGCCAGTGTCTTTAAAAAGACTTTCTGTCGGGAGAAGGTGATCATCAAGTTCATGGGGCTGTGGGATTCCGTCAACTCGTGCGGGATCTTTCGAGACAGGCTGTTTCCGTTCACCTCCATTTCGCACCACGTCGAACATATAAGACACGCGGTGAGTATAGACGAGCGAAGAGCAAAGTTCAAGCAGAACCTGTTTATTCCGCATTCCTACTTACCGTCCTTGTTCAATCTCCAATGCATTGACCAGGACGACCGGGATTCCAGCGTCTACTCAGATTCGGCCGGCGAGCTTGAACAGTTATTGCACCTCGAGCCGGACTACGTTAATAGGACGCACGCCTATGCCAATCGGCCGGTTCCCACGTCCAACGACCTGGTAGAACTGTGGTTCCCTGGCGACCACAGCGACGTGGGTGGCGGATGGGCCAACGACATTGACGGTCATTCGATATCAAATCTGCCGTTCCGGTGGATCTTATCGTCTGCAATCGAGATGGGCGTGTTGTTTAAGGAACATGCTGTATATGAGTTTGCAACCAAATTCACTAGCTTGGATAGTTTACTGGCGTGCAACCATGATTGTCTCCAGTTGATCAGACACAACTCGAAGCTTCATGATGAGCCAGCAGACATCACAGCACATACTTCAGTTGTTTCAGACAGAAACTCGCTCGACTCTAACATAGCTGCCGGGCATGGCGAGGATCTTTTCCACCAACCAGAAAAAAATGTATTGCAAGTCCCCTCGCACCAGGTGTCTAGATTTGACGGCCGGGGAACGGATACCATCCAAAAGTGTCTCTTCTGGTGGACGGTGGAGGTCCTGCCCGTTGGGTATTTCATTGAGAACAAAAATGGGAGGTGGAGGAGAATATACTACCCGAATTTGGGACGTACAAGGAACCTTCCTCGAAATGCCAGACTTCACTGGACCGCTCTATGGCGGACCAGGCTGGTCAGAGACTACAAGCCTAAGAATCTCCCGGAAATTTACAGACCGTTGTTCGATCAGGTCAGGGCGGAGAACGAGGGCAGAAGTGTTAGCGAAGACGAAGATCTGTGCGACTGTCAGGTTGTCACTAACGAGAACTTGATCGACCACACGACAGGAGAGATCAAGCAAGACTGTCTGGTTTGTGAGCACAATAAAAAGACACGGATAGATATACGCTGGGACGAGGTCCCGGACGATCTTTCGAAGTGGCTCGAGAGAGACTCCAACCTATAGATTGCTTTGTAGCACCTAGATTTATTGATTCCCTATTTTATATGGAATTTTGAGATGACACAGGGAGAAGGGCTTAACAGACGACGTCCTGAGTAGCCCTGGAGTTGAGCAGAAGGGCGACAATCAGACCGTACAGACCCAAGACTTCGGCGAAAATCAAAATCAGAATCATACCCACAAACAATCTTGGTTGTTGAGCGTTACCTCTGACACCAGCGTCACCAACAATACCGATGGCAAAGCCGGCGGCCAAACCAGAGAGGCCGACAGAGAGACCAGCACCCAATTGGATGAAACCAGTGTAAAGGGCCTGCTGTTGCTTCAGTGACGAGGAGATCAAGACCGACACCACCAATCCGTAAATGGCAATGATACCGGCCATAATGACTGGAACGGTGTTCTTGATCAGGAGGTCTGGTCTCAAAACACAGGTGGCACAGATACCAACACCGGATTTGGCAGTACCGTAGGAGGCACCAAAACAGGTGAAGATGATCGCAGCAGCGCAGCCGATAGAGCCAAAGAATGGAGCGTACACAGGACTAAATGTTAGCAGGCACCAGACGTTGATTTAGCAAGCAAATGCCCACTTTACAGGAATCACATCTTTTTGTACTGTTTTCCGGACTTGCTTGCAAATTGCAGTACTTACCAAAGGTCAGACATTGTGGATTTGACTGTTTGATCTATGAATAAATGCGGGTCCTTATTGTGGGATTGGGTGATGAAACAGAGCTAGATTATTGTTTTGTAACAAACACTTAATCAATTGACACCTATATTTCCAGGTCTTTTATTTTTTCTGATTATTGGTGCTGCTTTTTCGAGGGCACGGGCACGTAACCAGGTGGCAGAGACCTAAGATGGAAGGAGCAGACAGGAGGACACGGTGATCAGGGGTTGTGGGAGCCAGTACGTTGGATGATGGGGTGAAGCAGGTGAGCCGCTGGCAGCTTCGATGGGCGAATCAAGAAGAAAGGAGGGCGGGCGAGACGTAATACTTCTGAGTACTGCTTAATGCTGCTCAATACCAATCACTACTGCTTACTCTGAGTTTACAACACTCCGCCGTCAGTGCGGTAGCCCAGCGTGGGTTCATGGTAGTTTTTATAAGCAGATGTCAGCGACGGCTCGTCACTGAATCAAATAAACCAAAGAAATCTGTTATTTTTCAGTGGTCGCGAAATTGCAAAACAATACCCATGGTAAGTGTCTTTGAGTCGACTGCTAACTTAGTCTCTCCTGTATAATAATGCCATAAAGCAGACGCAGCAACTGCGAAAGGATCTTGAACAGTTTGAAAAGGACCCTACTTCAGCACAACTCTCCCTGATCGGCCAAATCACTACCACCATCACCAACCTTTCGAGAACTCTCCAGGAGTACGAGGATTACATCGTCAAGCAGACGCTGAATCTGAACGAGTCGCAGAAACTGAAAAACGAAAACAGACTCGCGAGCCTGAAAAACGAGCTCCTAGAGTACAAGCTGAAAACACAATCACTAAAGAAACAGCGAGAGGAAGGACTAGCCGAGGCCAACAGAAACCAACTGTTCGCAAATAGGTCGACGGCGATTTCCGAAAATCCGTACGACGACAGCAGCGTTTCCTCTGTGACCAACAGAGGCGGCCAGAGCCGGCAGGAGCAGCTTTCGGGGCTCTCCATGGAGGAAGGACTGCACAAGGAACAGTCTGTCCTGGAGCGGTCCAACCAGCAGCTGGACGAAATTCTGGAGATGGGGAGAATGGCCTTTGACGATCTGGTGGAGCAGAATGAAGTGGTGTTGAAAATGAAGGAGAGAATGTCGTCTAGCTTGCAGACTCTCGGAGTTTCAAAAGCTACCATTAGACAGATCGAGAAAAAAGCATTCGAGGACAAGTGGATATTCTACATCGGGGCCGCGCTCACATTGTACGTGATGTATTTGATATGGAAGTATCTGGGCTGAGCTTGCCGATCAGCGGCTCCATAGCCACAGGCAAGGTCTCTGCGCTGTCTCCTATAAACTGCCAGCAGTCCTCTTCGTCGCTGTCCGGCTCGGTGTTGAAAATGGCAATTTTTCCTCCCTGGTTCCTGACAATGTCCACGTACGATGCCGCCGGCCACACCGCTCGAGATGTTCCTATCACCAGCACGAGGTCCACCCTGTTTCGCACTATGAACTCGTCCGCCTTGTCGATCATGTGCAGAGGCAGCGACTCTCCAAACCACACCACGGCCGGCCTCAACAGGCCAACTTTGCATGCGGGACAGTGCGGGAGGACCTGCTCGTCAAGAAACGGCAAGACTTCGGTCTGGTCGAAACTATCCACTCTCAAAGCTTCGCACAACGGGTCTTTATAGTTATTCTTCTCCTCGTAGGAGCAGCTAAAGTTCGTGCATCGCATCCCAAACAGCGACCCGTGAAATTCGAGCAATTTCTCTGGCACATGGTGGCTTCTCTGAGATAAGCCGTCCACGTTCTGTGTAATTGTAAGGAAGTTGATGTTTGTGAGTTTGCTGAGCTCTGCTAGCACGTAGTGGCCGAGGTTCGGCTGCGCCTGCAAGGCCTTGTGTCTGCGATAGGCATAAAACTGCCATACCAGGCCCGGATCGTCGAGAAACGCATCGGGAGTGGCTAGGTCGATTGCGTTGTATTGTTTCCACAGTCCGCCGGATCCACGGAATGTGGACAATCCAGACGAGGCAGACAGCCCGGCCCCGACAAGAGCAAGTATGGTTTTGCAATTTGGCGATCGCAAAAAGTTGTGGAAAGACTCAAGTGTGGAGACAGGTATTATGGTGGAGGAAGGGGCAGACTCTGACAAATTCTCGCTGTTTAGTGGAGACTCGTTACTATGTTCATCGTGGCGTTCTGAGGGCTGCATAAATAAAAACAGTGATTTTCTTCACGACATCTGATATGTTGTTATCTTGCTAAATATTTGAGCTTTCTCTAGTCTGAAAAACCTGTTTCTGTCAAAATAAGATTGTGTCTGTAGTCGAAAATTTTTGCCAGCCTTTTTTTTTCCCTTCATAAAAATACAAACTAGGAAAAGACCCAGGGTTGTTTTTTTCGACTTGTTGCGAGAAATCAGATCCGTACTATTTTCATAATAGAAAAAAGTTGCAAACTGCAGAATCGCGCCCGTTTTGCCCACAATTGTGCCCGTTTTCCGCCACTTTATAGGCCCGCCTCCCAGATATTTGTCCAAAAGTGCATTTTGAACCATCTAGAGTACCATGGCACCTCACGACAAGCGAAGTGTCTCCGAGCAGGAACGTCGTGCGATGGCCGCAAAGTTCACAGAGCTCATGGATGAAATCCTCACGTTGAAAGACTCTGAGGGGAACGAGTTTTACGAAATGTTCCAGGTTCTCCCTTTAAGAGCTAACACCGACTATTACAAAGTGATCCGCAGGCCAATGTCGTATTCCAAGATCCGCTCCACGATAAAAAGTCTTAAGTACTCCCATCCGCAGCAGTTCATCAACGATCTGGCCCAGATCACCTGGAATGCTCGATTCTACAACGAGAAAACGTCAATCTACCACGAATGCGCAGTTGTGCTCGATAACTACATTCAGCAAACTGTGATCCCTGCTCTAAAAAAAGACTCCTCCATTCCTGGACATTCTGAAGTCCACTACCCTAATCTTGGCAAGTTACCGGGAGAAGACGATTTTGTCATGCAGATCTCGTCGCCAACTCCTCCAGCCCGTCAATCAAAGTCTCGTGGCGACTACGAGGATGAGGACTACGAGGACGAGGAAGTGGACGATACCAGACAACAGGACGACGATTACCAGGATGAAGAGTATCGGGAGCCTAGTGTTGGGTCCAACATGATGCAACATACCAATCCAATGCATTCTCTACCAGGAGGTTACAACAATGCAATGCCAAACTACAACCCGTCGGCATACGTGTCAAAAACAGAGGTCTCGCAGCAGTCCAACTACTACTATCCACCGACACGTAACGTTGCGAAGTCGAACGATCAGCTGCTTGAGAACTGGGTTAAAAGAGGAAGACCTCCGATTGTGGATCAGCCCCACGAACAGAGGATCAAAAGTATCATGAGAGGTCTCAAGAAAATCAAGGTCAATGGAAAAACAATCATTACCGTGTTTGATAAGCTGCCAAACCAGCAGGATCATCCTGAATATTATAGGATTGTTAAAGAGCCAATTTCTATGCTGGACATCAAGGGATTGATTAAACAGAGACACTACCAGAGTGTGGACGCTTACATGGCGGACGTTTTTAAGCTGATTGCCAATTCGAAGGCATACTATACGGCCAACTCTGCCATGCTGAACAATGTCCATCTTTTGGAGTCCAACATCACGAGACTTTATCATTTGGAGATGCAAAGGCCAGACAGCGACTACGGTGACGTTGTCACGTCCAAAGTGCCTGTTCCATTCCTGGTTTACGAGGGAAGAACGTACAAAGTTGGAAACTGGGTGTTGCTGAAAAATCCAAATGATCCTGATAGACCGATTGTTGGACAGATCTTTAGGATGTGGCAGGAACATGGAAAGAGTTACGTCAACGTGTGCTGGTATTACAGACCGGAGTGGACCTCGCACAGTTACGACCGCCTGTTCCTCGAGAACGAGGTTTTCAAGACCGGTCAGTATAGAGATCATCCTGTGGAGGATATTTTAGGACCGTGCTATGTTGCATATTTCACCAGATGGCTAAAGGGCGATCCTGCTGTCAAATACGAAGGACCACTATTTATTTGCGAGTTCAGATACAGCGACAGAGAGCTGTCTTTTGCCAAGATCAGAACATGGAGAGCTTGTCTTCCTGACGAGGTGAGGCACATTGAAGACCCAGTGACTCCAATAGACAAGCCGCGGGTCCTGAAAAAGTTCCCGTCTCCAATCAAGTACATGCTTCCTCCGAACGCAGTCCCCTCCGAAAAGCCTCCACCACCAACAATCCTAAACCTCAATGCTCCTCCGCTGGTGGGCGGCATCCATATTTTTGAGCCAGGACCAGACAGCGAGCCGCACGACGATCCGAACTACTACGATGCCTCGCTGAAGAGCAACGAGTATAAGACGTACATCCCTCCATCGCCAAACATCAGACTGCCTATGCTACACTCCGACCAGAGTCCTCCTCCTCAGAACATGCCGATCCCGCCAAACCCTGCCTCAGGCTACCCGTCATCGATGTCTAATATGCAGCCGTTCAACTTTCAGTCGCCATACCAGAGCAACGGAATCTCCAGTTACAACAGCTACCAACAGCAGCCTGTTGTTCCATCTTACGGGAACATGTATGGGGGGCAGAAGGTGGTGCAGACTCCATATAATAATTTGGCGTACCAGTACTCGCCGTTCAATCCTCCTTCATACTCACAGTCGTTCATCCTGCCTACTTCTCAGGAGCTAAAAATGCCAAAGGAAGTCAGAAGTCTCTACGAGCGGATAGATAACGGCAATTTCCAGAGGTTCACCAAGAACCTTGCTCAGAACAACTACCTAAATGGAAGCACCGATACGATGAGCAAGCCTGACGAGTACCCGGAGGACGAGCTGACGCCAATGTTATGGTACAGAGGACCGCCCCAGTACGTTCCCAACCGTTTGGTTTCGCAGGAGGACTTTGATAACGAGGACTTAGCACTGCCTTTTGTCAAGAAGAAGCGTGTTGGTGAAGCCCTGCAGCCGGTGCGGTTGGGCCACAGTGCCAAGTACCTTGCCTGGAAACTGGCGCAGCAAAGCAAAGCGGCTACTTCCAACGGCACGGCCGCCTAGAATGTATAGTACGTGCCTTTTATAAATAAATGTACATTAAGAAGGAGCTGAACGCGACGCGATTTTTTTTTTATCAGCATCGTGCCGCATCTACGTCTTTTGTGAATGCAAATCAGTTGATTTCTATAGATCAAATGCAAACGAAGGAACGTGAACGAACGTATTCAGTTAGGATAGATACCCCAGTACTGTTCAACACCGTAGCTACCAGCGTCTTTCCAATAGTCGTTGTATGTGGTGAACATGATCACTTGGTCGGCAAGCGACTCGGTGATGGATTTGATGGCCGTGAGCTGGTTTGCCGTCGATGGAACACCCTCTTCTCCGTAGGTGTCTCCCTGGGTAGGCCATCCGGTTTCGCAAATCAGGATCGATTTGTCACTGCCACAGGTGCTTTTCAGAAGAGAGATCTGAGACTCCAGGAAGCTACCGCTGTCTTCTGGCTTGACGCTTCCGTCCCAGTACGGATGAGCGTTCACAGCGATGAAGTCGGAGGCCTCGCACAGGCTGTCGTTGTCTTGATATGCTCCCACGGTGTCGACAGTCACCACCTTTCCGGTCCAGCCTTTAGACGAGAGTGTCGATCTTCCGGAGGAGACAGCGGCAACGACGTTGGAGGCAGACTCTCCGTTTTGCACCAGCTCGTTACCGATGGCCACAGCATAGATACCGTCCCAGCCTTGGCTCGAGGCCTCGACCTGTTCGGCCAAGGTAGCAATGTCGTCAGTTAGCGAGTCGATGTAGTAGAGTCCGGCAAAGATTTTCTGGTTGGAGCCCATGTTGGCCATGATGTTGGTGATGCAGGAGCAGTCTGGAGCGTAGACTCTGATGATTTCGTAGGCAGAGAGTTTGGCGATGTCGCTGGCGACCTCACTCTCGGACTTGCACGATCCTGAGTCAGTGTACGGAGAGTATGTGATACCCTTGCTTTTTTCTGCGTAGGCCTCCACGGAGCCGGCCGAAGCCGTGGAGCTGGCGGCCGAGGAGGAGCTGGAGCCCGAGGCAGAGCTGGAGCCGGAAGCAGAGCTGGTTGCGGAGGCGTTCAGGGAGGAAGGATGGTATGGCTCTCTGGAAGCTCCCGAGGCTGGGGCGCTGGCGACCGAGTATGAGACGCTGGCAGAGGCGTCGCTGCTTGGAACAGAGGTCTGCGAAGAGATCGCCTTGCCGTTGGCATCGTAGTACTCAGTGACAACGACGGTAACAGCCGGGTTTCTCTTAGCGTGTTGGTGGTGCTGGTGGATAGGCGAAGCCAGGGTAGCAGTAGCTAGCAACGAGTAGAGGATGGTTCTGGCCAACATAAGGAGTGAATCGAAAATAGAATGAATGTAATCCGAATGGCTGTTTACCCCTGACTTATAATGGTGAGAGTTTCAACTAGCGAAAGGTGGGATTTATATCTTGTATCGGGATAAGCATTGCTTAGTGTTTTCCAAACACGTCCGAAACCAATTTCTGGTAGCAGGTACGAGCCGCACGCTCCTGTAGGATGTTTTCGTTTGGCTGCTGAGCCTCTAGAACCTTAAATGCTGAAACAATAATACTATTTTGGACCGTGCGTCAGATCAATAGGAGTCGCTTACAGGAAAAACGCGTTGGTGGTATCGCGCATATTTTTCAAGCGCGTTTTTTTTTAAGCCTTGCTTGCCGTACATACTGTATCTAGGACGCTTCCCATGTGAGGACGGTGGCATGGGTCGTGCATATAGATTCTAGATCAATATCCCCTGTGGGGCAGGCACACAGGACGGTTTTTTCTGGGCTGTGCCCAAGTGCACCACCAACTTCACCTTGCCTATTTACCCGAAACGGAAGTCTAACGGGATACTGATCTAACAAGTCGAGAATTTCGTTAATCTGCATTTTTCTTTTGTCCAGGTCACCCAAGCTAGATGTGCTTTACAACAAAGCTTTCACTACGAAGCTTTGGAAATCCAGCACCGGTGTCTGTTAGCCTGCAAGATCCACTTTTCTTTTCGAATCTGGCCAGCTGCTGAAAGTTTTCAGCTCACGGTCGCTCCGGCACCAGGTAGACCCCCAAATCAGGTCTTTCTGCTGCTGGACAAATCGCCTATCCGATGCAGACATGTCGCCGCTGCTTTCTCCACCCGTGTTCGTCGTCCAGTACACCGGCAGCCAACACGCTAAATCTGAAACATCCAGGAGGTGTACTAGCCACTTTTTTCGCGTCCGGCGAGCACAGTGCAGTGGCGAAGAAAAATTATTTGTATAACCACCAGTCGGCAATTATGATCTGTCACCATTCTCCATGACAACACAAGTGCCGCCCTCCTACAGCCATCTGGAGCATTCCGAGTACTCGGAGTACCAAATATTGTACACAAACGAAACCGCAAAGAAACATAAGGTCTGGCACGACGGAACCATGCGTCTGTTCAAGCTCAACAAGAAGCTGATAGTCTACGACGAGGATCGCATGGAAATCTACTCTGACTTTCTGAGCTCGTATCCGCGATACCGCGTCGACGATCTGGTCAAGCTCGAGTCGATCTGGATCATGATAGACGAGGTTTTGGGGACCTACGAAAGAAACGTTGCGAAGCAGATGCAGAATTTGAACGCCAACGACCTCAACATCCGCGCGCACCAGAAAGCGGCTCCGCAGCCGCACTCGCAGCCGTCGAGCGCCCCGGCCCGTAAAAACAAACGTGTGCTTGGACTCGTAAGAACAAGACCCAGCTCGTCGCTCCCGACCCAGCTCCAGAAACGCAAGCGGGTCTCGCAGGAGAGCGTTGGCGTCAAGCGACCTAAACTGGACAATTATATCCAGCGCGCCATCGACAAGTTCACGCAGGCAGACTCCCCAGTACCCGAACCGCAGCGCTCAGACACCCTTTCGCTTGCGAGCGACGCTACCCTGGCGCTGGTTTCGCCGCTGGCGTCGGCAATTTCTGTCAGCTCTAACTCGATGTCTACACATCAAATCCGATCCTCCAACACCTCCATGTCGTCGCAGTCTGGCTGTGCGGCCGCCGTTCGTCAGCGGTCTCTGCGTGTGGACCGCAACTCGGGCTCGCAGAACGCCGTGGTGATCGAAAAACCCAAGATGCTGGCCCGCTTTAATTTCACAGACACCAGCTCGACAGGCAGCGTGCGAGATCCCAGCCCGCTGTTCGACTTTGACAGAAGCGCACGGGAAATGCTGCGCAGCTACAGAACACCAACGCCGAGCGACGCACCTTACTCGATTTTCGACTCTCTGGACAGGAACCGCTAGACTCTTTCCACAAGAATGATTCCATTCAGTATATAAAACGAACTATAGCGTGCACTGCAGTCCCGCCACGCTGTCGAAAGCGTACATCTAGTGACTGTATCTCTTTTCGAGTCTGGCGGCCTGGTTGTGCTCTCTCCAGATGAGAAGGGGCACAGCGTTAGAGGTGAAAATCTTCACCACAGGGAACGACGAAAGCAGTCCGTTCAGCGCAGACAAGGCAGGGGTGCTGTTCAGTCTTTCTGCCACCCAGGCCTGTTGTTCCATCTCCTTTGATCTGTCGTAAGTCATTGTCTATGATAATTAGGTTTATTCAGCAAAGTGTAATATGAGACTCATTTAAATAGAGCGCTTTCTTATATATCAAGGTCCGGCCACGGCGCGGCGAGGTGGTAATTATTTTTTCCTGTGCTCTAGATCTTTGCAGTCAGCTCAGGAACAATTTCAAAGACATCGCCAACAATGCCAACGTCGGCAACAGAGAAAATAGGGGCCTCCTCGTCCTTGTTGATTGCCACAATCGTCTTGGCGTCCTTCATTCCGGCCAAGTGCTGAATGGCACCAGATATACCAACGGCAATGTACAGGTCTGGGGCAACGACTTTTCCGGTCTGACCAACCTGCAGCGAGTTGTCGCAGAACCCAGCGTCAACGGCGGCTCTCGAGGCGCCAATGGCAGCGTTCAGTTTCTCGGCCAGCGGGGTGATCAGTCTATCAAACTCCTCCTTATTCTTGAGACCACGGCCGCCGGCAACGACGATCTTGGCAGATCCCAAATCTGGTCTCTCGCTCTTGACAAGCTCCTCAGAAACAAACTCGGCACTGTTGCCAGCCTCAACGTACGGAACCTCCTCCACAGGCACCTCGCGGGCCTCCTTCAGCTCCACCGGTGCAAAAGCAGAACTTCTCACAGAAAATAAAACCTGGCTGTCCTTGGACTTGACAGTCAAAATTGCGTTACCAGCATATGTTGGTCTCACAAAAGTGTCTGGAGAAACAACTTTGATGATGTCAGAAACAGGCTGCAAATCTAGGATGGCTCCAACACGAGGAAGGAAGTTCTTCCCCACAGTGGACGCAGCAACAACAAAATTGGAGTAATCGGAGTCTTTCAACAAGCTGGCAACCAAGGGAGAGACTTGCTCGGGCAGGTAGTGGTCATATTTTTCAGAAGGCGACACCAGGATCTTGTCGACGGACGCCACCCTGGAAACCTCTTTGGCGGCCTCGGCAGCGTGTGGGCCCACCAAAAGAGTCGTAATTGGCTTGCCCAATTGCTGGGCCGCAGTTAAGGCCGAAAGAGACGAGGGAGTGATTTTGGAGCCTGCGGTCTCGACAAAAGCCAGTGTCGAGCTCAGTCTGGCGAACGCCATGCGCTGACTCAGGCCGACAGTTCTAGAGAGTCCAAACATCGACATCTGTGAAATAAAAAATGAATGCCTGGTGTGTGTTCCTGACTCAATTTCGCTGAAAAATACTCCGTCGCCAATTCCTGGAAAAACATTATCCATTAGGTAAGCGAGTCAATATGTACAACTATACAAGTTTTTGTCTCTTTAGCGCGTTCTCGTAGTCTGGTTCCATCTTTGGCTGCAGTGGCTCCGACTCTATCGGCATCGGAGCAACCACCTGTGCCTGCTGGCCCGGTACTGGGTGAGGAGGGCTGTCTTTATTCACGGGGTTGAACGGATCGTTGACCGGATAAATCAGCTTCTTGTCTATGTGGTGCTTCTCCAGAATGTTGTATAAATCATTTTTGGTAAATGGCTTGGCCAGGATGTCCGTCATTCCATGGTTAAGATACGTCACTAGGTCCTGGTGCTGATAGTTCCCGGTCATGGCGATGATCGGCGTATCCACGTCAAAAGATCGGATAACAGAGGTTGCTGATGCTCCATCGAGATTCGGCATCACAATGTCCATTAAGACCAGGTCAAACTTAACTTTTTCCAAGACGTTGATGGCCGCCAGTCCGTCGGTCACCACCTCCACCGTGCAACCATACTTCATCAGGAATTTGCTGCATAGCTGGATGCAGACATCGTCGTCCTCAACCAACAAGACATGCATTCCCGACCCATTGGTCCGTCGCACAATACGAGTATCCTGCTGTGTTCCTGCCGGGGGCTGGGATGCTGGTTTAGTAGGCTCGTTCGCAGGAATGAACTGTGAATGTTCCTGCGGCGGTGCCTCCGCTGACGAAGGCATGCTTCCAGCAGGCTGCGACTCTTGAGACGGTTGGTTTTGGTCGATAAAAGGAAGGTTCAGTGGCGGCAGCTCGACGCCCATCTGGGTCAAGGACTTGGCTAGGACATTGATAGCACGCGAATATGACTCGTTGATCGACTTTGACGTCAAGAAACTCGAAACCATCGTATTATACTTGGTGTTGAGAATGTTCAGCTCATCATGGAGTTTCTGCACTGTCTCTGTGAGAGACTGGTTTTGCTTCTCCAGAAACCCAAAATTATCTTGAAGGTTGCGAAACTGCGCAAGAGAAACCGTGTTCGAGGAAGCGCCGGTGTCTCCCTCCTTTTTAGCTGTCACTTTTCGCTTGATGTTCTCAAGCGCCTCTCTATTATTCCTCTGGAACTCGGGATGCTTGAACTCCCACACATTCTCGATGCTGTATCTCTGTTTGAGCTCATTGCTAATTTTCACCTTGTGGAAGTCGTACTTGTTGAGTTGTCGCACAAATGAGGCAAAATTACTATGTTTGAAATGTTTCGGCAAGACCTGTTTGGTAAACTCGTTCGTATCTGCGATGATGAATGAATCGCCTGCCTCTGACCATCGGACAATATCAGCGTAGCTGTTTTCCTCGAGCATTTGGAAGAGCTTCTTTACAAAGTCTGTTCCTGAGGATTTGGCCCCACCAGCGTCTTTTGGAGGAGGAGACGGTACCCCTGTTGTGAAAGCCTCTGTCCCGAGTCTGAAATCGTTCATGTCCTCCAGACTCATTTGCGTTGTTCAAATGTATGGGAGGTTGGGTAATGATATGCTGCGATGCGAGCGGACGAGTGTGCGTTTCAGTACTCTACAAGCGAGTAGTAGCGAGGAACATATAATTTTCAGCCAGGTTTGTTTTTAGCAACAGTTTGATTAAATAATGACGGTTAGCGCACGACCCGGTCAAGGAGTAGAAAGAGGCAGTGCACTGCGACACAGCCTGAGATGGATACAGTATTATTACTTTATGAGAGCTATACTAATGACAGAGGCTATTTGGGCGGAACTTGCAGTTGGAATTCCATCAGTCCCTGTCTCATGTCCTTGTAGATTTTTGGCTCGAATGGAACGACGTTGTTTTTAGGGAACTTGGTGATGGATTTTTGAAACTCCGAGTTATGTTTCAGATCGGTATCTATTACGTGCTTTGACTGCGACGTTTTGGCCATTTTTTTGTACTTCGTGCTCGAAATTGACACTGAGGACACCGAAGACGAGTATGTTGGCGCTTTGGAAAATTTAGACACCGACGAAGACATCGGGCTCTGCAATGGAGTCACGCCTGAAGACGTGGAGGTAGCAATGCTGTTGCGACGCGAGTGAGGTCGAGAATAGTTAGGCACGGTCTCGGGGATGAATTGATGCTGCTGCGAATAGATAATGAAAGTAGGCTTGGACGAGGCGTTGACGGGGTGCGAGATGGTCGTGGGAGAGCCCATGCTGTGAGTTGGCGACGAGGCCGAGTAATTAGAAGAGATGGTCGAATTTGAAGAGAGCGAACATGCGGACGAGCTATTAGCTGGCATTTTGGGAGCATTTTCAAACACGAACGAGAATCGTCTCCCAGATTTTTGTTTCGAATGGTTTGGTGATTTTGATGCTTTTTTAGGAGTTGACGAAAGCGGTTTTCTTGCGGAAACTGGCGACTTCTGTGCAGCAGCTGGATTTCTAGCCATTGTAGTGGTGGCTATTGCTGCTGCAGATGACAGTGACGAGACGCTTGGTTTTCTTTTCGGTGCAGCCTGAGACGATATCGCTGCTGCTGCTGCTGCAGTGGCCATTTGTGTCGTCGATAAGGTTTTGGCCACTTTGTTGGCAGACTTTGGTGGAGCTCGTGGAGTCTTTGGTTTTGGCTTCAGTTTGGGCGTAGCCATTTTTTTTGCTGTCGGAGACATAACCTCTTGCTTGAAAATCAGTGGAGGATTAGTCTTTGGAGACAACAGCTTTTGGGCAAACTGTGGCGGAGATTTGATTCCCAAGCCGTCAGAACGGTGTTCATTGGGTGTGCTGATCATTTCAAGCTTGATATACTGGTTGAGGTAGTCGTCGATGTGCGCTGATTCCTCGGACGATGGTTCTGTGGTGACAAAATCCTCCAGATAGCTAGAGCTTGTTCTCACGTAGTTTCCCGCTGAGGACATCGAAGTCTCTGAAGTAAACCCGAGATCTGGGGTGACTTGGCTCGCAACGCTCTCTGTTGCACTCGGGAGAGGAACAGGGTCGTCTAATGGTATTTTCTCTAGATCTTCCAAAATCGAGTAGTCGGTAGCACTAGTTTGAATTGACAGCGGAACGAGCGACTTTTCATGGAGATACTGGATGTTCTCGTTGCTGTGATGATAAAAAGAAGAGGTTGGGCTCTGATTGTCTGTCTGCAGACTCATAGGCTGTTGGCCTGACAGAGACCCGTTGTGTTTGTGGTAATTCGTGTGCTGGAGGCGCAAGGGCCCATGATTCGAGTATTCGGGCACAAACTCAAAAGACTTGGATCGTCTTGAGGTTCCATTCATTGTGGTATGACCGGCAATTCCGAATTATTCTGTGCTAGCAAGTGAACTGAATTAATACTAGACAAAGGATACCGAAACGAAAGCTGACAACAGGCGATCAGTTTACACTGGAAGAACTGAATGGCAAAGGTTATGCTGGACCGAGCTTGCGACTTCTCGTATCCTGGTATAAAAAAGTGGTAAAAGATGCCCCTGGTCAAAACTTTTTATCTGGTATTTGAGATATATGTTGCTTTATCGAAAAATTAAAAAATGGCTTGCTTTTAGCGAAATGGAATAAATTAAGGTGGGAGGGTGCGCATGTTCTGTGGTACAATAGAATACATTCAAACGATCTACATGCAAGAAATGTAGCTTGGCGCGGTACAGAAAGACGGTGATCGGCAATCTTCTTTATACCAAAAGCCTTCCTTTTTAGCGGAGCTGGGACCCCGACAAGCGACGATAAATTGTACTTTCTGGACGATCGTCGCATTACAAATAAAAACTTCTTCGTCTATAGATTCAACCATGTTTGCCCGTGCCTTCCAAAGTTCGCTCCGTACACCTAAGTTCCGCCTGACGCCTCTTGCCGTGAGATTATTGTCCCAAGAAACAAAATCTGCGATCGAGCAGGCCATTTCATCTGCTCCCGTCGTGTTGTTCATGAAAGGTACTCCACAGGCCCCAGCTTGTGGATTTTCGAGAGCTACTATTCAGATATTGGGACAGCTGGGTGTGGATCCACACAAATTTGCTGCCTACAATGTCCTTGAAGATCCTGAACTTAGACAGGGTATCAAGGAGTACAGTGAATGGCCGACCATTCCTCAACTCTACGTCAATAAAGATTTCGTTGGAGGATGTGATATTGTGATGGCCATGAGCCAGTCAGGCGAGCTGAGCGAGCTCCTCGAGTCTGCTGACGCCCTCGTTCCAGAAGAAGAAGAGGAGAAATGATCAATGTAAATAGATTCAAATACGATGTTCTCCTTTGCCTTATGGCTTATAACCAGTAATCGTTAGAAGCCCCATTTAAGGAGGTTTGATTTCGCCGCCTACTGATAGAAAGACAACAGTGTCTTATCCTCCTACTGAAGGACGGCTCATCGCCCAATCGTTTCTTGTTAAACTATAAATCGCCTATCGTTTTCCTTCGTCAATCATGTTGTTCACACCTTGTCTCAGCGCATCTTTCAAATCATCAAAATTTTCGATATTCTTTGGCCTAAATAAGCGCGAGCTCCTGCACCAGGAAACTGCATAATCAAAACACCCTTCGCCAACAGACAGGTAGCGGGATAGCAGCGACCTGGAACTTGGCCCCTCTGCCAGGTCCTCCACGGATAAACTGAGACCGGTGGTTTTCTTGATGCCTGCAAGCACCATTGAAATCAAAACCAGATCAAAGGCATAATGCGCATATTTGCCAACCTGATGTTAGGTTTATGCAAATTCTACACGGGTACTTACTCCCATGTTGTAAAATTATTTTATTTATTTCATCTTTAGCATATGGCTGTGCATTTTTATTTTTCATCCTAGTTTACTTTCTTTATGGCAACGCCCATCTCGGCCAACCTTCTGCTTTCGTTGAAGCCGGCAAAACTGTTTACCAATCACGTACCGAACACGCCCATAACATCGATTGACTTTGATCACACAGGCCAGTTCCTTCTAACTGCCGGAGTCGACGAAAGCATACATCTCTACGATGTCGCCAAAGGAAAACATGTCAAGCCCATCTATTCCAAAAAATATGGCTGTCATCTGGCCAAATTGACCCGCAAGGAAAACACCTGTGTCTTCGCATCCACTAAGGAAAACGATACAATTCGGTATCTATCGCTACATGATAATTCTTTTATCAGATATTTCAAAGGCCATACGGCCTTGGTGACAGATCTGGCCATGGCCGATCTTAATCATATGTTTATTAGCGCCGCCTACGATTGCACTGTCCGCGTTTGGGACACAAGGAGTGCCAACTGCCAGGCAACTCTAGTCACCGACGACATAGCGTCCTCCATAGCCCTTGATCCAACCAACACAGTCGTTGCCATTTACAACAAAACTTCGAATGTCCTGTCCCTGCATGCGGTGGCGCATATCACGGACCGACCATTTACCACTGTGGTGTGCGATTTTGCGAAGCCATCGTCCGTTACGAAAATTGACTTCATGAACAATAATAAATATATTTTGATCACCACCAATTCTACCGAGCATTTCCTTTTAGACGCTTTCAATTTGAGCTTGGTAGCAAGACTGCCAGGCCAGCTGCCGCTCATCGAGAGAGATTATCCCGACACGGGCAATCTGGCGGTCTCCCCCGACTGTCGGTTCATTTTTGGTGGCAATGGCGACGGCTCTGTACTGGTATGGGACTTGAAGCTTTTGTCGACTCAGAACCTGCCGGCAATATTGCATCCAGTTAAAAAAATAGAAAATGAGACGAAGACTCTCCCGCGAATGCTTCTGTTTGACCCCCAATACTGTGTGATGGCATCGGCAGACTCAGAGCTGTGTCTGTGGACGCCAAGCTCATAGCTCGCTGACATCGACATATCTAATATCGGCATTTTCTTCGCACCATTCGCACCATTGCTTCAGGAAAACCACGTTGCTTTCGCTTATTGTTTCCATGTCCCCCACAACGCACAGCTGGCGTTTGGCTCGACTGATAGAAACGTTCATACGTCTATGGTCATTCAAAAATCCCACATCGTGTGAGTCGTTCGACCTCACCAATGACAAAATGATCACCTCTTTTTCACGCCCCTGGAAACCGTCCACAGTGCTGATCTCGATGTCTGGTAACGGGTGCTCCGTCTCCTCTCGAAGAAGCCTTCGCAAGTTAGAGACCTGAGCACTGTACGGAGAAATAATGCCTATGTCTCCCTGCTTCACATTGTGGTCTTCTACCAAAGACCGGACATGCTTCAGAACCACTAAACATTCTCCGTCGTTATATCTGGAAGCTTGTAAGCCCGCTGAGTCGTCTTCAGCAGAATCTGCTTCCGGGAAATCGCCTCCCTGAGTATCGTACCAAATGACCTCCTCTGCTACGTTGTCTTCCTGGGGAGACTTCACGTACGGCAGGTCTGAAAGCTTGATATTCTCGACCGAGGAATGAGCGATGAGCTTCCCGTCATAGAGAGCATCACTGAAAAAACTCATGATCTTTTTGTTCATTCGGTACTGAATGTCAAGAAAGCAGGTAAACTCTTGGTGGTTTTTGTGTACTTCGATTAATCTGTCAAATAACGTTTTACTCAAAGTGCTAACCACTTTGGCATTATTTTGGGTTTTTATCGTTGGTGACAGCTGTTTGTTATCGCCTGCAATGACAAGCTGTTTTAGAGATTGGTGATATATCAGCGGGATCCAACAGGAAGGCTCCAAGGCTTGTGAAACTTCGTCTATTATTATCGTGTCAAATAAGTCTCCTCTTTCGCGGATACAGTTCACAGCTTCTCTTGCGGAGGACCCGTGAAGAGTAGCTGCCACGACTTCGGAGTTTGACAGAACGTCGCTGTATGCTTTTTTCGATCGGAGACGCAGATCTTTCTTTAGCTCTTTGATTGTCTGATACAGCTCCCTGCGCTCTCTGTAACTTTTTGATTTCTTGATCTTCCGAGTCAACTGATTAATCTCCTGGAGAATGTCCTTTAATATCTCGCCTGACTCGCTCTCTGCGATGATATCTAGTGAGTGACGTAAAATCTGGGGTAACATCCTTGCAGGATGGCCTATGCGGACCAGCTTTGAGTGGTTGTTGTCTGAGAAAAAGGACGAAAGCCGCTCTAAAATGGTATCTATCGAGATATTGGAGGGCCCACAGATCAGTATACGCTTTCTGCCTTCTGACTCCCTTTTCCTCAACACCATCTGTTTGACGAGCTCCACTATGGTGCTTGTTTTTCCCGTTCCAGGAGGGCCGTGAATTATGCTCAAATTGCTTGCTAACGAGAATTGAACGGCATTCCTCTGAGAGTTGTTCAGGTTATCGTTGAACCAATCCAGCTTTGATTTTTGGTACTTTAATGGAGGTGGAATAAATGCAGACTTGCCCAATACAAGCTTCACAAGATCAGACGCCGTGTCAGAGTCTAGTTCACCCAGTTTCCTCATCGTTGACTCCATGCGATTGTAAGTGATCTCATTATCCACCTGAACAAGCCATATCTTAGCGTCAGAGTTATAGAGAGAGTAAACTTTTTCCTCGGTTTTGGCACCTTCGGCTGTCATTGAGTCGTAATTGAGCGCGATGTTAATCTGCCGTTCGCCCACAAGCACCACCACACCATCAATCTGGACGCTGGTTTCCTCGGCGTCGTCAACATCCTTCCTTTTCGACGAGTTCTTCAGCTTCTTAGTGTTCACGTCAGAGCCATACTTGTCCATCTTGACAATGTCACCAATCTTGAGATCACCTGTTTGGATCGCAGCATTCTCTTTTCCGGCAATAGAACTATGTGGAACCAACTCCACGATCTGTTTGCCTCCAACTCCGGTCCGCACATTCGAAATGCTCAGATTCAGCACTGCTAGTCCATTGGCACTCAAGCTTTTGGGCGAGGATCGCGAAAGCAACTCAGACGTCTGTTCAAAGCTTTCCTGGCGCTCAACGGCCAGACACTCAAGAAATCGTGAAGAGAGATCAACATTTGCCTGAGACATTAAAAACATTCCTACAGAAAAAAACAGATGTTTAGACCTACTCATTCCCAATGTGTTACATGAATCATATCTCAATTCTCTAGTGTTCAATTTATGTGCGATCTTACATGATGACCAAGTCACCAAACTTCTCCTTGTAGCCTGGCACCTCGAATCTACCCTTCGACACCATATCTTGAACCTTCTCCTCGACGTCTGGTCTAGCCTTGACGACGTCCTCCACGGTAAGTTGGTCGAATGGTCTGGCGCTCTCGATGTTCTCAAGAGTCTTCTCCAGGTCGGTAAGCTCGGCAAGAACAACGCTCTCTGTCTCCTTGGCGTTTTCCAAAGCCTTTGCCTCAAAGGACTCGATCAGGTTGAGTTGCTTGGAAAGGTTGGCCTTGGATGGAGTGAACTTAGCGACGTCGCTCTGGATTTTGTCGACAATGGCACTATTCTTCAATGTGCTCTTGTAAAACGCAAAGTCGACGCTGCTAGGTTGTTGTTTCAATTCGAACAAAACTCTTTTGGCCTCGTCGTTTCTCTTCTTGAATGAAGTCAATGCAGCTGCGGTTTGGCCAGAAAGACCCAATTTCGACACTATCTTGGTCCAGTCCAGCTTGGTGGCGGCAGATTTGGCAACAGAAGACATCCTTTGTGTATTGATAGTTTCCAGTAACTCCGATGATCAATTCCTCGTTAAAGTGATATATTTATTTATGATTCGTAAACGCAGTCAATCTAAGCTGTTTGTCTTGATCTCAACCAAGTCTTTCCCTAAAATATCTGACCAAAGATACACTTGAACGCTTAATTTAGAATTGTAAAAAAACCGGTGTCTTTTTCTGTCGTCCAATCAACATTGAAAAAAAATCATTTGTGTGGCATCAAGTCTCACGCACATAACTGCATTACTTATGCCATCTCAAAAAAATATGCCATTAAGCTAGTACATCTTTACATCAATATACACGATTATTGATCTCATCCATAGAATCGTAAGCAATGTCTATAGGCCCAAGGAGCAGTTTTTTCACATAATTGACTTCTGTTGACAGCTCTGGATTCTTGCGCCGAATTTGCTTCATCTCAATCTCGATTGGAGACGTGCAGTCGATAACATCACCAATGGTGGCATCGCTATCCAAGCTATCTAGATACTCTCCTGCCTCTCTATCATCTCCAATTTGAGCGAACTGGTAGCAAATTGCCTTTTTCGGCAGGTTGTTCTCTGAAAGCTTTTTCTGCGCCATCCTGATGACCTTCCCTAATGTGTATTTGTCTCCATTGGGCGAGCCGTCCGTAAAAGTGACAACCAGCAGAGGCTGGCCAAGTTTGCGGTTCTGCACTTCAGGCTCAAGGATTGTAGTGTACAAGTTGGTAGCCAGTGGAGTGGCGCCATTTATTGCGATGTTGGCCATCACAGTGTTCAGCTGCTCTTCTGTCTCGATTCTATCGCAATCAATATTGAACTTTTGCCTCAGAAAAGCATGGATCTCATTATTGTGGTTCATAAATTTCAGTCTCAGTGGTTGTGGACTAACGTTGATTTTCATGAAAAGCTTGAGGAAATCGTGTAGCTGCTGCAGTCGGTTGCCTTTCTTCATCGAGCCCGAGTTATCAATGTAGAATACGATCTTGAATAAACAAAGTTGGCATAAGTCGTAAAAAACATACTCCTGATCTGGTATCCCAAACTCGGCAGCAACCTCTTTGATTCGAGTTAGACACCTGGACTGAGCTAGTTGATTAATCACTGCTTGATCGTTCGCGTACAGGGGTAACCCGTCTAAACATGAGTTTATCACCTGCTTTTCGAATACTTCTGCAAGTTTTTTCGCCTCTTTATTCCCACCAAACAGGGCTTTACGTTTCTTCCCAAGTCTTCGTAAATGCTCGTCAAACACCTTTGGTGCTTGCAGTCGGTTTATGGTTCCCACGCAATACTTCAAAAGCTTCCCATAATCTTCACCAGTATTTGACGGTGGAGGACCACTTGGAGGCGCGTATGTCTTTAGTTCAGCCATTTTTCATTCTCAACGGATAAGCAACTTTCAATATATACCAGCGATTTGTGGCTTAGCAAATCTCGATTATTGTATTCTTTCTCCATATTGTGGTCATCAGGGTCCGAGATGCATGCAATTCGAGCTATTTTTCTGCTGCGCCTTAATTTGTGCTTTATCAGGCATCAAACTGCTCAAAATTTCTTGGGTTTGGCTGATGATATCGATAATCTGTTTTCTATCTACCTCACTTGCCTCCAATTCTTGACGCATATGCTTCTGTCGTTTTTTGATGAATGCTTCCATCTGTTGCAATCGAGTGAGAAATGAAGAGAGTGTGCCGGTCATCTGGTTTTGATCGGCTAGCTTTGAACTATTGTTGCTGACAAGTGTTGTGTCCTCTTCGTTTTGAATCGTCGAGTTTCCTGGCTCACATCTTGGAGACTGGCTTCTCTTAGCAGTTTCCAAGTCTCCTTCAATAAATGATGAAGTGATGATGGGATCAAGGCTGAACTCGTCTGTAGTCGGGGCCGTTGAGTCAGGTTGTGATGCAGTTCCCATACACTGTACCTCGTTGGGAGCAAAATGCTGATGCCTTGGAGTTTCGTCGTCGCTGTCCACGACCCTTCTTTTTCTGCCCGCCTTTTGAATTTTTGGCTCCCAAGAGGGAGCTTCGACATTAGTTATTTCCTGAGAAGTACTGATTTCTGATATGTGTTGATTGGTGCTACCCATGACCCTGTTGTTATTATCTTCTTGCTTATCTTGGTGTGGCTCAATGGGGGCCAAGACAGACATTTGGATCGACTTTTTTTCTTTCCTAATGGCCCTCATTTTGGCATTCGCAGAGGGAGACTCAGAAAGCTCAGGTCCGCTTGAGGAGCTGCTTATGCTATTTATAATTGTGTCTGCAGAGTTATCGCCGACGGGTAAAACTGATATAGAACTGAACACTTTTCGATAGCCAGTCATCTGAAAGTGTTTAATTCCTGGCTTAATGAAAATATCCCTTTTTTTTAATATTTTAAGGGCAGTGTCGCATAATATACTAGAATCCATTGATAATACAGAAAGTGAAAGCAGAGGACACAAAACACACAAGTCTGTCTATTTTGCTGCTGAGATGTCTCTCCTCTTCATGTATTTGCCATTCTTGGCAAACCGTTTAGGGAGCTTCTTGTTGAAGTCATCGAGAATCTGATCCTCCTCCGTCAAAGTGGATTCCGCGCGGCTGATCTCGTCCAGAGAAAACTTCTTTGACTTGGAGTAGCTGTCTGCAAGCTCAACATCAGTGATGGATTTCTCGAGCTCCAAATCTTGATCGACCACAGGGTCGAGATGCGAAACACTTGAAGACGCGTTCTTAGAAGAGCCTGGTGGTAATTCTCCATCTTTCCTCAGTTGAAGGGCGGCAACCTCTGCATACGAAAGCTTGCGAACTTGAATGTCAATGAAGTCATCTTCCAACTCAATGCCTTCGTCGTGCACCTTTCTCATAGCAATCACCTTGTTGGTTGAGTCGTTAATCTTCTTAAGGTGCTTTTCCTTGGTGGCGACAGTTTCAGAACCCAACACAGCTGTCGATTCCCCGGCGCTTTTGTTGCCGCCAAATGGCCAGAACCAGAAGCGAGGCTTTCTGGCTGCTGGTGCTTCCGGAGACACGTTATGGTACTCGAGCGTGTTTAAATCAATCACTTGCGGTTCCAAGGACGTGTCGGCTTTGGAAGCAGCGGGCTTATCGAACATGAACATGTTTAATTGGCAAAGAGCGTGTGTCTTGATCAAGCTAACCGACTAGGGCTTGTGCTTGTCAGCAGGGCAGATAATTAAAGGAAAACAAAAAAATGGCTAGCATGCTGGCTGTATATGGGGAAATCTGACGCACTCGCCACATCGGGCGGATACCCAAAAATGTTCTCTAGCGTCTGTTTTTGGTGGCAAAGATGACACATGAGCGCGCGCAGTCTAGTGTAAAGGGATGGACCCTTCGCATGCTCTGCAGGTGGCCAGGGAGTCCCGTGGGTCTTCTGTAGTTTAAGACACTGCCACAAATTTCTTATCTATGTGGCGTATCAAGCAACAGCAATATATTGTAAACAAAACATGATCGCCCTCGTGCATGACATCTCTGCACCATAAAACTCGCTCCGAGACCCTATTACAAAATGCTCAAGATGGAAATCGCCTAAAATACAATTGACGTGACCTGCACGTCTCTTATACGAATACTAATGCTCACGGACTTCGTGACCATTTTGTTGATGCTACCAATAAGCGGGGTTTCACCCCAGATAAGATATTTTTTTGACGTTGTTGTGGTGCAAAGATGTGTGGCGAAATTTGAAACATTGCTGGCGATAGCTGGCTTACAAGAATCAGGTGAGACTGCTGGATTAAGTGTTGAACATTGTTGGGTAGTTGCTTTGGGAGTTTGTTTTTTTCGGCCCAGTCTTCCCCTAAATGATAAATTAGTAGCTTTAGAGTCGTATAATTATATCTCTGTACACGATCTCTCTTTGGCAGTAGCACTAGGAAGCCTAAAGATTTGTAATTGTTAACTTCTCTTCTTTGTTCTCCGAACATCTGTCATCATTTCATTGAGGCACTTTTGCAGTCTATCGGTTTGCTCTAGTTGCCTTGCAGTTGTTAACAAGTACGGATTATTGGCTTCTTAGCATCTTGTGTTGCATAACGACAACCTATTCAGCGTATATCCCAAGCAAGTGAACTCAGACCTCTTTTGAGGTGATCCGATATCTTCGAACGCCATGCTACTTCAATCAAAGAAACAAAAGCTAAATAAAGCCAAAAAGCAACAGCACGAGTCAACTTCAGGAGCGAGCAGGGAAATTGCTTCTGAGGGCACAACTTCGTCTTGTGGAGTGATAAGGAAATCTGATAGTATCCTGTCGCCGCATTTGTCAGTATTCCAAGCCCTTCACAATCCTGAATTGGAACTTGATCTTTCCGCTTTGCAAAATGGCCCTGTACAACGAATTCCTACGCCGCTAAATTTAAACCCCGAACTCGATGCTTACAACAATTCCTATAGAAACGAGGATTTTTCTATAACGTCATGGCAATCAATACCCTCCAGCTTTGGGTTTGCTGACTCAAATGCTTCGCCCGCAAATAGGGTATTGCGCAGTACTGCTAAGCTCAACAGTCCAAACATAGGTTCAATTCTCTCTAGCTCCGATAACGAAGAGCGCAATCTAGAGGATATAAGCGTGCAACATCCGACTCATCAAGTGCTTGTTTTCGACTCTGAGTCATTTTCCGAGTCTTCGGACGATGAGCAGGATACGATCGAGCTGTCCACGGCGGCGCCCTCCTTTGTCATGCCCCGAGTTTCCGTTTCTGGCTTGAGTGGAAACGAGGTCGTTTTTCATGACAAGGTTAGGATTCATGTTGTTGGATATGAAAAAGAAGTGCTCCTTTCACGTCTAAGCAAGTACCGCAAAACGCTCAACCGGATTGTTTTCACGGACTCGAATCCATCGATAATGATTGTGGTCGTGAAGGACGATAACTATTTGCTTTCCGATGTTGTGGACAAGCCATTTGTTCCATTGCTAACGGGAATCAATGTTGACTTGGCATTATTCAAAAAGTCTTTTCCCAAGAATCTGATGATTTGCGAACCGATCCAGTTACAGGCAATTACAGATGATTTGATGCCATTTATTGAATTCCTAACGAACTTGCAAGTGTCGGGATGCGACTTCAATAAAGTGCTAGAACTTTCTATTTCGCAATACTCCATGACAAATCAGCATCTTTCTATGGAGAAGGTCAACTCAATTCTCCTTGATAATTCAGCAAAGCAACTACGAAGCAGATCCATACACAAAGAGCCGGGTGATCCAGAGAAAAAGAAGTTTTGCCCGAAGCTACACCGACATGGATTGTTCTTGGGATTGACCGTGGGAATGATGAGTCTTGCCGTTTTGATGATATGGAAAGAAATGGCATCCAATGCAGATACCAATAAACTGGAAAGCTCAACTCGAGTTCACCAATTTGTTGTAAATCCCAAAGATGTGATACATTCGGAATGCGGCAGAGGCAAGCTCGATCGACAGACTATAGCATATTCGGTGGGCTCCCTGTGTGATTCCGCCATGAAGGGCTCGATAGAGGCCTGGGAATTCATCAAGACCGATCTGGATGCCTTAGGGAAGCTGTTAATAAACTCGAGCTATTTTCTCATTGAAAGAACAAAGCTTACCTTGCTGCGGATTATGGAGATGACCGAGCAAGTGCTGTCATACTGATAACTGGAATACAATGAGGTTCACGTGGATATTATACAGGTTGGTCATGTGCAAGGTTTTGCTTTTCGAACACAAGCCATTAGGTAGCACTGGAACTTCGGATCCAGGTTTACAATTTAATGCACAGCATTCTAATTATTATAAACATCCGTAAGACTATTATCAAATAGGTTGCGTTTCGTTCTGCTGATTAGCTTCGTTTTCATTTTGCAACAAATCAACAGCTCCCTCCGTTCCAGGAATGTAGTTAGGATTTGATTTGTTGTGGACAGTATAATACAACGGACAAGTTTTGTTAGTTCTGATGTGGCCCAGGGCACCACACGTAGCACATCTTCTGCTGGTGGACTTGCCTTTTCCGATGCCCTTGCCGCTGATGCGACCTTCACTATCGATATTAATCGTATTAAGACCCCTTTTCTTTCTCTTTTCTTGCATTCTCTGAAGTTTAGCAAGCTCTTCCTCCAGCTTCTTTTTGACCTTTTTATTTTCCTCTGCATCATTGGTCAGGACGATGTTATCGGTGTCAAGTTCCATTGGATCCTCCAAAAGCTTCCGTTGTCGCCTTTTAACGTACAGTTCCACCACTTTCGGATCCTTGACAATCTCCACACGCCTCTGCAAGATTCCGTATGCGTCCTTGACCATTCTTACAATCTTGAGATACCGGGGCTTTTCTGTTCCCCCTACTTCGCGGTTAAGGGTTTCATTTGCTGTGTTCAAGTTTCTCGTGTCGTCCAGTTCTTTTGGATCAATTGGACGAGGCTTATCGCTATTTCTGGTTTTGCTGAGAGCTTTCCATTGCTTGAACCACACCTTGGCAATTTCTTTCTCATAAATCTTTTGCTGAATAGCCACATTATACGTATGAGTGATACCGCTTTTTTTCTCTTCTTTCTCCGGATTCCTCAGAGGAAAAACAATTTCCTCGCTCAGATTTGCCGCGTTCTTGATGAAACCTCCTTTCATGGAAGTCCTCAAGAAGGAAAATGCCTCTCCCCTTCCTGAAGGGTCTCCTTCACCGTAAATCTGAAGCATGGCCTTGCCATGAGTAGCAGCAACGAAGTTTCGAGTAATATTCCACGGTGCAAGCTGCACGGAGAGAGGACCATCATTTGCCATGAGATCACGCTCCTTTTTTGATCCAGCCTCATTAGCGGGAGACTGGACAGTGAGACTAGCATTTGGAGTTCCGTCCTCCAGCCTTTCTCGTTTGTAGGAATCCAAGTCCTCTAATCTTTGATTACCGGCCTGCATGGCATCCAGCAAAGCAATGTCCTCGGGTGAAACAATGTTTCTAATCTCCTCGTAATTCGGAAGGGTGTCTGTGAGCTTCACTTTCCAGTACCCCTGGTCATTTCCACTCCTTTGATATTCCATAAATTCCTTTAATCGCTGACGATTCTGCATATCGTTTTGATCTGGGAAATGATCTGCTATATCTCTGACCAGTAGTCTGCGCTCTTCATTTCGATTCAAAACACGATAGACAACCATTTTGAGTCTATTTTTGGAGGTGGCCGTCACTTTTCTTGAGTGAGGTCCAGGAACCTCCATCACCGGTAACGTCTGGCCCACAGTGAAGACGTAGTTGACTGGACGAAGGAAGAATTTTTGTGAAGAGCCTCCTCCTGAGCTTCTGATGAGCAGGAAATCGGTGCTGAGTGGCTCGTGCTTGAAAATAGGAGCTCTGATCATTCTGTTGTACAATGTAGGCACAATATGTCCTGGTTCCACGTATCCAAAATTCCAGAACGGTGATCTATCCTGCAATCCTAAAACGTGTGTTTCTCCCACAGGGAGTTTAGGACGCATCGTGTCATCGTCATTGAGCTTTCTGTAGTAATTGATCAATTTAGAACACATACCGAAATTATTGAGCACGATAGGATTTTCCTCGCTGTACTCGAGCAAGAAGAAGTTGGCGGAATCTCCTAATGTTAAATCAGAAGATTCCCTGAATAGTTCACGCGGTTCCTTTCCCTTGTCTCTCTTCTTCTTTCTGGTCTTCACCTTGGAAAACACCATGATTGTATTTGGACGGACAGTAAACTGCGGTCTATGAGGAAACCGCATTTCTTTTTCAGCTAGTCTGACTTTGTAGTATGGGAACTGCAACTTGAGAGCGGGCACCGAGTGGTCAATACTCATATTACCGATCGTGGCTCTGACCTTGGTCCGGTAGCTCTTTCTTAGTTGGTCGTACTCTTTGTCGTTAGAGATCTTGAAACGCAATTCCAGAGTTTTTTCGTTCGTAGGTATTTTGGCCAAGATGGCTTTTCTTGCGGCGACATCTTCCTTCTCGCTTCTTTCTCTGGCGAACAGCATATGTGGATCGTTTTGATCAAGCTTGAGATTCAACAATTCCGTATTGAGCGATCCCTCAAAAATAAGCTCATCCTCTTCATCATCCCATCCATCGGAATCCACCCAGTCAAGCTTGAGTCGCTTGGTAGCAGGTGTATCAAACTCGCTTCCTTCAATGATCTGATCGTCGTCCCAATCGGCTGTAGCAATTGCAATGTCTTCGCCAAAGTCTTCTATTGACTGCTTGGCCACCTCGTGTTTCTCAGGCTCCACTTGTACGCTCTGTAAATCAGTTTCGGAAATCTCGATTATCCTTTGCTGTGTTTTGGATTCTTGTGCAGTGGTTATTTTAGTGGCATTTCTGAATGTTTTTCTGGTATCTGGTTGGAACTCAAAAGTCAGCTTCGTGGGTAACAGTGGACGCTTGATTGGCGGGGGAACTTGGTAACTGTATCGCAACGGGATAATTGGAAAGAGAGTTTGCATTCGTATTGGTTTTCCGCGCTTGAACGTTGGATAATACAGCCTAAGCAATTTTTGTCGTGCCTCAAGACGTTTCTTCTCGGATAAAGCTCTTCTGGTTTCAGCATCGTATTCGTCTTCCGATCCGTGCGCAAATTCCATCCCTTCGTGTTCGTCTAGACCCTGCGTGTGCTCGTAATCGAGATCGGTCAGTCCAATGTTTGCCACACTGTTGTCAAATATGGCTCCTCCATGATCTTCTCCCTCATCGCCCTCAACGCCCTCCATCGCTTCCTCCTGGAGCTCTTTCATGAATTCATCGTCTTCTTCCTGCTCTTCTTCCTCCTCCGGCTCTTCGTCTGCCTCCTCTTTGGACGACTCCTCTTCTTCTTCGGCCAGCTCATCTTCATCCTCGAAATCAACAGCGTCCGCGGCGTGTTCCGTGGAGCCGTCGAACATGTTATCCAAATTCGCCAGACCAATCTGGCCGGTCAGAGCTGTGTCAAAATCTTCGTCGTCGGCTTGCGGCATTTCAATCCATCGAAGATTTGTTTATAAATGACCTAGTTTATTTTTTCCTCACTTATTTTTTTGGAAAATCAACTTGTCTGATGTTGCCAATAAAAAGATTCTTGTTTCTCAAGCCTGGCTCCCGAATGCTGAGCATTGTTCCGGGCAATTCTGTTGGCAGATTCTTGAAGTCCAATCCGTCGACAGTCACCGTCGATTCCACTTGGTATTTCCCCAACGACCCCAGAAATGCATTCGCGGAGTTTACCAAGCATCGCCTCACCGACAAAACTGTTTTCTTCGATATCGAGGACGTCAGCGACCACTCGAGCCCATTTCCTCACATGCTTCCATTGCAATCGCAGTTTGAGTCCCAGGTCAGCAAATTGGGCATTCGAAATGATTCTCCCTTGTTGATCTATGATAGGAGCGACGTTTATAGCTCGTGCAGGACTTCGTGGATGTTTGAGGTTTTCGGCCACGATTTGGAGAAAATTCACTTGCTCGACACTTTTGCTGGATCTGATATGTCCACCGATCATCCTATTGACTCTGTTTCCCAATTGCCAGCGTCAGAATACAAGGCTACGTTTGATAAATCTAAGGTGATTTTATTTGAGGAGCTCAAAGAGCTCGTCTTATCAGATAAGATAGGAAAGGACTACAGCGTTGTCGATGCAAGATCTGGTCCAAGATTCAAAGGCGAAGCTTCGGAAATCCGTCCAGGCTTGTCATCGGGACACATCAGGAATGCAATTAATATTCCTTTTACAGAATTTTTGACTCCTGATAAGAAATTCAAAACCGCCAGCGAAATTTTAGAGCGCGCCAATGCTGCCGGACTTGACCAATCAAAGCCTATCATTCTTATGTGTGGCTCTGGAGTGACAGCCTGCGTTGTCAGGTGCGGATTGATCTTGGCTGGTTTAGATGCGGCAAATTTGGCCGTTTACGATGGCTCCTGGACAGAATGGGCCACCAGGGCTCCGGAATTGATTGTGAAGGGCTAAAAATTAAACTCTAGATCGTCATACTTGACTCCATTAAACATTGTTCGTAGCTCAGTGGTTATGCGTTTCCATTGTTCATATGCCGGATGAGATTTGGAGAAAATGAGTTTTTCTTCGAACAGGCGCACAATTGAATCGTATTTTATCATTTCTCCAATCTCGAACAAATTAAACATAAACTCATTAAATAAGTCTAGATCCATTTCGTGGGGGCCGTCGTTTCGAATCGTATGGTCAAACCACAACTTTAGTTTGTCCAAAACTTCCTGGAATTGGGTGGTGGGGATTTTTTGGAAGGAAAGTAGCGATTTGGCGTCAACGTAATCTGTATCAACCAGTATCTTGTCCATGACAGCTTTCCTCCTGGTCGGGGATTTAGTGTCGTTAAAGAAATCTTGTTTTCTCTTCTTAGGAGAGCGGTATAAAGAACCGGTGATTGACAAATGTCTTTTCCCCAGCTCATGTCTCAGTTCATCTTGTATTTCCATTGGTAGTTCATTGAAGACTTCCCAGTTGATTTCATTTTCCGAAATTCTGTACTCCTTTGCATTGGCTTTATTTTTGGGGGTGCTTTCAGCACGCAGCGATTTTGCGGCAGGAATCGTTCCTGAATTTTTGGCAGTTGAATTTAGAGGCAGCAACCTTTGATCGGCATCCAGCCCATGGACATTTTTGCTGGTCTCGAAAGAGAGTCGATTCATCGATATTGAAATTCCTCGTAGCTCCTTGACCGCGACATTGAGCATTCGGTACAAATATCGTAATTCGTTTCCCAAGAGTCCAGCTTCGCGCGTAAAATGCCCGAGTCTCGAAGTCTTGGACACAAACTCGCATTCTCCCATTCCAAGGTACTTTGGTGGATCTATAGGAGCGTCGGGGTGTCGAGTAGCTAACTTGAGGGTGACCGAGGAGCCTACCATTTGGACATTTGCGAGTCTTTTACTCAATTCCTTGGCTAGATCGCTGAGAAATTTCTCTACCTCCACGTCCCTGTCAAACCTGATTCCCCAATTTACGTCTATTGATATCGATTTTCTTTGAAGAGCTTCTGGGTTCTTGAGAATATCAATGCAGGTATCATCCAGTCCTCGAGCATAGTTGTAAATTGTGACACCAGTTTTGGGCCCAAATATAGAAGCAAGCTTTTCCTTGGGTATTTCGCGAATGTCCTCCACCATCAAGTTAGTTTTCTGTACTTCATTTTCCAGCTTTGAACAAATTTGAGGTCCTATGCCCGGTAATTCAGAAAATTTGACAGTGTCCAGAAAATCAATGATATGTTCCTCTTCGAGGTAAAATGTGCCATTCGGTTTAGCTCTCCTGAGAGCAAGTTTGGCTAGCAATACATTAGGTCCACTTCCACAACTCACAGAGCATTTGGTAGCGTTGTAAACTTTCTTCTTAATATCTTTCATTATTTCCAGTGGATGCTGTGAAGCACTCATACTCGATATGTCAACGAGAGCCTCGTCTACCGAAACGGGCAAAACAGAGTCGATGTCGTAAGAAAGCAGAATTTCATAGAATATGTTCGAAATCCGTTCATACTCATCAAAATTGTACTCGAGGCAAACCAGATTTGGACACAGCCGTCTTGCAGAACGCAACCACATTCCGTTTTTGCAACCATATTTTCGTGCAACATAGTTACAAGACGCAATGTCTGAGGTGTTTCCTCCATGAGTGACGCAAACGGGAACTTCATTAATGTTTATTGGAGGATTGCAAGTCAAGGCGGAAACTGTTGCAAAGAAGCAATCAAAATCAACATGCAAAATGACGTTCTTGTGTGCTGCTCTGGAGTTATGGCCTCGACTTTGAAGTATGCCGATAGCGCGCTGCAAGAAACGTGATTTCAAATCTGCTTTCCACGAACTTAAATGGTGCAACCTGGAATTTGCAAAAAAGTTCGGCAAAAAGTTCGGATGCTTGCAATTCATATGGTCAGGCATGTCGATGTCTTCTCTTTTATGCAGGTTATCATCTGGCTCTGTCACTTGTGATAACTGTGAAATCTCTGCATCTTCCTGCTCCTTTGTAGTTTCGATCTTAAAATCTAGTCTGCGCTGACCATAGTCATTGTGAATAAGCATGTAGTCTCCCCAGGGCTGGAGCTTTTCAGCTTCCACGCTGTCGACAATCCATCTGGGTGTCACCACCTTATAGTTCTTGAACTCCAGCTTCTTCTGTGGCGTAAGGTTCTCAGCTATTATATGAGTAGCATTACCTTTTGCTCCAAGCATGTGAATAAACTTTCCACCGTGAAGAATTATAAGTTTGTGTAACTGCTGGACGTCAGGGTCCGTCTTCCCGTTCACGTAGATAACACAATTTTGAAAAATGGGAGGGTATTCCAGATTACGTGCCTTTTTCGTGAACTCAACGTATTCCTGATCTTGCTGCTGCTGCTTTAGAGTTTTGTGGCGAAAATACCTCTCATAATCGCCAAATTCCAGTTCCTGACTTCCTGGATCGACTTCTTCTGGATCCAGAGAATTGACTCCATTAATGTACACATCATTAGGCTCGTTCTCAGTTTTTTCGCCACCGATGTTCTTGTCCTCCTCTGCATTTGTCACTTGATCAGTCGAAGTCTGAGAAGTAATAACCGGCTGATGGAGACCGTAGTTTTGACTTAGTTTGTTTACAAAGGAAATAAACTCCGAGTCATCCATAGATCCCCAGTCTTGTGACGCAGACTCGAGCTTCACGTCTTGCTGAGTTGCGTCTATAGATTCTGGCTGAGAAGAGGCAATCTGAACTTTGTTCTCTGTACCGACATTCAGCTCTGGGTTTCGTCTATTTTCGTGTTCTTTGAGCATAAGTTCTATTTCAGAATCACCAACCGATCCCCATTCAGTCACTGCTGACGAATCCATACCGCCCGTGCTACTCCCGGACTTAAAGAAATTTCTGGAGCGGATCACTTCCGCAAAATAAATAATATAAATTAATGGCCAGGCCTGCACAATTTTGGATATTTTTTATTACGTTTATTTGCTTTATCTCTAACTTGTCAAAATGTCTGGATTGAGCCCATGCTGTCTTAAAACTTCATTCCATGGTAAGTCGCTCAATTAGTTTTGTTGCAATGAGCTAACACATCTAGAGGGTGAAACGAAGGGAGAATTCGTCAAACTAGGTGATTTCAGTGTCTACAAGTCGGGGAACGATACCAAGAGAATTCTGGTGATTTTCACCGACATTTATGGCTACAAAACCAACAATGTTAACTTGATTGCCGACAAGTTTGCCGATAACTTGGGTTACCAGGTTTTGATTCCAGACCTTTTCAATGAGGATCCAGCTATTCCTAACAAGACCAACATCGGTGAGTGGCTGGGTAAGTACTCTCCTGCTCAGACGGGTCCAATTGCCAAAGCCTTTTTGGAGTACCTGAAAAAGACGTATGATCCAGCTTATCTGTGTACCCTTGGCTACTGTTATGGTGCTAAACTCGTTTTCCAGAATGCCACCAAGGACAGTCTTCCAAATGTCTGTGCCATGGCCCATCCTAGCCTTACTGAGGATTCTGACCTGGAAAACCTCGCAAAGCCTTTGCTGCTCAGTTTGGCAGAAAGAGATGAGCTTTTCAGCGATGAAATGAGAAACAAAGCTGCCGAGATTCTGCGGAAGAATAATATCAGACACCAAATTGATATATACAGTGGCACATCTCACGGCTTCACTATCAGAGGTGACCTTTCTGACCCTGCTGTCAAATATGCTGTCGAGAAGTCTCTTTTGGACCAATCTTACTGGTTCAAATCTCTAGAGCCAGAGTACGTTAAGAATTAGCTAGCTAATCATTTTTATATAGGTACAGAAAATACTAAAGAAGATCCCTTCGGCGATAGTTGGTATAACCTTGGCCAGCGTCAGCGTTGAAGTTGCCAGCTTCATTTTTCGTTTGGGCCACAGAGGAGTGGGTAGAGTTGTTGGCGGCCGCCTTAAAAATAAAGGAGTTTCTGCTATGCTCGTCTTCATTTGCGTTTGAAAATGGGTTCACACTGCTGCCACTGGTGCTGTCGCTCAATTTCTGCTCTGGGCTTGGTGCTAGTCCCGTATTGCTCCCTGTTTGGTTCTCAATAAGATATGAGTTTCTATCATGGCCTCTCATGGCTGTGGCTCCCAGAGCAGCCAGCTCATATTCGGCTTTGTCTCCTTCGCCTCTTTCGTTTGGTATAAAGGCCAGTCTGTCGTCCTTGATAGGCTCGTACCTAGTATCTGGGTTCTTCCAAATAAGAGCCAATGTGCATGTGACAATTGTGAAAATCAAAAGAATTGCAGCGAAGATAGCATTCAAAACGAAGTAAACAACAGCAGCAACAGAGGAAACGACAGCTGGTTGTTTAAATATGTTTGAAAAAAACAAGTAGAAAATAGAGTTGACCACGTTGATCACGGCAATGAAAATGTTGAAAATATTGGTTCTTCTGTCCATGAATGGTCTCTTGACTATCAAGCCAACGCAGTAAAATAGCTCCATTGCGAAGACGATGACAGCAACGGCTTTCCCGTGATTCTGTAAAACTGCGATGAATAAAGCTCTCACAAACAGGTAAACCAGATGGATGGCAACCCAGTAGTAGTTGCTAGCTTTGTACTGAGCGTACAAAAATCCATATTTATGTAGGACTTTCTCGTCTCCAAACAGTAAATATGCTGGATTTTTGAACTTTCTTGTAGATCTTGAGCCAGATATCAATATCATGACAGCTGCATACACCATTAAGATCAAAGAGATGGCCAAGATAGCGACAGCAAACACGACACAGCCAGCAGAGTCAACTCTAGTGAACTCCCAAATACACAGGAGTGTCAATGCCGGGAAAGTAATGTTGTAAAGTCTGTACAGACACCCCTTGATGACTGATCTGTAATTCTTTCGGAAACCTATCAGCTTGCTTCCCTTGATAACGCCGGTCCTTGCCATAAGTTCGCAAATCCCCTTGAACAAAGATGTAAGAACAAGCAGAACGAATCCAACAAAAAGGAAGAAGATCACACCGGTCATGAATAAGTTCGAAATTTCAATTCCTGACAAGTACGCCACTCTTTGAACTCCCCTCAAAACCAGCGTCTTAGAACCCACCTCCGATTCGTCTGTTGTGTAAAGGTCAGAGTCGTCCAAGACATCAGACAAGGAATCCGAGCTTTCGACACTCAGTCGCTTGACGAGTTTAAGCTTTTTGAGCAATTTTTGGACCGAGATTGAAATAACTGATTTGCTGCGCAAAATCGATGTGACGCTTCCACCAGTTGCTTGCACATACCAGAATATGATGCTTTGCATGAACTTGACTTTTATGATACCCAACGACCACATGAAGTTTTGAGCCCAAGACGCAGCAATGGGGGGCACCAAAGCCACACCCATCATGGACATGATAGCAAGGTTTTGGAAGTAAATAAACAACGAAGCAGCGTTGGAAGCAATGTGAGCAGCTGTAGCAGAATGTCCAAGAATTGAGACAAAAGAGGAAACAACTAGACCAAACCCAGAAATGATAGCTATTGGCCATCCGGCGTACCTGGTTTGCACTGTTTTTCCGTTGCTAAAGTTAGCCTTCACACATGCTAACGGTGAAGTCTTCGAGGTGTCGTTACTAGAGTAAGCCACAACTTTGACGTAGGCATCTAAGTCCGGAATGGTGTATGCAATACTCGGAATCTGGTCGATCATGTCACTTGTAATTGTGTAACTGTATCCACTAATACTAAGTCTTCCTGAGGAAATTGGACACAGTGTTGCATAGTCCAAAGAACATAAGTCAACGGTGGTAGAGTAGGCATTCAAACCGTAAACAACAAGCGACAAGTCTACGGTGACGTATCCACTAATAAGAGAGTTTCCATCAATGTCAATCACGGCCGTACTGTTGTCGGGGTAAAACGTGACCTCAAAATAGCTGGAACTAAATTCTGAATCTTCCATACATGTGAGCAAGGATGATGACTTGATATACTTCTTCATATCACTGTTTCCGGCCTCAACTATAAGGCCTTGGATGATGAACCATATCGAAAAAGTGAAGAGATGGTTGAGTTTCATGGTATTCAATAAATTTGCCTACTCGACATAAACGAGGCTATGAAGCACCTTGAGAAACAAAAAATTTGGGTACCTTGATGAGCACGAAACAATACTCTCAGTAGCTGTGAGTCCTATATGTGATCAGCGAGTCAACTTCAGCAGGCTAAAATAATGATACCAGCGCAGGAACACTATTTTATTTTTAAGATCAAATACAATATTTTCTGATCCAGGCTTATACGGTGTTTCTAAAAATATGCTGCCTTATATTCTCAAAAATCACAACTGTAAACACTATTGAGTGAACAGGATCGATTGGCTGTGCCTTGAATTTCTGTCATTCATTACGTAATCGTAATACCAATATTAGATGTAAGGATGTTTTTCAAAGTATGCAAACCCCACAATTGCTGTAGATAAAAGGGAAAACGGGCTTACACTCGGACCATCGTCGCAAAAACTCCCTCCAGCCGTGTCCCCTCAATTAGGCAAATCGTGCCCAATCGCTGCAATTGCGGGGACAGCCTATTAAAGCACTTGGTATTTTTCTTCCCCTCAGTGTCCCCTCCTTTCCGGGGGAGGGTGCAAATTTCGCGTGGACGGTGACAGGGTTCGCAAAAAGGGCATTTTCTATGTTAGTATACATAGTTAGATTCTGCAACATTGTGTTTCCCACTTCAACATCTTTATTATATATATGACGAATAGGAATTTAAAATTGTCTGACTGTTTTTAACCAAATGCCGGAAAAGCATTTAGAAAACGAACACTTGATGAGAGAAAAGGCTCTCCAGCCTCCAGCAGGATTCTTGGAGAGACATCCTTCAAAGCCATACTTGAGCTCATTGGATGAATACAAAAAAATGTATGAGGAATCGATTCGTGACCCCGGCTCTTTCTTCGGTGAAATGGCCGAAGAGCATTTGTCCTGGTTCAAACCCTTCACTGTTCCAAAGGTTCCAAATGCTCCACTTTTGAAAGATAACAATGGGGAACCATCGGCATGGTTTGTCGATGGAGAATTGAATGCTTGTTACAACTGCGTTGATAGGTGGGCCATCAAAAACCCAGAAAAGCCCGCGATCATCTATGAAGCAGACGAGCCTGACCAAGGAAAAATCATTACTTATGGAGAGCTACTGAAACAAGTTTGTAAGGCTTCTCAGGTGCTTCTGAACCTCGGTGTCAAGAAAGGGGATACAGTGGCGGTGTATTTGCCCATGATTCCTGAAGCGATCGTCACTTTGATGGCCATCATAAGAATTGGAGCTATCCATTCTGTTGTCTTTGCTGGGTTCAGTTCTGGTTCCCTTAGAGACAGAATTAATGATGCAAACTCAAAAGTCGTCATCACTACCGACGAGTCCAAAAGAGGGGGAAAAATTATTGAAACGAAAAAAATAGTTGACGATGCCCTCCTCGCCTGTCCCCAAGTGACAAACGTTCTTGTTTACAAGCGTACAGGTAACTCCCACATCCCTTGGACTGAAGGTAGGGATCTTTGGTGGCATGAAGAAGTTAATAAATACCCATCATATTACCCTGCTACCCCAGTCTCTGCAGAGGACACATTATTCCTTCTCTATACTTCTGGCTCTACGGGCAAGCCTAAGGGTATACAGCACTCGACCGCCGGTTATCTTCTAGGCGCGCTGCTCACGACTAAGTTTGTGTTTGATGTCCACCCAGAAGACATATTGTTCACAGCTGGTGATGTTGGATGGATTACAGGTCACAGCTATGTTGTCTATGGGCCGCTCTTGAATGGTGCCACCACCGTTGTGTTTGAGGGTACTCCAGCTTATCCTAACTACTCAAGATACTGGGAGATTGTCGATAAGTACAAAGTTTCCCAGTTCTATGTTGCTCCCACTGCTTTGAGACTCCTCAAAAGGGCTGGTGAGTCCTACATCGAGCCATACTCACTCCAATCCTTGAGAGTTTTGGGGTCAGTTGGAGAGCCAATTGCAAAAGACGTTTGGGAATGGTATAACGCTCACATAGGACGTGGCAATGCCCACATTTGTGACACCTATTGGCAGACTGAATCGGGTTCTCACTTGATCACTCCTTTAGCAGGTGTCACGCCAACCAAGCCAGGATCTGCTTCACTCCCATTTTTCGGAATCGACCCAGCAATTATAGATCCTGTTAGTGGAAAGGAGCTTGAAGGAAACGAGGTTGAAGGTGTTCTAGCAATTAGGTCATCCTGGCCATCAATGGCAAGAACCATTTGGAGAGACTATAGCCGGTTTTTGGATACGTATTTACGTCCCTACCATGGATATTACTTCTCAGGCGATGGAGCTGCAAGAGACAAAGATGGCTTCTACTGGATTTTGGGTCGTGTGGACGACGTCGTTAATGTGTCTGGTCATAGGCTGTCTACTGCAGAAATTGAGGCAGCTTTGATTGAACATTCAATGGTCGCAGAATCTGCGGTGGTTGGTTTCCCAGACGAGCTGACCGGATCCGCCGTTGCCGCATTTGTCTCTTTAAAGAGTAGATCCATCGAAGATCCATCGGCAATCAAGAAGGAACTCGTTTTGACAGTCAGAAAGGAAATCGGTCCGTTTGCGGCTCCAAAATTGATTCTCTTGGTTAATGACTTGCCAAAGACAAGATCAGGCAAAATTATGAGAAGAATTTTGAGAAAGATCTTATCCGGTGAGGAAGATCAACTAGGAGACACTTCTACTTTAAGCAATCCACAAGTTGTTTCTCATCTGATCGAAGTTGTCAAGGCAAAGTGAGCTCTTAAGTTTATCAACGTTATATTTATATCAAATCTGCTCTTTGTTGTATGCTGGTATATTGTAAATGTTTGATAATCCACCTAAGCCATGCTTCATGGCTGATTAATTATATGCCTGATCCTGATACTGCGCCACAATTGACTTTCAAAAAAAAAAACACGGTTGCGTCGCCGAGCGTGTTCTATGATTGTCCTCGTTTTCACTAGCCACATATAAGTTTTTTCAATAAGCCAAAAATTCTGTACCGTACTTATTTGAATCAATAGCTTATTTTCGCTCTTGATCTTGCACTTCTTGAGTTTCTTTGAAGGAGTGGTTACCGGGCATCTTTCTTGCTTCATTGTATACTCCTGACTTACTAGGGTATCAAGCAAACTTTGAAGTTGGTTTTTATTTCAACAGATAAACAGACGGATCCTGATTTATACAAAGGAGCGGTCCTTACGAGCGACTATAGAAACATTTATTTTCCATTGACTGTTGCCCTTACCGACTAGTCTACCAAGTTTTCTACGCAACTTAACAACTGTCATTTCTTGAAACAACAAGGTACAGTTTCTTGATCGTCATGCTGCTTACTGAAAAAGCCCTTCTTCTAGGATATTGGCTTGCTTTCCCTCTGTTGGCTGAGGGTAAGCGGGAGCTTTTTGCAAATTCTTTGGTCACATGTATGGAAAACTCTCAAATAGAACCAACTTACTTCAATGTGGTTTTCAGCGCAGATGATGATGGAGGCTCTGTGAAGTACGATATATCCTTAACCTCCGAGATATCTGGTGAAGTCTATGCCAAGGTTCTGGCTTATGCTTATGGTATTGAGGTCGTCGAAAAGAGTGTTGATTTTTGTTCCATTGGATGGAAACAATTTTGCCCAATGTATCCCGGTTCGTTGGAAGTTAACTCGATTCAATATCTATCCAGTGATTTCACCAATATGGTTCCGAAAATTGCCTACACATTTCCTGACATCGACGCTCTTGTTAGGGTGATCATTCTGGACAGTAATGATACCCAAGTTGGATGTATTCAGGCTAGCTTCTCAAATAAAAAGACCGTCGCTCACGTTGGTGCCAAATGGGCCACTGCTATTATATCTGGAATCGGCCTCCTGGTCTCAGCAGTTTTATCGGTTTTCGGAAATTCTGCATCTGCTTCCATTATCTCTGCAAATGCTGTGTCTTTGTTTTCATTCTTCCAGAGCACAGTCATCCTTTGCATGTTGCACGTGCAAGAAGTTCCTCCAATCGTTAGTGCCTGGGCAGAAAATATTGCATGGTCCATGGGATTGATCAGGGTGACCTTTATGCAGCAAATATTCAGATGGTATGTTCAAGCAACGGGCGGAACTCCAACGCAATATTTGACTTCATCTTCAATTTCAGTTCTTGTTCAGAGATCCCTGAACGAAAGTAAGAAACTTGCAACTAAAATCATTCCCTTTTATTCGCTTGTGTCTTATTTCATGCCTTCATTGGCACCAAGTCCCACAGACTATTATCAAGATTTGGAAGCGAGGTCAAACGATTTGTACAATTTGCAAGGTGACCAGTATCTCAAGATATTGAGAGGCGTGGAAAGAGTTGGTTACAAGGCAAACATTGAGCCCACATCCATTGTTTGCACGGGATTTACATTTTTTGTTTTATTCTTGTATGTATTGGTTGGATTGTTCATGATTGCGAAAACAACTATGTCGTTTGGAAGGAAAAGAGGCTGGTCCAGAACCATTGATCTGAGCAGAAACTGGAAGGTGATTTTGAAGGGTATTTTGCAAAGATACATTTATATCGGATTTCCCCAACTTGTCATTCTATCTTTGTGGGAATTCACCGTCGTCGATTCAGCTGCAGTGGTTGTCCTTGCCGTCATCTTTTTGCTTTTATGCTTGGGAATTATGGGATGGGTCTGCTACAGAACATTGATGTTTGGAGCTGTTTCTGTTGAAACCCACAATAATGCTGCTGCGATTCTCTATGGAAATCCGGATGTTCTCAATAGGTACGGGTTCTTCTACACAATGTTCGACGCGAAGAAATTCTACTGGGGGGCTGTCTTTTTGACTTATCTTTTTGTGAAAGCATTATTTGTTGCCCTTGCTCAGAAGTCTGGTAAAACGCAAGCTCTTGTTGTGTTTTTGTTAGATTTGGCCTACACCATCGCTTTGATCAAAGTGAGGCCATTTCTGGACAAAGCCACAAACATTGTGAATATTTTGATGAGCGTTGTTAACACCATCAACTCGTTCTTTTTCTTATTTTTTTCGGAGTTGTTTGGTCAACCGAGTGCCGTTGGATCAATTATGGGATTGATTTTTTTCGTGCTGAACGCAGTGTTTTCATTTTTGCTCCTCGTGTTGATTATCGTCTATTCGTGCATCGCGATCTTTTCCAAAAATCCCGATGCTCGATTTTCGCCAGCCAAAGACGACAGAACATCTTTCCAAAAGAAGCAGATTGGTGATGACGTTCCTGATGGCGCGCAGGAACTGTTTGAGCTCGGACAAGTTGCTAAAGACCATCAAGAGAACTGGGCTAATGAAATGTACAAATTAAAGGCCATGGTGGATTCCTCTGACATGGGACAGTCCTCTGACAAGAAGTCGCAGAGCGATCCAGACAAGCCGCTGGAACTCACACAGGAAGAGGAAGCTTCTTTTGGCGCTAAACTTATGCACAAGCTCACCGGTGGTAAGTCTCTCCTTCGTCGCAACAAATCCCAGAAAAACAGTGATCAAAAGACAGAATTGCCAGAAGCTCTCGACCATCCACTACCAAAATACACCTTGGATCAGCAAATTCCAACCCATGCTAGATCAGAATCAAACACTCCAATGATGCACTCGGGGGCCGACGGCTTTCATACTCCCGTCTCGACATTTATGCGTGATGAGAGTTTCAAGAGTATGTCAGACATCGGTTCTGAAACTGGTAATGATGCTTCGACTCAACCATTCGATTCTACCGAAAACTACGTTGACGGAAATCAGAAGAGATCCAAATACTCATACTTATGACATCGCAGGGTCTTCGTTGTCAATACCATGTACGATACTAACTTGTTTTATTTTTGTATTATTTTACAACTTTAGTAGATACTAATCTATTGGAGACTCAAATTAACAGGGTTTCAATCTTATCCTTGATGGCATAGATTTGGTTCTTGATAGCGGAAGCATCGTTAGTTGTTATCGAAGCAGCAATGACTGGTCTCGAAACACCGCAAGCTCTACCAAGGGCGGTTTTGGAGGGAACAAAAACGTATGGAACATTCTTATCCTCGCAAAGAAGTGGTAAATGCAGCAAAATTTCAATAGGCTCGGTATCTGCAGCCATGATGATGAATTCCGATATGCCCCTGTTTAAGGTTTTGGTTGTCTCATTGGCTCCCTTCTTCAGCTGCCTGAGATTTTGAGCTTGTTGTACCACATCAAGAATTTGTTGAGTGAGGCCAGAGTCAGCTAGTGGGAATGCTTTAGGGTTTGGAGTAGTAGACATGTTGTATAAAGGTTCCTTGCAACGTGGTAGTGATAAGCTCGCCTTTATATTAAAAACTGGAAGTCCTGAAAATTTTAATTTGAAAATTTTATTTCAACGCATCTCTGCATGGATAAATTTCACGCTTCATCATAGTTACCCGGCATATAAGTAATTTTTGCAGCTGTCTTATTATCCCCACTTTCTTCTCCATAAAGAAATCATCTAGCGCGAAGAATGTTGCTTATGTCATCGCGAATGTCTTCAAAGTTCATTTCCTTATTCTACTATTCAACATGCCAAATGAAGGCCTTTCAATGAGTTGAATTAACAAACAAACGAAAGGGCCTCTGTATCCCAGCTTCCTCAGCTCTCGCAATCATACAGGTTAAGCCTTCCAGAAACGTTGCTCTATTTCATGGTGTAAGGTGTGTTTCTTTTTCCAGGAGACAAAATCGGATTTTCCCCATTTTTTTCTTAGAAATAATTCGGTACGATTTTGTTAAAAAGAACACTTTTTTGTTTTTAAATTCGACGCTTGTACAATTTGTTCGTTGTCGCGGAAAGCCCATAATCTACAGATTAGCGACCTTGGGAGAATCCTAGGTGGATGAGACATCGTTGGTAGTACAATGAACGATTTTAATCCTTCTAACAAAACCGCTGGACAGCAGGTGATCGCTGTAGAAGTGAGAGATGGACATACGGGGGCTCTTTCGAATATCGAATATGCTCAAAAATCCATGGTGGGACACGGATCGTTTGGGTACGTTTATCAGATAACGCTGTTACATGACAATAGCAAAGCAGCAATCAAACGAGTTCTTCAAGATAAGCGTTACAAAAACAGGGAACTTGAAATAATGAGGCTCATAAATCACAAGAATATTGTCAAATTGCTTTCCTTCTTTTATAAGACCAATGACAAGGACGAGCAATATCTCCATTTGATCCTGGAGTACATTCCGGAGACGTTGTATAAATCATGCCATTGGTACACTTCAAGACAAAGGACCATGCCAATGCTTGAGGTGAAACTATACTCCTATCAACTTTTCCGCTCGTTATTATACATCCACTCATTGGGAATATGTCACAGGGATATCAAACCTCAAAATCTGTTAATTGATCCACTTAACGGCATACTTAAATTATGTGATTTTGGCTCGGCAAAGGTTTTGAATCCTTCGGAACCAAACGTTTCCTATATCTGTTCAAGATATTATAGAGCGCCAGAGCTTATATTTGGAGCTCGGAATTACACTACCAAAATTGACTTATGGTCCGCAGGCTGTGTTATAGCGGAACTTATTTTAGGACAGCCATTGTTCCCAGGAGAGTCTGGAATTGATCAGCTTGTTGAAATTATCAAAATCCTAGGCACCCCAACTAAGGATGAAATCAAATCTATGAATCCTAACTACGTGGACCATAAGTTCCCCTCGATAAAACCAATACCATTACAGAAAATATTCAAAAACGTGGAACCGGAATGTCTAGAGCTGTTGCAATTGGTGCTGAATTATTCTCCAATTTTGAGAATTGGAGCTGCTGAAGCGCTGACGTGCAAATTTTTTGATGAGTTCAGGGCTCAACCAGAGATCAAATTTCCCAATTTCAGGAACTACAAACTGGACCGTGAGTTGCTAATTCCTGATTTATTTGACTTTTCAAAAAGAGAACTGAGTGTCAACCCTACCTTGATTGACGCTTTGGTACCTGCATGGAAGAGAGATCAGCTAGATTTCGATCTCGACTCTTTTGTGCCATATTCAGCTGAAGAGCTCTTGGACCCAGTCAATAACTAGATGCCTCGTCGTTGAACGCGCTGAAGCTATAATGAAGCTGAATGATTACGACTGTTATTTGCCATCACCTACTAACTAGTTCACTTCTTGATGATGATTGATTGTATTAAATGCCAAATTAAATACACTGGTTGTAAATATCTAGACTGGGACCAGGCGTATTGGACCGCCTGTCAACACCTCTCTCGTATTATTTTTTTGTATTTTTAAATACCAGACTTTAATACAGACTAAGTTTTCTGCCCACGAGTTTGTAAAGCATGAAATCAAGTCTGCTTTTCTAATAGCGTGAAATGTCTAGAAGACGAGTTTTAGGTGCTCCCGACACAGGGCCCGTCTTGGGAGCCTCCATGGATGTTCCAAACACGCCGTCCTTGTCCTCTTCTCCGTCTTCTTCATCATCATCCTTGGCTGAGTATGATATCCTGAAGTGTCCCATTTGCACAGATTCAATGGTCACGCTTAACCAGTTGAATAGACATCTTGATGATGAGCATGAGATTTCCTCCTTTGGCTTTTCGGAAACAAATTCACAGATTGAACTGGATTTCAAACATTGGTTCAGAAGAACACTGGCAACAAAAGCTGATAGTGTCGTAGGAAAACCCCCACACCAAAACCCTTCCAAGCACTCGCGTGCTGCTACACAGGATGTGTCATTTATTGACAGTACCGGTGAAGAAGAGACACAAAAATTGACTTTTGAAAACTCGTCAGTTATAGAACGAGATCATTGGCAAAAACCTTCTGGGTCAGATAGATGCAGCCACAGCTCGTGTTCCAAAAGGCTGAACGGAAGAAATGGCATGGCAAACTGTCGAAAGTGTGGGCGATTATTTTGCGGTCATCATTCTAGGTTTCGCATCAAGCTTGACTCTAGTCTACATTCCAATCCCACAAATGGTTATTGGAGCCGGTGCTGTCAAGAATGCTTCTTTAGCTACAAGCCAGGATGGGACTTGACTAAGACGGAAAACTGCGCTCTTGTCTCAGATAAGTCTTCAAGCCTGAAAAGCATTCGTTTGAAAAAGCTTAATTCTGTGAAGTTAGAGATAGTGGCTTTAGAAAATAGATGCATCAAATTAGTGGGCATTTTCAGGGATATCGAGAAGAACAATATTCCAGCCCGTGAGCTGCGCTCGATTGAACGAAACCTTGCTAACTGGGTGGATGAGGCCGCGATAAACAACTGCAACATTTGTGGATCAGAATTTAGTTTCTGGAATCGAAAACATCATTGTAGGATATGTGGACAAGTTGTTTGTGGGGACGCTTCTCGAGGTTGCTCTATGGAAGTGCCAGCGAATATAGTTGTGGACATTATGAATATCGATCAAGACTTCAAGTTGGAAAAACTACAAGACTCATATTGGTCAATTCGAATTTGTTTGAACTGCAAACAAAAACTGTTCAACAAAAGGCTATACTTCAAAAATGCACTTTATGAAACGCAATCTGATCTATTGCAGTGCTATAGACAAGTAAAGGCTTTAGAAGCTAAATTTGAAAGCAGTATACAGTCTTCGGATAAGGCAATTGAGCTAAAAAATATTGACTTATTGGGACGCATGGAGAAGATTGGAAAGGTTGTGTCCAATAAAGTAAATTCCTTGGAATACGTCTTAAAGCAAAAGCAACCAAATGTGGGGTTAATTCCGGTCAAGCCTGATGAACTGAAGCTCTACAAAGCCTTGAAACTTCATATTGTGATGTTTTTACAAGACAATCTTCCGGGCTTGCGCAAAGCACAACAAGAAAAATTGCAAACAGAGCAGAGTGAGCTTGAGCAGCAAACCGGGGTTAACAACTATAGACCTAGATTGCTGAAGAAGGAGATCAGAGAATACAGAGAAAAACTGATGGTTTTGAATGAGCAAAAATACATGGTGCAAAACCTGTACAACGACTATAAAAAACGAAAAAAATTCGATGATCTCAAATCACTCGAAACTAATTTGGAAGATTTGCAACACGAGATTGATATTATTGAGGAAAAGCTGGGCGACAGTGCATTTCAATAGATTATGTTCTCTGTACAATAAACCTCTAAGTAGTGATAAAGATAGTACTATGCAGCAACTGCTGCCTTTTGGAGTTTCTTTGCCTTCTTTTTATTTGCTTTGTTGTGTTTTTTACCACTTCTGAGACTTCCATCCTTAGTGTGAAATGGTGACTGGAAATTGCCTTTCACTTCATTCATTTTGAAAAATTCGTTGTCAAGTTCAGCAGCAGAACTGACCAAAGCAGCTTGTTTGCCACCATACGTACGAGCATGCTTGTTCCCTGTTAGTGCATCATTCGCGGAAAGGTGCGAGGAAAAAGTTAATTTTTGTAAATCTCTTGCCAGGTTGAAATCATGAATATCAATGTTCTTATCCTTCATGGCATTTAAGACTTGTTGTTTTCTTTGCTCCGGTAGATTGTGAACTGTGTATAAGCCTTCGTTGAATTTTCGTGAGCTTTCGTCATCCTTTCTGGAGCCATCTTCGTTTGGAGGGGGCTCAACGAATAAAAGCTTCCCTGAGGCATAATCTTTGAGAATGTATCTAGCAGCGCGAGTTTCATCGGCTGCACCGTACCCTTGAGTCATAAATCCTCTAGCTCTGGCAAAAGCATTGAGGACCTCATGAGCATTTGGTACCCCGGTTCCCCCCTCCTCAACAGGTAGAGTGTCAATGGTAATACCGTAAACGGCCTCTAAGAAATACTTCGGAATTCGTTTCGCCACCAACTGCATAGGCCCTGTGTACTCACGAAGTTGATCTATAGGAAGTATACCGTTGCAAACCAGATCTGCGTTGGTGTATGCAAAGTTAGGGAAAACCAAACCTGGACAATCACAAAGGATTACTTTGTCAGAAAGCAGAATTGTTTGAAAATGCTTTGTTTTACCGGGAGTCGAAGACACTGACACTCGCTTTGAGCCTACCAAAGCATTAATAGTCGACGACTTTCCCACGTTAGGGTATCCAACTAGACCAATCTGGAGGCGTCTAGGTTGACCTTCAAGCGGCTCAGTCAATGGTTCTGGAGCAACTCTAAGACACAAATCTTCCAACTCCTGCACGGTTATGATTCGAGTCAGCTCCTCAGCATTTTCCTCATTATGAACCTCTGTAGAAGATTGTAAATTATGGTCATGTAATTTCTCTTGCAATGATTTTAATTCTTGTTTCAATTTATCCATTCCCTGTTTCTCTTCGTCCTCCAAATCAGACTCACCGGACAAACCCGAACCCGAATCTTTACAACGTGCATTCTCGCGAACCTCAATTTCCTGCGCTACAGCTGTCTGTCGCTGCTCAAACTTTTCTCTTTCTCTCTCTAGATTCTCGTTTGCGAGGTATGCACTGAAGAACGTGTACTTGATATTATGTGCTTTGAAATAGCGAGCCCATTCCAATCTCTGTTCATAAGTCAATAGATCAGCTTTGTTGACCAACAACAAGTTTCGTTTCAAGGGATTTGTCTCTTTCACGTACTTTTCCAAATCTTCAGAACGAAATAGCAATGGATTTCGTGCATCTACAATTTGAACAACCAAATCAGACCTTTCTACCACTCTCCACAGTTGTTTCCAGACTAGAATATTTCTCTCAAATGGCGTAAGCAATAAATCATGATTTTGCTGCAGCAGGGCAAGGTTACGCCGCCACTCAAGAAAAGCTTCACTTTCCAACCTTTCAAGCTCATGCTTGGTCATCAATTTATCCCATCTAGGACGTCTTGGGACTCGCAACTCAGAAATATGCTCTCTTTGAACTTGAAACTTTTTGATTTCTTCCTCAGTCGTAAGCAAATAAGGATTGTAATTACCACTGTCCACAGTGTGATTATTGACACTTACAATTTTGATTCCTGTAGATCTCTCAGCGGAGAAGTCTTTATCTGCCAAAGCTGCTGTATTCAAAAATTCATCAAGCGCATTCTCTTGTGTGACCGAGCGTAATTTGACCCAGTCATCTTCATGCTTGTCAGTGGTGAAGCGCATTTCTCCGTCGGGCAAATAGTACACTTTATTTTCCTGATTTTTGGAATTCTTGATGCTCCTTCCTAACCCAATGGTATTTTTGTTCTTGTGGGGCGTATTTTTTGGGCCCTTGGGTGGCTTCCATTTTCGTGGTTCCGTCTTCGGTGGCATGGGGAAACACTTTGGTTTTCAGTAACACTTTTTACGTAGAACTAGCTGCTTTGCCATAAGTAAAAAATTTAAAAATTTTGTGAACCAGCCACCATTGTGGCTGGTTAAGTGTCTGAGGCGTAACCTGTGATACGAGTAGCCAAAATTGATCTTCTAGTTCGGTGTCTCGAGTTGACAAAATTACATATTTCTAAGTAAGTACTTTTTGTTATGTCTGCACTTGCAAATTCTATACCCGTTGCAGCGTCATCAGCTTCTGTCGTCACAGATTCTGAGTCTGCGTACTTTGCTGATGCCAGATCTCACTTAAGTGAGTCAACCTCTCAAATTTCTTCAGATGATGCACCAGTGAAAAACAATGCTGCGCCTGTCGAAGATGACGATGAAGAACGTGATAAAGATGGCATCTCACCTCAGGCAACAATCACTGATGTGGCTGATTCGCAGGATCCTGAATCAACCACACAACCTGAGGTTGACACTACCGTAACCCATAGTGAGGAGAGAGCGACTTTTCAGACCACCGCCTATGAAAACAACGACCAATTGGCTCATAATGTTCAACCTCAACCCACTGAGGAACCTAAAAGAGCTTTTGTAAGTTCGACCCCACCCAAGAAACGTGGATATCAACGAGAAGAAAGCGAGTGCCATGAGTATTATTTCTCCATATACTGCTGCGATCTGGATCTTAGCTCGGGAAATATTTTTACAACTTGCCTTAGCTGTTGCATGTCATCGATCCTTGGTCTTTGTACCACAGCGGCTACAAAGCTTTAAAGGCTCAAACTGTTATAGACTCCAATATAGACCAATGGGCAATTGAGTACCTAGGCAGTACTGTAAATTTCTTCCAATTTTTCTGTCGTCCATGGGCGATCATTGTCAGTGTACCTTTTCAAAGGAGTGTCATAAGGTAGTCTGATAGGATAGTATACAGTGTCATCATTCACACCTTCACAAAAATCTGTTCCTTGTACAGGTCTCAATGCAAACGGTCTATAAATCTTAAATTTTGTCTTTATGCATGCAGGAACGATAAGGACACCTGCCTCGTAAGATTTCACTGTGTAAACATGTTTGGTCTGCAATTTCTTTTGCGAGGCCGCTCCATACCCACGATCTGGTGCACCCCATGCTTGTTTCGAAAGGTTTGCCGACGTTAAAAGAAACCACTCTAATGTTTCAAAGTTATTTTTCGTCACACAATAAGATTTGACATGCGGCGATAAATTACTCCTTCCAGCAACAGATTGAAAAGACGGTTTGGAAGACCACCTGCAGAAGAATGATTGTAAAAATCTAGCTTGATTTTCATATGCATACCATCCACTGCTTGCTTTTGATTTGAACATCACTGCATGTCCTGATATGTGGCCATAATGGGCATTCATAATCTCCTTCTCTGTTGGCCAGATAATATTAATCTCGACCCCACTTCCTTCTCCAAACTTATGGCTTGGCTGTTTGACGATTGCTCGAGAACCTTCCACAATGCTCGATAAAACGTGTGTCCCGATGTTTGTATGCTTGTTATCTAGTGGTGCACTTATCGAGGACACTTGCATGATTAGTTTTGCGTCATTCGGAGTAGTCAACTTATAACGGTTCAGGACTTGGCGCAAGCTACCGTAACCATACAGCTGTTTGTCGCCAAGGGTTTCTGGATGTGTCTCTGTCTCTGTACGGTCCGCCAAGCTGAACTCATAACGTCCTGGGCTTGAACAAACAAAAGCCACGTCAATCGGACAAAAATCAAACGCTTTCAATTTTTCAGCTAATGAAGACACCACAGAGTTTTCGTATGTGTAAAGGTATTGGAGAAAGTCTCTTTTGAAAATAATGCCAACATCGTAAACTGGGTCAAGATTTCCTTTCTTATCATTTGTGTGAGCATGGGAATTCAGTCTTTTCAGTCTTGGAGAGATCCAGCACATTTGGGTTTGAGCCAAATAGTCCGTGTGAGTAAGATTCATGGTATGGATGACGATTTGACATGTATCATCATGAAAAAAGTTGACCATCATTTTCGAATGATGAGTTCCCCACTTCGACAATTTGGTGGATACATCAATTGTTTTTATCCGATACTGAAGACGGTGAACATCTTCGACCGCAATATTGGATTGCACACCAATGAGAGTAATCTCGAAATTTAGGGGATCGGCTTTGAAGAAAGGTAGCAAAAAATCACAGTCTATAAGCATATTAAATTGGTAGCTGCTTTCAAGTATTCTGGATCCCACCAAATCATACAGGGTAATAGTATCCTTATTTGATGATGGTGGAAACACCTTGCAGTATGGATCGTTGGAGATTAGTCTGATTGGAGACTGAAATCTTGGTACATCTTGCTTGCCCTCAGTAGAGAACGGTAATTTCAGTTTTTTTTGTCCGTACTCTTCTGGATTAACAACAGTCCCCTCCAAACCACGTTTTGAAGCCTTCTGTCTTAATCGGGGCGCCTCAATTTTTGATTTTTGCTCAGCAGAATCCTCATCACTATCAATGCTGATAACATGATGCTCGTCACTCACGGCTTTTTCCTCAATGAACTCAACAGAAACGTCTGTTTCAGACTCTGACATTATGTGATAGTTCCTCCGGGCGCGTATACAGCCTAACTTGAAAGCTTATACAGGCCGATGTCAAACTAAATTAAAGCTGAGGCAAATTTTCTACAAAACTTTTGAGTTTACACCGGTTCGAGAATACTTCTTCACGAGCCTTGAGACTTACTTAATTGTCGTAAAAAGTATACCAGATTTAGTAAAGTCTGAAAGAAGGACCCATGGAGGACTTGATGACAAGAGATCCGACGTTTTGCCAGTTCTTCTTCAACAAGGAGACCAAAAAGTTGATGGCCATCATTATTTGAGTGACAAGAACATCCTCCTCCATCTCAACGTGACCAACAGCAACAGCCAAACACAAAACCTTCTTCAGCTGGAATTTGATAGTGGACTTCACGTCAGTAACCTTGGAATACAAGTCGTCATTGTGAGAAACTGGAGTTGGGAACTTACCAGCCTTAGAGAGCTGAGGACCCAACAGTCTTGGCACTTGTTTGATCAAGACTTCAGAAGCAATGAAAGCGTTGTACTTTTTAGCCAGCTTCTTGATAAGCTTTTTGTTCTTGTTCAACTTTTTCAAGTCATCAACAGACATAGCATCCACACCCAGAGATTTAGCTCTGTCAACATCAAAAGCATCACCAAAAATACAAATGGTCATGTTTGGTCTTGGCACTTGGGGCAGCTTCAAAGTTCCAGAGAAACGCTTGTCTCTTTGTGGGTCGTAATTTTTGAGACCAACCTGTAACTCAACGGTCTCCAAAAAGTTTCTCTTTTTGGTCTCGTTGGAGAATTTGAGGATCTCCTTAACATTCTCTCTCACTTGGGTAGCGCTGACTTTCGACATCTTGCTTCTCTACTGTCTCCCTACTAATAGGTAATACCGTTCTGCTTCGGTCTGTTCGACAATCGTAAGATGAAAATTTATCCAAGCTCGATAATTTTTTTCTATCTTGAGGGTTTTGGGTTTTCCCTCTTATCACGTGATGTGGTGGTTTTCCATGATAGTCAAGGCTGTGTATGGTTCAATTGTTTGAACTATTGTATGTGAAATATGTTCCTGGTGCTGCCTTCGGTGGGCACTCGAATCACCCACAGGTTGTATACTCACAAGGAATCGTTGTTGCTTAGTTGGCTGACGAAAAATTACTCAAAGAAATCAGGGTCTTCTCACAGATGGATACAAAGACAAAGAGCCGATTTGTACACGCGCGACTCAAGACATTACGATTACAAGTCAAGAGCAGCGTTCAAACTACTTCAAATTGATGAAAAGTTTGGAATTTTCCCCCAGAATCGGATCTCCAACATACTCGATCTCGGCGCAGCTCCAGGAGCATGGAGCCAAGTTGCCCTCGAGCGTTGTCGGAAAGGTTCAAACATTCTTGGGGTGGATCTGCTTGTATACCAACCTCCTAATGGATCATCTTCTATGCAAGCAAATGTCTTGAGTAAGAAGACCCATGAAAGCATAAAGGAACATTTCAAAGTTGTAGAGATGGAGAAACTGAAACAAAAATTCCAACCAATTGAGGTGATCGGTAATCAAACGGCTTTTGAGATACAAGGTACGTCAATCATAGATTCAGAATCTGAATTAAGCAAAATTGAGAAAAAACAACAGGAGCGGCCATTGCAAAATCTTTACAACGATGAGCTATACAGACCTGTGGATGTGGTTTTAAGCGATATGTATGTTCCCTTTCCTCAGATTGGAGGGTTTGCGAATCAGACTACTAACATGCCATATATAAGGATGGCTAATACTTCAGGCTTATCGTTCAGAGACCACGCCATGTCAATGGACTTATGTGACGCTGCTCTTATAACGTCCATAGACTTATTGAAAAAAGGCGGCAGTTCTGTGATCAAGTTTTTCACGGGGCAAGATGATAATTCCCTTCAGAAAAGGCTCACGCACGTCTTTCGCAAAGTGATCCGTTTCAAGCCAAAGGCATGCAGGCCAGAATCCAAAGAATGCTATTTTGTTTGCTTGGATAAGGTTGACGACTTCGTCGATAAAAAACAGGTTTTCCGAGCCGCATAATAAGCTGAATCCTAATTACTTTGGATAGCTCATACATTTGAATAGTCGGATCAACGAAACGTTGATTGGTCGGGGCTACGCACATACTTTGGGATACAAGTTAACAAACAATGCACTATACTACGCAATCAATTGTCATGTACATTACTCCTCAAATGCAATCTTTTCTTCAAACATCGACCGATTCACTACTTTCCTCTTCTAAATCAATGAGAGTTTCCTCTATCTTTTCAGCTGCCGCTTCAATCTTGTTCTGCTTCTTATCAAGCAATCTTGAACTTAGTTTCTCTTTCCCTATTCCATTCAGATAAAGTTTCCATTGACATATTTTGTCATCGATAGTCGTATCATTTTCTTCGTATGCTTTGCTCAACAAAGCAGCCTCTGCAGGTCTGTCCGTCTTGAGAAGAATCTCAGAACAAGTGGTTAAGTCCGATGCAGCCCATGCAGAAGAAAATGCCAAATTGAATTTCCCTGCTTTAATACATTTGTCACTCAACTTCTTCAAGCCTGCGAGATCATTAAACGAAGTGTAGAGAAGTAATAGTGAAGCATAATCTTTGCATTTGTTGAAAGCTTCGTTGGCTAACTTGAGATTCCAACTTGCCATGGCAATATCCCCCAGCTTTTTCCATTTATGAGGACTGTTCTCTTGCTCTGCAATTTCTTGTGCAAGATTGAGATTCATTGTTTCAATAGCTAGCTCAAACTTCTGCTCAGTGTCATTTGTAAGTTCTAGTGCTTTCTCTTTGAAGCCTTGTTGTTCTAAGAATCTGGCAATTTTTGGAATGTCTTTGGAATCAACATTCGTCATCAATTCATCTGCTTGATCAAGGTCACCGCGCAGAACAACCGTTTGGAACTCTAAGACAGACAGCGAGAGATGATAAGACACGATGTTGATGTCTTTGTCAGCAACGTAAACTTTATTGTCTCTAGGCAAATATCCCAGCAAGTACATGGTTTTGTCGAAGTGGGCCAAGTTGTTGATTGAACCTCCCACAAGGTAATTAAGCCTATTCGAGGAAGAAGTGTAAATGAACACATCACCAACCCATTGACCACTCACTATTTGATCTTGAACATCATACAGAACCTCAAAGCAATCCTCGCATCCCTCCTGTGGATCAGTTGTTCCGTTATTCAAGTGCTCCTGAAAGATGTCTTTATCGAACCTGAGTGCATAAGCAGTCTCGCTCGAAACAATGAGCACCAATTCGCCATTTTCTGACCAGACAACGTCTTCCGCTTCAACATCAATTCTCCTGACCAAGTCACCCGTATCCCAATTGTACAACGACACAAACCCATCAGATTTAACAGTTAACAAGGTTCCACCAAAAAGTTTATCAGCGGCATAAACTAGATCAATTTGACCGCTTGTCTTCTCTTTGAAGTTTTTGTATATTTTGACAGACGATGCCGATTCTCTGATAGCATAATAATTAGAGTCCTGGGCCCAAACAAAATCCAAAGCAGGCCCATACATCTTATTCCTCCACGCCAGTGCAGTGTAAATGATGTATTCGTTGTCTCCTGTGACCGTGACGAACCTTCCATTCGGAGAATGTTTCAATGTGCTTGGGAATATTTCAATACTTCCGAGCTCTTTGTGAGTCAAAGGCAGAATTTCACCATCTCCTGATTGTGTATCAGAAGCCTTGATCACCGAACTGTATATATCGGTATGTTTTGAGTAAATAATTTTACCCATAGGATCCATGGATAATAAAGGCTTGTCATCTCCCAATTTGACGACAACGTGACCAGTATCGAAACCAACAGCCATTAAACTGGAGCCTTTTTTTGTTGCCACACACCATGCTCTTTCCATCGAATAGTTCAACGACTTCTCCAGTTTGTAGGTATTTGAATTCCAGATCTTAATGGAAGCATCCTCGGATCCAGAGATGATCAAAGGCAATTCAGAATGAAAAACCGCAAATGACACATTAGAAGAGTGCCCCTCCAGTGTCGCAACACAAGACTTCGTTTGGTAATCCCAAACCTTAACCGACTTATCATCAGAAGAGGTGATTAGATAGGGCTTGTCTCCATGGGGATAGTAATCAACGTAGTTGAAACCCTTTGATTCGGGAGCAAGGAGTGTAAAGTTTGGAACTCTGGATCCAAGAGACCAGATCTTCACAGTTTTATCCAAACAAGCCGACGCAAAGGTGTTGGAATCCTTTGGATTGAAGGCAACAGACATCACATAATGTTGATGTCCTTCAAAAACTTGCTCTAATTTCCAGTTATTGTCCCAATTCCAGAGCTTGACTGTGTAATCGTCCGACGAGGTCAAAACATAGGGTCTTGTCGGGTGGATTGCAATGGACCTAATATAGTCAGGATGAGCCTCAAATTGTGTAACGCGTTCACCAGTATTATAGTTGTAAACCCTGATCTGGAAATCGTCAGATCCAACGACTACCCAATTTTTGCGGGCGACGAATTTACCTGCTCTAACAGGGACATTGGTAACATCAATTGTTTTGACTACCGTTCCGGTTTCATAGGACCATATTTCTATTTTTCCGCTGTAGAGAGTTGTTAAAACCCAAGGCTCCGTGGGATGAAAATCGATGCCCTTCACTCGATCTGACCTAGTACTTGAGAGTTTCTTAAAGTTGTTAGTAGTGAATCGATACTAAATTAAACATACCTTAATATCCAACTTCATAGCAGTTTTCAGTGATTTACAATCCAACAAGAGATAAAGTGGATGAAAATAGCTAATGAGAAAGAGCTATTAGGAGCAACAAATGGTTTATTGTTTTCGTGTTCACTAAATTTCTATCTCGTTGGTCGTGATTATGTAAGCTACATACGTAGATGAATGGGAACCTCCTAATTAACGCTCATAACCCTTGTCGGATTGAGAAGGACTGAATTAAGTATTCATCGATCGTTTTTTTGTTTTATATTGAGCATTTGATATAGTCATTTGAGAGCAAAAGTTTTCAAATAGTACATCAAGCGAAATGTGGATTCTTGAATGGTGTAAGTTGGAACAACAATCATATGAGATAAGTACTAACGGGGCCTTATACAAATAAGCACTAAAAGTGCTTATTTGTATGTCGAGCATTTACAGTTCAAGATGTTTTAGCTTCTTTAGGATTGTGGAATAAGCATGCCAAACTGTTGTTTTTGGGTTTAGATAATGCCGGCAAAACTACATTGCTCCATATGCTAAAAAATGACCGTATGGCCACTTTGCAACCTACTTTACATCCTACTTCAGAAGAGCTTTCCATTGGTAATGTCCGTTTCACTACATTTGATCTTGGAGGCCACCAACAGGCTAGAAGGTTGTGGAAAGACTATTTTCCTGAAGTCAATGGTATTGTGTATCTAGTTGACGCTGCTGATTCTGAAAGATTTGAGGAGTCAAAGGCTGAATTGGATGCTTTATTTGCCATTGAGGAGTTGGCCAAAGTGCCTTTTTTGATCCTCGGAAATAAGATTGACTCTCCAAAAGCTGTAAGTGAAAATGAATTGAGGCATTTTCTGGGTTTGTACAACACAACCGGTAAGGACAGAGTCCAACTCACCGACACAAGACCGGTTGAGGTTTTCATGTGCTCTATCGTCATGAGACAAGGCTATGGTGAAGGATTCAGATGGTTGTCACAATACATTTGAATAAATATTCATTTTAATATACTTAGTATTGTAATTTGACTGCTGTTTAGAGACAAGCTCTTATACTATTGCATAGATAAGATATTTCTTGCTCTTATTTCAGCTTTTCCTTTTCTTACCGAATGCATCACTGGAGGCAGGACTAACTGTCAATTTACGCTTCAAACTTTTCGAGAAAAACTCCTTCTTTCGTTGCCTCTCCTTATCTTTTTTAGCCTCCTCCAGTTTTGCCAGCTTTCTGAGTCTTTCAGCATTTTTTTCTTGCTTCTTTATTGACCGTTTTTGGTCTTTATCCTTTTTGATAGTTTGAACGGTTTGAACAATGCTTCTTGCCTTCCTTTCTTCACCTCCCACCACGACTGCTCTCTTTTGCAAATATCCTTTGCTTTTTTGTTTTTTCATTTGGTGCAACTGAGATTTGTAAGGCAAGTTTGCTTGAATGGACCGAGGAATTTTGAGTGGATTGAATTTTCGTTCTTTTCGTTCAATTTTCTTGTACTCGGAATCAGGATTTGGCACTGCTGACATGTTATTTTCTGCCTTTAATGTTCCTGTAAGCTTCATACCTCTCCAATTTTCCTTGTCAGATAGGAGCAGAGATGTCACGGGGTTATAAAACTTTTTTGGCTTGATCGGATACCACGTCTTCAAAAACACAATATCACTCATCAAGATTTTGTCCTCAAAAGTGGCTCTAAAATGTCCTTCTGGTTTGGACAGTGCTCTCTTGATTTCTCCCCGGAGTCCAGAAACTGTTCGGATAGTGGCTCCTTCGAATTTTGCAACTTCCAAAGCAGAAGAAAACATATCTTTGATGAATGCCGTGTTTTTGTAAACCTTGTATGGGTGCCCAACAAGCTTCAATTTCTTCACGATCTCGACATCGGCATTCAGGTCCTCAACAATACCAGTAGCAGCTATTCTAAAAGAGCCAGTAGTGAGCTCCTTCGCAACCGCTTGTACACCACAAAAAGTAGTATTGGGCGCAACCAAAGGTCCATAGAAAGTGGCAAAACAATATGTGTGTTCAGGGGTGTACTTCAGCATTCTATTCCTGGTTCTTGAGTCGGATGTTGTGTAGACTGGAAGTGTTTGGAACCTCCTCCATCCTAAAGATAAAATCAGTGGGTCGTTAGTCTTCAAAACCTTTTTGTGCCATCTGTGCCTTCTAATTCTTGCGTTCAAAAACCCAAACCTATCTTCAGTTTGTAAAAGACCACCAATTACCAAAGGATATTTTGGATCAAAGTTCTCTATTATTTCCATTGGCAAGTTGTTGAAAGTCAGTTTGACATACGACCCTGCAGTGAAACCCCCTATATGTGCCCTGACGTCTTCTGACATGTTGGTAAGCTCAGATTTGTTGATCTCAAGCTGTTTGGCCATCTTTGCCTTCTGGTATTCATACCATGTATCATTTTCATCAAAGATATCATCCTTGTTTGTAAAGTTTTCTTCTTCCTCAAATTGTTGTTTAAGCTTCTCTTTTCTCTTAGCATTGTGCTCCCTCTGCCGCTCAATACTCATATCGCTGGATTTCTCTCCACCAGCGAAGCCCATGTTCAATGTTTCCTGAACATCGGCAGCTTCAGCATCAAAGGTAAGGGAATCATTCTCCGCACCGTTTTCGGAAGCTCCATCAGATTCACACAAATCTTCTTCTTCATTTTCCAAGTCTTCAAAGTCTGCGTTCTGCTCGTCGGTATCGGTGTCGTCGGCATCTAATTCTATCACTCTTTGCTTTGCAGAAACGAAAAACCGGGTTTTCAATCTGCTCAGAGCGGACTTATCTACAAGCCATTTCTCATGTAATATGTTGGCAGGAGTGTTGTTTCCTGTAGTAACTTTATCGCTTTGGTTAGGGTTTTTGAAAGTGTCCTTCTTAACAAAGAAATTTTCTTCCTCGTCAGAGTCCGAATCTTCCCCATCACGAATTTTTCTGTTGCCAGCATCTCCATCTTCATTGTAGCTCGGAGACACCAGTTCATCTTCTTCTTTCCTCCATCTGGATAATGCATCAATCGGGTCAATGTTGTCCATATACAATAACTTGTTGATATCCCATGTTTTCTTCATATGAATGTTATTCAACTTCGACCCAATGTTTTGCCAGTAAGATTTAGCCTCCAATGAGTCATCATCCGATAATTCAAAATCAGATTCAGATTCAATGCTCGATTGTTCAGGATCTTTGGGCATTTGAGTTGAGTCCTGCATGCCCTTCAGGAAGTTGAGATTTTCTTGACTGTCACCTTCGTCTTGGTATTCTGCATCGCTAGAGGGTATCCCCGCATCATCAGAGATCTCTGATTCATCAAATTTGTAAGGACGAGCCTGTCTGAGTTCTTTTCTTCCACTATCGTGCCTGAGAACCTCATTCTCTACGTTGTGCTCGTCTTCTGAAACTGATTTGGGGGCATCACTAAACAACTGGACCCCACTGGATGATCTTGCATCCAACACCTCACTAGCCTTCTGTAAGCTTGTCATCATTTTCTCACCAAGACCATGTTCGGCTCCTTCCTTGAATGACTCACTTCCAATGTCAATATAAACTGCATCTTTATCAATTAAAACCCCCTGAACATCTGACATTGGCCCGTAAATGATCTTTTGCTTGTCTTCTAATCTCTTTCTTCTTCCACGCCTTAAAACACTACCTTGCCCACTCTGCTCTGCATCCTTCCTTTGTTCCCGTTCAATTTCTTCTAACCTTTGTTCGTAGTAAGGTGTGGGACAAGGGTCAGGTAATTTCTCCACATGAGAGATTGAGTAGTCGCCTACACCAGCAATATGAACTCGTTGATTCTCAGCTTTCAATGCAGTGCCATGAATATATCCATAAACAGCAACCTTGCGATCGACCTTTTGGCTTTTTTCTATCAAAGATGGATGCGTCAGATCTATGATCCTGTCGACTAACAAATATGGATGCTCGTTTCTCCATCTAAGAGGTCTGAATTTCATCACGGAAATAAAACGAGCAAGATTCAGAATTTCTCTATCAGGGTAGCGGCCATTAATAACTCCCGATAAATAGAACAGCTTTGCGCCTTGATAAACTTCGGTCCAAAAACGGTGTTTCAGTCTTTTCTTTGAGGCTCGCAAAGTCGCCGGCTTTTTGAATAGATCAAGATGAGTCGTAACTCCAAGTATCTTGGGCATTCCGTGATGTTGCGCAATATTTAAAAATTCCATTGTTTCCATCTCAAAACCAAAGTTGCCATCGATCATTAGCAAAACCAAATCTGCAACTTTTGCAATGTCTATCATTGAGTTAAGATCATTACCACATTCGATAAATGTGAGCCTTCTTCTTTTGCCACTCACGACAGTAATAGGACCTTTAATATCTGTCAACGTGGTTTTTGTTAATCTTCGTATCAATGATCTGATCAAAGTCGTTTTTCCAGTCCCCTTTGGGCCAACCACAGCGACAATCACAGGGGGTGGATCATCATCCGGATTCCTGTCAATCATAGGAACATGTAATTTTTTCTCATTAAGATCGCTCGATCTTTTGGCCTGTTTCTGTAGCTTACCGGGCCTTGAAACCGCAAATGCTTTTGCGTTCTGTCCCTGAGAGCTCAACTTCATTTTTGCCGTTGTCCTTTTTGAGTTAGACCTGTGAGGCTTATTGCTTTGCTGCGTATCCATGGCTCCAGTAGTACTTTTTGCAGACTTAATTTTTAGAAAAAAATTTATATTTTATATAACTATTCAAAAATTAGAGCCTCACATATAAAATAATTCAATATTACAATTTTAAAACTCTAAAACGTAAACACATTCCCGAACAATTTCAAACGTCTACCGCCTTGCCAATCAACCATTGCTGGGGGAACTTTCTTAAAAGTTAAAGGCATGAGCAATCAGGATCAGTTGTAAAGGACAAACTTAGCTTTACCCTTAGTGACGGAAGCTGTGCATCCGTCATCTCCATCCCCATTATAGGAACCATTTTCATAATAGCACTCTCCAGAAACCTCACTGTCGTCATCGTAAGCAACAATCTTCACATTGAAATTGGCTGCTTCCAGGTTGTTCGGATTAGGAATCAATGATAAGTAAGTAATACCATCTGTGTATCCTGCCCCAAAGTTCAAAGGTGCCCAGTTTCCGACAGTGGTGCCAGCTTCGCTCCAAATGCACCCGTCTTCGTATGACACACCAGCATTGTTGACGTAGTATTGAGCTGACGTCTTTTTGCCTTGCCACTGATAGTATGTATCTTGGTCAACCACGGTCAAAATGTTCTCACCGCCTGCTTCGACCACAGTTGGAATTACCATGTTTTCGGTGCCCGGATAATCAGTTCTGCAAATAGCAACAGACTCGTCAATTTCGGAAACGACTCTCGCAGAGTTTTCACCCCATTCACAAAGGTAGTCAGAATCTTGATTGCTTCTGTAAAGTTTACCTCCCTTACAGTAGAGACCACCAACAGATTTTCCATCGGATGGTTGATCAGAAGGCCATTGGGTTTTAGACATACCTGGTTGGCATGCATATGAGCAATAGGAGCCTTCAGTACATGAACCACCGGTGGACGTGTCCGAAGGGTGATAAATTCCAGACCATCCACCAAATCCGAGCCAATCCAATGCAATCACGCCCTGACCAGATGGGAAACTGGAACAAGAAATAGTTCCATCCTCAAATTTCTCAGTTGGATCTGAGAAGGCAGATAAATCACCACTTATGTCACTGGAGGATCCGGAAGAGGAGCTGGAAGTACCTGAAGATGAGCTCGAACTCGAGGTAGAAGACGAGCTGGCGCTGGAAGAAACATCAATGGTTGTGGAGGGAGATGACGAAGAGCTGGAAGAGGATGAAGCAGAGGTTGCTAAGTCAATGTTTTTGCTTTCAAGCGACGCCTCAACCGTTGGAGACACGGTATTTCCAGCCGAGTCAACAGTGACAGTCACGTAAACATAATCATAAGCGACTGCACGTTTGTGCTGATGATGAGCATGATAGCTTTTAGCAGTTGTAGTGCATTCTTCTGTATTGGCAATGGCTCCAGCTTTTGGGGCTGGAGCAGCATAAGCTGAACCCATTAGCGTGGCACTTAGAGCCAACAATGATGAGGTAGCAATTTTCATTTTGACACTTAGCTAGAAGATAATGTTAGTTTCATTAAAGGGCGCCAGAGCAAGAGGTTCGCGAGAAGAGAAGGGAAGTTCCTGACAGAGAAAAGGGATTCAACTTGTTTAAATTATGGCAGCTAAGCAACAACGATGTGCAGGCAGGGGTAGTTTTGCTTGAGTCGCGTCTTAATTTTGTTGTTTATGTTTGAGCCTTGTTTCGTAGAAATATGCATTGTCGCGCAAAATATCGTTCCTTCCGATTTACTGCGCCCTATTGAAACGCGAAATCCAGCCTACTTCGGAAGAATTTGTGGCGCGTGCATCTGAGATTGGGTAATAATAATAGGTGGTGTGTGGCTGTTTGTTTTCCTTTCATTCCGCCAACATGCACGACTCCAAAACGAGATTTCGAAGCGACAAGCCATCTTAGTATTGAAAACTAGCGAATCATCACTCGCACGTGTGACAAGTCATTTGTGCACAAAAAGCACCAGAGCTTTATGGCCATGAGCTGAAGCATAATCTAACTCATGTCCCCCGAAGAGTTCTCGTGTTGGAAATAAAAAAATGCTGCAAACGCGTTTTGCAATAATACAATATTGCAATTGTCAATTGTCTTGCAAAACCGACCAGAAAAAGGTAAAAACCCATAAAAGTGCCCAGTGCCGTTCGATTGCGCGATATTATTGATCTTGCTGCCTTTTGAGTGTTCTTTCGCTTCTCACCCCATGAGTACTCTGCTTTGCTTAGTATTCAACTTACCTTACGACTTTCAAATAAACGAAACGAGCAAAGTATTGTTAATCCTTTAGGTATTCAAACGGGCACAATAACACAAAGATAAGGAATGTAAGTAGTTGGAAAAATGACTGTGTAGTCTTGAAAGCTCTTAACTGGTAGAAGGAGAGAAATTTTTGAGCTCGTAAATAAAGGATTTCAACCTGTTTTATAAAGCACGCCGAAATTTTAGACGATGTAAATAACGCAGCTTCGCCACATGCTTCGCATAAAAACCCTAATTTGAATTTGAGTTTCCTGAAATAGAATTTGGTTTTCCGAAATTTTCGACGCACACAATAACCTCTAACGTTTTCGGATAAAAAACAACCAAGCACTCTGTATGATTGGTAACAGCAAGCCTCCTATTTTCTGCACGATTTGAATCAACTTTGAGCTAAAGAGTGGTAAATAGTTCAAAGAGCTTGACATATAATTTGGGCTATTGAGCGTATGGCGGTAGTTGAGATCACACCCCTCAAACCCTAAATATGAGGGTTGATGAAAACTTTTGTTGGTAACTCTGAAGAGCCTAACCCAGGACTAACATAGTGTATGTATTTATTCGGATCAAGGTAATGGCTGTTACTCTTGTATAGTCTCCGATTTGTTAACCTCCTCAGCAAAATGGTTAAATAAGCGTTCCTCCTCTGCACACAAAGAGTCAAAACGGTACCGCTCAGAGTCAGGAGAGTAATTCAAAACGAGCTCAGTCAAACTTTGTAGAAGGATTTCTTGCTTAATTCTGACTGAGTCTTGATAGATGTTTTCCGAAATTAGCAGAGACTAGGTAGAAGATGCTCAACCACGTTGAAAGAAACCTTCCTCTATTGGGTTGGTGCGGACTACAACGAATCAATTGAGCCTCGAATTTGTGCTAATGATGTTAGTTGGCCACCATAAGTGAGTTAGGCCAGCGTTTTTTTTCACCATGATGGCTATACATCGTGGTTGCCCAAGAATCGTCTTGCTGATCTTGAAGTAAAATCCTATTATTTGCACACGAGTGAGCATTGGTGTATGGATGTTGCGGAATTACTTCATATCATTTTCCGAGCTCCCCCAAATTGAAAAACAAAAGAAATGGTTGGGCGTGGGTTTTCAAAATTTAATTTGAAGTTTTGTTTCCATAAAATTAAAGCGATATACGACACTCGACTTGAATTTATTTTCAGTAAACTCGTTTGACTCTGCTAATATCTGTTTTCGGAAGATTACAGTTTATGTCTAGCAGGTGTGAGATCAAAAGCTTATCTTTTGTGTAAGCCAATTACAAGCAAGAATCACATTAGTTCAAAGATTGCGGTAAACTATCTTTTGAAGTATGTCTCAGGAGGTTTTCAATGAAGGTCCAACAACTTCGCAACATATCGAAGCTGAGGATGACGATCATTTCAATAATACAACGTTCAAATTGAAGAGGACCAGGTCCATGGGTCTGCTTGATGACTTTATTACGCAAACCCACTCCTTAGACACCGATTCTATTCCAGATAAAGAAGCAAAACTCAGTTCAAAAGATTTTGTTTCAGACGAGACTTTGCACAAACTGAATATGAACTCAACTCTTGATGAGGAAGAGAACGTGCCTCGATTCTATACGAGTGTCGTGCCCTCTGCTTCGAAGAGCAAAAAATCAATTCCTTCCAACTCTCCACAGAGTTTCCAAAGTGAGGAGACCTCTGACGAAAACTGTTTTTCCGAAGATTCGCTCAGTTCCACAGGATCGGGTAATTCGGTTAATCTCATACCAAAACATCAACTAAGAAAATATCAACATGGCAAGCAAAACGAGACGCTTACCCCGAGGCTAGCTTATCAACAGCAATTACATGATGACATTGACGTACAGCATTCTCCCGAACAGCATGTCGACTATTTATCTCATAACTGGGATGAACTGGAAATATCCAAATCTTGGAGATACGTAACTCTGAAGAGAAATGATTTTGCAAATTCAGCAAGACTTGAAAATGCATCTTGGAGAACATGGGCTCAAGCCCGAAATGGTTTGAAAACTATCTCACCTGCTGAACTCAACTGGAGTAAGGAAAGTGATGTTACTTGGTTGTATGGGCCACTTTACAAAGAGGAGAAGTATGATTTCGATATAGTGGATTTCAAAAAACAACAGCATAAAAAGAGACAAGAGTCGTCTGGTGGCATTCCTCAGGGTAATGTCGATATGGCAACTCATAGCAAAAATACCAGTACAATGAAAAATGAGACTAATGACAGGGACAGTAATGAGAAAGATAAGCATTTTGATCACTTGAAACCAATATTGAAAAAGCGCTCCAATGTAGAAAAAATGATCAGCGATGCTTCATATTCAAGACTTCAAAGTCTCCTAGAAGAACACGACCATAAATTCAAAGGGAGTCCTGTTTTGGAACCAGTTTCAAATTCGTTGAATGATTCTTCCTCTCCTGCTAATAGTTCTGCAAACAACATCAACAATGATGAAGCTTTTCCATTCACACTGTCAGCTAATCAGACAACTGAGGATGTCCATAAAATGGATTGCCAGGCACATCAAATTTCTGCTTCGAATAAGAAGGAGAGGAAGATACATTTCAACATGAGAGTTGATCAATGTATTGCGATCGATGATGACACAGAGTCGGACCTTTCTCTAGATAATGGCTATCAAAATGATTTCGATCATGGAGGACCTCTTCATGCGTTATTACGGTCAAGGTTTGACAATGATGATGATGAGGATATGGGTTATGACGAGGAAGATGACGATGATGGTGATGATGAAGGAGGCTTCATGCTACATACAAGAGTGACCTCTCCGAACATATCTCACAAACCGCCTAACTGGTCACGCAATTCCTCAAATGCCAACACTAGAGATGAGTCTCCATCGTCTGAAAACATAAAACCCATCGCAACTATTGCACCACTCCCTGCCACAACATTGAAAACTTGTTCCGATGATGATGAGTCTGATCCTTATACTGTATCACATAACACAAAAACCAACCGAGGGTACGATTATTATTATGACTACAACACTGTTTACGACGATTCAACAAATCCCCTGTATTCTGTCATTAATAGCCAACAAAATGTCCAGTTGTTTGATGTACCGGAAAGTTGTCAAATTGAGGATGTGATGGATGTTGATGCTAATGGTCATCCTGATAACCTGATCATCTCGCCTGTTGAATCACGACCTGAAAGCGAAAATGCACATTCTACATCATCACAACTAGTACATGAGGATATTCCTCACCATTTGCAAAAGTTCATACCAAGTGAATTTTCAGATCAGTCCTTACGATATCAGAATCTACAGCATCCTGAGGATAGCTCAGCATCATGCCCTCAGATCAAACGCAACACAAGTGTTGGACACGGTTCATCAAACTCGAGCTCAACAACTAGTCTTTCCACAATAAAAGTCGGTTTGAGTGGTTTAGATCTTGGGCATACTGGGCTTAGAAAAAGTGCTGGTGCCGGGTCCAAACCCCAATTATGCCAAATGTCTGACCAATCCGGAGGATCCCAATTTTCCAAACTTGGTTCTTCGGCTTCGAATAGTCTTGATCGCAAAAAATTCGTCTTTAGTTCTGAGTCAGATGATTCGTCTTGCTCAGATGAGGAAATGGAGATAAATCCCCCTAGACGGCCACCTTCACTGTCGCCTTGAGATATTTTTGGGACTGGGCATTGCAAGTTCGGAGTATTTAGTTTTCATAAATTTGGAGGCATCGAACGTATCTAACGTTGCAATTGACATGTGCTATAATGCAAGTCACAGTTCCACATGGAAACTCAATCAAAATATGCTTTTGTTGAGTTGTAATTGTTACGGCCCAATCAGCGTAACTATATATACTCGACTTTTGTATCTACATTGTTACAGGTATGATCTATGTTCAATCATGATCGATTTTTGATTGTGCCTCGCCACCTCGGTAGGAGTCCTTTTGGTGCTCTACATTCTTTAGCCTATATAGAATTTTGGCTTCCCGAATCCTCTTGGATTGCTCTCCCGGCTATTTTCTGCTCGTAAAGTTATAATTTGATGTGTTGTTTCGAACTTTGAGAGTCGTCTTGGTCATTGCTAAATTTGCGGTGTTATAAATTTCATTCATAAAAAATGCGACCAAGCTGTCTTCAGTTTTTATTTTTTTGATACTTCAAAAAGTACTCACTCACTATCTTGAAAATCTGTCTAAATTCCAAGCTTACTTCATAATGACGAGCAATCGGACTTTGGACAATGTGTTCGATCCGGAGGAGTCCGACATAACAATCAAGCCCGATATTCCTCAAATGGAAAGCTCGGGAAATCTACAAAATAGCACCCACCACAAAGCGCCGTCAGAATCCCTAGATACCGCTCCACCGAAGGCGACAAACGCAGCAACTATTTCCATGTTCTCTAATTTTGTCAACCCCCAAAGCTACCTAGATCCAATACTAGAGAATAATAACATTAAATTTAAGGAAAATCAGTTCAGTGGGGGAAACACATTGGATGAGTCCGTGCTCGCCACTTTAAGTAGAGATCTGACAAGCATTGGAGATAAGTTGCTTTCTATTCTATGGCCGCTAAGATTGCGACAGAAACTCATGCTCGTTCGCAGAGTCGGTGAGCAATTTCCCTCAACCGGAAGTATGATTAGTCACACAGACTCCTTCAATCAACACGGTATTTTCGAAGAACGCACACCTACCGAGATAAGCAATGAATATTCAGAAGAGACCATACAAAAGATACTTGACTGGGATTTATGGGGTCCGCTGGTATTCGTTCTTTCATTCAGCTTGATAATAACCTACTTGCAGAGTGAATCATTGAGCTCTGGGGGTGCTGAATCCTCAGAAACTTCCCAAATATTCAGTGCTTCTTTTTCTCTTATTTGGGTAGTGCTTGCTGTGCTCTCTATCAATATCCAGCTAGTGTCTCCTGTTTCGCAAATGACTGATAATGGCCGATTAACTTCGGGGATTATAGGCCTTTCATTTTTCCAATGTATGAGCATCCTTTCATATACTCTATTTCCGATTGTCCTTGGTGGTTTGAGCTCTGTCTTCATCTCATGGAAATTGCTGAGGCTTGTTATAAATTCTGTCATGTTTTTATGGTCTATTCTGTGTTCATGGTTGATACTCGCCATCGTCAATAACTGCCGAAAAATTGGTACAGCATCAATAATTTACGGCATGACCGGGGAATCGTTTCATGATCATAACGATGGCGAGAAGCGAATTTTACTCATGATGTATCCTGTTATCTTGGTCTTTGGTCTATTATCCTGGTTATGTGTTATAGTGTGAAAGAGATTTACATGTTCACCTTCAAGAAGTTTACATCAAGCTAATCGGCGTCTTGATCATCCTCAGCGAGTCAAGCAGTATGTGTATCAGCTGCAGCTCCCTCATTCGCTTCCTCTTCGTCAGCGCCAAATTCCATGGGGTCGAAATTACTTCTGCGTATATCACGTTCGTAAACCTCTGCCCTAGTTGGCTCCCGGATGTTAAGTTTGATTTCATCGTAACTAAGAGCCCTAAGCTTTGGTTCTAAAAAGCTGTCGATGCGGCGCTTTTTGAGTTCAATTCTCCCTTTTATTGGAACAAATAAAGCAGTAGAGGACCTTTCATCAAAGGTTATGGCTAGTTGACGAGAGAATTCGGCATTGCTAATCATTCTTGAATTGCTGTCATAATCCCTTAATTTCTGATATGTTAATATTTTGCTACTTGACAATCTAGCTTCCTCCAGAGACGAAGCTGGGGCGTTTTCTTTAGTGTCTTTGAGCAAGGCGTTCACCTGGTCACAATCGTTGTCATCTGCAGTGTACAAAGTCATGAAGTTTGTCGCGTCACTGAGAGAAACTAGCTTGAAAAGCGGTGCTGTGATATCTGAGGGCTCTTCAGCTTTCCGTTTGTTCGTCCGCTCTTTCCTGAAAGAGGATGAGCTCGCAAACTTTATGTCATAAAAGTTCTGGTCTAGCATTGATGTGTCTGGCAGTAAGCTCCAAACTTTTTTGGCTCTTAGGCCCTTCTTTGATGGATGCAAAATTTCTTCAACATTCTCATGTATGTCGCTACGAGCAAACATTTTCTCAACTTTTCGCAGCTGAGATTTAGCATCAAATTCCTCACGCTTTCTCATGCGTAACTTGGACAAGGATGAATCCGAAGATGAGGGCATACGTGCTGATGTCCGGTCGGAGGAAATGTATTGAGTCCTGCGTAAGAAGCTGACGCTGTCCTCCTTAGAAGCAACGGTTTTTGTTGGATCTGTTAGTAGAATTTTGTCTTCAGGATGAAGCATGGAATTGTTACCAAAATCTGGTGCTAGTGCAGTTATTGGTGACAATGTGTTTTCTTCAATACACTTGGGGTTTTCTAGCAAACTCATATGTAATCCCAATTCGTCGTCCAAAGTCACTAGATTACTAAAGTGGTCTTTGCGGAAAACTGATGAAAGGAGCGCAGAGAATGTCAGAGGGTCACCTTTCAATGATGACTGTAGGTCTATCATTTTAGGGGGGCATGGCGGTGGAGGGAGGTCATTCAAAAATCTCACTTTTGCGACAAAGTCCTGTCGTGAAGCCGGAAATGCAGATTGTGGCATTGTTAATTATGATCCGTATACTGAGAGTTGTTGTTTCTTGGTAGTATGTATGGTTCGCCGAAGGACTGACTACTCAGGAAAAAAAAATAACTTTTTAGCATTAGCCACAATGCTATATACTTACAAGCCACTTTTCCTTTGATGGTACTTTGCTTGCAATAAAGAAAAATGTTATAAAATTGCACCACAAAATCCTGATTCTTGAATAAAATCTTTCAACCACGCTTGTCGCAGCACGCTGAATTTAAGATGTTTCTGAGGAGCTCGTAAAGGATGGGAAATTACAAGAGCCTACCTTTTTGTGGGCTAAAATTTTGCAGTACCTCTATCAATACTGCTCAAAAATCCACTTTGGCGTGGAAGATTGAGATGTTGGGTGGTACTTTCCATAATGATCTTTTATCTGATATAAACGTGCTTTTGGTTGGAAGCATCGATACCCCGAAATACCATTTCTGTGCGCAGAGACGTTTTGATATTAAATTCATTTTACCCGATACAATAAACACCATTTATGACCTGTGGACCCAGAACAAAGAAATCGATTCATCAATTATCAATAGATTTCTTTTGAGCCCATTTCACGGGATGTCAATATGTCTTTCTAGGCTCTCCAATGCAACTTCTTCACAGTTCCACAAAGACGTCATTGCAAAAATGATCGTTGATCTGGGGGGTAACCCCACTGAATCTTTAACGCCCTCTCACAAGGCTGTCGTCAGCATTGAGAAGTCAGGCAAAAGATTTGAAAAGGCCATCGAATGGGGAATCCCTGTGGTCCATCCCAGGTGGGTTACTGATAGCGCCCAACGAGGAGCGGTATTACAATGGAAGTATTACGACATTAGTACACTCGATCCCGAAATGATAGGAGTAGGCAGCTGTCTAGTCTGGGATAAATTGAATAGATCACAAATCGACAAGGAGTGCGTAAGGAGAGAAAATGATACACTAATGGACGATACAAATGTCAAACTGATCCTCCAAGCAGAACGTGCTTCATCTGTTCCTCCTGAGTCCGCCCAGCGTGCCAATCTTCGTCCCGCTTTGGCTCATAGTGGTGGTCACATGTTTGAGCGAATTGGATTTTACCTTTGTGGATTCTCTGAAGACGAACAGGTGAAGTTGATGTCCGTGATATCGGATGAAGGTGGCGAGATCGTGTCTGACACTAGTGCGGATGTCATAGTAGTGCCATCTCACTACTCCTATTCCAGTGTTCCTGCAAATCTCAAGAATCTTGCAGACTCGAAGGGAATAAAAATTGTGAATGAGTGGTTCATCGAAAGAAGTTTACACTATTCAAGACTATGCTTTGATCAGTGGTCGGTGCCCAGAATTCATGCGAGTCTCGAACTGAGTCTGAAAGTTGCATTCTCAGGTTTTGGGGGCATAGAGCTTGTACATGTGGAGAAGATACTCAAATCGCTTGGTTTTTCTCCCACTCGAACTCTTGACCAGTCCAGTGATCTCTTGGTCATCAACCTAACAAGCATAGGTCTCACGGAACAACATTACCCAAATCTTTTTGAACATGACCATAAAAGTGTACTATCTCTCCCCTGTCCGATGGATTTCAAAACTACTTCGTCTAAAACTATGAATAAGATATCAGCCGCCAGATCTTGGGGAATTCCTGTGGTGTCTTTTGCATATATCTGGAAGGTAACAGATACTGGAAATTTGCCTCCTATCAACGATAATTCTCTCTGCATCTTTGCTCCAAATCCGATAGAAAATAGGGCGCAGGTGCGGGTTTTCCACGAAGGAGGGATGATTGACGCCGCAATAAAAAGCAATACTGAAAATGCAACATCAGAGCGCAACATAATATCCTCACTGGATGGCTCTGTTGGATCTGGCCTAAATAATGAAAATTTTACCAAATTGAATCAACATATAGTATCCAGAAAACGGCTCAAATCCATTAAGTTGGCAGGAATGGCTTCTAAATCACGATTGAAATCTTTGTCAAGTGCACAGCATAAACATCAGGATGTGCAATTTGATCCTAGGATTTCAAGGAGGATATATGAGATCAAAGTTTCAGAACCCCAGGTTTCAAGGAGTCGAAGAAAGAATTGAATCGCAGATATTGGAAGAGTTATTATATCTGATCGCTCCAAATGAGATTCTGTTTGCTTTTTATGTAAGCCACAACTAATTACCGCTCAGCAATATAGGAAGAATTACACAGCTCATTATTGTTTGTAATGCTTTACATACTAAAGTAAAAGATCTTGAGTTTTACATACTAATCGAGTTAACATCGTATGTCACTTTTTCATCCTAAACGCATAGTATCATTGGATTCTTGATGTCACAGAGACTATGTATTGATTTATACGATCATAGTCACGGTCGCACATCAAACCAAGACCGCTATCATAAAGATTGGGTCTTTTATTGATGCTTATTTTTGCTCTGATTACAAGTAACTGTGATATTGAGAATACGATGAGGATTTTTGTTTTTCATAATGACTACCCACGGTGATCAATTTAAGTATGGAGCTAAGATACTTCTTCTCGATGACCCACACACACCTAAGGTTTTTTCTTCTTTTTGTCTAGATTTTGCCTAGCGATTTAAGGACATGAAAAGCTTCGAGTTTACGTAATCCAAAAGACTGCAGAATCTTTGGGACATCTTTTATGGAAAATTTCTGACCAATTTCATGATGAGCTAGCAATTGAAAACAATCGTCGTGGAATGACAAAAGAATTCAGGAACAATAGAGCTATAATCTACATTTTATTCCAATTCTATCACTGCAAAACTTTTGTTCAGGTGTGGAAAATATTCATTGTCTCATCACACTAAATACTTTGATACAGATTAAGAATATCAGCATCAAGTGTACATACTTCTGTTGAAAATTTCCAAGATAGAGTAGGGATCGGGTGTTCGGGTGTCCATGTTTGAATAACTGAATTGGTGACTAACAAATTCTGCTTAATTGATATATTTTCTCTTTTGCTGATGGTCTTAATCTAGAGAATTCCCTAATGAGATTTATAAAATAGTCTCTCCCTATATAGTATTTATAATGGCGAGTGAATCTTTTGAAGGTGGAATTCATGATGACACACATTATCACAACACACATGCAATATCTGAGCAGCCTATTTTTCACCTGGTGATTGACTACACAATCACTGCACTTATATTCAGCTCGTATAATATCATGTCCAGACTGTTGCTATCTACAAGCCTTTATGATAACTCAAGAGTACGTATGATTCAGTTGTCTGGCATACGGTAATGGCAAAGCTTACTCCAATAACTTAAAGGAGTGCTCATCGCATGTGTCATTTTATTGTTGAGTTTAGTGGATGACACAGGCTGAACTTGCTAGCAGACTTATTACTATTGATTAGCTAAATTGTCAAAATAGGATTAAATAAGTTTTGCAAATAAGTTTTGCACAAGTGGCCTTCATTGAATCATGATAGCCATGTAACCGTGGGCGACTGTTAACTGTGTGTATTTTTCGATTCTTCTTCAAAGTTGGAAGCCCAAGACATAGGGACCAGATTAATGGTGATAAGCCTGCGGAACTTCAAACTAAAAGTGCTACTATATTGCTAGCAAGTTCTCGCTAATTTACCATATTTCTGACGCAAGACACCTTTATTATAGCTTCCACGTCCTTCGCTTCTAAGAGACTCGACCTATTTGCTAGTAGAAATCTAGGATGAGAAAGAAAACAGAGATATATTGTTTACCTTATATCGATTCGCTTAAATTATAGTTTCACCATTCAGAGTCTGCTCGCAGCTTCCATATTGATCAAAGATATCGATATATCTATGAAATGGCAATCAGTGTTTACGTGAACTGTCAAGTGCTTAGCAGTTTCAGCAACCACCTATTGTAGGAAGCTTCTTTTTGTACATCTGAGATCTATTAGCTGTTTTTAGAGAATAAGTGACAAATTGCTCGCTCAAAACATGAACAGCAGATTAACTCCCCTCACAAAAAATTCCTTTCTCGAGAAACAAGCTTAATCAAAAGAATTTCCAATTTAATTTTCTCAGCTTTTAAAATTGAAATATGCTGTAGTGTAATATCGATGATCCGAATCCTTCTATCAAATGTTGAAAAGTACAAACTACATTTTAGATAGGTCTAAGTAAGCCAAGAATTTAGTGCTCGGATGGAGTTAGTCCTCAATGTCACAAACACTTATCAAGTTGATCTGTAGCCATAAATCATCAAGTTATTGTTTTGGTATAGAATATTAATACAAGGCAATCAAGTGAGGCCGGATTGATTATTCGCGGAATTTATAAAAGAGTACATACATACTAGTTTAGTTTGCTAGCCAAGTTCTGATAGAACAATGTGTTCTGTAGTATTTTGTAGTCCTGCATTATTAGAGAGGTAACTTTCACTCACTTAGTAATCATATATGAGATCACCGTTCCGATGTATTAAGTTGCTTATGGGAGATGCGTTTGACCGAGAGACCACCTCACCTTACTTAAGTTTTCATCAAAAAGGCATTACTAAACATGCAACTGGATTCTCATATTGTTGAAACTTTGTTTTGATAAGTGTAATGTCTACAGTCATTCTTCCTTCAATAGTGTGACTATGTATCAGATAGTTAATATCTTTGGTATACCTAAGTCCCTCACTTATAAGTGGGATATGACACACCCTTCTATATTATTTGGTTAGTCTCATATGTGATCCAAATTTGTATCTTCTGGATCTGATGCACATACTATGCATGTGCTAGGAACCACAAACCTTCATATCAGGATAAGCCGCACAGCATGATATAATCTATGACTATCATCTCAACAGATAGTGCCACAGACGTATGACAATGACCTGCCATGATAGATTAATTATGAGAATATGCGTGAGAAAATTGGGGATAACGGCTCGAACTCTTAGTTAGCCATGATTATTTTGTTCCTTGAATGGTGGTCCATCATACTCTAACTTAAATGACTGGTGGGCCTGTTGCAATGAAGTATTTTATCTTTCCACTTTAAAAAGTTCTACATCCATGTTTCCCAAATAAGATTGGAAGTCTACTGACCTACCTGCCTCTTAGTCAATTACCACTCCCTTTGTATTCTTGGCCAAATCAGCAAAGTGTGGAGTGCTACGTGACTATCTGTTTCACATCTAAGAATAGAAGGGGAACTTAGAATAAGTGCTTCGAAATCTTGTCTCTGGTGCTCACTTGATACTCTGCTTGAGTACTCTAGGTATGTGTGCAGAAGTCGTGGGTAAATCATATGTGTCTTAAATACCATGTTTTATATTCACTATAAAACAATACACTCCAACAAAGTATTGAAGGACTTGATAAAAGTGGAAGATCCCTCGAACAAAGTCCAAGAGAAAGAGGAAATGGATTGATGATCAATTACTGGGAGGTAAGTTTGGTCTGAAATGAAAGCTTCCGATCCTTCATGAATTAATTCATGGGACAAAGGTGACAGAGAGCATCTGGGATTGGCTGTGAGTGAAGTAGTTTAAAAATACCTCGTTCTCTTTAACTGGCTTTGATCGAGGGCGGTATACACCGCTAAATTAACTGTAAAGCTCAAATTATCAGCTACAGACCTTGTACTTCGAGGTCAAAATCATATGTAGGCCATTAACTGTTCAGTTGGTAGTGTAATCAGAAAGAAAGAACGAGCTTGCGCTCAAGACACAATATTATGCCACACAGTGCCTAACCAACTGACCCCGACAGCAGCCTCGCACTGAGTCCAAATTTGAGCATCTGTAGCGCTGAATAAGGAGAGCTTTGCTAAACGAAATTTGAAACATGAATGAAGAGGGCCTTACTCTAACTCACAGATACCAATCTCACACTACTTGATACCCACTCATTGAGGGCTGAAGATCTCGGTAGCATAAGTTGCAATAGTATGCCTTGTCAGCCTAATTTTTTTAAAGAAAGCTCACATCCACAAGGTCTCTGCCACTGGCTATAACCCCTTTAAATTCACCCAGGTTCCAATCCGATAATACTAAGCACCCCAAGTACAAAGCAATCTATCCTGTACTTACCTGCACACGTCGTATACTTAGCATAAAGTTGATATTTTCCTTAATGTATGTTATACGTTTTAGCATGCGAGGGAAGAGATTTTGAATTTGGGCCAAGAACCGATTCAAAGTGGGATGGGGCTTTGACTACTGAAAATCGACATAGCTTGTTGACTGCAGGAAACCTTGTTCTCTTTCGAGCATCTTTATTTTGGGTGAACTGCTTCTGGACCTATAAGCATCATATGAATGGACATATATATCGATGATAAACTACCAACCAGTGACCATACACCCTCAATTTCTGCTTCTTTCGTTTGCACCTAACAACATTCAGCTCTTATGCATTACGCTGTTGTGTCCTTATTTATATCCCAGCTGATGATGTTGAAACTTTGTTTTGATAAGTGTAATGTCTACAGTCATTCTTCCTACAATAATGTGACTATGTATCAGATAGTTAATATCTTTGGTATACCTAAGTCCCTCACTTATAAGTGGGATATGACACACCCTTCTATATTATTTGGTTAGTCTCATATGTGATCCAGATTTGTATCATCCGGATCTGATGCACATACTATGCATGTGCTAAGAACCACAAACCTTCATATCAGGATAAGCCGCACAGCATGATATAATCTATGACTATCATCTCAACAGATAATACATATGCACCTTACATATCAGGATACTTATCTTTGATTACCTAAGCAAATAAATCTTCCGTAACAGCAAGAATAACTCCAAGAAGCTCACGCATTATAGTCCTGTACCTATATATTTTCAAATACATTGCGAATTTCACTGATCCAAATTTCAGTTTGAAAAAATTCTTGGTTTCACAAGCATTATACAAGGAAGAGGCAAATTGGTCAAAATTTTCCTTTGCTAATTGTGTCGAAACAGTCGTGCGAGCACCAATGATAAAGTCTTGGATGGAACTGATTACATCGAATCATGTGAGGTTGTCCGTCCATTACTAGATACGAAAATAATTGTCACGCAACACTCGCACTTTGTTGTATTATTATGGGATACAAAAGGAGTGGGCTTTGCTTTCACATTGTAATTTTCAAGAGAAAACCTGTTATGGTGGTCGTCAATAATACATTTCGCTTTACTTTCAGACTGTCTGCTTCCATCCTGTATAATGATGATTCGATAGAGTCTAGCACATTATTGCAGTGGTCCTCAAAAATCTTAGAGCTAGCTGTTAGTTTTGTCTGGCTAAATGACTAGGTTTGTAAGTAGCTTTTTGCTGCTAAGTCAGGAAGTACAGAATTCCACAACCAAGATTTACAGAAGTGTCTCCTTGTATGGTAATTCTAGCACTAAGGGATTCCTGTTTTGCGTGAGCCTCATTTTCTCTTAACTCAAGATCGAAAACATAACTGCACTATCATAACAACCACCGAAGCGAGATAGTTTTGTAATTTTAAAACAGCTTATTTTTAAGACCAAATTTGTGGCCACTGTTCTAGGTCAAGACAGTGGCTTTAATAGCTGTCTAGACCGTGGTTTCTCTTTAGTAATGTCAGCGATGGTCAGTTTTTGAGCTTCTGTGGTAACTCGGGTCACGGTCATGTGATGGTAATTTTTTTTTCCGAATAAAGGAATAAATCTTTACCATACAGTAAGTAGTCTAGAAATTGATAAGCCGCTCGAATGCTCCTCGCCAGTCAGCACTTTGATAAGCTTTGATCCAACTAACCAAACTCTGTATTGGACAATCCTGACTCGTCTACTCTGTAATTAGCTGCATCTATGACGTATTCGAACATGTTTTTCGTACGCAAAATGTCCCCTTATCGGACTGATATATACGGGCTTTGCCATAAAACAATTAAGGGGATATTAGGAGCTATCACCATTTTCATCGCAAACAGTCTACCGTTTTGCGATACGGCTAGGATAGATAGAATTGGATGGCAAAGATGAGCATGAGGTATTAGAAAGCACTCAGAAAGGAAGGAAACGTCAACAGGGTCACAGGACCGTCTCCCCACATTCGACGATCATGTTGGTGGACTTGCAGGTTTACAATCTTACGCTGATGGTAGAATTGGAAAGATGGAATTCATGATCAAGAAGGATTGTGCCTGACCAAATATTCTTATATCTGGAATTATCAGTATGAACCCCCGAAATCGGATAGATTTGAACCGCATGTATACTACGAGATCACTGGCATACATAAGCTTATACGGGAGAAATGTAAACGCCAGGTACACTAGGGTCACTTCTAGCTTTTTAAGCTTAAGTGATGTAGTCGGCATTTAAGTTTCAGCATAGTCTTTTAGTCAGGTCATCAAAGATAAAAAAATGTACTGATATGCACTTGGTGGACAGCCAATCTGAATCAAATGAATCAGCAAAAAGACAGGCAGCTTCTTTATGTAATCATTTTTTTTATGATGTTAATCATACACCAAGAGATTAATACTGATACGAGTTGTCGGTGATCCTGCTTCGTGTGGAAATACAGCGACAGCCAAAAGCATCATGATCTGTAAATAAATCAGCAAGAAACCCGTGTTCAGGCATCATTCTAGGATTGATAATTCTAGCACATACCCGAGCACCATCCTGTGATTGAGATGACGATGTTACAATCTGCCAGGACTTACCAAGATGCCTCCACGCTTGGATAATGAGTAGGTTCAAGAATGTATAAATCAACATTAGGAGGTATGGCGTGAGCATTTATGTGGCACAAGTTTGGTCCTCAGGAGAAAAAGGAAGTCAATCGAACAGGTGAAGGGCTGGTGACAGGGCTCTCCGAAGGAGTACTCCGGTTTGTCCAATGACAAAAGGTGTCTTGCTTGAGGTCAGACAACGGATATAAGTACCCCGTCCGTGACAGGAGCTGAGAGCCAGCCTTTTCAGGTAATGTTCTGGCAGGGAAATGAATTCAACTTCAAAAGGATGATAATTGAAGGAAAAGACTACTAAAAAATGGAAATTTTCACAATACCTAGGACAGGGATAAGCGTCAGCAATATAGGAGGAGCTTGAAGTTGCTGAGATAAGATAGTCATAGATTATATCATGCTGTGCGGCTTATCCTGATATGAAGGTTTGTGGTTCTTAGCACATGCATAGTATGTGCATCAGATCCGGATGATACAAATCTGGATCACATATGAGACTAACCAAATAATATAGAAGGGTGTGTCATATCCCACTTATAAGTGAGGGACTTAGGTATACCAAAGATATTAACTATCTGATACATAGTCACATTATTGTAGGAAGAATGACTGTAGACATTACACTTATCAAAACAAAGTTTCAACAGTGCATACATAAAATAAAACGGAAAGCTCGAGGATAAAACAAAAAACATTCTCAATAATCTAAATAGGTCTAGCATTAATTGCTTTGGATATTCGCCTCAGACAGCTGCCACTCCCTTTGTATCCTTGGCCAAATCAGCAAAGTACGGGGTGCTACGTGACCATCTATTTTACATCTAGCAATAGAATGGAGACCTAGAATAAAACGAGGGAATTGTCTTTTGAGACCCCGAAATCTTATCCTTGGTGCATACACAAATATCACGTAGTAGCTCTACATTGAGCCTATGCAGAACTCTTTACAGTGTGAGTTTTGATAACAATACGAAATTCAACACCCGAACACAGATCGTGATTTTACTCGTAATCTTTGGGCCGTTTTCACCGTTCAACTCAGGATAGGATGCATGTTGCGCTTTCACAAGAAGCTGAGTGAAAAGCTCGTAGCTCATGACCTCATTTTGGCAGCACACACTCCACGCCAATATTTGACACAATACTATTAGTGACAAGTATGC